AGTTCGCGAAGTAAAGGTACTCGCCGATTCCGCCTCCGGTCCGTGAAAGAAGTTGTATAAAATAGTCTTGTCCTTCTCGTCCTTGATTTGGTCCGCGTTCAGAGACGCTTGCAAAAAGGCAGATTGAAGGTTGACTTGTGTGAAGGTCGTCGACGCTTGCGGTCGCATGACGCTACGGATTATGATTTCTTGATTTTCGTCCATCTCGATTTGTAGAGCCGCTTCTCCCTGATCCTCGAGAGAAGAGATCAGTTCGCAGAAGCGTCCGGAAAACCCGGATGAGCGCGGACGTGCTCAGGAATTACGCCTCGGGCGTACGTGTGCATAGTAACCTTATTGCCAGTGTTAGGGCAAGTAATGGTCACCTCCTGGTTGCCGTCGCGGTCATTGGTATATACGGACTCGCACAGAGTATCAAAAGGTCTCCCTAATAATACTCGGAAGGCGCCGGTGTCCGATATGTGGCACTGCAAGTACACCGTGATCCCAGCGAAGTCAAAGGGAATATTCCTCGCTAGGCCCAAGGTCGAGTTGACCTGGTTATTGGCGCTTTGCATGCGTATGGTAACAGTCGGGTCGTAGGAAGCGCCGCGGTCTCGTGCGCAATCCTTAGACATGGATACGATTTGTGAACCACTATCCAAGATACTTTCGTCCGGACCATTGTTGTTGATATTCGGCCAGACGGTACGCAGTGTCGCCGACGGTTCGCCCGCGAAGATAACATCGGAGCGACCGCGTTCAGGCAGACTCTGGTATACCTCGAGTCGGGCGTCAATCTGCACATAGGACCCGATGGGTACCTTAGTGTGGGCGCACGACGGTAGCTCGACCGTCGTGGTAATGACCTCGTTCTCGAGTGCGGCCCAATTCACCTGAACTGGATCGTCGGACTCGCTACCTCGGCCGAGATTGGGGCGCTGTCCTTGAGCGTAGCCCAATTCTTTGCGTTGGTAAGCTTCAGTGAGCAAAGCCACACGCAGGACTTTGCCAAAGTTGTCGTCGATCTCGCGCTTCCTAGTCAACAATTTCCTTAGAAGGTCTTGTAGAGTAGGACTGACTCCCAGGAATTCGCGCAGCGTAATTCCGGTCATCGGGCACTTGGTCGACAGTAGTTTCTCTAAGACATCTTCCGAGTCTACAGAGGTTTGTATAGGGGCCTGGACCTTTGCCGCGGGCTTCGCGCGACTTGCTTCACCGGGCGCTGCGCCGGGCTTAACAGGTAACGCAGAAGGGCGTTGGTCAATGGGTATAAATCGCGTCTCGGGCACAGAGCGATAGGGATGAGCAGGACCGGCCTGCGGTACAGGGCCGGGCTGCGAATTCGTAGTCTTAGCATTGGGCGCCTTAGCAGGCGTCGCATACACGGACTTGTTTGGATTTAGTGGCAACGAACTAGCTGCTGGTTTTAACTGGCTCTCATCACGCCCCCAGCGTTTATCAAGGTATTGGGCGTGAATCCCTGAACCCATCAAAAACCCTGGGACGACCCCTCCTGGACCGACGGTGGCTGAGCCATCTCGCCGACAGGCGGGTTGTTGTAATGTGCGATCTGCTCCGGGGAGAGCTGCTCGGTGAACTCATCCCAGCCGGGAGGAACGTCCAAGCCTGAGTCCAGTATGACACTCGGCGGTTGCTGCGGGATGCCCCACATGCCTGAGTTGGTGTATTGACCAATGTAGTTCATGAAGGGAGCGACCACATATTGGTTAACAGCCGCTTTCATTTGCTGCCACTTAGTGCGCATCGGCAAATCCAGTGGACCATTGCGACGCGGTATAATTTCGCCTGTCGTAGTGCGGAAACCTCCAGCGTTATCGGGCACGATCTCGCCGGACTTAATCGCATTCTGACAATCAGGGCAATTGTTCATGAAGTGGCCGACCTCGCCACACCAGTTGCAAGTATATTGAGGTCGAGGGGGACCGCGCTGTCCGCCACCATAATTATTTTGGGGTCGGTTGAACGATCCAGGGTAGTTGGGTCGGAACCCACCGCCTTGCGGGGCGGCGCTGTTCGTGTTGAGCGACAGCTGGTTGGTGAGGCGCTGAATCGTCTCTTGGATCATCGCGAAGTTCTGATCGGACTTGGTACGTCCTTGAGCGAGCTCAGTATGAACTTCGGACTGTAGACTACGTATAGCGGTCTTAGTTTCCTTTTCGCCTTGGCTAGCGCGCTCAGCAAATTCGTGGAAATCCTGCTCGAGTTTAACTAAGCGAGATTCACTGTCGCCCGAGTAGGGTACAGCGCGCGAGGCGGAGGCCGCGGAGGTCTGGATAGACGCGACGGGATAAGCGTCGCCAATGGCGTTCTGAGCTGCAGTGAAACCGCGGCGCCAGACTTCGCGCATTGTGGCAACAATATCTTCCCACCGGTAACCTCCTTCGGCGATGGATGTGTTGGTCGGCCGTTCCGGAGGATTTGCGTTTTCCTTGCCGGGTACCTCAAGACTGCTCGACTTGCCGACCAACATCATGTCGAGGGTCGCAAGGAACTGAGGCGTGCAGACAGCGGCGAGGCGCGAGCAGACTTCAAAATTCGAAATCTTGTAGTTGCTACGGCCGAGTTTGAGAATACACGGAGCGAAGCGGCGAAGGAACACGTTTCCACGAGTCCCATCCTGCTCGCCAAGTCCGCGGAACTCGCTACAGATTTGGCTGAGCTCTGCAAGCGTTCCGGACTGCTGACCCGATATTTCAGGGTACTGTTCCAGGATCGCTTTAACAAAGTCCTCCCATGGTTTGTTTTTGAATGCGAGCGCCAGCTCCTCCCACAAGATGCGCGTAGCAGTCTTTTTAGCATGGAGAGGCGCCTTAGCGATTTTGTCCGCGTCGGACGTGATCCCGTGATCTTTGAGGTATGTATCAAGATCTCGTAGGAACAAAGGCAAGCCACTCATATCATCCTCGTCGAAGCGAGGGGCGTCAGACGCCGTATGAGAGTAGCGAGCGGTAGACATTGGTTTGGGAATAGAAGTAGAAGTCGAAGTCGGAATAGAAGGAACGGGACGGGATATACGAGTCGGATTCGGAGTCGGAATGATTCTGGAAGCTGGAGTCGGAGCCGGTTCTTCGGTCGAGGCTGGTTCGGTACGGTCGCGAGTCGGAAATAATTCAGAGAGAGACGGAGTCGAATCGTCGGACAGAGAGCTCAAGGGGGATGAAGCGCGTGGACCCTGTGTCGCGGCCGGTTCGGGCTCGATGTAAAGACGAGAGAATGAAGCAGAGAGGTTGTTGGCGACCGAGAGAGAAGTAGGAGAAGGAGGGTTCGGTTCTGTGTCCTCAGGGAAAGCACCTGGTAAGGTGTCGTCCGCTTTGGATGTTTCTACCGGACGTTGGGTAACGGATTTCCGGGGTGATGCTGATCGCGATGTGCGACTGGCTTGTTCCGCTAGACGCGCCCGCTCTTTGGCCTTTCTCTTGGATCACTCGGATGTAGAGCTATCCCAGTCCGGTCTTAGAGCCGAGAGGCTGGATTTTTGTCCAGGAGCCGTCGTGACGGTACCCGAAAACACAAGTAGAATTGGAGAGGGCCTTAATATGACTCTCGAAGTTCGCTCAGCAGCTAGTAATTTGCTGGCTAACACAGAAATATCCCCTCGCGGTGGGCTCCAGATGATGGGATCGTACGCTCACGAAAGACGCGAAGTACAGTCTAGCTAGACGATCCACACAACCAAACACCAACAACCACGATAGCAATGAACACGCTAGACTGGAGGCGCTACGAGAGCGGGCGAGTCCGAGTATTTATATTACTTGGGGATAGATTGTGTTGTTTATGCCAGTTCCAGACGAGCTGGACTGAAGCGAGAAGTCGAGTGGGGCAATCGGACGTCTCGGCGTTCTGACGAGCGCTTTCGGGTTTGATTGAAGTTCACAAGGCGGGTTAAGGCGCTCGGAAGTTCAGGCTTTTTATGATGTGTAAAGTGCGGGTTAACGCGGTTGTGTTTATTTGGTGTGGTGTGTAGGTACTAGGGCTTCTCTGCGCGGGGCGGGAAAAGTCCCCGAATCGTATGTAGGTCTCGGTATATAACTTGAACGCGTCGTCTCGGCCGTCCAGACCGCGCGGTAACACACAATGCCTATCTCTGAGTCAAAATCCAACTATAACGCCTATCCACGCGTTCTCCTGTCCGAATAATCGCGCAATGACTGCGGTTCCTGGCGGTAGAGCGGTTGACTGGTCGGGTATCCTCCTGCGCCGCGATGCCGGGCGCGATTCCACACTTGTTGATGTTTACCAAGGCAAGGCCGGCCTGGTTTCCACCCGTTCCCTTGTGCGCGACGCGGCTCAGAGGCCTGCGCGGCGGGGAGCGTACAGCCTAGACTGTCGATACGCGGGGAGTGAAGCCCTTGCCGGGGCGGACAGCGCTTGGCGGCGCCGACGCTCGGTTCGGAGTTCAACTCGGCGATGTCCGAGATCACGAGCTCGGACCCGAAGTTCCGGTCTCGGACCCGAAGTCACGTGTAGTCACGTTGTTGGTTCGAGTTCCGCTTGCGCGGTGCTCTGCGTGTCTCCGCATGACGGCGAGCAGCAGGAAGGCTTGTCCGAGCCCCAACAATAATCTAGATTCTCTTGACACAGCAGGGCAAGAGGACTGAAGGCTTGAGGCGCGTATAGCGCGGCTACTTGATTAAGTAGGGCCCGCCAAAGGACTCGCAGGATGTCATCGACGACGCGCAGACTCGTGATCAGGCGCCGAAGAGCTCGCTGCTATCCTTGGTCAGTCATTGCAGACGGATAATGCTGCGGACTAGTAGTATTGAAGGTTAGGAAGCGTGGCGCTCCTGGTTTTCTATGTCATAAAATACCCCCGACGCGCCCGTTGTACAGTCGCGACGTCGGTGCAGTATATACGGATCCGCCCATACAATCTAGACCAAGTCGACTATATATCGCTTGTTTATGTATGTTTTTCCGCGTTTTTCAGCCGCAGGGCGTATCAGCGTCCACTCGCGACAGTTGGCTGCTGCTCTCATCGTCGTCGGTGCGCCTGCGTGCTTGTCTACCGCTCTCTGCTCATCAGGGCGCCAACTCGTCCGCAAAGGATCTCTTCTCACCCGCCAACTAGCCTTACTCGCCCGCCCACGCTCATCGTACCCTCTCGACGCCGTCCCCGTTCGCTCACACATCCGTTTCTTTCAACTGCGCGCTTGGCTCTATGCGCTCAGCCATTCGCAACCTCTATGCGCTCAGCCCTTCGCTGCCTCCTTTGACGCATGAGTGCCTCTCATCGCGCGTCGCCGGCCCGCCCTTCATCTCCTCCATCTCCCTCATCTCCCACCTCTCCCCCATCCCTCCCCCTCTCCCCTCCCACCTCCCCTCCCTCAGTCCCTCCCCACCTCCCTCCCTCTCGCCCTCTCCCACCTCCCCCTTCCCTCCCTCTCGCCCTCTCCCACCTCCCCCTTCCCTCCCTCCTTCTCCCTCACAGATCACTGCTGCATTCATGGAGGAGGCGGTACGGGAGTGGCGGACGCGTCAGTTGCGCGCGCGATGAAGGGCGCGGTCCAGCGATTAGGGAAGACGCCCAGGGCGCGACGGGTGCGCGCTAGCCGACATGGGCTGGGAGAGGTCTGTCCCTAGGAATATCAAGATATACCCTATGACTATAGGGGGGAGTATTACAATATACCCTATCGTTACTGGTCAGTACCTATAGGCCGTATCTCGATGTTCCTCCCTACCTAAATTCAGATATTCGACCCAGGAATTTACTGATTGCAGAAACCCTTTTGATGGCAATGGGAAAGATCTAGAGTGGCAACAATATCCGGATTGATGGCTGCCCTTCCCGCCGCATCGGGCAGGCCATGGCTCGCCACACGATACCGCCCGCATCGGGCAGGTCGCGCTCATCGCGCCGCTCGGAGCGGGGGCGGTTGACGTTGGGTTGATGGGAATTTACTCCGTGCCGTGCGGGGCACGCGGGGGCCCTTCAAATTTGCCGCCGCCGCCGGCCACCACCGCGGCTTCCTTTCGACAACCACCACCGCCTTCGCAGCCGTTCGAAGATTCAGTTCCCCCTTTCCTCGTCGCGCTCTCCCTCGATCGTGGTGAACGCGCGTCGCGTGAAAACACGTGGCCGATCGCGAATTTGATCGGCGCGCGCTATTTTGCCCCCTCTCTCCAAACTCGCGCTCCTCGCACAGAATCTGTGGCAGATATTGCGCCGCCTCGCGCCGACGACCACCACAAACAACTGGATCGATGCCCGCGCAGATCCAGATCGCCGGGCAGAGCGCAGTGCTTCCGATCGCCCTCAACACCATCCAACACTCCCTGTTTTATCCTCCCGTTCTTCGCACATATATCCCTCTCCCATCTGCTCATCTTTCGTCTTCAACAGTGACGTCGTGCTCACCGCTGCGAATATGCGGCTGTGCCGTATGAGATCCATCGCGCGTAGTAGTGCTGACCGTGCTATCGCGCGCGGCTCCCGCTTCCAGCCTCTCCTACCTCCCCAGCGAGATTCCCAACCCACACTACACCATACACCATACTTCTTGCTGCTCATCGCGTAGCGTCGACCTCACATTGGCTTAATCGCCGGTCAGCTTATCACGGAGAAGACCGTCCGACAGTTCCCTCGCGCGGTGTCTGTGCGCCCCCGTTCCGCACTCGTACATGACATACATCCTATCGCATGCACATCGTACACAATAATCTGTACCTACTTGGCAATGACATTCTGTCTCCTAATCCGCCTCCTTATGGATATCAACATACAGCATCAACGTCCAGGTCAATTGTTTGACTGCACAAAACCGTCCTTCAGGAGCATTTTCATGGTAGTGGATTGAGTTCTAGAGTAGGCTGTCTGAATTCCGTGGCGGAGGGTAGCTAATGGGCCCAACAATGCCGTTCCCGAGGCGGAGGGAGAGCCTCTAAGACTGAATTTCGAAGTTCTGCCTCGCAGCATGCTTTCAATGTCATATAGCCTCGCCTAAAACCTAGTGTACATTCACATAGTCCTATCCAGAAGGTCTCGTACTGTCAGAGCCTTCCGGACCTGCGCAATGGCAGCCGTCGTCGCGCGGAACGCTGCGATCGGCGACCTTCGGATGTCCGGTCCGATCCCCGAAAAGCGCTCGTCGTCGTCGTCGGCGACGTCCACAGGTCGAAGGAAAGTTATTTAGATCCGCGGACTAGCCGGGATAGAGAGAGCGCGGATCCCTACAGGAGTCTCTGAGCTCAAACCAGGGCTGAGATTCTTCCAGCAAGCGGAAATGGGATCAAGCACGTCGGAAGGGACAGTTGAGGGACAGCACGACCTCGAGATTCACGAAGGAGACTGGTTCCACTGCTTGGTCTATTCGTGCTCCTGTATGCATCGAGCAGTAATGAAAATTCACACGCAGCTACGTATGTAGATCTCATATGTAATGCAATATTATCCATCGCCGAGAACCTTTGTGAACGTTGTGAATAGCCCTAAAAAGCCCCAAAGTGGCGCGCATCCTCGAGGTCCGGTGACTCGGCACATAACTCGACGTACCGGGGGCGATAAGGTCAAAGTCTGAGATCAATGATATATAGGTGGTGAACATATATCAAGCTTACCGAGCGCTGCCGTGGCGAGAATTCTATGCTGGGCGATCTCGAATGGGCGAGTGGCGAGTCAACAGATGCGCGTGTGACGTGACGTCACACGCCGTTTCTTGCCTCTCGCCACCGCTGTCCGTCTCCCCTCCTCATCGTTGGTCGCCCGTTGGCTGCTCAGACGTCTCAGAATCGAAGGGAAAAGTAATCTTTAGTGTTCTTTTGGCCTTAGGTACGTGACAAAACCCACATATACCCTATATCGTCACTCAAGAAGTTTTATGTTGGCTTTTGATCCTCGCCCCCCTTCCCGCACCTCCCCTCCTCACCACAGTCTCCATTCCCCTCCCAATGTACACTTTCCCTCCCCCAGCTCACCTCTTGCGGTGAATTGAGAAGACAGTCACCCCTCACGCGCATCTACAAGAGCGCGGGTGTGCATCCCTGCTACGGCACCACCAGCACAACACCCCTCCCTCCCTTCCCCTCTAGTGTGCTAGCCGGTCAATTGTGCAGCCTCGCTCTCTCTAGCAACGGATCTGAACAGCCTCCCGCGCGGCTCCGCGCGATACAGTGAGCACGCGCATGCGGGCAACGTTGCATGAGAAGCTGTGATTGACATCACGGCAGACATATACGACCTGAGTGACGCCGCCCTTCCCGTCTTCGACGCTCATCTGCGCATACAGTCCTCGGGTCAACGTCGAATGGTCGCATTATCGGGGTCATCACGCGTGAGCATTGCAGGTGACGCAAGCGCGCACGAAGCGCGCTGCCGGTGGGTTGTTCTAGCTCACGGACGTTCTGCGCATCGCTGACACCAATACATTGGCGATGCACAGCACTGATGAGAAGCAGCGGGGCGGCAGCGCAAGCAGTCGGCGACGTGACGCGCGAGGATGGATATGCGGTCCGGGGAGGCGGGACGGAGGAAGCGCGGACGATTCCCGTGCTCAGCGGATCGTAAGGCGCAGCGAGCAGCGGGATACCGGCGTCGGCAGGGGAGCATCCGCCGACGTCGGCGACCCCCTGAACACTGCGCCGTGTTTCGCGGCCGTTGTCGGTCGTGGCGGGCGCGCACTCGAGCACGGCGGCCATTGTGCGGGCGGCGAACTCGATGCGTCGACGTACCAGCCTGTGCCTAGCCACCATTCCCACCGCGTCGCCCCGTGCCTTGTGCATCACAACGGTCGGTCCGCATCGTATCTGTCGTATATATCTGTAATAAACCTGTTTCCCTGCCTACAAAATGCCGGACGCGAGAGGAAATCCAGGTATACCTAGGTATATTCCACCTGGTGGAGTATCAAGATACAGCCTATGGCCACTGGTCAGTAAACACTGGGTGTATTGTAATACACCCCCCTTTGATTACTGGGTATAACTAGATATACACCCAGACTATGGTGGCTGGGAGGGGGCTGGGAGGGGGGAGGGGAGGGGGCTGGGAGGCGGTACGAGGGGGAGGGGAGGGGAGGGGAGGGGGCTGGGAGGGGGATAGAAGGAGAGAAGAGGATAGTTGGGGAAGAAATTGGGAACGAGCGGCGCTTGTCGGGCTCCCCCGCCTCGCTCGCTTCCCCTCCACCGCGTCTGCGCATCCACCGCCTCGTCGCTTACTCCTTCCCCCCCACCCGCATCGCGTTGCTTCCCCCACCGGACGCGTCGCTTGCTTCCCCCTCCACCGCATCGCGTCGCATCCCCTCTCGCGTCGCCTGCATCCCCGCCTCACGCGCGCGTCGCCTGCATCCCCGCCTCACGCGCGCGTCGCGATGCTTCCTCCACCGCGTCGCTTGCTTCCCCCTCCACCGCGTCGCCTGCATCCCCTCCACCGCGTCGCTTGCATCCCCTCTCGCGTCGTGTGGCTTTCCCTCCTCTGCGCCGCGAGAGGTGCGTCGCATCCCCTCTCGCGTCGCTTGCTTCCCCCTCCTCTGCGTCGCATCCCCTCTCGCGTCGCGTTGCCTTCCCTCCTCTGCGTCGCATCCCCTCTCGCGTCGCCTCGTCCCCGCCTCGCGAGCGCATTCTGCGTCCCCGCCTCACGCGCGCGTCGCTTGCTTCCCCCTCCACCGCGTCGCGTTGCTTCCCTCCACCGCGCGTCTGCGCAGTTCAGTCTCTGGCAAGCAGCGCGTATCCCTGGCTAGCTGCGCGAGGGGGGACCGCCGGGGCGCGTCGCGGGAAGCGGGGAGGGGAGGTGGGAAGTGGTGGTGAGGACACGAGGGAAGGAGGGTCAGCGCCCTGACTCGCGCTCCTCGTGACGCGACGCGGTGAGGGAGAGCAAGCGACGCGATGTGGTGAGGAGCGCGAGCCAGGGGCGCGTTGCGAGGAGTGCGATGTGAGCAGTGGGTAGGAGAGACCGCGGGGCGAGGAGAGGTGGGGAGCGCGGCAAGGGGTGAGCGGTGAGAGGGAGAGGAGTGGTGAGGAGTGAGGGGAGCGAGGGGCGCAAGTGAGGGGAGCGAGGGGCGCAAGACGGGGAGACCGCGGGGTGAGGACGAGGGCGAAGACGGGGTGGGGGGGAGGGGCGAGTGAAGGGAGGGAGGGAGAAGGTGTGAGAGAAGGGATTCCCGACGGCTGAGAAAGGTTCTCCGACGGCTGAGCAAGGTTTCCCGACGGCTGAGACCAGCCGACGACTGAGATCGGTAGAGCAGAAGTGGTGAGAACAGTCGGCGGCCGAGATCAGCGGAAACGCTGAGAGATCAGTGGAAGCTATGAGAGAGATCAGTAGAAGCAATGAGAGAGATCAGCGGAAGCAATGAGAGAGATCATTGGCAGTCGACGGCTGGGATCAGTAGAAGCGATTAGAGAGATCAGCGGAAGCGGTGAGAGCGCTTACTGGCATGTTCTCCGGCACTGCGAAGGACATCTATTGTTGAGGTGCACGTCAAGCGGAGAGTCCAGACGCGGGAGAGCTATGAGGAGGCACTGGAAGTGAGAGAGCTATAGGGCGGCGCCAACGCGTGATCGAGAACTAATGTATGAGGATATCACTGGCCATGATCTCCACCTTTTCGAAGGCGTCTGCTCCTCGGTGAGGGCGTCTACTCCTCGATGAAGGTGTCTGCTCCTCTTCGAAGGCGTGTCCTCTTCCGTGAAGGTGTCGACGACCGCGGTTCGACCTGCTTAGGCAGTATTGCTCGACACGCTCCGGCAGCATTGCTCGACGCTTATGTAGTAATTGGGTTAAGAATCGTTGGAAGGACCGCGGGAATGAGCTCTTCCGCGCTGTTACAAAGGGCATTTATCGTTTGCATTGTTTGGAGTGACAAGAGCCGGACGTAGGTTGGTACAGGGGGCAGATTTTGATTCTTCAAAGGCGGTGACTGAGAGACCGAATGCGTAGATTGAGAGCCTTGGAAGGCGGTGACTGAAAAACGTCGAAGGCGTTGACTGAGAGCCTTGGAAAGCGGCAACTGAGAGACTTCGAATGCGCGAATATTGAGCCTTCGAACGCAGTAGCGTTGATCACTCTCATGCACAAACGCTGAGACTAGAGACACCGGACGACGAGTCCGCTAATGAAAGAGCGCGCGAGGGAGGATCATGATGGAAGGCCGAGCTACGCACGTGTTCGCGGACCACGAGCTAGCGATGCACGTGGCAATGCCACGTGGACAAAAGCACGTGGAATGCGATATCGCCTTTGGGTCTTGTTCCTCGCCGTCATCATGTCGAGGCCTGAGTATGCTGTTACTGTACACAGCCACCTGGTCCTCGGTCAATTCGGCAAGCTTGGACCTCCAGTTGTCGGACATGGTGCAGGTCCATTCGTCGTTCGACACGGCGCAGGTCCATTCGTCGTCCGAATCGGCGCAGGCCTGCTCGTCGTCCTACATGCTCAGACCTCCAGGAGAAACCGAAGCGCGGGCCCGCCCGTCGAGGCTATGTTCCGCAGCGGCATAGCAGACCTCTCGTCTCCGCCACGTCTTTTGTCTCGTATCCGCACCGTCTTTTGTCTCGTCCCCGCGACGGTCTTTTGTCTCGTCCCCGCGTCGGTCTTTGCTTCGTCAATTCGGAGTCTTTGCTTCGTCAATTCGGACTGATCTCGATTCGGGCTGGCTTTTGCCCCGCCGACGCGGGCTGATACCTGCTTCGTCGATCCGGGATGCTCGGCCCGTGTCACCACGCGTCTCGCTGTTGCGCATGTCGCCCCCGCGTACCCGTAGAAGCCTCCGCCGTCATCTCGAACCCGCGGGCAGACATAAACACGCACGCGTGCACTCTGTCCCCGGATGGTCAGTAACATGCGCGCGTTGCCATGGCTACCGCGCTGTGTCGCGTATGCGCACTCTTGTCGCGTTCGCGAGGCATGCGCACTCTCGTCACGTCCACGAGGCATGAGCAAGTCCCAGATAGCAAGCACAACAAGAACCCGGGCACGGCGCTCGGCTACTGCAGAGGCTCCCGGCGCGCGGATGACGCGCCAAACCCTCTATGCCCCGAAGGACAACATGCCCCGGTATGAACATCGGGGGCGGTGCGCGATGGTCGACGCGCACTGACACGAGGGCACGACAAAAGCACTGGCACGAGGGCGCGACAAAAGCGCTTGCACGCTGGTCAGAGCGCACAAAACGCTTTGTCCGTGGCAGATCCTATAAAAGAGTGCGCAGGTACGTTTATGCTCCCCAGCATTCGACGGAACGGTGCTCTCAAGCGTTCAACAGCGCTCTCAGCATCCGACGGTGCTCTCAAGCATCCAACAGCGCTCCCGAACTAACAAGTCTCCACCGACCCAACAGTACGTTCTTCTGCCCACTGACCGACGCGTCTCGTGTATCTCACTTCGTCTTCTTGCAGAACTCCTCAAACCTCTTCAACCGTCTCAACACTGACCTTCTGAACGCCTTTTCTCTGAATCTCACCCCAACAAACCAATTAGACCCACCTCCATCCACCCAAACCAACCACCCCCCATGGAGCGCCTCAGCCGCCAGTTCTCCTGCACGAGCATCGGAGACCTCGAGGAGTTTGATAAGGCGAGGAAGGAGGCCGATAAAGCGAGGAAGGAGGCGAAGGAGAAGGCGAAGAGAGAGGCAGAGGCGGCCGCGAACGCGGTCGAGGAGGAGATCCTGGGAGCCGGGACGCAGGAAGACAGGTCCACGGTGAGTGTCTTGTTCCGGCTATGCGGCGTCGAGCATTTTTCCCGCCCGATGTTGAGAACGTCTGTCCCGCGCGATGTTTCGAGCATCTTTCCCCACGCGATGTTGAGGACGTCTGTCCCCGCCCGATGTTGAGGACGTCTATCCCGCCCGATGCTAGTTACACCTTCCGCTCTTGATGCTAGTTACACCTTCCGCTCTTGATGCTCGTCGCACCCCCCTACCCTGAGGCTCGTCGCACCGCCCTACCCTGATGCTGGCCGCACCCCCTCGTCATCACTCATTGCACCACCCTATCCTAGCGCTCGATCTCCCCGCTCCCCGCTCAACGAACCTTCGCTGACGCCCCCTCTAGACGCCCACCCCGATTCCCGGCAGGCACCGCGCGCCGACCAGCGCTCGCCACGGCGCGCAGCCCAACGCGCACCTCCCGCCCAGGTCGCGCAAGGCGCAGGTTGGGGACTATGCGGCGGCGGCGCAGGCCGACGGCGCCGCCACCGAGATCGAGGACAACGGCTCGGACACGGAGATGGAGGAGGACGACCGGCCGCGGCTGACGAGCGAGACGAGCTTCCCGCGGCTGACGAGCCACACGAATCTGACCGCCAGCAACATGACGCCCGAGGAGCAGCGGGCGCTGGCTGCTGAGCTTCGGCGGGGGTTGTTTGGGCCGGACGCCGACGCCCCTAACGCGCAGCTCACTGGCGACGCCCAGCTCACCGCCGACGCGCAGGTCTCTGGCGACGCCCAGCGCACCGCCGAACAACGCCAGGCGCTGAAGGACGCCGCCCTCCTCCCCGCACGCCTCCGCAACCGCGGTATACGCGACGAGTGGCGGCGGGCGGTGCCCGAGGAGGAGCGCGCGAAGGGCTGGTCGCAGACGACGAAGCTGGCAGCGTGGGAGAAGAGGGCGGCGGGCGTGGATGCGAGCCTGGCGGCGGGTGTGGGTGCGGGCGCGAGCACGAGCAAGCCCATCTCCACGGCCTCAAACAAGCCCCCAAGCTCGCAGGCGCCCTGCTCGACCCGGATCTCCAAGCCCCTCGGCGGCACCACCCGCGCCGCCCGCGGCGTCGAGGTCCCGCGCGAGGTCGGCGTGCCCCGCCAGGTCGACATCCAGCCCGAGCGCGGCGTCCCGCGCGGCGTCGAGGTGTCGCGCGGCGTGGTGAAGGCCTCGGTCGGGCAGGCGCGGCTGATCGCCGCGCCGCCGGGGGTGGGGTGCGTGCCGGCGGCGGCGGCGGCGAGGAGGAATGCGGCCAACGAGACGCAGAGTGGCGCTCATCCTGCGCAGGGTGGTGCTCCCCAAGCTCCGACGAGCATCGCGCAGGGAACGGCCCCTCAGCCCGTCCAGAGCAGCGCTCCCCCGCACGCCCACAGCACCGCGCCCTCGGTTCAGCCCGCCCGTCCTCTCGCAGCGCTCGCGGAGGCGTCCTTCTCGAGCACCAAGACCGAGATCGGCAGCCCCACTTTTTCGCAGCACCGCCTCCCGCCGCCTCTGGCGCCCTCGACGTCCGCGCAGGCACCGCCCATGCCTGGTCAAGCAACCACAACCATCCTTCAGGTCCCCCGCTTCTTCACGCGCGTTCCCCGCTCCACCGTAGTCCACGCCCCGAATCTCGAGCAACTCGCCCACCTCGCCCAAGGTCCCGCCCCCGCGCAAGACGGCCAGCCCGCGCCCCCGCTCCCCCCGGACGTCCTCCTCTGGAAACAGAGGATGGTCGCGGCCTTCCTGCAGCACCTGGCCGCGACCCGCGCCGCGCACGCGCACGAGCTCGCCGCGCACGAGGAGGTCCTGCGCTGCCGCGGCGCGCAGATCGCGGCCGCGCAGGACATGGCGCGCGCGGCGATCGAGCAGCAGCGCGCGGCGCTCGTGCGCGAGGCGGCGGAGCTGGAGGCGCGGAAGCGCGAGCTGGCGGAGGCGATGGCGCACGCGCGGCAGGCGACGCTGGTGGAGCAGCAGGAGCTGGCGGCGCGGCGGCAGGCGTGCGAGCAGCAGGAGCAGGCGCTCGCGCAGCAGCAGGAGGCGCTGGCGCAGCAGCACCAGATGTGCGAGCAGTGGCAGCAGTTTTACGAGCAGCAGCAGCAAGCCCACGAGCAGCAGCAGCAAGCCTATGAGCAGCAGCAGCAGCTGGCGTATGCGCACCAGCATCAGTATCACGAGCAGCAGCGCTGGGCGTACCCGCCTCAGCAGGCCGACGCCCAGCAGATGCAGCTCGTCCACGCGCCACAGGCTTCGACTTCCGCTGTCCAGCTTCCCGCGCCCGGATACCAGGACCCGCAGCCAGCCTTCGCCGCGCGGTGGACCGTCGAGAACCAGCCTACCTATGCGGACCAGCCTCCCGCCACCAACAGCGTCACCCTCAACGCCTGGGCACCCAATCTGAACGCGCAAGATCTCTCCGGCGTCTTCAACTCGTGGTCGCGGAAACAGTAGGTGCGTACAGGCGCTTGACTCGACTTCTCCTTTTTACTCTAGATCGTCTTCATCGTCTTACTTACATCTCTGCCTTCCGATCTTCCTCCTACTCATGCTCCAGCTCATCTGATACCTACTCTACTTACGACTTTCACGACTAATGACCGATATCTATGCTTCCCATTCAATGTATCTATACCTGACCTCTCTACACTCCTTGCATTGGTCTTCCTCCTTCACCCGGCTTCGGCTCACGCTCTGAATTCTATTGTACTGATCACCTAGACGCCTTAGAAAATCCACAACTATGTTTCGCTGCATCCCATCGTCTGAACAGTGAGGAAGTTTGAACTTCGACGTCGGTCAGTGCGGGATCAGCGATGTGCACCAGAGGTCTGCTTGTGGATAGTACGAGCGTTGTCAATGAGCGCATGTCGACGCGCTCGACTCAAGTCTCGCCGAGGTTAGCATGCAGTGGGGTCCCATTTATCCAGCCCACGAGTCGAGATCTAGCTCGAAAAGACGACGCCGAGGTACGCGCGGACTTGGCGCGGAGCGCGCGATAGCTGGTATGAGAGCTCCGGCAACGGCGGCTTGAAAGCTCGGGCAGCGATGGGATGCTTAGCATCAAAATGTAGACATTATCCAGTTTCTCTCTGTCGATACCCGTCGCGCCCACTCGACGGGAGAGTGCAGTAAATCGTGCTTGATATGATTCCTCGTAGTTATGCGCTGTAGATCCGGTACAAAGACAATTAATTACGTGGCGGTAGGTCTAAAATTGAATGAAGACAAGGTGCATAGAACGTTTAGAAAGGTGGTGATTAGAAGGGATGGTGTCTGCGTACTCGAGCCAGTATGTAATGGTCGGAGGAGCTATGCGCGGGAGAGTGACACGGGCAATGAGCGGGCGACGGAAATTAACCCACGAGTGAGAGAAGGCCATCAGCCATGGGCGGAAGAGAGGCGAGTAAGATAAGGAAACGGCAGGATGAATCGACGAGGGAAGGGAAATATGGAGCATAGACAAGAAATGCGAGACGCGCTGATACCGGACAAGGGAACAGACGACCTTCGCTAAATCATCGTGTCGTAGACGCGCCCGTGGTCACTAGCGGCAGCAATCTCGAGCATATGTTCGAGGCGTCCGTGCATTGCGTATGGATCCTGCTGCGCGTCGAACGCCAAGGTCTCCTCTGGGTCGAACGCGTCGAGCTCTGAGGCGTCCTCGGTGTCGAATATGGCGGGCGGCCCTTCTCCCGAGTACACCTGGTATAGAAGACTTTCGTTCAAAAACAGCTCCGACCAAGCGGACGAGTAGGCCGCCTGTTGCGCCGCAAAGTCGATGAGGTCCACCGGGCAATGAGTCGTCGCGAAGGGTTCCGGCAGTTGCTCCATGGGCGCGTATTGCTCTTGCGCGGCGTCAAGCGGTTCAGACCAAGAGCTCGTCTGCTGCCCATGCCATGCTCCCATCATGCCCGCGTCTTGCTCGAGGCACTGCTCATGAAACATCTGTTCCTGAGGTCCAAGCGTCCATCCCTGGGTCGAGTCAATCTGCAATTGTTGTGGAGCCTCGTCCGCCTCTTGTCTCTCGGAATACGCTTCCTTGATTCGCGCTATCCAAAGTGCCTCGGACCTCAATGAATGAGTATAGTCGGGAGGAGCGCGCGCGAGATTCGAAGGGTGAGCCATAGGATGACGGTTACTGACGGCGCCGAGCTCGGGAAACTGGTGAGAGGCAGCGGAGGAATGGGACGCGGGTCCATAGAGGGCGGGAATGTCGCCCATGTCGTCGACCGAGTCCGACGGAGCAAGATCGAATCTATCGCCAATCATCCACGAGAAGTCGGCGGGGAGCGGAAGCCCTTCGCGCGTCGATGCGCTGGTGCCTGCAGAAGGCCAAGCAGAACGTGCACTAAACGGTAGCGGCGGGGTAGGTAAGTTGGTCAAAGTCTTAGACGCAAGGGTTGAAAGTGTCGAGGTTGGGAGATGAGGCGGAGTCAGACCCTCTTGATGGTACGAGGTGGCACCAGGGGCGACCGGCACTGGACAGTGAGCGTAGCCGTCCGCGGTGCTTAGTCGCAAGGGGTTTGGCGATGCTCGAGCGTCGACGCCGAACGACGGTGCGGAGGGACAGTTGCGAGCAGAGGAGTCGTCGAAGGTAGAGAAGAGGCCGTCAAAGGTTAAGATGGGTGTATTAGAGTACGTCGTCGCGGGTGATGAGTCCGTGGTGGATTGCGATGGTCCAGTCGCTTCAGGAACGTCGTCGAGCGGAAAGGGCATCTTCATCGTTGACGTGTCCGGATGAACGACTCTGCGTTTGGAGGTTCTGCATCCGTGTTTGTTCCTGAGGTGGCGGTTGAGGTTCCCCCGAATGGGGTATGAGGCCTCACACTTCTTGCCGCCTATGAAGAGAGGACAATGGAAGCGTTTTCTGGCACCAGGTGAGTCCTATTTGGCTATTATGATGAGATGAAGCACGCACCCAGACGATGATTGCGACACCCTCGGCATCGGTGGCTCGACGTGATTCTCCAATGGCGAGCTAAATTCAAGCTCGGGGCGAGTGTGTTCGAGGTAGTTTGCGAACGTCGAGGTCAATGGTTCACCGATGCGGGTGTGGCGCTCTCTACCGAGGGAATGAGGGATGAGAACTTGATGAGAACGGCCGGGACGAAGCCAACTATATAAATTCTCGACGTTACGTTACCTTCGATCGCCTGTCCCACTCAAGTGTATGTCGCGCGCATCAATAACTGCGTATGATAAAGTTCCCTGCCAGAGGTATCAATAGCGTGGTCGTCCTTGGCGCAGCAGACATATGGAGGTCCTCGAGAATGCGGGGGCGGCGTCTCCGAAGAAGCGAGACGCAAGAGACAAGTTCACACGTCGCCGACGAAGATACCTTTGAGTCCTCATCGTTTGTGATAAGGGATCTCATACCCAGCTCCGGACGTAAGGCGGCGTTCCTCGAACAAAACTCTTGACAGTAACAAGGCAGTGGTGAGGGTGCGGAGGTCTTTTGACGCCTTGACTCCCTTCCCCATGATTCAATCAATTTGAATGGAACAGTCGGAGCTCGAGGACACAGGACGCAACGGGGGCGACGAAGCGGTCTCAAAGGTGAAGGCGGCGGAAGACAAGGAACGCTTTGATAGCCGGACCATGAGCGAGCGACACGTGCTCCCGTCCATATGGGGCAAGTCGAACATGGTTCAAATCTCGGGCTCTCACCTATCGTGTTTTGCGCGAGATAGGTGGCCTACCAGGCTTTCTGGATCACCCTTCGCGATCCATTCAATCGACGAAGGAAGAACATGATCGAGCGGTCGAGGCGGGTACAGACACAGATGAGTTCTTATAGGCGTCTATAAGGTAATCCATATGCAATACGGAGAGCTACGAAGGAGGATTTCGGGGCAGAAATCATTCCTTTGAAGTGATGAGAGCACACAGTGATGTTATATTATGAGAACATGTGAAGGGAGCGTTTTGAAAGCGTCAGAAGCGTCGAGAGGCGTAATTATGAGTGACATGTATGGTAGACAGCGATGGCGAGAAAGGGAAGGTCCATACTCTATAGTGGTGAATTATGGTGCCAGTCGTAGAGGAGAACGTCGATTATAATAGATAATTCTGACCTTCGGGACAAGACTTATTGCCCTAATGGAAGGACGAGCACGGATTAAAGATGTCGAAGTGCGGCGCGTACATGTCCGAGTCGTCGAGGTACTGTGCGAACTCGTCGGAGCTAGCGAAGGGATGCGCTCCGGAGGCTGGATGATGGTGCGGATCGAGGTCAGGGAAGCGCCACGTAGAGGGCGCTTGCTGCGCGTAGACGACTTGGTCGGAATGGTATGATATCTCGTTGCCAGACTGAGGGGGAAGAAGGGAAGCGTCAAACGCTTGCTGAGGGTACGAGGTAGTCGCTTGAGGCGGGCGCTGATTGAAGTCCATTCGAGTCGGGACATGAGTTGTTGCGTGGGTCCCCGCATACTGTCGAGTGAGCGCTTGAGACCCATGCATGGAACTGGTATGCGGGTGACTTCCTTGTTGATGCTGCCGAGCGCGTACCATACCGGCATACTGCTCGTGAAGCGGTCCTCGCGCAGTACGTTGTGGTGCGGGAGCAATATGCGGTTGCAGGACGAGCTCTTGTCGAAGATAAGCTTCCGCCTGTCGCTGTTGTTCAATCCCCATCTCCACCGCCTCACTCCAGAAAAAGTCAGGCTGCGGTGGGGGAACTGGTGGAAAATACATCGTTGGCACCGACAAAGTGTCCATCTTAGGCGCGACGTGCGAGTGATATCCAACCCCGGCAGCCGACCCAGGGTCTTGATGACGAGGAGCGCGAACGCATTGCGGAGGGTGGGGATAGCCTCCCTTGACCATGTCGAAGTCGGTCCGTCTGTGAGGAGCGACAGAAGCGTGTGCAAATCGAGGCTTGTAGATGGAGATGTTGCCGGGATCCGCGTTGGACGAGTAATATCCATCGTCTACAGGTGACGAGAAGTCGGTGCGGCGCGAGACATTCTCGCGCGACCAGATATCAACGTCGAGAGTGGCCCCATAGGTATGAGCGACGCACGGCGGTGGCGTCGTGCTGAAATTGCCGAAGGACATAGAGAGAAAGGTTGACTCCGTCGAAGCCGGCAGACGGGTTGGAATTGGAGTCTCTATCTGGACGCACGAGGCCGAGCCCGTGTCGGCGGCGTTGAAGTAGCCGGACAGAATGTCCGCGCGAGGGCATGAAGGGGCTCGACCGTCTGAGGAGTATCGTTGAATATCGACAACTTCTTCGCGTGGCGGGAAGGGTGAACCGATAGGAAGTTCGTTCGACGCCCCCGAACCAGCATCCTGGGCGTCTAACTTCGAAGGCCCAGAGGCATTGTACTTGTCGAAGCCTAAATGATCCAGCTGGCTCGGACCCCTTTCAGTCTTGCTGTCGTCCGGTTTGACCCAACGGTGCAGGTCCCTCCGGTGGCGGTTGAGGTTACCCACGTTGGACAAGTGTCTGCCGCAGGTAGGACAATTGAGATCTCTAAGGACCAGGTCAGGATCATTGAGGAGGACAACACTGACTATACGTACAGCTTGGAAGGTTGCTCTGCGTCCGTCGATGGTTGCTCGTAGGCGACGGAACGTTGAGGTGGAGGGCAAGAGCGCTGAGACATGGCAGTGCGCAGAGAGATCAAGGGAGTCAAAGTGAGCGCGCGGTGTATATCTGTGAGAGTGAGTACGGCGAGTTTGCGAGAACAGACTATATAGGACCTGGACGTTACGTTACCTTCGATCGCCCGGCCTCCCCGAGCGCATGTCGAGATATCTAGTAATCGCTAGCATGTTTCGGACAGTATAGAGCGTACGATATCTCCTTCAGGATGAAGGTACATAGCACGATAGTCCTTGGCGCGGTAAACGTAGGGCGTTCTTCGCGAATGCGGCGGCGGCGTCGATGAAGAAGCGAGATGAAGAGGAGCATGTTTGAACGCCGCCGACAAGGATCCCATCGAGTGCTCGCCCTTTGTGATAGTGGATCTCATACCCAGCGCGGGCCCACTCGCCAGCTCCGGCCGTAGGGCGGCGTTACTCGAACAAAGATATTTCTCACGGTAACCAGACAGAGGAGAAGGTCCGGCGATCTTGGAACGCCTTGACGCCGCTTTCTCTCGGATTAATGAAGCATTCGGAGCTCAAGAGCGCTGGGCGTCATGTTGGCGATGGGGTGGTCGCTGGGTAGAGACGGAAGAAGACAAGGAACAATTTGATTGCTGAACGCATGAGCGCGCGTGCGACACGTGCTCGCAGTTCATAATGGAGTAAGTTGAAAGGGGCTCCAGTACTGAACTTCGCCGACATCGCCCTCGCTTATGTTCGGACCATATCTCTTTCGTACGATGCGCAATGGATCGCTTCTTTGGCTGGATGGCTCACGCGCCGGCCCATTGACTAGACGAAGGGACAAGATAATTCATGAAATTTGTGAACGGACGAGAGTCTATAATCGAGTACATCTAGGGTAGAGAGCGTAACGAAGGAGATTCCAGTGTGAGAAGCATGTGTGTGACTTGAGAGATGCAAAATGGATGATGAGGAGGAAAGGGAATTCGATGATTGCTTGAGGAGCGCGAAAAGGTATCATGATTACTGGTGACATGTATGGTAGGCGGCGTACGCGATGAGTGTAGGGATAATACAGAGAAACAAGGAAAAGGGAACAAAATCCAGTCGAAGACATGACAGAAGCAATGGCGGATCAAGGAGGTGCGTTTTGCGGGCGCTGCAGGCGCCTTCGGGACAAGGGACATAGCCCTACTAGTGGAAGGAAGACCACGGCATGAAGGCGTCGTCGAAGGTCGGCGCGTCGAAGGCTGGCTGGGCTGCGCAATCGAAGGACGCGTGGGAGATCTGCTTGCGCGGTTCGAGAGCTGGCCGGTGATGCAGGTCGAAGGCTGGGAAGAGCTGCCATTCAAAAGCAGACGGCGCCTGTTGCTCATAGCGAACCCGGTCGTGAGGGTATAGAGAGAAGTCGTCAGGCTGAGGCGGAGGATAGGACGCGTAGGACGATTGCTGAAGGTCTGAGGTTCCCGCTGCAGGAGCCAGATGGTCGAAGTCCGCGGGGACATAAGTCGCCGGGGAGGTCGCCGATTGCTGTTGAGCGAGCGCGTGAAGCTCTTGCACCATAGCGGCCGACCAAGGATCCTCCTCCAGTCGTTGCTGCACGCGGACCATACCCGCGTCTTGCTCTTGACGCGGCGCATGAACCATTCGGTGTTGAGCGGAAGCAATCTCCCGCTGTAGCGCGACCCCTTCTTGTTGTTGTTGACGAAAAGCGTCCGCATGTCGTTGCTGTCGAAACGTTGCCTGAGGCTCCATCTGCTCCCACCAAAGGCCTTCTGATTGCGTCGGATGGGCTGGCGGGAAGTCCGTCGTTGAGGCCGAGGAGAATCCCATGGTCGGGGCCGACGAGAAATTCGCCACTGCGACTGGTGGGTAGCTTGCCATCGCGGCTGGCTGATAGGCGAGAGAGCGGGGAGAGAGGGCGCGTGAAGTGGCGTCGAGAGACGGGAACTTCTCATTCACGGGCTCCGAGTCGAGTGTCTGGGAGAACCCTTGACGCGCCCAGATGCAGTCGTCGGAGAACACAGAAGGGTGAGCGGGATACGAAGGCGGCGGGGTGACCCAGTTAAACGAGGGTGACGAGACGGGTGTCGTATTGATTAAGCCCGGTAGATTGGGCGGGATCGGTCCCTCCATGTGGTGCAAAGCGACGCCTGCGGCGCCGAATACATCGTCGACATCGCCGGTCCTGAAGTCCGTATAGGGGTCCAAATGATGAGCGTCGCAGAGATATTGCTGAGGGTCGACAAGACCTGCGAGAGGCGGGAGGGGTGGGATAATCTGGCTCTCGAGATCAAGCGTCCTGCGCGACTGTTGCGCGACGTCGTTTGGAGAAGTGGACGCATTGGCCAAGTCCCCAGCGTCCATCTTGCTACGCTCCTCTGATGTCGTGGTCTCGCCGGCTTGCCTCTTCCGCCTTTTGACAACAAGTGCCACTATCGTCTTGTACTGCTTCCGCCCGGATTTACGCTCCTCTTCGATTTCTGAGTAAAACCGGCCGTGATCTGTGACCCGGTGCCGGTTTACGTTGCCAACGTTGCTATAGTGTCGTCGACATCTATCCTCGGAGCACAGAAAACGTTTACTGGGGATGAATCAGAAATTCATGTCTAGTTTATAGGAGAAGAATGAGGGGCGCACCAGTATACTCTGAACATCCCCGCGTCGGCCTCCATGGATGGCCAGAACTGAGTGTCTCTGTTTGGAGGGAAGCGGTCGCCGATGTTGAAGGCTAGAGCAAGGGGCTATGGAGTTGACCGGACGCTTGGAAGAAACGTGTTTTGCGTGCTGTTGAGAGCTGGGACAGGGAGAAAAGACGTGAAGTTACTGAATATAAGTATATCATCTCGACGTTACGTTACTCTCGATCGCCCGTCCCCCGGCTGTGTGTGTGTCCGGGATCAATGCTACAATGGCGTGTGACCGTGCAAGAGTTTGGATATCCCCTCCAGGAGGGATCTGAGCGGCGTCATACTCCGCAGCGCGGCGGGCGTTTGACGAGAAGTCGAAGGAGGGCACATCGATTATAGATGCGCGAAAAGGGGAGAGGAGCGCCGTTATGTCACGACGACGGAGTTCTATACTAGTGTTGATAAAGTGTGTTAAGCATCATCGCGAGCGCGGGACCAGTCGTCTTCCCCGGACGTAGGGTTACGTTTGAACAACAAACTCCTTCCGCTTAACAAGGCGAGTAGTCGATGTCCGGAGATATCGTAGTTCCCAAAGAGCACCTTATAATGGCTCGAAGCTGTCGTATATAGAGATATGAGCTGAGTCAAGCGAGTGGTTGCCAGGTTGGAGGAGAGGACAAGGACGCGAGTGACACACGCGATCTTGGCACACGTGGTGCACGTGTGCCACGTGCTCCCAAAGCTCGGCACGGAGCGAGTCGTCTTGTTGTTTTCCTCTCATCGTCACTGGTGCCGTCCTTACTAGGCCTTCTGCGCCACTTTCTGTGGATACCATGCCCCAAGCACAAGCATAGGTACGAGAACAGCGACGAAGCTCAGAAATGAAGTATGCGCGCGCCGACGTATCGGTCGTCCTCCCCTGCTCAGTGCTCACAGTCAATCGCGGATATGGGCATGATGGGCCTTCCATCGTATAGCATGCACAAACATTAGTGACATAAAGCACAGAGGAGAGGTGCAGAGTGCGATATTCAAGCCTGGGTCTCAAGAAATGGGAGAAGCCGATGCCGGATGAGAGAGGGTCGCACGGCGCCGCGACACGTAGATGTTAGAGGTAGAGCAGTGAAAATGTTAAAGGCTCCCTGGCTCAAGATCCTGTCATGAGCCTGGCGTCAATTTCCATGTCGAGGGTGTCCGTGAGTTTGTACAGGGGTCATTCAAGTGTCGTCTGCCCAAACCATCGAGTTCTCGTCAATGCCCGTCGCATAGAAAGTCTGCCCAGTCGCAAGGTGCTAATACTGGATTCGCCAAGGGCTATTGCTGTTTCCATATAGTGAACTGAAGAATAACGGCCTCGCATCGCTGATCCGATTCACTAGGAATCTGCTATGACTCGTACCTCAGCATCGCGTCGCCCAAGCTCCTCGTATCGAATGTGTAAGTATCCTCGATTGCGCTCGCTACCCGGAGGCCCGACTAATCCCAGGACGATCCATGTTCATCGGCCGTATACGCGTGGAAGCCGTCGAGAGCAGGAAGGTCCAGATCATCGAAGGCAGCGGCAGCGAAGTCTCCAAGCGCTGTAGACTCGCCGAGACCAACGTCCCAAGCAAGTTGATTGGGATCGACAAACGGAGGAAATTGAGGCAGAGGCGGCGACGCCAGCGGAGTCGAAGTCAACGTCGAGAAGTTCGCCGAGGATGGCAGGTCCGTGTTCAGGTTTGTGGCGGAAGATGGGTGCATCCTAGACTGCGGGAGAGTCCAGTCGTCGCCAGGGTCGAGCGCCTCGTGAAGGGTGGGCAATGAGGCGTTGTTGAATCCTGGCATGAAGGGATTCGAGAAGATCGTGTCGGGGTGATACTGGGCCGCGAAGTTTGGCGTATCGACGGAAGCGAAGATCGCCGAGCCGAGGGCGTATTGGGCAGGAGCAGGGAGGTGATCGACAGGCGCGGTATCGATGACCTGGAAGTCGATCGGGGGCGCCGAGAGACGTTCTAGATCGTCGTTCATGGGAACGGTCAGGCTGCACCTCTGCGGCATCAGCGACGATGAGGATTGATTCCCCGCCAGCGCCACCTCGTCGTCGACGTCGCCTTCAGCATCCATATCGCCGTCTGCGTCGCTGTCCCAGTCCCTCGCCGCGTCTTCATGCCGACCTTCCTCCGAATCTGCGTCCTCCTCCCGCTCCGCGTGCGACTCTTCGTCTATCTTTCGGTCATCCTTCCGCCGCTTCTTGGGGACGTGACCATGTTCGCTAACGCGGTGGCGATGGAGCCTGGCTCTATCAGAGAACCGTTGGTCGCACTTAGAGCATGGTGCCATCAACGATTTATCGCTGAGAGGATTGTTAGCATCGGAATTCAATGTCGGTAGAGTTGCAGACAACGAAAAGAGGTTCGGCAAGGTCATGATGCAGCAGACGAGTGGCGGGCTCATGATAGTAAGCTAGACCGGCAAATGTGGGTGGAAATGGGATGTCATGATCGCTCAGGCCGATGTAGAAAGAAAGGGGCACACGCACTGTTGAGAAGCAATGTGCCTCGTCAAGCTTCCTTTCTGAGGGAAGTCTTTTCCGCACCAATCGCAACGATGTGGCCTGAGAGGAGAGTAAGTATGTACAATGCTGAAGAGTGGGGCGTTGAATGAATGCGATCGTCGTGTGCAGCGACCGCAGCAAGCATACGAGAATTGAACATACCTCTTGAAGAGATCTGCCCCCGGAGCGTCGTCCGCATAATGTAGTCGCTTATGCTGAATCTTGCTGGTCGAAGAAAGCGCCCGTCTTCCACAACTGTCGCAATGAAGGCCGTCGCGGAATCCGGGGAGCTCATCCCTAGACATGAATAACGCCTGGAGTAGGTATCAGCGGACAACGTTGGGTGACAGACAGTCATGTCCGGCTAGACTGAGCCTCGAGAGATCCACGCCCAGCAAGGGGGATGGCATTGCAGTCGAGTTTGGAAGACATCACGGATGCGAGGACTCACCAACTCTGTCTTCCTGACGCGCGGTTTCTGCGGGGCGCATGCTTTTCTGGTGACGGAAGCCTTCCTCGTGGTGTGCGGCTTAGCGTATATACCCATGACGGCCGAGGATGAAATGAGCAAAGTGACAGTCAATCGGAGTGATGGATGTGGCAGCAGCGAGCTAGAAGGTGCGTGCGAAAGGACAGCAATGAGCGGGAAGCTGCGTCGGGAGGCAATTTTCAAGCAGTGATCAGGCGGCGACTTCAGATTTGCCCAATATATAATATCTGGCACACAGATCTCTGAGTTGTTGATCGTTCATCCGCTGTTAACTTACTTGACGACGCCTCCACCGCTTGATGACTGCCACCGAGATGGTTTATCCATCGCCGCGATAAGGCTCGTTCATTCATTGGAGCGGCATGTTCGTGAAGCTGAAGGGTTCCCGTAGATGATAATTGGCGACCAGGCCGGAACGGCATCCGATGGCCAGGGCACCGACACGCGCTCGAAAACAAAGATAGTTGCAAAGAAAGGCCTGGGAATGGATTCGCAATAATGAAAGGGGCCGTCTGGCATCCATTGATGAGGATTACATTCGGGGTCGTCGTTGCGGAGGACAAGAAGCGAAAATTGATGCGCGGCCCACGAGGTCGAGAACACGTGGGTATCATCCGCATGGGGAAATTCGACCCAAGTTGCCACTGAACTCCTCTGTTCAGAGCGATACGAGCAATGCTTTTAACTTACTTGCAAGACAGTCTCAAGGAACACTGGAGGGGAGGCATCCAGCTGTGACACATCTCCCATGCTCGCCGCTTCGTCAGTGCACAAGCAACGCGTCAGCAACGACCAGCTGCACCATTTTAAGGGGCAGGTTTGGTCAGCACGGATAGTCCCTAGTCACTTGTTTACATAGAATGGATACCGACGATCTACTCGACTTGCATATCGTTCTCGAGTGCCTCGAAATGTAAGTTGACGCCGGAATTGTAGAGATCGCCCTTTGCGGCGGCGATATCTGGCGAAGGAGGCCAGAGTCCAGCGGGTGAGGTGTACGTGAGCGCAATGAGCTTGCGCTTCAATGCCAGCACCTCCACTCGGTGCGTGAAGCGATACACGAGCAGGTCCAGCTCGCATCCGCCTCGGCAGATAATGTGTATCTTGCTGAGCAGAGGCATGTTCGGTTGTCCATCGGCCATAGGGGACGAAAGAAAACACAGAAGATTGCGGATCTCGCGCACATCGTCGCTTATGAAGATGAGGTGCTTGACGCGGTTGAACATCTCGACGACGGGGGAAATGATGAGCCAAGGTGCGTTGAGCTCGAGGGCGTCGCAGCGGCTGACAAGCTCCTGCATGACTTCGAGGATGGAGTCATGAAGCGGCTGCACCTCGTTGCATGATATGCGGTTGATTCTGACAGTGACGGGGCCGGACCGCTCTCTCCAGAGGATGATCGGGTGAAGCGCCGTGCCGGGGTCTCCGTCACTACCAGTGACATGTGCTTGCCACTTGACCGTTTCTGAGACGTCGAGCCATGACCTTTCCCATACCATATTGAGCGTGTGGCGCCCGGTATGCGACCCTGAGCTGGCCAAGGATAGCGCTGTAAAGCCAGCTGCGATGGCATCAACTATACGCGTAGATTGAATTTAGTCTGAAGGGTCATTTCAGCGAAGCCACTCACGTTCGTCGACGACGGACATGTCGTGGGTACCGGAGGATGGATAGTGGGCTTTTGAAAGATGCTGTTCTCGTAGTAGCGCCACTTCGACCTTATAGCGGTCGTAGTCCAACGATACTGGCCAGGTCAAGGCTCCAGCGACGGCGGCGTAATGGATGGTTGATCGGACCAGACGCCTCATGCCACTCACGAGGGACATAAACATAAACAAATATTCATTGTGGCGTCCTGATGGGCGTTTGTTAGCGAGAAACAAAGGGAAACCACTTGATATCACCCCAATAACTTCGGAGCCATACGCGGGTACTCTTGTCGCACGCGACATTATCGAATAAGACGGCGGCGCTTGCCCTAAGCTGCCACTCATAGCGACTGCAGTGGCATGATTGACACCGCATTCTGGGTTCAGTCTCTGGATGTGCAAGCTACTGGTTTGCACACTTATGTTGTAATGGACCTATACAAGGTCGAGAACTATACGCGCGAGCCTCAACATGCGTCCGGAATGATGATCAATCTGGTCGTTCGAGTGTTGCCGGCGAGATGTCGTTCGGACAATCTGTGCTCAATCCCACATCGCGCGTCAGAGTCGAGAAGAGATATGTTGCAGAACATCAATTGGTATCGATGGTAGCAGAGTCAAAGCTTTGCGTGCGCCTTGAGCGCCGCCACATCAACTTCAGACTCCGACGCCTTCGCCGCCACAAATTCGCATGTTCGAATCTTGAGTAATCTTCGACCTGGAGTCGACGCTGACCTTCGGGGTGTATCGAATTCATTCGAGAGAAAAGTGCGAATCATATCCAGGCATTGCTCGAAGATCTTGAAACGAAGACCTAGCGCGCGCCGTCATGCTGCAATTGTGTCTCGGCCACTACTCAGATCCGCTTTTCGTTCTTCTCTGTGGTATCCGACGTCGAAGGAGCAGCCTCGACCTCTTCTGCTTAGCCCACCCCTTCCATTTCCTCGATGGATCAAGAGTAATACTTGGCATTCAGCTCTCGACCCTACACACTCTCTGGGCGCTTCCAACGGAGCGCCGTACCGTATCCGGACGCATGTGTCGAACACCGCCTCAGCCTCTTGACGCAATCAGGTCCCAGCCGACTACCTCCCCCGGCGCGCCGCGCGCCATTCTGAGGAAGGGCCGCAGCCAACGCGTCTATTCGACTCGGCACCGCACACAACTTACTCTATGCGATCCGCAGGACACGATGAAGCAGATCTTGGCCTGAGAATGCGGGCGTCGAGTCCCGAGCGGTGAGCACTATGCCATCGTCTAGCGATGACCGCTATACAACAGTCCACTCTCTAGATTCTCCGTGACCTCCGGTGCGCTCAGTCGCTCCCCTGGCATTCTCTCGACTGCGATAGACCACCGCAGACGACAGCGCCGCAGAACGTACGCACCATCGTCAACGGCGGTCTACCTTCTGCTCGAGACCTCGGGCGCTGTACGTATTCCGAATACGCAGACCAAGCGCCTTGGAAGGGCTTTTCCGAATATTCCTTCGCGCGCGCTGACAGGCCTCCGAATGAGAAGCTCGCGCTCCGAATACGACGCTCGATGAGAAAGACATCCATATAGAGAACAAGGGTCGCCTTATTTGCCTCAAAGGCGCACGCAGAAGCGCTTGATGTCGTGCTTGAGGGCGAAGATGGTGAATGCCGGGGATCTGCGGTGTACTTTTGAATTTTAATTCACACCCTGGGGGATATCCTTCTGCTTACTTCACGGTCGAAACACTTCAGCAACGGCTACTACCTAGTTTTCGACCTGCGCTCAGAGTCGAAGGCCCTGTATCATCTGGCGAGGTGAATGTTATCTGCTGCACCTCTTCATTCGCTATTTGCGTCGCTATACCTCTATCGGATGGCTGTCCTCAGCGGTGAGCACCTACCATTGTCCATTGTTCACTTCATTCCTGATCCGCCCCGGACCCGGGTTGGGTCCGGGCTTCACGGCGTCACCTATCCTTAAGCTAGAGTATCCTGCGGCGTCCTTGTCAGTATGCGGCGGCGCCCTTAAGTTGAAAGACAAGCTGCGGACCTCTCGGCATCGAGACTAGCTGTGGCACCAAGACGGCGAGACAGGACTCGACAAGTCCATCGCTAGCGACTCTGGAGTCCATCAGCGACCTAAGCGCGTCTCCGCTAGCGACTTCAGCATTGACCCGTTGTGGTAGGCGTGACAAGGAGATCTCGGACGGGGGATGGTGAAGGGGGTATGGCGATGCGGGCTGGAGATTGTGGGGAGGGGAAAACGGGGGTCCCGAGGGGGAGAGAAAGCACTTGCGCGGGAGGGGTCGTGTTTGGCGACCAAAAAGGACAAACAAAATGGAACAAATAGAGCCAAATCAAGCGATGAATTGAGAAATGCCGGATTGATCAATACATGAGGCCTCCGAGTAGGCAAAGTACGTCGACTTTCCTTGTAAACATCCGAGCTCGAGGAGTTGGCGCGTCCGGAACCACAAGGAGAGGCTTTCGTGTTGAAGTCGTATGTTTGGAAGTGCCGGAGCTGGTCATGCGAGTGGAGGACGTACAGAGAACCTCAGCGGCGTATAGCGAGGCAGATAAAGCGTATAACGCAGGCTTAATAGCAAAGGCGCGGAGTCGAAGGGATAGCATTTCGAAAACCCGTAAATTGGTGGCGCCAGTGAGTAAAGCATCCATCGTAAATTTGGCGTTCCACCGGCGTCAAATAGGGCGGCGGCGCTGTGCGGTCTAGCAAGCGGAGTATCGTGAGGCTCACAAGCGGTGTAGTTGGCGGATGAGCGGGGCAATATCCTGAGGAGTAGACGCATCGATCGGCCGGTGGAATCCAGGACAGGACGCACGAAGTAGCACAGGATGCCTGAGCTAGTAAAGGATGCGCGGATGCAAGACACACCGCACAGATATCCAGGGCGCCAATCACTTGGTAGAGCGCATGCGCGCGAATAAATGGCCTCATAGTACGCGCCACTCGCCTAATAGGGCAGGGCGCCCGACATCACCAATAGGAAGCGTGCTAGATGGAGCTGCGTGTCGTGCGTGTCGTATCCGTGAGTGCATGTCGTATCCGCGAGTGCATGTCGTATCCGTGAGGGGAGGATTTCGTACTGGACGGCCCAGGGCGCTCGCGTCAACAACCTGGCAGAGTGGCGTATACGAGATAGGGAGGGTCTTGCGATAGGCGAGGAGTAGATGCAGCTACGAACCGATGAATTGCGATATGGGGGCATAGGTGACCTCGTGAGACCATGAGCAAGCCCGTGAGACCATCGGCGCGTAATACCAGTAGACGCAGGCCCTCGACATTCGGAATACGAAGCGGGCTAGTAACAGGGGAGCAGCGGCGGATTGAGTACACCAGCCCATCGCGTTTATATACATCACGAATAGGAAGCATGGCGAGCAGTAGAGCATCAGCAGGTGCTATAGACTACCATCAGGCGCAGTCGAGGCAGTAGACTATGCTCAGAAGCAATCGGGGTAGTCGAGCATCAGTATACTTAGCGATAGTACGATGATAGCAACTGTACGGCAGAAGAGCGCAGAAGTACAGTAGAGCCGCATAGCATCAACGCGATGAGATTCTGCTTCATAGAATGGCGCGCCCGACATTAGCAGAAGCGGTAGATGCCAATACTAGAGGAAGCAGGCGCTATCCTCAAAGGAGGCAGGCGCCATCACAGAAGAGGCAGCTCGCGCCACCACAACGGGCAGGATAAGGGGTCACGCTGCGCAAGGCAACATACTTCATTCAGAGCTCGCCATCGTCGAGAGGCACACGACCACGCTAGGCCGGGCGCGGAGGGGCTGTCCATACGACGGGAGGGGCGCGGACTAGCTCGAGGGCCTGACGCGGGCTGGCGGAGAGGCCTGACGCGGAGTAGGTATTGATGCGAGATGAGGGGTCCACACGGTCGTGTTGAGTGCCCCGCCTCTGCGAGATGGCCGGACCGGGCTACGCGGTAGCCAAGAAGGACAGCTAATGCGTCGAAGCAAGTATAGGGTACCTTCAGCAGCACGAAGGCTCTTTGCGAGCAGGACTCCAGCGGCGTCGGGTTGACGGTCATAAGACCACCTCGCGGTACGAAGATTCAAGCGACGAGCGATAGCATCTATGGCGCTGAATAGGCGGGGCGACGGGCTGCGCGGGCGCGAGCATCAGGCTGCCAGACTACGGTGAGAGCGGTGGCACGAGCATTCGGAATTCGAGAGTGGTGTGCTTTCGGAACGTGTTGTCGTGCGCGAGGGGCAGCGCGGGTGCCAGGGGAGACGGACGCGAGGCCCGGTACGACGGTAGAAGGACCCGGAGACCAGTGAGAAGAGGCGGAGGGGACCAGATGTGGCTGCTTGTAGAACGCTTGACAGGCTGAAAGCGCACGCGCAGAGGGGCGATGAGCGCCCACGCCCTCGTCGCCATATTCGCCCAGATGACGTTCCGCGCGGGTACTGTCCAGAGCCGATGCTGCCCGGGTCGCACCGCGGAAGGCTGCACGTTTTGCGGCCTCGACGAGCTCGAGCGTCGAAGAATACAAAGCAGGGGAAGACCCCCCGCCGGACACCGCACTCAACCGGCGACCCACGGCGAAAACGATGGCGAAAAGCAAAACGTGATGGCGGGGGAATTGATGCCCAGCGGGGATATGTGACGAGATGTGACAGGGCGCGCCGAAAACGAACGTCGGGAGCGCTTGGACCGGCGGCGATCATGGATCATAAGCACGCCATCCTCTCTACTGCCATGGCGCCCCCTGGGGAGCACGCAATCCAGCCCATCAATTGCAGCTTTTCCCTCTTTCTTGCGTCACGATCATATATAACCCCGATGGCCGCCAATCCGCCCTCGCCGTTCTTGCTTACTTCCCCCCGCACCCGAAGCGCGTCAAGAAGACCCTGTAGGACGACTTGAACGTCTTGCAGCCGCCGGCTCTGCCCCTACCGACACCCCATCCCTACCGACACCCCATCCCTACCCCCTTCCCTTCCCGCGCACACATCACCAACACCAGCGATAGAACATCGCAGTAGCGCGCACACGCACACGCACAATGCCTACCACCGAAGCAGCGAAGAAGTTCGGGAAGCGGGTCATCGCGTACCCTGAAGAGACTCCACCGGTCATCTCGACCACAGATTGGTTCAGGGAGCGCACATTCGATCCCAAGAGCGCAGTGCGTACGATCTCGTCTTGTGCTCTCACAGCGTGCTTATCCCGCACCCCAGGTTGTCACCTACCTGACGAGCCTGTTCCCCATTTTTGGCTGGATCACTCGCTACAATCTGGGATGGCTCTCAGGGGATGTGATCGCAGGCCTCACGGTCGGCATGGTCCTCGTCCCTCAGGGCATGTCCTACGCGCAAATCGCGACCCTCTCACCCGAATTTGGCCTCTACTCGTCCTTTGTTGGAGTTTTGATCTACTGCGTAAGTAAATGTACTGAATCATCGCATGTATGCGTCTAATGTCCCATTGCAGCTCTTCGCGACGTCCAAGGACGTGTCCATCGGCCCCGTCGCGGTCATGTCCCTCACTGTCTCGCAAATCATCAAGTCTGTCGAGGAGAAGCACCCGGACACCTGGGATGCTCCGCTGATCGCCACCACCGTCGCCTTCATCTGCGGCTGGATCGTCTTGGGTATCGGCCTCCTCCGCCTTGGCTGGATCGTCGACTTCATTCCTGCGCCTGCCATCTCCGGTTTCATGACCGGCTCCGCGATCAGCATCGTCGCGGGCCAGGTTCCCGGCCTAATGGGCATGTCCGGATTTGAGTGAGTTCGTCTTGCTTTCGTCATCATCTGATTACTCACGATTGCGACAGCACCCGCGCGTCGACGTACAAGGTCATCATCGAGTCCCTCAAGCATCTGCCGGGCACCAAGCTGGACGCCGCCTTCGGTCTACCGGCCCTCGTCTTTCTCTACGCCTTCCGCATCACTTGCGACAAGTTGGCGAAGCGGTATCCGCAGCACTGTGCGTCTCTCTGCCACAGGCCCACGCACATACTCACCTATATCCCCAGCTCGCTTGTTCTTCTTCGCTTCTGTGCTGCGCAATGCTTTCGTGGTCGTCGTGCTCACCATCGCCGCCTGGCTTTTTTGCCGCCACCGCAAGACCGCGTCTGGTTACCCCATCAAGATTTTGAAGGACGTCCCGCGCGGCTTCAAGCACGTCGGCCAGCCCGTCATCGACACCGACCTCATCTCGGCACTTGCCTCCGAGCTCCCTGTCGCGACGATCATCCTTCTCCTTGAGCACATCGCGATCTCGAAGTGTATGTTGTGCTTTTACCGAATTTTCGGGAAGTAGCGATGCTGACGTCGATCTTTCTCCTCTCGCAGCCTTCGGCCGTGTCAATGGGTACAAGATCAATCCGAACCAAGAGCTTATCGCGATCGGCGTCACGAACCTGGTGGGCTCCTGCTTCAATGCGTACCCCGCGACGGGATCGTTCTCCCGCTCCGCGCTGAAGAGCAAGTGTGGTGTGCGCACCCCGGCAGCGGGCATCGTGACCGCCATCGTCGTGCTTGTAGCACTCTATGGTCAGTCTGCCTTGCATATCTCGCCGTATCCCCGCTCACCTTATGACAGGTCTCACCTCTGCCTTCTACTGGATCCCGTCCGCGGCGCTGTCTGCGGTCATCATCCACGCCGTGGCCGATCTCGTCGCCTCTCCCGCGCAGGTCTACTCCTACTGGCGTGTAGCGCCCCTCGAGTTCGTCATCTGGCTCGCCGCGGTGCTCGTCACCGTCTTCTCGACCATCGAGAACGGCATCTACGCCTCGATCTGCGCGTCGCTCGCCCTCCTCCTCATCCGCGTCGCGCACCCGCGCGGCAAGTTCCTCGGCAAGGTCATCCTCCGCCGCGGCAACGCCTTGTCCTCTTCCGCCTCCTTCTCCTCCGGCAAGACCGCGAGCCTCAAGGCGGGCATCTCCAGCGCCGAGTACGAGCGCGAGGTGTTCGTCCCGCTCGCCGAGGGCTCCACTGCCGCGCGCCACGGCGTCGAGGTCGTGCCTCCCGCGCCGGGCGTGATCATCTACCGCTTTGAGGAGTCGTACCTCTACCCGAACTCGGCGGTGATGAACGAGCGGATCGTGGACTACGTGAAGACGCACACGAGGCGGGGCATCGACTACGCGTCGATCTCGCTCGCTGACCGGCCGTGGAACGACCCGGGGACGCGCGGGGGCACGGCGGAGGAGGAGCAGAAGCGGAACGAGGCGCTGCCGTTGTTGCGCGCGGTCGTGCTGGACTTCTCGAGCATCAGCCACATCGATACGACCGCGGTGCAGAGCTTGATCGATACGAGGAGCGAGATCGAGCGGTGGACGAATGCGCCGGTGGAGGTGAGTTTGGCATCCTTGCACTCACTAGACGAGAACACGTTGCTGACACCGTCCCCCAGTTCCACTTCGCATCCATCCTCTCGCCCTGGATCCGCCGCGCGCTCGTCGCCGGCGGCTTCGGCTTTGGGGCGCGCGCGCACGATGCGGGCAGGTCGCACGAGGTCGCCCCCGTCGTGCCCTACCGCGACGGCCTGCGCGAGGGCGACCCCGATACCTCCCCGCAGGTCCGCCAGAACGACGTCGAAGCGCGCGGCGGCGCGGAGGGCATCGTCGAGCAGGCGCGCGAGTGGTCGGAGGCGAGCCACGACTACAAGGAGCAGCCGTCCGAGTCGTACCAGCCGCAGCCCGGGTACCAGCCCACGCACTCCGCCTCACTGCCGCCATTCGCGCGCTCGGACCTGAAGGACGCGAGCGTGGTCGCGGAGGTCGAGCTCGCGCCGTTGATATCGGACGACACGCCGTTCTTCCACCTGGACTTGCAGGAGGCGGTCCGCGCGGCGGAGCGGCGGGTGCCGGGGTACCAGTGAGCACCAAGCACACGGACTTGGCTTGACTTGCTTGGCTCTCTTGGTCATTGGCTCTGCTCTCTTGGTTATTTATCCCCCCTTGTACCATGTCGTGATTGTTCGCCCGTCTACATCCTCATTTACCTCATGCGCTCGCCTACTCACACGACTGTACTCGACGATGATTACTCACCAACACTTACCGACGACGAATTGTATACCTTTGCGGAGGAAAAACGATAGAACCGCGCGCTGCTTTGACGCGACGAGATTGGTTAATTGCCGATGGTCTATTACATAGTACTCACGTACTCATTTCTACCAATCACTGTATTACTAGACATTCACAAGGCGCTTAGTTAGAGGTCCGCGCAATGTAGTGGAAGAACAATTGGGAACTTTTCGAAGCGAGCCCCGCCGTCGAGGTCTTGGAGTAGAAAAGAGAGGACGCCCAGCGCGTCAGGCCGACAACAACTGAGTCTAGGAATGTACACCTTAAGGCTCAAGCGTTACAGATGGCGGCGACAAAGAGGGCAGACGGTAGAGAGGTAACCATGCTGTAGCAATCATACGCCAGATTATGACCGTCGGAGTTCCAGGTTCGGGCCGCTGAACTCGTCGTAAAAAGCCCCGAAAGTCCCCTTTGCGTGGAAAGCCACCTGCGATCTGTAATTAAGATTCGAGCGCGAGGAGCATCAAGGAAGAACACGCACACGATTGAACCTTGCGGTGGCGATGGTCATAGGGTCTTGCGACCCCGCGGGGGGTGATGTTTGTCCGACGCTCTTGCTGTCGGTGGTTTTGCCTTTGTGTCGCCTAAAGGAGGTTTTGCATGCGGCGCGTCCGAAAAAAAAACAAGTCGGCCTCTATCCGAGAACGTCGTTGTTCATACTTTGACTCACAGTGTATGCCGCGAGACCGACGCGCAAAACCTGATGGGGCGCGGTCATAGACAGAACAAAGAGCGGCGCAGGTATATAAGCCGCCGCCGCTGCGTTGTGGGAGCCCCACCCGATACGCAACACCAACGCCCTTCTGTACACAACGATGAGCACAACCCTCGCGATCAACAAAGACGACGAAGGTGAGCACGCACCCCAATGCCACAGTGGGGTACTGATGTCGACGAGCACAGTTCGCCTCGTGCCGGTGCCCTTGGGACCCGGGGAATCATTGTCGTGGCCGTCGGATCTCACCGGTCGCCACGTCTTTACCATCTCCTGGCAGGAGAAACCACTGCAGATAATGGCTGGGAGCTTCAGACCGCTGAGGCTTTGGGACCAGAAAATCGTCCGCGAGGACGGTAAGCACACCAAAGCCGAGCCACCCACCCTTCACAACTACTGCGGCCCGTTTACCGTCCGGGTGAAGCGCGTTATCGACTTCCCTATCAAGCCATTCACACCGGATATGCTGAAAGTGATGGCGAGGGTGGGCAACCGCTGCGACATTCTCGACGTGAGCGTGCGCTGGGAGATCGCCGAGCCTGCGATCACGAGAATGACCGGTGTCAAGAAACTCACCTTCCACCTCGGCAATGTGGAAGACGTCGGAAAGCTGTTGGACTGGCTTGCTTCCCCGCGCGCGAAGGACGATCGTCCGAACTTGCCGTTTCTCTACACCCTCAACATCACCTGCGATGGCGGGTGCGACCTTGACAAGCTCGTGAAGTGCTTCGTCCAACGGAGATCGTCTGAGAAAGGTAGGCCCCTGACGCTGACCTACGGCATGCCCTACGCGTTCTGGCCGGCCTTCCATGAGTTAGAAAGCGCGAAGAAGCAGCTGCGCAGCGTTCGGGTGGACTTACGCGTACAGAACTCGGAGGAACAGGTTCTGAGCTCAGACGACGAGGACGATGAGGACCAGGCTTCGTCCTTCCTCTCCCTCCTCCCTCTCCCCCCCACCTCTAACCCCCTCCCTCTCCCCCCTTCCCACCCCCTCCCTCTCCCCCCTTCCCACCCCCTCCCTCTCCCCCCTCCCTTCCCCTTCCCCTCGCCTCCCTCTTCCTCGCCTCCCTCTTCCTCGCCTCCCCCTTCCCACCCCCACCCACAACCCCCCTCCCCTCTCCCACTCCCACCCCTCCTTAAAAACCCCCCCCTCCACCCTCATCCACCCACCCCCCGTCACATCCTACGTCACGTCTGCCAGGTCGAGGCATCTCCTTCGCCCGGTCGTCTATGCTCGCCCTGCGGTTGCGACAAACAGAACAAAAACCACTCTATAACTTCCATTATTGACCTTGTCCTTCTCCTGATTGCGACATATGCATGCCCCAACTTCAAAAGCGTACCAACCCATCAAGCTCTCGACACGATAATCGCATGTCGTCTACCGTTGCATTTGAGCCTTCCATCCTGTGAGTTCTTGAAGAATCCTAAATAGCTTCTGCTTAACTCATTCTAGTAGTTCCCGCATAAGTGGTCCTTTAACGTACGCTCTAATCGCCCCTGTCGCACAGTTCGGCCGCAGGACAAAAGCATCGGACTCTATCTGGAGAAAGGGCGTGTTTGTGACCGTACGCCTAGTCTCTGTAAGCCGAGGCGGTCCTTGACGACAAAACAAACCACACTACAATCAGGTATATAATGGCGTCCTTCAGGACCTCTGTTGTCGAGATTTTCCGACATATCTGATCACACCGACAGTTGCGCTGTCGTCTCTCTTCCTTCCATTTCATGGTATTATGTGGTTCACTGACGAATCCGCACTCGATTGCGAAGAAAACTCAGAAGGTGAGTCTCCATGATGCGCTTCTCCTCCTTCGCCACTCGATCTCACCAACGCCACTTCTCAGAGTGAGTACCTCACAATCGGGAGCATTCCCGGATTCGTCCAGTGCATTTGTCAGGTGTGCGGCCAGCGCGTGATCAGCGGCGATGGCCAGAAACGACACCGACTAAGCCACTTGTCGGACGATGCTCCGAAGGCCGAGGAGACGAAAAGGTGCGCTCCAATCCTTCGCGGACGAGTGACGAGACAGCCGGCCGTTCTATGGCTGAGGATGGCTGCAATCGTCGTAGACGTTTTGATCCAGCTTTTCTCGTTGACTGATGCTTTTTTAGGCCTCACAGATGCAGGTACTGCATGCAAGGCTTCGCGCAGAATGGGACGATGCTCAGTCATATTAGGGCGAAACAGTGCGTGCCGCAGTTTGATCCCGTCCGGAGACATGACCCTTCACTGCTCCATCACCGAGTCGTGCCGTACACCAGAGCGCTGACTAGTGACTCCCAGCGAGCAACACCGTAAACTTCAATGCACCGACTGCGGTGAGAGGTTCGCCGATCATGCCGGCCTCCATCGCCATCGCAAGCGTAAGCACGGCTGGAGGACGTCCAACCCCAGAGGCCCGAAGAGCAATCCAACGTCCCAAAAGTCTGTGGCAAGAGGACAGGCGTCGAAGAAGCGGCAGGTCACGCCGACGACTGCGATGCCTCAAACAGACGACGCGTCCACGGCGGAAACGACGCAGGCGCCGACGCCTCCTGAGAGTGAGCTACGACCTACTGCGCCACCACATTCGAGCTCAACTCCTCGTGTCCCGTTCAACGCGCCAAGCTTCCCTTTCACCTTCGCTGCTGACACGACGGGCGCCGTCGACTTCTTCTCAATCAACTCATCTGAGCAACACGTGGACTCTCTGGATGCTACGCCCGCTGGAGCCTTCACTCTGCCCGACCACGATTCGCTGCACGGCTACGGTGAAGAATATGCGGCTGCTCTCAAGATGCAGGCTCCGGCAAGCGACTTCGTCAATGAGTTTCTTCCTCAGGTGAAAATCGAACCGGACTTCGCGGAGACCTTCGACGACCCTGGCTCCCTTGCTCATCCCTTCGCGCCGATCGCTCCCTCCTTCGGCAGTATCTTCTCCGACTCGACTTCATTTCCGATTACCCCAACGCCCACGCTGCTTACAAGAGCGACCGCAGCCGCTTCAACATCCGCGGCTGTACCTTACGACATCACGTCGACTCCGGAAACGTCTATTGCGAATTCGGCCTCTTCCTCCTCATGGTATTTCGAGCGCAACCTCGACGCGTGCAACTTCGACGCCCTCCAATCTGGCTTCGACGCCGACGCGAATTACGATGCAAACTTCGAGGCATCGACCTATCACTGGCAGCAAATGCTCGAGCCTTGTCCGCATGCGGCCGGCGAGTTTTTCGAGCACGAAGGCTTGGCATCTTCCTACGCACCAGCGACAGCGTATGATGATGTGGGCGAGCAGAACCTCACTGAGATGCGGTTGCAGATGCTGTACGCGACGCAGACAAAGGAATATACGACGCAGGCATCGGCGTACGCGATGGACCACGGCGGCTGGCCGACGCAGGCCTATAACGGTGAGGGTTCGTCTTCGGTGGATTATTCCGCGTCCTACTTTGGGACCTTCACGCCGTCATGCCGTTTTGATGACTGGCCTTAGGGTCACGCAGTCAAGCGTCGGCGATTAGTTGAAGCATTACCACCACACAAATCATACGGCTCGAATCATGCTTGCCGAGCATCGCATGATTCGACTGGACTTGTCGGATTTGTGTGTGGGTAATCTCGTATTTATCTATAACAATTAATTCAACCCCTTCGACTTCTTCCTCAGAGACTTGCGTGTCAGGGAGTACTGAATTGTTCGTCCTTGTACAATTCGAGGTCCTCGCGAAGGGGACGACCGTAAAGCCCGACTCCGTCAATATTTTGTGGCGAGGACGTCAGAGTCGAGAGCCAATGTGGCACTGACGTAGAGGAACCGGACTTCCTTGCGCCTGTGTTCGTCGAGGAATGAGCGCTGAGGCAGTGTAGTGCTTCTGGTCGCTCTCTCTTATCTATCCTTCGTCAGGTGAGACAACTGCAGAAGCTGCTGAAATTCCTCATCCCACTGCCGCAGTGTCGGGGGATTCACCTGCAGTCCAGCGATGGCAATGATAGACAGTCAGCGAGGGATTCAGTGACATTGTCTATAAGGTACAGTTGCCACCTCGACGCTTCGGTCAAGACCCAAGTACGGCGCCTGATCGCGTGTTGTGGGTCCGGGCGCTCGGCAGATACCGAACAATAAAGATCCGAACGTGGGACAATGGACCATGCATCGCAAGCTTTGCCAGTGACCGTCAACATACTGCCCTACGCAACCTCGTCTAGCAATCATTCTGCCTGAGGCTAGAAAACCCGAATCTTCCTGTGCGTCATCCGCCGGGGACTTTACGCCTTCATCTGATCCTGTCCTACAGTAGTCACGACTTGACCTTGCCACTCGGTTCTCGCAGTCACAAAATCAGCACCGCACGTCTCAGGACACCATGAATATCTCTACACCCTCTATCGCGTCGTCGACGCCCATTACTTGTGCATATCAACCCTCGCTCCTCGAAGCGCAGGCTGCGCTCGGTGTCGACCGTGATATTTGGTATTGGCCGCGAGCTCCAGATGAATATCAGTCTCTCGGAGGCGCTGGAGCTGCCATGGCCTGGATATCGTGGCATGAGTCGCAAGCTCAGGCGTGGTGGCAAGGTTATAGAGCATGTCAGGCACAGTTTATTGCTCCCCTTCATCCCAACTCAGACGCCCAACAAGCGCCGCTGGCCTCCACCCTCGCCTTTGCACAGTCTCCATTGCGCTCTGACCCCTCTACGCCAGAGGTCTATGCACCCGAGACTGCATGCTGCAGCGACCCACCGAACTTGCCCATTCCATCCAACGACGAGGATGCACTCGAGGAAGACATCGTGGACTACGCGTACGCATGCTCCTCACGGCACCTACTTTCCGACTACCCCGACGATGTCTATCCCTCGCCGCCGCAGGACCATGAAAGCGACGAATGGACCTCGTCAAGTGCCTCGTCCTCTAGTAGCGACTCGATGGCTTCTTGTGCAGACGACCTCGACAACTCCCTGCCTGCATGGTCGGAATACGTTGAAGCGGACTGTCCTGGCGCCCTTGATCTAGCAGACGACCCCATTCCCGCCGCCTTGCGCGCGCGTCACAGCTTCAGCGACGTGAAGCTTGGCCCAACAGGCCGATATACCTTGCAAGCCAGGAAGACGTTGCCGCTATACGCTGAGGAGCAGCGAGTTCCTATAGAGATATAGACATCAAGGAATGTTGCACATCACCACGTACTATTTCATGGCAATCTCGGACATCTCCATCGTGTAAATACGAGTACTTTCTATTGCTATGTTGCTGCTATGGTGTAATCACCAGTCCTCTATCCATCTAAGTCCCTGCGATGGAGGGCTTGAGGGCTCCTTTAGACAGTATTGCCCCTCGACGTTGCGCCGTTTGGTTTGCCATATCGCCCACCAGGCATCTATATGAAGAGGGGTGTTAAGAGGGACAAGACTTGCAAGATACCAGTTGATCAGCTCTATGGTGTTTCGTCTACGCGTATTCATCGGCAGATAGAGCCATAGGTCGCGCCCAGAAATGCGCCTTTCGTCATCGACAGACAATGCCTGGGGGACATGTGTAGTATCCAGGTCCTGGAACTCTGCCAGTCGCAAGCGGGGGAAATGAGTGGCAAGCGGAGCCAAAGAGGATAGATATCCGCTGAGAGGACGAGGTGCGTCGAGATTGTGCTTGTCGATCGGCGGGGTTCTGAAGATCAGGGTGGTGAGCTGTGGCCAGGCCGCGCCCATGAGCTCCAGGATACTTTGGGTCTTGAGCTTCGTATGAACGCTCATGACGCGTACGACAACCATGTCGATATTGGGGAAGGGAAGCAGATCCGAAAGCCACTTGCGGGCGTCCCAGCGCCCAACGGCCGGCGTCGGTATGACTAGCCTCTTGAGCGTATCCCGGTCGCATACTTCGCGTATCGCAGCGTGCATATCGCAGGCATTCTCCTCCTTGGAGCGCCTATCCCGATAATCGGTCCAGCCATAGAAGATAATGCCCTTCAATGCAAGTGGTCGCGAGGAGAGTTTGCGGAGCAGGAACGCAGTTTTGAACAGGTTCCACGGACCGCGAATGCGGAGATACTTGAGAGCACGGAAGCCAGGCGCTACTGCGACTTCGGTCGTGGTGATGATGCAATCGACGTCGTGCAGCGAGAGGGTCTCTAACGCGGGTAGCCCGCGAAGAATAGCAAGATGAGCGAGTTGGCGATCAATGGCGATGGCGATAGATACAACGTTGGTCAGAGGATAGAGATTTGCGATGCATTTCCGTCGTCCAGCAAGGTATAGAGAGACCATAGGACTGCCGAGGTCGCCTGTATCCGAGTTGACGCCAAGTCGAAACCGGTAGAAGAAGGCTCCGAGTCGTAGGGGTATGTGCATTGTGTGCAAACGTGGCAGGAGGACGCCGTATCGGGCGGCAGCCCGAGCGAGTCTGGGATCAAGTGTAAGTGGTAAAGCGCCTTCGTTGACAAGTCCCGGGGTCTGTGTATTGTCGATGATCTTGATACGAGCGGCGTAGAGTTGCATCCTGGCCCATCCTCTGGTGGAGATGACGCGTTTCGCCGACTCAGGCGGTCCTCGACAAAGGAGCCTAGTAGATGTGATGACCTGCGACTAAATGAGTGAGCTCAAAGCAAAGTGCTTGACCCAACTCACCCTGGTTTTGAGCTCAACGGGTCCGTTCTGAGTCGGTATGTCGATGGTCCACTTGTCCGGGTTGAGGATCACGACATGACGCAGGACGCAGAACAACGGCGCGAGGTCTTCTTGCGTCTCCCAAAGGACGTCTAGGGCAACGGAACCGACGAAGCGCGAGACAGTGACGAGTGGCACCAGAGCGCGATCCCCGGACGCGCCACGAAGCTCGCGCGCGATGAGATCGACAAGCTCGTAAATCGAAGCAACATGTGTTGCCGCCATGGGTCAATCGAGACCGGAGGTGACAAAGATTACAGAATAATGAGTGGCGACAGGCGTGACGAGATACGGCAGATGGTGGCGGGACGAGAGAAGGAACGACGGAATCATTTATAGGTCACGCCGCGGCTCGCGGCCCGCCAGCAAAAGTTCGGATGCGCTAACCCCGCAAAGAGAACAAACGCAGCACTATGGCAGACCATGGCCCGGAGACCTGCAAAGGGGAATTCATGACATATGGCTCGCAATGCGACAGGACTGAACGCGGTATTGTACGCGGGTGAGATAACCAGAGTCGAGCCCATCATTGAGGCCGTGCTGTCTACATCGTTAGAATGACTGGCGGATAGAAGCCTTGAGGGTGATACTCACGCGATCGGTGTGAGCCACGAGGGGGGTAGGCACTTTCGACTACATCGAAACTGGTGCCCTCCTGTGTCGCCCCGGTTTACAGCGGAGCGACCGCTAGAGATTTGAACCTCAAGGCGGCACCCAGCAACATACTGCATGGCGGTCGCGATGTATCGAGACTTCAAGTGCTGACTCGGGCTAAGCGGTGGTAATCAGTGGCATAGTGAAAGAATGAATCATTGGTGCCTACCACGATCGTAAGGGATGGCTTCCCGTTCGCTTGATCTCGTCAGTGCTCAAAGCTGCGTAGATGGACTTACGAGGAACGCTGGCCAGACCGCCGCGTTCGAGCCTGCAGGATGACGAGTGTTGCTTCGACGTCATCCACTTCTATTTCCCTATGCTTTTAGACATGGTGCGAGTCTCCGAACATCTCACACCCGCGGGGAGCGCCACAAAGCAACGACAACTTGTCATTGTATTGTATATGAGCATAGGTACTGACCGCATCGATGGAAATAGGGTGCAGTCTGGACGATGGCGTACGCTTGGGTGGCCGCGCCCTTCTCGTTCAAGTTCAAGCCGCAATTCGAGGCCGTTTCGGATGCGGATGGTACTGCCAGATAGGGACGAGCCCTGTTGCTGTAGATGTCGCCGGGCGAAGTCAGGGTCCGCGTCGTCGGGCTGCTAGCTGGTCTTCAATATCGGAGCTGCCCAGTGCAAATGGCATGTCTGCGCGCCCGCTCGGCAACCGGAGCGCCACCTGGTTGGTCACGAGTTACGAGCATCGTTGTAGTACAAGCACGCACCAAGAAAAGCTTGTGAGGACTAGGATCTGCACAACGAATGCTTCGATGGCTTGATGATCGAACCAGCGCGCCTGGCTTCGGATCGGCGTGAGCGCAGTGTTTGGCGTAGCCAAGCGTGCTAGTCAGCATTGATACAGGGGTCGTATGAGCACGACAGGGGGACATTGCGTCTGCGACCTGGGGTGCGGTGTATGGCCGACATGTTGCATGGGAGGGAATTGAAGCGCCGCGACCACCCTGAGACGCGGCTGTCCAGCCTGTCCTCAGTGTCCGACCAAAGAGCAGAGACATCAATGATGCAGCCTTGTATGGCGAGTTGAACCGCGTGCTGAGGCCTTGATGAGGTGTCAGAGTAGATCGAGAAGGGGGAAAGCGCGACGCACCTTAACTTATGCCTGAGTTTCCAGCTCGACTTCAGGACGTCGAGACCACCAAAGAGCACCACGCAGTCCTTCAGACTGAGAGGAAGGCTGGCTCCGCGTCGGTGAAGAAGCGCGCCATCTTGTAGCGTGTCCCATAGTGCCACGCGGAGTGTAGGGGAAGGTCGCTGTTGCCGCGTATGGCGCGGTGCGCAACGCATTCTGAATTCGCTCCGCCTTCGATATGTGGGCGCCGACGAGCTCGTCTGCGTGAAGTTCTCGGAAGTCGAAGGCGTAGGAGATGGCGAGGAGATGGTACGCTGGATCAACGAGAACGGGAGGTGGGCCGTGATCTTGGGTTCCTCCCAATGTCTATCTCACTCGCGTCTCCTCCGTACATATACGATCGGGACAGAAGTTGTCAAAGGCGAGGGAGGACCGAGAGCGTTCGACGGTCGACGCCATCGGAGGTGGTGGGTGACGGAAGTCAAGTCGCGGACGTCGGCACGCGAGTTCCGATTCCCTTCAGGCTTGTGTCCAACGGTCATGGTTGTTGCGACCTTGACGCGGGGCGCCCGCGTCTTCCAAGGTCCTGACCTCTTCTACTCTCTCTCTTTACACACAGCTTGTATCAAAGCGAATAGAATACGATCATGTTGCGACAGAAATGCGGGCGGTAGAAGCAGTGAGGGAAGGCCAATCTTCGGGTGCGTATCTTTCCTTCGACCCGCGAGTACCTTGCTGATGGAAAAACCCCAGCCTGAACGATACTTTCTATGTACTAGATACTAGAATACTACGATAGTCTGAGGCGATCATCCCCGCGGCGTCGCTGATTCGATCTTAATCTCGAAGTTCCACCACCGTGCAAGTGCTACGTCTCGTCCCTCCCTCCCTATACGTACGACGTACGATATGCATGCAGTAGAAAAGCAGCCTTGCATCGATGATGCTACGGAAAATGCGGCAAACACCTCTGGCAGCAAGAAGAGCTGCGGGGAGACAATACGTCAGCGCGATATACCACAGCTCCATGGGAAGAACTGCATCCGCGCTGACTGGCGAAGCGCCGGACAAGATAGGAATGAGGCGCGAGCGCTTCAATGCCTTGTGGCGGGTCATGTAAGAGGCGAGCGACTTTGAGGTGATGGTGAGAGGCAAAGTGCTGGAACGAATGCGTGCTCCATTACCATCAGTCGGAAGACAAAGTATCGACTGAACGTGCATGTCCATAAAGGGAGAACAAAAGAACGACGGACCGGCGCCCGATCGATCAATCATGCACGTGATGCTTTCGGGAAGATATATAACAACCGGATCTCTCTCATTTCCGCCACCCATCCTTGCAGAGAGGCGCCGCCAACTGGCCGATACACCTCCCAAGAGAGGTTACTGACGAGGGCGGGGCACTTTCTGCTCACCCTCGGAAGTGATCTCTCGGCGCTCTGAGAGGTTGACCTTTGGGGAGGCTGATCTGCAAGAGGCGGTAGGCGCCGTGCACGCGTTACTACAGGCTGAAATATGCCTGGCAGCAGCGTCGAGCAGCTTTCGTGGCGGATGTTATAGAGGGACCCATGTTTGTGGCCTTGCCCTTTGGCATTCGCATAGGAGGCGCGGGCTCCCCGTGATGCTTGTACTGGCCTCGGGCCAGACGAGAGGTCATCGGAAAAGCCGGGTGTTATTTCCGCTGGGCTGCCTTCGGGTAGACACACGTGCTCATGTACACGGAGGCAACTCCTTTTGAGGGCGCGTAATTTTTGGAATCCTTTCAATCGACTGCAGTGTTAGATAATTATTAAACAATACTTGGATATTCAGTGGTGGTTATATTCGAAAGTCTTGCGAGGCTCGCGATCGCGTGGCGGGGCGTCGCCTGCCTGAGTCACAAAGACGACGACAAACACGAGAACAGCGGAAGATGGCGAAGCATGGTGGTATTGTTGTCCAAAAAGAGAACAATGAGATTCGGGTTAATGCCGGTCTGGATCACGTGCTAGTCACGGGCCTTGTAAGAAGGCGCTGGTGCCCTACCGCGGCTTCCTCTCAACCATCACTCTCCTTTCTCATGGACCAGCGCCTGTGCGATTTCGCCAATACGCCTCCCGAGAATCGGACTGTGGGTGATCATACAGTCCATGTGTGGTCCCTGCAGTCCTTGATTCAGCGATCCGAGGGGCTGACGATCGGGGACTGGTCTGTGGCGTCGCGCGGGACAGGCCTGCGCGACGTTTCGAAAGAGAGATGCCCAGCTCGCGCGGTCATCATTGGGGCGCTAGCTCTCGGTGGTCGCGTTGATGCCGCTCGCATGGCGATGTTATAGGTGGGCTCCACGCTAGTGGCCGCGTCCTCCTGGCACCTGCACCGTGGGCGTCGGCATCCTGGCTCCAATAGCTATTACCCATCACTGGGCGGCCATTGGAATGACCGGGTGATGGTATTCCCTGGACGCGTCGCTTCCGCCATAGGGTCGACTCACTGTGGGGTGGCATTATACGTGCAATCTTTGGAACCCCTTCGAAAGTGTGGCAACGAGCAATTACGGTCGAGTGTTGTCGATTTTGTCTATAATAGCCCCGCATAGAGATAGCATCCTGATGGTATATTGAGCGTTGTCTTTCAGGGCCAATTAACATGAGATCTATCGAATTGACAAGTTAACAGAAATCCGGTGAACGCTATTGAGAGTTTGGGGGTAAATGGGTGATACTACGATTGTCTACCTACCTCGCACCACGATGCACCGGATGCGTGGCTGAAAGATCGCGACTTCGAGCTGCGCGGTAGCCCGTGCGCCCACTGAATGAGATTGACACTCGTCGCCGCATAGCAAGGCAGTTTGATCTATATCCTCGCGAAAATTCACTCGGAAGGCGGCTGCTTGGTCGACCATCAAGCCTCGGCCTCGTGATCGTTCCCTCTTGGATGCTTGGCCCTCGCCACTCTATTCAGTCTATATCCCAACCTTTGCCATTCCTGTGCCTGCGCGCGATGATCACACAAGCAGGAACGGACTACGTATACCTCACACAGCGGTGTATCTACTACACTGGTAATAAATTGAACTCAGTTGTCTCGAGAACCGTGTCTAAGAAGTCTTCTCGTGAGCGAGGGGACAATTTCTGGAAAGGGCAAAGGAAAGAACGAACCGGAGGAACTGATGTGAGCGCAGAGCAGCCGGCAAGTACCACTTCACTGGCAACGTCTCGCAATGCCTGCAGCGGTACTCAGCCTTTCCGGACTTGAGGTTCGACCGACTTTGAGGCAGAGCCTCAGGATGGCTGCGAATCACGGTCTCTGTTAGCAGGAGTACAACTCGAAAAAGGACACGCAGCGCTACTCACTGCTGCGCAACATGTGCGTCAAGCCATAGCGCGGGTATCGAAACCCCGCATCGGCCGCACGCTCGTCTCCTGGACTTTGTGCTCTTGAGGAGACCAGCCTTGCGAAGGGTTGATTCAGATATGCGCCGTAGGCCTACAGCGCGCTTGCGAAGTAGAGGATGCGCCGTCGCTTGGCGTCGGAGACTTGGCAATGGCAGGCCTTCCTTGCGAGCGCTCTTTTTGAGTCTGGTGATATGGTCAGACTCAATCGCAACGAGCGGCGGTCAGCGACGTGCCTCGTCTGGTTGACAGAATCCAGTGCCTTCTTGTCCTTCTCAATAACCCTCAGCCATTCGTCCATGTAGACCTGCCACTGTGAGCAGCGGACGAGGGTCAGCTCGGCACCGCATGGAAGACGCAGACTTACCACAGATAGAACGCTAGTCCGTCTGGTGCGGACCGAATATTTCTGACGAGTCGCATGAGTACAGGCCAGAAGTGAAGATAGAAATCAGAGTCACCTCAAAAAGCGCTCGTTCGCGACGTATACGCTCTTCCGGCGGCGCTGCCGTGACCTCGTCGTGGTACTCTTTCCGAGCTGCCAGAAGGTCGCGATGGAGAACACCGTGGGTCGCTTCGTCGCGTCGTCTCTTTGTTCTGGTGACCGTCGGGAGCCACGGAATAATATGCCGGTCGATTTTGAGAGCGCGAGGCTGGCGGTACCGGTTCTTCGGCAGGAGAAACTGGACCTCGTCGCTAATAAGCGCATAAGCGACGCGCAAAATGCGAATAGCACCCGCAAGCTCTTACTGATAGAATTTCAGCCGGCAGTGATCCTGAGGTGGCGGCATGTATAAGGGAGCGGCAGGAATAAGGCCAGTTATACTCACCGAGCAGAGGCGAAGTTGAATTTGCAGCAACTCCGGGGGATTGTACGTCCCTGATTTGCAGACCTGTTCGCGTGCATCAATGGGGTGAAAGAGGGATACTGCGTGACAGAACATACATGGCAACAACCCAGCCCAAATAACATCTCGGTGTATCTAGCACTGCCGAAAAGCCCAGGCTTCCAAGGATCGGTGATGCCAAAGAAGTCGCGCATGGCTGCGTACTTGACGGGATCGCGAATGAAGCGCATGTAGAAGCGAGGATCCGGCGGCGGGTGAGGGAGGTTCAAGGGAGATCGAGCGAGAAGCGCGCCGTTATTGTGATCAATGATGTTGCGAAACAGGTGGCATGTACTCCGCACGGCGAAGAGAGTCATGGGTAGGCAGTAAGAAAAGACGATGTGCCACAGTTCAACGGAAAGGCTTTCACGATGATGTGGCGCACACAGAGTGTCGAGAGTTTTGTGGCGGGTTCTCTTGGGCCTCCAGCGGCGCGTCATTTCTAAGTAGAAGCGCGCAACAGAGTCCGAGTAGAAGCAGAGCACAATGCTGGGAAAGGTCCTTGACTGGTTTCGACCACTCGTGCGTTGATAGTAGAGGATGGAAAAATGGGCGATGACAACGGCCACGACCCAGACATGAACAAGAGCGAAACAGAGGCAAGGCTGTGAAGAGAACAATGAGAAGCTCCGGACCGTACGCCGGGCCGAACCACGTGCCGCAAGCTAGGGTGTAAAACGGGCGGACTGGTCGTCGACCAGGTGTTTGACCGCGGTCAAATTGGAGCTCAGCAACCGCGGTCTCCACCCCCGGTCGGGCTGCGGTCGACCGCGGTCAGCACGTGGTCAGCGTGGCACTGAGTACATGTGCACCCACAACCTACATGCTCCCCTCACACAGCTCTTGTCGTCTGTCGTGCGAGCGAGAAAACATCACTACAATGATTTGTATGACATGGAAGACCTGTAGAGTACTATTCTAGAACTACGTGGCTGTAGGTTCCTTCAAGGCAGTCTGAAGAATATGTACTGCCCTTTCCACACTGAAGGTCGGGGACCTGGCCATCGAGCCGACAAACATAGAAGATTTAAACGTGTCATGCGACGTCTGCGTCTGCATGAAGTTTACCTCCCTCCGTCCTTCTGAGAATGCGCGCTCGACATCGACAGTCGTGACTTAAATGAATTGTCAGAATGGATTCGCCTGATACTCGGCAGACATACCCGGGGCAGAGCAATAGTCGGACGCGTAGCGAGCGAGGCAGGGGGTCGTTGACCATTCCTGGTGCCAGTATTTCATGACCCCTCCCCGCTTATCGAGCTGAGCCTTCGAAATGACGGGAGTGTTGAGGTAATGATTAATGTCGTCGAGAATTTCGGCAGGCGCTGGCAAGGGCGGCGCTTGCGCCATGCGCACCGCACCCCATCTTCCTGCGTCGCTAGCCAATGGGGGCGTAGGCTTGAAGGGCAGCATATCAAGAACAAGCTCCAGCACAACAAATGAAAGGCGTACCTGTGGCGCCGGAGACGGAACCGGGGACTTCGGGGCATACGACTTGGTCCAGCGGTGTACAATCTTGTCGCGGACCTTCTGTACTTCGTCCTCGCCCCACTGATGCTTGCGAAACCAGGCGAGCTTCTTGTCAGGCGACATTACTGCAATAAATACAATTAGAACGCGCTTAGTGGCACAGGGACAGTCACGTACCAATCGCAATTTTATAAGCTTCACATTCATCCGCTGTCAGCGAGAAATACTTCGTGGTCATGAGGAGGCCGGCATGCGCAGCGACGCGAACTACAGGCGAGGCCGGAAGTCCTTTGGCATTGGTCTCGCTGTCTCGGATGAGGGTGAGATGCGCCTTGACGTCTTCTAGGCCATCCAAAACTTCCGTGACGAGTGGTGTCTCCTTCTTCGAGAACTCCTTCGTCAAAGGGACAAAGATCTGTGTTCTCGTTAGCCTAGCACACCGGCGACGGTCAAAAAAGCCGTACATGAAGAAGGTCCTTCAGCTCCTCGGCGAGATCCCATTGTCGGCTCGTCAGGCGATAAGCTTGGAGCTTGAGGTCGCTTCGGTTGGTGAGGGTCTCGACGACGGGCTGTAGGACGAGGTGATCATCGAGACAATTGAAGTCCGAGTTCCAGCGCGTCGCAACGCGTCGAGATAGGGAGGTGCGGTTGTCTGGCACCGTTGCGGTCTTGAGGATCGCCCAGAAAGCCTCTCCCAATGTTGACGGAGCGTCATTAACGCGACGCGCTAGTCCGGCGACCTGCACGGCATTAGACTGCGCCCACAAAACACTAAATGGCTGATTAGACTCACCTTCGTCATGATGGCGATACATTCCTTGGCCTCGTTGTCAGTGAACGACACGCCTCGAGCGCGCATCTCGGATATGGCACGGCCCTTGAGCGTCTTCGCGGCGGCCTCGTCGTGAGCAATCTGGCCCGCCGGAAGTTGTGCCGCCTCCTCCACTGCCTGGGCTTCAGTGTCCTGAGCGAGGACCGTGTTGTCAGCGCTGTCGACACCATCTGCATCCTCTTCATCTTCATCGTGATCTTCAACGGGTGTGGTGGCGCTGGCCAGACCAGCGACTGGCTTCTTCTTCTTCGGCGGCTTGTAGAAGAACGCGAGTATGACCTATCGGCATGCGTGAGATGCATAAAGAGTGCAGACCGGGTGACGTACCTTTGCGATTAGGTTGAGGATATGAAGCAGGCAGCGCAGCCTCCACTTCTTTCCGCGGAAATGCGGCAGCCAGTTCGCAAGCTCCTCTGCCGTCGTGTCACAGTTCCCCGCGTTGTCCATGTTCAGGAGCATTAGCTGGCATGTAGTGAGCGTCAGGACTTGCAGGCAAGCGCGATTGACTGACCAAATCCTGAATTTTGAACCGACTGAGGCAACGAAAGATCTCCTCAGCGAGATAAGCGCCGGTGTGGCGCTCCGTCAACCTGTCAAACTCGGATCAGCAGAGATTCGAGACTCAATGAAGTTGGAACCTACTTGATAAACTCTAGCAGGCAGCGGTGTAGCTCACCCTCCGCATAATACTGAATCACGAGGCCGAGTTCCCCGGTACCAATGGGACTTGTCCACCCATCGAGCATGAGATGGAACGGAAGTCCCCGCCCCTACGGACAAAGCGTCAATACCATTGAGACAAGATCCACCTGCGACTCACACGTAAATATTCACCCAAATCCCCCGAAAGTCCTTGATATAATCGCCGGACATCTTCCGCAACTGTCGGAGGCGAGGGGATCGGTGTCCCTGGGCGGAGCATTTCGATTTCCGCGCGATAGAACTTGTCATTGACCATGTGGTATGGACGATGGCAGGCGGCAGCGCGTAACGCAATTAAGGTACGATGCGCGGCGACAGAATACTCAAGCTCGGGAGCAGCCGATGATGTCACGCTCGTTACCCCGCGCCGCGCATCGCAACGTTCCGCGGTGTCCTTCAGCGAGTGCGTCCCGAGGCTGGTTTGCATTCGGGGGCGAGATAGAAGACGGTGAGAGGGGTGATTATGCTTGCAGTGGAAATGGACGGTGATCGCCAGGTAGTCTGGGCTGTGCATGTCGAGATTGCGCGAGATGGTCATGTTGTAATGGTGATAACAGTCCGCCGTCAGTGTAGTACGATACGCAGCTTGAAGAACAAAAGCAGTCAATAACGGATCATCTCAACAATGTCGTGTGACGCACCGAGAACTTCTTCATCAGAGATGCTCTTGATGTGAATGTCCCGATCATGCATCCGCGCTATATTATCACCTCCGACGACACCTTTCCTAGCCTTTCTCTTCCTTGGACCATCAAAAACAGTAGGGTCGTGGGGTGCCGGACGCTTCTGCCCTATGCCGGATGAGGATGTTTGAGAGTACGCGTGGGGGAGGGCCGGGGGAGGGGATGCATGTGTTGGGTAAGGGTACGTTGCCGAGGTCGCCGGTGTGTGATAGAACTGATCGCTGCTTGGGAAAGGATAGGTACCCGGAGCTGGGGGATAACACCACGGTGATGAAGATGACGATGATGTCGATGCAAGTGATTCGTGAGAAGAGGAGGATTGATCGAAGGCGCGGGGTGCGAGGGGAGGTCTTTGGGACATCAGCGCGATGAGGAAGTTACGGCGGCGGAATACTGGTAGAGAAAAGGGCTTGAGGGGGCGGTCTCCAGGTTTATAAGATGACTGCAGCGTGTTATCAACTAAGGTAAATAACACGAACATGTTTGTTGACTGGTTGCTAGTATACACAATGGTAGAGCGCGTTTGACGCGACGCGATAGCTGCGCGTAGGGCGCGTGGATGCGACGCGTCTTGGTATGACATCATTTTCCGCGCTGACCGCGGTCGACCGCAGTCGGACCGTGAACCGTGGGATTATGCGACCGCCCGGGCGAAAACCGTGATTTCGCGGTACGGTCACGGTTCTTCCGGTCGACCGCCGACCGTTTTACACCCTACCGCAAGCCGGCTGCATCGAAGTTCTCCTCATGCCACCATGTGGCATTGTCAATGCCATCTGGTCCACGCATTCGTGGCTTACACAATAGACGACATACACAAAGAATGCTATGCACGGTCATAAACCGATCATGGAACTGGTATAAATTCAGCCTCAGGCGCAATGGCTCCGACCTTCGCCCAAGCTTGCTCTGACGATGTCTGCGAAGGCCCCTCTCCGAAAGCGCGCCCGGATTGGATCTCCACCGCCCCAACTCTCTTATCTCTCCGCGAAGTCTGTCACTCCAACTGCCTCACTGATCGACAGATTTCCGAACGAGCTGTGGTATACAATCCTCAAGTCTTGCTCAGCTGCTGATCTGTGCTGCTTACGCACCGCGCACCCCCATCTTCGCACTCTTGTTGACGACAAGAAAATGAGGCTTCTCAAGGAGGCCTTCAGAGGCACCGGTCTCCCTTCATTCTCTGATATTGAGGCGCGCTGGCCGGAATATGATCTGAGTTGGTTTTCTGCCGCCTTCATGCCGACAGTCGAGGACAATGCCACCGCGTACATCCTTATGATGTGCGGAGGACGGTGCTCTGTGAGTCAGTGGCATGGACTGGCTTCGTATGACTCACTCCGAATTAGGTTTGTGACGCGTGGACTGGTGCGCCGCCTTTCTCAAGCAATTTGTGTGTTCGTCTGTGCGGATCTGTACGTCGCTACCTCATCCTTCCTCAATACTGCAATTCACAGCTCATTCTCTAGAGCGACTGCACTGCTCTAATGTTCTCGTACGTCGATTGCCCGTCGTGCCCATCTTGGCTGCTCATGCACGTGCAGAAATGCGTATTCGCGCCGCGAAGGATGCTCTGAGGATGAAGACTTGTCTTTGCCGACCGAAGCGAGTTACTGGCTCCCATATCTACATGTCATCGGACCGACCGCGCAGCCTCCCTCGCGCGGTTCCTGCGTGTGGTACGGTTTATGGCCCTACCTCCAACGTCGTGACTGTAGATACCTTCTCTGCAATATCCGCCAGGCATTCGACGAACTGTCTGCCATTGATGGGGATTGTCGACCAAGCGATGGTGCCCCGGCATGGTCCCTCAGCGCCTGCCCGCAGTCAGACGACATCGACGATCTTCTTGAGGTACGTATCCTTCTGTTCTGCCTTAGACTCGGTGCATTCATGTTGATATCCGTCTAGAAATATGGGACACGTGCTATCGCCCACGAAGCAATGGAGACCGTTCGTATCATCCCCTCAAACTACCATCGATGAATGAAGGCTCATGGCGCTCTACAGATATTCCTCGAGATCGCGGAGTGGAGGCAAGGGAACCAAGTCGCCAGCGCCCCCATCCGCGAGGCCAATCTACACACGTACGTCTCTCGCCATCATACTATGCGAGCGCTCACCCGTCATCAGCCTGCGCACGGTCGTCAACGACTTGCACATGGACTTCGGGCTGATTCGCAAAGACCCGCTTACCCAGCGAGTACTTGCAGCCCACGCCCGCGACCTCGCCCTCGTCTACCCGTCGACTTTCCTGTATCTGAGTCCTCCGCCCCAGTCCGGAAGTCACGAGGATGGGCCCATCGTGCAAGCCGAGGAAGCTGAAGCTACCGTGGCCTCGAGCGAAGATCTCAGCGACGGCGCGGACGCGTCCGCAGCGTCGTCTTCCCGCCGTCCCTCACGCCTCATAAAACGCAGAGCAAAGCCGGATCGCAAGGCGCGGAAGCAGTGCGTACTTGCTCGACGATGACTTCTTCTGCCGCTGATGTACTTTCTTAGGTGCAAGCTTGCTCAGGCTCGGTTCGCTTGTAGTGAATGCCTGCACACGCAGTTTACTGCGAGGTCAGAGCTCGATCGGCATATGTCAGAGAGGTGTGTCGCTTTCCTCCACATCTTGCCTATGTTGCTAACATTCGTTGACCAGCCATGGCGAGTCGACTTCGTCGTCGTGTTGTGTGGCTTGAAAGTATTCTAGCGATGACGATAGAAGAGATGTCAATTTATGAGGATAATTCCCGTATACAAGAGGACGAGAAAGCTGGCCATCTTCGTAGAAGGGATATAACCGAATGTCCAATATCAGCTAGCAGTCAGTTCGCACCAAAGTGCGGTCAGTCGTGAACTGCATAGCTGGGTTCAGCGCATGAGTGTCGTCGCGAGATGCAGACCAGTGGGCGACTGAGACGGCAGTAGGCGGAACTCAAGCGCGAAGGCCGCCGCAGGCTAGGCTGATCAGGAGGATACCAGCGGCGGGCGAGGACGCGCCGACGCGGTGGTCGTCGAGCCGATTGTGGCAGGACGAGTCACAGAGGCCGGCCCGCACAGTCCGGTCCGCGTAAGCTGGCTTGCCTCCAACGTCGACGATCGCACCTCTCCCCTCGATTCAGGCCTTTCTTTGGAACTGATCTCGGCGGTGCTCTATGTTCTGATTACACTCTATCCATCTCTGAAGACGGTGACCAACGGATTGCCGTCCAAGCCCTGTTCCGGCGTCAGCAACGGTTTTCGTTGAGATCCCCAACTACCCTCACCCGCCGCAACGATCGCAGCCCGTAGGAAGACAGAACTGTATTCGTAATTAAGTGAGCATGCCGTGATGAATACGAGGCTCCGTCTCAAACGACCAGGTGCGTGGTCCTTTGGCTTGACTCGATCGCCTGCTCATCCCCGCCACAGAACCCCGCTGGCGCGTTATCGTCTGCTCGAATTTACCGCAAGAATGGCAACCCGGAGGGTCCTCGTCGTCGACACGGGCGCATCAATCCTGTGATAGGACGCCAGTACAACCCTCGATCCTCGGCTAGTCGACTCGCTCGGCGTGCTCGCCGCCTACGCATCGGCGTACGCTGCCTAGCGCGAACTTGCGGTTCGATTCGCCAATCTTATTCACTGGAAGGCATTGTCGATAGTACAGCTTCATATACAGTATCGGACAATCATATACAAGAAACTATCCTAAGCTCTCGCCCAGTCGCCACAATGAGAAGGTTCCAAAAATTGCGCGTATGAACCCGCCCCCACAGAGAGTCGGCCCTGCAGCGAAGCGGACGCGTGACACGAGAGATCATCACCCAGCCTGTCCAACGGACGCCCGATGAAGGGTACTGTCCATCGGAGCCGGGATGCCTACGACCGCGGGGCAAGATGCCAGTTGAGTAGTGCCACTAGCGTGGAGCTCACCTATAGCACCGCTATGCGGACGGCATCAACGCAGCCACCCGAAGGCAGCCGCGCGAGCTGGCACCTCTCCTCTCCCGACACGCCGCGCGGTCGTGAATCGCGCGACGCCACAGACCAGTCCCCGACCGTCAGCCTCTCGGAGCGCTGGATCAAGGACGCAGGGACCGCGCAGCGAGCTGCACATTCGACTACGTCCGATCCTCGGGAGGAGTTTAGGCGAATCGTAAAGGCGCTGGCCTGCGAGGAAGAACATGGAGAGTGATGGTGAAGGTCAAGAGCAAGCGATGGCGTCTCTTATATGATGTCGGCTCCTGTTGGGCACGTGTTTCCGGCGCGGTCCGGACATCTCTTTGTTGTCTTCTTGTGCATCGCCACGCTTACGAGGAGAGCGGAGCGTTCCTTTGTTCGGAGGACAATCGATTCGGCGTGCATGTTCACAACGGGGAACAAAGAACAGCGGCCGGCTGGCCCGATTGGCGATGCACGTGATACGCCGAGAAAATGCCACGCTCTCGCTCTTGGTTCTGCCACCCATCCTTGTGGAAAGGCGCCACCAAATGGCCGATACACCTCCCAAGAGAGGTCACCGAGGAGGGTGTGGCACATGCTGCTCACCCTATGAGGTGGTTTCTCGGCGCTCTGAGAGGTTGACCTTTGGGGAGGCTGATCTGCAAGAGGCGGTAGGCGCCGTGCACGCGTTACTGCAGGCTGAAATATGCTTGACAGTGTCGTTGATGCGGCTTTCGTCGCGGATGCTATAGAGGGACCCATGTTTGTGGCCTTGCCCTTTGGCATTCGCATAGGAGGCGCGGGCTATCCATGATGCTTGACTACCCTCGGGCGAGTCATGAGGTCACTGGAAAAGCCGGGTGTTATTTCCGCTGGGCTACCTGCAGGTAGTAACACGTGCCCGTGTACATGGAGGCAACTCTTCGGAGGCATGTATTTTTTGGAACCTATCGTGGATTGACGATTCGGGAGAGCAGCACTAGAAGGCATACTACATGTATCCAGTAATGGTTTCTTGACTCTTGCAGACATAGCTTGGCTGCGTAATCCTCACGCAACTGATGAATGTGTGAGTTCTTTCAGACTTACACTGGGGGGTGGTCTCCCCGACGACGACTCGAACTTCGTTTGCCGGAGGACAATGGGACCGGTAGCGCCGGCCCGATCGGCCGTCAGCACCGTCAGTGTTCTTTTCGACTACCATGTCCCTCAGCTTTGCTCGTCCGCCTGGACTCAGTGACTCTCGCTGGCCTACCCTGCTCAAGACACGGGTCAATGAATTGCTTCTTTGCTTCGCATGGGCACCCCTGCTTCGCTACACCTGTCGTTGACCAGGAATACCTCAACACGTCTACTGATCTGCGCGCTCCTTATGTTGGCGAATCGCGACTCACGCAAATTTCATCGCAAAATACTTGCTTGATAGGAATCATACAAGTGCGCCTGCCTCCGCTCTTGATTAGCAGCTACCCCATTCAATACTCTCATTCCTGAGGTCTTGGCGAATACCACTGGCATTATAGGCTACCATCTCAAGCGCGACTCGATGTATATGTCGCTGACCTCAAATCCTACTCTTTGAGCTCCGTATGTACTGATCCTCAGTCCGCACAGCGCTCGTGCTTATAGAGGGAGAAAGACGCTGGGCGAAGTCGTCAGGCTGACATTCATTCCCCAGAGACGTCTTGTTGCGATAACGCTACTTTGCAATCTCATCGTTTGCATCTTCGAGCATCCGCGCATTCCTACGTCCTTCAGTTCTACGATTCTCTCGCTTCGACTGCCCAGCCGTCAAGACCTCTGAGTGAGTGCTCGGTCATCTATACCAGTTTTCATCTCATCCCTCAAATTCACCATACCCTACCTTGCCTTACAGCCCTTTCCTTCTCGAATCGCCTACACGCCTCCGCAGACAGACCTTCATATACTCGCGAAGCGCTCTGCCTCCCTTCCAACGCGTCCTTCGTGCCCTTGCGGAGAGTTCGCTATGGCCTGCGGTTTTCCGAATTGGAGTGCCTTTCCGAATTCCGCGGGAGGATGCGGAAGGTCGTATACAGCGGCCTCGGATACGAGTGCCCAGCGGCGCCTACGAAGAAGGCGCCGCCGCACGGGACTCGGCAGGCATATATAGGCGCACCGCAGGCGATCGTGGCCGCTCTTCCCTATATCGCCCGCGCCTTCTCCTTCGTCGTCGAGCGTAGTTGACGTCGTCTTCTTCACTCTCCATCATGGCTCCGTTTGACAGGATCAAGCCTAAGTTCAGGGATTGGTGAGTTGACCGGGGCAGCGACGGTGAGCTCTTGCTGACATGCCCTGCCTAGGTATGCCGTCGAGGCGCTGCCCATCTGGATCATCATCGGTACCGTCGGCGGTCTCGCCGCCCTCTCCATCGTCCGCGCCGTGCACGCGCCCAGCGTGCAGTGGACTAGTGCGTATCTCCTGTCAATGGCTCTCGCGCTGGTGACTGACCCGTCGACCATCACAGAGGACAACCCAACGCCGTGGAACCGCATCAAGCAGGATGAGGGCGTCAAGCTGCTGCAGGTGAACCAGACCTTCGACAAGAAGTACGTAGTCACCTCTCTTTTACGCCGTTTCTTGCTGATCGTCCGACCAGGTGGCGCCGAGACGAGTACTAAGGATGCGGCCCACTGTCGTCTATCTATCTCTCTTCGCCTTAGCGTTTTGCATATCCTCATCCCGCCTATCACTGGCGCGACCCAATTCCCCTCGCTCTGGGACCCCGTCGACCGACTTGGCGGAGGCACTCACTGGGCACGCCAGCATACGTTACACTCCATGTATATATTACTGCAATCGAACTGTATCAACGACATCTTCAACGACGTGATTATGGCCCTCTGAAAGTCTTCGAACGTGTGGCGCCTTTCTAATTTGTGGAAAGGTGCCCCGCCCTTGGCTGCACTCTACTATAACTCCTGTGACCTGACCATAAAGCAGCGTCCAGTTACTTGTTCAGAAGCATGCTATGCATCTGAAAGCGGTGAATTATCAAACGAAGACGCGGCTTGGAGGTTGCCCACGCCCGCTTGCGAGCAAGCATGATGCCAGACCATACCCTGGCCTATGGACCTCGCATGGCATGCGGCTCAGCACAAAGATGCAGATGCGAGCTCGGGTAGCAGAACAAGCTCGTTGCTCTCGCTAAACGGCAGGAGTTGCTGAGCTGCACTTGTCTGCCCCGCGCCGCCGCTGGCTTCCCGCCCGTGTTGCAGATTTCGCTGATCAGAACGCTTTGCGCCCAAAAAGCCATTGACTGACGGCTGGGCACTAGGCGGCACAATAGATAGCTGATGCGAGCGAGGATGAGATGCCGAGAAGAAGCAGGAGTCCCGGATTCCCGGTTGGTACAAAACCGCACGCGTCGACGGCGGCCTGAATCGCGAGGTGCAGCCTTGAAACGGCGAGCAAGTGCAGACGAGCAGGCGTCCAACCTTGATGTAGTAGAAGCGAAAGTTACACTCCGTGGTTTGCCCATGCGCATAATCATAGTGTCAGTCAGGCATACATGCTTGGTGTGATATGTAAAGGAGGAGAAAGTACATGCGTCACGCCAGCGGCACAGCGCGGGAGCGTGAAGGATGGCCAAGGGAGGCGAGGCGCCTACTCGGTGTCGACGACAACGGTCTCGAGACCCTTGAAGGAGGGGACCTCGACGTGGGAGGCGTAGGTGTACAACTTCTCCTTTGCGTTCTCGTCGTCGTTGCGCTTGCCTGGAATAGAGTGAGTACGACGTTGAGAAGGTACATTTTCAGGGATGGAAGGGGGACGGAGGAAAAAGGATGCCAGATCACGCCAGTCATGACCGCCGAAGGGACAGATGGACCACGCTAGGGTACGGATGGCGAGCGTCCATCATACCGTCCTAGGCTGCCGCCCTCCTGCATCATGTAGCCCGGGAGCTCCCCAATGCAGAGGCGAAATGAACGGATTGTGCGACTCACGCTCAAGCTTGACGCGGATACGGTGCGGCACGCTCTTGATACCGCGAGACCAGATCGCCTGGTTGAGCTTCGGGTCGATGCGCACGTCACTGCAGCACGCATGTAAGCCAAAAGCAAATGGGAAGGTGCAATGTACGCACGTCGTGCCCATCGCCTTTTGTGCGAACTCGACAACCGCCTTCACCGCCTTGGGTGACCGCTTCTTGAACGAAGCACCTGCAATTCGATCGATCAGCAAGCGGTCAATGAGGTAGGGAGTCTTTTACGCACCGTGTACGCGCTTGTGCAAGTGGACGGTGTATTCGCGGGTGACGACGTCGGAGAGCGCAGAGCGCGTCTTACCGGTCTAAGGGAGGGGGAATTGGGGTTAGTTTGTGATGTCTACATTGCCATTGCAAACGGACGTGCCCTTTTCTTGTCGGCGGGAGACTGCATAGTTCGTGAGCATCGGTTCGTCGGGGACGCATACGCTACGCACCATGGCGATTGTCTGAAGTCTTGATGGGGCCCTTGCCTGCTTGCTCTCGCGCGACGCAACCTCTCGAGTCTCGCTGATCGGTATTGTTTGCCGCACCCGCCATCGCCAAACACTACTCACGTGGAAGCACAAAATGTGGCTTTGTCACGTGAGTAACGCTATGCAGGTCTCGGTACTTCCCGAAAATCGACCACTTCGCCTTCCTCTGATGCCCACGTTCGAGACTGTTAGTCGGGGGGTGCTCGCTTGCGCGGGCGTCCATAGAATCCCATTAAGCCGTCACCCTCTTGAACTTCATCTCTCGTCGTGTCGCTTTCGATCGATTCGGTCAGCCTAGGGCGCGATGACGACGCTGTCTCGATGTCCACCTCCCCAAGTAGAATACCAATCCTTGCTGTGGAATATATTCTGTTTGACTCTGCTATATTCCAATTGTGCCAGGCTGTCGCAGGTCCAGGCGGCTTGGAGGACTTCGATGACCTTCTCACTGATACCGACATCGCAACAGCGCGTGGGCCGGACCGCTGCTGTCCTCAACTTGTCCTCATCACCCATGCAGTACCTCTCTAACGACCTAGCGATGAGTGCTGGATATATCTTACTTTCGTCCCTCCCATTAGCAGCTACCGAGCTGAGAGCTCTACTCGCTCTGTATCAGTTCGGAGTGGCGGTACGCGTTTCGCCAAGCAATACCAGGGCGACGACGACGACAAGAACGCCGACGCAGCAGAAGGCCGTCATGCAGAACTCCAGAAGCAAATCATCCTTCCGAATCTCCTTCTCGAACCACGCAAGGGTGTGTGGTAGGGGTTCCTCGTCTCCCCCCTCAAGCTTCATCAATACAGTACACCCCTCCCATCCAAGAAGCGCCGACATATCCCCTGTCTAACGCCACCTCCAGAGTCCAATATGTCGTCCGACCCGAGTTCGAGGAACGAACGAACCTGGAACCCGCGCGCCCCAACATATCGAAACACGGGCCCCATCAGCACCTGACCGTCCGACGAACACGACGGCGAACCCCAACCGATCGGTTTATATAGGGACGCGCGCGCCCTTGGGCGTCCCCTCCACGCCCACCCTCAGTGAACGTCCAACATGCGCCTCTCGACCTCGCTGATCGCCCTCGGTCTCGCTGCCTCCGCGTCCGCGCGCATCGCCGGCAGGCAGAACGTCCCTGGTACGTTGCAGTCACCTCGAACGCAGCGATCGAGCTGACCCTTCCTTTTCTTCCACCCACCCCATCTCGACGCGTCCACGCACGGTATCCCTATACCCCTCACGCCATCCAGACTGCCTCCTCACCTGCATCGCGACTGCCGACACGTCCAGCTGCGACTCCAGCGACACGGCCTGCCTGTGCGGGAACGACACCTTCGTCTCCAGTGTCACGCAGTGCGTTCAGAGCAGCTGCTCGGCGGACGATGTGCAGGCCTCTCTCCAGGGCGCGCAGGCCGTCTGCGCCGGTGCGGTGAGTCTATTCGATCCTCGTCTCCCCCCTTGCTTCCCCCTCCCCCCAACCGCCCTTTGAGCGAGCGCTGATCATCGTCCGCACTCCAGGGCGTCACCCTGAGCGACATCCCCACGGGTAGCGCGTCGGGCAGCGGTAGCGCGAGCGCCACGGCTACAAGCTCGGGCGGCAGCCAGACCACGTCCGGCAGCGCCAGCACATCGGCCAGCAACTCAGGCAGCTCCTCGGCCAGCCAGACTTCGAGCGCCGACGGCTCCGAGTGCGTTTGCTATCTTTCAACTTCCCATACTATGCTAATCGTTCGACAGGGAAACCGGTGACGAGAACGGTGCCTCTGCGCATGGCGCGAATACCTTCGTCGGCCTTGCTGCCGTTGGTCTCGCTGCGTTCGTGCTCTGAGCATGGGACGCGCCTCTTCTACTTCCTCTCGAGACCTTCACGACCCTGCATGAACCGTCAAAAACCTTCGTCTTCTCTATTGCGCTGTAGGCGCCTTTCGGAACCTTGCAATTCATTGGCCATGCGCAGAAGGCTTCTCTGCTGCCCTCCATCAGGTGTTCTCGGCTTCGTGTATTCTGCCCATCGCAAGTGCGGGATTCGATTGACGGTAAGGATGCTATTTCCCATCTTTTTCTGGATGAGATCCCAGCTCGAGCGCTGCATCGCGGTCAGCGAAAGATGGAGCCCATCTCAGCTGACCGGACGCTATTCAGCATAAAAAGGTTGAAAGGTCTCGTGGTGAGATCCTCTGGGAGAAAGAACCCTCTCGCACCTTCGAGTGGACCCTTCGTGTTGTCTGAGCGAAGACTGGTGACTCCGTATGCGCTTGCCATCGGCGCGCTCAGGGAGTAGGACTGAATGCGTTGCGAGGTCAGCCAGCATCAGGAGCGCGTCATACCCTGATGGTCATTTATCCTTGTTGCCGCAGGACTCGACCCCGAGTAGGATATGCAACGTTCCAGTGCCTCTTATGCCGGACTGCGTCCGTGCCTCACCGGAATTGAGAACAATGGACGCATCACGCCGGCGACGGTCCGGTTCGGGACCGCTCCCGTCGCACGTGACCGTGTCCGCGGAGTGGCGGCGCTTGTCGCCCGCGTCGCGTCACCGTTCTTGTCCTCAACTTCCACCAACCTCGCATTCCGACCCCGATCACGGAACCCCCCAAACTTGATTCCCCTTGGGCAAGGTGAGCTTCGATCTTATCTCCCACCTATTATGCGCCCCAGCTCGGTCCCAAAGCGGCATCGTTCGTATGTGGATAACTTGAATAAACGGTGTTATCACTCTCGTTGGGATTGGCTGTCTCTTCTCTATATCCCGCAGGCCTCTCTTGGCGCCGTCGGCCTCAGGTGCTGCGTAGAGTCTACAGAGACTGCCACTCACGATTGCCGTCATGGCCTGAGAATTTTTACGGCCGTATTTTCTTCGTTTTCAGCCGGTCTGCCGTTGTCCACACGGCCGCGTACAGTGAGCTTCTTCGACACTCTCCTTGACCCGCCCAATGAAAACCAACGCTGACAGCTCTGTCGTCTTACTCACAGCCAAGACCATACGCGCTTCCATCATGTAGCGTTTACGTCGGTCATTATCAATGCTCACCGACTCGCTCATGCAGGCTGCTTATGGGCCTTTGACGGCCCGCCGACGCGAGCTCCGAACACAGCGCTACAAAAGTGACAATAGCTCGCTGGCAGGTAAAAGGTACGATCAGGCCTAAGGCTGGGGTCATGGAGATGCGAAACATGATGTCCCACTCACAATGTCTATCTCAGTCTGCGCAGCCTGCAACGCTAGTGGACCCGCACGGTACTTCCGTACGCCAACGAACTTCGACCGCTGAAGCAAAGTAACTGCGTGTGTGTGGTAACGCAAGCCCCCATTCATCGAAGTCCCTGTCCTTGATGTCAGCCGAAACAATCGACACTGACAGGACACCGTAACTCGTCCGACATCATCAGCCGGTGCATATGCTTGACGCGCAATCAGTGGTGAGCGTAGCCTTCTCTGGGAGCCCCCCTGATTACTGATCGCGCCGATCCCCCGCCTTATATAGGAATTCCTCTGACCGTTGCCGCCTCCACGTTCGTCCCTTCGCCTTTCCCATTTCGCGCTCACGATGGCTCGAGTTGAGCAGGAAGTACTGGACCTCATAGTCGACGACCTCGAGGGCGACTATGGGGCCCTCATGGCTTGCGCGAGCGCCAGCCGGTACTTGCTTCCTCGGGCACAGTACCACATTTTCTCTAAAATTTCCCTCATTCCGCCCAACATCAAAAAGCCACTCTCCGAGGTCCAGCTCAAGGCGCTGAACCTCACGTTGCGGCCCTTCAATATCCACCGCTTCGTGGACATCGTGCGCCGCGAGCCGCGCATCGCCACGTACGTACGCGACCTCGATATCCTCGAGGGCGGCTGGGGCGCGCTCTCCTTCACCAAGCAGGATGAGCACTACGCGAGCCCTTGGGTGGAGGAGTTTTCGGCGGAGCTCTGCGAGCTGCTCTCCCAGTTCACGCGGGTGCGCCGCTTCTCGCTCGGTCGCTGGACGGGAACCTTCCCGCCGCAGCTGAGCGATTGTATCTGGCGTCTCCTCCTGCGGTGTCCTATCCGCCACCTGACGCTATACGACTCCCTCATCCCGATGGCAGTCGTGGAGGGCTGCCCTGGTCTCGAGAGCATGCAGCTTGGCTGCAGCTGCACCTTGGCGGGCCCGGCGGCCAATGACATGTCGCTCGTCGTGTGCGCGCCCAAGGCTGTGCAGCTGCGCGGCCTGAACGTGTCCGGCCTCTGGGGGAACAATGCGATCGTGAAGTCGCTTCTGGCGCGCTTCCTAGACCCGAACTCCGCGCTGGACGCGAGCTCCATCCGGCACCTGTATCTCACGCTCGACTCCGCCGATGGCGAGGAGCTCCTGTGCGTGGCGACGCTTCTGCAGCTGTGCGCGCCGTCGCTAGAGGCGTTCGAGTTTCGGGGCGCGATGAATGTCGGTACGTGTCGATGCTTCTTTCTTGTCACGAAACAGGACGCCCCGACCGACCGCTCACGGCTTCTCTCCCCGCAGACATGCCCATCGAGACGTTCAACCGATACATCGACATATCCTGCTGCCGGACCTTACGCGTGATGACTCTCTCCTGTGGCCTCGAGTCCCCCGACACTGCCGACGACGACTACCGCGACCCGATCCCGGCGGTGATCGAGCTTCTTGGGCGCGTGCGGTGCTCCATCGAGGTTGTCGATCTCAACCTCATTCCCGTCGACCTCGGTGACAGCGCCGATGCGGAGGAGGACCTCGACGTCGCGGACAGCTACGCGCCGTACTGGGAGGCGCTCGACACGTTGGCCTCGGCAGCGTTCCCGCGCCTGCGCGACGTGAACCTGATCTTCCACACGTGGGGCACGATGTCGCGCGAGGTCGAGCACTGCATCTTCTCGCATATGCCCAACCTCTACGGCTCGGGAAGGTTGCGCATCAGCTACTAGGTAAGCCTTCCTTCATACTCCTTGCGTCTGACCCTGACCGACGTCTGTCTCAGGCGTCCATTCTCATCGACTTGATGAACGGCAGGACCGATATATATCGTGTTTGCGCTGGTACCTTTCTTTGGACCAGGCGCAAGCACTTTTTACTTACGGTAGTTTCCGGCTTGTCAAAAGAGAGCTCCGACGTTTCAGGAGCGCTGTTGCATCGTACCTCCTTTTGACGAACCGGGTCTGTACTTCGAACTATGGCCTTTCACCGCTCGCACTATGCGCTGCGACCCTCCTTATATATTGGATTCTTGTCGTGTAGGAAAAGAGTGTAAAATCAATGTAGGACGATTTGAATAACAGTGATGCAAGGTGGACGAACTGGAAGCTGGAAGCAAGGGTAGGAGCGTCCTGGTAAGCATTGGCTCGGTCGTTAAGGTCGGCGCTGGCTTTTTAGGAGAAAGTGGGCGGCCTCGCCTGTAGTACGAATTGGTTCCGTCGAAGGCGCGCCCACGGCAAACGCCGACGCCGGCGGATGCGGCAGGTCCGGTTTTCCCACGTGATGAAACGTGCTTGTTCCCGGCCCTCATCTTCTTGTGCTTTGACCGCCCTACTTCCTCGACCGGGCCAAGGAAGCTGTGTACTTCCTATGCCACCCTTCTTTTCAGAGCCTGAGGCAGTACAAAAGCTCGCGTTCGATACCTTACCTTGGGATGTCATACTTCACATCCTCGATTTTGTGCCGCCTCTGGACATCATAGCACTGCGACGGGTGAGTGGCGGTTTCTCTCCACCCTACTTATGTCGCTTATAAAGTTTTCGTCAAGACCTGCAAACTCTTCTGTGTTGCGACTCAGCAGCATGTCGTCTGGATACATGCTTTACGGGCCGTCTGTTACGAGAATAACCTCTATGCGGACATTTTCGCGCCCGAGGATCTATCTAGGGTGCACATAGAGCTGGCTGCTACAACGCCGAGTCGCTTCATACGGCGCGTCAAGGAAGCTACTAGTAATCCTGACGCCATGGACGTGGAGCCGACTCCCGTACCTGCACCCCTTCTCGAGGGCGAGGGCTCGTCTCGACCTCAGGAAACAGCACCGCGGAAGGAGCTACCATACCTCGCGCCACTGTCTATTAGAGCGCTCAACCTTCCGGCCATCGCAGAAGCCCCTCTCTGGCATCTCGCCGACGCCGTAAACGAACTTCGCCTCGCCCCCGGTGGGCGTTATCTCGCGATGAACCACTACTGGGATATGCAGATCTGGGACCTAGGGCTTCATGCATACGACGAGCCGCGCCTTATTGCGACCCATACCTTCCCCAACAACGGCGATTTTGTCATATATGGTATCTGGATCAAGCCGGATGGGCGTGGCTTGCAGATTCAGACGAACTTCCTCTGCGCGTAAGCATCTTCAGTGCGAATCAGAGGCGATTTAACCATCAACTCGTATACAGGGATCCCCCGCGAAATGATCTCGCCATCTGGGAGATATACCCTTCGGAGCCAGACCCTCAGTTGAGGCCCGTGGCGTCCCTTGTGCGAGGACCTATGTTGACTTACGAGTGTCGGGGAGGGTCAAGGGTTGCGATATCCGAGGAGAACACAGTGGGCGTTTGGGATCCCACGTTGAACACGCTCATCACCTGGGTGGTACCCGCCGAGATGGTCACTGTTCGTCTGACTCCCTTCCTCGCGTCTTTCCGCGACTCACTGACTACTCGCAGATGCTGATTATCCAAACACGCGCCATCTGCCTCTACAAAGACCGCATTACCGTCTACGAGGTTCCATACATCATCCCCCGGTCCGACGGCGTCCTCCAGGAAGAACAACACGAGCTCGCGCCCATCTGGACCACCCTCCTCCCCTACTCCGTCGACGACTACTTCCTCCCCGCGAGCTGGCCCTACAGCGCCGACCGCGGCATGCCGCGTAGCGACCTCTACTTCGGCCTCACCGAGGCCGTCCCTGCGCGGAACTACATCTACCGTGTCCCCGCGCGGCCGCGCCCCATCGCCGACGCGCCCGCCGTCGAGCTCGTCGCGGTCGTCGACGTCGAGGGCCCCGTCCCCCCGCGCCTCGACAACTTCCTGCAGCGCCCCGTGCGCATGTGCGAGGGGCACCTCGCGCTTATGTCGGAGCCTTCGACGAGGGAAGAGGTGAGGCTGCAGATCGTGCAGGAGCCGAGGCCGTGGCAGGGTCCGTTGGACGCGTCAGCGGCGGCGGGTGACGAGGGCGATATTCTGCCAGGGCGTATGCCGGGAATGTGGCCGCCTGCAGGGCTGCCTGCACCTAGTTCGTCGGACTCAATGGTCGTGGATGAGATCGATAGCGCGCTGCGTACTCCTACCTGGTCGGTCGCCTTGTACAAAGGAGACGGCGACGTGATTGATTTCGAATTCGACGGCGCGTCAGGCAGGGCATGTGCTATCACGGACGAGTACGAGGTACTTGTATTAGATTACTTACAATCACCGGGATATCCGTAGCTATACGGAGCGGGCTATCATACATCATACACAGAAGATACTCGTAGTACACTTACATCCAACCAAGCACAGACCCATTGAACGCAAACCCAACCAAACACAAATCCAGCAATATTCCGGGACCTGATGACACTACTAGAACTCTGGGTTGAATGGTCCTTCGTGACTGGGAAGCGCATGAGGGAGACTGAAGAGGGCGTGGGCAGGGTCGTTTAATAGGCGGACGCCGGCGAGCGTGCTGAAGGCCGGCTCCTTGATCTTGATGAACGGGTGGCTCTTAGGGTGGGAGTTGGGTTTCGCCTCGCAGGCCGAGCAGTGGTCCCAGTCCTGACAATGCGGGTGCACACATTTGAACCGGGGCCCGACGATGGTCTCGCCGCACAGATCGCACGTCGCGGTATGCACCACCCCGTCCTGCGAGAACCCGGTCAGCTCACCACGAACGCGCACAAGAGACTGCACTCACTCAAGTCTGCGTCACCGGCGGCGCTTCATAACCTTCAAGCGACTCCCTCAGCTCCTGCCGCATGATCCTCATCTGCACAGCCTGCGGCAGATTGGCCACCTTCTCGCGGATATCCCGCACGAGCCCATACGGCGGCCACCCCATCCGCGCGCCCTCGTCCAGCGTGGGCGGCGTGTCGCGCAGGATGAGGTCCTGATACGCGGTGCTCAACCAGACCGCGTTCATCTTCGTGGCCCTTGCTAGTGCGATCTTGTCCGCCAGATCCCAGTCGCGGTCGTGTAGCACCTGTCGAACGCCAGCGAGGATCTCGTCCATCTGCCAGCGCTCGAGCAGTTCGATCAGGCTGGCGCACTCTTCGACGGACGCGGTCTGTAGCGGGGATGTCTGCGTCAGGGCGCATCTGTCGATGGGCATAATATTGATGGTCAGTTACACTGGATGTGGCTTGCAAGGAAGCAGAGTTCGACGTACGAAGTGTATAAAACACGGACGAGCAAGTCGAAGTCGCGCGCGGGAATGTCCTCCAGGATGATTGGGTTGTCCTCGGATGATCCCTCACCCTCGTTCGCCTGCGCCACCTGTAGCATGTCCTTAAAGACTGGCGAGTGCTCGACGAGGAAGTACGTGTGAACGGTGAAGAGTGTATCCTCAACCTACATACAAGTGCTTCCCTTCAGTATGGGTAGCATTTATCATCTGTATCCAAGCCTCACCTTGAACACCTTCGCCCCTGCATCTTCTATGACGATAGAGCCGCGCTTCACCTCGTTCAGATTTTCGGAGGATCCATCGGCATCTGTAGCCATGCCAAGGGGTAGTCAGAAGGTCCTGGCAGGTATAGCTTGTTGGGAGTCGAATCAAGAGAAGAGATGTAGAGAATAGGCGCGCGCTAAAGGCGCCTGCCTTGCGGCGGCGCGTCACATTGACAGCATGAGGACTCCGGCGCGTGTATGTCACATATCCCGGCCGTGAGAGGTGTGGCAGTGCCCTAACTTTGTCCGTTGATAGACGATTTGATTCTGTAGGATATATGCAACCAGAACAATAGGAGCAATGGCGCAAAGACTACTTGCCCTCGCCAGCATATTGCGTATACTACGAAACAACACAGATTAGATACCTTAAAGTTGGCCCCTTTGACGGCCGGGATGCGACATGAAAGGTAGCGAAGTCGGGAAGGTGCTGGGGTTGGCGCGCGGTCTTCGCCACTGTCGATAGGACGAACATCTGACCGGGCAGAGCGATGGGACAACGACTACTGCGGATGCAAGAGCATGTGCCACAGACTTCGATCGGGCATCCACGCACCGTCTACTTTGGACTGTATCTCGACACGGTACGCGAATTGCCGTGTTATGAGGGATGCTCCTAGTGTTGTCTGGCGAAAGCGAGCGTCAGCGTTAATCGATGTCCATGATCAAGTTGGCGCACCGCTGTCATCTCGACTTCCCCTGTAACCTTGGGGGCGTGTCCATCACGAGAGAGAGCACTATTCATGATGATGAAGGGGGAGACTGAGGGCTGGGACGTTAGACTTGAACGCTGCGCATGGTGGCAAGCTTGACGTCGAGATTGGTCCAGCGACACCGGCGGGATGAGTTCGCATGGAAGGCGACGTCAAAGCATCGGAATATTGTTGTATCTAGTACATAGGAAATGTGGATCTAGATAAAAGGAGCTGGGGAATCCTGTCAGCTCGAGCCTCGCGCGTCAAGGGGAAGAGACGCACCCGAAGAATGACCCTCCTTCTCTGCTTCTGCACCCAGCGTTTTTGTCGCAACGACATGGCTGTACTCCCTTCGATGCAAACTGGGAACAGAGGAGAAATACTCAGGGACCTTGGAGGACGCGGGGACTACGTCGAAGATCCAAACGCCATGACCGTCGGAGACGAGCCTGAAGGACGTCGGAATGCGCGGGCCGGCGTCTGCGGCTTGCTTTTACCCGCCACCACCTCCCATCGCCTCGTCCTTCAAACGCTTTCGATCTGACCTCACCTTCGACGATGTTTTCTGTAATCTGAACTCATGGAGACGCGCGGGAGTTGACACCAGAAAGAACCCAAAATCACGACCCGCCTATACCGCATACGGTCTGCGTACCCGTTAACGCAGGATTAGTCCGAACCACTATCTTCTCGCCGTCCCCTACGCCTTCGACTTTCGAGGAACAGAATTCCTGGAGGCTTCTCTGTGGACTGATATTGAAGACGCAGCGCAGTTAGGCATTGTCCCGACTGCAACTTATGCTATGGGGTCGGACACAAGGATTGTCGCGTACACTCTGTGCGACACTGCGGGACGATGCTCCATGCTGGAGCGCTTGTAAGCGACGAGAAGCTGATCTTATTGCTCGTCTGAAGTTCAGGACCCACTAATCTCAGTGTCCCAAGGTCGAGCTCAGAAGTTCAGGCAGAAGGTGCGTCGCGCCTTCCCTTGTTTCGATCCCCTCTGATACTCCATCAGGGCTCTGGCACTCGCTTGCATTCGCGCCATAAGGATGTATCCTGCAAGACTACGCCATTCGGTAGGACGCAGGCGAGAGCCGCGTGTCAAGGATGGTCGCGTTCCCTTGCAATATGCCGCCCATATACCGCGCTCCCCAAGGTCTCGGATGCAACGTTCCCCAGCCCTAATCATATACTCTCGTGCCAGCGTTCTCAAGCTCGCTGGACTACGTCAACTTTGCTGCTCATGCCGATCCGGAACCCGACCCACCTGGTCGATCGTCAAGCCCTCGAAGCCTTCGTCGCGCAGACCCCAGCCCTCACCAGCCCTATTTGGTCCATGCTTGCACTCCAATTTTCGGTGCTCGTAACTCATGACAAGCTAGGCAGCGCTCCATTCGCCGAACGGACGCGCAGGCGTATCACATGCACTCGGCAGCCCAGGTACTGAAGACCGACTCTCAGCCGAACGACGCGGATTCTGACCTCCACCACATCTCCGACAAGGAGCTTCGTCCCCATCTTTAAATACCATCTGCGTCCGAATCGGCGACGAATTGCGCCCTCAACTTGAACGAGAAAAGCACGACCCCGAACCGCAAACGAAAGTCCAGAATGCAGTCTATGCCGGCCGGTGCGTCCATTGTATAGGTAGAAATGCAATGCAATACGAAGTTGGCGTCGCTCTTTGACAGAACTCGTGCGCTCTTTGGCAGAACTCGCGGGCGAGATGGTATGGTGTGTTCTTCGGAGGCTCGCGTGTCAGAAGAAATTGCGCGGACGATGTCAGCGCCATTCTCCTGTCTTGGTGGGGCCTTGGAGTTGGTGCTCTCAAAGACCCTCAGAGGGTCGTTTCCTTGGCTATTTGTGTAATCTATTGGTGAGCCCGATGCCGTGCAGGTTCTGGTGGTTATAAGAGCCGACGGAGCCGCAGCTTCCTCTACGTAGAATTAGATGACTATCCCTCGCCATTCGTTCTCTTCAGAGTCGCGCATATTGTGCCTACAAACATCAGTGAGATGAGCAATCGTAATTCTGTAGACGGCCCAAAAGATGACATACTTATGGTATTGATGTGATTACAGAGCGCCGACAGAAAACCATTTCACGGGGAGTTCCGCGCAGAGCTCGCAGCGGTATTCTGCCCTTCCTATATCCAGATCGAGGCGGCTCTGGGGAAGAAGTCCGGGGTGGCTAGAGGTGCGCTGTTAGCTCCTTTGTCCCGGATATCTGACACGAAGTCCGCACTGGCTAGCAACGTGCATGTCATACCAGCGCGAGGACACGGAGACTCCGCAGTGCTCGCATTGCCGCCTCTTTGCTTTTGGTCTCAGCGCCCCAGCATGCGCCAGCACCGACCGCGAGACAAGGCGAAGGCCATGGGTGCGTGCGGCTACCAGACGCCTCACGGAGGGTTCGTGTATCACCGAGCTGACGCACTTCTTCTTCGCTATCCTTCGAAGGCTATCGAGCGATGAGTTCGTGAAGAATTGCCAGGTCGGCAGAATGAAGACTCACCGTCGCTCATTCTTGCGCCTTAGTAGCTTCATATCAGTGTCCCAACCCCTGCGCCACTGATCGAGATAGCACTGGAACTGACGGGATACGGGCGTAGGAAGTACCGAAAGCAAGTCGATAGTCTACTTACCGAGCAGAGCACCCGGGACTTGCGATAGCGCGCACGGTATCGCTGGTCATATCGGTCTCGTCAGTACGACTGAGGATGCGCAGAGAAGCCGGGACAGTCATACGGACCTCGAATAGAGCTGCTTTGTGACGCTTCCGATCGTCTTCGGTGGTGATCTGTGCTGTCTCGGCCATATATTCCTCTCGCGCGTGTGCGAGGTCTTGAGCGAGTATTCCGTGCGTTCTCAGTCTCCGATTATGGTTGTTCATAGTGACAGATGGAAGCCAATTCACGAGGTATTGGTCTATGGTTGGTCGCGCGTCCTTTGGCAGATACCGCCGTTGAGGTAGCAGAAATCGAACTTCGGTATCCTTGGCCCTATCGTCGAGTAAGCGACGCATTCATCATGCTAGTGTGAGCTCACCGGAAGAACCGAAATTTACACCTAGCCTTCCTAAGATGTCAGTAGTGGAGAAGAGTGAGAAGAGAGGCGACCTTACCGAGCATAAATATACCTTGCTTTCGAGCCATACGGGAGGGCTAGGCGCCCAAGACGAGCATACCTATGAGGGTTATTGAGCATTCAGACGATGTAGCGAGAAGAAATATCGCACGCGGCATCGCCTTGGGCGAAACAAGAGCTCGGTATACGTAGCGCTCCCATAAAGTCCACGCTTTTCCGGCCCAGTGATGCCAAAGAAGTCGGCTAGCGCCTGACGTTCGAGGCGATGCTTTGAGAGGCGTAGCTGGGAACGGGGATTGGGTGGAGGTCTGGGAAGCAGAAGTGGCGCAGAGGCTAGCAGCGCCCCATCATTATCGTCGATAATGCAGCGAAATGTGCGGCAGGTATCTCGAAGGGAAAACAGTGTTGTCGGTAGGCTGAAGGAGAAGATTATACGCCACAATTCAACCGGAACTAACTCGAGATAGCAAGGCTTGGTGGTGGGTGCAAGATTCTTGAAATACGTGTAACGAGGACGCTTGCCGCGCCAGCGGCGTGTCATGGAAGCTGAGGGAGGAGGGAAAAGGCCTCATACAAGGACGCCGTGAGAGCTTTGGCAGGGCCTGTGGGCTTGCGTCTCGATATCTCGGCCCGTATCCTTGTCTTAGTCGGGAACAACAAAAGAACTTCCGGATCAGACCATGCTTGACCAAATCAGGCGAACAAAAGAAACTCGGCACGTGTCGGCCGGCATTTGCCGGCGTCACTTATAAGGCGCCGCGTGCGGGCTGGCCTTCCCAAACCCCTTCCTCCCTCGCAGGTCAGCTCCTGTCGTGACAATTGCCAGTGATCCTCCCGAGTTTCGGATGGCTGGGTGTACTCCTTCTGTATGCTCTTCCATCCTCGAAGCCATGTGACGAGAGGGCGACGATTGTTCGGTGGCTTCGGCCAAGGGAGCCGGCCTGCAGCGCCCCGCATCCAGTGGTGCGTTGGGAGAGTGCGGTGGGCATTGTGCTCGCATTGCCTCAGAATCCACGGGATTCTGGTAGGTGATGTTGATGCCGCTTTGTTGTGTGGAGCTATAGAGGGTCCCATGCTTCTGGCATCGCCCTTTGGCTTCATGGACAGGCGCAGCGACCGCCGACCTAGCACTTGCACTCGTTGTGTCATTGTGCCGTCGATACGGATACGCGGATGCCACTACACCGCTGGGCTGCCTTCGACCAGGCAGAACACGCATTGTCAAGTCGGAGGGTCGACTCCGCCTTGCAATGCGTAATTTTTGGGACCTCAACTGAACGGAAGATCCAGTTCTTTCTTTCATCATTAGAAACATAGATCATATATTGTGTTGTTGATTTGTGTCGATGTACTAGCAGATGCGACGACGACAAGCACATCTTGGGCGCATCTGAGGATATGTGCGGGGGCGCAAGCCGACAGATCAGGTTCGTCGACGGAGGCGCACAAAGCGGGCGTGCGGAAGCGATACAGCCGACACTCGAAAATAACTGTATAGTGATGCGTGAAAGGACAGACAGTGCATGGTCCTAGGGGAACACGCGCAGGTCATCGCGCACCACCGTAGACTCGAAGTGCAAGTCGAGGTCGCAATTTCGCTCGGGTCGAGCTGCAAGTAGCACTGGTCGCGAGGGACAAAGCCGCTCCTGTCTACCGTAGTCGAGCAGCTTCGCGCGATCTGCTTCACGAGCGTGAAGGATGCCGCAGCCATTCCGAAAGCGCAGTTTCTCGAAGAGCGTGCCCTGTGGTCTACAGCGGTCAGCAGGATTCTCAGATGCCGAGGGGGTTAACGCTTACTAGGCGGACGCTGGCAATGAGACGCCGAAGCCACACTTTCAAGTCACGCAACTTCGGAGAGCGAGGTCAAGTCCGCTAAGGGGAGCTGGTACCTTCGAAGGTCAGAGCTTGCACGCAAGCAAGGGGTTGAGACGCACCTTTCAGGCTAAATAGAGCGCCGAAGAAACGTATTCGGCCGATCCGTGGTCGAGCCAGATTGTCGGATGAGTTCTGCAGCTATAGCGCTCGCACCAGGTCGAAAAGGTCGGAGATGCAGACGAAGATACGCTCCCGACTCGTCTCGGCGTGTGAATTTCGGTCTAATGATGATGGGCACACGTCGACGAGCTGCGCTCTTCTGCTTGTGCGTCGGCCCACGCGCAGATCGTCCTCGACCTGGACAGGGCACCCGAGACCGGGTCGCAGAGGTGGCGGTTCCGCGTACGAGTGAGTCGTCGTTTGAAATGGTGCTGGGTTTGAGCGCGCGGTCTTCGCCACCGTCGACAGGACGAGCGTTTGGCAGGGCAGAGCGATGGGACAACGGCTGCTGCGGAAGCATGGGCATGTAACTACGAACTTCGAGCGGGCAATCACGCACCGTTTGCTTTGGGTCGTATGTCGGCACGATACGCGGATTGCCATGGTTTGAGGGATGCTCCTAGTGGTGTCTGGCGAAAGTGGGCGTCAGAGTTAATCGACGCCCAAGTGTTCGCACCAAGGTCATCTCGACTTCCCGTGTAGACGTCGGGGGAGCACGCCAGAGCGCGCTATCTCTGATGATGAAGGAGGGACTTGGGGATGAGACACTAGACTTGCACGCTGGGCATGGGTCCGGCGACGCCGGAGGGATGGGTTGCATGTAAGACCAGTCAAAGCATCGTAGGATTGTAGTATATCTAGTACATAGGAGGTGACAATCAGAGGAAAGAAAGCTGGGTGATCCTGTCAGCTCGAGCCTCGCGCGTCGAAGAGGAAGAGACGCACCCGAAGATCGGCCTTCCTTCCAACGTTGGTCGCAGCGTCATGGGCGTATTCGCTTCAGTGCAGACTGAGGACAGAGGAAGAAAGGTCCGTGACCTTGGAAGACTCGAAATACCGCGATACGCCATGGCCGTCGGAGACAAGCCTGGACGGACGGAATGCGCGGGCCGGCGTGTCTGCGCTCCCACCGCCACCTCCGATCGTCTCGTGCGTCCAACGATCTCGCTCCGACTTCACCTTCGACGAATACCTTCGACGTATACGGCTGTGATCGTATATGTATAATGGAGGCGAGCAGGAGATGCACTTTAGGAGCAAGCCACGATCACGACGCGCCCGTTCCCACCAATATCCCCGACCTCCATCTCCAGTGGCCTTGGAAGCTTATGCATCGCGCAGGTATAAGACCCAGCTCTGTCAAACTGCCCGTCATATGTCGCCTCTCAGCGGAAACCCTTCACGAAATTGCGGAACATGTCGGTCATAATTGCAAGCCGGATCTCGCGCCTCTTGTCCGGGGGGACCAGGTCTTCGGCGAAGGCATGCTGTGGCGCGAGCTCCCTTCCATCGTGCCACTGCTTCGTCTTCAGATGCTGGAGTATCTCTATTTGGGCTACGTATATGTGGTGAGCATGATTGCGCTGCCATTGGGCTGCAAGCATAACTACTTCTTTCTCTAGGAGGCGGAGACCTCGACTGCTGCGTCGCTTACTGCACCATCTGGGGACTCGACGACTTGCTCAGGCGCACGAGGATCGATAACCTTAGCCAGTGCGAGTTCATGATCTCCGACCTACCCTACGAGATCCTGAACGACAGTGCTAACTCTGATAACGAGGACGACGATCTTGAGCCTTTCTGTCGATATTGCGTAGTGGAACGCCGGAGTGTTCTCGACATGACCAACCTCCGGGACATCGGCCCCGTCATCCACTCGTCGCGCACACTCAAACTACGCCTCAACCTCGCGAAGGACCTTCCTGCTCTGCTCCAACCTGCTCCCGACTCGTTGTGCTCTCTCGACGCGGAGATCAGCGAGCTCGAGGACACGGAGACGGACCATAACCTTAGGTCGCTTTGATAGACGGCGCGAAAGCAGCAGGCATCGTTTGCGCGGCCCCTGTGAGCTCTGTGGAACTAGAGAATTTGGGACATGCAGTGTTCAAATATCGCCGGCGCCGTCGATCTTGACGCCTTACTCGTGAGGATCCGTCAGGAATGCCGACCGGCTACATTTCGTCACCTGCGGATCGACGAGCGCGAAGGCTCCTCTCGGAACTGGCCCTTCACCATTGACCAGCTCACTCCGCTCTGTGCGTTTCCTGGATTAGTCGGACTTCATACCAGCGTCAGCAGCGAAATTTCGATGACCGACGCCGATTACGCCGTGCTCGACCCCTCGCCTTCCACTTCGTCCTGACAGACTTTCTTGTACTCTAGAATTCAGGATGGAGGGATTCCGGCCTACGTCCCCGACTGCACCCTATGCTACGGCGTCGGGCGGCTTGCTGCTCGATGACCAGACGCCCCTATTCGCGTACTCGGGCCGAATGCCGATGTAGCCACACGTTCTGCCCACGTGTCACGTCCTTCCGCCTCGAACGAAACGCCCACTTGTCTTGTGGAGGGGATCGTTGAGGCCTCGCTCTCCGTCAATGCCTCGAATCAATGCAACATTCTGCACGTCTTCGAACACGCATGGCTGCTCTCAATAGAACCTCTCGGCTCTCAAAGACGCGCATGCCGGTTTCCTATCCGCCTTTAGGCCTCCTTCCCCTCGGAATTCATGTGCCAAAGGGCATCATCTGACTCGCTCAATCTCCTCGACGCGCCTTCTCATGACATGAGCACCCGATATTGCTGGCGGCTGAGACGTATCGAGAGGCACGGCTGCGTGGAGGACTGCATTATCAGGGACCGCGCGCATCACACGACCTGCGCGATGTCGAGGAAAATGTATCTACAACCTCAGCGACGCTCAACAGTGAGTAGACCTCTCGCGTCCTCAACAATCTATGTTGCCGGCAACGGTCCTACCGAGGGTGATGACCGGTGGCGACGCGTCGGGCAGGCGCTTCGACCGTGATTGACAGCGTCAAGAAGGCAGTCAGTCGGACAGGTGCCACCGTCCCTACATGACGCGCGCATCCGCGAACGTGACCATCGAGAAGCGTCACTCCCGTCCGCATATAAAGCGCACCCTGTCGGTCGACGTGCTCGTTTTACTTCTTTCCTCCCTCCACCACGCTTCACGCCCACCATGCGCTTCCAAGTCATCGCCGCCGTCGTGCTCGCTCATGGCGCCTTCGCTACATTGGACCGCCGTCAGGATACCATCCCAGGTGAGTCCCCATCACTTTCGCCCTGTCAACCGCATTGCTCACCGACGTGCAGCTTGCCTGACGTCCTGCATCTCCGACGCCAACACCGACACCTGCGACCCCGCGGACACGGCCTGCCTCTGCAACAACCAGACCTTCGTCAACTCGATCACCTCCTGCGTACAGTCCACGTGCGACGCAGACAGCGTCCAGGCGGCCGCGCAATCTGCCTCGGCGTTGTGCCAGGCGGCGGTGAGTGGGCCTACGTGCACGAGCCTCTACTTGCAGCTGAACTTCTCACAGGGCGCGACGCTCGCTATTCCCACTAGCACTGAAGGTGGTGCCTCTAGCGCTAGCAGCGCCTTTTCGTCCCTCGCTAGCTCCGCATCGTCTGCCGCGTCAGCCGCGTCGTCGGCCGCTTCTTCTGCAGCCAGCGGCGCCAGTTCCGCTGCATCGTCCGCCGCGTCGGGCTCCGGCACTGCTACGACCACGCAGACTTCCACCAGGTACGCGTTCTAATCATTGATATACCGCATATATGTGTCGTACTCGACGCATATACTCCGCTCCCCCATTCCCGCTCACTAATTCTCATTGTGTGCGTATATTGACCGCATTTCCAGTGCTTCCGCGACCAGCGACAACAACTCGGCTTCGCCGAAGAGCGTCAGCCTTCTTGCTGGCTTCGCTGCCCTGTTTGCTGCGCTTGTTCTCTAAGGGTCAGTGGACGGTCCTGTGCATAAGTAGGCTTGTCGCGCTGACGATGGCTTAGCTAGAATGAGAAGTCTGGATTACTGTATTCGATGATAGGTTTGGCTATGTAGCACTTGGACGGTCTTACGACATGAAGAAATTCTGATTTTCTGCATCTTCGCGCTGTTTGATCATGAGCGATACTCGGTGTCCAACATCCTCCCTCCAAGCTTCAGCTGCGCGAGAGATGAGAAAGTTCCGCGGTCATGATTGTGCGTATCCTACTTGCTACATACAAAGTCCATTGCGTTGTGATGGTAAAGGTCTGGTTAAAAACCTTTCGACGCGTCAATTCCATCTCGCGATCAGAGGGCTATCGCGCCCAGGATGGCGGCAACAGCGGCGAAGATGCTGATGCCAGCGGACGAGCCCGCATTTTCATCCGACGTCGAGGATGAGCTGAGAAACCGTGAGTAAGGGGCGGTACGACTCGGAGCTGGTGTGCGCACTGACCTAGACGCCGTCTGCGTACCGCTCCCTGAGGACGAGCCAGAGCCAGAGCTCGAGCGGCTGCCTGTGATTGACGAGAGCGCGGAGCTCGCGCTGCTCGCTGCAGACGAGGCCGCCGAGGTGACGGAGCCGGCCACCGACGAAGCAGCGGACGTAACGCTCGCGACGGCGGAGGACACGGACGCTCCTGCGCCGGAGCCACCAGAAGACGAGCTGCCGGAGCCACCTCCAGCCCCGCCCGTAGCGGTGCTGCCCGACGAGCCGGTCTGGCTGGCGCCGGAGGTCACGGTGGTGGTGCTGGTTGCGCCGACCCCGGAGGCGGTGGGGAGGTTGGAGAGGGTGACGCCCTGGGTGGGGTTAGTACAATGCGGGAGGGAAGGGGGAGGGGTAAAAGGGGGAGGGGGGAAAGGGGGAGGGGGGATAGAAGCGGTGGGTGAGATGGAGAATAGGAGATATAGGGTGCGTGGAAACAGGGAATGGGGGGGAGAAGGGAGAATGGGGTGGGGAGGAAGGAATTACGGCGGAAGGGAGGAGTGGCCCCGGGCAATAACGACGATGGTATATAGGGGGACTTGAACTCACCACCGCGTTGCACAGCTGCTGGGCGGCCTCCTCGGCGGTGGACACCGCGGCCGAGTCGCACTCGCCCTGGACGCAGGAGGTGACGGCGCTGACGAATTCCTGGCTGTTGCAGAGGCAGGTGGTGTCCGAGGCGCTGCAGCCGCCAGTGGAGGCCCGGGAGACGCAGTCGACGAGGCAGTCTGCGGAGGGGGTTAGTTGAGGAAAAGGGTAGAGAGGGAGTAGGGGAGGAGGCGAGGGGGGATGACAAGGTTTGAACGCGAGGGGAAGAGCGCGAGGAGCGCAGAGGGAAGACGGCGAAGACCGTCAAAAGGGGGAGAATACGCACTGGGGTAGTACGACCGGCTATCCAGGAGCGCGCCGCTGGTGAGCGCGGCGGCGGAAATGGCGACAACGATTTGGAAACGCATGTTCGAAGAAGATCAGGAGAAGGGGGATGAAATGGTAAGTCGAACAAGGGAGGACCAGAGATGACCTGAGAGATCGTGTTTCTCCTGCCTCGTCGTTATATACGCGACGAATGTTCCACGCGCTGGCCGTCATGCGAAGTGCACCCGCGGCATTTTCGTATTTTTGAGTGCCTTCTGTCAATCGCTCCCCGGAACACGGGCGTGCGTCCGGGGGGTGGTTTCGCAGACAGCGGATGGTTTTCGCCCGATGCGGGCGCGTGTTTCTCACGGCGCGAGTGGTAGAGGGTGAACGCGGGTGGTAGAGGGTGAACGCGGGTCGTAGAGCGTGCACGATGGGCGGGACGGCGGCAGGTGATCGACAGTCGGGGATGAGACTGACCATATGCGGTAGAGATTTGTCTTCGCCCGCGGATAGACTGACCCTCCATCTGACCCGATTTCGCGGGACGCTCGCCGGTGATCTGAGATATTCAGAGTTAGTTTGGCGGTGTGTGTTTATCCCTTCCGCGCTCGGGGGTGCGAGCGGGCATGGTCCCTGAGACGAAGCGTGGTGTGCGTCACTGACTCACCAATGCCTGCAGGAACCGATACCTACAGGAACACAAATGGGCGCATGGACGGGCCCACGGGAAAAGGCGCGTATCATCATTTATGACATCGACGAGGCGGGGATAATCATCGCACATGACTTCAACATGACTTATGCATGACCGCGTTGATTGCGTATGTTTTCGGTGCCTTGGGATAGTCAGGTGGCGTTCTGGTCGAACCTCACGTATGATGCACGAGGCGTCGGAAGTTCGAGAGAGTTGGACTTGAGGGACGTCCAACGCTCGAAAGAGTCGTACAGTTGAATCGAGAGAAGGGCGGCGACTTACCAGCTGAAACTCAAGTCTTGATTTCCGCACATAACGCAGGTTACGAGTCCGCCGTGCAGGCTGAATGGGCCATACATGGTCAGTTACACTCTAGGGCGTACTGATCAGTCAAAAGGTACTGTGGTCGACTTTGGATACCTACAAAGCGAATTCTACTCTGACTTCGCAGCGGGTTCCTCCATACGCGCCAACTTCTCTTTCGCCTCCTCCAGCTTCTGCCGGGCGACTTCCATGGCCGCCTGCACGTCCTCTTTGTCATCCCGCGCCGGATCCGACAGCGCGCGCTGCAGACGACGAAGCTGCTCTGCGCGGTCCCGTACTTGGGCTCTGAGAACCACAGGCAGGTCACCCTCGTCCGTCTTGAAGTCGACCCAAGCGGTAGAGTCCGAGCGTCGGAAGTAATCCTTCAGCTTCGTACGCGCTCTCGATGCTGCCCTCACATCGATAAACTGGAGCTCGAAGCAGGATCCCACTGCGGGACATGATCAGACGAATGATATCGCATGCTACGTCAAGAACGTACGACGTGTGAGGGACACCAGGTCGCGACATGAGGCTTCGATGTGCTTCCTTAGCTCCTGGGAATCCACGTTCTCCAGCCGTCTGACGAAGAGCGTGTCCTTGGGCCGGACCCCCGCTGGGTGTAACGGGTCCTTTCGAGGGTAAAGTCTCTCGTGCAGGGCCTTATTCGTGGGTCCGCCGACCGCCACCGGAGGTATCAGCTCGGGAAACAATGCGGTACCGTCGAAGTCGATGAGGCTGCCAAGTCGCGCGCGGACCTTGTCGACGGAGCTAGCGTGCGCGAACAGAACGTACGCATGCCTGCGCCTCGGGCGGTCACTTGAGTTGGAAGCGCGCTTGCCTGGGGCGTAAGGGCCTAGCTCGATCAGCAGGTGCAATGAAGATGAGCTTGAGAAAGCGCAGCATACCCAGTGTCACCCAAGTTGCGTGGCCAAATTCGTCTGACAGGAATTCCTTCAGTTTAGAGATGGAGGTACCATCGAGGACGTTGCTGAGGCATATCGTGCGCTTGCGGAGAGGTGCTGATCGTGCCGGTCGAGGACGAGGTGGTGATTTCTTGGAATCTGTATCTGTCGAGATAGTGGCGGATGGCGTATCTCTGGAATTTCCACCTGCGGAAGGTCTCGTGTTGGGAGGACTGGAGAGTGATGTAGCGATTTTCCCGTCCGGGGGGCCGTCGACCCTCTGCACCCATGACGCCTTCAGTCGATATAGTACGATATTTCACAAGAGACAAACCTCTCTATTGTTCTCATCGATGGACTTGCATCGCAAGTAGGTAACGTGGAGTGCGCGCCTGCTCGAGGACGCCACGGGTGCCAGGTTTACATGCAGCACGGGGCGTGTAATCCCAATGAGAGAGTTGCGAAGCAAAGGATTCATTCTATGCCAGCTCTAGCATGTCGAAGCTGGGAGCCTAGGTAACGTCCAGAGAGCCAGCCACCGTGGGTGCAGAAGGAGAGGCGTCGTTTGCGGTGGCCATCATGTGACCTGGAAAGTTCAACTTGGAATAGGGGCCGGCAGCACGGGCCGTCGTGTGGAGGCCGCCGCAGACATGCTGGCTGGAACTGCAAACGGAGCTGGTCACTGAATATCTCAAGGCGATATTCCAGACCTCGCTACCGTACACGAGCATCGAAGATATAAGCCGCAAGGACGAGCGCATTTAGTTCCGTGATCGATGTCTGAGTTCGAACCCCGCAGACTGCAAGCTAATTGTGACAATATATTACAGGATGAAAGACTTGGTATACGCATGGCGCATACGAGCGCATTTAATTGCAGTGCCCTCGGTCATGATTATCCTCGTCAGAATAGCTGACTGTCAGTGAGATGACCTCGCTCGAGGTATCCCTGCGTTCGTGAGCACGGAGGAGGGGATCAGACGAAGGTCCCTCGTGTGCGCCTTGACGAACCGCTGTAAGTAGAAAGACCAGCAATATAAGGGGGCGACAGCGGGAGGGAACAAGGGATCCGGGTCCAGGCTCCGAAGTTTCCACAAAAGAGAACAATGGGAGAACAAAAGGAGCAGGCCGCCGTCGGGCCGACCAAGCACGTGCCCCTCCGCAGGACATAAATACTATTTTAAATACGGGGCGCGGGCGACCATCCTTCTCCCAAACCCTTCCTCCCTCTCGTCAGTTGGCTTGATCCCACCTCGCCGTTAACTGCTTCCCGAGGATGATAGGCAGTGTGGGGAGCGGGACTCGTTCTGCTTCTCACACGGCCCTGATTCCGGCGATCCGAGGAGAGGACGGGTGGGGAGCCTCTGGCGGCGCGGTGCGGGCTAGCGCAGCCCATGCCGCGCGTGGGGAGAGGCGGTGGATACTCAGCTCGTGTTGCTGGTCGAGCTTCGGCTTTGGGCAGTAGCGCTGAGCCGCCTGACACGCAAGGTTATAGGGTAGGTCGCGCACTGGCATTTTGCCGCGCCATCGCCCCCTGGCACTCGCAGGTTGGGCGCAGGCTGTCCATGTTGTACTACCTGCCGTCGGGCAGATGTCGCAGGGGTAAGCCGGGTCTCGCTACACCGCTGGGGGTGTTCGTTTGAGGGCCGACTCCCTCAAGCAAACACTCAAATTTTTGGAACCGCATTCAGCCCTCGCCGTCGTGCGAGATACTGCATGCATGTAGTACCAGTAACTAGCCTCCTTTGTAGTCGCTTAGTGCTGTATCTCTAGTCGCCACCATAACGGAAGCATTCGAAGTTACGAGGAGACGCGACACACGGCAGCGAATTGTTCCTCGTTGAGCTCCAAGTGGGAACACTTGGAACACCTAAGTGATATTCGGACTTTGAGTTGCTTTGAGAGCGCCCCTGCCTGCCCAAAAAGGGACAACAAAAGAGAGTGGCAGCCGGCCGACGGTTTGATCGGATTATGAAATGGTCGCATGCATTACCACGTTCCTTTTCCAGTACAAAAGCACGCTCTTGCTCTTGCTTCCGACACCCACCTTGCAGAACGGCGCCGCCAACTGGCCTGTATACCTCCCAAGAGAGACCACCGTGGATGGTGTCTAGGCGCCTTCTGCAGTGGCCCCTCGGCGTGCTGAGAGGTTGACCATTGGGGAGGCCAATCTGTAAGAGGCGGTAGGCGCCGTGCTCGCGCCGTTGCCGCTGGCGGCGGCGTTGATGCTGCTTTCGTCGCGGATGTTATAGAGGGATCCATGCTTGTGGCCCTGCCCTTTGGCATCCGCATAGGAGGCGCTATCCATGATGCTTGATGTGGCTTCTGGCTGGTCGAGTGGTCATCGGAAAAGCCGGGTGTTATTTCCGCTGGGCTACCTTTGGGTAGATACACGTGCTTGCATCGATTTGGGGCATCTCCTCGTCGAGTCCTCAAGAGGGCACGTAATTTTTGGAACCTCATCTGAGCCACTTCGTTGGCAGCTGCCTCGCTCGATCATACATAGGTAGTAGTGGTTACTTGCAAGTCTTGCTCCGTGATAGTAGCTGCTGAGTTCAGTCAAACAAAGAGATCAGTGCGCGATCACAAGTTTCGGCCGATTTCCCAGAAAGGAACAATAGCGCCTTTGTGTCTGCCTTGGCCAAGAATTGCCGGTATACAAGTCGTCGAGCGCGCATGCCCACGTTGCGAAAACCAGCCAATAATCATCTTTCATCTTCGCCCTCCACCTTTGCAACCTTGTACAGGGAAAGCGCCTCGCCACACGGCCTGAGTCGCGCAAGCCCCCCCAAAAAACAGATGCACGTACCGCAGCAACTCTGCTCTGCTTGTCACACTGATGTTCAAAAAATCATCTCGCGAGTGCACATACAATGATTGAGGCTTCATTCGACAATTCGATACAGTTTGTATAGATACAATACCCGACAACACCTAGTGCATCATCGGCACAGTCGAGTCGGTCTTCCCGACTTCCACCCACAACTCCTCGACGGTCTGCTTCGGCGCGGCGAGGCGCTCGGGCGTCGGCTGGAAGCACTCAGGAAGCTTCGTCGATTCCCAGGACTCGCCGTTCAGCAGCTTCGCGATGCCGCGCGAGCAGGTGAAGGCGCGGGCCATGCCTGTTCGCTCGTCAGCTCAGGTTCGACGACTCAAACACATGTCCACGTACCATGTCCCGAATGCCCAGCAGTGATAAACGCGCCCGGCTTGCCGTGCACAGCGCCGACGTAGGGAACAGCCTCCGGTGTGTACCCCATGATGCCCGTCCAGTCGACAAGGAGACCCTCGTTGAGCGCCTCCACGCCCCACCCGGTCATCGTCTTCTTCATCACCTCGCGCAGGTACTCGGTGAGGTCCGGGATCTTCACGCTATCGTCGGTGTTCCCGATGAGGTTCTCGACGGGGACCGCCCAGCGGCCGCCGCCCACAATGATCGTCCCGTCCTTCGGGCGCTGAATCATGTAGTCGAAGTTATTCTGGTTTGAAGGTCGGTCAGCCTCATCGCCAACCTGGGTCTCAGGAAAGAGTTGAAACTCACCACCCCCGTCCGATGCGAATACGTATGCGTCAACATATTCTTCCCCGAAAACGCCTTCGTCGGAATCACCGCCGAGCACTGACCCCGATACGGCGCGATCCTCCCCAAGAACTCCGGCAGCAACGTCGCCGTGAACGCGTTCGTGCAGAACACGACCTTCCCCGTCGTCAGCGTGCCCCTATCGGTCTTGATCTCCCACTTGCCCGACGCGGCCTGCGAGACGGAGCGCGCGGGCGTGTTCGTCTGCAGGTTGAGGCCGTGCTTGTCGATGCAGAGGCGGATGAGGTGCGTGACGAGCTTGAAGGGCCAGAGGGAGCCGGCGGGGAATTCGTAGGCGGCGACGACGCCGTTGGAGCGCGTGCGCTGGTACAAAGGTGAGATGGGGGGAAGAAGAGAAGGGAGGGCAGAAGTACCTTGGCGGCGTCCTCGGGGTCGGTGAAGGCCTTGACGATGCCGTCTACGACACCGCCATCCGCGACGAACTCGTCGTAGTTAGACTTGAAGAAGTCCGCGCATGATTGGTCGAGGGCAACGTCTGGGGTACGCAGGTCAGCTTCGAAGTTTGTGAAGGATGGTAGACGCACCATACGAGAGACCACGCCAGAAGTCGCAGTCAATGCCCTCCTTCTTGACGATCTCCTCGACAAGATTAAGCGTGTCCATCTCATTCTGGAGGATCTTCATCGCCTGATCCTTGCCGAACTGCGTCTTGTAGCCCTTGTAGCCTGGAGATCGGACTTCAGTCGCAAACTCATGACCGACATACGCTCAACGCACCTCTGTAGCAATCCGGGCGGCAATGACCCCCGTTCCTCCCAGTCGCGCCGTAGCACACCTCGCGCGCTTCGAGCATGACCACATTTTTAGGCGGGTTCGGTCCGTTGAGGAGGAAGTATGCAAGCGCGCCACCACTGATACCGGATCCTATGATCGTGACGTCTGCTGTCTCCGGGAGAGCTTCAGTCGAGCGATGCCCGATCAGCGGAGAGCTCCGCCCGCCTTGCAACCAGAAGGACAAGCAAGGATCAGGATGCGGGTAGCCCGGAGGCGTCGGGTTCGCAGCGCCGTCCGCGATCGTGGAGGTCATAACGGGATACTGCGGCTCTTTCGACTCGGGGGAAGAGGGGGAAGGAGGTGCGATGGGCGTGGATGCGCTGCTCCCCATATCAAGGTATCCGTGCGAAGCGCGTTTATCAACGAGAAGGCCGGTTTTAGATTGGTAGGCGGACTATGGCGGTAAGGGAGGGGCTGCGCTGGGTGCGAGCGACGATAAGTGAGCACGGGAGGGCGAGGACGGCGCAGTCATCGGGGTTCGTCGGCTCTGCCGCGGCAGCGGGCGCTGACGAAGGACGCCCTCTCCGACTTCGTGACCTTGACCGCCACAATTTATATGGAAGTATGTGACCGAGGAGGAGATCGTCAGGTCCCATGATGATAGCCTTTCTTATCGTATAGATACGGTCTATGGGATGCGGTGCGGTCGCCCGCTTAGCGAGTTGAATGCGTTTCTTGCTCGAAAGCATCTATCGTCGCCTGAGGTCACGGAAATTCGGGGACAAGTCGCCATCCATGTTGAAGTTGACGAGCGTCGAGGACAAGAGCCAGTCAGCGCCGAGATCAACGAGCACGAGCAGCGCACGCGCAGCGTCGGCAAATGCCGCCCGCCTCTTGATTTGAACTTCCACTGAGATGTGTTTGCAAACCGAACGTCACCACCACGAATCCCGGCATCTCCATGCCAGCCGCTCGCTCTTTCGTCGGTGTCAACCCTATCAGCCGACGCTTATCTTTCGCACGCGCAGCCATTGCCATTGTGGCGCCAAACGGTTATCGCCAACTTGAGCAGATGTCTTTATAGCGGCGTTTCGGGGCTAGGCCAGTTGGTTCTTCCCTCCCACGACACAAGGCGCCATGTCGGATATCGAGAGCAAGACGTCGAAGAACGAGGACGTCGTGGTCTCGACGCTCGAGGTCGACCAACATGATACCTCGCGTATGGATACCACGCGAGGGTTGAAATCGCGGCACATACAACTTATGTATGTTCGCGTTTAGACGCGTATGTACCTACGAAGCTAACGATGACCTTCAAGCTCGATCGGCGGTGTCATTGGAACGTAAGATACCCTCCCGTGGTCTCTATAGCTTATGTCTTACAAGCCCTTCGCTTGCTATAGTGGCCTCTTCAGTACGTTCTCCCTTGTCAGCTCAAGCTTCGAAACTAACGCGCTCTCAGTCGGCTCTGGTCGTGCCTTGGTCATGGCGGGTCCCTTATCCTGCCTTCTTGCCTACAGCATATTCTGCCTCATCGTCTGGGCCAGTGCGTAACGCTACCCCTCCCCCGCCTGGCTTTGCTAACTCCAAACCTCAGTCTCCCAGCCCGCCGGCGAACTTGCCTCCCTATACGTGAGCTCTATCATGAGTGCGAAAGGAAGGTCACGAGCTGATCGCTTCCTAGGCTGTCAACGGCAGCTTCGTCCACTGGACCCATCGCTTCATCGACCCCGCCGCGGGCACCGCGTGCGGTTGGAACTACGCTTGTGCGCACACATGATCTTTTCCTCTTCCCTCGCTTAGATTGCTGACAATACCGACAGACGCCTGCATCGCTTTTGGATGCGCGGACATCGTCGCCGTCACGGGGTTGTTCCAATACTGGTCAGCATACCCTCCTCTCCATCCCTCCGAAATTCGTGTACATCCTACACAATGCCGAAACAGAGCTGACGAATGGTACAGGCTACCCGACACGTCTCCAGCGATCTGGGTCTCTTTCTGCTTGGTCGTATTTTTCTGCCTGAACGCCTTCGCGGTTCGACTGTATGGCGAGGTGCGTCTCGCTGACTCACGATTTCTACTACTTTCACTAACGCCTTTCGAAGGCCGAATTCTACTTCGCATCCGGCAAGGTCATCCTCATCATCGGGTTCATCATCTTCACCTTCATCGCCATGCTCGGCGGGAACCCCGAGCACGACCGCTTCGGTTTCAGATACTGGAATGAGGTGAGTGTTCCTCCCTCCCTTCCACTAACCCTTTGTCACTTTTGGCTGACTCCTATACCCTCCAGCCCGGTCCAATGGTCGAATAGTGCGTGTGGTGACCTTGCGCCTCGACTAGCCAAGCCAATCTACTTTCGCTGACTTGCGTCTCTAGTCTCGTCAGCGGATCCCTGGGCCGCTTCCTCGGCTTCTGGGGCGTCTTCCGTATTGCAGCCTTCTCCATCGGCGGGCCCGAGTTCGTCTCGATGTGCTCTGGCGAGGCGGAGAACCCCAGGCAAACTATACCCAAGGCTATCCGGTAGGCAGTCGTGATCCCTCGCAAGAGCTCGGCAGTCCTGACTTCGGGGCAGCCGCGTCTTCTGGCGTCTTGCTACTTTCTACGTCCTCGGCATCTTGTGCGTGGGCATCCTCATCGCGTCCAACGACCCAGACTTGATTGATGGTATCGCGAACGGTACTGGTGAGTTGAGATAAAGTGTTCCCTTGGACGACGAAAGCGAATGCCGACTCGTTCCTCAGGTGTCGGCGCCTCGCCCTTCGTCATCGGAATGGAGCACCTTGGCATCCGCGTCCTCCCGCACATCATCAAGTATGTGGCCCGCGTACCCTCTTGCGCAGGCGAAGCTAACCAATGGCTGTCCAGCGCCGTCATCATCACCTCCGCCACCTCCTGCGGCAACTCCTTCATCTTCGTCGCCGTGCGCTCCATCCACGCGCTCGCACGGCAGGGGCAGGCACCGCGCGTCCTCGGCTACACCACCAAGCGCGGCGTCCCGCTCACCGCGCTCCTTTTCGTCCTCGCCATCTGCTCCTTGTCGTACATGACCGTCGACCAGGGCGCCGCCGTCGTCTTCGGGTGGTTCATCGACCTCGCCTCGGTCGCCGCGCTCATCAACTACTTCTGGATCTGCCTCGCGTGGATTCGCTGGGACGCGGGCATGAAGGCGCAGGGGATGTCGCGCGAGAACCTGCCCTTCCGCGGGATTTTGATGCCGTACTCGGCGTGGTTTGGGCTCGTTTGGTGTGTGTTGCTTGCAGGTGAGCTCTCGACCCTTCGCTTCCTGCACGAGCATCGTATCTGACCGTGCATCTACCTAGTCACCAACGGCTTCGCGGTTTTCATCAAGATCGACGGCGACTTCAACATCCAGGGCTTCTTGTGCGTCCTGCCTCCTTGCTCCTTACTCCTTACTCCCTACTCCCAACGACTATCATGCTCACCCTCCCTCAGCACCGCCTACTTCGGCATCGCGCTCTCCCTCTGCATCTACTTTGGCTGGAAGCTCGTTAAGCGGCCCGCGCTGCGGAAGGCGAAGGAGATGGATCTCACGAGCGGTCTCGAGGAGATCGACGCGGACGAGGAGTACTGGAAACAGAACTACCAGCCGCCGACGACGCTCTGGGGCAAGTTCGTCGACTGGCTGCTGTAGTCGGTCTTACTGGCTATTGTAGCCGGTCTTACTGGCTATATTAGTCGGCCAGACTTTGGCGTCCTGCTGGTCACTCCTTCGGGCACGGAGTCAAACGATCTGACGAGGATGTACGAGTTTTTCACGATTGCCATCGTTTGTATATACGGTACTGTAGCTGTCACAAGCCTTTACGCTCGTTCGTATCAGTTGCATCGGACGGAGCGAGTCGAGGGCATCGGAGCTAGTCGAGAGCATCGGAGCGAGTCGAAGAGCATCATCTATAGAGAGTAGAGTAGTGTAACATATCCAGGTATTGTATCATCAACGTCGCATAGAGGGATACGCATGTTTTTGGTTCTATCAGGAGTTTTGAGGTCTACCAGGATGGTCTTCGAGAGAACGGTGAGAACATCGGGCTTGAAGGAGAGAACAAAGAGCTTGAAAAAAGACTAGAAGCGGACGGTGCCCTCGGAGCTCGGGTAGTACTCGCTGTCGCACTCGCTGTCATACTCGGCGTCCATGTCAAGCTCCGCGTCAAGCTCGGTGCTGGTGTCGAGCTCGGTACTGGTATCGCTGCAGGCGTCAGAGTCGGTGAATCGGGCGGTGTCTTCCGAGCCGCAGCGACTGGGAATGAGGCTGGCAAGCCCGCGAGCATCCTCTTCATATATGGATGGCGATTCTTCCTTGACAAAGATCCGCGAGCCCTCGTTCGAGGTGACCCTCAAGCCCTCGCCGACGCAGACATTAAAGCCAGCGCTGCCGAAGACTCCCGAGCCCTCGCTGCTGAGCGGCGTGAGGGGCGAGGGAGGCGAAAACTGGGTCCGGACGTTTGAGAGGTTCTGGACGGGCTGCCCGTTGTTGAGGAGCGTCGTGATGTTGACTGGAGCAGGCGGAAGGTTGTTGAGACGAGGAGCGGGGTGATTGTTGAGGCCACGCGCAGGTGAGTTATAGACCGGAGGAACGAGCTGGTCGTTGACGCGAGGAGCTGACTGGTTGTTGACGCGAGGAGCAGTCGGGTGGCCGTCACGAGGAGCAGGATGATTATCCAGGCGAGGAGCAGGATGATTATCGAGGCGTGCAGCAGGCGGCGTCGGAGTCCTGTAAAACTGCGAGGAGTTGGAGCTGGACATTGCAGACTCAGTTTCAGTGTCATCGTAGCCGCTACTTCCGTTGCCGTTGTTTGAAGACCGGTCGTCCTGTGAGTCGTCATCCTCGAAAGGCGCGCCATTCCCATACGGCACACCATTTCCAGGCCAGAGATGGTCGTAGAATGGGTCTTGCATGCCCGCGAATGGGTTGATGTTGTGCGCTTGCATGGGCGGCTGAGCTTCGTATAGCGGCTGCCCTTCATATTGCGGCTGAGCTTGATTCGGCGGCTGCGCCTCGTATCGCGGCGGTGGCATGTCGAAGGGATGGCCGAAGACGGGATCGAAGTACGGCTCGGGCTGGTTCATCCGCCATACCTCGTAGTTGTTGCGCAGCTGCATCGTCGTGTTCCGCTGCAGGTTCTCGAACCAGAGCCGCTGGCCATTCGGCATAATGCCACCGAATTCAAGGTGCTGGATCTCTTCGAGCTCGAGTCCTTCGTAGGTATCTTCCAGTCGACCAACATGAGCGGCCTCCTGGTCGACCGTCTGAAATGGCGGCATATGACCCTCTGTGGCAAAACCGTCGTTGCGCACGCCGTGCTCTTGGCGCACGATCTCGCGCCAGCGGGGGATGAGCGCATCCAGCGTGAACCTCTGGGCCATCTCTTGCCACGTCGCCTGCTCAGTTTGTTCGCGCTCGCGGATGTCCGAGCGCTGCGCGAGGGCGAGAAGAATGCGATGTCCGATAGGTAAATCGGAGTAGAAGCCAGGCAGGGAAGCCTCGTAGCCGTGCTCAATGGCATCGAGATCCTCGTAGAGGCGGATTAGGTACGCGCGCGAGGTGACGAGCTGGTTATAGCGGGCGGGGCGGATGCGGTCGATCAGCTGGTTCTGAAGGAGGTCGAGCTGGAGGCGGAGGGCCTGGAGACGAGCATCAAGAGGTCCAAGCATACTGGCAGGATACTTGAAATGACGAAGGAAAGGTTGTGGCAATGATGTTCTCGAGATGAGGCTAGTTGAGCCGCTGCGCGAGAGATGACCGACCTTATATACGGCGGGGGAGGACAGCTAGCCGATAAGAGGCTGTTCAGCGGTGCCGTAAGGACCACAAAGTTTGCCTATGATCCTGGTCTTTTGGTCCTGGTCCATGCAAGTTCGTGTGAAATTTATGGCCATAGAAGACGTCAAAAACATAAACCGTGCGATCCTTCGAACTCCTGTGCGGGACAAAGAGCAGCTATCCGATACCTTGGGCCTTAGAAGCCATATCGAATGAGAGGAAGTCTCATAGTCTACGTAGCTGCCGGCTCATAGACAGGTTTACGTGAAGGAACACAGTAGTCGAAGAAAAGACCAGGGTACCGACCTCTGTTTGACTGTGCTCCGGACACGAGCGAATAGGGGCACTTTCTCACGAGCAGTGGCAATGGACTTCGGTCTCAGCCTAACTCGAGGACTCCCTCTTACCAACCCTTTGATTGCCACCAGGTGTTCCAATTTTCGACAGCAATGCCACAGCGAAAGCGTTATCATGAAGATCATCATTCGAGTAGCAACTGCGCTACGCGCGCATCGAAGTACAGCTCGAAAACTAGTATGCGTATCATCAACAGAGTGTGCCGATAAATACTCCTGGAATAAAGCAAAACATCATAAAAGTACAACCGCCGCAGCGTAGGCTGGGCGGGACAGTGCGCGCTGCGAGCACAAAGCGGCGAGCGTCGGTGGACAGTTCCTCGACATCGACCATCCGTACACGCGGGCCGCGGCTACGAGCAGCAAGTCCGGTGAGTGGACAGCGCTTAGTGACCGGCGGCGGCGGGCGCGAAGGTGCCGCGCGCCATCCGCTCCTCGAGGGACATCTTCTCGTGGGGGTATAGAGGCTCCTTCTCGATGGTCTTGTTGCCGAAGAAGTACCGCTGGACGTAGTAGGGGATCTGAAACGAAAATCAGTCATCTCAAACATCGACCATCGACGAAAGTGGACGTACCATGCGGAACTGGTAAGCAGCATGCTTCCTGCTCGAGACACTGAACACGGCGTCGAGCTCCTCGAGTGTGAGGCCCTTCGTCTCGGGCAAGAAGAAGAACACAGTGACAAAGCCGAAGATGTTCCACGCGGCGTAGTAGTAGAAGGCGCCCTGGCTCGTGAACGCGCGCAGAAGCGGCGGCCACGTGAGCGAGAGCACGCCGTTGAAGAACCAACAAACGGAGACGGCCCAGGACATGCCGATCTCACGAATGTATAGCTGGAAGGATGATGAGCGAAGTCGAAGCGGGCGTGGGGAAAGAGACATACCGGGAAGGACTCGGCGGAGTAGGTGAAGGGGACAGGACCCTCGGACGGCGAGTAGGCGATGCAGTGGAGGTATGTGCCCAAGGCAACGCAGGCAATACGCGCAGTCGACCCTGCTGGAATGTTGAAGCTGGCGCCGGTGAACCAGAGGGCGAGTGACATGAGCGGGAAGCCGATGAGGAGGAGCTGACGGCGACCGAAAGTATCACTGAGAGCGGAAGTCAGTACCCCCAAAAGATAGTCGCAGATCCATACTCACATCGTGACGATAGCCGGGAACGCGAAGAGCCAGTTGCAAGCGCCCCACCCGAGCGACGCGCCGAGGGCAGCGAACTCGGTGGCACCAGCCTCCTTGAAGATAGACGACGAGTAGTACGCGATAACATTGATGCCGCAGAACTGCTGCATGAACATGACGAGGCCGGACGCCATCATACCCTTGCGGTTGCGCGCCACCGTGACCATCTCGACGACCTTGTTGCGCTTCATCATCGACGACACCTCGTGCTCCGCCTCCAGGATCTCGTGCGCGAGGTAGAGGTCGCGCGCGGCGAGGATGTCCGCGTTGCGCAGGCGCTGCATCGAGCGGAAGGCGTCCGCGTAGCGCTTCTTCGACATGTACCAGCGCGGGGACTCGGGGCAGAAGTAGACCTGCGCCATGACGATGAGGGGCGGGATGCACGCGGAGCCCAGCATGAGGCGCCAGTTGAGGCCCTGGATGCCGTGGTCGGGGACGTAGTAGAAGGCGAGGTCTGCGACGTAGCCGATCATGATACCGAAGGCCGTCCAGGTCTGCCACTGCATGACGAGGCCGCCTCGGATGGACGCGGGCGTGCACTCGGCGGCGTAGACAGGGACCGTAGCGGACTTGGGGCCAATACCGAAACCGAGGAAGGCGCGAGCTGAGGCGGCGATGAGCCCGGAAGTAGCATAATCGTGGAATGGAGACTCACCAATCATCAAGTGCCACCAAGAGTCAGTGAGAGCAGACCAGATGCAGGTGATGCAGGCGATACCGCAGGTGATGAAGATAGCGCCGCGACGGCCGAAGTAACGGTTGAGCGGGTCGGTGAACCAGTTGGCGAAGAGGGAGCAGGCGAAGTAGGGCATGGCGTTGACGATGCCTTGGAGCCATTCGTTCCGGGTGTCGCCGTTCGTCTGAGGGGGAATACCGAAGTCGGTCGGCCAGAACAGGTTCGCACCGTTGATGGCGCCTACGGAAAATTAGCGAAAAGATATGAGGAGGACATATAACTACGCACTCTGATCCATGCCCTGGACGGCGGCTGCGAGCGAGCAGCAGATGACCATGTAGTACAGCGTTTTGGGCTGCGACCACTCTGATCAAATGGTGTGAGTATGGTGGCTTTAGTGAAGATGAATGACAACGCACTGTGGGTGGTCTCCCTCCTAAGCCACACCTTATCCTCTTCGGTGAGCATCTGCTCTTCCTCGTATACTGCCGACGGAAGGTCAGACGAAGAACGGGTAGTAGAGAAGGGGTCACGTACGTCCAGGGTGCGCCGCCACCAAGGCGCCCTTCACAAAGGTGTCCGCGAGATCGGGGCGTTCGCATTGCCCCGCGAACTTCGTAGCGCGTTCGACAAGCTGGTCCCTCGAGAAGATGCGGAGAGGGTTCGCGAGGCGAACGCTGATATCGAGGTCCTCCTGACTCTCGATGCGCGACTCTTCGCTCTTCTCGCTGATGTACTTCTCGTCGTGGCCCATTGTTAGCGTCGGCGAGAGGGAGCGGTGCAAAGAAGCCGGGGAAGGTAGATCGCAGCGAAGCGTACCGTGGGGCCCCACTGGAGTACGGCACCCACCTTATATACCCCACGCCAGTGGTCTCCAGGCGCCAGGAACCTCGCAGCGGGAGCTTGGGAAAAATTTTGTGACGGGATTTGTATGTTGGTAGCGTCGGCGTGGCCGTTTTGGGGTCCGAAAGGGGCACTGAGACGCCCAAAAGCGGGAAGATATGAGGTCGATCATACCGATAGAGTGGCTGGCGCTGTATGGAATGACGAATTGTTGGTATTGCGTGGAGCGGGAAGCATGCCAAGGAGGAGGACATGTTGATGCGGGGGCGGGGGGCTGCACTGCTTTCAGGGCGAGCGAGGACGAGAGTACGGAGATGCGCCTTTACGGAAGTAATAGCTGCAGAAAAGTGAGACACCCATCCCGTCCGCTCAATCCAGGCCGCTCTCGCTGCCCTTCACCTTCCTGAACTCGAAGTACTGCTCGCTAGAGGCTCCCGGATAGGCTGGGCGCCCAGGGGATAAGCGCAGCAGTATGTCTCGGAAAATACAACAATTGAATCTGGCCCATGTGACAAGCACGATGGACGGCATTAGCGTGTGAACGCCGCCCGCGCTAGTGACGCACTCGGAGCCTGCCGCTGGCAGCAGTTTGCAATCCCCGCGCCGTCCCCGCGTCTGCCGAGCGTCGGCTGCGGTACGCGCCCAAGACGCCCGCATTCCCCCGCGCGCTGCCGCGCGATGGCCGGCGTAGAACATTTGCCCGGGCGCGGGAGCGGCCCCCGCGCAGGCGGAATGCGGGGCAGGAGGAGGGCTTGGGTGCATACCAGCCCGGTCGACGTGCGACGACGGCGGGGGCCCAGGAACACATCTGCGCGCCTCCTTGGAGCTCGGGGTACATGTGGGGGTAAGGTGGGGAAGAGACGCACCTGCTCGATCACTGCAATCGATGGCGGGGAACAGGTAGATTGACAAGGGGGTTGTCGAATGAATGGCGCGCGACAGTGAACATCAGACGCACCCGAGGCGCAGCCCAGCTGCGACGATGATGCACGTAGGCTGCACGACCTGCTGCCCCAATTGCCTTGCCTCGACCATTCCGTCAGGTATCCACCAGGAATTCGTCCTGCAACCCGACTAACCAATCATCTGCGCCTCGTGAAACAACGACTGGAAATTCCTGACGGACCATACGGCCGGGCGCTCGCCGCGGCAGCATTTCTCCCTTCTCAAAGCCGACAAGTCCGTCTCCTGGAGGTAGCTTGGCAACGCGCACCTTAATCCCCCTAACTACTTGGCGCGGTCCGAAGACCAATGCCACTGACGCCGTTGAAGGCGTCGCCCCGCTTTGCGAATAATCTGCACCACTCCTCATGAAATATGAACCTGAGCGACGATGACGAAGCGAGGACGAACAACCCACACAAATCCCGGCAGCTGCATTGTTCACGGTGGCGCACCCAAAACACAAAGGCTACTAAATCAGGAAATCGGGGTCCCCGGCGCCGAGGGTTGTGGATTAGTGGCTCAACGCTAAAAGGGAGAAACGTGGGGACAACGCACCGATGTTCGCGCGAGCAATAGCGTCCGAGGACCTGTGCAACATCATGAGATGAGGTGTCCAGCCACAAGCCCGCCGTGGTGGCAGAGACCTGTGATTCTGTGCGAAATCGAAGTCCTTCGCAGGGCTGATGGACGAGGCTTCTCTATTCAGCCCGGGATCCTTACCATTCTCGGTAGGTACTTGAGGCTGAGCAGATGACGTATACAAGAATGCCACATCTCAGAAGAAGTACAGGATCCAGATGAAGAAGCCAGCGGACATGAAAGCTTCGGCCTGTGACTGCGGCAGAATCCCCTTGTCTTTTTGCGGCGGCGAGAGGGCGCGCTTCACAAGTAAATATTGGAGACTCATTAGGGAAGACGAGAGCTGGTAGTACACTGGCGACGGTCCGACATGATGGCGAAAGACAAGGGTCCTTGTTGTGGTCTGATTGCTAACGGAAACCATTGTGCAACAAACAAATAGCACGTGATGCCGGGAATTGCCGTCGGTTCGGAATTCGCAGCTTTACCGCCGCGTCGCCGCCCATCCATCGTGAGCAGCCGCTCGGACGCACATCAGCCCATTCATAACAGTTACGATTGCTTTCCAGCAACCGCCGTTCCCCACCAGACACCCGGGGCCGCCTGATGCATACCATAATGATGTCCTTTCCGCCTCGACCAAAATAGCTATATGAGTAGACGTGATGTTCCCCGGAGTGTACTGTATACCGGCTCGCCAAGCAATGAAGGACGCGACAGGCAGTGCAAGGGAGTAGTCTTAAGCGCCAGTAGCTGTTCACTTGCCACGGTTAGTGGCGAGAACAGCAGAAGTAAAGGTGAGTGCGGCGAGATCGGGGCTGACTCTACCAGCCCTCCCATGCTCATCAACAGGGAGACGCGGGTCCATCTGCGACTATACACAGACGTATCGCGCTCGTGGGACCTTTCCCTTTCGTTTCCTCGCTCGGATCGCAGCACTACGTTCTCCATACAGTCGCCATCGACAGGCACTGCGCTCGCCAGCGCCGCTCTCAGGATGCGGTGGCTCCGTCCATGCGCTTTGAGAAGTCTCCGTCCACGCCTACGGCACGAGATATCAACATGAACTCGGGCCGTACTTCCAAAGCGGAGGTTTGTCTCCTCCTGCCGTTCTGCCGCTTCGAGTTCTGCATCGCGCCTACGTCTCCGCCGTCAAACTCGCCAGCGTCGTCTCAGCCACAGCACCCATGCCGCGCGGTGAGCCTAAATATCGTCTATGGGCTCCCCGAGAGGGAATGGGACAATATGGGGGTCCGGGGACGAATCACGCAGGATCCTAAGGACACGGTAGGCCGCAGATTCGTTCGGGGTCGTGAAACACACTAAGCTTGCGTCAGACGCTGGGACTACAGCCTGGTGCGCACTAATAGTGCAGTCAGCTCGCAAAAATACAAAGCAGGATCTCTTGCACTCGCCTGAGCATTTTGCGCGCAAAACCATCTTGGTATACCCGTACTTCGAATGTTGTATGCTTACTCGGTGCGTTCCACGCATAGCCTGACGCGCAGCAGCGTATGAGAACGCGCGGCGGAGCGATGTTCTCCTGGTATCACGAGTTCTGGGCCTGAAGGCGCGTCCAATATTTCTTCCTGACGAACGGGATTCGAGCTTCTGTGAAGGCGGTAGATGTCATGTCGAGGAGAAACGTCGAGCGGAGGGACATCAAGCATCGAGATGTGGGCGTTGGATAGTTGGCTAATCTATAGATGGTTGGAAGAGTGCATTCAAGAATCACAGTGAGCGATGTCACAGCTCGTCCCGACCCAGTAATCCAGCGTTGTAGCCTCTCTTCGTGACATCTGTATAGGCGACAGCGAGAGCAGAGTTTCGACAAGCTCTTGCGTTGTATTCTGGGCTCCTTGAGCCCTTCGTCTTATTGAGTCTCGCGAAGGGTAGATGATGGACAGTCGCGGCGCAGCGCCGATGCGTCTCCAAATTTCGCCGACTTGCAGCATACCGGAATCTCAGAGAGTATCGTGATGTTCGTCGGGGGTTCCAGAAAGCCACACAAGAGCAAGAGATCATGCTGGTGTAAGGAGAAAAAAGGAAACGGACTTCGGACTTCGCGAAATTGCTTTGCTCGTCCAAAACTTGCGCAAACAAAGTTCGGCGCTTGTCTGAAACTCTCATTATTTCCTCCCATTTTGGCATTCCCTTTTGTTCTCCGGTCGATTTCTCATAGAGGGAGGGCGGGATAGGTGTGTGGTGTGCTAAATACGAGGAACTTTTGGCTTATAGATGATCGTAAACAGTACATAAACGCGTTCACGGCACGCTCCTTTGGCTCTCATGAAGCCTAGACAGCAAACGTCGACTCTGGCGGTGCTCAAGCGCCTCCCTGCGCCGGTAGCACTCGCCATTGGCGTCCTCTTTGGTATCCTCTTTGCGCGGGTGATCCCCTGGACAAGCGTACGTGGCATGATTAGCAGCGAAGCAAGGAGAACTGACAGTGCTACAGCCATACGCGTCGGTCTCACGGACGCTCCCCACCAAAGCACACCATCATGCTCGCCAGCCAGTCCAGCTCCCCTCCCTCGATCAGCGGAAACGCGTGCTCGAGCTCCTCACTACCCTTTCCCCCCACTACACGAAGGAGTGCACGAAGACGGACCGCGTGCAGCCGCTCTATGCGGAGCAAGTCTCCGAGCGATACCAGCCCCTTGTCGGTCATGACTCCCCGGTGGGAGGGAACTCCTGGTTCCCCTCCTTTGGCATCGGCGGCGGCCAGGACGACCCCGCGGAGTACCTGATGCGCACGAGCTCGGAGCACAAGTACTTCTTCGCCATCAACCTCTACAACTCGTTCGACGTCATCCCGGACCTCTTCGCGACGCTCTTCCGCGTCTCCGCCATCCTCGGGTACCAGAACGTGTTCGTGTCCATCTACGAGAACGGCTCGACGGACCAGACGAAGGCGCTGCTCCGCATCTTCGACGCGCTCACGCGCTCCGTCGGCATGCGCATCGTCATCCGCACGTCGATGCGCACGCGCGGCGCGTTCAACCACCGCATCGAGTACCTCGCCGAGGTGCGCAACGCCGCGTTCGGCCCGCTGCACGAGCTGCGCGACGCGGAGAACGAGTACTTTGACACGATCATCTTCATGAACGACATCCTCCCCTGCGTCGACGACCTCCTCGAGCTCATCTGGCAGAGCCGGCGGAACAACGCAGGCATCACGTGCGCCGCGGACTACATGTACCACCAGGAGATGGCCTCGCCGGTGTTCTACGACAACTGGGTCGCGCGCGACATTAACGGCACCGCGCTCGAGAATGCGCCCTTTGAGAACATCTTTCACCACCCGGATAGCTCGCAGCGCTTCCAGCGTCACCTGCCCATCCAGGTGCAGAGCTGCTGGAACGGTATCGCCGTCCTCGACCCCGCGCCGTTCTACTCGCCGCCGCACGTCAAGTTCCGCATGGCGCGCATTACCGAGGGCGAGTGCTCTGCCTCCGAGTGCAGTCTCATCTGCAACGACTACTGGAACGCGGGCTATGGGCGCATTATGATGGTCCCGCGCGTGAAGCTCGCGTACGATCGGGTAAGTTGAAGCCTTGTGCGATGGCCGGGCGCGCTGGGTGCTGATCGTACGTACGTCTAGCGCGTCTTCGACATCATCCACCCCGACCGGCGGAACTTGACCGCTATCCGCGGCTACAAGCGCCTTGGCGGTCTGCCAGATAACCCCAGGACCGACCCGCAGGACCGCTCGTGGTTCGGGCCGCACGACCGCCTCTTCACGGAAGAAGAGAGCGAGCCGCTGAACTTCGTGCCGGGTCCTGAGTATGGTAAGTAGGGGCGTACTTGTATTGCTCTCGTGTCTCTGATGCACTTCCGCAGTCTGGTGCTGGGGCTGGGACGGTGCTGGCGACCTCGACGGCCCGGATGTCGACCCAATCTGGGAGCGGATGGACAACAGGAGTATCCAGCCCTCCGCGGTGGAAGTACGGCACGACCGTATGTGGTAGGCCTGCTCTGCGGGCGTCAGGCCTTGGGTCTGCGCTGCAGGGTATCGGAGATGGATCAGCGGCGCCGTGTGCCATGGGGCTCAAGACCTTCACGGAGGGAGAGGTGGGGGCGGCACGGGCGAGGGGAATGGTAGGGTGGTAGGTTATGACGGACGCAATACTTTTGTGTATAGGCGCAGTCATACCTTCGGCCTCTCGCCTCTGCCCACTCCCGCATGCTTCGTGTCTGACCTAGACGGGTTGGGGGCAGCCGTCCTCTACGCTACGTCCGACACCGCAATTCGCATTACTTTGATACTTGGGCCGTGCTGCATCTCGTCCTGCACTTGCTTTTGGGTGTTAGCTGTTAGTATACTCTACATACGGTCGCGTACTTATTGGATGGTCCTGTATAGCTATATCGGTCGACCTAGAAATGGCATCACGGGGTGGTGTATTCGTTGTGGGTGACAGCCTGGGTCCCTTGACTCGCTGGCGTGTCGGCGCGCTGGATTTGTGTATGATGAACGTGTTGGTCCTTGTGTGCGTCCTTCGTTCCTCCAAGCACAATAAGACGCGCTAATTTGCCATTGTCCTCAAGCAACAGTACAGTTGTCTACATGCAATAGTGGAGATATCGACTACCAGAACGCGTGCCGAGAGCAAGCATGAAGCCCAAAAATTGCGCGTCCCAGGGGGAATCGGCTCCCTGGTATGTGGCGACGCGACGAATCTGCCGAAGGCAGCCCCAGCGATGAGATACCCGGCGTGGCACTGCAGGATGCCTTCGGCTCGAGGGCCATAGGGGCGGCCCTCGAGGACCGAAGGGGAGGCCTGCGGCTCGCCCGCGGGAGCGTAAACGCCAGGTAGGACCAGCCCTATGGGAGAACACCTTATCGCTTTACAAACCAGGCATCAACGCTGCTGCGAGGCGGGGGACCACCCGCCGGCGTAGGGACTCGGGAGGGCCCAACAACCGGGGGCCACCAAGCAGCAGCGCGAGCTCGGCATCTCATCGCCTCCTCCGGCCTCGGCGCAGGTCGAAGACGAGCGCAGTGTGACGGGATCCAGGTGGCCTCTCGACAGTCAACCTCTCAGAGCATCGGCTCCAACCGACAGAAAGCACACGAATGCACCTCCTGCCGATCTAAACCTTGGGAGGTGTATAGGCTGCCGAGGGACCAGTCTGGGAGGTCGGAGGGGTGGGGGTTGGAGAAGAGAAAGGGTGGCGGAAGAGCCGCGTTATATAGGGCGGGGGCACGTGCTCGAGCGGTGATCGCATGCGCGCTCTTTTGTTCTCTTTCATGTTTGTGCGTGACTCATCTTGGTTCGAGCCTTGTGACATTCCATTGTTCTGACGAACAACATTTGTGACTGCGATGAATGTTAGAAGAATTTCACATACAATAAGCGGTTACCTTCTCCTCAATCGCCACTTCGACAAACAACTTGATTCACCCCATCATGACTCGACGTTGGAAGCCGAAGTGCGCACGCCATGCCCAGACGACCTGTGACCACTCGGCCCATAGGCTACTCTTGTACCGCGACATCTTACCCACGGAGCTGTGGCACATCGTATTTTCCTACTGCGTACCAACTACTCTGTTCGCTGTTCGCGATACTTGCCGCCTATTCCGCGCCATCGTCGACCGCGAGGACGGAAAACTATTGGCTCACGCGCCGCTCCTGCTCCCCTATCCCCCTCCGGACCCGCGGTGGTTGCTGCGTATCGTCAACCACCCCGGAAAGAGCAAGGCTCTATGCGAGTTCTTCGGCATCATGGACCCACGAAAGCCGGGACGGTATGGAAGCGCCAGATACACCAATTTGTTGTTCCGATCCGGGCGATGCAATGTGCGTACATAGTTGCCATTTTACCTCCCAATTTCTGATAGGCGAGTTGGCTTCATGTAGATCTGCAATATCTGGACGCCAGGTCCGCCCGAATGGATTCATAGCAAGCTGTATTTCTGCTCCGTACGTCAATCTGTCTCTCACTGTTTCCTCGTTAACTGACCAAGGTGTAGAAGCGCTGCAAGCTGATATTCTTTCGGTATGCCATTGTTACCTCGTACGTTCACGAACTGCCACTGATTCATGGCTTGGGCGTAGCTCGGAAGTTACCTTCCTTCTGCCTCAGTTCAACTACCTGCCAGCTCGGTCCTCGATGCCCGAAGTTGACCGCCATATCGTATCGTGGCTACCTCAGCTCTCCATGTCTTCCGACCTAGAATGGAGAGACCAGAAGACGCAGGCTGTTCTGGTCAACGACTTAATTAAGGCGCGGGAAGAGTATCAGAACGAGGTCTTGTCAGCTCGCGACAACCACGAGCGAACTTTGCGCAGGAAAGCCCTCTTCAAGGTAAGAAACCTGTCGTTCTGTGATCGACCACGTCATTCACAAGGTATCTGATATTCAAAGCGATACTCGGCACGCTACGACTGGGCGCAGTCGATGTTCATGGTAAGTCTCGTTGACTCTGCCGCCAACCTGACCATGACGTGCACCCCTTAGTTCCAATATTACATCGACGAGTGGATGAGGGAGATGGACGAAACAAGGCGCAACGTCAGCGCGTGTAACATCCGCAGGTATGCCACTGCTCGCTGGAGCCTGTGCAGACACTGACGAGTGTCGTGCAGATTGCGTAAATATGTCTTGAGGAAGAATATTCCATCCATACGTGCGATGCATCACCCCGATATACGCCGTCCTTTGGGTTCGCGTACTCGCGACTTTCGCCGACTCTCCCTGTCAAGCTTGACGAAAGCTAGACTATACAGCGCCACCTGCAAGAAGCGCGTCTGCACGCAGTGCGGCCTTTCTGTGTCGAATGCTCGTTACGAACTGCATGTCATCAAACGGTGAGCCACTGGGAACTGCCCTGGTCTGTGCGCTGACACCGGCAACTCTCAGCCATCCTGGGCAGTTACCTTACAGTCGTCTTAACCTTGAGATTGGGAAGGCGGAGTACCGATGCGAATTATGCGGGGACCTCCCTCTGAAGTGGCGCACAGCATACGCGTTGCAGCGGCATGAGAAGCTTAGGTCAGTCTCTTTATCGTATGTTTCCTCGCGCTGACCATATTCCAGACACGGAATATGTCACCGCCCGGAAGAGGAATGGCAGGGCATCGGTACATGAACGCGAACCCTTTGATTGCGTCGCATTGGGTCCCGATCAAGATTGACGTGGTAGCGAGTACCGCCGCCGAAGGAGAAATAAGTCTGCTAGATCCATCGATAGATAGCCTGTCATATGACCCACGCGCGTCCTCCACGACGACAAAGTACCCCCTTCGATGAACAATACAATGATCGGTGATGTGTGGTGCTACTTGAATCAAATCGCGAACAGTGAATACCCAGTCGGACAATCAACGCGCAGACATCGATCTCTACCAACGCAATGGTAAAGCTGCTCCTGGTCCGAGGGCCCATCGATATTATGCCCCTTCGAGGTGCTGTGGAATGAGAGTATCGCGCCTAGATCCTCATAAATCATGTCATAAATTCGGTATGTCTCGTAAAGTTGTCAGAATGTAGTATAGAGAGGCAGAACAATTTCAGAAGACAAAGCGAGCTATCAGTCCGTATAACTGTTTAGCGCCGACTCGGGCGAGCCCCACGAACAAATACCCCATGCCTATAGATGTGTCAGTCGCGAAACATCGCTTCTGCAAAGCGATAACCCACATTTCCTTCAAGTGCGCGTTCAGGTCTTTTTGTTCGACAAAGATCTTCTTTCCTCCGCAGCGCCTACAGCTGAAGTACATCGCGCTGAAGAAGTCATCAATACGCCGTTTGTAGCTCATGATGCGTGGGGATTACTTACGGGCGTTGGGGCGGCTTGCCATGGTTGCGACGTGACTTGGATGTGGAAGCGACCGGATTCGCAACATCGCTAATTGCTGGGTGGCCACCGGGCGCGCGATTGGGGTGAGCAACGCCGTTCCTCAAAGCATTGCCGTCGCTTTTGGCAGCGACTGCAGGTTCCTCAGGCTCGAGTCTGCACTGTGGCACAGATTTGTGTTCAGGGCTGGGCTCAGGCTCGTCCTTCCCGTGCGTAGCTGCGGCAGATTTCGCATCAGTGCAACCCGCCTCGCCCGTCACTCTGTCCATAAACGGTACGAAGGTGCGTGGGAGGGGGTAATGCACGAAGTCCTGGTTGGGATGGGCGAATTCCGCATCCCAGGGAGACTTCGGCAGGTCGGGAAGAGGAAAAAGGCAGTCTGCCGCGTTTGCGTAGATGGTAGACACATCGCGCGCGTGCGCCTCCAATACGCGCTGGACGAGGGGATGGCTTGGGTCATAGGGCTGATTCAGATACTCGGCGCGGTCTTCGATACTACAAGTCGGCATGCAAATCAGCGTGTGGCAACGCGCCTGGAGCAGTCAACTCACGTCAGCTGGTTCTCGATGCGGAGGTACATGTCCTTCCTCTCGTTTGCCACCCTCCAGACAGAGACGAGGCAATATAACTGCGCAAAGCAGAGAACGTATCCGTCAGATGTACTGCGTAGCATATGAGAAGACGACGACGAACCCACTTGGTGACCTCGTGGTACTTGCGACGGTCGGCGAATATCTGCGAGTGGGCAGCCGCATGAGTACCGTGCCAGTAAACAGAGGGAGTACACGCACATCTGCAAGGCGCACGGCCCCCTCCTTATCCTCGCTATCTCGAACGATGTCACTGGAGTAATCCCATTTCCAGCCAACGCCGCTCAGCTCCTGCTTGGCGCGCAAAAGAGTCTTGAGAAGAGTCCTACAGTTGGAGCCGCCTGCGATGTCGGTCAAGATGTCGAAGGATGGACGATCGACGTAGCGCCTATAGTCCATAAGCATATGCGGTTGCCACTCTTCGGCCGTCAAAGGTAGGTCGAATGCGCGTATTTGGCGGATGCAGCAGGTCAGCGTCTCAGGTGCAGGGGGAACCGTCCAGCCGCATGACATATACTCGCTGAGCAGCATTGAGATCATGAACACATCGCCGAATAGGTAGAACATACGAGAACATATATGAGAAACAGGCCTCCTGTGAATCGGCACGTCAGTCAGAGCGCAAAAAGGTGTGGCACGCAGCAACGCACACTACCGCATAAGCGAATCTTCATGTCACTCGAAGCTGGGGGTAGCGCCGACCAGGTGCCACAGACCTGGCAGAACGGCATAAGCATCGAGTTCGAGGTAGGGACTTCAGATACTCACCGAGCATGGTCCCAGACAGAGCATCTTCATCAAGCATATCGGATTTCGTAGCTGGACGGGAAGGCACTCCCAATCTTCCTCGTTGTCTGGCACGGCCCTCGCGAGACCAGCATCCTGTAGAGCTTCCTCGAGCATCTCCCTGCTGATCATCCTCCGAAGGAAGCCCCGGGCGTCGCGCAGGCAGAAGAGATCGAAGACTGAGCAGTGCGATAAAATGTTCGCCCATATCTCTTTGGTAAATGGACTAGCATCGGACACAGTCGCAATCCCTTCATGAGAAGAGCCACTGATCTCGTTGGCGATGGAGGGAGAAGGCGATCTAACGCGAGGAATTTTCGCGGGAGGCGGTCCGGTATCAGCCATGGTCGAAGAAGAGGGTGGCAAAGCGACGGGGTACGGTAGCCAAGCTCATATAGCGCGCGCTGGTCGCTCTTGAATGGTACGTGACCTGGTCTTTGTTGTCAGCGTCGGTCACAAACAATAGGAAAGTCGCACCTGCGGTATATCCCACGCCACATATGGACCTTCGACTCACAAACAGAACACAGGATCACCCTCGCGCGCTCTCTTGTAGTCTTACATTGTAGTCCCGAGCATAGCCACCTTGATGCAGTTTTCGTGAACTCGAACATCGGACGGGCGCCGAGGGAATGAGGGGAGGCCAGGGGAGGCCGAAAATCGGCCTAAGCACCGCCCAACCCTGTTGAAGGAGGGCCAGTCATACACAGACACGCGCTGGCTTATCTGTGGCAAAGGCCCGCAATCTGACTGATGATCTCAAATTTGTGGCATTGACAGTGAACTACCGGACGTCGGATCCCCAGGGCCGCGTCGAGAGAGCACTGGTCTGTCTTTTGCGATGGTTATCCGGAAATGTTGACATATTAGCGCGTTGAACTACATGATGGCCTCCAAATCTTGTGAGCACGTCGCGGCCTACATCATGGCCCTTGGAGAATCGCGCACCTCGTTCTCGTTGTACACTTGCCTATGGGGATGGTCGACGCCCAGCCCGTCGTTCGGAGTCAAATGGTGACGAAGGACGGCCAGTAGTCCATGACCTGCTCGCTGAACCACACGGAAGGCTCTGGCGCAGCGTTAGTCAGGTTGTGGAACATGCACTGCGCGTCGAGGACGTGGTCAACTAGGTGGCAATAAGCGAATTATCAAGAACACGGGCGTGAGGTATGAACATACGATCGTATCTGGGATCTGCGCCCTCAGATAGTGGGGATCCCCGAGGAGTCAGTCGTACGTTGGCGGGCCTACCTTGCTCGAGCCGCGCTGGGAAACCGGCGCCCCGAGTGGAACAATGTTGTCACCTACTTCGAGAACAAGTGGTACGGGAGTAGAGCATCAATTATCAGCGCTGGACGGACAGAGAAGACCCGCTAGGACGACGAACTCAAGTCGAAGGTTCCGCTGTCAGTGCCGTATGGCGAGCCGAGGGTGGTGTCGTCAGGGCGTAAAGCGAGTATCTCATCCTGCATCTCGTTATCTGAGCGGCCGCCGACAGTCGGTGAGAGCAGCTTCTGACGGGACAGGCGAAGGAGAGTATCGTTGCTGATCTGCGCCGGCGCGAACCAAGTACCTGACATCGTCCATCAGCATCGCGGCGAATAAGTATCACGCGGTCAAAGAGGGACATACCATCATCCAAATGCGTGCCTGCAATGGAGGGCACCTGCGTATACCCGCCAGCTGCCCAAATATTGGATGGTAGGTTAGGATTCAGGCCGTTCGCGCCATCGAGAGCCGGGCACCATTTCAACAGCGTCTTCGGTATGACCTGGCGGACAGCGCTCATCACAGCCTCCGAGTCGGCGCCTCGAAGGCACCTGAGAACGCTTCCCGACGTGTTCGCGCACCCCACGAGCGAGGAGAACGAGTCCCAGGAGTTTTGATTCGCCGACGCGGGCTTCGGGATCGTGGTGCCGGGATAGCCGGACATGTAGACAGCGCCGCGAATGTAGGGACCGAGGGTATTGGTGAGGGTGAGGATCTGGAGGGTAATTGCGCCTGCGCATATGGTGAGCAAATTGTCTTCAAGGTTCAGAAGGAACGCTTACCTGCGCTGCTGCCGATTGCAGTGACCTGAAGGGAGAACGTCAGTAGAAAGGAGCTGTCACGACCATCCGATCCTACCTTGCTCGCATCTCCGCCGAACGCTGCAATGTTGCGGTTGATCCAGTCAAAGGCCAAGAGCGCGTCGCGAGCGCCAACGTTGAGCAGACCGTTTCCATCCATCTCGTCGCCCTGCGGGAAGCCAAGAGGGCCGAGGCGATAGCCGAAGCTGACGAGAATGACGGGAGTTCCCTGAGTAGTCGATGAGTGGCTCGCATGCGAGGGGAACGTACACGTTCGACGCTTTGCGCCACCCACCACGGGGCTTGAGTCAAACCTCTGGGCAGCCCCGGTGTAGAAGCCTCCTCCGAAGACCCTCGAGTTCAGGTTAGAAGCTGACCCGATAAACAGCGTGGCGGAGACTCACCAGACCAACTATGATTTTGCGCGCTCAGTAGAATGTTTTGTGAGGAAAGTGATGGTTTACTCACCACTGGAAGGGCCGCATCGCTAGATATACCAGCCGGGCGCATGATGTTGATGGTCAGGCAGTCTTCGGATTGCTTCTCGACAGGGACACCGCCATCCTGGATCGAGGGAGTCAGCTCGGAATGAGACGAGGGAGGTATCGCTGCCTACCGTCGGCTGGGGGCACGCAGGACCGAAGCTCGTGGCGTCGAAGGCCGACTCGCTGAGAATGTGCGGCACGGGCGGTGCGAAGCGTAGCTCGCCGACTGGCGCCACGGCATAGGGTATACCTAAGTAAGTGCGTGTTGAGTCGGAGCGCGTCCGGAATCGGGCAAGAAGACGACTTACCCGCGAAGAAGTCAAGGGATCTCCCGCTCGGAGAAGTCACTTCTGAGCCTGTGAGCGTCGTGCCGTTAATTGTAACCGAAGCGCTGAGCGCAAGGCCGCACGTCGCGAGGAGGGCGGACAACCACAGTGAGCACTGCATGGACGTATGAAATGGAGATGCTCTGAGGGGAGAACCGAGACTGCAGAGAGGTGAAAGGAGCGTATACGATATTGGCACCTTGTCGTCTCCCCGCTGACACTTATACCTCCCAAGGATGTACGCCTCGGGGAGCAAATCACTCTTCGTCGCGCTCGGATTTTCGGGTGGGGCAGGCAGTGCTCTGACGCATGTAGCTTCTAAATCCAGGACATGGTTCCGGGTTCATTCCGAGACGGCGATGCTGATGATGCAGGCATGCGAGCAAGCTGCATCATGGTTGAAGATAAAACCTGAGAATGTGTCGAACATCACACGGCCCGATTGGGATGATCACGCCGGCAGCCACGTGGAGTGACGGTTGAACTTGGTCACATCGGGTGACCACGCAAACTTGCGTTCCCAATTCCTGCTGCAGCCAGTATGCGGAGCCTCATATTCGGAGCTGAGAGCTGAAGGGCGAAGAGCACTGAGCACGGAAGCTGTCGCGCGGCACGCTGTTCTCCAAGCCGATAACGCGGCGCCACCGGTGGATGAAAACCTGGAGGACGTCGACGTTGCAGCGTATGAATGGATCGCTGTAGGTTCCCGCTAATCTTCAGTCGACGATGTAGGTTCGCGTGTACAACACGCCGAGCAGAAAAGTGCGGATGAATCGGCACAATGGGAGATGTCGTTGTACTCTCGATAGGGTCCAGTGCGTTGTACTCGTGGATAAGGCCCCTGCGAGAGGTGAGGAGGCGGTTGCTGGAGTCGATCTACCGCTGTCGACGAATGTCTCTGGTCTCTAGTAGTGCGATTTGGGCGCGAAGCCAGTCAAGACGAGCCTGGGTATCCTAACTGGAATCAGCATGGGTAATGAGTGTAGGTTGTGTAATTGAGTACACAAGACGTAGGAAGAATGGTCTCGGATGTTGCAGAGCGTAGATCGGACGCTTTGATGGAACCTCCAGTCAACAGCGGCAGTGCGATAAAGTTCCAACCATTCTTGTCGACCGGCGATCTGCAAGTAATCACTCAGTCTCAATATCCCTGCTCACCTGAGGATCTGACTGATGCGGCCAAATTCACCTTAGAAAGATTGTGCGACGCTGGAGGGTTGACCCAATCGGGAAGTTATTGTTCTTCGTTGTGTACAGGAAACTAGACCAAACACATACAAAGGGTTTTGCCCTTGTTCTCAACCATCATCACTCCACTGGAGATTCGCAAGCATCTTCTCATCCTCCACCCCCGCACCCCCGGGCCCTTCGACGCGTTCGCCATCGGCTTCTTCCTCACCAACGCTTTGTCCTTCGAGGTCACCGAGTGATCCGAGTACTTTCAGCCCTCGCTTTGCGCGCCTGAAAAACACCGCGCCAAGGCCCATCTTCAGGCGGAGACCGAGCTCGCAGATATATTACCCTGTGGGTCCAAACCACGCGGATCACGCGGCTGCTAATTGAGCTGAAATTCAGGTTTTGGGTCTCACGTCCGACTTCACGCCGAGTCGCCGACATTCTCTTCACTCTGTTCACTAGGTTCCGGGCAGCTTGCAAACGCCCGAGCGCATGCAGCGGCGAGGGAAATTCGCCCACATCAGTCCCCCACGGTCCTCAAACATGGGCTCCAACGACAAACTCGCGCGGCGTGGACTCACGAATCGGCTTTGGGTCGTCGTCTGCGCCGTCCTCGCCTTGTTCGCCTTCATTCATTATGTTGTTCCCTCCTTTGGCGGCGGAAGCACCCCAACGTACTCGAACTCCGACTTGAAACCGAAAAACTACATGAACGTGTCGCTGGAGGAGGCCCCGAACCCATTCGACTTCTGCCCGGTGTACGGCCCTGGAGATGAGGTGGCAGCGAAGCACGGCGCGCTCGCCCTGTCCAAGACGCGCATGCACCTCGGGAGCGGCGCGCGCATCCAGCGGGTGCTGCATCGCGCGCTGGCGGGGCAGCCGGTGACGATAAGCGTGCTAGGCGGATCAGGTGCGTCGTCTACGCAATCTACGCGGACTTTGCTAACACATTCCCCCCAGTCTCCGCATGCCACGGCGCCGGTGACGACCCCATCTCCCCCCGCTGCTGGCCCTCCAAGTTCTTCCAGTGGTGGAACTCCGTCTTCCCCCACCCCGCGTCCGAGCTCACCAACGGCGCCATGCGGCGCGTCAACTCCGAATACTTTGGCTTCTGCTCGGCGCACCATCTCCCCGACGTCACCGACCTCGTTATCATCGAGCTCGATGCGGACGACGGCACGTCTAACGACTTCAAGACGCACTTTGAGACCCTCGTCCGCTCTATCCTCATTCGCCCCGACCAGCCCGCCGTCATCCTCCTCGGCCACTGGTCCTCCCAGACGCACGCCATCCATGGCTTCGCGGGCCCCGACCACATGCACGACATCATCGCCCAGTTCTACGACGTCCCCCACGTCAGCACGAAGGCCCTCCTTTACCCCGATTACATGCACGAACCAACGTCCATTCAAAAATACTTCGTCGATCCGATGCTCGCAAATAACCTCGGACACGATCTCCTTGCGGATGTCCTCATCTCATACTTCCAGGGACAGATCTGCAACGCCTGGTCTGTCTTCACTGGTTCTGCGTTCGACTCCGTCGCCGCGAACAAGGACGCGACATCGGGCAATGGCGCCGCCGGCCTCTTTGGCGGCCTCGGGCAGCGCAAGGGTGTTCCCGAGCCCGGCGCACCGAAGGACGCCAAGGACGAGGTTGACGCGGAGGGCAACCTCATCGATGTCGACCTCGACATGGACCGCGGCCCCGGCTTTGGCTCCGGTGCAGGCGCTCACCTCAACGCACCGTCCGTGCCGCAGGCGATGATCGACACGCGTCCGGACTCCGCACGCGAGTTCGAAGAGGTGGACCCGTTCTGCGCGAGCGCGAACGACCTCGTGAACCCGCTCCCGCCCTCGCTGTTCTACGGCTCGGGCTGGTCCGCGTTCCACCCGCCAGGCGGCGCGACGAGCCTGACGGCCAAGTCGCACTACTGGTACGCGTCGATGCCGACGAGCAAGTTGCGCATCCCGATCCATGTCGGCAAGGGCGACATTGGCGTGTACTACCTGCAGGAGCCGGCTTCGGAGGTCGGCGAGGGCAGCGCGGTTGAGTGCTGGGTGGACGACAACTATGCCGGCGCGAAGATGATCGAGAACGCCGCAGATGTTGGCGAGGAGCGCGCCGCGTGAGTAACGCCTTCACTTCACCTGACTGTCGCTGATCACTTCGCAGTCTCTTCATGATTGACCATTGGGTATCGCGGGGCGCGCACTACGTCGAGTGCGTGCTCATGGGTGACGAGGGCACGTCCGTGCCTCCCTTCAAGATCATCGGCGTCTTCTCGACATGATCTCGAGTCGATTGTGGGATATGGACTCTGGAGAGGGGACGCGTCGGGCCGGCAGGGAATCTCGCGAGCATCTCCCCCGCTGCTAACGTCGCCTTGTTGTGGATCACGCTGCACTGTATTTGGTACGCATACCTTTGCACCTACTTAGAATATCGTCTATCTTATTAGCTGGCTGCGCCTCGAATGGGCACTATTGTGCCACAAACACGACGGTCGTTACACTCACAACTACCCATGCAGCCATGCAGCTATAATCGACGCGCAAGTACCCGACGAAGATGATGCACCATAGAAGATACGGGCACAAAAATTACGCGCTCCCAGGGGGATCGGCCCTCTGGCGTTGCGAACGCGTGAATCTGCCCGAAGGCAGCCCCAGCGGCGAAGCGCCCGGCGCGTCCGTGCCATAGCACGAATCATCCACGCCATGAGCGTGGCTGGGATGTAGGGCCGCTACTGCGAGGACCTTCCCAAAACCACAACTCCTGACGGCATCAGCGCTGCTACTCCAGGCGTATGCCAGAACAACAGCGCGAGCTGACGCCCACCGCCCCTTCCTCAGCGCGACTATGAGGTCGCGCCGCAAACAGCCCCCACTGTCGCCAACACCCTCGGCGCTGGATGAATGCGAAGTCAGAGCCCGTACGTACTACGTGCACAGGTCACTGGGTCCTCGCAATCTCGGGGGCTCTGAGCAACAGTAGAAGCTGGTCGCACGGGAAGGAGGGGTTGTTGTGCGACATGAAGATGGCATCTTATAAGGGGCCACGTGCAAGAAGATCGCAACGGTAACCAGGGTGTCTATTGTTCCCCAGTATGGTCGTGAATGATCCGGCTGCAGGCGGTGCGCGGCCGCTGACAATAGACAATTCGGACCGGTGATCGTCCTTCTTTCCTTCCTCCCCTTCCTCCCCTTCCTCCCCTTCCTCCCCTTCCTCCCCTTCCTCCCCTTCCTCCCCTTCCTCCCCCCGTATCGCAACAGCCCAAGCGTCGAGCGAGTTTACCGGCTATCTCGTCTGCGCCCTCTGATCATCGATAGGCCTCGACTCCCTATGACTCGGCGGTGGAAGAAGTTCAAGAGCACTCGCTATGCTGTGACCGCCTCTGTCAAGATGCGCGTACCCACGTCGTATCGCGACAAGCTATCGAACGAGCTATGGCACCTCATATTCTCCCAATGCACGCCGCTCACCCTACTTGCTGCTCGAGACGCTTGTCGCCTTTTCCGCGATATCATCGACAGGAAGGACGGCGAGATGCTTGCTCGTGCTCCTCTCTTGTTATCGCCACCGCCCCCAGACCCCCGCCGCTTTATGCGCTATGTCAAAACCGCGGCACAGTACGAGGCCATACGAGAGGTCTTCGCCATCAAGGACGTTGGCAAGCCGGGAGCTTATGGTAGCGCCACATATACGAAGGTGTTGTTTGGACCCGGCCTGTGCTACGTATGTTGGTTGATGGTTGCAATCGCTGGATATGCTGAGTACCCGTACGTCAGGCGTGCAGAAAATTGACTCATGGGCCGCCGATGAGGATTCTCGGTAGGATTTACGTTTGCTCGGTTCGTATCATAATACCTTCGCCACCTGTCGTTCAAGATGCTGATCCATTCTACAGAAAGGTTGTCGACGTCATGTACTGCGGTCAGTGCAGTGAGAACCTCAGTGTACTCGTCTCATGTCATCCACAGCAAAAATGTTGTCCATGTCATCCCAGAGTTCAACTACCTCCCGGCGTACTCCATGCATTGTGATCGACACATCGTGCCGTGGCTTCCCACAATCTCAAACAGCAAGAAAGGGGATACGAAGACAGTCTTGAAGCGAGATCTAGGGCGCGCGCGAACGGAATATCGCAACAGGATACAGATCATGGTTCTATCGCAAGAGGAGCGTCGAAGTCGCTCAAGGACGCTGTTCTCGGTCAGCAAAAGCTTTTCTGGATTGCATATCATTCGTCTAATCCTTTGAGCAGGAATATCATGTCCGCCATCAGCGAACGAAAGCCTTAACCGACGTACGTGACCGCTCGCAGCTCGTGAAGTGATTTGTCCTTGATGGCGCACGCGCAGTTCCAGTCTCAAATTGATCAGTGGAAGGAGGAAATCAGCAAAGCGGAGTTCGTACGAGGATTTCGCGACCCAAGCAACCCGAGTCGTACAGGAAGCGCAAAGCTCTCCGTTTGGGACCCGGAAACAATGGCATTTCCTGCAGTCCTCCAGACACGGGCATACCGGTTGAAGGCGAGCAGTGGGTAGATTATGTAGTCAGAAACCAAGCAAAGTTTGAATTGTATGCGGCACATTTCTCTTACAGCGCCATGTGGGTAGCTGGCCGCCTGGCGGCGGTCGTGAGCACCACAGGATATCCGGATGCGCCCTTCAAACGGCTTGGCATGTGCGAGAAGATCGCAACGGTAACTAGGGCGTCCATTGTTTCCTACTATGGTCATGGAAATGACCCGGCTCCGGGCGGTGCGCGGCCGCTGGCAATTAACAATCCGGACTGGTGATGGTCCTTCCTTCCTTCCTCCTCCTTCTCCCCTCGTATCGCAATAGCCACAGCGACGAGCGAGTTTGACGTCTCTTCTGCCTGCATCCTCTCAATATCGACAGTTCTCCATCCCTCATGACCCGTCGGTGGAAGAAGTCCAAGAGCGCTCGCTATGCTGCGACCGCCTCTGTCCAGAGGCGCGCACCCCCATCGTATCGCGACATGCTCCCGAACGAGCTATGGCACCTCACCTTCTCGGAGTGCTTACCCCGCACTCTGCTTGCCGTCCGCGACACTTGCCGCCTGTTTCGCGAGATCATTGACCGAAACGACGGGGAACTGCTCGCCCGTGCTCCCCTCTTGCTATCCCCTTCTCCTCCAAACCCTCGCGAGCTCATGCGATATACAAAAACGGCGGCCCAATACAATGCCTTACGCACCACTTTTGCCATCAAGAATGTCCACAAACCGAGGGCGTACGGTAGCGCCACATATACGAAGTTGCTATTCCAACCCGGACCGTGCTATGTATGTGATCTCATGCTACATGTCTGCATCGGGACTCATCGCTCGTACCCTAGGTATGCAAGAAGATGACGAACGGACCGCCATTACGAATCCTCGGTATGGTGTATACATGCTCAGTACGCGTAGATCTGTTACTTTGGTCGTCTCTTGTGCTCAATCTTACACAGAAAGCCTGCAGTCGTCATTTATTACGGTAGGCAGTCTCTGCTGATGTTATGGTCGCCATTCCGTCTCATCTTCCCCACAGAAAGGGTGTCGTCCATGTCCTAGCTCATCACAAGTCCTTACCAGCGTACGCCATGACGTTCGACCGACACACAATCCCGTGGCTTCCTACAATCTCCCTCGGCAAGCAGCGACGGCAGACACGAGCAGTTTTGAAGCGGGACCTTGGGGATGCGCGAAAGGAATATCGCGAGAGAATCCTCATTATGGTGCTTTCCCCCCCGGAGCGCGCGCTGCGCTCGGAGGCATTGTTCTCGGTCAGTGCGACACCTGATCATGTGGCGTACTGAGATCTCATTCTTTGTATAGCAATACCGCGACCGCTATCAGAGAACGAAGGCGTTGACTGCAGTACGTGCTCCCTTCCGCCTCGCTTGATGATTGAAAGCCTGAAGCCCGTGTAGGTTCAAACACTCGTAGACCAGTGGAAGAAGAAGATAGAGAAAACAGCCTTTCTTTAGTGTAATCGCTTGGGTGGCAATCGGTACCGTGCTTCGTGCTGTCGATAACAGATCATGTCCGAGTCATACATACGAGGCGAGCAGGCATCGCCCGCCAGCACATCTTAATCTCGCAGCGTTCGCGCCGTCTCGCCCGTGCTTCTCTCGAATGACCTTTTTCAGACAGAATGAATCATGTTGCATGCGCACTGGATTTGGATCACTTGAAGGAAGCTGGAGATCCCGCTGTTTATCCCGAGATCGTCTGGGAGGTATCGTAACTCGGAGAAGCAGAGGTCTATACGACTCCAGATTTTACTCTCCCTTGCTCATTGTTCCCAATCTAGCGATGCTGATGTACCCTGGCTATAGCCGGAGTTCAGATGAACGAGAGGGTCAAGCTATTCTCCTTCAGTGACCGTAGCCACGGCATTTCAGCAGCATGAATGATGCGAAGTTGACTCTGTCATTTTGTGATAGCTCCTGGCTTCTATGGACGCCTCGCGGTTGTGGGTTGCGTTCAGTCCCCGAGGTCACGAAATGTGACCAAGTTCAACCGTCACTCCACGTGGCTGCCGGCGTGATCATCCCAATCAGGCCGTGCGATTTCCGACACAACCTCAACCATCATACAGCTTGCTCGCACTTCTGCATCATAAGCATAGTCGTTTCGGAATGGACACGGAACCATGTCCTAGATTTAGAACTTACGCGCGCCAGAGCACTGCCTGCCCCACTTGAAAATCCGAGCGCGACGAAGGGCGATTTGCTTCCCGAGGCGCACATCCTTGGGAGGTATAAGTATCAGCAGGAAGATGGAAGGAGACAACATCATCTACGCACCCTTCTCTTATAATCTGGACCTTCGAGTCGCTCTTTTGGTGCCCACTACACTACCATGCAATCCACTCTGCGGCTATCCGCCCTCCTCGCGACGTGCGGTCTCGCGCTCAGCGCGTCGGTCGCCATCAATGGCACGACGCTCACAGGCTCTGAAGTGACATCTCCGAGCGGGAAATCCCTTGACTTTTTTGCGGGTAAGTCGTCTTCTTCCCCGATTCCGGACGCACTCCGACTTAGCACACACTTGTTTAGGTATACCCTACGCCGAGGCACCAGTCGGCGGGCTACGTTTCGCACCCCCCGTGTCGCACATTCTCAACGAGTCGGCCTTCGACGCCACGAGCTTCGGTCCTGCGTGCCCCCAACCGACGGTAGGCAGCGATACCTCCTTTGTCTCATCATGAGCTGACGCCTTCGATCCAGGATGGCGGTGTTCCTGTCGAGAAGCAATCTGAGGACTGCCTGACCATCAACATCATGCGGCCGACTGGTATCTCTAGCGATGCGGCCCTTCCTGTGGTAAGTCTCCCATCTCCTCTCTAATAAGCACGCCCTACTGAGTGCGCACACTCGTAGTTGGTCTGGTAAGTCTCCGCTACGCTGTTTATCCGGTCAGCTCCTGAAGTCCAATCCAGGGTGTTCGGAGGAGGCTTTTACACAGGGTCTGCCCTGAGTTTTGACTCAAGCCCCGTGGTGGCGCAAAGCGTTGAACGCGTAAGCTCCCCTCGCATACAAGTCATTCAAACTACTCATCGACGACTCAGGGAACTCCCGTCATTCTCGTCAGCTTCGGCTACCGCCTCGGCCCTCTTGGCTTCCCGCAGGGCGACGAGATGGACGTAAGCGGTCTGCTCAACGTCGGCGCGCGCGACGCCCTTTTGGCCTTTGACTGGGTCAACCGCAACATTGCAGCGTTCGGCGGAGATGCGGGCAAGGTAAGGTCGAACGGTCGTGACAACTTCTCACTGACGGTCTTCATTCAGGTCACTGCAATTGGCAGCAGCGCAGGTAAGCGCTCCTGCTGACTCTTGCGAACCGTTTACTCATCACATGTGCAGGCGCAATTACCCTCCAGATCCTCACCCTCACTAATACCCTCGGTTCCTACATTCGCGGCGCTGTCTACATGTCTGGCTATCCCGGCACCACGATCCCGAAGCCCGCGTCGGCGAATCAACCCTCCTGGGACTCGTTCTCCTCGCTCGTGGGATGCGCGAACACGTCTAGCAGCGTTCTCGACTGCCTCCGCGGTGCCGATTCGGAGGCTGTGATGGACGCCGTCCGCGAGGTCGTGCCGAATACGACGTTCAACTGGTGGCCGGCTCTCGATGGCGCCGATGGCCTGATTCCTGACTTGCCATTAAATATCTGGGCAGCCGGAGGATATACGCAAGTGCCCTCGATTGCAGGCGCGCACTTGGATGACGGTATGCTCCTCTTTGGCTGTGTGCTATCCGCCGCGATGCTGATAGGGGATGTCAGGTACTTGGTTCGCGCCGACCCAGATCAGCAATGAGGCGCTGCTCCGCCTGCTGCTCAAGACGCTACTGTCGCCGACCGTAGACTGCCACACGGACGACGAGCTGCAGAGCATGATCGACGAGATACTTGCCCTGTACCCTGACAACCCCACCCTCGGCTCGCCGTATAATACTGGCAACGAGACCTTCGGCTTGAGCTCGACGTACAAGCGGGTCTCTGCTATCTGTAAGTCAAACGCTGCTCATCGACTCCCGTACTGATCCATCTCGAAGTGGGCGACGACATGTTCCACTCGCAGCGCCGGCTCTTCCAGCAGACCTCGAGCAAGGCCGGCGTGCCGACGTACGGCTACCTCTTCGCGGACCCGCCGTCTGACGGCACGGATCCCAGACTCGGTGGTATGTGTGTATCTTCATATTGTCTGTCAGTCGCTCAATGCCACATAGTCTACCATAGCCTCGACGTGCAGTACATGTTCCACAACCTGACGAGCGCTGCGCCCGAGTCTTCCGTGCGCTTGAGTGAGCAGGTCATAGACTATTGGCTGTCCTTCGTCACGAGTTTGGACCCCAACGACGGGCTGGGCGTCGACCGCCCCCACTGGCCGGTGTACAGCGAGAACGAGGTGCGTGTCTCTTCGAAGCTCGCGACCTACGTAGCGACGTACTGATGGAATTCGCAGACCATCATGCAGCTCAACGGCGCCAATCTGACGGCGATCCCGGACGACTATCGCGAGGACCAGATCACTTTGCTCAACGCAAACCCTGGTATTCTACACCATTAGTCGGCTATCTATGCCACAGACCAGATGTTCTATATCTTTGATGATACGAATGCTTCGTTGTACTCGAACAGTGCGTCCCCGCGTGTGACTGGACCTCCTTCGACTAGGTGGGCGGCGCTTTGACCCTCGCCTTATTGTCGGCCGGGTTATCAAATGTGGCACTGTTGACCTGTGCGGTCGGCCGCCATCCCATTGGTCGCGCGCAACAAAAACCACATCCTGAAGGCGGTGCTGGAATCACAATGGAAGCTCACAACAAGGCGCGAAGCGGTGCTGCCGATTTGTTGCGGGTGACCCGGTCGCCCGCGAGGCATGGACGACATACGCAAGTCTGCATTTCCTATTGTTCGTGACCGGAGTTAACGACAGCACCCAGTCACGTACCATGCAAGAGCAAACGGGGCGCCGTATATAGGCAGAGCGATCGATGTCGCACGCCGTCCCTTTGCCACCATCATCTTTCACTATGACTGACGCTAGCCCGCCTCCTGCCAAGATTCCTCGCACCAAGTCTCCTTCTCCGCCCATCACGGATGCAGCGAGCGCACCTGCTGCTACTGTGTCCGCTGCTCAGCAGTTTAGCGACGAGGTGTGGGAAGAGATATTGTCGCACTGCTCAGTCTTCGATCTGTTCTGTCTTCGAGACACCCAGCGCCTCTTCCGGACGATAATCGACTGGGACATGATTCTTCAAGCCTTCACAGATGCCAGATTATTCCTCGTCTGGCCTTATAACGAGCAAGCATGGGCGCGTCTTTGCACTAACGGATGCGATCCTCTCTGCTATATGAAGATGCTCTGCGTGGGGCCGTGCTCGGTAAGCCTGTAAAGCCTTCATACCTGTGTGTATCCTCAAGCCGCGCCAACAGATTTGTGGCACATGGTCAGCGCTACCTCCAGTCGCGAACGACCTGCGGATCCGCTTCTGTGGCAGTGTGAGTTGCAGCATGCCGTGCCTCATTCCACTCTTTCTGATCAGTCTATGCTCCAGGAGGCCTGCTCGTCCTACATGTTCTCGTATGCTTCGTGTTCCAAGTGATCAAGTATACACTCACACATTATATGATTAGAGAGTACATGACGAGCGGCTGGTCAGCAAGTCGTCGGCGTGGAAGGCATACCTATGACGTCCGGCAAGACGCTGCATGCGAGCTGCCGTCGATAGCCGAATGTTGGCAGCCTCACATGCTGATGGACATCAAGCGCTACAATTCCTTGGACCACGACCTGGCGCATGACATCCGTGGCAGCACTAACTGCAGAACTCTTCATAAGACCCGTCTGACGGCCAAACGGGAATTGGAAGGCATCGGGTGGAAAGGCGGCTTTTACGGTGACATCCTCAGGGACAGCACAGATAGGGAAGGAGCCAAGCGCCTTGAGAGCGTATGTGCAGTTTGATTTCACGTATGCTCTTCTCTTACGCTCTGTGGACGCAGATATACCACAGACGCTGTGCCCGTATGGAGATTACAGAAGGTGTAAGTCATTTCAGTCTCATTTTGCGCAGAGTGTATCTGACGAACACATACTCATATAGCTCTACTGTGATCTCGTTTCCTGGAGATTGGGAAAGGAGCATGAAGATCCGCAGATTCGCCAGAAGAATTACGAGATGTATGCTCAGAGACTCAGCCAGTCGTTCCAATGCTCATCCAGATTACAGTATCCGCAAACGTGCCGAGGCTCTGAACCAGCCTTTTGACCACTATCACCCCTTCATCGAGCGGGTTGTGGAGGCGCATGCGCGCGACGTATCCGAAATTCACCTTGCCGCAGCGGAGCGCCTATTTCCTCTTCCTGCTCAACCTAAGGGGCCGTGGCACCCGGACTTCGACCATCCGTATACGCGGAATGGTGGAACGCGTATTCCCTGGCCCCGCAGCTTTGTGCCGTTTATGTACAGACATCTGCCTGATCCGGAGCTCACTCGCGAGGATCTTGATGATTACAGAGTTGGCGGTCCTAAATTCACGCCCGCCCTCGATCCTGCACCCGCCCCCGACCCTGCACCCGCCCCCGACCCTGGATCCCCCAGCTCCAAGGTTATCGTCACTACTTCTAGGAGCGACGGCAACACTGATTCGGATCGCACGCCTGACGACAATCACGCGATGAGCGGGAGTGTACGCAAGTGCGCACCCAGTCGCTCTACTAAGCCACGTACTAAGGCTCGCCGTACGAAGTACGCCACCTCTTGCCCATCGAATTCTCGCTGCTCACTTCCTCTTCTGCAGAAAGGCGAAGTCGGACTTCAAGCTGTGGTACGACTGCACCCACTGTGGGTCTGAGACGCAAAAGTTTGGATCCCAAGCCGAGGTGGATGAGCATGTTGCAAAGGAGTACGATGAACTTTTCGTCTCTGCTTATGTCCGTGCTGACGCCTGTTTTTCCAGGCATCCGTCTGCGTCAGCGCCTTCGAATTCTTGATGATCGGTCCAACCTCTACGCCGAACGCTCGTAGTATCAACTTCAGTCTAGACAAGTAGTAGTGTTTTCAGTGTTATATCGCATCTTTCGAAATTCAATTGCATCAAAGAGATCTGGCTCGTGGTGTAAAGACTCCGCAAGCGTCTGCGGTAGGACTCTCACTGCTCCGGGAACGCCAGCGCTGTTGCTGTATGGATAGTACTTTTTTTTCCCTAAGCATCCTTCGAGACTAAGTGATCCTATTGCCTCAGGCCATCGTTGATACAGCGGAGCATCAGAAAGCGAGCACTCAGCCCCCGACCAAATGATCAACCACTGCATTCTTGCTGACCTCTTTTTATCTGCCTCAGTTACTTTATACTATTGGACGCCGCGGGGGCATACATCACTAAGTCAAACATGGCGAGTCTCAAGCGTCGATCCCTTTCCATTCGTGTCCTTTGCGCCCTCGCAACCCATGCCTGTTTAGCCTCGGTGAGCGCGCGAGCGCGGCATTGGCGACGAAACTGACCTGTGATATTCATGGCTCTGCAAAGCATCAGACGTGAACCACTTGACCGGCAAGTCTTCGCATAAGTCACATCGGTACTCGGTCTTCCCCGTCTGGAAATTGAGGCGACAGTTGGGAACCTGATCCGCATGACTGAGGGTCATCGACGTCAATATACGTCTGTGTAATCAGGGGGACCGAGCTCACCGTTGCCTCTTATGCCAGTCGTACCAGTCCTTTGCTACGGCGACCCCACAGCGATCGCAAATACGCTTCTTGTACTTGCCTCCCGATAGACCTGCATTGGTCAAGGTCGACGACGACATTCGGCGGAAGTCCCAAGCACGCGTTCGCATCCGGCGCCGTATGATAGGATTGCGCATGATGCGGCTACTGGGAATACCTCTTTTCGAGGCTATTTTGCGCAATCTGATTTCCGTGAATCAGTAGCGCAAGATGACGCAGAAGGCGACGTACCGGTCAACACTGGCGGTTTTGAACCTAACCAAACTCGCGTGCATGGCTCTCTTCCAAATATTTATGTAAACTTGAAACTGTAAGAATAGATGAGCGGCGGCCTTGGGGAGTCAAAATTGGTGACGTACCATATAGAGCGCGCGCGACCAGTGGCAGCGGACCGCATACCGCTGGAGGGCAAGTTAGCCGCCGCTTGGTTCTAAGATAGTAAGCAGCTCACTCGGAAAAGGGCCTCCCGGCGCTGAGCCCGTTCCTTAGGTGTGCCTCCGGATAATACTTGGGCGCGATACTCGTCCCTCGCAGCAACGAGATCACGGACTAGGACAGCGTTCGTTCCCTTTCCCTTTGACGTCCTCGACAACTTGAATTTGGGAAGCCACGGTATGATATGCTTATCTATTTCGGGCATCGCGGACCGTGGAGGAAGGTATCTGAATTTGGGCTGAAGAAACAATGTGTTCGTCCTGAGATGAGATAAATAGGTGAAGCAAAGGACCAGAAAGCAGAGATTTACCGGAAAAATACGAGCTTGCACTCCTTCTGCGATGTGATCAGTGATTTCTCGGAGGTACATGAGACGGCCGTACAGAGCAGAAATAAATCTTGCTGTGGATCCATTCGGGCGGTCCGGGGGTCCAAATATTGCATGTCTGACAAGGTTACGTGATCAGAAGTCAGCAGAATGAAGCAGAACGATAGCCTACGCACATCACATCGGCCGGAACGAAAGATCAGATTGGTGTAGAGGGCACTACCGTACATGTGCGGTGCCCAAGGGTTCTTGATGTCAAAGAAGTCGCGTATAACCCGCGCTTGACCACGGTGTTTGACACGGCGCAGCCACCAGCGAGGGTCAGGAGGCGGGTGCGGCAGAAGAAGAGGGGCGTGGGCCAGTAGCTTTCCGCCATTGCGATCGACTATTTCCCGAAACAAGCGGCATGTGTCGCGGACAGCAAACAGCGTTGTTGGCAAACAGAAAGAAAATGTCATTTGCCACAGCTCTGCAGGGAGGACATCCTGGTAGACAGGCCGGGGATTAGTGGATTGAGACTCGGCGAAGTACGCATGACGCCCGCGCTTTCCCTTCCAACGGCGAGTCATGGATGGGCGATGATAAACTGAAGTGGCGGGTGAGGACAAGAGATATCTTGAGGCAAAGCTCCACCGACAGCGCCGCCGATTTTGATCGGGATCACAAAACCAGCGAGGACAATAGAATGCAACATGCCCGTCACACTCAAATAGGAAAGGGAACAAAAGAGCCCCGCTTGCGATCACCGGCTAATTCCGGATGCACGTGGTCTAGCCCTATATAATGCGGCTCTTCTCCCACCTTCTCTTTTCCCCAACCCCCACGCCTTCGACCTCCCAGAGCGGCTTCCGGCCGTCACAACACCTCCCAAGAATTAGATCGGTGGAAGGTCGCACTCGTGCGCTTTCTGTCGTTCGGATTCCGCGACCCTGAGAGGTCGATTGTCGGAACGCCACTCTGGATCACCGTCACTGCGCGCGGGTCATCGACCCGCGCCCGAGGTCGGAGGAGGCGATGGAATACTGTGCTCGCGCTGCCACTTGGTTCTCCCCCGCCAGGTGGCAGCGTTGATGCCAAGCAATGTGAGGTCATTTAATGGCGTTCTCCCGTAGGGCGTGTCCGGCCACGACCATCGCGTGTCTTGCGGGCGATCCACAAGCCTACCCTTCGGTCTTCGCATCGAAGGGCGCTTGCTGGGTACGCCGGGTATTCTATCGCTGGGGCTGCCTTCGGCAGACTCGTCGCGTCCACTTGCAACAAAGGGCCAATTCCCTTTGGGACGCGCAATTTTTGGGACGTTATGCATGCCTTCGGCATGTGTGCTGTGTGCTAGTAGTAGGTACTTTAACTACTGAACATGGTCAATGAAATACTCGCAGCTCGGTAATGCGGAACCCCAAAGCCACCCTCGCGAGAACAAACACGTATCTTGACCAGAACAATGCGTTGGCGTCCATGCAGTCAACAAAGGGAACGACAAAACGGGGTTATCTCCGAAGCACGTGGCCCGCCCTACATAACGCGGCGCGCCTCCCACCCTCTCTCTCCCACAACCCTCATCCCCTCCTCCTCCCAGGGTGGCTCCCGGTCGTCGCGACACCTCCCAAGTGTCCGTGCGTCAAACGGTGTACTCTTGTACACTGCCTGGCGTTTCGGATCCGGTGCTCTGAGAGGTTGATTGCCGGAAAGCCACCCTGGATTACCGTCACTGCGCGCTCGTCTTCGGCCTGCGCCGAGGTTGAGGGAGGCGGTGAGGTGCCGTGCTCGCGCTGCTGCCTGGTTCTCCCCCGCCAGGCGGCAGCGTTGATGCCAAGCATGTGAGGTCATTTAAAGGTGTTCTCCCGTAGGGCTCGTTCTACCTCGATCATTGCGTGTCTTGCGGGCGCGTCGCGGGCTGGCCCTCGGTCATCGCGCCGAGGGAGGTCTGATGACCACGCCGGGCATCTCATCGCTGGGTCTGCCTTCGGCAGCTTTGTTGCGTCGCCACACACCAGGGGGCCGATCCCCCCTGGGACGCGCAATTTTTGGGATGTATACATGCCCTGGGCATGTGGTATGGTAGTCGGTACTTTAGCTATTTCAGTGGCATGTTCTCAATAACTCAGTTGCAACTCAGTCACGCGGAACCCGAAATGCCACCCTCGCGAAAGTCGTCGCCCGAAGAACAAAGAAACCGCCAAATTGGGGTTATCTCCGGAGCACGTGCCTTTAGCCTATATAACGCAGCTCTCCTGCCACCCTCCCTCTTCCCAAGCCCCCACCCTCCGACTCGCCAAGTGGTTGCTCGTCAGCCGGTGCGTCTCCCAAGGATCGGGGCGAAGCCTGGCATGCTCACGCGTGCCGCCGTCGCCTAAATCCGGTGCTCTGAGGGGTTGACTGGCGAGGAGCCACTTGGATCCCCGTCACTACAGCGCAGGTCGTCGACCGCGCTCGAGGCCGGAGGAGGCGATGGATGCCGTGCTCGCGCTCCAGCTTGGTCGCTCCCGGCTTTCACGCCGGTGGGTGGTCTCGCAGCAGCGCTGATGCCGACTATGTGAAGCCATAAGCTGTTCTCCCCCAGGGTTTCGTTCGAGCTGGCGTTTGCGTAGATCGCGGGCGAGCCACAGGGTTATCCTTCGGTTTTTGCATCGAAGGACGCCTGCTGGCCACGCCGGGTATTCCATCGCTGGGTCTGCCTTCGGCAAAACCAACGCGTCGCCACACGCCAGAGGGCCGACTCCCTCTGGGACGCGTAATTTTTGGGCTTCACGCAAGTGCACTACGTTCATTTTGCGACCGATTGTTCGTGAGTCCGTTGTTAGGTTCGATACTGTGACAAAGAACATGTATTCTTGGTAGACAACACAATATGTCGAGAAATTGACGAGCCTGTAACTAGAAAGCTGCAGTCGCGTTAGTGAGGCCCTCGCAGTATCAATTGCCACAGCCTTACCATGATCACCGGGGCACTACCAGTTACCTCCGAACGCCTCACCCTTCACCCAATCACGAAGTCGACGCAACTCTCGTAGGTCTGGTCGTTCTTCGTCCCGTACCACCACCACTGGATGGCACATGCGCCCGCCTCCGAGCACTGCTCGGTGACGTCGGGGATCGTGACAGAAAAGTCGGCTGCGAAAGTGCGATGAGAAGTTGATCATCCGCGTACAGGGGGACCTCTCACTCTCATCGGGCGGCCAGTCGGCAGGGCCTAGGGTGTCGTCGGCGTAGACAGGCCAGTTCTTCAACGGCTCGCCGATGGTAGACTGACTTGCGTTATCGACCTGCAGGTAGACGCTTCAGCTTCTCTACGCGTCGCGCGGAATCCAATTGGTGGACTCACCACGGACACGTTCTGCAGACAAAGAAAGGGAGTCGAGGATGGCGAATGGTCAGCGTCGGCCTATGCTCATCGAAGATATCTCATACCGCTATGCCAGTGTGGTGCGCCTCCATGTCGACCTTGAACGCGACAACGTCGCCGACGGAGTACGTCTGTACCTTATCCGTGTTGTCCTCGTACTGTCTCAGCAATGTCAGCTTCATGAGTGTACGATCTTTGGGGCCAGAGGAGAGCCCCAAAGTGCCAGTACAATGTGACCCAGGAAAGCTCTTACGGTGCAAGCCCTTACCTTGTATCCGCGGCAAAAGTAGATCGAGCACGCAGCCTCATCGTAGTCAGCATCCGCTTTGTCTTGCGCATCTTGAATCTGTGGCGAATACTCAGCGACAATTCAACCTGATTTTGGGCGAAAACGTACGGGACCATACTTGTCTGTTCATCGAGAGTCAGCGCGTTGCTAGAGACGAGCATGGCGATTGTAAGCACCAGACCCAAGCTTCTTGACGACCGCTGACCCGCAAGCGGCCTCGCTCGCGGCCCCCGTCGTTCGGGGCGTGGGGGAAGTGACCACGCCGTGTGCGATCACATGCGGAACGACGAGGAGGGCAGAGAGCGCGACGAAGGCCTTCGAGAACATCGCGGCGAGGTCCAGAGGGTAGTCCTTGACAGAGAATCAAAGGTGGTCCTGAACGGCCGCTGCCCTGCCCTTATATACGCGCGACTTGAGGCCTGGTCATAATGGCGGGCCGAGAGAAGGTGATCGTTTGCGGAATAACGTCGCTTGAGGCAGTTATGTGTCACATGAATACTGAGTGGGCGAAGGCTTCCTGCATATGCGTGAATACGGAGTAATTTAATAGACGTGAGGCCCAGAATGTAGCTTTTACGGGCTTTAAAGAAAGTGGAGATGCGCGGCGTTCGATGTGAATGCAGAGAGCAGTCCTTCGTGACAATGGGATCGACGCGGTAGCCGTAGGGAGCTCTCCAAGATATTGAGAGGAAGTAGAAAGTGTAAATCAGATTTTGAGTGCGTTCGCTCGGGGGTAGCGAACGAGCGATGTACGAATATCGCATAGCGTTGTGGATGACAGCTTCCTTCCGAGTCTCAAGCGCAAGGTCAGGGTAGCGGGCCGCGTCCTGCCCCGGCCCGTATCTATACTCTCGAGTAGCAGACAGCATGCTGGAATAGACGAGTCTTAATGAAGAAGCGCCCGCCAGGACATGGTCAGGTCCTCCAACAGATGAGGTTCAAACGAACTTTAGCCGCGCTCGTCACGCGTCTGCTTCCGCTTCGGCAAAATCCGTGAGCGCCTCAAAGAGAGCGCCACAAATTCCAGAAACGGCGACCCCTTTGTTTACTGTCATGGCCAAGCGCCTTTGTTCCTCAACGTTCATCGCCCGTAACAAGGGCGTTAAAGAAGCTTCTTGTGTCCAAGACCACCTTACAGATGTTGGAATCTTCTGCATAGAAGGATAGAAGGATGCGCCGAAACAACGGCGTCTGCTGGACCAAAGGCGTGTCCGAGCGATGCACTTCCAACTGGGCCGTGGACGGACTTTCATCCCGTGAACTTACGAGCATTAACATGCGATTTCTTACTTGGGTCCTAGACGTTCTACCGGGCTGGGGAGCCTGTAGATCAAAGGGTTGACGCCATCACCCCGCCTCCATTGTCCTCTTTGTTCTGCAACATGCCTGCTCCATTGTACCCCCTTCCTAGTGTACAATACTTCCCGACATTGTCCTCTCTACCGGTGCTCCAGCCCCCAAATGTCTTCGTCCCTCACCCGGAAACTTCCTACGCCATTGTCTGCCATTGTTCGCCCGACTGAGCGCCCACGTGGCCATTGTTCTACTTTGAGCGAGCCCATTGTTCGTCGTGCTTCTCGTTCTGTTATAACGTTCCGCGCGGGGATATCGCGCTCTGGAGCCTGGATGTCAGCTCATGCCGGCATTCTTCGGATACTGGCCCGCGTGCGTTGTTCCCATGCGGGCGCGCGGGTATAAAGGCGAGGGTGGGGCCCAGGGGGTTGGCTTTCAACGACCGTGATACTTCACCCTCAACCGCTCCCTGCCGCCCCCTTCCTCTGCGCGAGCAGTGCTCCTAGCCGTCGCTTAGTCTAGCATCTACCTCCTACACGTCTACTTGGTGAGTTGACTGGTCCTTGGGATATGGGCGCCTTTGTTCGACGCGCGACGCGGTGTGGCGCGCGGTCGTTGGGGCCTTTGTTCGCGGGCTGGACGTATGCTGACGCGAACACCAGATACTTAGCCATCATGCGCTTCGCCACGACCTTCCTCTTTGCGCTTCCTCTGCTCGTCGCTGCTCGCAGCCACGTCAAGGACATCACGATCCGTCAGAACCTGCCTGGTTCGTGTTCAACATACTTCCCCCCCTCCCCCTCGATCACCCCCATACGTTCCACTCCCTCTATCCATACACCATCTACTACCCCCTGCTCGTGCACCCCCCGCATTCCATGGCTTCTTGCTAACGCTTCTCCCCAGACTGCTACTTCACCTGCGCCGCCGCGGGCGACATGGGCGACTGCTCCTCCACCGACAACACCTGCCTGTGCAAGAACCAGTCCTTCATCGACAGCGTCACCTCCTGCCTGCAGAAGACCTGCAGCTCCGACGAGGTCGAGACGGCGAACGCGGGCGCGCAGGAGATCTGCAAGTCGGTGGTGAGTGTCGAGCTCCCTTTGTCGTTCGGTACCCCCTTTGTCCGAGAAGACAGCTTGGCTTCGATCCTCCTTCGTCCCTCGCACATGCTAACTGCCATCCTAGGGCGTCACTCTCACCTCGTCCGCACCCTCCTCCACGAGCGACAGCGCGTCGCCTTCGAGCACCTCGACGTCCGACTCCAACAACTCGTCCACCTCCGATGACGACTCGGACTCGGACAACAATGGCGCCGTCAGGACCGGCGCGGGTGCGCTTGCGGGCCTCATCGGCGCTGCTGTCGTTGCGCTCGCGCTATAGGTGTCGCCCATCTTGCGCTCGCTTCATAGTGCTTCAGTCGAAGACCGATGAGGTCTCCCTCGACGCGATGCACTACCCTCAGTTACCCACGGCCTCCTCACGTCTCTTCAGAACGCTTTTCACGGCTACTTTATACCTCTTCGCTTTCCCGTTGCTAGCGACGGCTCTTTCTCTTCCACCGGGGAGCCTACTTGCTCCTCGACTGGATGAGCTCTACTTTGACTGACGACTCGATACGGGATAATGGGATGACTTTTGGATATGATTTCGTGGCGTGAACATGAGCTTGGCTAGTGAGAAGGTAGGTGCGGTATGTAAGCAGTCGCACGAAGACGAAGGGAGGAGAGCGATGCGTGGCATGCGGAGATGATGATGGACGGAAGTAAACGATGGCGATGGGGAGGTGATCGGACTGTCCTTCCTTCGTCTTGTCCCCCACCATGATGAGCGTCCGTCGCACTATTCCCCGCCGCGTTCACCTACGTGGATTCTCTAAAACGAATGCGATGGTCCGGCAGCTAGGAGTCAGCTGAAGTCATACTACAGTACCGCCACGCATGCACAGGCGCTGTAGCACGCGTCATGCGCCGCCACGCATGTGCGCACTGCGCGCGGTTATCAGCCCAGTATCGGCGGAGGGCCGCCCTTACTTCCTCCTCCATTCGGCTCCACCCTCCCTCCGCCGCGGACAGGATACCATCTGTACTTGACCAGCGCTTCGATCTCTCTGCAAGCTACCTATCGTCCTCGACTAGCACTTGGCACATCTTGCGATCCTGCATCCATATTCTGTCACCCCTACCCTTATCCACCATCCTCACTCCTACCATGTCCGATAAACGCCTGAAGGACGCCTCCCCCGCGGAGCTCGTCCGCGATCTTGCGCTCTCGACCTCTGGAACGGCCGCGAGGATCGAGGAACTCTGCGTGTATCGGGTAGAGGAAGCCAAAACCAAGGTACGCAACCCGCATACGCCAGCCTCGCAGGAAGCTGACACGTATGTGCAACAGGGCACGGATGCACCTGCTAGCGAAGGCGACGCGAAGGATACGCCCGGCCTGGAGACCTTCCTCTACGAGCTTTGGTCAGAGGTCGTGAAGATGGCGCAGGAGGACGACATGTACCACGCGCGGCTGCTCGAGATTCTCGCTGAGTTGAAGAAGACGGAGAATGCTGAGCTGAAGAAGACGGAGAGGAACTGGCGCGTCTGGGGTGCGCCCGCCAGCCTGAGCGAGCTCTCGACCTTTGGTGCGGTCGCGAGAGATGCCTTCGAAGGTGTGTGCACTCCGAACCCCCTTCAAATCATCGCTCACGCCACGCTGCCCCAGCGCCCAAAGTTGAGCTCGATGGCAAGGTCATCCGTACTACGCCCGAAGATGCGCCACTCTTTGCGTCCGATGCGAGAGACGACGCCGACGCGCGGACGCTTGCGTTCACCGCGGCGCGGCAGCGCTTCCTCCGTCTGCATCGCTTCCTCGCATGCGTGTGGGCCGCCGGGCTTTGGCCATTCCACGACCTGGCGCTGTGGACGATGCGCGACGCGCTTGAGTACGGGCCCGACCACTCCAGTTATAAGCGCGTCCCGCGCGCGCTGAAGGTGGAAGCGGCAGCGCAGTGGGCGGTGCACGCGGGGCGGCAGATGTACGAGTGCAAGGAGATCATGGGGCCGAAGGGGAATGCGAATTGGCCGGCGAACGCGGGGGCGCCTGGGCGAGGCGGTGACAAGTGGGACGGGGTGGACGGGTATGATGCGGGGCGGTGGCGGCTGTGGCGGGAGGAGTTTGGGCGTATTGCGGAATCGGATGGGGAGCTGGAGAATGTGCGGAGCGCGGCGAAGGAGGCAGCGGAGGCGATGCGGAAGGTGGAGGAGGCGAGTGGATAGACGACGTATATTCGCCCCGGATCTGAGCAAAGTTGAGCTTGATTTGTTGTACTGTGTCCGCTCGATCTCGCCTCGTGAGTAGGTTACGCAGAATGTGCGAATGTACTTTGGGAACTCTGCAGGATTCATAGTCACAAGATCGATACAAACAGACCAGAACAGCTCTTCAAGGCGTGATAGCTCAGTTGGGAGAGCAGCAGACTGAAGTTCTGAAGGTCCCGCGTTCAATCCGCGGTCATGCCATGCGTAAGAGCCTGTTCTCTTTTTTCTTCCTTTTTGGCTGATGTACCGAGACTACCAGTGCCCTTCTGCCTCGTCGCTGTGTTTTGAGCAGCGGAAACCCAACAATGGCGTTGTCACCAACAAGACAATTGGCGGCCCGGTTGTCCGATCAGCTTACGTAACCGATGTATCCGGACGTACAGCCTCGGCGGCTATGATCATTGTTCCTTGTCTCTTACCACCACACCTTCTTGTGCCCCAATAACATTCTCGCGCTCTGTTGACAGACGCTCCATCTACTTGTACACCACAACCCGAATTTACGACTCATAATGTCTACACGACCGCCCCCGCCACAAGGTGCGTCTCCTGCTTCCTTGGGAAGATACCAGCAAGGGTGTCACTGCGTCGCGCTGGCGCTTGCGGGCGAGAGGACATGACGAGCTGACGATGCACACAGGTGCACCCCCTCCGTATGCGTTCGTCAACCGCGTATACCAGCGTAACCTTCGGCCGATTGTTCTGACCAGTACGTGGGCGCTCTGTGGCGCGGGGGATGAGTGCTTATTGTTCTGTGATCAGCGACCTTTTTGGCCGGGCTGTATGCGCTCTTCTTGTGAGTCTCCGTTGCTTGCAAGCACTCGATCAAGACTGACTGATCGCCCACAGGACTGTACGTCCATGCGATCGTAGTTTTGAGAAGCATAGAAGTGTTGACAGCGTTCCCTAGGTCGGCGCGTTTAGGAGCGTTGGGTCTGAGCGGGATAGTGCGTAGCTTTACGACCCTTTGTTCGCAATACTGATCACTCGACCCGCAGACACCAACCTGCATGCCCTTGTCAATTTCTCTATCGCCATCGGCGCGCTCTCCGCCTTCGCTCTCGCCATCGAGGTGCGCATCCCGCTTCACACCCTCAACACCTTCGCATCCCTCTATACACCATCCCTGCTCCCCGCAGCACATCCCTGACACCCCGCCCCACAGATCTTTGGCTTCGCTAGCGCGCTCTTGGTACGTACAAGTCCCTCTCATTGGCGGTTCTATCATTGGCGGCGGTCTACTATATTTACTGTCGTCATCGTCGCCTTCCTGGTCGCTCGTTGTCGACCTCTGACACCGTCGTTGGCCTTGCTGACACCGTCGTCGATTTTCCTTGACCCTGTCGACACCCCCTTTTTCGCTTCGCTCCGGCTGTCACATCCTTGCTGACATCGTTCCCAGCAACGCGTCCCCCTCGTTCGGATATACGCCCTTCTCTCCGCCTTCACGACCCTTATCGTGATTGCGGGGGGCATCGTCAGGCTTATTGTACACTTCCACTTCAAGGTATGTCCTGTCCTTGTCTGGATCGTTTGAGACCGGAGTCCCTATTGTGTTCAGTGCATGACTAGAAGCTCACGCATTCATCTTGCAGGACGCCATCATCGACGAGTGCTCCACGCTCACCGAAGGGCAGGACGTGTACACGTATCCCTTCGGCTTCTGGGGCCCTGTCCATGAGGAGCAGGTGTCGGAAGCAGAGGCGTCGAGATGTGAGTATACTCCCCAGCTCCCGGTGTTCGCATGAGCGAGCCTCATCGCCCTCGACCCATACCCATTTTATTCGCCGTACCGTTGCTGACCTCATCCACTACGCAGGGTGCAAAGCGCACTGGGACCACGACTCCTGGGGCGAGGTTATCGAGCTGCTCATCACGACCTTCCTCGCGCTGCTCTTCTCCATGATCGCATTCGCGTTCTACCGGCAGCTCCTCGACCCCGCGAGCCCCGCGAATGCGTCGCGCGCGCCGTCGAATGAGTTTAGGAGTGGCCAGTACGTGACATCCTCGTTAGCGCATGCGTGTCGTCTAACGAAGACTTCAGAGCCGCGCACTACGCGCCCCCGTACAACGCCAGCGTACCCGGACTCGGCTACGGCTACGGTCAGCCCGCCTACGGTCAACCTGCCTACGGCCAGCCTATGTACGCGCCCCCGGCAGGCCCGCCGCCGGGCTTCATGGGTCCCGACAAAGGCTTCGGCGCTGAGCACGACGACCCCTTCGAACCGCCGAAGTACAGCGGCGAGGGCCGGCGGTCGGCGGATGCGAAGGACGCAGAGTGGGACTACGGCGTGCGGGACGCGAAGGATCCCTTCGCGGACGGGGAGCGGGACGTGACGAGTCGGCCGGGGCCTGGGGGGCGGGATGCTTTCTAGTTCCCTGGTCTGACTGTTCGCTCTCGTTTCGTATCTTGTTACCCACGACTCGTCTCGTGTCTCGCTACCGCCTACTCGCGTTCTGCTGCTACTTACGATCTGCTTGCTCTGCTTGATGCGGTGCTTCTTGGTTCCCGGCTAAACTCCTAGCTGGCCCAGCGAGCACCGCTCGGACTTGGACTCTTGACTCACTCGCGTTGCATCGCTTCACATTGTATCACCTACATACTCGGCCGGCTTTCGGCCTCTGTATATACTTGTCAGTGCCTAATGGACTGTGCGTTCAGTCGTTCGCAACGGCGCTTGCATTGGTTTGTTGGATTCTGTGCTCACCTTCACTTCCTGCGGTTAGAGCAATTGCTGATACCGCTCGAATAATCTCTGATACCGCTCGAACTAGCAATGAACGGCGTCCGAGCGCGATGTTCAGCGCAAGGATGCAAGAACCGGTCTTTTTGACATTACCGCGTTAGAGAACAAAAGGCGTCCAGGAAAGGAAGGTGGAGTGACACGGGTGACGTGTCAAACAATTGTTCCCGCTGTCATTCCCACGTTACCCATTTTGCTTCCTTCCTCCTCCGTCTTCGTCTTGCTGGCCTTCAAGGAGGGCTATGTTTTCCGAGTTTCGAAGCATATGTTAACATACACCTAGTACTCCTGCAGCCATGCACGGACGATAAGCTTGATAGTGACGTCGAGAGCGCGTCACGGCCTTATCGGTCGAACAACGACACGACCCTCGATCAACAAACCTCAAGGCATGCCCGAATTGGAACAATGGGCTTTGGGATGAAAGGACCATGCGGGCGCTCATCATACAAAAGAGGGTGCATGTCATACTGTATATAAGACGGAGAGTGAGAAGTTTGCGCCCCTTATCGCCCTTGCCTCCGTTCCCGACCCCCACCGTGCTCCCGGTCCCTCGACTTTCTTTTCCTCGTCCGCGGTCCGCTGGTCGGCCTGGCTCACATACTATCGATACGACACGACACGACAAGAGCTTGCTCTACTGACCTTGCAATATTTTCACTCCTTCTTTTGACGAATCGACGAGATGCCCACGTTCACGACGGCGCTTGCGCTCTCCGCCCTCGCCCCAGTGGCGAAGGGCTTTTTTCTCATGGGCGTCCGTAAGTGGCCGGCTCGCGTAAGGGGTGAGGTCTTTGCCAACACCTCTGCTAGAAAACTACATTGCCACAGAGCGTGTGGACCCGGTACGCTGTCTTGCTCTTTTGTTCCTGTTGAAGTCCATGCTAACCATGCAATAGATCATGTACCCCGGGAATGTCTCCAATCATGTCCACACTAGTAAGCTTACCACTCGACGCCATGAATTTTCCGTAGCTGAACGCGCGCAGTCATGGGTGGCAGCAACTTCGGGCTCGACACGAACATCTCCGCGCTGCGCGACAGCGAGTGCACGTCCATGCCGATCGCGCAGGACAAGTCGAACTACTGGTTTCCGGTGAGTCCGACATACTCATCTCAAGCGCGTTGGCTGATCTGCTGCCGCAGCACCTGTACTTCCAGTACGTGTCTCGTGCCGTCATCGGACCGACACCATTCTCTAACCCAGGCTCTTGCAGATGGTCCAACGGCAGCTACACCAGCCTCGACGCCGCTTCGACGGTGTACTACCTTTATGACAACGACGCAGGCGTCAAGGCGTTTCCTGATGGCGTGCGTGTCCTCTCCTTATCCGTTCGCTCTCACCCCTCCCATCTCCTCCCTTCCCACATTCCGCGTTCCCCTTGTCCTCCCCTCGATGACTCCCATTCCTCCACCCTTTCCCTCTCTTTCCTCCTCCCTTCTCCCTAACCCTCCTCACTTTCTGCCCATACAAATGCACTGACACTCCCTACCCTACCCAGTTCCGCATGATCGCCGGCGACGAGAACCTGCGCACCTTCGACAACAGCTCCGTGTCCCAACGCGCTATCTCGTACAAGTGCCTCCAATTCGACGAGCAGCCGATGGAGGACTATAACGGGTTGCCGCCCGTGAGCTGTCCGGCGGGGATTAGGGCGCAGATTGTGAGTTCTGGGTGCGGTCTGATGGTTGTGAGGTTGGAGTCGCGGTTCGACACTCGCGCGGCCACGCGAAACCAGCCGCTCGCCTTTGCCTGAGCCGCTACTCGATGATGACGATTGCTGATGCCCCTCCCCTAGAACTTCCCCAGCTGCTGGGACGGGCAGAACACCGACTCCGAGGACCACAAGTCGCACATGGCGTATCCGTCGGGCGGATCGGACAAGGGGACGTGCGACGACCCGAAGTTCAACGTGACGGTGCCAAGGGTGTTTATGGAGGTAAGTTATCGTTCCATCACTGGTATAACGTGGGTGCTCACGCATCGCGACTCAGGTCTCCTGGTACACGATGGACTGGGACAAGATTCGGGACCAGGCGATGAACTCCTCGCAGCCGTACGTACTGTCGAACGGGGACACGACGGGGTACTCGTACCATGCTGGTGAGTGATCCATTCCTTCGACCTTGCTTAGCATCGCTTCGTGCGTATCTCGCGCCCGACTCTTGAACTAATCCTACGGCCTCTCAGACTACATCTACGCCTGGGAGCCCGACGTCCTGCAGACCGCGATCGACACCTGCCAGTGCATGACGGATAACTTCGGCGCGTACGACTGCTGCGAGGTGTTCGAGAAGAAGGCGGATGGGGAGCGGTGCTATATCTCGAGTGCGGTGGAGGAGCAGGGTGAGTGCTACTTCGTAGTTTCGCTGCTTCGGCGCACATAAGCTCGGGTAGGATGCTGATACCCGCCTTTGTAGTTGTGGGCACGCTCGACGCGCTCCCGGGGTATGAGCCGTACTCTAGGGTGGGGAACTCGACGAGCGCGTCGTCTTCCTCCCCCGCGGGTGCATCGACTTCGGCCTTGAGCAGTGCAGCAGCGCCCTCAAGCGGCGCACCCACACTCTCACCGAGCAGCACGACTGCCTCGTCGTCCAGAGGCGATGTATCCTCAACTTCAGCGTCGACCGTGTCATCGTCATTGGGTAGTGCAGCGTCCGCTGCATCGTCGGGTCATGCCAATGCCGCTTCAGTATCTGCCTCGGGCGCCACCTTCGCGCCCGAGTCTGGCCCTGCAGCCGGCGCGGGTTCCTCCACTGGCACGGGCTCTTCTATTGGCGCAAGCGCCTCGACAGCCCCTAGCAGCGCCTCAGCGTCGTCTTCGTCGTCCCCCGCTGCGTCGGGCTCCTATCCACCCAACCCATCCTCCGCCGCCTCCTTAGCCAACCTCCCCATCGCGAGCACGACGCCGCCCATCATCTCGGGGCCAGCGAGCGTCTTCACGGATGCGGCACCGGCGCCGATCATGACGTCGGCGAGTGCGGCGGGTGCTGGGCCGTCGAGCGCCGAGGCGTCAGGCGCTGGGGCGTCGGGCGCTGAGGCTTCAGGGGCAGATGCGTCGGGTGCCTCTGCCGCGCCCTCGGTCTATGCTCGCCACCGACGTTTCGTGCGTGCGAAGCGCCCCGTGGCGTAAGGGCGTCCGATGAATCCTTTGTTGTAGTCACGCAAGCTCCGTACCAATGTCTACCGTATGTCCATGTATCATAGGTTTGTATGTAGCTTTAGGTCAGTATACGACGTGTTCCTCTCCCCAAGGAGACTCGCACCCGTACTCGACGTCGCACGAACAGTCCACGTCTGGACGGCTACGTATACTGGGCGCAGCAAGCAACCCTGTCTGCTCGTGCGCTCCCGGACTCTCGCTGTCCACGCTCCTAGGCGACGTGCAGCGCAGGTCATGCGAAACGAGCGCGGAGAGGTCGATGGAGACCTCCGAGTTCTTCAGCCGCTCAAGCGCGAGGATGACAAAGGTAATGTATATGCCCTGGCACGGTACTTAGTCTCAAAACTAGCCAAATCAGAAGCAGTGGGCGAGCGAAGACGTACAGCGAGGTACGGATAACTGGTGCCAATGATTGAATAGACGGTGACGGCGTTCTTGTCTTTGCCATTCATGAAGACGACGAAGGCGAGCGGACCCTGCGTGCACCTCAATAACCACGCGATGTAAGAGTTGAGGTGAGCCATGCACACCCATGCTATGCAATACACCGCGCTGGACTCAACGAGTAGAGTGAGCACCATGTCGATCTTGCTCGCGCCCTTTCCGGCTCGAAGCACGCGCGATATATTTCGCCTGTAGGTCCTGGAGGACACCGTCAAGATCGGCAGGTGTATTAGGACTCGGTGTGAGGAAAGGCGTACCACAGTCTTCTGGAAACTAACGCGGTGGCGACGATGTTGGTGAGCAGCGTGCAGACCGGTACGAGCGCGGCCACAGATGGGCGATATATCCGGTCAGGACCGTCGATGAAGACCGAGTGCACTGCGAGACCGCCTGTAAAAGGTCTCGGATGAGCACGCTCTCTAGATCAAGATCTCTTGGTCGAGGACATACCAAGACAGCCCAGTGTACACACAACAAGCAAGATCCTGACCTTGCAACTCTCGGGGTACATTATCCACGCCCGCCAGACGACAATGATGTCGCAGATGAAGAGCTAGGAGACGAAAGTCGACGAAAACACAGTGACGACGAATTGCCAGGGACGGACCACTGTCTTCCTCATTAGGTCGCCAACGATCTTCAGCCCCGTAAGACCTTCGACCGTGAGGTGGTGGTGGTTGGTGGATAAGGTCACGTGTAACTTGACGACGAAGACGAGGATGGTTATGGCGGAGTCGACCAGTAGCGCGAACATGACGGCGATAACTGCCATACGGAGCAAGCGCTTCTTCCCTGGATTACGCCTGGGGGTGTTTTGTCAGCTCTCACGGATGGAAGTACTCGTCTTGTACACTTACGCCAAGGCGACAAGTGTAGCGGTGGAGAGTGTGATCTGGATTCCTGGATCATAATGAGCGTTTGGGTCGCAAAGAGCGTATAGGCGACGCACCGTCAAAGAATAAGTTCGCCATGACTTGTAAGGACATATATTGGTTGGTGCGAACGGCTCCCTTCGAGAGGGGATGGAAAAGTTGAAGTGTCGGGACGTCCATGGTCCTGAAGGCTCGCCTATCGAACATAACTTAGACGATACAAAGACGCGGCGTCATCGGTTATATAGTCTTGAAGGACGGTATTGAACGGACAGATGACCACAGACAAAGTTCAAGCCGAAGCCATCGCGGACCTTGCGCCCGGCAAAGTCTGTTTTGAGTCGATGCATGCCCACCATCTCCGGAAGGCGGGAGAAGTAGGTAGCGCGCGCGCAAAGGTCGTTTACGGGCAGGACCACGACTCGGAGGATGCAAACATAGCCTTGCGGGGTTCGAATACAGTCAAACATTGTATTCGTCAGCGGAGCGGGTAGCGGGTCAAGCGCGCGGGAGATCCTGTCCTTGCCACGACATGTCGAGGCACGGCAGAGACCCAGTGCCGAGAGGAAGACTGGAGCGAAGAGGCACGGCCAGCGGGTTCTTGAAAGTTGCGGACCCGTTCTCAGTGGAACAGCGGCAAGTGACAGTAGCAAGGGCGCTCCATATGCTGGGCGATTAAAAAGTTGGTTCTTCTTGATCAAGCACATACCTAGACTATCGCAGAAATGAAGACACTAGACCCGGTGATGGACACCTGCTTGAGCGACACTGTCCTTGTAATTTTGCGAAGTAGCGCGCTGGTCGAAAATAGGAGGGAAATGTCAAAATTAGGTTCAGAACGGCGTAGTGTTCACTAATTCTAGTTCGCAGAAATATCTCCATTGACTCTCAAGACGGCTTGCGGGCCTCTTGGCGCACCTGCTCGACCTGCGGAGAATAGGCAGCAGGACTCAGTGATGGCAAGCGTCAGGAAAATCCGGCAAACGCCGGCGGTCGGGGAATGCCGGTTCACTTTGCAGCTGGCCTTGTCACGTGCTCAGCCACCGTTCACTGATCGCTTTCCTTTTCGGTCTAAGGTAATCTGATCAACGGCCCCGACGACGAGCAGCAAGGTAAGCGACACCGTCCTGCTGTCCCCGCGTTCTCTGTACTGACCTTCTTCCATCTAGGTGTGTATCTTTCTCTCTGCATGGCGAGAAAGCACGAAATGAAAAGCATACGAACCACCCTCGATCCTGCCTCCATGCGCACCTAGTTCCTCACATCCTCATCCTTCGCGCGCTACCTCCATACCACCAAAACCACTCCTTGCATCACGAATCGCCTCTGAACGCGTCTTCCAGATTAGCCATGGCCCAACGCGTCACTCTCCGCAAGCGCCAGCCGTACAACACGACCTCCAACCGCCGGCGGGTGGTGAAGACGCCGGGCGGCAAGCTCGTCGTGCACTACATTCAAAAGCCGGCGACCGTCCCCAAGTGCGGTGACTGCGGCCTCCCCCTCCAGGGCGTACGTGTTCTGCGTTGATCCCTTAGGAGCTTTCCCTCACACGACGTTCGATAGATCCCGGCATTGCGTCCCCGGCAATACGCGACCGTCTCGAAGCGCATCAAGTCCGTGCAGCGCGCGTACGGTGGCTCGCGGTGCAGCGACTGCGTGCGGAACCGGTGCGTCTGCCCGTCCTCGTTCACAAACATCGCCCGCTGATCATCCTACCCCTCAGCATCGTCCGCGCGTTCCTCATCGAGGAGGCGAAGATCGTCAAGAAGGTCTTGAAGGCGAAGCCGGCTGGCAAGTAAACGTCGCGCCTACCCACGCCTCGGTCTTGTCCCCCCTTTGTTACCCGCATATGACCCTCCCTCGACACATGCCCATATGTACTATGCATGCCGCAATGCAATTAGGCACCCACGCAAAAGGAAGACACATTGGCTGTGTGACTGCGTATCGCACGTTGTGAGGTTGATGCGTATGTATGAACCTCTCGGTGCGTTTGGCTGCAGTTTGAGCTCTCGGATGCGCGTCCATCACTGGTGGCTTTTTCGCCGACTGTTTCTTCAAGCACGGTGTAACCGTGGTGGCGATTCGATTGTTGCTCGAAGCAGGGTCGCCAGTTAGTCGGTTCGGTTCCGCTGACCTTGCTTTTGACGATCGCGAAGGGCAGTGCGTTCGCGCTACGAAAATCATCGGCCGTAAAGCAGCGCGACGTCGGTCGTTCGAAGCGAATGCCACAATCGTCCCTACTGACAGGCAACATCTACAGCTAATTGTGTACGTGCTTATCCCTACAAGCCATGCAAATACGCATATGGGTCCCAAAAATTACGCGCCCCAGAGGGAGTCGGCCCCCTGGTGTGTGGCGACGCGTTGGTTCTGTCGAAGGCAGACCCAGCGGTGGAATACCCGGCGTGGCCAGCAGGCGTCCTTCGATGCGAAGACCGAAGGATAACCCTGTGGCTCGCCCGCGATTCAACGTAAACGCCAGCTCGAACGAGACCCTGGGGGAGAACAGCTTATGGCTTTACATAGTCGGCATCAACGCTGTGGCAAGTCGGGGACCGCCCACCGGCGTATGAGCCAGCAGCAGTCAAGCAACAGCGCGAGCACGGCATCCACTGCCTCCTCCGGCCTCGAGCGCGGTCGAAGACCTGCGCTGTGGTGACGTGAATCCAAGTAGCCACTCGCCAGTCAACCTCTCAGCACGTCGGATTTAGACGACGGCGGCACGCGTGAGCATGCCAGGCTTCGCCCCGATCCTTGGGAGGTGTATCGGCCGAACGAACAACCACTTGGGGAGGTCGGAGGGTGGGGGTTTGGGAAGAGAGAGGGTGGCAGAGGAGCCGCGTTATATGGGGCGGGGCACGTGATCCGGAGATAATTCAGACCCTAATTTGTCGCTCCTTTTGTTCTGACGCGATGAGACGCCGAATTGGTCTGCCTATATCAAGTTCTCGCGAGGGCAGCTTTCGAGTACCGGAAGACTGAGTTGTAGCTGCATTATCAACAATATACCCTTACTAGAGTTGACGACTACTAATAGTGCACTGCCGAAAGCATGCTTGAATCCCAAAAATTGCGCGTCCCAGGGGGAATCGGCCCCCTGGTGTGTGGCGACGCGACGAAGCTGCCGAAGGCAGCCCCAACGATGAGATGCCCGGCGTGGCACTGCAGGATGCCTTCGACTCGAGGACCACGAGCCCTCGAGGAACGAAGGGGAGGCCTGCGGCTCGCCCGCGAGGAGCGAGAACGCCAGGCGAGACAAAGCCCTACGGGAGAACACCTTATGACTTCTCAAACCCGGCATCAACGCTGCTGCGAGGCGGGGGACCATCCGCCGGCGTGGGGACCCGAGGGTACCCAGCACCCGGGGACAACCAAGCAGCAGCGCGAGCACAGCATCTCATCGCCTCCTCCGGCCTCGGCGCAGGTCGAAAACGAGCGCAGTGTGACGGGATCCAGGTGGCCCCTCGACAGTCAACCTCTCAGAGCATCGGCTCCGACCCGACAGAAAGCGCACGAATGCACCTTCTGCCGCTCTAAACCTTGGGAGGTGCATCGGCTGCCGAGGGACCAGTCTGGGAGGTCGGAGGGGTGGGGGGTGGAGAAGAGAAAGAGTGGCGAAGGCGCCGCGTTATGTAGGCCGGGGCACGTGCTTCGGAGATATTCCCAATTTGCCGTTTCCTTTGTTCTCGCGTGCATGACTACATAGGCGCCGAGGCATTGTCCTGGTAACGCGTTTGTTGTCGCGAGGGTGGCCTGCGGGTCCCGTATTGCTGGAGTCGTGAACTCATTACTGACTACATACAGTATCTAAAGTATCGAATGCTACAACGCAAGCCGAGGGCATGCATGAGGTCCCAAAAATTGCGCGTCCCAGGGGGAATCGACCCTCTGGTGTGTGGCGACGCAACAAAGCTGCCGGAGGCAGACCCAGCGATGAGATACCCGACGTGGTCATCAGACCTCCCTCGGCGCGAAGACCGAGGGCTAGCCTGCGACGCGCCCGCAAGACACGCAATGATCGAGGTTGGACAAGCCCTACGGGAGAACACCTTTAAATGACCTCACATGCTTGGCATCAACGCTGCCTTCTGGCGGGGGAGGACCAGGCAACAGCGCGAGCTCGGCACCTCACCGCCTCCCTCAACCTCGGCGCAGGTCGAAGACGAGCGCGCGGCGACGGTAATCCAGGGTGGCTTTCCGACAATCTATCCCTCAGTGGTCACCGGATCCTCACGCCAGAGAGTACACGAGTGCGTGCTCTCCGACGATTGGACGCTTGGGAGGCATCACGACGGCCGGGAGCCACCCTGGGAGGAAGAGGGGATGGGGGTTTCAGAAGAGCGAGGGCGACACCATTGCCACAATATATAGGGCCCGGACACGTGCATGGATGATCTGATCACAAACGCTTTCCATTGTTCTCTTTCTCGAGGCCTCTCGAGAAACACGGGAATATTTGATGACGACCTCGCACAAGCGTTATGGGAAAGGTAATGAGTGCCTATACGTGGGTCAGTCGCGATACATCGTCAGCATAGATGTTAGACAAACTCACACGTCTCTTTTGTGCTCTAGCAAAAGCATTTGTTTATCGAAGCATGCGCGCCCTGCACACAGCGTGCAACTCCACAAGATTGTGTTCGTTGTACTAGCGGGCCCTCTATAAATCAACAATGTAAATATGTATTTGGACCGGCTCAATAAACAGGCAAACGTACAAGGGGCGAGGCGTGGCTTGAGCAGGTTTGGGAACTGACGTTCTTGACCGGCCGAGGGCGGCAATGTGCGCACCGGTGCTGGATTCGTGGCTGGCGCCGGTAGCGCGGGACGCAGGCTCACGTCTGCACTCAGGTGAGGGTTGCGCAGCTGCGCCTGATCCTCCAAGAGTAAACTCCGCCTGACGAAGCACCGATTCCTGCGAAGAACTGTGACCGTTCGGACTCCAGGGCGTCACTGGTATATCCGGAAGCGGGAAAAGACTCCTCGCCGCCGGCGGGAGGATGGTAGACACATCGCGCGCATGCGCTTCCAAAGCGCGCTGGATGACGGGGTGGTTGAGGCAGTGCGGCTGGTTCATGAATTTGGCGCTAGCTTCAATCCTATATTGCTGCATCAGTGTATCAGCGGGTAGAAAAAGCAGGAAACGTACGTTCGGAGATTGTCCTGGCGGACTTTCGTGCACTTTTCCTCATTTCTCACCCTCCAGAGGAGAAGGATGCAATAAAGCTATTGCCATCGATGTATCCGTCCGTCAGAAGCAACTGGCATATACGAAGAGGAACCCACTCACCCAACTCGTGATCTCATGACGTCTTTGGCGGCTTGTGTATACCTGGAGGCAGAGCCGTATTAGTGAAGTTCACGGTCAAGGGAATTGCACATACGGCTGCAAGACGCTTAGCTCCTTCCTTGTCTTTGCTATCCTCGACGATGTCGCTATGTACTCCCCCTTTCCAGCCGATACTGTCTAATTCTTCCTTCGCCTTCAGACGGGCCTTCAAAAGGGATCTGCAGTTGGTGCTGCCGTCGATGTCTCGGAAAACGGCATAGTGCCAGTTACCAACGTAGCACCCAAGGTCCATCAGCATATGTGGCTGCCACATTTCGGCTGCAGGGGGCAACACGAATTCGACAACGTCGTCGTAGTAGGTGAAGTCCGTACCAGGCATACGGCAGAGTCTCCAGCCCCGCGACATGTGCTCGCTGATCGAGAATGAGCTTCTTCGTCTACAAAAGTGAATCAGGGACGTACGAGAACATATAAGAGGAACATTCCGTCTGCAAATTGTCGTGTCAGCGTCAGAGAAGTAAGATGTGGCACGCAGCGACGCACACTGCCGCACAAGCGTATCCTCAGGTCGCTCGAGGCTGGAGGTAGCGCTGACCATGTGCCGCAGACCTGGTTGCACTACATGAGCGAAGGGCCTAGGTTAGAGGCTTGACAGGCTCACCGAACACGCCCCCGCGCAAAGCATCTTCATGTAGCAGATCCGGTCGCGTAGGCTCACCGGAAGATACTCTCTTTCTTCCTCTCTAGGCGGGAATATGCGGCTCATTCCGGCGTCCACGAGAGCTTCCTCAAGCATATTCCTGTCGATCATCGTCCGGAAGAGGCGGCAGGTATCGCGAAGGCTGAACAGGTCGAAGATCGAGCAGTGCAACATGATCTCTGCCCATGTCTCGTCGCTGAACTGCCGAGCAGCTGACGCTGCCGCAGATTCTTTGGATTTATGGGCCACGTCAGCGACGAGCGGGGAGGGCGGCTGGGTGCGCGGAACCTTCGCGGGCGGTGCTTCAGCGTCAGTCATAGTCGGAGATGGAGGAATCGTAACGACGTGCGACAGCTTACAGATGAGTTCTTATGTACGGCTCACAGGTTGGTCTTGAATGGTAGGCGCCCTGGTCATCCTTGTCAGCGCTGGTCATAAACAATACGAATCTGGAACTCTGGTATGGCACGCGCTACGATTGGACCTTCGAGTCACAAACATGACCTGCTTAAGCAGCACCGCCTCGCACCTTGTCTTGTCTTCGAACGTGACTCCCAGCACTGACCGTTGCTGGTACCCCACGTCTCCAAACAATAGACCGATGGCTGACAACAAGGAAAGTCGACCTGCGCAGCTGCAAAATGAATGGTCATCGCACCGCCAGCTAGCCCCAGGAGCGTGTGGCGCGAAGGTCCGAGCATCCCTCAAAGATACTCGTCGAACGAAGCCCGGGCCCGAGTCCACTCAGGAGCCGCACCGATGAGCCTGGCGAAGCACCCGATACACGATGGTACTGATTTGTCGCGTTGGAAGCAGATGAACCATACAGGGTTTCGGGGCTCGCGTCGAGGAAATCCTTCGTGATACTACTGAACGGTCAAGTCGGCGACGTTGGGCTGCATGATAACCTACAGCCTCGTATGCACCCCACGGCTCTGAAGCAACCTAGAAGCGATACAAACCTCGTTTACTTACCCCGACCATCTCGAGCGGCGACGCCCAACCCGTTGTCCGACTCCGTACGAAGGCCAGCCAATAGTTCAAGAACAACCTGCTCGACTGCACGGCCGACTCGCGCGCGACGTTTGATCAGGCGGTAGCACGTCGCAGTTGTGGAGGGCATTGAGCGGCTCATCAGTGACATGAAGGCAGCAGTATAGGGGCCGTAGTCCACGCCGTGAGGTGGGTTGTCCGCGTCGAGGGAGCCGTACGTCGGTACGACGGCCTTATCTGGGATCGGGCCGCGGTACGCTCGGAAATCCGAGCGAGACGAGCATTGAATTTGATGTGCGATGAACGAGAGGCGCGCCATCCAATGTCATTCCAGAACTGCTATTTCGCCGCTGAAGGCGCGCGGGCGAGCTGCATGATGGTCGAAGTCGACCTGGAAATTCGCATGGCCCGTTCGTGATGATCACATCAGTGCACGTGTCGTGACGGTTCATTTTGGTCACATTGCTGTGACCGCGCGAACTGTTCCGATATTCCATCTCATACATCTGGCGACGCCACGGGTAATTTCGTGGCGCAGAGTTATGCGGCACGCCGATTTCTCCCATGGTATCACGACCCAATCACTCATATAAACTTTCGTTGTCGAAGTCGCGCAACAGCTGCTATACTCGCTTGCGCGCATCGCTCAGTCGTGAGTTACAGGATTTACCTATCGATGCCCCTCCATTCGTGTCCTTTGCATCGTCGTATCCCATGGCTGAAACGTCGATATCAGCGAGCGAAGACGTCACACGCAACAGGACCTACTTGTAGTACTCATGGCTCCCTAAAGCGCCGGCCGTGAACCACCTCATCGGCGGGTCCTCACATAAATCGCATCGATACTCCGCTTTCCCCGTCTTGAAGTTGAGCCGACTTTGAGGGAGCTGCTCGGGGTGCCTGGTTAGTCGCCTCCGTCAGTGCATCGGCTGTGGACGTGTGGCAACGCCCACGCACCTTTGCTTCACATGCCAGTCGTACAGGCTCTGCTTGACAGAGACACCACAGTGGCTGCACATGCGTTTCTTGCTCTTCGCGGTCGCCAAGCCGGCTTTGACGAGAGTGGAGCGCGACAGCTTGCGGTCGTCATGACTATGTGCTCGCAAGCGGCGCCGGATAGTGGCATTGCGCAGCGCGCGGGCGGTCGGGATGCCTCGTCTTGCTGCTAGCTTGCGCAACCTTTTTCTCGTGAGCTACTGCTACGATATCAGAGAAACCGAAGCGTACTGGTAAACGTTGTGGGCCTTGAGCTTCCGCATATGCACGTGCATCGAGCTCTTCCAGATATCGATGTAGGCCTGGATCTATGGAGGGCGTTAGTCGAGTCGAACACGTTAGTATCTGAGTTGGCGACGCACCATGTAGAGCGCGCGCGACCAGTGGCAGCGGACCGCGTATTTCTTAGCGCTGGTTGCAGATCCTCCCCGTCCAAAAGGAGTTTTATCGACTTACCTTGAAAAGCTTTTCCCGACGCTTCTTTCGCTCATCGTGCGAAGGCGCTGCGAGAACCTCGGCTACGTATTCTTCCTTCGCAGCGGCCAGGTCTCGGACGAGGACCGCGTCGGTTCCTACGCTTGCTGTAGGCAATCTGACCATCGGAAGCCACGGTATAATATGCCGGTCGATTCGGGGCGTTGCCGATCTGGCTGGAAGGTAATTGAACCTAGGCTGAATGTATACCACTTCCGTCCTGTAGAGGATTCGTCAGCCTGACCTCAAAGAGTCACGAAAGATGTACCGGAAGAACATAATTTTGCAGTTCTTCTGTAAGTCCGTCAGCGCACGCTGAAGCACCCAGGAAAGTGGCATACCGAACAAAGATATATTGGACTGTGGATCCACTCTGGGGGTCCCGCCGTCCAGATGTTGCATATCTGGAAGACAGGTTGTGTTGTCCATACTTGAAGTCTCGCACAAGAGCAGAGATAACTTACGGCACATCGACCGGAACGGAACAACATGTTCGTGTAGATTGCGCTCCCGTACATGCCCGGTGCCCAAGGGTCCTTGACGCCGAAGAAGTCGCGCATGACTTTAGCTTGGCCGCGATGCTTCACAATACGCAGCCACCAGCGAGGGTCAGGGGGCGGACGCCTGAGAAGAAGAGGTGCGTGAGCTAGTAGCTTGCCATTGTTGCGGTCCACGATCTCCCGAAAGAGGCGGCATGTATCGCGGACTGCAAAAAGCGTCGTCGGCAAGCAGAAGGAGAACACGATCTGCCACAGCTCCATAGGGAGAATGTCGCGCCACATAGTGCGCACTTCGACAGTCTCAGAGTCGATCGTCTGCGCATCACGCCTGCGCTTTGGCTTCCAGCGTCGAGTCATGGAGGGTGGCGTTCTGGAGGGATTTGAAGGGGCGGGTGAAGACGAGCACGGTCGCTTTATTGCAGAGGACCGCTTACAGACACAGTCACAAGCATCAACAGATAGAATGATACCACGGAACAAAGCTCGTCACACGCCGACATGAATGAAAGAGAACAAAGGCGGCGCTCCAGATGCCACGCGCGACCTCTGGTTGATCGCCGGTTGCACGTGATCGTCGCATATATAGGCCGGCCCTTCGCCACCTTTTCTCTTCCAAAACCCCCACCCCTTCGGCCTCCCAGAGTGGCCTCCGGCCGTCACAACACCTCCCAAGCGTCCAAACGTCAGAGAGGGTACTCTCGTGCACTCTCTGGCGGGAGGATCCGGTGACCACTGAGAGGTCGGTTGTCGGAATGCCACTTTGGATCACCGTCACTGCGCGCGGGTCATCGACTCGCGCCCGAGGTCGGAGGAGGCGATGGAGTACTGTGCTCGCGCTGCTGCTTGGTCCTCCCCCGCCAGGCGGCAACGTTGATGCCAAGCTATGTGAGGTCATTTAATGGCGTTCTCCCGTAGGGCTTGTCCGGCCACGACCATCGCGTGTTTTGCGGGCGGTCCGCAGGGTTACCCTTCGGTCTTCGCATCGAAGGACGCCTGTTGGACACGCCGGGTACTCCTTCGCTCGGGCTGCCTTCGGCAGACTCGTCGCGTCCACATTGAACAAAGGGCCGACTCCCTTTGGGATGCGCAATTTTTGGGATCTACGCATGCGCTCGACATGTGTTTCGATAGTCAGTAGCTACTTCAATCAATATAACCTATTTATTCTGCTTGAACATCCATCTGTCTAACGAGTGGCTGGACGCGGTCAACGAGAGAATGTCAACGTCCTCGCAGTCAACCGCTGTAAGAGGCCACTACTATAGCGCTCGAGTTGTGTCATCTTCAGTGGCAATGGTAATTGTGGGTAGTCGGCCATCTTTCAGTGCTCCACGAATAGTTCAGAATATCTGCGCTCACGCGGACACCTGACACCAGCCGTGGCTATCACAAAGACCGATCAGACAGAGTCGTATGCGGCGATTAATCGGAATCCTCGTATGGCGTTGGTAAGAGAGTGTCGTTTCGGCGCGTAGGTCGATATATTTCGAACTAGATGGATCGGTAAGAGGGTGAATAATGTCGTCCTTCTTCGCCTGAATCGCAACTTTGACTGGTCCACATGGTGTTTGATAGGGGAAAATCTTGATATGCGCTATAGTACAGAGACAGACGAGTCAACTACCATTCGGTTCAAGCCTTCGCGGGCCCCGAGGAAGAGGAATGCCTATGAACCGAACATTAGCACAGTCACAGATGTAAATGAGAACAACTGACTCATTCGCTCGATGCCCTATTAGCTCGGCCGCGGATTCAAACCTTGTCTCGAACGCGCAGTCCGTACAAGTGTACCACGTGCTAATCTTCGGCTTTCTACAGATGATGGACGTGAGCGATATGGTGTGTGTTGCACAGAGAACGACGCACGCAGCTCGAGCTTTGTGGCGGGTCTTGGTTGAGCAATTGCTCACGGCCTTGCGCGCATCGCCGCCACGGTCGTAAGTGCCACCGGGTGAGCTACCGAGGTCGGCGGCATGGTTGCTTGGACCAGCAACGGCAGGCTCCTCGCACGTAGGTATAGGTTCTTCCTCGATCTCGATCTCACGCTCCGCTGAGGTGACCTTCGTAGCACACTCTTCCTCACCCCGCTCCCTGTCCATAAAGGGCACAAAGTCACGGGGGAGGGCAATCGACGACCTACCCAGCTGGACATGATCTAACTCCGGGTCCCAGGGCCCCTTCGGCATGTCAGGAGGGGAGAGCAGGCAATCAATCGCTGGTGTGAGGATGCGGGATGCGTCGCGGACATGCGCTACTAGAACGCGCGAGACAAAGGGGTGCTTTAGGTCGTAGGACTTGTTCAGAAACTTGGCGCGGGATTCGAGGCTTGGGCGCGGCGTCAGCGCGTAGACAAGTGACTAGAGAAAGGGACATACGCAGACAGATTCTTTGGGCAGGCTCCCCACTCGGTGACCACTCACCAACCTACCCTCTCATACGACAACTGCGGCCTAGTGATACGGTCATAAATCTGCACGCGTCAATATATGCCCCTCTCAATGCACTCAATACTCACCCGTCCTGTGACCTCAAGGCATTTGGCGCGGCGCTTGTACTCCTGCAAACGGCCGGATAAGTGAAGTCCGCGGTTGTAGAAGAGGGAGCCACGTACGCTGACCAGCCGCTTAGCCCCTTCCTTGTCTCGGCTGCTGCGGACGATGTCCTGCAAGTCCTTTCCGTCCCAGCCGACATCTTCCAATTCCTGTACGGCCATCCGACGCGCCTTCAAGACATACCTGCAGTTGGGCTCATCACGAATGTCTCTCGACATGATCTGCAACGAGGGCTGAGCGTAGCGCCTGACCTGTGTCAGCACGTACGGTTGCCAAGCTTTGGCTATCTCGGCGAGCTCGACTTCGGCCGTGCGCCGACCCGGGATGGGAAAGGTTCGCATCACATCCCGATGGGCGCAGCGCGACATGTACTCGCTAATCCGGAGTCAGCCTCTTCGTCTGCCATCGAGAGAACAGAACGTACGAGAACACGAAAGAGGCGCAGTCGTCCTATAGTGGGGAAATGATTAGCGGCCAAGTGGCATACATGATATGCAGCGACGTACACTGCCACAAAGGCGGACCTTCAGGTCGCTCGACGCCGGGGGTAGCGCTGACCTCGTGCCACAAACCTGGAAGCGTGGCTTGAGTCAGCTTAGAGTTAATAACAGACAGACCACACCCAAGCTCACCGAGCATGACCCCGCGCAGAGCATCTTCATGTAGCAGATCGGGTCGCGCAGCTTAGCGGGGAGCAATGCCTTCTCCAGTGCGTTCAAGGGGCAGATGAGATGCAGACCAAAGTCTTCGAACGCGTCCTCTAGCATCTCCTTGTCGATCATCGTCCGGAACTGGTGACAGGCGTCGCGCAGACAGAACAAGTCAAAGACCGAGCAATGCGACATGATCTCCGCCCACGTCTCTTCGGTGAACTGCTGGGCAGCAGGCGCTGCGTGCGGCGGGCTGTGGGGTACGTCTGCGACAGGTGGAGGGGGTGACTCCGTTCGAGAGATCTTCGCGGGCGGCGGTCCGGCGTTGGTCATTGTCGAAGAAGGTGGTGGCAAAGCGACGGCGCGCGACTCCCAAAGTTGCCCGCTTATAACAGGCGCTGAAGCTGCTCTTGCACGGTACGTGACCTGGGTATTGTTGTCAATACCGGTCACAAACAATGGGAGATTCAGATGTGTGTTTGTGTCGTGAGCACCGCCTTCTTGATGTCCACGCTGCAGAAATGGATTGGCGAGTTGAGAACAATGCATTGATTGTCATGTGTATGATCGCTTTGCCGTAAGTAATCGACACCTCCCTCGGCCCTCCGGATACTCTTCGAGAAAGTGCACGATCATTGACCGATACCATACCAATCCTCCCCCGAATGACGTATCCCATGCCTGAGGGGTCCAACTGGTCAGCGAGCGAAGACAAGCAAATAAAGGAGTAGCCACATACTTGTAGAACTCGTGGCTGAGCAAGGCATCTGCCGTATACCACTTCACGCGATGATCCGTACACGATCCGCATCGATACTCGGCCTTGCCGGTCTCGAAGTTGAGACGATTTAGTGGCAGTTTCCCCGGGTGGCTAAAGACAAGGCGTGAGTACGCCGTCAATCGTCTGATTCAACCGCCAACTCGCCTTCTCTGTACGTGCCAATCATAAAGGGCCTTCGAGACCAATCTCCTGCAATGCTCGCACATCCGCTTCTTCGACCGGGCATCAGACAGGCCAGCCCTCGTTAGGTTCGACCGCGAGACGCGACGAAGGTCGCGGGCACGCGTCTTGAGAGGATGCCGCACAGTGGGGTGGCGCATTGCGAGCGCAGCAGGGATGCGCCTCTTCGAAGCGTATTCGCGCAGCCTGTCAAGAATGAGAACCGTGCGCGAGAGCTCACGATCTCGTCATGACGACGTACCTGCGAAGACTGGACGCGATGACCTTGCGCCTCGTCCCGTCCATTTTACGCTTCCACATGTCGATCCAGAATTGAAACTGCAAGGACGAGAGTCAGGTGGTACCGAAGCAGGTGCGAATGGCGGGAAACTGACGATGAACAGTGTGCGGGCCCAGCGTGCGCGTGCCGAGTAACGCTGTAATCATCCAGTGAGCGGCGTCGTCAATGCAAAGACAGTGAATAAATCCACCTCAAACAGCGCTTTCTTGCGCTGGCTTCGTTCGTGAGCATCGCAGACGCTCAGAACCTCGTCCCGATACTCTTCTCGTGCTTTCAGCAAGTCGTTCACTAATATCGCTTGCGTCTTCTGGTCTCTCTGGTACAGGTCGGAGGAAAGCGACAGAAGTGGAAGGCTTGGCACAATGTGGCGGTCTACTTCGGGCATCACTGAGCGTGCAGGGAGATAGTTGAACTGCGGTAAGAGATATACGACTTCCGACCTGAATATTGCGCGATGGTAAGTCCGCAATGAGTGAGACTGATCAACAGAAGCGCACCGAAAGAATCTCACTCGACAATCCTTCTAGATAGCCGTCAGCACGCGAGAGAGCTTGAGCTAGGATCCAACACACCGAGCAGAAATAGAGCTTGCTATGTATCCATTCGGGAGGTCCTGGTGTCCAGGTCCCACAGATCTAGGCAAAGGTTGGTCCTCGGCTATTGTCGGATAACGAGAATCAGAGAGAACATACATTGCAGCGACCGGATCGAAACATAAGGTTGGTGTAGACAACGCTACCGTACATTCCCTTCTTCCGCGGATCGGTGATACCAAAGAACTCGCGGATAAGCTTGCGTTCAAGAGGATCTCTGTAAACGCGCATAAACAGCCGGGGGTCAGGAGGGGGTCGGGGTAGCAGAAGCGGCGCATGTGCTAGCAGTTTGCCACCGTCGCGATCGACAATGGAGCGAAATAATCGACACGTGTCACGAACAGCGAACAAGGTCGTCGGGATGCAGTAAGAGAATATGATATGCCACATTTCTGGAGGAAGGATGCTGCGACGTGGTGCTCGGGTATGTCGCGTCTGGTTGTCGAATGTGGATGCATGGCGAGCGCGCTTTGGCTTCCAACGTCGAGTCATGCAGAGTGGCGAGTCGTACGAAGTGGTGGATGAGGGATAAGTAGATGCGGAGAGCCGACAGCATTCCTCATGATCTTGCACGTTTGCGCAGCCGTCACAACGAACGTAACGATTCGAACTCCGAATTCGGACACAATGGCGTGAAAGAGAACAAAAGCACCCGGCGCGGCCGGCTATCCCCGGTTGATCGCCGGAGCACGTGCCCTTGCCCTATATAGGGCGGCTCTTCTGCCACTCTCTCTTTTCCCAAACCCCCACCCTCCGACCTCCCCAGGTGGTTGCTCGTCAGCCAATCAGCCTCCCAAGGATCGGGGCGAAGCCTGGCATGCTCACGCGTGCCGCCGTCGTCTAAATCCGACGTTCTGAGAGGACGACTGGCGGGTGGCCACTTGGATTCACGTCACCACAGCGCAGGTCTTCGACCGCGCTCGAGGCCGGAGGAGGCGGTGGATGCCGTGCTCGCGCTGCAGCTTGGTCTTCTCCGGCTTCTACGCCGTAGGGTAGTCCCTACCTCGCAGCAGCGTTGATGCCGACTATGCAAAGTCATAAGCTGTTCTCCCCCAGGGTTTCGTTCGAGCTGGCGTTTACGTAGATCGCGGGCGAGCCACAGGGTTATCCTTCGGTCTTCGTATCGAAGGACGCCTGTTGGCCACGCCGGGTACTCCACCGCTGGGCTGCCTTCGGCAGACCGACCGCGTCGCCACACACCAGAGGGCCGACTCCCTCTGGGACGCGTAATTTTTGGGACCCTCGCGCACATTCAATGTGCAGTCTAGAGATACATTACTATGGTTAACGGATAGTACGCACCTTAGAAACTACTCCAGTGTCAATAAATGAATATATGATGGCGATCAGGCTCTTCGAATGGCGTTCGACAATAGATGGAACCGTATAGCTCTTCCTTGCAGAAGCAGATCAATCGAAAAGCCCCAAAGCGGAGGCCCGCCTAGTGCGCTCGTAATTGCTACTTACCGAGTGGATGAACTTCCTGAGCGGGGTACAGTACTAACATGTCCATACAAAAATGTAAGAGAACGAGGCGGGGCAAATCCAAGTGGCGCAGGCCGTCGAGCGAGAGGCTAAGAGTAGCATAGTATTCCAGAAATTTACAAATTTCGTGTCTAACATACTTCGAGAGGTTGCTTGCATGCACGCTACGCAGAGGTCGACGCATGCCTGATACGATATATACGTCAGCTGCTACGCACCACAATACCACTGAAATGCAAACGTACGCTTCGCTCTGGTGCTTGATTAGCTCGGCTTGGCTGGAGAATGTCATATCCTTGCACAACGAGCAATTCTTACGCTCGGTGGCCTGGGTCCTGAAGAAGACGTGAGAATATGTTTCGGGGATGACTTGCAACGAGAAACTCACGCGCGACGCGATGCCTTGGTGGATTTGCGACCTGACTTGGCAGATCGAGCGGGAGCAGCCTTAGTGCCCGCGCTGCTGCCGGGTACGAGGCTTCCACCGGGAGAGCTGGCCGGACCAGCGACGTTGTCGCTCTGAGCAGCGACGGCAGGCACTTCGGGCGCAGGCACGGGCTTCGCCTCAGCCTTGGCTTTAGGCGTCGAGTTCTTCTTGGGCTTCGCCATCGCAAACCAGTCCGCGGCAGACTTCTTGGGCCGCTCCCTGTCCATGAACGGCACGAAGCAGCGAGGGAGAGGGTATGGCGTCTCTGCCTGATCTGGATGATCGAACTCGGCGTCGTAGGGCATCTTGGGCGTCTCGGGAGGAGAGAAGAGGCAGTCGACCGCGGGGGTGAGCATAAGCGAGCCATCGCGCGCGTGCGCCGCCAGAATACGCTGCGTAAAGGGATGGTCGGGGTCGTAGTCCTTGTTCAGAAACTTTGCGCGGGCGCAGAGTCTATATCGGGGCGTAAGCGCTCAGTGAGTCGAAGAGATGGGGGAAGGAGCTCACGTCTGGAGGTTCTTCTCGCGGACCTCCGTGCTCTTCTGCAGATTGGCCACCCTCCATGTAACGTAGTCGTTGTAGACCTGTTCGAGTTCACGCAATGCACAAACCTGTCGATGAGAAGAAACTCACGATCATTGTAGTTCGGTGGCGCGCACATCGCCACATATATTCCTGCGAAGGAGAATGCCTCATCAGTATTCGACGTAGCAATTAGGGCGCGCAATGCTCACATCCTGGCAACAGAAAGCTTGGACGAAGTTGTCGCTGCTCCCGACGAGGTCGTCCGGGTCTTCGGCATCGCTCTTCCAGCCGATCTGGGCGAGCTCCTTCTCCGCCCGGCGACGGTCCTTCAGGACGAACCTGCAGTTGGGTCCGCCCATGAGGATGTCGTTGATGGGGAGAGGCCACCCGTCCACGTAGGGGCTGAGGTCCCGCAGCATGCGTGCCTGCCAGAACATGGCCAGCTTCGGCAGCGGGCCCTCCTCGACGTCGGGCTCGAAGGTGCCGTACGTGATGCACGTTGGAAGGTCGTTCCAGCCGCGCGTCATCTCCGTGCTGGATCAGAAGTGAGTTTATCAGCTGGTCGATGAAGCGATGGAACGTACGAGTACATGAACTTGGCGCAGTCCTCCTGTAGAGCGGTGTGTTAGCGAGAATGAGTTGGGGTGGAGCGAAAGCGACATACGTTGCCACACAACCGAATCTTCAGGTCGCTGGAGGCGGGTGGCTGCGCCGTCCAAATGCCACAGACCTAGAAGCCGAGCATGAGACTCGATGGGAACGAAGAGGGCATGGTAGACTCACCGAGCACGGCCCCACGCAAAGCATCTTCATGAACGTGGTTAGGTCTCGCAATGCCACAGGCAGATAAGCCCTCGCTTCATCGGTGATGTTGCAGAGGTGGCTCAAGCCAGCATCGCTGAGGGCGTTCTGGAGCATCTCCTTGTCGACCATCGTCCGGAAGAGGTGGCAAGCGTCGCGCAGGCAGAACAAGTCGAAGACCGAGCAGTGCGACATGATCACCGCCCATGTCTCGTCGGTGAACTGCTGGGCAGCAGATGTAGTCGCAGGCGCTGCATGCGAAGCGTCACTCGTCGCGTCGGCGATGGGCGGAGAGGGAGACTTCGTGCGAGGCATCTTCGCGGGCGATTGGGCAGCAGACATCGTCGAAAGGGATAGAGGCAAAGCGACGGTGTGCGGCAACTAGACTGTGCTCATATATACAGCGCTTCGGTCACTCTTGAATGGTACGTGACCCTGTTTTTGTCGTCAGCGCTGATCATAATAAACAATGGGAAACCCGGAGATATGGTATGACATACGCACAATGGAATCTCCGGGTCACAAATTGGACCAGAACCACCGCCACGCACCCTGATCTTACTGTCCCCTGCTCACCTGCCCATCGAACTCTCGGTGAACTTTCATCTGAGAGCCGGTTTTTGTCGGGCGGCCGAGAAGCGAGGGACATTGCCACAATAGCAGCCACTTCAGATCGTTCCAGATCATCTTGCCACCGCTATCGAACAGCCTCCAATAGGTGTATAACTTACATGAGATATGACCGCAGTCAGCTCAAAGCACGAGTCAAAGCCAAGCTCTATACCCCGGTCATACGCACGGCCACGCTTTGCGCGGCGATACGGGAGACATCAAGTCGCGTTTGATGGCATTTGTTCCCGTATGATGTGGCTGTGGCATGTTTGTGTTTGGAGGTCCAAGCTTGTTACCGTCATCGTGAGCGAGCTGGCTGCCGACACGAGGACAGCACATTCAGCTGAGGTTGTCATCATTCCTCGTCAAGCAAAATAGGCGAAATTTCTGTGTAGGGCTCTTGACGATCCGGCATTCCGTCAGTCAAAGGGGATCCAGAATCAATGTGGCAATCAAGTCCGTTGCGCCCTCTATTCGAGGTCGCAACGAAAATGACATCCACTTGATCAATTCCTAATCCCTTCAACTACGCCCCAATCCCCCGTCTAATCAAGTACTCGTCGCATCAGAATACTTGAATCCACCAAGCGAGCGCAGCCGGTCCCCATCGCGGATAAGCCAGATGATCAAGCTGGTCGCGATGTCAATATACGACGAACAATCGAGGATTCGACGAGGACCACTTACACATATCCTATCCAGGCGACGCCAGCGAAAATAGCGTACACGGGAATGAGCCCGATGCTATTGATGAGGGGGAAGATGGCCGGGATCGTCAGCGCGCACATGAGGGCGCGGAAGCCCCTGCGTGGGGAATGAGCGAGACAGTACAGGTGAGAAAAGCAAAGAAAGCTTACTGATTCGCGGACACGGCCTCAGCGCTATGCTCGTGCATGATGTCGACGCAGTACGAGCCGACGGGCGAGAGGACGACGTCGATCTACAACATGCACGCATTAGCACCGCCGGGAGAGCACTCTTCAAGATTGACCAACGTACCCCAATCCCGTTGAAGAAGAACCAGATCAGGTTCAGCGTCAGACCAAGCGGGCCGGGGATATACTGTGTCGTCAAGCCACTCGCGATGAGCGTGAGCGGAATAAGGTATCCTAGGCCGGGGGTCGTTGCGCGCAGGCGGTCCTCGGGATACCAGACGCCATTGCGGCGCTCCCGCCACTTGATAACCATGCGGTCGGAGAACTTGCCAGCCAGCGGGGCGCCGACTGGGGGAAGGGATGTTGAGCTTCAAGCCCAGAACGTAGTGTGAGAAGATGGACGCACTGAAGTTTCCCATGCCCATCGGTATGAAGCACAGCCCAATCAAGAATTCGTTGCCACCCAAGTGGTAGCGCTTGCCCTACCAAGCTTCGTCAGAGCCTCGTGCACGAAAAGATGTATAGCACGCACGATCGTGTAGGCGATAGGTATAAGCAGCACTAGATGCGATGTCAGAGCATGTATGCAACCCAGCAGTTGAGAGGACGTACCAAAGTCCGAGATCAGAGCCGTATATCCTGCTATCGTCTGGAAATCTGCGATGAGGACGGTGCGCTTCATTCCTTTCAGCAGACGGTCGTACCGAGAGCAGCATCGGGGGGCTCGCAAGGAGCTTCATAGGTCCGACCGGGTTCAAGAAGACGAAGCTGGGGGGCTTGCGCCCTGCCCCTTGCGCGCGTAGCCTTTCCTTTTCGATCTCCTTCGTCTGGGGATGCCTGAGAACGATCAGTCAGACGTCGTCTGCTGGAAAGAGAAGAATAAGAGCGTACTTGGTTTCCGAAAGGTAGAAGTAGACGAAGATGAAGGTGGCAAAGGCCGCGACGCCAATCGCCTCCTGCATGTGCCGCCAGGACGAGTAATGAGCAGCCCATCCTATACAAGTCATCAATATTCACTTCGGCTTGCGTTCGACTCCCTCATCCTCGACGCACCTCCCGCAACAGGTGCCAACGCCGGGCCGATGAGCGCCGCCTAAGGATGTCAGTACACGCGCTGTTTGCGCTGAAGAGGACTAGCTCACTCCGGTGAACACGCCCATCGCGAACCCGCGCTCCTCGAGCTTGTAGATGTCGCCGATGACACCCGAGCCGACCGAGAAACCGGGCGAGGCGCCGAACGCCTGCATGATCCGCCAGCCAAAGAGCTCGGGGACGGAGCGCGAGCGGGCGACGCCGAAGGACCCCACGACAAGGAGGGGGAGACCGATGAGGTATATGGGGCGGCGGCCGTCTGGAGTCAAGGATAGGTGAGCGCGTGGTAGTGCAGCGGATACGAGGACGATGGTGGTACATACACCAGGTCGAGTACGACGAGAAGGTCATCGAGCCAAGGGCGACCGTGAACATTGAGATGCTGACGGCGTTGCTGGAGGGGGAGTCAGTATTCGTCATCACCTCGGGGTATGGCGTCGAAGACCAACCTGACGACGTCAGGCGTCGTGTTCAGGTCGTTCGCGATCTGTGGAATCGAAGGAATGAAGGTCCCCGACACGAATACTAGTGGATCTAGTCAGCACATAGGAATCAATACCTCCCAAGCGTACTCACAAGCCATCAGCGCCGTGAACGCGGTCATGCCCACGAACAGCCGCTTAGCAGCAGGAGAAAACCGTTCATAAACTTCATTGTGCTTCTGCACGGCATCGTAGTCGTCGCGCTCATGCGCTGCATTTTCTTCATGAAGGAGCGGCGTCTCCTCCGAGGTGGTCATGACGGTAAGAGGAGAGTACAGAATCCGACGCTCTAATCTCTGAATAAACAGGTTCCGCCGAGTCAGTATTCTGATGAGTCAGGGAATACGATCGAGCAGCCTGGGAATCGGGGGCAGAGTGAAGACCTGACGTTTGGTAGCCCAAAGAGTTGACACGCACGAGTGCAATCTATGCCTTATCCGTGGTATGAGAGCACCTCCTATATGGATCGTGCAATCCTCTAGTATTTGCTGAAGAAGTTCAGTTAATGTCTTACAACAAGTGTCTGCACTTGGTCAACCCACCCGATAATCAGGCTGTCCCTATACAGCCCACAGGATGAAGCACTGTACACGAAACCAACGCAAAGAAACGTAATGGTTCGAGTCAAGCACCGAGCACAATCCGTGAGAAATCCCCTGTCTTCGGCAATTGCCGCCTGAGGCGGATGTCGACTTCCCGCACATCGTTCGGTTGTCTGTCAATGTCTGGTCTAGTCGTGCATGGTCGCAGGTCGCGCGATTCATACCATAGTGGCTTAAGCTACAACAATTTCTCCAGACTAATGTGTAAATACTGTCTGAGGCCCCAATTATGTGCATTGTGGGCATCGAACGAAGACGGGCCCAGGCTCCTCTCACTGGGCCCGCCGAATGATGTCCTTCATAGCGACTCCATGCACCCAGATCATGTTTAGAGGTTTCACATACATATATATCCTCATATTTCGATTACACGCGGACGTGCGCTCATGCACTCGTGGCATCGGAATACTTGTAGCTTCCAACAGAGCGCAGCCGCTCGCCATCACGGATGAGCCAAATTACGAAGCTGGTAGGTACGTCAGGCTTCGGCGACCTACTACAAGAGCAAGAGAAGGATGGCAGCTCACCCATAGCCAATCCACGAGATGCCGGCGAACAGAGTGTACATGGGCACGACCCCGATGGTGTTCAGGAGCGGGAAGATCGCTGGGATCGTGAGCGCGGACATCAAGGCGCGGAAACCCCTAGGAAGGAGTTCAGGGCGTGATAAAACAAGCAAGGAAGGAAAGCTCACTGATTCGCAGACACGGCCTCAGCGCTATGCTCGTGCATAATATCGACGCAGTACGAGCCGATGGGCGCAAGTGTGGCATCGACCTGGATATCAGAACTGATAAACACTGCAAGAATTGTCACCAGTCGAATGAACGCGCTCACTCCGATCCCATTCAGGAAGAACCATACCAAGTTGAGCGTGAGCCCAAGGGGTCCGGGGACAAAATGCGTCGTCAAACCGAATGCAATGAGCGTGAGAGGGATGAGGTACCCGAGACCGAGCGTCGCGGCGCGCAGGCGGTCCTCAGGGTACCACGCCCCGTTGCGTCGCGCGCGCCACTTGACGACCATGTAGTCGGAGTACTTTCCCGCGAGGGGGGCGCCGACTGTCAAGTGGGTGTGAGTTCTCGATACATGGAGGAACGAGGAGGAGAGGGCGCACTGAAGTTGCCGATGCCGACTGGGATGAAGCACAGGCCGATGAAGAACTCGTTGTCCCCGAGGTGGTAGCGTTCGCCCTGAGGGAACCTTCAGCAATCTGAGAACAGAGCCGAGAGTCGAGCGTACGATGGTGTAGGCGATGGGGATCATGAGGACTGGAATGACAATGAGTACGTGCCATAAGTCTGACGCCGAGGCACGCGCCAAAGTCCACAACCAACACGGTATATCCCGCGATTGACTGTGGATCCGCTCATGAGCAGGCCGCTACACAGGTTGACGAGAAATATCGGACGCACCGAAAGTAGCATCGGCGGTCTCGCAAGCAGCTTGAGAGGTCCGAGCGGGTTCAGAAACACGAAACGAGGAGGCGTGCGGCCTTCTTCCAACGCTCGCTGTCTTTCCTTCTCGATCTCTTGGGTGTTTGGATGCCTAAGGCCGCTTGTCGATGGATTAACCACGCAGCAAGAGGATGAACACGCACTTGGTCTCCTCTAGGTAGAAGTGAGACAAAGACGAATGTGACGAGGGCCGCAACGCCAATGGCCTCTTGCATGCGACGCCAAGATGAGTAATGAGCTGCCCATCCTGAACCAGTCGTCAATGGCGGTCTCAGAAAACGGCCATTCGCCGTACACGTACCTCCTGCGACTGGCGCGAATGCTGGGCCGATCAGAGCAGCCTGAGGGCGTCAGCAAAGTGCAATACGTGCGATCAATATCGCTCACCCCAGTAAAGACGCCCATCGCAAACCCGCGCTCCTCGAGCTTATATATGTCACCAATGACGCCCGAGCCTACGGAGAAGCCAGGCGAGGCGCCGAGGGCCTGCAGGACTCGCCAGCCGAAGAGTTCCAGCACGAAGCGAGAGCGCGCTACGCCGAAAGACCCCAAAACGACGAGCGGGAGGCCAATGAGGTATACGGGGCGACGGCCGTCTGCGATCTAGTCAGGCGGGCCGACCAAATGTCGAGCAAGTAAGCGGACCGCAACGTACACCACGTCGAGTAGGATGAGAATGTCATGGAGCCGAGGGCGACGGTGAACATTGAGACGCTGACCGCGTTGCTGCAAAAGAGTCGGCGCTCATTGTCGCTGAGTACCCCATCGCTGGACTCTACCTTACAACGTCAGGCGTGGTGCTCATGTCGCGGGCAATCTGTGGTATCGAGGGAATGAACGTCCCAGAGACGACTACTGAGGTCAAAGAGTCAGCCTTGAGAGTCTGTCAGTCAGAAGTCCAACTTACAGGCCATCAGTGCCGTGAACGCGGTCACACCGACGAACAGCCGTTTGCTGGCTGGAGAAAAGCGCTCGTAGACCTCATTGTGCTTTCGTACCGCATCGTAGTCTCCACGCGCGTTTTCTGTGCTGTCCTCATGAAGGAGAGGTGCCTCCTCCGAGGCGGACATGATGGTCTGAAGAGGAGAAACCAAGCAATCTTCAACAAAGCGAGCTTGCGGTTATCCCGCCGGCCTTATGAGTCAGGCCTAGTCAGGCGGATCGGCCGATGACGCTGGGAACCGGATGTCGCGAGAACCTGGGTTCACAGACGAGTTACTTCTTCTTGGAAAACGACGACATGGGTAAGGACTACCGGGGGAAAGGTGACTGGTTCGTGCAACCCGCTGGTATAAACTCCATTAGCTGCACATACGTCGCGAGTGTCTTGATCGACAGCTTACCATAAGGCCGACCACTACGAAGAAGAACCCCACACCACATAATGTACGCAAATTTCGACGCAGAGGCACCACGCGCAACACTTAAGGTTGACAATGAGAGCCGCAGGCCCGCAGCGTAAGGCCTAAAAATCGTGGGAATGATCACATGATGCTCGGCACCTGCCGCAGAGAACAAGCCCCGGAGAATGCCGAGCTGCCTTTCTTCCTTCCGCCATGGCGATTCATCGGCTGGGCCTCAGTCACTCATCTAGATGAAATTTGTATATTTTGTGACGAACGGGAATCATCTAGCGAGTAAGGGGTTGGTATGCAGCAAGATCAGGCGCGAGCTCAACCGCGTGTCTCCCTTCAAAACGAGCGTCTTCGGCATATGAAGAGCGTACCAAGGTACGCATACAATGTGATTCAACGATGAAATCCGATAGAACTCACTCCTAGCATCTGCCAGGCAACAGTGAAGGCGGATATCAGCATACACTCAACCGCTCAACCTCAAGGCATTCGATCCGAACGCAGTCGAGTGGCGCGCATTCAATACGATCATTCCGCGAAGCGCTCTTCGCGCACAGAGGCTCTTCGACATCATGAAAAATGAGAGGACTACGATGGACACTAGCGTCTATGACCCCGCTCGTCATTACGCCATGTCGCTCATCTGGGAACGATATGGCCGCTGACGAAAAAGTGGCATACGTCGCGGGTGCTAACAAGTTTCCCTTGCCAAGATCTGCATCAAGCCAAAGCGTAAGAGGTATGTCACCTATTTATATCAGCGGTGAGCCTCGGTGACTATCGATCGCCAGTACGGCACGTCAAGAAGAGGCCCTGCGTATACATTCGTTCTCGCGGCTATCGGCGTTCATCTTGCGGCAGGGGATGGTCAGGTCTCACTTTTGGTCCTACCGGCGTTCACCATTCGATGTCCGCCTATTTACGACCAAGCTATCTGCTACAGGCGATTATGTCCTCGACCACTAGCGCATGCGCCGCCCAACATGGAAGGAGTAACGAGTACGTCTTCCCTATCCCAAGTCGTCGCATTTTCTATCATCCCAATCCAGTCGTACTTATTTTGAAAGCAAATCCCATCAGGTCAACGGAGAAGAAGCGACCATAGACCAACACCGCCTGCGCGATGATTACCTCTTGCCCTACAAAGACATGTCAAGTCCCCCCGCGTTGCGACATGCGAAAGCACAGTTAGTGACTTCCCCCTTCATAGATCGCCGTCTAGACTCTAGAATGCGGGTACTCACTACATTCAGCACACCATTACTGCTGCAGGACGCCAATCGACATCAGGAAAAACCTCCGTGCAATTTCGCACTCACCAAAGCTATACACGACTACGGAGCGTCCCATAGTGCGAGGTGGGAGCGGGATAGTTTGTCGTAGCATTGAATAGTCGTTAGTGAGGTGTGGATAGTACCTGTAGCCTCCAATTGGAGCTGTGCTCGATATCGGCCATCCAATATTAGTGCTGACTTGTACTGTAGATTCCCGTAGATGAGTAGGGAGGCGACGTAGGTCAGTGTAGATCTGTAAAGATATTATTGACCTTATCTCGTTTGGCATAGCTGACGACAATGCAGACTTGAGACCGGAGTAATTGATCCTCGGAATCTGAGGTCCAATGACCGAAGTGAGTGCTCATTAGATCCTGAAGTCCACAATCGAGTCGTGAACCTGGCGAAGTTGACATTTGGCGGCGCATGTCACAGATGTGACATATGTCACTTGGGCAAGACCTGACTTCCCGTGCTGCTCCTTTGTGATTCCTGCGCAAGATCAGAGGGAGAAGTGTATAGAACAAGGTCATAAGCCCTAGTATAATGATTATCTTTGATGCACTTCAATCTGTCGCTGTGTTCGAACGATTTCGGGCACGGCCGAAATTGACTATCTTGAAAAGCTGAGACTGGACTTTATCCCGGCCAACCTTCACCTGTCCTACCATCGGAGAGAAAATTTTATGTGCTATGAATATTCAGATCTGGAAATCTGACATTGGGGAATCCGCGTTGGCGCAAACAAGCCTGGTCGAGGACCGGTGGGCGCGCGGACCTGTGTGGTGATATATTTCATTCACTTCTCACATTATTGTAACGTACGTCGCGTAGTGGTTAGTGAGACCTCTCTGAGGAAGGAGGACTGCACAGGACCCCGCGTTCGAATCTCGCGACCGCCGGCCGTGCGTACTGACTAACCTATCTTCTCTTGTGCCCTTTTATTCCTTTTTTCCCCACTCCAGATCTGTTTGGCACACTCCAGAAGCCAGTGTCGATCTTCATAGAAAAGAAAGACGCGTCACATAGGAGTAAAGTACAAATCCAATCCATTCATATAATGATCAAAACTATTGATTTTACTATTAACGGCGGCGGACTCTTTTGGCTGCAGGAGCATCTCCCTGCGCGGGTGGTCCCTCTGCGCGGCGTGATGCGGGGATCGTGATGCTTCGCTCGCGCTCGCGCCGGTACCGTTCGTATAGGAAGCGAAGGAGGAAGAAATCATGATGTCTGAGGTATGGGTTGACATAGAACTTGGGGGCGACATCCAAAACGCAGGTCGCAGTCCAGGAAGGATGGACGGAGCGGCCAAAGTATGGGATCAGGTGACAGGAGCGAACCACGCGTGTTACAGGTATAACAGCAGAATGCTGAACACCCTGGCGTGTGGCGCGCTTGATGCAGAACATTCCGATGTCTTTGTTGTAGGCAGCGCTATCGGAGAGGGGGGTGTAGTAGTCGACGTAGGCGAGGGGGTGGCGGTATGTCCCGACTGTAGCTGGTAGCTTGAAGATGAGCCGTATGCGAGCAGGGGTAAGGCCTGTGCATAGCAAGTCAGTCCCGATCGAAGAAAGCGCAGCGTTGCGACACACCATCCAAAGGCCCAGCCCCTGGTCTTGCTTCACGATCTCGCACAAGGGCAGTCCCCCATTGTGCAGCTGCCTCGGGCCTCACAGTGCCGACTCCAGTGATCCGACGAGGCCTTGCTGGGATAGCCACAACCTTGTCGTCGTCCGATTCCGAAGCGGCTTCGGGAAGGGGAGGAAGCTTGAGCTTGACCTGCTTGTAGACTGGAAATGTGACGGGGGAGTTCTCGTCGAGGTCGGTACGCAAGGGAACAATGCCCTGCTGGTCAAGGAAGCGGAGGAGGTGATAGCGGAGCTCGTCGACGTGGTAGTCGCGGAAGATCGAGGCAAGGGTTAAGCGTGGGAATGGGGGATGTTTTGCGACGCGGTAATTCTCTTCGTCGTACTCATCCTCGTCACCTTCCTCTTCATCATCCTTGTCCTCCTCCTCCTCCGCCATGTCCTGCTCGCTCACATCCTCCCTCTCCGCTTCGCGCCCATCCCCTATATCCGCATCATCGTCATCATCATCGCCGTCGTCCACTGTATCTCCCGCGGCGGTGTAGCCAGGCATCGCCCACTGAAGGAATGTCCCAAAGCGCCAGACTGCCTCTTGCCGCGCTAACCAGCGCGTCATCTGCGCAAGATACTGCTTGCGGCTGGATGCGCGATATCCCAGCTTCGCCAAATCGATGTGTAAGCGCTCTGTCCCCTCGGTGTTGAAACCGTCTGCAGTCCCTCGCGAGCGAATCGCGTCGGCATAATGAAGCAGTGCGTGGATCTTGCTGATGTTGAAGTGCTTACGAATGCCCAGGTCCACAAAGATCTGCTTGTGATCATGGAACATCGCGCACGCAGCTTCAATTTCCGCCAGCGACTCGTCGGTATGCCGCTCGAAATGCCCGTAATATATGAAGTCCAGCACACCACGGACCGCACGGACAACTTCTACGTCGACACCCCCATCCAGCGCACCAAGAAACACCTTCTCCATGTGCTTCTGTTCCTTGCCGGTCCACTGCGTCGTGCCCGAGATGCCTTTGTCGAAATGTCGAAGGTCGTGATGGAGCGGCATGGTAAGGTAGCGCGCGTCCATCTCCCGTCGTTGCGCATGCTCATCCATGTCAGATCGCGGGATGCCGATAGCCAGTGTTGACCACTTCGCAACATGCTCCTTGAAGACGCCTTTGTGGACCTGGTGCAAGAGATCGGGAGTCATGCACGAGAAGATATTCGTATGCGGTAAGTGCTCCCAGAATGGCTTGACGGCGCGGAGGTTGAGCTCCTTGAATTCAGCAGGATTCTCCCCAGCCGCCTTCTGCTCGAGCACGGTCAGCGTCGCAAGCTGATCTCGGAGATGCAAGGGGTCGAGCGGGGGCCCTTTTCCGCGCTCTTTCGGGCCTACCGTGCAACACGGGCAGGTGTTCTCGCGAATACAGCATACTAGACACTGTTCCGGGTAGTCCGCGATGTACGCAGCGAGAATCGGATGAACACGACGCACCCATCCATCCGCACATACCATCTCCACCCCGTTCAGTCCAGCATCGTGGAGCGATTCAAGGAGGTAGGTCATGCACTTGTGGAACAGCCGGTATCCCTCGAGCGACCGGCGCTTCTCGTCGAAGCAGGTGAGCTTCGCGCAGGGCAAATAGCCAATGAGCACGGTCGCGCGCGAGGAAGGCTGACGGCGGATGTTCTTTGCAATGTTGCCAATGGTGAGATACACCGGCCAGGCTTGCTTGTCGCCACTAAACGCCGACAACTGTGTCCTGTCCGACGCAAGAATGACTGGGGAGATTGTGGCGCCGTCCGGAAGTTTGTGCTTGCGTGCAAGGTGAGCCCGAGTTGATATCCGTGTCGTGACAGCTCACCTGCGTGTCGTACCACCAATCCCCTGTCCACATCTCGTCGTACTCACGGTTTACACCATTTCCGTCTTGATCAAGGTCACGGAATACCCGATACGGTGCGTAACCTTGATGTCCGTTGTAGGCAGGATTCCCAAGAAGATCCCGAATGCACTCGACGGGATCGCGCTGCCACAGCTCGATGTCCTCGGTCATTGGGTTGCCGTTTTTGTCCGTGATGTTTCCCTCCACACTCCAGCTTCGACACGACCAAGCCGGTGCTTGCGGGAGCCTGTCAATGAACTGCAGGAAGCTCCGTTTGTTGTGAAACGAGAAGCCCATAGCACGAATCTAGATGATGGTTGGTACGTACTTGGACTTCAAGAAGCACCAGATACGCACCGACTTAAGCTTCAGATACTCGTCAATCTTGCTTTGACTTGCCCCGCTCGTGACGAGCCATTGCAGATGCTCCCACTCCTCCATACTCCTGAACGGTGCGAAAGGCGGGAGCCCACGATCATTCTGCATCGCTCGAAAGCTCTCAAAGGCCGTCCGGCCCATTCGAAGGCGGGTCCCCGCAGCACGAGGATACTTCGTCACAAAGACACGGTGGGTTGCGGTACGGCGATTCTCAGTTCTCGACTCATTGATTGTGGGGCTTGGCTCGGGATGAGGTTCGGGGGATGGCTCGTCGTAGGGCTCAGGAGGGGGCTCGGGATGGGATTGGGAGCTGGCCTCCTCAATGGTGTGCGGTTTGTCTTCGTGCTCGCGAGCGCGGGAAATTGCTGCAGCTTCACGCTCGAGCTTCGTGCGACAAGGCAAGTATTGCGAAAGGTGCGATTTGAGTCCTTGGGAATAATCAAAATTCTGCGAGCAGTACGGGCAGCGATGCGAGGTCATGTCTGGAGAAGTGGTTGCAGGCAGGAATATTCCAGACTTACGACAGGGAAATTGGGGATGGCGCGGCTTTTCCCGCCTTGCAGTCACATGATGTCCATGGAAAAAGAAAATTCGGCCGCGCGTCCTGCCTCTTGCACCCGACCACCACCTGTTAACTTCAGACTCACGTTCATTGCTGTATCTTTTCGTTTCCACCCATTCCTATGCCCTCCGTGGCTTCTAAGCGACCCGCGCTTCGTGGCTTCGCTGACTCGTCCTCCTCAGACGAGTCAATGGAGACGCTCCCTCCTCCCCCAAAACGCAGCAGGCGCGCGCGCCCTGTAGCTGAGGAAGAATCGAGCGAACATGAGGTCGAGTCCCGCCCTCGGTCGGCTCGTCAGCGGCTCACTCGCCGTTGTATGTTTTTCCCATTTTTTCCGTCCTTGTCTGACCCTCCTGTAGCGCACGAAGCTGACACCTCCGTCCGTGCCAAGAAGGACAGGGGCAGGGGGCGAGCACGTCAGCCGCCATCTGGTCAGTACTCATTCTTCCCCTGCATTGCATGTTGCTGACAATATGGAAGATCATGAAGACTGCGATGATGAGGACGAGATGGAGAGCGAAGAGGAGACCACCAAGGCCAGGTCACTCGATAAGTTTGGCTCCTCGGTACGTCGTAGCTACTCACAAGTATTCTCGTATCTTACGCGTGTGTAGGCAGTCTCAGAGTCGCACACGAGACTCAGCATCCGTACAGGCGACCTCGAGAACACGCTCAATACTAGCGGTGGCGCCTCCCGCCAGGACCCGAAGCCCACTCGCATCAGGCGCAAGGATTTGCTGTCCGAGGCCAACGCTACTGCTCCGATCAAGGACAGCAACATGTGGACCAGCGACTCCAACTTCGACCGTCAGCACACCGAATCTGGTCAGCCTTCAGCAACGACAAGCAGCAGCGGTCAAGCTTCGTCATCAACCAACGGCACATCAGCTCAGTCTTCGCCTTCGACCTCGTCATCTTCAACTTCAACCTCGTCTTCTTCGACTTCGGCTTCATCGTCTTCAACTTCGACTTCAGCTTCTTCAACTTCGACCTCGCCTTCTACTGCCAACTCCACATCGTCGGCCGGACCACCCCCTCCCGGTGCACCGACCCCTGGTCCTACACCACCGATCCCACCTTCGGACGTCACTAATGGCCCGATGCCGCTCCAGTACATCCCCGGCTTCGTTCATCGCCCACACTACCGCTACAAGGCCGGAGACCTAGATGGAACATCCAAGCAGGTCATCCTCCGGACGTGCCGCGAGTACGAGGCCCTCATCCTCAGTGTTGATGCCTTCCCGGACAGTGTGAAGCAGCGGGTTTGGCTTCAGCAGTGCTTTGCGGGTGCATGTCGTAGCATGGGCGTCAACTTCGTTTTTGATGACAGGCTCAGAAGCATGGTAAGCCTTGACATGTATGCACACTGTGGCTGCGTATCAATGATCCTGTTTGTAGGTCGTAGGACGTGGCTCTCGCATTCGCGGCGACATGCTCAAGATTGTTCGTGGGAAGGTCGCATCAGAGTACAAGTTCCGCCTCTCGACTCGTCGCATCGCGGTTCGGAAGAATCTTAAGAAGGCCGAGAACCTCAAGAAGGACAATGGTTATCTCTATCAGGTGTGTACTTCTCCACATCTCTCTCGGCTCATCGCTCATTGTAATCCTGCAGAACGACAAGACCCTTGTTGGATATTGTCGCTCGAAGCTTGTCCCTATCATTTTGCAGGAGGCCCTGTTCGGGTCGGACAGCACGTCGTTCGGTGTTGTGTATCGCAGGTACTTCGATCCAATCCCTCTTCCGACACTCGCGCTCGTCTATAGCATGGTGCGTATTCCTTACCCCTCTGTACTCTGCGGGACTGATGTGCTTACAGATAAACCACTGCATCACCGAATGGTCTTCGGGCAATCGTGTCGTCGCGAAGTTCACCGAGGAGGACGTCAAGATCAAGAACTACCAAGCGCACCTCAAGCTCGTCTCGGACTGGTCCTCGGATGAGCCCGGTACGACAAGGAACATGCGCGTGCGTTGGTATCGCAAGATTAGGTAACGAGTTTGCTATGGTTTGGTACTTCCCGCTGACGCATCGATAGGGCTTTGGCAGGCATCGAAGACACGACGCAGCCTACCATCACCGTCTCGGCAGCGGCTCGGATGAAGGCACGCGAGGAGCTCAGCAAGCATACTGGTGATACGAGCACGGACGAGGATGTGGACGACGAGGATGAAGAAGAAGATGAGGGTTCAGCCTAGTACGTACAGTACAATTACACTTACAATCCTGGACTTTCGGCTCGTAGATCTTTGTTCCCTGCCGTTTCCTCATGTTTGGCTTACTGATAGATAGAGTATCGTAGACCTAGCATAACACGTTGCCATAGTCAATTGGTTCAGTATACATGTGTTTTTGTTTCATCGTGCATCTGTGGAAGGCTCGACGAAGCCGCAGTGTGACAGACTGCTACGAGTCGCTGTGAGTTCCATGTTACACAGAATAGTTCACGGTAGGCATGCGGTGCGACCCAGCTCTGTATAGCATTACGACCTTCGTTGTGCTAGATAGCTTAGCATAGTGGCCACACAATCTATCCATATAGCCTGCTGAACTACCGCTGACTACAGTGTACTACAAAGTCAGAGGCATGCACTATCCAACGCCCGATAAAGGGGTACATGTCTATCTGGCAACGCGCACTATCGAGGCCGTCGTAGCGTGAGATAGAGAAGTTATTTTTTCCTGATGGACGGTCAGACCCACATACGTGCTGCGATACCTTCCATCGGCGGCGGAACCAATTCGTTGTTGATGGATCACATCGCGGCCACCATAACCCCGTGCGGAGAACAAGGGCACTCGCCCTCGTGGCTATGCGTCACTTGGCGGTCTCCAACGCCTTCGATACCAGCTTTCCACTCGGATGCCCTCGCAATCTGGGGACCCCGCCAAGTAGCCGCGCTCTGGCGTCCACGGATCATGTCAAGCGACAAGCGCCGAAGCGACACAGCTCTCGCAGCACGAGTAAGCCGCCCTTCATCTCGACTTCTGAATGCTTACAATGCGACCTTAGCGCCAGCCACCTAACGGACGCGCCGGCGTCCTGGAGGCGTGCGATTGCAGATCGAGCCCTGGACTGTCTGTAGACGCGCTGAGTCCTGTCGCCTATCTCGCCCTGTGTCGAGCCACAAAGCATCCTACTCGATGCGTTGACGCGTCGACCGCCGACGGCAAACGATATCGCAGCCGTGTATTGAACTTACCAAGCGCGGATGGACGACCAAATTTGGGCCGCAGACCGTGAACCGTTTCGTGGGAGCGCAGCTATCCTGCGAAAGGCATCATTCGCCCGGGCGCCTCGTGGGCCGGCAGCGGGGAGCGCCCTCGGGCCCCAGCGCGCTGCGCGGCTACACAGACAGTCATCTGCGGCCCCGGGAGCCACCCTGGCGGGGCCCCGGGCTACAGATGCGCGTGGGTCAAGCGACGTATAGTCTTCACCCACCCGCCTGCCCGCCACCCAGCTAGCGCGCGAGCCGGCGACTTCATCAGAGCGTGACTTTGATTTTTCCAGCCGGTCCAGGTAGGCAGCCACGCCCTGATCTCCTGGACGCAGCTCTGACGGAGGCAGACAGCAGCCGTGCGCCTGCGACCCCAAATGCGATGCGCGGATGGGAGGCCGCCTCTTCCCCCGCGGGGTGCCCGTCTACTGCGTCTTCTCCGCCGCCCTATGTTCGCGCGACACCTCAGGAATTGCGCGGACGCGCATCGCTGGAAAGGTCTGGTGCGCCACGCTCCTAGCCGGGGCCCGCTTGAATCGGCAGCGAATGACCAGCACTGCCGCGTTGTCCCGCCCTTCCCGCCCGATGGTAAAACGTGCTACAGGCCGATGGACTCCTGGGATTTGGCGTAATCAGATATGCTCAAGGTCTGCAGCCTCGGTCGCCTCGTGCCTGCAGACCTCGACGATGGAGTCCGGAAGTCTGGCCTCGGCGGGCACGGTCAATCGGCGTATGCGGTCACGGCGGCTCTGATCCTGAGCCTTGGGCTGCGTCGTCAGCTCCCCTCGATGACGGGCTGCTCGGACTTGGGGGCGGCGTACGGACAACATTGTCTGTGTCGCTCATAGGTTCCAAGAGAAAGGGACACCCGGATTTGGAAGGTGGGCCTTCCGCGCGCCAAGTCCGTACTCGCGGCCAGCGCATTCGCCGTCCCAAAGACGCCGCGGCATCGCCGCGTTCGGTAAAGTGCCGCACGTAGCACGATGTGCCACCGAGTCTCAGTCCAGGCTGCTGGGTCCGCGCAAACCGAGAGTTCGCTTCTGTACTCAGAGAAGGCGCGTGTCCCCTCTCTTCCCTCTTGAGTCCCGCGGGCCTGAGTTCTAATGAGCTTCTCAGAAGGCGCGGCGTCCTGGTCGCGACTGCGGTCGTGCGCGCAATGGGGGGCGCTTCTCGTCCAGACGCACGTCGGGGCAAGGATGAAGGCCGTAGACGTGCCGAATGGCATCGCTCGGCGAGCGGGGCGTGGGGAAGGGCGCACAAGACGCGGGCGATACTTGCGATTAACCTGCACCGCGCAATGAAACCCGACCAGGCCGTCACTGTAGGCGCAGGGCGGGCGTACGGCCACCCATGCATTCCCTCGTGATGGGGTCTCGCGAGCGCATCAGGACAGCCGTCTGCCAGCCGCTCGCGCAAAATTATGCGGGAAGGTGCGCATCGCACCCTGTTACTGCTAACCAGAAGGGAGGGGGAGGCGCTTCCCTTCTCAAAAATTGTGCAACATTGCCCCTGGATAGAGAACTCGTACATCGTCGTCACTTCGCTCACAATTTGTAGACGTATCCATCCGGCCGCCCTCGATAATTTGCGCGCTTAGGGCGTCAGACCAGCGAGCCGCCATAGCGGCATTGTCAAGCTCGATGGGCCGGAGGAAGAGGCCCATGCGGGGTGGCAAACTGTGGGACCATCAATGACCATCACCCCAATTTGCTTCCGTCAAGCTTTCCATCCGCGCACGTGAAGTGCCTGAACGTGTTATTTTGATCGGTGTTCAACTCTTCAAGGAGAAAGGACGCAGAAGGGAAAGGATCTCGGGCCCTTTCCGACCAAGCCCGTTCTGGTGCCGGGAAGTATGACGCATCCCTCGGGCCCTCTTGGCTCGCTCCTGCGCTTTTTGATGCAACATGTGCCCCGTCGACCGCGCACAAAGGCTGTGTACCGCCAGTATGAAGAGGCCCCCGAGTTTTTACTTATCGTGATGTCGATGATGTGCGACTTCTGACCGGAGGCGTGGTGATGAGATACGCCGGGCTCCAGGCGCAAGGCGTGCCGACTTTATTCGTCCGGGGATAACTCGACGGTTGATCGAAATCTGCGATGCTTCCGGCCGATGTGTGTTCGATTGGGGATTAGTCCACAACACCAGGCGCTTCGGGGACGGGACCCTGGTATATAATGAAACGACGAAGTCACGCCCATTTCTGCCACCCAGACCTCCCGTCCTCGAACATGGCCTCCAGCCACCACCATTCCTCGTCCTCCGTAGATCGTCCCGAGCGCAGCCGTAATGCCAAGGCGCAGGCCAGGCATCGTGCGAAGCGCAAAGCTTACATTGAGCAGGTACGTACTACCGCTGATACGGTCTTCTATGTTCTCACCGGCGCGATGTATAGCTCGAGCAGACCGTCGCGAAGCTTCAGCTCGCCTTAGGCCTGCCCAGCGAGCAGCTATCGGTCCTCCCACCGCCATCCATCCGCATTCGCGAGCTGGAGCAAGAGAATGCACGCCTCGAGCAAGAAAACGAAGAGCTGCGACAAGCGCTCGCAGGGCAAAATGGGAACAGCGCCGACGAGATGCCCAGTCGCTCTGGGCTCACCGGCTTCGCGTCGACCCGGGACTCGCGCAGGAGACGAGGTGAAGACTACCTGGTGCGTGACTGCGTCGCCTACTTCCTGGCGCCTATCTGACAAGCGCTGTACTAGGTTCCCTCCATCGACCTCGGAGGCCCTCTGGATCGCATGACTCCCCCCAGCCTCTCCATTCCGAGCAGCGGAAACCTGAGTCAGCAGTACAGCCCCCACCCGCTGTCTACCCATGCGTCGTCGGCGTCGTCGAGCGGGTACAGCCTCTCGTCCGTCTCTCAGAATCCGTCGCCCTTCCATCACACGATGCCGCCGACCCCGTCCAGCGGGTCGTCAAGCCCTTCATTCTCGGCAAGTTCCTCCATGGCACCGTGGGCTTCGATCTTGAATAACAATTAACGCAGTCCGCGCACCTGCACTCGCACTCTCAATCCCCCGTCAGCACGCGTTCACCTATTCTGGCGCACCCGCCCTCCGGCTTCTCGTCCTCCCACTACTCTACATCGCAACAAATCAAGGTCGAGGAGGACGCCTACCTGGTGAGTGTGCCCGCCGCCCCTCCCGCGCCCTCCGCTCATGCCCGCCTCTCAGGCCTCAAACCAATCTTCATCCCAGTCCGCATCGTTTCCCCTGTCTTCGTACTCCCATGCGGCTGACCTGGGCACGGAAGGTTGGCACTACCCTTCGGAGAGCCGGCCCTTTGCCTCGGACAGCAGCCAGCACTATTCCGAGAACCGACCTTACGCCTCGGCGGAGAGCCGCTATATGTCGGACCGGCACCCTCTGCATCGATGATGGACGGACCGTTCGCGGGGTCCTGCATATCGCTGCACGCATACTAGACCGTAAGCGCGAGACGCTGCGCCGTATGGACCTTTAGACGCGCCGCGCGACGCACCGCGCTCCCCTTCGCATATACCGACAGACATCGCTTTCCCCGCCCGTGCCTATATCCTCGTGCTGTTCATCCCGCCTGTAGAAGCAAGTTCACAATTGTTCTCATACCGTTCCGCTATCGTTGCTACCGTGTTCTAGTATATCTATACCGGCCTCGTCTTGCTGCACTTGTTCTCCCTACTTTGCTAACCCAGAAGTGTACAATCAAGTCGAATGTATGAGCGTTGTATATCATGCTGCTGTCCTTCTCGACTCTAGTCCCTCTGCTAGTTGTGCCTCGGAAGCCAGAGTGACGTGCGCGATGGAAGCCACGATAATGGAAGGATATATTGGCCATGCAATGGTCCACTAGCGCAAGAAGGTCCTCGATACCCACGATAATCGCGCTCGCACGTCTCCCCTCCGTGAACCACCGAAGCGCAGCGCCAACGCAGCCCGAGTCTTGCTAAGACACAGAAAGCAAGTATAGATAGTTATATAACTCCCGCAACGCGTGCTATCGACATGAAAGCCTTGCGTAACCAGACATTGCGCGCCCATATCATCAAACTCTTCGACGCTGCCGGCATTGACGTGTTCTGCCAGATCCCAGCGTCGGTGCCGCGCGATACGTCCGCCGCCATACAGACGTTGAGACACCGACGTGCGTAAGAAGTCGCCGACGCTGGAAGAATGCCGGTGTGGAGGCATGCCGGCACGGTGGCGGGTGGCATGAGGGTGGGTGACCTGGATCAGGTCCTCGTAACGGCATGCGTAGCTGCAGCTTGACGCCGCCGATGACGACTGCCAACTGGTGTTAACCCGGCGGTGGGGCAGTCCCGCGGCACATCTCTGGCAGACTGTCAGTCGGGAGAACGAGGGAACATCGGCTTTCGAGTCGGTGGCTGCGGAATGCAGGTGAGACGTGCCTTCTGATTGCAAAGGTAAATCTCAACTGTGAACAAAGAAAGCAAGGGGTCTTACGTTCCCCGCTCAAGGGCCTTCTAGCGAAGGGTCTTCATTCTCGCAGCGCCCACAAAGGCTTGACAGGGTCCTGCCACCAACCCGCATATTTATCAAGGCCACTACCTGCCACCCGTGATGCGCTTCCAACCTGCCTTCTACTCGCCAGTCAGGAGATCGAAGTCGAGGACGCCATGAACAAGTCCAGATTCAGGCGCAGTCGCGCGCACTCGACAGCCCATATCAGTCCCGGTAAACGTGCAGCATTGGCCAGCCTATTCGAGACCTGTCTCCAGTCACGCGCCGCTGCCACCGCCAGCGCGCCTACACTCGCCAAGCCCTGGAACGCGCCCGACGCCCCTCACTTGGCCAGCGAGAATCGTCCCCCAGCATTTGGCGCGCCGTCGCGGAAGGGAGGTCATGGACATAATAAAGCGGCTCCGCGGCCGACCGAGGAATCACGAGCGACTCCGTCGCACGCTCGAGCGTCTAAGTCAACGCCACCACTGGCGAAGTCACTCAAGGCGGCGGGCGTGCACATTCTGGCCGCGACTGCGAATCTGCGAGGTGCGTTGATCCCCGTCTTGAGCTGCTTCCAGCTAGCTTAGTTTCGCGTGTCATGAGCGGCGGTGGAATGGAGTTGGGGATTGGACGAGACTCGGTTTCACAACTGTTGCTTACAAAAGCTGCATAGAGCTCAGCGACGAGCGCGAGAGATATTCGGGCACATACCTGACTATCGGAAGCATAGCGGACTGCATCACAATTGCGAAGAAAGAGATTGTCGATAATGCGAGCAAATTGTGTACAGCCCAGGAACAAGGTAAGGCGGGAGACAGAGGAAGTCAGCAGGCGAACTCTGCCAGTTTGGTCCTGGAGCACGTCGAGTATCGCGACATAGGCCTTCTCTACCTCGTCCAGAACGCAGTAGCGGAGACTATGGAAGGGAGGTCAGTACCCCGGTCACGCACTACGCCTCGCTCTAGTTCTGATGGTACTTGCTTACCAGCGGAGATTGCCTGCTCGAGGACATGGTAACCCTCAAAACCGAGACTATGACACGACTTGTAAGTGCCATCCGTGCCATCCGACTGCCCGTAGAAAACGCTCACCCCAGATCGGCAGACCGCTGAGTTGGGCCGTTCGGTCGTCGACTTCTGTCCTGGAACACATTTCACCTTCATGAACCCGGCCATGCTCGTGCCTCCTGCTTCCGGTCAACACTCGCAGCTCGCTCGTGCCCATGTGCCGCGCCTTGTTCATCTCTCGCAAAGACTTCTGGAAGGTTATAGTCAGCTGCAGGGTAGCGGTCGCAGAGACGTAGTATTGAGCGTGCGTTCACGTCTTGGGATTAGCGTAAATCAGCAAGCTGACTTACATGAACTCCAGCTCCCCGCGACCGCAGCAGGTCTGCAGGCCGCGCGCCAATTGACGACCATAAACAACCGGATACGTATCTGTCTCACGCACGTCGTCAGCGCCGCGCACGCGACGCTCTGCGTGGGGCCAGGCGCGGCATGTCTGTCCGTCCCTGTGGGTCCGGTGAGCCCCCTCTCACCGCGTTCAAGGGTGGAAACATACTGAATGGTGGCCTCACGACGGCTTCGGCTAGGTCATGGCGTGGCACAGGACCCAAGCGCGCCTTTACGCCGGAATCCGCGCTGAGAATGCCTTCGCGCGCGGTGTGGAGGCAATCCAAGCGATCATTCGTTATTGCCATACCGCCCTACCCAGGATCGACGTGATTGGGACGGAGTTTGGCAATGTGAGCGCCCTATCCTACGGTAGCGTGTTCTTGACCTCTTTCCTCTCCCCATCCAGCACTACCAGCTCGCGGCGCTCTGGGAGTTCGACGCGGTGGCATTGACTCACGACCAACTGCAAGCGCTCCCGCTGCTCAAGCAGAAGCTGGGCCCCGCGAGTGACCGCAGTTCGTATGCGGTGTCGAAGGCTAAAGAGGCCGATAGAGTGAGCTCCGCCGTGAGGGAGCGCCCGCTGGACACGCTCCCCGTCGCCGATGTCTCCGCACTCGCGTCCATCACCCAGAGAGCCATTGCGAGGATGAACCGGGACATGGAAAAGGTCGAGAGAGTTCTGACCGCAGACATCGCAAAGGCGTTGAGGGCGGAGGCCGAACGACGGGAGACGGAGCTAGATTGGTGGGACGTTGACGGGGACTGCTGGGCGGTGATTGATGCTGCGCGCCGTGCGGGAACGGATGCTACTGGCCCGGTCGTCGTCATTCACGACGATGACGTGGGGGACGACCAAGACAACGCCGCAAACGAGGTGAACACCGTGGCATTCCCGGATTCAAGCGCACGAGAGGAGACGGAGGTCGAATTTTTCTGATTCTACGGTTTAATTATGAGGGCTGTTATTCGCGTGTACAAGTGTACTCACTGATGCATTGACCGCTCGAGCGCGCCGTCAGATACCGCTCTTCTATGTCACCCTAGCGAAGGACCGACGACAGTCCGCCTCGTGTTGAGAACGACTCTGGGAAGTCCATTCAATGTGATACGCATCCCGTCGTTCGATGAGCCCTTTCCAGGCGGGGATACGGAGGGTCCGCCTCCAAACGCAGCATCCCCGTCAGCCTTTAACAACACGTTGAGAACGTCATGCGACACACCATACAGCTACCCATTGACTGAAGATCTGCTTGGAGATAACCTTGTCCCGGACATAGAAGTCCACAGTGGATGGCCAGCTGAGAGGCACCATAGACGATCATCGATGCGATACCGACAGGCCCTGCAGCCCTGCGCAGTACAGTAAGCCACCAATACTCAGTGAATCAGCGGCGTACCACGGAAGGAACTCGATAGTCGACAGTAGGGCGTCGGCGAGGATACTCCTCAGTAGGCGTGGCGGTAGCTACCCATAGTCTGGCGCATCATAGAACTATGTCGAGCGCGCCTTGGCTTCCATAGGCGAAGCTCCATTGGGCACGCGAGCGCCCACCATACAGTCAGTCGCCCGGCAGTCGCACACTATGCGAAGTCGCGCTACTTCTTGATCCCTCTCACGAGCGCCGCTTCGTGTTCAGCTCGTGCGGGGGCCTATATCTGGGCGAGTTGATGAGCTTTGACAAGCCCGAATGCGATAGCAGGAGGAACTCACCTCAATTTCCGCCGACGTCCCGTCCGCACTACAAGGGAGACGAACGGAGCAAATAAATTATAATAGACTTAGCTATAGGCTGCAGATATCTAGCCACTAGGGATACACGTGAACTGCGCCACCACCCCTAAGGCGCATTAACATACCAACATTCGGCCACTGCTAAGCACAGCAGCTGCCGCCCGCCCTGCCCTTGTCGCCTGTCCGTCCTACCGTCTCATCCGCTCATCTTCGTCCTCCTCCCTCTCCAGAACCTCAAACTCCTCAGCGTCCGCGATCGTATACCGCCCTCCCCTCGCATCCACATCATCCTGGTATCGCGGCGGCCCGCTCTCCTCATCCGCCAACGGCTCATACGGCAAGTCCTTCCGGCTCCCATTTCGGCTGAAAAGACCGCCTAACCAGCTTCCCTCCGACCGGCTCGTCGTCCGCATATGCGTCGCCAAGGGCGCGGCGGGCGGATACGTTGGCAAGAAAGCCGCGCGCTCCTCCCGTGCGCCACCGAGGTGAATATCATCCGAAGCCTCCCCGAAGACGGCGTCCATCTCCTCGAGGGCAACACCTTTAGTTTCGGGGTACACTGAAGAAAGCGTGAGTCAGATATCCACGGAGGATTTGTCAGACGCGGGTGATGAACGACGAAGGATAGAGCTGATTAGCGAAGGGAAATGAGGATGATAAATCAATAAGTCGGGCATGACGAACGACGGTCATGAAGGGACAATGAGGTCTGATGAACGAATGCCCTGTAACGAATGAAGACGGAGATCCGAGCCCACTTACAGAAATACACCAATATGAAACTGCACGCGCAGAAGAACGCGTGCATGAAGTACACCCGCCATGTAATGACTTCTTGCAAATAGGGCGTTGTCTCGCCCACGACGAAGTTGAACCTAGAATCGAGCGTCAGAGGCTTGACTGAAGCTGGATGACATCCGAAATTACTTACGCCCAGTTTGTCGCCGTCGAGATCGATACACCCTTCGCGCGGAAGGTCAGCGGCATGATCTACCACATCATCAGCGCCTTGTAAGATTGCCGCCAAATACGAACGAACGCACCTCAGGCGGGTAAAGCCATGGAATCGGCCCCCAGCTGCGCAAGCCTTTAGCACCAAACCTTCCCAGACGCGTCAACGTAGCCCACCTGTAGCCGAACGCCGCATTGAATATAATCACACATGCCACAACCGCGTTTGGCGTGCCTGCGACGTCGAGGTACAGCCAGTATCCGGTCGCGCCCAAGGCGATGCACATCTGTGAAACCATCAGTCAACGCATAAGCGACATTGTATCGCTGCCCGAGCTTACCACGGCGGCACCAGACATCAGTATCGGGCGCCGACCCCAGCGGTCGACGAGGATCCATCTGTAGGGCGGATGAGTTTGAGTAGTTCGCCTTACAAAGACAAGGTGTTGCTCAGACTCACGGAGGCAGAGTGCTGAGAAGGTAGACAATGGCGTTAATGCCTGTCATCAGGATCGCCTGGCGCCCAAGCCAGCCCGCCTCTTGGAAGAAGAGTCACATCAAAGCTGCTGCCGCACTTGCGAAGATAACACACCTTCAAAGACGCGGGCTGTAAAAGAATCAGCGTGGTCCTCTGGGCGCAGAAAGCCACTACTTACGAGCATAGTACGATATCACTAGTCATCGTCAGCCCAGACAAACTCAACCCCACGAAAGCAATGGCGTACCGTTAATGCCGTTCTGCAGGTCTCGTCAGCCAAGAACATCAAGGAAGGGTATACCGAATACCGACCAACTGCGCAAAAGCCTGCGAAGACATGGCCAGGATAACTCGCCGCTTATACTTCTTCCACATGACGCCGTACGACCTTCCTTCGCCAGCCTCGCGCTGTAAGGGGGTGGTCAGCACATGCGCGATGTCTTCCCGCAGAGCATCCAGGCCTAGCGGGACGCTTGTAGGGACTGCAGAATTTCGGACGACCTTGCGAGCCGCCTGCACCCCACCGAAGGGAACCCGTCGCGTCCGTCGGATGCAAGCCACCCACGCATCCTACGCAGCGCAGACTCGTGGCTTCTCCCGAAAGCGAGCCTGCCCCTTGCGCCAGACGCGGGTACGACCCCGTCGGTCCCGTCGACGCAGAACCTGTCCCTCCCACCGGACACCTGTCCCTTGTACCAGACACCCGCCCCGTACCACCCGCAGAAGCCCTCCTCACCTCGAACATGACCTTGTCCTTGATCTCGCGGAACTCCGCCTTCGCCTCAATGTTGTCGAGGTTGCCACCGTGCAGGTCGGCGATGATCCGCATGCCTTCTTCGTCCTTGTCCGTGTCGATGAGCCACCTGGGAACCTTGTTAGCCTCGTCGTCGAGTTTGGGTGACTACATTGGGAAAGTTGGCAATGAAGTGTTGGGATTCGTCAGTCCTCAAAGACTTCCTCAACTTCCGAATGAAGCACTTCGCGTCCGAACGAAGCCCTGCACCTCCATATGAACTTCTCCGGAAGCCCGCCTCAGAACGAGGGTGCGCCGACTACACGCAGGGTACGAGGACCATACGCATGGGCTGACGATCGCACAGGGTCCGACGACGATACGCAGGGTTTGCGGTCCAGCGGAAAGTACGCCCTCCTTCCTTTTACAACTACACTTACCTCGGACTCTCGGGCATGACCAGCGATCCAGCGGCTAAGATCGCGCCAATAACACATTGAATGAACAATGGTATCCGCCACGCCATATCGCTGTCGATGAACGAGCAGAAGTAGTCCGTCCACTGCAACAGAAGCGTCAGCCATGTTCTTGAAACGGATGAGGCAGTAAGGTTTGGGCAACAGAAGCCTCCGCGAGGTTCGTCCGCACAAGACGCCCTCGTGCGCTTCTCTAGACACAGGTACGCTTCATGAGTATATGCGCCCCGAGGGGTGCGTATCCTGATGAAGGAAGATCGCAAAGAAACATGAAAGAAGATCACGGGGACCCACGAAGGAAGACGGCGAAGACGGAGGACGGGAGATCACGAACCACCGAGAACGCGTAGCCGAAGATGTTGCCCGTAAATTCGGCACATGCGAGGGCGCCTCTCTGCGTGTTCCATCAGAATGGCAGGGCTTCCCGTATAAGAACGCGCATACATGGTTGGGGGGCGAGACCTCGCTCTGGTAGATCGGGACGATGGTGGAGAGCAGGCCGACGCCGAAGCCGCTTATTATGCGCCCTATGACCATGACGACGAAGCCGGTGGTGAAGGTTTGGACAGCGCCCCCAAGTGTGAAGACGAGCGCGCCGATGAATAGCGTGCCCTTCCTGCCGATCACGTCCCCAACGCGGCCAGCGGCTACGGACGTTACTGGAGGAAGCCTGTGAGCTGCGCGCAAGGGGGAAGAAGACGAGCACGCACTGAACGCGCCAATTTCGAGCGTGGCGACCATGCTTCCCGTCTCCAGCGCCGTAGGCTGCTGGAAGAAGCTAATGAAGTGCGGGCCGGTGATGACCCCAGACATAACTCTGGGCACGACGCGTCGTTCAGTCTTGCGCTCCTTTGCGAGCGCGGTCAGCGTACCCTTGATCATAGCCAAACTGCGAACATAGTCAGCGTTCCGGACGTTGGGGAACGGGTACGAGACGTACAAGGAAGACGCCTAGAGAGGCGAAGATAGATATTGCATACAGCAGCGGCTGCCCGACCAGCCGTCTGCGGGGGCTGGGGGACATCTTGGGTGTCGTCGGCGACGGCGACGACGACGAGTACAATGACGAGCCCGACGATGACGATGCGGAGAAATTACCCCGCCATCAAGCGCCCACGTGGCGGGATCAATTATTGGACCCACAACGTTGACTCCGGAGGCTTTCAACATGTCCTGGTCTGTTTCTGCGCAGATACGCTGGAACACTGGGTCGTAAGGGAGAAGATCACGGTATAATGAGACCATGAAGGTAAGCAAAAAGTGGTTCAGCCCGGGATCGAACCGGGAACCTTTCGTGGACATTTGCATGTGAGACGAAAATCATAACCATTAGACCACTGAACCGACGCCTGGATAGGTTTGTGAGCAACTGCTGATGCCCGCTACACTTCACTTGAGCCTTCATGGGCTTTGACGCTGTATCAAGGAAGATATACGGCTGATCTTGATTACATATATCAACTAGTCACAAGCCGAGATCGGTTACAACAAGAAGATATATCTGAGACGAGCATTATCGGGTACATACATGGGTGCACTATTCTCGAGCTCCATGGCCCTGACACGGATACTTATTCTGCATGCGTCTCTCAGGACCATCAACTACGCCATGTTCACCACCATCTACTCACCATAGAACGCGCTCGAATACGTCGTACGCCCGAAAATATCCATCCAGCGCGAGGCGTTCTCTTTGACACGATTCATCGAGTGCCGCATTCTTTCGGTATTAGCGACTATGTCAGCCATAAGCTCCTCACGATATCGAGCCTTCCACTCATCGCGGCTACCAGTCAGTTCCCCTGAACTCGGAGGGTGATCCTGAACGTCGAGAGGTGACGGTGAGAAAGGGGACGTGACGCAGGAGGAAGACGATGCAACTCGCTGGGGGGAGTTCGACGTGCTAGAATCAGACGCACTCGACGCTGCTGGCTGGCACGCGTTCGACACGCGGTTCCGCCCAGAGTAGATGCTCGCGTCTTTGGTCGTCATCTCAGCAAGAAAGGGTTCTTTCGGTGTGCCCAGGCTCGACGAGGAAGAGCAGGAATCAAGATTATCGGACTCGGCCGCAGGGTCCTGTTCGCTCCTGACGGCCGGAGCATTACTGCTGGACGGCGCGCCATCAGAAAAATCGCTCGTCGAGCTCCTGAACGACGACCACAGAGAAGGCACGCGCTTGGGAGGCTCCTTTCCCAGGACCCTCTTCAAGCGATCCTGGATGGATTCCCGATGGCGTGCCGGGGCTTCGCTCAGGTTGCTGGAATGTGCTGGCTCTGTATCGTCAGGCTGTTCCAAGGCGCAGAAAGGCAGCTCGTGCAGAAAGTCAATCGTCGAAACCAGCTCGCGGGTGACGCGCGAAGGCTCGGGGGCGGTGTGAAGCGCCATAGGCTCGTACGTCGCTTCGATCATGGGAGTAGCACCTAGCGGTGCCGGCCGATCCCCGATGTCCGGCGATGCATCCTCGACGGTCAACGATGCATCCTCAACGTTCGATTCCGGCATGACGCGTATGGACGCTGGCACCCTCTGCAAGTTGTCCGCTGCGTCAACGCGATCGCTACTGCCCGAGCGCTCTGGGGTGTTGACAGTCGCGACCTTGGGCAAGCCGGGGCGCGCTGAGTCCGCCCGCCCAGCCAGACCAAGCTCGCACGCAACTGCAGCGCGCTCGGTGGCTGAGGCAATACTGTCCAGCTTCTCGCGCGCAAGCTGGCGAAGGTCTACGAATGACCACCTATCGGCCAGACGGAGGACGGAGAGCCATTCGTCTGCGGTGGATATGTCGAGTTCGCCGAGTTTGCTGTGGATTTATGAGCGTCGTATTCCCAGTAATGGAGAATAAATAGAACGCGCGAGCCTGACAAAAACGAACGCGGAGCCTGAGGAGGACCATAGACTCACGACGGATAGATCAAGGAGAGCAAGCGGTCAAAGTCTCGCCCTTCAATGCTCCTGAGGCGTACAAAGCTTGATGAGGCAGGACTGGAGAGATACTCGGCCGCGAATGCCGAAGAGTACTGAGTGAAGAAGTGCCGATGGACGCGATAAAGCGTCCCGTCGTCCAGCTGGGCGTCGCAATTAGATGGTTAGCGAGCTCCTACACTAACGAGCTGAAGGATAGCTGGAGCACGCCCACCTCAATATCAAGGTTGCCATCAGCGAGAAAGTATCTGACATGGGTCTTCAAGTACCGTGAACCCGTCCGACGTATTATTATGGTAGACGAGGGATGTGCACTGGTTGTTGGGTGTTGAGATCCTACAGGTAATATAGCGGAGCGGTTTGGGTTGATGACGGTCATGGCGGGCGGAGGCAAGAGGCAAGATGGTGGAGTAAGACAACGTGCGTTGTAGACGATTGCCATGCGGTGCAAAGAAGGTGGCGTCTGATGCTTGCGGATGTAAATGACAAGAGGAAGCGCTCCAACAAGGCGTGATAGCTCAGTTGGGAGAGCAGCAGACTGAAGTTCTGAAGGTCCCGCGTTCAATCCGCGGTCATGCCACTGAAATACATGCGTACGAGATCTTTTTGCCATCGGCCTATTGTGCCTTCTCAAAACGGGAGATTTGAACATAAAGTGGGTTATATCCCCCACAGTCTTTCCTAGGCTCTTAGCTCTGAATGTTGAACCGTGCGAATCCAAGCGGCATTTGCCGCACCACTCGATCGCGTGACTGGCGCGTCTCGTCCTCGAGTCCGAACGCGTCAGGCGATCTTCTGTCTCTCGCGCTCACGGTCATGGTTCTGAGCAGGACGTCCTCCGTCATGTCGCTCTCGAGCGTCTCCAGCTTTGACACATCCTTCTCCACTACCGGTATCAGCGCTACACCGACCACCGACCATCCGCTCTACTACTTGACGGACGGCAATCTCAAGCTTCAGGTACGTCCAGCGCGCCGAGCAAGATTGTGGTGGGTCAACTCACCATGTGGATAGCTAGACGATAGAACGGTATACAATGTCCATCGCTACTTCTTCAACGCGTACTCGAGCAGGTCGGCCGAGGAGTATCCTGAAGTTGACGACATACACCTGGTCGACGACGAGGAACCCGTGAGCAGGCTCCTCGATGTCAGTCGGGAGGACTTCGACCGCTTCCTATCCTTGATCTATCCATCGTATGTACTCTCTTCGCCCCCCTTCGCAACTCATACAATCACGCGATGTCAGCGCAATCGGCGTCCGCGACATCTACACCGCCGACGAATGGCTCTCCGTCCTTCGTCTCGCCACCCGATGGTCCTTCGACGAGCTACGTGCCCTCGCCATCCGTGAACTCGAACCCATCGCATCCGCGGTCGACAAGATCGTCACCGCGCGCGAGCTGGGCAAGCCGGAATGGCTCCTGCCCGCGCTCGTTGACGTATGCATGGCACCGAAGTGGATGGGCTTGGAAGATGCAGAGAGATTGGGAATGAAGACGGTCGTCGAGATTGGCCGCATCCGGGAGGAAATGCGGGAGGCTGGGGACTGGGATGGCGAGGATGTGGCGCGGGCGATGAAGAGGGCGGAGCTGGGTGCGCGAGGGCAAGGAGACGATGCGTCTGATGTAAACCTAGTCCAAGAGGTCATAAGCGACGAGGACGATGTCGAGCCTCAAGAAGCCGAAGCTAGAAGGTCCGAGGCGCCTTCATCTCCCAAGAAGACATTCGATGATCCTTCTGCCGACTCGCAAACTCCAGCCGCGCCATATTTCACACACAAAGACGTGTCCGTCTCTACTTCGCCTGTCATCGAGCACTGCATCGCTACTATCTCCCGAGATGCTTCGACGTCTACGTCTGAGGACGGCTCCGATATGATAACTCGCGCTGTCACCCGCGACGCTGGCGACGTTGCCTTCCATAACGCCAGCGCTCGCGGTGCAATTGACGTCGCCGCCGCTGACGCCGCATCCGTCACAGCCGAAGACGAAGGCAAGTCCATTGCCACCGAAGACGAAGAGATCCACGAGGCCCTACTAGTCTCCGCTGCACCGCTACATGTGCTGGAGACCGCGTCCTCTGCGTGCGATGCTACTGCCACGCCACGCGATGCTGCTGCCACCCCGGACGACGCCGCAAACCCGAATGACACCCCTGCGGCTATGCCTGAGCCTCCCCCTGAGACCCTTGAAGTCGCGCAGGAAGCCCTCGCGTCTGCAGAGCGCGGCGAAAAGCCCGACGCGCCCGCGGGAGGGCTTGACACTCTTGTTGACAGTGCCTCGAAGCTCGACGCACCCACCGGCGAGCTATCCGCACTCACGGAGGAGCTCGCCGCGCCTGAGGACCCCGCATACCCCAGCCGACGCCTCGACCACCTTCACCGCCGTCATCTCCGCTCTGCAGGAGGGCTCGACGGCGGAGGAGTGGAGGATGCGGTCGACTCCGTCGACCCAGGTGCAGACCATAGCCCAGGCGAACGTGATGCCCGCGGTTGTGGAACCCAGTCCGTCCTCCTCTCTGTCGAAGGGCGAGTCGTCCCAGGCGTCCAGTTCGATGGCGAAGGCCCCTCCCTTAGCGAAGCCTGTGCCTGCGACGCCAACGCCCTCGTCAACGACGCCCACACTTGCGATGCCCGGTCGCAAACGGCAGGCCTCTTACTCTACTTGTACCTCCGCTATGGATGGCCAGGAGCCTCCCACGAAGCCTCTCGTCCAAGCGCATGCCAAGGTTGCAGTAGCACCCAAGCCTGCATCGCCACCGCCTTGCCCAAAGTCACGCTCTCGCAGTCCTGGCACCTCCGCTGCTGCGGCTTCTTCCAATCTTCTGCACAAGAAAGCTTTCGAGAAGGAGGCGAAGACTGCTCGGGTCAATGACCCGAAGGCCTCGCCGTACTCTGGAGTGCCCTTCACTGACATGGGTCCGCGATCTGCACAGCGGTCTACTCGGACAAGCGTTGATCATGACCCTATCGTAGTTGACGAATCCCGAGTGTCGCCGTCGAAGAAGCCGGCGAAGGAACAGCGCGCAGCTACTAGGCCTTCGCTTTCCACCAAAGCGCCAGCGCTGGCACCTGTCCCGGGAAAGCCAGCTACGCCAGTGAAGCCAGTCCAGGCGCCCGCTCTGGTGAAGTCAGCCTCTGCTTCACCACCACCTCCCCCGCGCTACCCAGCTCAATCGCCGGCCCAACCTTCGTGGATTCCCGCTCAGTCGTCCGCTCGCAAGCATACATACTGGGCGGATGAACTCAAACCTGGGGACAAACCTCCTCCGGAGAAGGTTACTACGCCTTGGAACGCGCCCAACACAACCTCGCCCTCTCGGCGGTACTCCACCCACGACGACTATGGCGCATACGGATACTCGTCATCGCGCGGCGGATGGGACGAGGACGGGTGGAATCTTGGCGCCACCGCATCCAGGACCAGCAAGTCCACCCAGTCTTCTTTAGGGCCCTCGCGCCGCAAGACGTCAGAGCATTCCTCCGCGTCCCGGTCCTCATATAGCTACTTCGGAGCTCCCCGGTTCCAGAGGCTGTCGAAGGAGGAGGTGAAGGAGCAGCAGAAAAAGAATCCGATGTTCGGCATTTTTGCGACCTTTGACGACTAGCGTGCATCTGAGTACACCCTGCCCACCTCTCTGGAGCTCTGTGTGCAGACAATCTTGCAATCAATTGAACGAAGGAGCTTTGCACTAAGTCTTGATAGTTGACCTGTGCTTGCGAGTAGGGTAGCCGGACCGACTGTAATCACGGCTCTCAATCCTCGTTCGGTAGAGTATATATACGTAGTAGTAATCTATATAAATCTGCACAATTTTGCTATCGTTGGCTCGAGGCGTGTAAAAGTTTCACAAAAAGAGCTGAACTGCGTTTCGATAACAACAAGTCGAACAAAGGCCGGCAAACGCCGGTGCTGCGCTCACGTGAGAGGTCGTGACGAGGCGCGTCACACGCGACGCGGCGCTTGCGACCCGCCACCGTCCCTTTCTTTCTTCCCACTGCTATGGTCCTTATACGGGCCCCTTCCGTGGAATCGCTCTCGACTGTCTCCAGCATACGCACCGAGATGTCTGACGAGTCTCCCTCTGCTACTATGGCCAACACGACGACGAAGCAGCATGCCAAGTACTATCTGAAAGACGGCAACGTCGAGTTCGAGGTGCGTCATGGGTGGCTTGAGTGTGAACTGTGGCTTATCGGCGCATTTCTTGCATAGCTGGACGACGGGACGCTATATAACGTGCACCGGCACTTCTTTGAGACCTACTCGACGAAGTTCGCGGAGGAGTTCTTGTCAAGTGGCGCCACCGAGGGCCGTGTGAAGTTGCCGGGCGTCTCTGGACGCGACTTCGATAGGCTCCTTTCGTTGATCTATCCTAGGTGCGTGTTCGATCCCTCTTTCTGATGAACCTCCACTAAATGTACACAGCGCAATCGGCGTCCGCGACATCAAGACCGCCGACGAGTGGCTTTCCGTCCTCCGCCTTGCAACCAAGTGGTCCTTCATGCCCCTGCGCGACCTAGCCTTCGCCGAGTTCACCCCCATCGCCTCCCCGATCGACAACATCGTCGCCGCGCGTGAGCTGGACAAGCCCGAGTGTCTCCTCCCCGCGCTCGTCAAGGTCTGTGCGGCGCCCATGTGGCTGACCCTCGAGGAGGCCGAGCGCCTTGGGATGAAGACCGTCGTCGAGATAGGCCGCCTCCGCGAGGAGATGCGGAAGGGGCCCGTTGATGTCCGTCGTGCACTCGTTGACGCGGGGTTAGCGCCGCGCTCGGAGGGTGACGCCACCCAGGCGGAGAACGCTGCTGGCAGGCACGGTCGCAACGGTCCGACCTCTCTCGAGTCGTTCCTCTCTGTCCCCACGCATACGGATCCTCCTTCGTACAACAGCCCTGGTCCTCGCTATGGACGTGTTGTGCCCGATGTTTCGGAGTTTAACCCGCCTCCGACGCCTCCTGATATGTACGAGGAGTTCCCGTCCGCGCCTTCGAGGACTTCGGTGCGGACCTACTCGACATTCGGCAGGCCGCCTACCCCTGCGCCGCCCCCTGCGCACAATACAGCGCCGCGCACCGCTGCTGGAGAAGCGCCTCGTATGACTGCTGCGGACCTTCGTCAACTCTTTGGAGAAGCGCCGCGCATCGTTGGCGGTGACGCTCCCCGCGTCTTCGGAGGTGACGCACCTCGCACCTCTGGCGGAGAGGGCCCTCGCAACCCTACCGGCCAGTCCATGTTCGGTCTTCCGCATGGAAACTCGACCGGAGGAGGCCTACAGACTTGGTCGGACTTCGTAGCCGTTCAGGGAGACAGAGTCCCGAAGGCGGGACCATCGCAGGGCTTCAATGCGAGGCCGTCGCAAGGTCTTCCTGCAGGCACCTCGCAAGGCCTGAACGCAGGCACCTCGCAAGGCTTGAGCGCAGGGCCCTCCTCGGGCGCCAATCTCGGTTCCTTCCGGGGCGTCAACGCAAGCACCACGCAGGGCCTCACTACGGGCGTGCCCCTCCCTCCTGCTTTCAGCCTATTCTCCAACGCCGGTAACGCCAATTTGTCGACTCAGGCGGGTTCCAGGTTCCCTTGAGCGTGTTTTTGGTACGTGTGGTTCTTTCTGCGGTTCTGCACGTAGACTCATCGATCCTCTTCTAGGCGTGATCAAGTCGACGAACGGGAGATGTTGAGGTGGAAGAACGAGAGATGCGCAGGATGGGCACGAGAGCTACACTTGTACGATATAATGTGGGCAGTGAGACAGAACGCAGGTTTTGGATGCTTTTTGAATACGGATTGACGACAATGCTATTTAAATCTGCGATGGATGATGGATGAGCTCAGTGCCACTCACCAGCTCAGTTGTGGCCTCAGCGCGAGCAGGCGCAAAGGTCAGGGGGAACGCCACCTAATATAGTGTAGTCATGTGACAGTTCAACTTTTTGGCAATGACCCCGGCAGCGGCCGGCGAGCGCTTTTGGTTCCGACCGTCATCTCGTTTGTTGGCAGACGAGCCTTTGCGTCTGGCCTGCTATAGATCTTTCTTAATGACCACTGTCTTTCTCTCGAAGTCTTTGCACTGCACGATTTGCGTGTAGCCCGCCCGCTTTCAAAGACTTTAATTGACTCGACCAGTGGTCCTGGCGTCAAACAACATCTCGATTCCTTCCAGTCGCTTTGGCCGTGCAAGACCCACTAAAATGGGATACTTACCACCTGCCACCTTGTACTCTTCTCATGCCTCTCTCCCGAATGGCGTCACTCGAATCTTTGAGCAGTTCTGATAGCTACGCCACTGCCATGACCGACTCGGTCCCCTTTGACGCTAAGAAGCACGAGCGTTATTATTTCTCAGATGGTAACGTTGAGATCGCAGTCAGTTCTTGCATTTACAAACCGAGAAATCGAGTAGTGACCTGAGTTATCCAGGTACAAGGCTTTTGCGACACGAAGCCCACTCTTTACAATCTCCACCGATCCATCCTGGAGAGCCGCTGTCCAGGATTGGCGCAGAAGCATCTTTCACATGCTTCCCCTCTATACGACCTGTGTAACTATGCCGGTCTTACGCCCTGGTCCTTCGACTTGATGCTGTCCTTTGTGTATCCGGAGTATGTCTCTCTAGCTTCTCATTTACCGCGCTCATGCCGGACGCACAGGCGCCTCGGTGTGACCCCAAGCCTGACCGCGGTCGACTGGAAGATGGTGCTGCCCCTTACTCATGAGTGGATGATGGATCAGCTGTTCGACGAAGCCGTCCGTCAAGTTAAACTAACCCCAAGCCCTACTCTTCAGATCTGGGCTGCCCGCCAGTACAACCTCGGCGACCTTCTCCTTCCCGCGTTCACGAGGATTTGCGCGGTGCCTAGGTTGTCTGAGGTCAAATTCCTCTCTTGGCTCAAGTCTTCCGACGTAGCCTTGATATCCGATATTCGCGCGGATATGAAGGACGCGGAGTATGAGGGGAGGAGGTTCGATCTGGAACAGGCGCTGGTCAATGCGAAGCTCGTGAGCGCCATAGAGATCGTGCCCTCCACCCAGACGCTTCATCAGCCCGTACTATCCGGCGGCAAAGGTTCGTCCTATCCTTCGCAAGTTTGCAGCAAAATAGCTGACTCGCTTTAGGGCGGCTGTTCTCAGACGTTCACGCCCCCATCATCTCTGGCCATAGTCAACCGCAAAGCCAGAAGGACAGCCACGAAAGCAGTCGCGTGCAGGAAGTAGGAAAGGTGCGTGCGGTCTTTCACTGTTCGCGCTGAGCGCTGACCGTCCGTCGTCTGGCAGACAGCGGACCAGGCGACTGCTACCGTCGACCTGACAAAAGCGACTACCGTCTCCGGCATCACGCTCTGCCTATCTTCATCGACATCATCGTCGACTGCCTATACGGATTCGTCTGTATCCGATGAGTGCGAGGAGTGACAGTTGACCACCGGTTTCCCTGCTGCGCGACAGAAAATTAGTCGAGACCGAGGACTTGACGCTGGACGACATGGAATGCTGCCAACGCGAGCTTGCTTCGACCAACTTGAATTCCTTCCCTTGCCGCTCTCTAGCCTACACCAGGCAGAGCTTCGTCTTCGCTCAATTGTCACTAGACCGATGTACGACAGTAACCGAAGCATGCCACACACAACGTCGCTCATGTCATTGGTCAATACTTTCACAAATGGGGCGTAACTACAATCACAAGTAATACTGTTATACAAGTTGTCTATCTCTAGGATTGTCTAGCTCATAATAATGCTTCATCAAACGCCGGAGGCGTAACCATTTCAGATCGTATACTGCTCGAAGAAGGGCAATAGCACCTCTTCCGTCAGATTGAACGGTGCTCTTCCCACCGCTGGCCACGTATGGCCCATCCCCACAACCCGGAGTCGACGCACCTGGCCCTCCTCTCCGTCGTCCCCCCACTGCCAGACATGGACGTCCTCGTCGTCGTTCAACAGCGAGAACTCAAAGTCCTCCCTCCCATGCCCATCACGCTCGGCCCAGTTCTTGGAGAAGTTACTGATGTTGGGCAGCTCGCGATCACTATCGTCGGACGTCTCGCCATCGAAGTGGACGACAGGGTCATCGTCACCGTGCGTGATCACGACTGGGACCTGGCGATCCGGCTGGCACGCCTCCCCGGGGTGCGTCCCGGGATAGTACGCGCCCGATGCCATGCCGAACGCCGCGACACGCGTGTTGACGGACGGCGTGCAGGCGAGGAGGTGCGTCTGCGCGTGAGACGGTAAGCGAAGAAGCATGGCGGCGCACACACGGGGTACTCACGAAGCCGCCACCGTTAGAGAAGCCCGAGGCGTACATGCGGCTCGTATCCACGCAGAGATTGTCGCCGAGCTCGTCGAGGATGAGGTTGACGAACTTGATCTGCGGCGCGGGTGAGTCGCCGGATCGCTCGAGGCTGATCGGAGATGGCGAGGCTCACGTCTTTGGCGTCAGGGTCCTCGTACGGTGCGCCCTCCCAGGACGCGCCACCGCCGGAGCCATCCATGCCCAGCGGGTACACAGCAATGATGCCCTTGTCCGCGAGGCGTTGGCGCGACTCCGACAGCTGCGATGCGGCCTCGAGGCTCTCCGAACTGCTACCCACGCCATGGAAAGACAGGACGACGGGGGAGGGGGAGCCTTCGTCGTAGTCCTCGGGTAGATGGATGAGGTACTGGCGATCGTCGCTGCCAACGGTGGTGTTCCGGGTATGGTGGCTGTCATCGTCGAACTTCCACCTGGTGGTGTTGCCACAACCGGGGGACTTGGACGCCCGCACGTTTAGTGGCGAGGGTGTTGCCAACGCAGGACGAGCGTCGACCCTCACCACGCTCAGCAAGCCTGCCACAATCAGGCCAGCTGCTGACATCCTGCCGACGGGAGAGCCTGCGCTCGTGGTGTTAGTCGTGAGATGCGGTACATGGGCACAACATACCCTGAGCGCGCATTGCGGAGTACCACGATGTTTGCTAGCGGTCACATCTTGGTATTTATCTGCTCCTGTTATGAAGAGAGAGGCGACCAGCTCGTGTCGTGCGGCGATATCCGATGGATTGCCTTGTACTCATGTTGGCTGCGCGCTGACTGTATACCAATTGCCCGGTGCGTCTCTTAGCGATGACATCCCTCCGAAAGTCGGAAGAATTCCTGGATACATCACTCCAATTCATACCCGGGGTGACGCACCTCATCGCCCAATCTCGGTGTGTGGCAGCAGGTGCAAGAGCATGAAAAAGCGACTAAGAAGGCAATGCTTGGCGCAGGAAGTGGTGGTCAGAATAGAGTCCGATTTGATCTCCACCCTCCCTACCTCGTCCACGTGTCTAAACCCTTTGGTGGCGCGGGGTCATTGCAACTACATTCGGTACCATAGCCCTCGCAACATAAATCAGACTTGCAGACATGCCTTAGGGTTTCACGATAACGTCTTCCTCGTAGCGATGTACTCCTCGTACGTTGTGCGCTTGGTATCGTCTCAGAAAGAACGCCGCTATGTCGAACTTGGCAAACCGCAGAAGCGCAGATGCACGATAGAAGACAACACTCACAAGCATGGTCGTCGATGACGATTCCCGAGAACTGTGCGACGACAAGTCGGCGATGACGGCCGCCCCTTCTTCCCAGCTCTGTCCGCAGTTAGCCTCGCTTCGCTTCTCACGGTCCTCCTCACCCGGCGTCCCTTGCGCCCCGTCGGGGCGTATCCTCGCCCATGCCAAGCGTGCACTCGACTGCGCCGGACGCGATGTTGGCCGTCGCGCCAATCATTTACAGTCTCGTCCGGTGTATCATCTCCTCCACTTCGGCGGTGCATGCCTGCCGATCAGGCCGTGCTCAAGCGGACTGCGCGCGCAGCGTCGAGGAAGGAGCGCTAGGCGGGGGCGGTGACTGAGTCTGTAGGAGGGATGTAAGATGAGATAATCACGGGAGATTGGCGTACCTTCCGTTAAGGGTCACAGCAACGGTGCTCATCGATGTTCCCCTTCACTGAGAGCGATGCTGAAGGGCGTAAGCCTACCGAATCCGGGAAAGGTAGCAAAGATAAGCGCCCGATGGTCATTGAGAGGCAAAATAGTCATGCCAATGCAGAAGCGATGCGTGGGATCGGGGATCAAACCGTGCGGTCGCCATTGAGGTCGAAGTGGCCCTATGGGGGACAGCCTACAGAGGTCATCGATTTGGGTGCGAAGGCGGCGACAGACCTAGTAGAGTAGGAAAAGCGGTGGACGCCCTTCCCCGCTCGCGGGGCTCCACAAATCGCCGAGTTTGCCTCTTCGGAAAGTGGTCGTGACTATGCAGCGCTCAGGCCATCGTCCAGGGTGTGATGCTAAGCCGTAAGCGCCGGTCTCATGTTCGAAGGAGTGGAGCAGGGGGATTAACGTCGGGAGTAGACGACGAGCGTCAAAAAGCCGGTATCTGGGAAGGACGTCGCGGGCGAAGACGAAAGGTGAGAAAGACCAATCAGATGAGACGAACCCCCGCATACCATCTTCGCCCGTGATTCCTCTTTCAACACTTCCCAGTCGGTGTTGGCCTTCTGGCTTCTCAATTCATCGCTGCCAGAAAGTCACCGGCTCACGTTGAGCCGCTGACAGAACGGTACTCGCTGACGACGACCTGGTGAGGCAGCGGAAAGCAAGCGCCCTCAGAGTAAATTCCTTGCGCCTTTGATCTGAACGATACTTGGCGATAGGGAGGCAATAGTGGGTACAGTCCCTCGCTTTTCCAGCGCCGTAAATCTGCATCGTGAGCTGTGTCATGGAGATGATCTGCAGGTAGCGAGTTACCGGGTGGGACAAGCCAAGGACGTCGCTGGCTCGCACGTGTAAGGGAACGAGCCCGAAGCTATGCGCGTCTGCGTGGCCTAGGATATGCACGCTGTTGAGGCTAGCGCCACTAAAGGGCGTTGCGTAGTATCGATTTCGCCTGCATAAGGTCAAATCGGCAGGAGGAAGAAGGTCAGCTTGCCTTTGTCTATGCTAATGCGGCGCACCGATATGCGACATGGAAAAAAGTCATCCAGAATCGATAGAGATAAAACGCGCAGGGATACGACCAGGTTCGACATTGCGGAGAAAAGTCTACTCAAAACAACGAGTAATGGATTATAACCACGCGTCAGCTTCGACAATCGCTCATCCGAGCGACTCGAATATCAAGTCGTAGCTCTGATGAATGCATCAAGGATGCATGCCTATACGAGAGTCATCGTGAGTATAAGTCACGGGGCACCAGGAAGGCTCGGACTTACCGTCATAAACTTGAAGCCTGTCGAGCCATTGATCGTCGCGCATTGCTGACACTTGCGTGCCGCAGACGACCCTCGAGACCGCCCTCGACGACATGAATTTTTTGTACACCCACGTCGACCTCATGTCGCGACGGATGTCTATGGAGGTGAGTTTGGGTACCAAAGGCGGCGCATTATCGCGGCAGATCAGAGCATCCAGAATCTTGGCCGCGATGCTTTTTGCTATGTAACAAAAGCGTAGTTCCTGAAGATTAGTCATTTTCCCCAGACATTGGAGGTATATCTCCACCGTATCCGTGCATGGGTTGACTTCGAGGCAGCGGATCTGCGTGGTGGCAGTCGGGAAGCGCACGAGGAAGTCGTTGAGGTCCCTAAGGCTGTCTTTAGGTTTCCACTCGAAAGACACATCCTCGAGGCTCGTTGGGTTGATGTGTCGAAGGACACCACATGTATATGCGTAGAAGCGGATGCGCTTGAGCGCTGGGAGGTCTACAGGTGCCTGTGAGGGTGCTGACCAGGCCACAGCGCGCTCGGCCTGCAAATCAAGCTCCCGCAACGTATCGGAGCATTGCTGGAGGAGCGTAGACATAGTTGGAGCAGCGAGAAAGGTGACGTCCAGTCTGAGTGATGTTATACGCGAGGAGGGCGGTAGCGTGAGGCCGAAGTCGGGATATCGGTGGTTTTGAGAGATGATGTGCAATCGGCGCAGTCGCGGTGCATCCTTGAGGAAGGCGAGGAGCCGGTCGCGATCTGGCATGTTGTATTCGCACAAGTAGATGTGCACAAATTCTAGGTTCGGTGTCGCCATAGGTTCAATTTCGTCGAAGGCCTGCCCTTTGTCGCACAGCCGTAACTCACGGCACCTTGATACGAGCGGTCGAATTTTCGCGAGGAATGCCACCATCTCAGATGAGCGGATAGAAGATTGCAGGTTGAGGAGACACCCGCCGGTGCGGGAAAGACATCGTTGGAGGTTAATGTCTCCAGCGCCCGGAGGAATGTAAACCCACAACATGGGTGTGTTATACGCAATGACGCGCCACGCTTTACAAACGCGAGTTATCGTGGTGCCAAGAATCGGCGAGGGATTTGGGCGAAGGTCATTGTTGGCGACGATAGAGTCCATCAGTTTTATGAATATTTCCGCCAGGAGTTCCGTAGGTAGGACGTTTATCGGCGCGCTGGGAGCATCGGATACGGCGCTGGCGGCCTTGGCTTGTAATCCACCAGATTCGGCGCGAGGTGACGTACCCTTAGTCTGTTCTAGATATCAATCCAAGCGTTTTCGATGTTTTCGCATGCTTACTACTACTCACCTGGTTCGGCCTTCGCGCTTGTCCTCGCTCCGTAGCCACTGCTCGGTAGGACATGCCCTTTGCTGTGACGATCGCGGTGTGTAAGGTATTCGGTGACATATTTATGTTGGATTAGGTCGCCTTCTGATGCAGAGCGATCCCGGGTGGCGGAAAGTCGACGGTGAGAGGACAAGCCGTGTTTTGAGGTCAAGTTACGCCTGGGCGATCGATGTGACGATTCATGTAACGTCATCACGTGCTACTTTGTGCGCTCTGTCACATAGTCACAGTTCGTTTTTGAGTCTTGGCGTTTGTGAGTCAATCACCGTTTCATTACTTTTGTACCATTCCGTGGGAGATGCACTAATAGCGCTGTTGGCGCACACATACACCCCTGTCAGGAGTGCCCAAAGGGACCAGGGTGCATGACTCAGCGACATCATCTACATTGAGCCTTCAAGTTTGTCTGCACCTCTATCGCTCGATGAAGGTATATAGCAACAGCGGTATACGTCTTTGAGCTGCATGCAGGACAACTGACACTAGATGATGTGCTATCTAAAGATTAGGCCGTTAGGTTAGAAGACGTCAGATGCCCAGGCAGCTGTCCCACACCTGCCAATGCTCGTCGCAAAATCGCGAGAATGCAGGTCCGTCGCGCGGGTTCGCGTTTGAGCTCAAATCCTCTCGAATGTCGTTATCTGGATTATCAACACCCAATATTTGTGTACTTTTCAAGGCCTAATGGTCTAGTCGTATGATTCTTCCTTCGGGTTTAACCACCCGCGCCGCGTGGCGCGAAGATGGAAGAGGTCCTGGGTTCAATTCCCAGTTAGGCCCTGCCTTTTTTCTCGTCCTAGCCACCGACGCTCACAATGGTACGCATGGACACTGAAGGCGATTTTGAACCAATTACAGAATCGTATACGAAAATTCCTTTTACTGAGACTTTACGGGGTCGTACTGCTTCATGGTGTCCTCGGGATACGGGTACTTCGGGTTAGGGTACCACTTCTCCGCTGCGAATTCTGCAATGCTCCTGCGTGGGTGCATATCGGGGTACAGAGCCCGCGAATCCAACGCGCCGTCACGAACCGCGTTCTCCACCGTGTTGTCGCCGCGGACGAAAAGGCTCAGCGAGTACTCGCAGAGGATGCGAGCTATGAGCGTGGCCTCGCCGCCCTCGATGCTCTCCTGCAGCTTGGTACGGATCTCGTCTGCGTCGACTTTGACTGTGACGCGACGCAGCCCCTCGGGGTCGCCGCATTTCTCCTCCGCGATGCGAAAGAGCTCCGCCTCGGTGACCTGATCCTCCCAAACGAAGACGCTCTGGTGAAGCGTGCGCGGGTCGGAGAGGATGCGTGCAACGAAGTCGCCGATGTGGTCCAGATCGGTACCGGCGATGGGCACGTCGCCAGGCCCGCGGTACTGAAAGTTGATGTCGGCGACAGTGTTTCCGGCATAGCTTGGCGGATAGGGCAGGAGAGTCTATGCGGCATCAAGCGCGTTAGCAGACGGCCGTGATATGATAGAATCCACCCTACCTGATACCAATATCCGACGTCGATGAAGGTGTAGCCGATACCCAACTGGCGAATATAGTCTTGTATGGCCAGTTTCTTTCCAAAGAGTTAGTAGGTCAGACCCCTGCATTGTTTGCCACCGACCTTGTCCTTGATGAGCATCACACCCGGAGGGGCATGCGTGCCAAAGTCGCACGGAACGACGCGCTTTACCCCTGCCTCCTTGGCGGCAGCGAATAGCGGGCGCTGAGCTTCAAGCGCGAAGACATGCACGGCAGAGACGACGATGTCAACGCCAGTAAGAAGCTTTACAAGCTCTTCGTGCGTGGCCGTGCCGAGGCTGGGGAAGATGACGATCTCAACGCCGCGGTTCTTGAAGTCGACGACAGCGGGCTTGTTCGGAGAGCGTACGACGGCGGCCACACGCTATGTTCGTGGATAAGTGGATTAATCATTATTGAGAAATGAGGATGAAGGCTCACGTAGTTCCCAGAGCGCAGAAGACCATTGACGATGCTGATGCCTGTGGCTCCATTGGCGCCAAAGACGAATACGCGGGGCTTAACTTGATCGCTAGACATCGCAGATGGTCGGAGTTGGCCGAGAGTAGTGAGTAGACGCTGAAGAAAATGAATGAGCACTTGGATCGACCTTTATATATGGCCATCCTGGGTTGTGTCTCGGTTACTGGCACCCACCAGTCAGAGAAACCTTATCTGGACAGCCGTGTCGGCAGGTTTGCTATCGTCAGCTCCAAAGCGCCTCGCCTGGCGATGAGTTCCACGGTAGGTCGGGACTTTGTCATAGAGGCGCAGGGCGGTGAAGGTTCATGATCAATGACGAGCCGAGACGGCCGAGTCGGGCGTCGATGCTCACGCGACGGGATCAGGCTGCCGCTCAGTGATTTTGTGAAGTCTCTCCCGAGCAAGAATGGCTGCTATCTCATTCGTCTTTTCAGTCAGACACAGGAGAGGGATACCAACAAAGGCGGCGATGGGTCTGCAGCGCAACATGATCACGCTCGTGAAGGTTCAGGACAAGGGGGCAACCCCAGTGGAGTGTTACATTCTGTGACGATGTCACGGCCTTTGGTTCGAATCCCGGCCCTACATCCCTTACCCAATCCAAAGCTAGGAACACACAACAGATCCATTGGTAGACACAAGATACAGTTCCGTAATTTATCAAGAGTTCGTAGAGAAGTATAGGTATCGCTCTACCATTCTATTCACATCTTCGTCCCCCTCAACTTAGTTGGTCTCAGCATTGGTGTACTCCGTCGTAGCGAAACCAATCTGGTTCTTGCTGCTGTCGTAGACGGTATAGAAGCGCTCGAGGAACGCGTAGCCGTTGATGAAGTCGAGGCCTTGGCCGGACGGGGTCCCAATGTCGGCGACGATGAGGTAGATGGCGTCGTCCGAGCCACCGATGGCGCTGTTCAGAGCACGCGGCCAAATCTGGGCGTTGGCGGTGAACTCCCAGGTGTCCTGAAGGAGAGTAAGCTATCGGTTATTATAAGGGAGGAAGGTCGTACGTCGCCGATCTTGAAGAACAGGCTTTGGAGGGAGGCGAACTGGTCGTCGGTGATGCTGAGGAGGCCGACGCTGTTGTCGGGCTGGCCGCCGGTGGCGTTGGCGTAGGCCTCGAAGGCGTCGGAGGCAATGTAGAGAAGGGTCGTGCCGGTGTCGGTGATACCAGCGTTGGTGTCGAGGATGGTGACGCTGTCGCCGTAGGTGATCGACTGGTCAATGCCTGGAAATCGTGTCAGACAGTAAAGAAGATGTGATGCACGGTCAGCGTACCCCAGTAGCTGCCGGCCGGAGACTGCGAAGTCACAGGGCTGGTGAGCGACGTCAGTCGAGGAGAAAGCGAGGACTCTGGGAAGACGTAGCGTACACATATTTGATGTCGCCGGTGTGCTTCGAGTCGTCGATGCCGCCCCAGGTGAGCTGACCGTTCTGGTCCTCCTCCTGGGTGGTGGGCTGGAAGTAGACGCTGATGATCTTGTCTTCGATGAGGCCTTGCTCGAAGGCGGTGTCGACGACAGTCGGGATCTCCTCGTTGGAGCTCTCGAGAGTGCCTATCACGAAGATAAGCTAACATTGCTATCTGCGTCTAGCACAACAACTCACCTTGAGTGAGCGTCGTGGGCCCGATGCCGAGAATGCCGTCATAGCCATTGAAGCCGCTCCTATAGATCGGTCAATAATTGAATGAAAGCACAGAGCCTGAAGCCACTGACGCAGTGGAGGCGACACCGATGGACTGGGAGTCGAGGACGAGCTCGTCGGTGATGGTAACCTGGTCGGTGTACTCTTCGCCTGCGAAGACCGATCAGCTGAGTGATTGAGCAGGATGTCGTGGAGCATACCAGAGAAGAAGCCCGAGCCGTAGCTCACAGACACGCCAGAACCAGTATCCTTCGAAGTCGAAGAGTTCGCGTACTCCTTGCCCGCACCAACCTATTCAGCGGCGCAATCATGGATCAGTCGGCCGAGCGTGAGGAATCGCACGCAGAACCCACCCAGGTGTTTGAGCTGCCAGTGTCGACGATGAGGCTGTCTGTGCGGGGTTAATTCGCTGCTCCCGACAACATAGGAGCGCGCTTACAAGAAGTCGCGTCCGCGCCAACGCCGATGTCGGCGCTGTAGATGACGGCCTCGTTCGTGACGGGCTCGTCGATGAGCGACTCGTCGACCTGCTTGCCCTCCTTCTTGAGAGCCTGCGCCTTGAGCTTCTGCACGCGCTGCCGGCCCGCGTTGACCAGGTTGTGGCCGCTCGTCACGTTCAGCTTCTTGATGAGCGGGAACGTGATCGGCGAGCGGTCGACGAGGATGGGCTTCGTTGCGACCACCACGGCCAGGAAGAGCGGAACGAAAGAGGCGTTGAGGCGCATCGTCGCAGAAGGAAAGGGGAAGGTGGGAGGGGCGAGGCGACGCTTGGCGACGACGAGGGGATGAGAGGGTCCGGGCGCTCTTTATACGAGGTGGGTATCGGCCCCAGCACGCGCTCTGCATCGTCATGCGACTTCTGAACTGTGCTTTGATGAGAGGGATGTCGTGCGGACTCACTTCGCGCGTAACCGGAAAGGTGCTTACCATGAGATGGACTGTGGGCCCTCGGCGCGAAATCACCGTGGCCATGATGTTGCCTTCCGGTGAATGGCAGCAGTGGATCGCATCTTTGAGTGCGCTACATGACGAGCATTGCGTCGTCCGAGCGCAGGATAAGGTATCACTTCATACTAGTAGAGGAAGGCGGGAGAGATAGGGGGCAGTACGTTGCTATAGCATGCGGCTTAGCGCGACTAGCCACTGAGTCCGAATATGCTCGCTGTTGACGAATATACAGTGCTGTCTACGAGAGATGCGGCGACTTCTGAAGCTCAGCATAGCTTTCCTGACCAACATGTGCTTCGTGAGTGAGGCGCGTCAGCTTCAATTGGTACGCAGCGAAGAGATGGAGCCGCGGCGAGAAGGAGGTTGCTTCAAGTGTACCCGGTGCATATGGCCGGCTTCGTTGCGCGAGGTCTAGCCGTAATGCTCAGGCGATGACAAGATGGGCTCAGCCAAGACGAATATGAGCGGGCGAGCGCACGAGAGCAGAAGGCAGCATGGCGGCCCAGGGTCGTACATGGAAGAAGGAAGGGAGAGCAGGTGGCTGGCAGGTGGCGAGAGTCGAAGGTTGATTTCGTGATTGGGCTGCCGACGCACGTGTAATCCGGGCCGCATAGAGTAGTTCAACTTTGCGACTGTTTGCTCGTTTTGTGAGTGAGCTCTGCCCAGGTGCAAAGCCCTCGGGTGCGATAGGGTATGAGGTAGGATGCTATATACCAGAATAGAGGATTGTACACACTGTGTAGCCAGTCGCGTAGTAAAAATCCATGGCAAGACAGAAGTTTGCGGCGAACGCGGTGCAGGACGTACGGGACGGAGAAGCGCACAAGCAGCAATTGAGACGCAGCAACTATGGCGAGTCATGACGGGAAAACCCACTGGCTATACATCACGCGATCCAAGCCTTCGACGCACAGGATATTTTTCACGCGTTCTGCTCAAACGATGTACCGAGTGCGGCCACACGATGAGCATGTTTCGACATGGAAAGCAATCCATTCACTCATGCATACGCTAAGAGTGATCCCGGGATGGTATATCCTATGGATGGTGTCAGACTATGTAAGGCCTATAATGCGTGAACACAGCTGAACCCACCTCGCGACTGTCCTCGCGACACAAGATGGCGAGGCAGGTGTACAGGCTCACGCTGATTTTCAGACTTGGAAGGACAGAGAGTGTCGAAACAGAGCAGAGCGCGTCCGGTGACAAGACTCGGCGAGCGCAAGTGTCAGGTTCAGACTTAAAGGCCCGAAGTTGCTGTGCGACGGGTTTAAACTGGTTGAGCTATCCGATCCAGTCCGGGGAGGTGCTGATGTAGAGTATACGCCATACGCTGAGTACGTCAGCGTTGGCGCTCCATTTGAAGGGGATGGCGGTTTGGCGACCAGTTGACCAGGGGCGGCAGATGCCGAGACAACGGAGAGCGGGACTGGATGGACGCATTCGCGCAGAATACGAGCTAGGGGGCCGGTGGGGTATCATATTTGTGGATGGACCTTGCCAGAAGATACGGAGAGCATTGAGGGATAGGCGGCGGCCTGCAGACGAAAGCTCGGGGCCAGCGGCCATTGTCCTTCGTCTCGATACGCGAGATGCTGGAGAGAACGGGGTCAGCATGTATCCTTGAGAGTATACCGGCGCACGCACCTCGAGATAGCGTCTGGAGCATCCGTTCCGCCATGGACAGTCACCGACAACGCGCTGAACCTCCGCGTCCTGCCAATGTTTGATACCGCACCAGGAACAAAGTATCACGTCCGCGCGTAGCGAGTCCAGCCCAGGCTGCGCGCGCAGAGCGTGTCCTGGACATGATATCGCGAGACGCGGGCCAGAAAGCAGCAGCCCTGGGCGATGAAGATGATGAACGGTGGCAACAAAGAAAGACGCACCGATCACGCATCTTGCGGCTGACTTCGTTCCTCCGTTCATGCAAATCGAAACAAATGTCCTCGTATTCCCGTCACAAAGTCAGTATACAACCCAAGTCAGTACAGAACAACAGCGATAACAAGATAGAAAGCAAGACAACAGAAAGGAAACAGGAAATAAAGAGGAGGCATAATCGTTCGTTCGAGGCGAACATCTCGAAGCCGAAGTCCCGCCCGTCGCCAAATGTCTATGGAGAACTCGAGCGCAATATGTAGAACCGGAACCCTCTTCGCCTTACATCTCGTCGTGGCAGCGCTTCTTCCCTGCCTGGACAGGCGAGGGGCCTTCGACCGAGGACGGAGCGGACGAGCCATCTACGCGAAGTCAGCATCCTAACGATCTCCCTGAGCAAACATGAGCTTACCAGAGCTGGCAGAGCTCGTCTCGCGTGCGGAAGAGCTTGAAGCAGACTCGGACGCAAGGCGTTCATGCTGCGAGGGAGGGGTCCTGGACCACCGTGGAACCCATCCCTCCGCCAAAGCCGCGTCCAGGTACGGCGTCTCGAGCTGCAGGTATTATCAGTCTAACGATTCTTTTCGAGGCAGAACGATGAGTAACTCACGTTCTCGTCGACGTCCGAAGTATTGTCCCCGTCCTCGTACTCATCTATGGGGCGTTCCTCCACCCAGGTCCAGGTGCGCTCTCCTGTCCAGGCTTCTGCGTCCGCATAGTCTCGAGTATCAGAGTGCGGGGAAGGCGCAGCGGAACCGAAAACCCCTGCCATGGAATCGACCACCACCGACGGGTCGACTACCGTCATCGAGCCATCCTCTATAGTCGAGCCTACCACTGCTGCCGGCTGCGCCATTGTAACGTCCTCCGTCGGTTGCGTCACCTCGGTAGCCGTACTCTGACGGCTTGCGGCATCCTCCCGCATGCGCTCGGCGATGTATTCGGGCAGCGTCGTGTGCGCGTATTGGCGTGGCATGATCCTCTCGAGCCTCCCGCCGACAAAGATCCTAATCGCGGAAGCCGACGGCTTGACCTTCGGATCGTCGGGGCCCCTCCATGAGACACTAGACTTTTCACTCTTGAAGGTCCCGTCAAGGAATTCTTTCTCCTTCCCTAGGTCGATACACTTGCACTTCTTCTTCCCGCCCTCCAGGTATTTCCTCTGCTTTGCAATCAGCACTCGTGGATCACTTAGTGCAACTAGGAAACACGTACAGCCTCTTCAGCGCAAGCCCGCCTCTGCTCCGCCTGCTTTCGCAGGAGCTCCTGGCTGGGTGGCGCGAAGTTGTCCGGGTCGTTGATGCACACCCACTTATGGATGTCGGGGCAGAGCTCGATGTGCTTGTTTCCGAGGTTGTTGTAAAAGTCATCCCGCATCTCATTCTGCTTGATCGTCCCGCAGCCCGCGCAAGTGATGTGGTGCGCGCCGAACTCTGAAATCCCCGCATCGTGCTCGAGAGCCTCGATTCGGCGCGCTATTCCTCGGAATGATGCTCTGGCTGCTCTCTTCGGCACTCTGGGCTCCTGCTGTACGCCAGTGGACCTGCTCGCGGAGGAGTTGAGAGCCACTTCGACCTCGAGGACATCACCGTCGACATACCTGGTTGCATCCGCTACGTCGTTGTCGGCGTTGCGCCTACGCTTCTTATTCCCTCGACGCTTAGGCTTCGGGTTGGGGATGGGAGCATCGTTGTCGGAGCCGTATGCGTTCGTCGACGTCGACGTGGATGGGCCCGCGCTCGTCGAGGCGCTGACACCGGCAACGACTCCCCAACCTGGCGAGATTAGGCGGGGTGGAGTGCGGCCGGGGGCATGGGATGGGCCGGTCGCGAGACGAGGAGGAGATGGCTGGTGCCATGCAGCGGGAGGTTGGCGTCGCGCAGCGAGGGTCTGGCGGCGTGCACCCGGACGACCGAGATGAGCAGCCGTCGCGCGAGATGATCTCGACTGCGCTGAAGAGCTGGTCGACGTCGATGCGTCTTCTGGGGAGGAGCGGGGAAACGCTGGCTGAATACGCTCGATCATCTCATAGGGGACCCAGTGCCGGCCCCCTTCGAGAGGCGGGAGGGCAAGCTCCGCCCTCTGGCGGGATCCAGCGCCGGTCACGCCGACGCGCTCTGGCTCATTGATGATGAAGGCGAGGGATCCTCGCGAAGACTCGGAGGCGCTAGAGGAGATGGAGGAGCTAGAGGAGCTGCTAGGTGCCTGAGTACATGAGCCCGCTTTCTTCATGTAGTCACTCACCTTCCCGCTTCAGAGCTGGCATAGTAAGGGCTTGAGGAGCTTAGTGAGGTGTGTTGGGTTGGAGGGCTCATACTACTCGAAGGTCAGTTGTATCGTCCTTGTAGTCCACCGCATCACTTACAGTCCCTGTAGATCGCGAGGCAAGGGTCCACCTCGCGGTGGAAGCCAGCGAGATCGTGGAGACTGGGATGTCGAACTTGCGCGATCCGAGCTACAAATTGAGTGAGTATCCGTATGGTTGTGTGCGCTGTACTGGCGCTTACCCTGACGACTTGGTGGGGGGAGACATGATGAGGTTGAGGTTGAACGTTGGGACTCGCTGACGGTGAGTGCTCAGCCGTCGATGGGATAACTCGCGCGCCGACGAGTGGCAAGTGTTGAGGGATGTGCTGAGTATGTCCAGGCGATCGATGGGCGCGGTGGTTGCGCTTGATGTGGTTGCAAGTTGAGGACAGTGGCAGGGCGCCTACTGCCTGGGCAAAGGTGTAGAGGCGAGTGGACCCGTTTCGTACGCGCGACTAGTCAATACTGACGATGTCTACGCAGACACGGGCGATTGGTATGTCGGCCACTCGGCGACGAAGTGAAGGAAGAAGAGTGCAAAGCGCAAGTTTCCTGTCAGGGACGAGCGGGGGATCGGCAAGCCTTGAGGCAAGATCACCAACCCAACTCGAACACGACGATGAAAGCAAGCGACAAAAAGCGACGCGCTGACGACAAACACCGCGGCGCAAACGGCGCGATGATGGGGGGTGAGAGTGAGGAATGCGGAAAGGGAAACACAGACAGACGCCTTAAATGTTCGGGCCAAGCTGTATCGGCGGACGCGTGCCCAATAAACAAACGCCCCGATCTCAGATCGACGACATAGACCCGCCGGTATGACTCTTCCCTTCCTTTGTCCCGAAGCTTGCGGGCTGACACGGGATTGCAGGCGATGACGAACGCGATGGCCCGAGCACAGGCTGCGCGGGCGGTTGACTCCAATGATTGCCTTATACGTGCAAATGGGCCCCGTACATGGTCGCCACTGGCTGTGCTACGTCGTCTAGTCTCGTCGAATACAGGGCGGGACCGCTGAAGAAGGCCGTTTATTCTGGGAGTGAATGAATAGTCTCGCCGTCCTCGCGCACGCTTCGCGCTTTGGATCAACAGACTCAGGCGCTCTACAGCTTGGATCTACAGTCCAACTACGGTTCAGTGTGTATCTATTGATAAATGCAAATTGCCACAGTAGCGCGGTGTGTAGATCGTTTTTGCCACCGGTATATTCGCTGATCTCAAGCTCGAAGCATATTTCGTAGCCGCGGTACCCCTTCGCCGCTTCCCGCAGATTGCTGCTGCGCGCAGATTGACGCCGCCGGAACACGCAGAATATTTCCTATCACTGCATTCCAGGACGAACGGGTGGCATGATCTGGGACGCGTTCGCCACGTGTAGGTCGAACCGCTCATTGTTCGCCTACCTCGTCCACTCCGTTGTTCACCAATCTCGGAAGGTGTTTTACGTCTGTACCTGACAGGTCCGCCTCCTCGTCCTCCGAAATTGCCTTGATTAACCCGTCAATATCTCTCAGGACGGAGTATTCTGGGATCCTCAGCGCCTCCACTATCTGTAGGCGATGTGGTGGTGACTTTGGTCGTTGACCAGTTGCTCTCGTGGTGAACCAGCTCGGTTACCTTATTGGTCGCTTTGCGGCGGCGAATAAGGTCCTGCGCAAGCGGGAAAAAAATCACGATACATGATCACGACCTTCTCGCGCTGGACCGCGACTTCCCTGATGAGAGTACGCCAGGCTGTGGTGGCTGAATATGCGGACAGGTCGCTAGAACCTCAGCAGCCTCTGACTCAGGGTGCGTATACTATGCCTTCGATCCCGGTCAACAGCTCACGCACGCGTAGGTCCATACACAGGACCCACAGGTCCTCAGCCGCGTACAGTCGATCTCTACAGCTTTCGAAGTTGAGGATTCGGTCCCGCGCGGCAGGAATGCAATCTCCCGCGCCTCGTTGACCTCACGCCGCGATGGCCTGGGGTCCCCAGCGCTTCAGCAAGCCGTGACTCGACCGCTGCGGATTGGAGGAGACAGATTATTATGGACGACGGCCGGAAGGGGAAATGGCTGGTGTAGATCTTGCGCCTTGCGTCTGGTGATTGATTATCTGAGGTCGCGCGCTGCCGCGCCCTCTCAGGACACCCGAAGTTAGCGTTGGTGTTGGGGGTTGGTGATCCCGCAGACGACCGCATTTGCGAAGAGTGTACATGAACGCGCTTCCGGACGAGGCTTTGCAATTCTGGTGCGTCTGGTCACTGTAGTCGAGCTGGCGCTTATCGAAAGCGCAGCGAGCTCGCCGTATCTTCGACAATTGCTGGAAGTGGATTCCCGGCACGCGCGCCTACTGCGACAAGCCCTTGGCTGGAGGGAGTGTTGGGATTGGGAGATTTGCGCGGCGAGAGGTGTATTAGGCCAAGCATGGGCCAGTGATCAGCGCTCCGACCACTTGCTGGAATGACCACACACCATCGCACGCAACAGCCCTTTCACCATGATCCTACGTCCCCTCTACGGCACCCTCCCCATCGACGATGACACGTATATCTGGCGCGCTCCTGCGGCTGTGCGATCGGGCTTGAGGGCGCTGCTTGATCCTGCGCTCGCTTTCGATTGATAGCGCGCTCGACAGTGCGCTCATCGTCTCGTGCACTCAAATTGCTCTCTGGTCTTGCGAGGTGCGGGTCCTTCATCGTGGCGCTTCCGCCACATATCGGTAGTCTGGACCGTAAAGAGGAGGGTTGCGCCTGCTCTGCGTCGATATCGATCGGAAGTGATGAGGTCGCCGCCCTGGCTGCTCAAAGCGAACTAACCCACGAGGAGTTGGAGGAACAAGACGACGAGAGAGGACGGTCTGTCAATGAGTTCACAAGACAAGAAGGTATTTATCTGCCCAAGGTCTCGGCACCCGAGTGCGCTGACCTACTTCTTCCATTCGCTCGACCCTAGCGACGCCGCGTATCAGGCCCTCTATTGTCCTTATTGTGGGCGCCCCATGTGTTCCATTGTGGGCGTCGATGCTCCGTCGCGCGCCCGCAAGTCTGTCATTTCGTTCTTACCTCGCGCACATCTATTTCGCGCCTCGTTTCTCGTGCTCCGGAGGACACTGGCCAGTAGCTTGCGCGTCGCACAGCCTACCCTGCTCATTGACGATTCTCGGCGCCTATCCTTCCTCCGTGAGTACAGGATCACACTTGCCATTCACATCACCTTCGCAGGCATCAATTGTGCTTCTTCAGTCTCGCGGAGTTCGGATTGTGCGACGGTTTAGGAAGTCTGAAGGCGGCGTGTATCCGACAGCCAGAGCGTATACCTTATGCTTTTTTCTGGCGCTGTAGATGTACCTGCTCTCGGCGCTGGGACTGAAAACAGTGTTCTTAGATGCCCTGTAAGTAACGTAGCAAGCGGTGCAACGCCACTAATATTCTATCTTTCACATGGTGGAGAGCTTGACGATGGCACATCAAGCCGTCCAAATGCATTGAGTGTTCCTACTCGCCTGAGGCCGTGGTCCTTATCCTAGTTCACAATGAGATCTTCAAGAATTCTATAATTCGAAGTCTATGACCAGCGTTAGGTTGGGGTAAACCACAATGAGTTACAGAAACCAGAAACATGTCGTCCACCCGGATCTTCAGTAAGAAGTGTCAAAAGACAGAATCGAGTTGTATCACCACTTTTTCACTTGCTTTCCTGCGTCAATCGCTTCGCAGGCGCACCGGTGAGTGTTCGTGGAAAGTTCAAGTCCTGTGACATCTAGTCACACTCGCGGTCACATGCGGCGAAGCGATCACGTGTCAATCGACAGACGTTGATCCCGAACCGCCAACATATCCTCCTCCACGTTCTCCATTTTCCTCATTCGCGTCCCCGGACGACGTTCTTGACGACACAACGATGGATACCCCCGTAATGGCCGACCAGATAGGCCGCCACGGCTCCCTCATGCTCATGAAACGGACAGAGCCAAACACGGTGCTCACCGGGTTCGGCATCGACACGGACGAGCTCACCTTCGGGTCCTCAATCAACTGCGATGTGCGACTCTACTTTGACGATGTGGCCAGTCTGCACTGTAAGATAGTGTTCCCGGAAAAGAAGGTGCGTGTCGTGCTTTCACGCGCGGGCGCGTTGTAGCTGACCAGTGGCACCGACACAGGCGTTTTTGGTGGTCATGGGCGCGGGCGGCGTGCTTTTGGACGGGGACAGGATACGGCCGACGATGACGAACAGTGGGATGCAGCCGACGACGGTCGCGATGCAGAATAACTCGGAGATCGTGGTGCATGGGAAGCACTTCCGCTTTGCGTACCCGCCGAAGGAGATGCGGCCGATGCTGTATGCGACGCCTCCGCGTGCGTTGCATCCTTCCATCTTCTCTGCGCGTACTAACATCTACTCCTACTACAGGCGCCGACCGACGCGCTCTCCGCCTCTCAATGATCGAGTCCGCGCGCGTCTTCTCCCCGCGCCCCTCCCCCATCCCCGCGGAAAACCTCCGCGTCCTCAAATCGCCCATCAAGCGCAACACTTCCCCGAAGAAACCCACACCCCTCCACCAAGCCACCTCCGCCGAGGACGAAGACGAGGAGGACATCGTCCTTGTTGACGGCAATCACCCGCGCGTCGTCGAGGAGGACAAGGATCTGGTCATCCTGGAGGATGTCGTGCGCAAGGTGTTCCCCGAGGGCAGTCCGTTCTCGGGGACACCTATGCGCAAGTTCGGTGGAGTATCCAGGTCACCTCAAGCCCCGCACCTCGGCACTCCTACCGCTCAACTCAGAACGCCTCAACCGCCCGCCCCACCCGCGCCCACACCCGCCCGGCGGCCCAGGGCGAGCCTACACCGCGGCGTGCTCCTCCGAAACGCGCACCGCGCGGCGATGCGGCAGGAGATGGAGGAGGAGGAGCGGCACGAGGAAGAAGAAGTGTTCGGGACGGTGGTGGCGGGGGAGAGCGATGAGAGTGAGGGTGGGGAGGAGTGGGAGGGGGAAGAGGGCGATGGAGAGGAGTGGGAGGGTGGGGAGGAAAGGCAGGAACACGAGTATGGTGGGGATGGCGAGGAGTGGGAAGGCGGCGACGCGATGGACGTGGACGCGCATGAACAAGAGGGCATGCACCACGGGGAAAAGGACTACGACTCGGACGACAGTTACGATGACGAGGATGAAGATGGCCGGCAGGGTCATGAGCGCGGACGGCCTCGCCGCGGACGCGCACAGAATGACGAGGTCGATCACAATGAACGCAACGAAGACACCGCGCACGACCGCACCGAGGACGCGCCCGAAGAGGGCGAGGCGCCGGTGCAGGACAAGAGCACGACTAAGACGCTTGGGTGGCGGAAGAGTCTGGAGCGGCTGTGGCCGTTCAGGTCGCTGAGTCCGGAGAAGGAGAAGGTGCGTATATTGACGTTCGATGCCGGACGATCATTGACGTGCTTGCGAAGGTCAAGGACGAGGAACAAGGCGACGCGTCCGAGAAAGAGAAAGAGATACCTGCTACCCAACCCGAGCCAGAGCACGCAATCGAGGCCCACGATCGACCGGCGCAAGCACAGGTCGACGAGGATACAGAGGAAGAAGAGGACGAGGACGAAGCCAACGAGCAGCCTGCCCCGCTCGCCACACCCATGAAGCGCGCCCCGCCTTCGCACGCATACTATACCCCGCAGGCGGCGCGGCCAACGTTTGGGCTGGGAACGCCTTCGTCGAGCGTCAACAGTACGTTCGCTAAACCTAACATGACCCCCAATGGTAACTTACTCTTTCTTCCCAGCCACCGGCGTCGGCCGCGGCATCGGGCGCATGTCCCTCGGCGGCGGCCCTCCGCAGCGCATGCCCGTCAAGACACCCTGGAAGGTCGAGGACATCGTCGTCAGTATTCCCCCGGCGCCGACCCACACCCCGCAACCACAGACCCAGACCCCGATGCGCGGCCGGCCAAGCCTGAGCGAAGCGGAGAGGAGGGTGAGTGCTGGAAGGTCGGGCTGTGATAGCAGTGCGCTGACTGGTGTTCGCTCTTCTCGCCCTTCCGCTACGTCGCTTCAACCGATCGATTATCCCTCTGGCGCATCCGCCCATACAACTGGTTCACTTAACCGCACAATGTCGATCCCACCACCACCTCCCGTCACACCTGCTGCACTCCAGGCCATCCGCGAACGGCGGCAGAGCGCACGTAACGCGCCTGACGACTTTATGGGCCGGGTGCCCGGGATGACGCCCGGGCGGACGAAGAGCACTTCTCCTGTGAAGGAGCGGCGCCCGCTGCCTGCGATGGTGCCGGAGGAGGCGGAGTCGTCTACGGCTCAGCATCATCGTCTTTCGACACCTCTTGGCCAGCCAGGGATACTGGGGCAGCCGACCAACACGCCCCTCCCGCCCGACACCCGGGGCCTGCTCGATCGCATGATGAGCACGATCGAGGACCTGAAGGAGAGGAGGCGGCAGAGTCTGGCGGCGAGTCCCATCAAGCCGGCGCGTCCGCCGCCGCGGATGGAGGAGAGTGAGGAAGAGGAAGATGAGGAAGAGGAAGAGCATGACAAGGAGAATGTGCAGCAGAAGGAAGTCGTGCAGGAGAAGCGGGATGAGGGGAGGGAGAAGGAGTCGACGAAGATGAGCGAGGATCACCCGACGCCAAACGACGACAGGATGCGGACGAGCGAAGATGACGGCAGCGAGGAAGAGTGGGAGAGGCTCCCCGCGCCACCCACCAGAGGGCGACCCGCGAGTCCAGTCAAGCCGCTGTCTGGCAGGCCAGCGAGTCCGGTCAAGCCACCGTCGACCTCGCAGGCTTCTACCTCGCACCCCGCGCCTCCGCAAACGCCCAACATGAAGGGCATCCGCGAGATGTTCATGCACCAGAAGCAGCGCGGGCTCGGGACGCCCGCGGTCGAGGCGGTCGGCGAGATGTTCGCGCCGCTAGAGGCGCCGGAGACACCCGTTCCAGGACCGCCGGAGACGCCGTCGACCGGGGAGACCGTGACGCCCTCGACGGGCGAGCTGGAGGCGGACGATGAGGCGACGCCGGGCGAGCGGGCCAGGGACGAGAATGAGTTGGTAGGAGACGCCCCGGCGGAGAAGCCGAAGAGCGGGCGGGTGATGAAGGGGAAGGGGAAGAAAGCCGCGACGGAGGTGCGTCCTTATGTTTGCAAAGGGTGACTCGAGCTGACTGGTTACCCCAGGAATCGCAACCGCCAGCTGTTGTCAAGAAGGCGACGCGTGCAAAGGCAGCTGAGGTCAGTCGAGTTTGTTCCTGTTCTTCATACGTGTCTAATGCTACTATAAGACCCCCGCCACGCGAACTCGTGCGACCCGGGCGAGCTCGAAGCAGCCCGAACCATCGGACGTGGAGGAAGAGGCGCCTCCGCCCAAGACCGCGGCGCGCGGACGACGCGCCAAACAGGCCGAGGAAGACGAGTCTACGGGAGAGGAAGCAGCACCTGCTACGCGGACACGGAAGGGCAAGGCGCCTGCTTCTGCGACCAAGTCGACCAAGACTGCAGCACCTCCTACGATTGAGGAAGAGCCCAGCAGCGAGGAGCCTGCGCCGCGGACGAGGACACGCACTCGCACCCGTACCACGCCGACACCGGAACCGGAAGTCCAGCCGAAGACTACACGTACGACGCGGAAGACGCGCACGGCGCCAACGCCTGAGCCCATCGAGGAAGAAGCAGACGAAGAGGCACCCAAGCGGACTACGCGTACGCGTAAGGCGACGGCGGTCAAGCGGGAGGACTCTGACGAGATTGCCCCGCTCGCAGGGCCATCGTCCGAGGCTCAAACAACGGGCAAGCAGCTGCGCAAGCCGACGTCGCGGGCGAAGATTACGCCAACGGCGAAAGCGGGCGCGTCTGCCGCCAAGGCGAAGGCGGGCACATCGGCGGCGAAGGAGAAGGCTGCCCCGCGCGCGGAGAGCCCGATGGAGAAGGAGAACACGGAGGAGCAGGCCGCGACGAAGCTCCGTGTGACGCGGCGCGGTGGGCGTAAGAAGGTGAAGGAGGAAGAGGAGGACGGGGTGGTCACGGAGCCTGAACCCGTTGTGACCAGGACCAGAGTGACGCGGTCGAGGGCAACTAGGACTTAAGCTTGTATACTCTAGATGAATGAACTCGCGACCAAGGGTATCTGCATCGCTAAAGGTTCTTTGAGAACACATCGAAGGTGATCACAAAGGGGCGCACGTGTTCAGCGAAGCAATGCCTGATAATTTGCGTCTCGTCCGCGTAGTCTCCGCCACCACCATACCCGACGCCTCTGCGCCAACACCGTCGCCTGCCATGGTCGGTCCCAAGAAGACACCTCTTGCATCCCTTGTCGAGGGTCTGCAGGATTCTACAGAGTATGGCGTCGGCGATCTCTCGACCATAGATCAAAGTGTCGCAGAAATCAAAGCCGTACTTGATCAGGCAAACGGCGGTCTGCCCAGCCTCTCTCGCGACCCGTCACTGCTTCTGAGGATGGAGGAGCGCCCGCACGGGAATATCTGGGAAGCAATCTTTGATCTGGGCACCATCCGACGTCTTGTGAACCTTGCAAACGAGATCGTGGACCTCAGGGACGCCACCGTGCAGTTCATGCATCGAATCTGGCGATTGCTCATGCCATGGCTGACTTACCTGCACCCCGGCAACGGATTCCTGCCGCTCATCGATCCTGGATACTCCAGGCAATCCATCGCATACATGGAAACAATGATTGAGCTATATTCTGCGATATTCCGCATCTCGACGGACACGATAACCCCCCAGCTCGTCGATCTCTTCAGGCAGACTCCGCACATCTACAGGATGCTGGTCGAGACCTGGCTCAATTTTCCGACGTATCTGCTCACGGACAAGGGCAGGTATGAGGGAACTCGATATCTCACCAACCTTGGCTACCTTGTAGATGCCATGGGGGCCGCGCTGGATTCTCAGCCCGGCCTTGTCGAAGGCGAACTCATTAGCGAAGTCCTCAGGGTGCAGATTCTAGCGGCGGTGAAGTCTCGCACGCTCCGTCTCTACGAAGGCGCTATTCACGTCCTGCGAGTCGGCCTGGACCAGTACATTCCTCGGCCCCCGCCGGACTTGGTGGAGAAATACGGTGACAAAATGAAATGGTACAGGCCCGGCGGTAGGGTGGACGCTCCCCACCCGCTTGCCGAGTACGCCATTCAGCGCCAACTACACATCTTGCTCTTCCTCGTCGACAAAATCCCTTTGCGCCACTACCCGCGCGATCTAATACGCTCCATCGTACAGCAGGCTTCTCGGATGCACACGGACGAGCAGCGAGTCGCGATCTGCAATTTCCTCGGATGGATCTGGTTCTTGGACGAGGACTGTCGCTCGATGACTTGGTCTATCCGCGATGGCATCCTACCTTTGATCGTTACGAACAACGTCAATGAGGAGCTGAGCTACGCGCTGAACATGCTGGCGATGAAGTCCGTTCACATGCCCGTCACTCGCGCCCTCGCCGCCATCGGAGGCCCGCCCAGCTTCAGCAGGAAGAACTTGCCTGACGAGGCGGCGGTCGCCGCTCTGGACGTAGAGCTCAAGAAGCGAATTGATATCATGCGCAGTCTGCACTCTCGCGTATGCTCTAATCCACAGGTAAGCGCCGTCTGACCTTTGTTGCAACACGCTCGCACGAAACTCACGTCTCATCAGTGCGCTTCCTCGGGTGAGCGAGCACGGGCGACGCGCCGCTGCGTATGCTTTGAGGCATTCTACTGCTCCTCGGAGTGTCAACGTGCGCGCAGAAAGACGCACAAAGATCATTGTATCGACAGGGCGCATCACAAGCTTGATCCGGGTCAGTCTTTCGTGCCCTGCACCCTCATTTTGGAGCCACCTTCTGACTTTAAACGACAGAAACGCCTTTCGAACGCCCTATCGACGCGTACTTTGTGAGCAAGCTCACCATGGACTACGTCGAGCGGTTCCATGACACGATCGTCGCCGACATCAAACAAGCCATGTCTGATACCCCGGGGTCGCTTACGTGCATCGTCACGGTCGACTTTACGATGATACCTACGCCCGAACATACAGCTCAAGCTGCATTCTCGGATACGCCAGAGCTACTCCGCTATGCGAGGAAGGCAGACGACGTGCTTGTGAAGGTTTGCCTGAAGATATTTGGTGGTGAAGCCACCGGTGCAGCAGTGGTTCTTCGCCTTTCCCTGTCAGACCTGTCTGTCCGTGCATATTAGACGGAGGCTTGATCAAGGACTCTTTTACAACTGTATAAGACAATGTTAATGATACATACAGCTCAGGGGGTTATCATCATTAGACAACTTACACAGCGGCTGCATGCCCTTTGTATATCCCGCAGGAATTCATTTTTCTTGAGAGAAGCATGTGCGCTGCATATGATATCATCGTATCAACGTACCGATACTTCCATTTAGTCTCCGTTAAATCCCTGAGTATGTACAGCGTTGCTTCGGTGAAGTTGAACTTGCCCCACGTGGATGTCGCACGTGACTGGCATGCACGACACGTTGCGGGATGTTGATCGAAATCGTCGCAAACCACCTTCACCACCTACGGTCATCGTCCCAAAGGCAGCATGCGCAGATCTACGAGAACTGCCGCCAAAAACAAACGTAGTACCCTCAACTCCAGCCCTTCTGGTCAGGACCAGCCAGCAACGGACAACGCGACCAAGCGACCCGCGCAGAGGCGGCAGCAGCGGGCACAGACAGCGCGTGACGGTCAGCGGACCCGGAAAACAAAGGAGGAGGCCGAGGAAGTGACGTCAGCGCTTGGGGATTTTGAGGGTGTTGAACATGTACCAATCTCGCCGATACATCGTCTCCCGTTCGAACTTCTCGCAGAGATCTTCCTGCAGCTTCGCGCACGGATCGTTGCCAAGGAGGGACCATTCCCTAACCCTACGTCAAAGATAGACGCATCGATTACCCGTGTTTGCCGGGCATGGCGTCGCGTGGCGTACGGCACACCGTCCCTCTGGGCTACGCTCACTGCAAATGATCTCGAGTTAGTCGACTCCTACCTCGAGCGATATCTGCCGCTTTCCAGGGGTTGCCTCCTCGACATTGTCTCCCAGCTACGTGGAGATTCTCTGATAGAGCTTCTGGACAAGCTGCGCCCGCACGCGTCGCAATGGCGGGCTGTACGCCTCCTTCCACATGGTCGGGAGCTTGGCCAGATTCTACCTCTGTCGACGCCGAGCCTCGAATACGTTCATGTCGTGGCGTTCGGCAGCAATTCGACGTACAACCATGTGTCGCTTGAATTTCTCGAGGATGCGTCACGACTTCATCACCTACACTTCGACGCTCGCTCTCTTTCTAACTTCACGCTCGCACTACCGATCACGTCACGGCTTGCGACACTCCAGCTGAAAGTCTTGTTCCTCAGCACGACGCGCATCCTACCGATTTTGCAGCAGTGTAACCAAACGCTGATAGAGCTCGACATTACCGCCCACGCGCATGGCAATACACGATGGCCCTCGGTAGGACCTGTCCATCTACCTGCGCTCAGGCGCCTCGTACTCGAAGGAAAGCCATGTGAGATCCTATCGGCATACATCACCGCGCCAATCATCGAGGGAGTAACCTTTGACTGTGTCCCCAGCGAAGCCAATCGGGCCTTGCACAGATTTCTTCAGCGCGTGCCGTCTGCAGCGTCGTGCCTTCGCCGCCTCAAGTCCTGCTACTTCCAAGACTTTCAGGCGGTGGAACCACTCTTGCAGTGCTTGCCCCTCATGACGCGCCTCGAGGAGCTCGATCTCGGCGACGTAGAGTTCAAGGCTATCATCGCGATCCTCAACAATCTCATTTGTTCCGAGGACGCACCGCCGTCGCTGCCCAAGCTCTCCGCGATCATGTTCACCGCCTACGGAACCAACGTTTCAACAGAGCTACCGCAACTCTACGAGGACTTCGCGAAGTCGAGGGCGTCCCAGAGGATTGTATGCGGGGTAGAAGTGGCGGAACTGCGCAGAGCGGATGTAACACTACATTGAGGAACGGCCCACTGGGTGTAGTTGTTCCAAACAAAGTGATTGTATAGTTTACCATACTCTTTACTGTGTCTCTGTTTTTGCTTTGTTGCCGAACTTGAACTTGCCAACTTGGACATGGAATTTCACGTGACGGCCACGGCGGGGCTTTTCCCGATCACGCCTCGCGCAGTCTTGTCACTCTTCAAGTTGTCTCGACCTTGCTCTCGAACGCCATTACTCCAACGTCGATATGCGGCAGTCTCAAGAAATTACCACGAATTCTCTCGGGAATGGACCCATTACTGCTATCAACGATAATCCCACCCTGCGAGTCTGTGGCGACCTTGCAAAGTGGCCCTCGCGAAGCGTGCAGCAGAGACAGGCAAAGCTCGTCGAATCGGACCCGCAACGCACCTCGCAAAGCTCCCCGCCGACAGAAATGTCGCCCGCGGCTCCGGGGGGTGACATAAGGGGAATAAAATCGCCGATACATTGTCTCCCCGTCGAATTGCTGGCGGAAGTTTTTCGACAGCTGCGCGCGTCCATTGTCGCTGGCGAGCCTTTCCCCGACCGAACGTCGAGATTAGACAAGACGGTAACCCGGGTCTGCAAGGCTTGACGTCGCGTTGCCGATGACACACCGTCCCTTTGGACCACTTACTCCGCACCAACCTCCGAGGCAGCAATGGGCTCCCATCTCGAGCGCCATCTCCCCCTCGCCAAGGACTAACCCATCGAGATTGTCTCCCCTTTCCCCTCGCATATCCTCTCCTCGCCTTCATCGAAAAGCTCCGTCCGTATGCGAATCAATGGCGCGCTGCGCGCCTCTTCGCTGACGGTCGGGAGTTGCGCTCAATTGAACCCCTGGCCACGCCAAATCTCGAGTATCTATATATCGAGACAGCGGGACCAGATGGAATGATCTCGCTGAACGCCTTTCAGTACACGCCCCGCCTCCGCCGCCTGCATGTCCGCGCTTCAACCAGCCTTCCCGATTTCGTGCTCGAGCTCCCTTCCACAGCGCGTCGGCCCCCGAGCTGGACATCACGAACCTCGATATCCCGGACATCCTTCCTATCCTTTGGCAGTGCAGCGAGACGCTGGAGGAGCTCGAGCTGGTCGTCCACTATCCCCATAATGGGCCCTCATTTCCGCCAACACTTGTACATCTCCCCGCGCTGAAGCGTATCACTCTTCGCTATGTGCCCTGTGAGGTCCTAGAGTGGCTGTCGGCGCCCAACGTGGAGGAGATGTGCTTGTATTGCGAGGCCAGGCAGGCCAGCATCGCTCTCCAAAGCTTCCATCATCGGGATCGGCACGCCGCGGCACACCTCCGCCGCCTTGGCATCGGAATCCCAAGCGCCTTCTCGGTTTTCTTCCTCATTCAATGCCTGTTGCTCACAACAAACCTTGAGGAGCTAGTGCTGGTAGAGAGCGCAGGCCCTCATCAAGCTCCTCGACGCGCTCACGTGTCGTGATAATCACCCGCCGCTTCTTCCCAGACTCAAGTCTCTCGATTTTTACCGAAATTCAACCAAGGAAGGGTTCTCTTACAAGGAGTTCGCGAAGTCGAGGGCGTCTCGGAAGGTTGTCTGCGGAGTGGAGATGGCTGCGCTGCGTGGCACTTGACGGTATGGTGGTTAGGGAGAAGGGATATCTGCGAATGCTGTTTGTACGGCATTTGTTTAATGCATAACTCGGTGTGAATATACCGCGGGCTGTCTTGCGGCTGGCTGCACTATTGCATGACCTTAACCCGGTATCTCTCCAAATCACAGATAGATTGTGGCATGTGTACGTGACATACTATCCTCAGAGCGTCTCCCTTCAGGTTAGAACAAGAGAGCTCGGAGAAAAACTTCAACATGCGCCTCCTCGGCACCGATGACTCACGTGTCGACCACGCGTCCCGCGCATCACCGATCGTGATCTGGCGGCAGCTTGACTTCTTACCACCATCACCTCCCCCCCCCAGAGTCGAAGACTCATCAATCTGGGCAATGGCGATGCATGAAAGCGCCGATAACGCCGCCAGTGATCCCCAAAGTGCTCGCAACCCAGTGGCAAACTCAACCGAACGTCGTGACAACGTCGTCAAGCAGAAAGCGGGCGAAAGACGCGAGGAAAACACAGTGGTCATACCCCGAGGAGGCGTTGGAGATGACATCGCCGTCAATAATGAATCCTACGAGATGAGCAAGTCGTACGCGGTACGTGGCATTCTAGCTGGCGTCTTCGGTGTGGCTTACACCGCGTGTAGGATGAGAAGTCCCACGATTTCGAGGGCCCGCCGTTCTTTCCAGAGAATAGCTCGTCGCGAGGTACAGAGTCCTTTATACTGGTAGCTCAAACCACTCCGGTACATCGCCTCCCGAACGAGCTGCTCTCGGAGATTTTCGAAGGATTCCTCGCTTCCTCGCTAGCAGAAGACCCATTTCTCGACAACCCTGTGGCAATGATCGCAGCCTCGATCGCCCGTGTATGTCGTACCTGGCGTCAAGTGGCCTACAGGACACCACGGCTTTGGACGCACCTCAAGCTCCCTTTTAGGCCCGGACGGCTCGACGCCTACCTTCAGCACTATCTGGTGCTCTCTCGTGGATTACCTCTTCATATCCAGCTCGCGAATGGCTCGATACCACAACTCGGCCCAATGAGTGCTTACTCGTCGCGTTGGAACACGATAGACTTACACGGCCGTGGCAGCGACTTTGCCGAGTCTCTCCCGCCCATCTCCACACCGCAGCTCGAAGGCGTGAATATCAGGCTTTCCGGCTGCACGCCTTCTGACCAAACTTTGAGCCTTGCCTTCCTCAAGGATGCATCGAAACTCAGTCGACTGGCGGTCATTGCGTCCAACGAGTCACATCTCTTCACACTGACGCTGCCGCTTGCGTCTCCCATCGTATCCCTCAAACTGGACATAGCAATGCTTAGGCTCTCTTGCATCATCCCACCACTACGTCAGTGTCGCAAGACGCTACGGGAGCTGGACTTGGCTATCTCTGACCCATACAGTACGGTGATCGGTCCCGACGAGGTATATAGAAAGCCCGTCTCTCTACGTGCGCTCAAGTCCCTCGTGCTGCGTCGCAATTCTATCGACTTTCTCAGATACATCAAGGCTCGACACCTCGAGGAATTAGTGTTCGAATTACCGGCAGCCCTCATTTCCTCAAACCTCCTCGCCTTCCTCGTCCGCAGCCCCTCGGCGGCTATCCACCTTCGCCGCCTGGACTTGCGATATCGCGACAACGATGCGGAAACGGAGACACTTCTGCAATGCTTCGAGCTCATGAGCAACATCGAAGAGCTGCGCGTCGTGACTGCCTCGCGAGCCGATGACGTCGGGAAGCTTTTTGGGGACCTCGAGTGCTGCGAGGACGAGCCCCCCTGCTACCAAGGCTGAAGTCGGTAAACCTACCTCGGCGCTCGCAGTCGGACGAATTCAGGGCTTTTGTACGCTCCAGGGCCATTGCCCGAGTGATTTGTGGGACGGAGGTAGCAGCGATGCAGATAGGTGAGCATTACTGGCCTTTTTTCGAAGCATAGTCTGATATTAGCGCGAAGATGACTAGGCGGCACGAAGTCCTTTGAACAACAAACACAAGCTTCTTACGCTTAGTCAACGTTACACCGTAACAATTTTCCTTTCCCTCGGAGATTGCGCTATGGTCCATTGTGCTCCATCCCGTCATATCCATCAAGCTGGTGCACAAGTAAAGTATGAAAAGATATACGACATATCTTTTTCGCTAGGAACCATATTTATGGCGGTTTTTGGCGAAGGCCAATGCATACAAATGTTGACTTTCGGCTCCGAACAATAATGACACGTGCTTGGTCTGCGCGCTTGTTACATATTTATAGTCTGACTGCAGGGGCCCAAGCGCTTAACTCATCTTGACCTCCTACCACGACCACCACCAAACCCATATCACAACATGCGCAGGTCGCAGAGGATTGCAGAACATGTGGCGGCGGCGAAGAACGAGAAGGGTTCCGCGTCTTTGGAAACTCGCTCTCGCGGCAGGACGAAGGCATCCACGAAGGGGAACAATAGCTATGGCGCCCCCATGAAGAAGAGTGGAGGACGTCCCGCCAAAGTGAGGCGTACTAATGTGGCAACCGGAGATGCTGAGGTGCGCTGTTGACTGCTAGTCGGCAAACGTCATTTAATGTCGGTGCTTCGCAGGTTCAGCGTCGTTGTGCGTCGCGCGAGGTCTCAACAAGCGCTTCGAGCCGTAGCAGTCAGTCTTCCGTGGACCATGAGACAGTTTCCACATCACCCATCCAGAGCTTGCCAACCGAGCTCATCTCGGAAATATTCCTGTGGCTTTTTACTGCGCTCATGGGTTCCGACGTCCCCAACCCCATCCCGACGTTCGTCAAGGCCGTATCTTTTGTGTGCGCAGAGTGGCGTCATATCGCGCACGGGATGCCCCAATTGTGGACGCACATTAAGCCACCCGGACGTCGTGATTGGTACGTCGACAACAGAATCGAAGCGTACCTGGATCACTACCTGCCTCTTTCAAATGGACGGCCCCTGCATCTGCGTCTGCAGCACCCTCACGAGGCGGTACTGCAGCAGCTTGCGCCGCGCCTGCAGGAGCTGCGCCTCGTGGGCATCCGGGGGGTGAGGCCCATCACGACACCCCTACTCGAAACCGCGCTACTCACAATGAGCGACTTGGGCCCCCATCCGTATTATCCCACCAAGGTCTCGCTCGCGTTCCTCCAGGACGCACCGCGCCTGAAGACACTCGACCTCGTCGTCCACAGCGCGGCCCCGGACTGCGAATTGACGCTTCCGCCGACCGCGCGCATCGAGGTTCTACATCTGGAGATCGAGTCTGTCTCCTTCGCTGCGCTCCTCCCGCCTCTAAGGCAGTGTCGCGCGACGCTCAGGGAGCTCAGGCTCCTGGTCTGCAGAACTCCACAAGCCAGTGCTGGCGCCAATCAAGTTATCGCGCCCCTCGTGCTCCCCGCCCTCCAGCATCTCGTGCTCCAGTGGAACGCGCACAGTCTCCTCGGCTTCATCGCTGCGCCCGCGCTGGAGTCTCTCTCATTCGAGGCGCAGCAGGGCAACTGTAACGTGGGCGAGATATTGCTCGGGTACCTCAACCGCGTCCAGCGTATAGAGCCTCCCGTCGGGCCCTGCATGCTCAAGAGCCTGCACATCGAGAAGGTCCCAATGGTCGGCAGAGCAGACGAGCACATCGAACGCTGCCTCCAGCTGACGCCAAACCTCGAGGAGCTCCGCATCGGCGAGGGAGCGTGGCGTGCGCTGGGGCGCCTCCGGTACCCATACGAGGCTGGCAAGCCTATCTATGTGCCCAAGCTCAAACTGCTCGCGGTCGATTTCAGTGAGGTGTGGGAGCCAGTCTTCGTCGACAAGGGCTTCCTCAACACGCGCATGGAGCCTACAGTCGCCTTCGGGACGCCGGTGAGTGCGGTGCGTGTGGTGCCGTACAATGAAGGTGGTAGAGGCATCGTTGAGCTTCCCGCGCGCGAGAAGTTCGTGGATGATTATGACTCGGACACGGAGTCGCCAAAGCGCGATGTCAGCAGCTGGCTTGCTAACTGTCGGAAGGCCAAGTGATACGGGACATGACTCCTTTCGCGTACCTGTGATCACAGATCGCTTTCGCGAACTTGAGGTTGTTATTATGAATGAACAATGATTTGTCGAAGGATTTCAGGACACTATCAATATAAGCACACTATAGGACATGTTCACATGCTTAGAGAACGTACACCATGCTCTCGTACCTCTAGAATCTTGACATCGCTCGAAAACAAAGAACACTCGTCGACGTCCGAATAGAACACCGACATCTCAATCTTCCCGGTCGAACCGCTTCCAAGCGTGTTTCTCGTACGCGATGTCCTTGTAGACGCGCTTCGTGGGCCTGAAGGAAGGAAAGGCGAGTGAGCGAGTTGTACGAAACAAGGTGAACAAAAGAGCAGATATGCCGAAGGAGACACGCACATCACCCGCACGCGCGGCTCGACCAGCGCCCGATTTTGTAGGCTCACGAAGCGGTCGCGGAAGAGGTTGCCTTCGGGCTGTAGGGGCGAGGTCAGTGTCATGTAACAGCAATGTCATGAACGGGTGTGCGAGCTCGATGCAAGTTCAACGCTCCAACGCAAGGACATGACGCCCAACGAGTTCGAACAAGTCGCATGGCAGACCAAACCTCACCTTCATCGCCCGAAGACTACCACTCAGGTCCTCACCCAGCTGCACATCGGGTACAGGTACCGGCACCTTGTGCTTTCCGAGCTTCTGGCCGCGCAGACCTTGTAGGCGAAGGCGGGCGGCGAGGGCACGACGGCGCTGAGAAAGATGTGGTTAGTTATCGTTCATGCAAGAAGGGGTGGTACGGAAGGTAAATACGGGCGGAGATGGGAAAGTCCCGGCGCAGAAGGGGCTGTATGATAAACGGGGAAGGGATGCTCACCTCCTCTATCTTCTCCTTCCGCTGGCGTGCCTCCCATGCTTGTCTTCGGCGGAGGGCACGAGCACCAGTCACTGAAGCCAGCAGCCGTTTTCTATGTGCGCGTTCTGCGAGGGCTTGCGCCTATAGAGATATCGTTCGTCAGCTACCGGATTGTAACAGAACAAGTTATCGGGAGCGCACCTCTGCCTTCGCCTTCGCCTGTCTTGCACGCTGCTGCTTCGTTTTCCTAGACGGGGCAGGGCGAGGGATGCTGTCCTGGTTCTCGGCCTCCTCTTCCTCGTCGTCGACGATGGGCGGGACGAGCATGCCGGGGCGGCCAGTGGGATCATATGCAGGCGCGTTTTCGCGCGCGGCTTGCAGGCGGGCTTTGATGTCGGTGAATCTGAGCAAGGGGTTAGATTACGGCGATCACCCGAGAGTAGCGGGGAAGATGAAGGATGATAAACAGTTGTCCAAACGTACTTCTCTTCCTCTGCAATCCGCTGCTGTTCAACCTTGTAAGCTTCGAGCAGGAGGTCTTGATGGGCTTCTAATGGGGGATTGTAAGATGCGCCGGCGTGGGGGGCTTCAACGGCGGGGACATTAATGATCTCTCGAGGGGTAGAGAGCTTGGGGGCCTGCACCTCGGTCAGTATACGTCCAGAAAGCATGAGCTGGCGACGCACCTTCACCGGCTTCGGCTTGATGGTCTCGGGCAGCTCCTCCTCCTCCGTCATGTCTGCATCCACCAAGCTGTTCCCCCACACGTCGTACTTCCCGCTCTCCTTCACCGCCTCGCTGAGCTCCATCAGCGCGCTTCCCTTTCCCATCTCGGACCCATCAACGTGCGAGCCCAGCGGCCCACGCTTCGTCCGTCCCGCCGTGCGTAGTAACCGCTCCTTCTCCGCCTTCGAGACCGATGCTGGTTTGCGCTTCATGCCCACCACAGCGGGCACCGCCGAGCGCTCGTTCAAGATCGCCAAGCTCGTCAGCTGGCGCTTCGCCTTTGGAATGGCCCGCCGCACATTCTCGTCCCCCGTCGTATCGATGGTGAACAGGCCCGCATCTGGTTGCTCGTGCACCGCGGTACCCAGCACGCGCTCTTCCTCACGGCGCTCCTCGAGACGCTCCTCGACGTCGTCGATGTCGATGTGCTTGCGCCATGCACGCTTGCCCTTGCGGCTACCCTGCGAGCGCTGCGCGGGGACGCCGAGTCGCGCCGCGCGCGTCTTTTCTGTCGTCGTCTTCATGATGTGCAGGGTGGGGGAACTTGAGAGGTGCGAAATCCGAAAATGTGATCGCTGATCGGCGCGGCTGATGGCGTGCGACGCGACGCCACATATTCACCACGACCTTGTCCTCCGCGTCGACGATGGCGGCAGACGCGACGGCATCGACTTCGACATCGGCAAAGTCGAACAAGACGCCTGGAACGGTCAGAGTGACATCTTCTGGAAAAATCCGATATTATGTCGCGTACGCGCTTGAACGACTGCAGGACGCGCCCTCTGAACCGCTCATACTACGCGTCGACTCGACTGTCGCGATGTCTCGCCTTATCTCTGTCGCCGAGATCGTCAAGCGGGAGTATCTCACCGAGCTAGACAAGAAGAAGAGCACAAGACTGAGCGGCTTGCATCAATACAACTTCATCGGCTACACCGACGGCGCGCAGTTATCGGACAAGGGCAAAGGCAAGGAGAAGGAAGTCAGCCGCCCTGAGGCTATCCTTGACGCTTTAAGCGGATCGAAGCAGTGAGCCTGATTCTTTGTACCCGCGAAAGTAGAAAGAACTCATGCACGTAGCATCGTGCAACGCCAGCTCCCTTGGATGTCGATCACTCTCAGCATTGAGCCTTTGACCGGCCAAGCTGGCAGGTGTGTTACTCTAGCTTTCCTTTGTAGGTTCATGCTGATCATCATCTCCTCCTCCCAACGTTACCAACGGCTGCACTACTGCCTACTCCCTTGCACCTGTCCCACTACGCCCATTCCCCTCGCATAAACGCCACGCCACTCCACTCCAACACAGCTACCAACAGCCCCTCCCTCGAAACCTTACAAAGTCTGCCAAAACGCGCGCAAAGAAGCGAGCGCGGGCGGAAGCAAGGCAGGCCAAAGAAGTCGACATGTCCATGGGAGCCGACGATGCCATGGACGCAGAAGGCGCCCCAGGCGCAGACGAAACTATGGACGGCGACGATACCACGAGTGCGGACAAGACTATCGGTGCGGACGAGACCATGGCCGATGATGGAGGTGGAGGGTGCGCAGAGGACGCGATGGATACCGCTGCCGATGGCGCGACAGCTTCGTCCAGCTCGACACAGCGAGTAGTCAAGCCGCTCCCGGGGAAGAAGGCGTCGAAGGAACCGGGGACGAAAGCTTCAACCAGTGACGGAAAGAAGTCTTCGACTAGCGCTGGAGGGAAGACCACGACAAGCGTCGGGAAGCGCGCGTCCACGTCGAGCAAGACGCAGCCCTCCGCGAGCACCCCGCGTACCTCGTCGTCGAAGAGTGCCACCCGAACGCAGCCTGCAACCTCGGCCTCGACTAGATTGTCTGGCACGTCCGCGCAGTCCCAACCGCCACCGAAGAAGAAGAAGACTTAGACGATGCCCTCGTTGGAATCAGCGTCTTAGAAGATGCGCACGTCGTCCATACTAATGCAGCAAGCCTCTATCCTAACGCAGCGCGTCACCCTGCTGCAGCGGCCCACGCGCGCTGGAGATTAGACCCTATGGTTCACGAAGTCCTGCATATAGGCGGTGACCGCATATACCACACAGGGCTCCTTGCCGGCGGCTGAGCTCTCGTCCTGCGTTTCCGCGCGCCACGGGTCCCTCAGCGGAAGATGTTCTCCGACGAGCGATGCTGTCGTATCCATGTCGCTTTTGTGAGGAACGGCATGTAGGAAGTGTCGTTGTATGTCGCTGTTACGTCTAGGATTGCTGTACTTAATCGGACCGTGGGGCAACTTGGAGCTCATTACAATCTCGACGATAAACAATTGCAAGAAGTCAGGATATAGATGTCGCCTATGAGTGCTTTGCGCTAGTGTCCCCGCATGCAATTCTTGGTCATCGAGCTTGACTGGCGCCCCTTCGGTAACGCATCTCAAGGTCGTCTGTTCGGATTGTTGTCAGCTTGGACCGATGGGTTCATGGATACAACGCGCACCTAGTTCACCCAATCCATCCTCTACAGCGCGGATCTCCTCTACGCGCGTCCCACATACCATCCCATGCCTTCGGAGGTCATCGAACTGCTCCGACCTCGCGATGCTGCTACCAAAGATCGCTAGCTTGAGTTTGGGAAGGAGGGCCGGACGTCCCTGGTCATGACTTTGGAGAAGTGATATCATCCTGCAGTCGCCAGGCGAATATGATTGGAATCGGAGAACCTCGACTTGTTCAAGGCGCTCGAAGCATTGCAGCAGGGTTGCGTAGACGCTGGGAGACGTAAAGCAACTTCTGAAGTACATTTTGCGCAGATGCGTTGCCACCGATGGGACCCGAGTCAGGTAGGCCAGGAGAGTCGCGGGTGCGTGATCGCCGGGTCCTTGAAGGAGTAACGTTTCGAGTATGGGTGTTGTGATAAGCTTCAGAAATCTGCACGTTTTCCTGTATAGATAAAGGGCTCTGAGGGCGGGAAAGACAATGGGGACGTCCGCCGGCGGCACTTCATCCGGCTGCAGGTCGCAGATGGTCAACCTGAGATCCTCCAAAGCCATGCGGCATTGGCGAAGAGGTGCGAGTATGGTCGATATGGAGAGAATGGTGAAGTCCAGATGTAGGGATGTCAGGGGAGCCGTCGGTGGGAGTGTGAGGGTGAATTTGGGCCCTATAGTCTGTGCATGGATGCGCAGCCGCGTCAACCGCGGCGCATCGGCCAGCCAGCGGAGAGAGCATCGATTGTCTCCATTATTCGACGCCATCTGCACAATCCAGAGGAACTTCAGCAGCGGTGTCGCAACAGCGTCTACCTCATCGAAGTTCCTGCCGTATCCCCATAGTCTCAGAGTTTCCCACTGTGAGCTGTAATCCCGAATCATTGACATGAAGTGGGGGAGCGGTTCGGCGTGTACTGAGGAGCTAATCTGAAGTGGGCAAGAACCAGAGAGTGGAAGATATCGCTGCAGATACTTGTGCGGCTGTCCACGCCAACTGACGTTGATATAGACCCAGAGTCGAGGAGTCGCGTACGCAACGCGCCGCCAGGTCTTGCAGACACTTGTGATAGTACGATCCAGCATGGGTGACGGGTTATGAGCGTAAGGACCGCTGAGAATGATGCAGAGCAGCCACAAAAAGATCTCGGAGAGGATCTCGTCGGGAAGGCGGTTGATTGGGATGATAGAGCAGACGTCGGCGGGCCTTGAAGAAAGTCGAGCGGTTTCAGACGTTCTAGCAGGCTGCTGACACAGGCGCCCGGTCGCAGGAGACTTCGTGGGCTGTGACGGCTACAGGATCTGTTCACTATTCACTTCAATTTGCAGAGACGAGCAACATACCTTCGCAATCGCGTCCCCGGTCTGCAGAGGATTTCTCTCCTGTGTTTCGTGACTGTCAGGTTCCTCTTGTCTCCGGCGTTGCTTGCGCGTCAGCCGCTTAGCCTCGTCGTCGCCACTGGTTCGCGCGGTCGCATTCAGAGGTTCCGAAGTACCGTGGGCAGTCGCATTCGCTCGCTTGCCGCGAGACTTAGCAGAAATCCTTGCAGACCTTCGCATGCTGTCTTGAGATGATGATGGCGGTCGGAAACAAGGTCGGACCAAGGCCGTCTTCGGGACGATCGTTCGGGACGATCAGTGATGCGTGGACCGGTCGCGTGGTTATCACGTGAGCTTCCCATGTTCGAATCTGGCTCCAATGGCGTAGCAAATTATCTGCATACCTGTCTCTCCGCGCGCCAGCGCCTTCCGAGTCTTCATCAAATAAGGCGGCTAATATCTTGCGTGTATGTTACAACAGGGCCTTCCTCACTGACCACATCGAGTCTATCGGACGAGTCGTGTAGGTACGCGTTGTCTTGAGGATGCTGTCTGACACTGCGCGATTGTTATGCATGCTAATTTCGGACGTGTTGTACTGGAAGGACATTTTCTGTAGCCCGAGTTCGCGTAGCTTGGTATCTACCCAATTGGGAAGGCCTTGAGTACGCAAAAGGCAGCGCGCTCGACGCCTGGTAGATAGCCAGGGCACAATGTTCCAAACAGATACCTATCTAGGTAGAAGCGATGAGGTGGGACGTCAATTCTAAAGGCGGAGGAGTGCCCCTGTACAAAGAGCGACTATGATAAGCATAGCGACGCAGCTTCAGGCATGGCGCAGCGCCTCCACCTCCACCCCGCACACAACCCTCCTCACCGCCCTCGACTTCTTGAAGCCGTTGTACATTGTCGTTTCCCTTGCTTGATACTCGCTGAATTGGATGTAAATCAGCTTGGGCAACAGCGGCGCCACACCGTCGCGGCACGTAAGCCCCCAGAGGACTTCGCCGACAGCTTCCGCTCCGATGGGACCTAGCCTAAGCTCCTCGACGTTGCTCGTAATCTCCAAGCACTGCATGAGGTCCTCAACCGACTCCGCGCTTTGATTCTGCACCTCGAGGCGCCGGAGATGCGCGGCGGCGGATGGAACGCGCACGAGGAACTCGAACAGCGCCGGGTTGGCTTCCTCGGGATCGCAGTCGAATGAGATCTCTTCCAGGTTTGGCGCGGCGATGTAGCGCAGGACATCGCATGGCCTATATCGGAATGAGATGCGCTTCAGGTTCAGAAACTCGATAGGCTGTCCTGGGGAGCGCCTGCGACGAGGGCGGTAGATGGTCACTTCCAGCTCTTCCAGCGTCTCGCGGCACTGCTGGAGGGTTGGAAGAATGCACGCGATGTCGAGGCAGGTAATCTGCAGCTCGAGCGTCGTGAGGCGCGACGTTGGTGGGAGCACGAGCGACAAGTATGGGGGCGAGGTCGTCGCATGCAAGCGCAGGCGACGAAGACGAGACGCGTCCTTCAGGAACTCGAGCGATATATGACTATCGGCCTCCTCGTATCCGGCCGTCATGATGTTGATATACTCGAGGTTCGGCGTAGCCAGAGGTTCGATTTGGCCGAACTCTTTGCCGAGGGAGAAGAGGCGAAGGGCACGCCATCGCGACGCGTACGGACGCAGTTTCTCTAGAAACATCAGAAGGATGTCCGCGCACCGGCGAGTGAGCAGATCGAGGAGGCAGCCACTGGCGAGGGGCAGGTAGCGTTCGAGATACAAGTCGATTAGCTTGGAATCCTGGGACGTTAGGTTGGTCCATAGAGTGGGGGTACCGTAGGCAATGTTGCGCCAGGTCTTGCAGACACGGGTGATCGTTTTGTCTAGCTTGGGGATTGGATCGGGGAAGGGCTCTCCGTCGGCGACGATGGACGCGCGTAACTCGAGGAAAATATCGGAGAGCAGTTCAGCAGGTAGTATGTTGATTGGTGTGGCCGATTCGTGATCGCCGTATGTCGCAGTCATAGGTAGTGATTGAGGGGCCACGGCAAGACGCGTGTCAGGTTGTGTCTGCTGTGGTCAATGCGTCAAAAAGCGTTTCCTGCCTCCATATTGACTTCCATACCTCAGCAAAATCCTGTTCAATCTCTTGATATTGCTTGGTGGGGGATCCCTCTATTGTGCGATCTACAGATGCTGGCGTAACGCTTTCACAACTATTTCTCGCGGCGTGCTCGGCGCCTTCGTTCCTGCCGGACGCCTTCTTTGTCTTCTGCATTTTCTTGCTATACTTGCGCTTTCTGGAGTTCGAGTTGCGGCCCATGATGAGGGAGAACGTGTGATAGAAAGTCTGCTTGGATGGTTGAAGACAAGGCGCAAACGCGCGGCGGGCGAACGAGATCGGCATCAGCCGCCACGTGCGCGGCGGAAAGCACGTGTTCGGCTCGCCGGATGGTTTTTGCTTGCGCCATGTTCTTCTTCTGCCTGTTCAGAGTATCCAGCTCTGTGTATTTTGCCATTCCATGATCAGCGAAGTAGCTACTAATGCTATCGGTTCATATAAATACTGTAAAGGACGTCCAGCGCCTGTAAGTAACACTCCGAGGATGCATGATCTAGCAGCTACATCTTCTACTTCTAGTGCTTCGTCTATGGCTTCTACTCTATAGATATATAGTTCGTCATCGTTATGGGGTCGATCGTGAGAATGAAGAGGCTCGCTCGTAAGAATGAAACAGTCCTTAGAGGGTGTACTGCCCAAAGAACGGGAGCAGTACCTCCTCCGACAGGTTGAACGGCGCGTTGTGCGGACGCGACGGCCACATGTGCGTCATTCCGAGTACCCGGTAGCGGCGCACCTGGCCGGCGTCTCCATCGTTGCCCCACGTCCACAGGTGCACATCGTCGTCCCCGTTCAGCCGCGAGCAGTCGTAGGAGTCACGCTCATGTCCGTTGCGTTCCGCCCAGTCCTTCGCGAAGTCGCTGATGAAGGGAAGGTTGTGAAGATTGGTCTTCGTCTTGGGGTTTTCACCCTGGAAGTGGACGGTCGGATCGCCATCGCCATGGGTAAGAAGGACGGGGACTTTGCGCCCGGGGTCGCACTTGCTGCCTGGATGCGATGCAGGGTAGTACGCGCCAGAGGCCATGCCAAAGGCGGCGACGCGCTTGTTGATGGAGGGCGTGCAGGCAAGTAGGTGCGTCTGCGAGCGGTGTTAGCGCGGGTTTTTCATACAGATACGTGCGTGAACTCACGAAGCCGCCGCCATTGGAGAAGCCGGAAGCGTATATCCGACTGGTGTCCACGCACAAGTTATCGGAGAGCTCATCAAGGATCGCGTGCACGAAGTCGATCTGCGCACCATGTCAGACGGAACAGGAGTGCGCACGCGCTGAAGACTCACGTCATCAGCGTCCGACTCCGCGTACGGCGCACCATCCCACGACGCTCCGCCGCCCTTGCCGTCCAAGCCCTGCGGGTAGACGGCGATGATGCCCTTGTCCGCGAGGCGCTGGCGGTGGTACGATAACTGCGAGTCACCTTCCTGGCCGAAGGAGTTGCCGGCGACGCCGTGGAACGAGAGCACGACCGGGGACGAGGAATCGGCGTCGTAGTCGTCAGGGAGGTGGACGAGGTACTTGCGCTTGTTCCCCGCGACGGTGGTGTGGTGCATGTGATGGTTGTTGTCGTTGAAGTCCCAGGAGGACTTGCTGCCGCATCCTGATGATTTGGACGCGCGGGAGTCTATCGCGGAGGGCGCCGCGAGCGCGGGCTGCGCGAGCAGGCTCAGCAGGCTGGCGAGAACAAGAGCCGCCGCTGGTGCTGATCTGCGCGTCGAACAAGAAGCTGAGACCATCGTATCAGCGTCGTCGGAGTTGCGAGGGGGGAAGGCTTGGCTGCCGCTCGATCTCAAGGCCAGCGCTTAAGTACCTTTTGGAAACATGGTGGAAGAGTAAGAGAACCGGAGCACAGCCTGTGCATCGTGGATGACGCACCCTGAGATAAACGTCTACACTACACGCGAGGCGCAACGAGCGCGTGTTCGCCCAGATGATACCCGACGACGAAGTTTTGACGAAGGTGCGCGTTGCAAGGGAGCATGGTAGTTGCATGTCAGCGGCTCCGCGCCGTTATGCTGTGCCCGCCAAGACCAGAATCTGCGCCCGGGGTTGCTGATCGCGATCGACCACCGATGAATGCTGACAACGGGCAAGGGGGACTGCTGGGTGTAACTTTGCGTCCCCAACTTCATCCTACATTTGGGTGGACTATACTTACCGAAGGCGCTACCTACACTTGGGAAGGAGAAAAAGCAAAAGGTAAGGGCCTAACTGGGAATTGAACCCAGGACCTCTTCCATCTTCGCGCCAAGCGGCGCGGGCAGCTAAACCCGAAGGAAGAATCATACGACTAGACCATTAGGCCTTGTTTAGTGTCCTCAATTTTATTGGCCACAAAGCTGCGCATGTCATCCATATTCAACTCAATCCAAACTTCATCCAGACAGGGTTTGACACTCATCAATAGAAGACATGCAGCACTTGAGGAATGCTTTGGATAATGAGTTCTGCGGTTGCACGTGGCCAGGCCTATGCGCAAGCACGCAAAGCGACGAACCTTGACCGCCAACCACCATCTCTCCGAACGGCGTTCACCTCTTCGTCTTTGCACTGAGCCCTCCTTCTCGATAGCCTACTCTTCTATGGCCACAAACGCGGTCGAGTTGCGGAGCCTCGTTGAGCGTCTTCAAAAAGAATCAGAAGACGGCGATTCTTCGGGAAAAGCACAGACCATCTCGCAAATCAAAAGCGCTCTTCTCCAGAAATATGGCGGCCTCCTCGAGATCACTGGCGACCCGTTCATTCTACAAGCATTGTCAGCGCATGGTCGCCCATCCGGCTATATCTATGCCGCTCGAGACGAACTCGGTACTGTCAGACGCCTTTTGGTGGCCCTCAACACAGCACCGGAGTTACTCGATATCACCGACCAGCTCATGCATCGCATATGGCCTTTCGTTATGCAGTGGCTTGACTTCCTGCATCCGGGCAACGAGTACTTACCCCTCACCTATCCTTCGGATCCCGAAACGCTCGATTATTTCAATGAGACGTTGCCACTCTACGCCGCCATATTCACGGGAAAAATTGCGGCTCGGATGAAGGACCTCATACTCCAGACACCGCGCATCTTCCGATACGTCGTCGAAGTTTGGCTTCGCGCACCGGAATATCTGGCTGTTGGCACATGGTTCTTCTACCATGATCGCTTCTTCCTCGACCTCGACTACATCATGGACGCGATGCACGGCCTGCTGTACATGCAGTCTGAACGCTCGGATATAGCGACTATCGGTCCCGTTCTGAAGGCGCAGGTCATGGCAGCAGTCAAATCCCGCGTTGTAGACCTATACAAGTGCGCCATCAACCTCTTACAGGTCTGCTTCGATCTGGAAGACGCAGACGACTGGGTCGACCGTATCATCGAGCTCCACATATTGCTTCTGACCACCTTCGTCGACGAAATCCCCCTGGCGCACTACCCGCGAGACCTGATGCGCAGTATCGTTCAGCAGGCTCTGAGAACGCGCACAGAGAAGCAGAAGTGCAACATCTGCAACTTTGTCGGGTTCATCTGGCACCTAGACAAGAACAGCCGCTCGATGGCATGGGCCATCCGCGACAGTATTCTACCTCTCATCATCGCGAACGGCAAAACCGCGGCTGGAGAGTTGACCTACGCGATGAACAAGGTCGCTTTCAGGTCGGTCTACCTGCCTGTGGTCCGCGCGCTTGGAGCCAACGGCGGCCCTCCTGCATTCGCCGGGCCGGCGTGGGGTAACAACGAGGCGTACTCTGTCAACTTGGACAAAGAGCTGCAGAGGCGTGTGAAGATTGCGCGCAGTCTGCACTACGGTGTCTGCTCTTATCCAGACGTAATGTTCTTCAGTGGTTTATTACGCTGTGAGAGGCTGATTACATTTGCAGTGCGGTTCCGCCAGTGGGGAGAAAGCTGTGAAGACGCGCCGCTGCGTGTGCTTCGACGCATTCTACTGCTCGAGAGAATGTCAGCGCGCGCATCGTAAGGTGCATAAGAAGATATGTGTAGACCGAGCCCATCGACAGCTGGATCCCGGTAAGTCTCCCGATTCACATAAGCGCTCGCGACATTGTATGTCTGACGCGAGAGACCTGCAGGGCTGCCCTTCAAAAACCCGCTTGAAGCCTTCTTCGTGAGCAAGCTCACGTTGGACCACATTGAGCGCTCCCGCGACGAGATCCTTGCCCGTATCAAGAAGAGTATGGAAGACAATCCGCAGGCGCTCACCTGCATCGTCGAGGTCAACCTTGCGACGCTACCTGCGCCCACGTACAAAGTCCGCGCCCTGTCGTCCTACGCGCCTGAGTTGGTGCAGAGAATGATGCGGCCGGACGAGGTGCTTGTTAAGGCGAGGCTGAGGGCGATGGATCCTGTCATCACGGAGCTTGTGGTTTGTGTCCTTCGCCTCGCGCTATCAGATTTGTCTGTCCGGGCGTACTGACCGAGCCATGAGGCATTGTATGTAGTTCTGAATTCACGGTACCTTCCGGCTGAGCAAAAATTCGAGATTCTCAGTACACGAATGCGAGTGTTACGAAACTAAGCGTAGACCCGAAGCCCCGGTGGATACTACATAGCAGATACTATATCAGAGCGCGGGCCATGCTGTATAGGGCCGACAGCGGCGCCATATGTGCGTCCACGGTCGCCATATGCCATCTCCCCACCGAAGAGTTGACCCGAGCCCGAACAATGACCATCGGCTCTGTATCGTCCTCCTCTCCATCATCAACGCATACACAGCATTGCATAGGTACTGTCGTGTAATCAAGCTTGATGATATAGAGCGGCTGGAGGGATGTATTCTCCCGCAGAGGAAGCGCTAATGCCTCATCCACGACTTGCGCTATATGGGTACAGACGTAGACGTCGGCGCACAGCATGGTGAAGTGGGCGTCAGAGGACGTGAGTTCCCCTAGTAGCAGGTGAATTAGACCGACGTCGTGACAAAACTGCATTTGAGCGTACCTTCTAGTACCATTTCCTGAGGATCCGACGGTGGCAGCTTGGGTCCGTGTTTGACCTTCTTGTGCTCTGGCCAGTCCGCTTGTTGGCACGCGGCGGAGCAGTAATTTTGAAAGCACGTGCAGCGATACACCCGAGCATGGAAGGCTGAACGTCCCGCAGGACACTAAATAGCGGTCAGCCTCAAATTGTTGTGCAAGAAAAGACCACGGTACCTGCTCGTAGCTGCATTTTCGGCCCATCTGGTCCTGCTGCAACGACGGTCGGTCGACCATGCACTCGGTATAGATGGTCGCCAGCGGCTCCGCGACGCCTGCCTCGCGGAATGACATCCCGTATCCACCCACTCTCAGCGCGCGCGCGACGGGTACGCTGATCGAGCGCTCTGCGATGAAGTTGAGCGCATTTGACAGGCTCTCGTCTGTGCCCTGTCGACGTAGGGATAAGATGAGGGGCAGGACACCCGCGCGAAGTGCCCAGCAGAGCGCCCGACTTCCGTTGTCCTTTTCAGCGAACCAGATCTGATAGAGGACCCCGCACGCCTCGCACGCTGCGCCGTGCCCCCTGCCCCCGAACCGCCGACCGATGATGCGGATGATTTCTACAAGGCCCCTGACGACATTTCGGGAATGATTTTGGATAACAATGTAGTTACCGACGCAGAGGCGGAGGAAGTAGATGTAGCGCTCGGCGCATTGAGTGGGGTCAATGGGCGTCATGAGGATTTTGGTGATGCTTCGAACTATGCGTCGATACAAGCGGCGCGGGCGGTGTCCGCAAAAGACGAGTAGGGCTTCGACGATCCCATCCCTCGCTCTCGATTTGGGCGACGGTGGTTGGTCAAGCCGTACCATCACCTTGTCCATCATGAATACGAGGCTTGCCGCAACACGGTCGTGATACAGCTCGTGCGTTTCCAGTGATCGAAACACCTCTGGCGATGGAGGATCGAGCCACATTTTGAACACCAAGATATGGAGGCGCGCGGCCTGCGTGATGTCCAATGCGAGATCGAGCTCCAGGCCATGTAGGAGAGCAAGCACGTCCGTACAGAGAAAGTAAAGATCGACCGGAACATTTGCTAGATGCCCATTCTGTGGCACGAGAAGCTCCATCCAGTCGATGATGAAGCCAGATCGAGGGCGAATGCAATGGACGATAGTGTCTCGCAAGAGGGGTTCCTCATCTTTGGGTATCCAGGTAAGCTCTCCGAGCTCGGCCAGAACTCGAACAGGCGCCGGCGGCAAGGTAATTGGTGATCTGCCTCGCGAAGCCGAGGTGTCGGCAGCGAAAGGATTTGTATCCAGGCTTTCCAGGGGCATCGCGCGCAGGGCTTGCTTGAGTCGACTTCGAGTCTCGCTCCGAGGGGGATTTCCGGGAGAATCAGGAGGGTCTCTCAGCAGACAAGCAAGCTGCTTGATACGCCCGATAGTCGGGCTAGTAAGAGGCATCGTCGAGGTTGAGCTGTGATGGACGTCACGCTCAGAATAATGCCGCGGCACCCTTGGTCACACCTTAGCGCGACGGTGACTATTTGTCACGCCTCGACGGTTCAGTCCGGCTCAAGAGATAGCAGTAAAAGTACAATTGGCGCTAGCGCTATTAGTATTACGATTAAGGGCCAGCCTAGGTATAGCGAGACTGAGAAACTCACTGTAGGTACGTGTCTAGGAAATCGTAAAGGAGGGAGAAAACGGTCATAAGAATAGATAGAGGAATAGATAGACGAGAGCTCGTGCCGGACGATTCAGATGATACGCGTACCAGACGACCAGACGCCGTGCCAGACGACCAAAAAGCGGTCGATGACCGAGAAAAGAACGAATGGGAGATATTCTACACAGGTGGACCAGAAGGTGCCAGGCCAGCGAAGGGGGGTCAGAGATAGGGAGACTGGAGACGAGCGATCGTGTATGCGTCGTGGATGGAAATCAGGAAACAAGGAGCGTGGGCGTCGTAACATTAACGACTAGGGCAGAGCGATTAAAGGTTATTGATAGGGTGTGGTCTTGGGTGCCAGCGTGTGAATGAGGTCAGTGCACGCCAGTGCGGTCGAGTGCAACGCGAAGGACGATTCGATGCAGCGACCTGCGGAATCGGTAGTGGGACTAGCGTTCTGTCGTCGAACTCCATGTCCCCCGCATCTCCTGCTTCACCGCAAGCGCGACCTGTTTCATGAACTGGGAGGCCTCCTTCGCGCGCGTCTGCCATGTTAATCAGCTTCATGCACGTCCCCTCCCACAACAAGGGGACTGTTCTCCGCCAGCGCGGAAGAGAAATAAGAGAACCTGGACGCACCGCGATCTGTCTCCCTTTCGCCTTCGTCTTGCCGTACGTCGTTGCCACATATCCCTTCATTTGCTTCGCACATGTGCCGTTCATCGAATGCTTGACGCGCACCCCATAGTGCCTAACCCGCACCCCGTAGTGCTTGACCTGCGCCCCGTAGATCCTCATCCGCCCCCGCCTCCCCGGCTTCCCGTGCCAGTTGAAGCTAAAGCGCGGGACCGCGGGCGTGGGCGGGGTGAAGAAGGACCAGGTATCGTCGGGGTACGCGTGGGCGTTGGCGACGCGGTGCGACGTGGAGACGCTGGCGACTCGGTGCGACGTGGAGACGTTGGCGACTCGGTGCGACGTGGAGACGTTATCCTGGACAAACACAGTAGAATCATTGCCTGTCGCATGCACCACCAGGTTCGGACTGGACGCATTTGCGTGATTGGCAGCGTTGATAGGCGTGGACACGAGCGTGGGCGACGAGTGCGCGGTGGAAGGTGAGCCATATAACGTTGCTGGTCGCGCCGTCGAGGGTGGCGAAGAGCGGGCAGTCGACGGTGGGGAGGACCTAGCGGTCGACGGCGGCGAAGGGCGCGTAGTCGATGGAACCCGCGTAACAGACGGCGGCGGCACCTGCGTGATGGACGGCGGAGGGACCCGCGCGATACGAGGCGCCAACGAGCGCGCCATCATGGCCTGGTCTTGACGCATTGCCGATCGTTCGTAACTCGACCCCGTCCTCGAGTGCTCGTAGCGCGCGGTCACCCGGGGTACAGAGCGCGCCGTCCTCGAGTGGACACCATCATCCCGCGTCTTCGCCGGAAGCGCAACCTCGAACGTGCAGTGCTGAGACGACTTAACGATGAACGGCGGATCGCGGCCCCGCCTGCTACCCGAGGACGGCTTCCGCACGATGGAGGGTGGCGGCGACGCGATCGTGGGAGGCGCTGATGGTGCGCGCGAGTGGGATACTGACGGTGCACGGGAACGAGACACTGACGGCGCGCGAGAGTGGGCAGGGGAGGGCGCCACGATCGTGGAGGTAGAGGACAGCACAGTCGTGGTGGGGGAGAGCCGGGCGCCCGGGGAGGATAGGTCCTTGGAGTTGCGCTACAAGAGGGGTATTGAGAAGAGGGGGGGACATACAAGGAGGGATGTGAGCGGGACGTACCATGTTCATGAAGCTGAGCGCCGAGAAGCGCTTGCGACGCGGCGGACGGCAGTCCTCCCCTCGCTTCGGGCCGTAACTCTGAGACGAGATGGTCTACATAGAAAGTCAGCGGGGTGATCGAGAGGGTATGTGGTGCATGAAGACGAGGTGCACAGCAGGAGGGTGAACGAGAGGAGGGGGACGCATGGATGGGGAGGTAGGATCGGCAGATACAAGGGTGGACCACGTACGTCGCGACTCGCCGACATATACCCCGCCGGATTCGCGTATGGGTGTACCATGATCGGATGTCAAGGGCGCGCACTGCGTCCCACAAAAGCTCACTATACAGACGAAAGTAAAGAACAGAAGAGGAGAAAAGACAGATCGAAGGCGAACGCTGCGCGCTGCTGAGGACTGGTCAGCGAGCTCGCTGCTGCTGGCGCTGGGAGTCGGTGGTGATGGGTCGAATAGAGATGTCATCGGCGCCGTTCCTGCGCCAATATAATCGTGGTACCGGCACTACGGCTCACGGTTGAGTGCCGGCGTCGCCGTCGCGATGTGGGTAACCAGCCGTCGTCGAGGCGGCATTGGGGAGCATTGCCGATGCTTTATTCAGCTGGCTATAGACATAAATGAGGTGATAGGTAGAGAGCTGAAGATTGGGAACGGGGGCTCATGAAGGTCAGGATGAAGAGAAGGTCGAGATCCTTCATCGCGATAGACCTGATCATCAGTGGCGGTGCGATGTCACGCTTTCCCTGATTCAGAAAGCGTGACAGGAGACGCGGCACTTGTTGAAGTCGGCGTTATACTTGCAGTCCAACTTCATCTTGACCTCGACGGATGCCCCGTACTGACCTGATTCGCAGTCGCATAAAGCAGCTTGCTTCGCTGCTGACGGTGCCATCGGGTTTCCCGGACTACCTCCTCGGAGCGTCATCCGGAATCAACTCAAGCAAGCCCTTCGCGCGATGCCACTGGAAAGCCTGGGTACGAACCCTTTTGCGGTCGAAATCCCGGCGAGTCGTTGATGGCGTGGACGCCTGTTCAAGTGCTGTCCCAGCTCGGAGAATTCACCTGGATACCCAAAGACGAAGAGCCCCTCTTGCGAGACAGCATACTCCATTGCATTCGCCCTCGATCTGGCTTCATGGATTGGCTGGAGCTTCTCCTACCACAGAATGGGCACTTTACTCATGTGCCGCTAGAGATTTTCTTTCTCTGTACGGACGTGCTTGCTCTCCTACATGGCTTGGAGGTCGATCTTGCACTGGACATCACGCAGGCCGCGCGACTCCATATCTTGGTATTCAAAATGTGGCTTGATCCTCCATCTCTCGACGCGTTTCGTTCATCGGGAAAGCACGAGCAGTATCACGACCGTGTCACAGCAAGCCTAGTGTTCATGATGGGCAAAGTGCTGTCACGGCATGAGCAGACCCCGTCCGCCAAATCGAGAGCGAGAGACGGAATAATCGAAGCACTGCTCATCTATTCCGGACACCGCCCGCGTCGGCTCTTTCGTCACTTCGTTCGAAGCACGACCCGAATCCTCATGACGCCCATAGACCCCACCAGATGCGCCGAGCGCTACATCTTTTTCATCCGCTGCTGCATCGCCAACTACATCGTTATCCAAAATCATGCGCGAGACGTCGTCAGAGACCTCGTCGCAATGGTCCGCTTCATCGGTCGGCGGTTTGGGGATAGAGGGCACGGCGCGGCGTGCGAGGCCTGCGGGGTCCTCTACCAGATCTGGTACACGGAAAAGGATAGCGGAAGCCGGGCGCTCTGCTGGGCACTTCGCGCGGGCATCCTGCCCCTCATCTTATCCCTACGTCGACAGGGCTCAGACGATAGCCTCACAACTGCACTCAACTTCATCGCGGAGCGCTCGATCAGCGTACCCGTCGCGCGTGCGCTGAGAGTGGGCGGATATGGAATCTCGTGCGCAGAGGCGGGTATACCGGAGCCCTTAGCGACAGCCTTGACCGAGTGCTTTGTCGAGCGACCGTCGCTGCAGCAGAGGCTCATGGGTCGGAACTGCAGCTATGAGGAGGTACTGTGGCATTCTCTTGCGCGACACTTCCAGGCTGACCGCTATCGAGTGTCCTGCGGGACCATCAGCCATCCACTCTCGCGTGTACCGCTGCACATGCTTCAAGAATTACTGCTCCGCCGCATGTCATCAAGCGGACTGGCCAGAGCACAAGAAGGACAGGCATGCGCCCGATTTGCCGTCGGGTCCTCAGGAGATTGTACTGGAAGGTACGCTCATCCCCAGTTATGTTACGACACCGGTCTGATCTCCTGTCCTGCAGGCGAACTCACGTCCTCCGACGCCTACTTCACCATGCTGTGCGCCGATAGTTACTTTTGTGCTTACGTCGCTCAGCTCCTCGATGAGGCCCGACAGCTTCCTCTGCCGAAGGACGCAACGCTTCAGCCGCTATATACCATAAAGCTCGACTTCACGGTAGTGCCTATGCGACATTACATATCCGTCGCCGAGGGAGAGGAGTATATGACCGAGCCGATGGTCAATGTTCTGGCTGGGGTCAACTCGTCGGTGGGGAGATGGCATGTGGCGATCGTCGACGTGCACATTGAGCCGCTATCGGCGCTGTACAATATGACCCTCGGTGTGATATAGTACCGTCTATGTAGCATTCACTGGGAGTCTGGGTCTATTGTCTGCAGGCCATACCAGTGTGGTGGGTCGAGTACATAGCCATCTCCGCTTCCACTTCCAGAGGGCACCCTTGCCAGCTTTCTCATGCGAGGCTCATCGATATCTATCAGTGAACTTCGTGATCATAGAAGAAGGTAGATACATCAAGGACCAGCCGTACTGCAACAGATACAGAAGAGAAGGCGGTACATCGAAGCCAACGCAAAATTCCAAGGTAAGTACACGAACGACCCATGGGCGAATCCAGATATATACAGGCTGGTTTTGAATCAACAGGACATACAGAGAGAGACGACTGGGAACGAGCGGGTACAGGAAGGAACGTGGACGAGAAATGACAGGCTTTGGGTTGATCGTGGATCAGAATCCTTCTACGGTGGTTTTGTAAGTGTCGACCTGTTGCCAACACTGGGCATGGAGGGGACGTCTGCACTTGTATGTCGCTCTCTACGCCTTCACGCCGCCCTTCACCGCCTTCGCGTCGCCCTTCATCGCGGACGCGAACCGACGAAGCGCTGCAGTCGCCTTCCGCGCGCGAGCCTGTGCATCCCTCAGTCCACGTCCTCATTGTGCAGCGCATACACCTTCACTATGCAGCGCATACACCTGGCAGGAGCTGCGCAAAACGGAACTCACCTTCACCCCCTTCTTCACCTGCCGCCCCCGCCACCGCAATCCCCCCAAGCATCCCGCCTTCCCGCCCATCCCCGCCCACCCCGACCTCCGCGTATCCGGTTCCGGCGTCAGCCACATGCGGCTCGCCTCCGCCGCCCACCAGCCGCCGGGCTCGGGCGTGCGCATCATCGCGCGTCCGAAGGTGGGGGTGAGGGCGCGAGTCTGGGTGGTGGGGTGTTAGTATGCGTGCGTTGGGTACGGACTCGTCATCGAGGGCATCGGGATAGGCGGACAGGTCAGTGCATAGTAACTGCGAGAAGACACTCACGAACTCCGGCGTCCGCGCCCCCGCCCTTCCCACCGGCTCAGGTGTCCTCCTCCCAAACGGATCCGGCGTCCTCCTCCCAAACGGATCCGGCGTAACGCCTCTTCCAAACGGATCCGGCGTCCGCGCACCCGCCCTCCCATCGAAGCCCAGCCGCAGCACGGACGGCGTCCCGGGCGTCATGACGGACCAGGTGTCGTCCGGGTAGACGTAGCCGCGGGTGGGCGAGATGATGTACGCAGTGGTGTTGGAAGTGGGATGGGGGGTGGTATTGGAGGTGGGATGTGGGGTGGTGTTACTGTACTTCATCGCGCCGTCAGACTGCTCTGACGCGTGCGTAGCCGAGGGTGAGGTCGAGTAGGCAGTCGAGGGGGAAGAAGAGTAGGCAGCCGAGGGGAAGGCGGGGGAGTAGGCAACCGAAGGGGAGGCCTTCGTCGCGCCATAAGAGTGATTCGCGTAAGAAGCGGGGGAGGAGTAAGAAGTAGGAGACGCGTAGGCGGTCGAAGAAGCGGAAGTCGGCGTAGTCAAGGGCGACGGGACCTTCCCGGTCGAAGAGAACGAGGGGGACTTGGAGGAGCCCGAGTAGGCAGTGGTCGAAGGAGAGGACAGACTGGAGCTGTTCGTCGAGGATAAATCGCGGGAGCGACGCTACCAAAAGCCGCGTGTAAGGATGGGCCGGACGAGATAGATACGATCGCGACGTACGAAACCGAAGCTCCAGCGTCGCCGGTGCGTCGGACGGGCATCCTCGTCCTGCCCTCCCTGCTTGTAGCGGTATTCGTCTTGCGATATGGCCTGAATGGAGGGTGGTGTCAGCGCAAGGAACGGGCTGAAGGAGCTGATAAGTACGCACATCGCTGGCCAAGATGTATCCCGCGGCGTTTGCGTAGGGGTGCGCCATATCGTCAGAGCTCGACGCGCCCTATCTGTGCGTCTCGCGCGCCTGGTGGTCGATAACCGAGGGAAGGGCCCTTTGTGCGAGCCCCGACGTGTTGAGAGAGATCGAAGGGCAGGAAACGAGGGGGACCCGGTGAGAGCTAGCGACCAAACGTTACGTTGGCCGTTCCCAGGATGCAAAACGGTCGTCGAGGCCCAAACTTCAAGCTTTCAAGGGGGCTTCCACGATCAGGTGGGCTGAACTGTATTCAGGTGGGTGCTTTCGCCATCGCAAACGCGGGCGTATTCAGCGAAGAGGTTCGAAGTGAGTCTTGTCTGATTCGAAGTCCTTCGTGCGTGATACGGAGTCCATACGGAGTGTATACAAGGGGGATACGAGCGTGATCCGTGGGTAATGCGCCTCGTGTGACAGACTCGTTCGATCACCCCACGGGCGAATTTGAAGATAAGCAGATGCGGGGAAGGAGGAGAGGGGGCCGACAGCGCGGCCCACCGTCCATTGTTGCAAACTTGGAGACATCCGCCCAGTATTAGACACCAGGTCAGGACGCAGAACGGTCCACCGAGGCGGCCTGCACCGTGGCGGTCCAGACCGACGATCAAGCGCGCAAATAGCACAGGTGGGCGGACAAACAAGGACTGGCACGCGCTCGTTCCGTCGCCCCTATCCGGCCTCAACCTTTTCTCGAATCCCCTAGGGCTTGTGACCGCCCCCCATCTCGTGCTCCCCCACCTCCATCCCGCGCACCCGGCCCATCAGATCCGCGGGCCCTTACTAGGTCGCGCACGGTCACTCACGCGCCTACAGTTTCTTCACGCGCCTACGGTCCTTTCCCGCTTCCACGATCATCATGACCGCCGCCATGTCGCCCTCGCCATCCTCAGAGAAGGCGCCGTACGCGGACCAGGCAGCATACTCGGACAAGGCAGCGTACGCGGGCAAGACCACCGACGAAAAGTCCCCCGCGTCCCCCACGATCGAGGCCGAGCTGAACGACATCGTGCACGACATCGGGAAGGGGGAGATCAACGAGCTCGCGGTCGTCGCGGAGGGCGAGGAGAAGACGAGCTGGTTCATCTGGATGCTCGTCTGCTCGTCTGCGATCTCGGGCCTGCTTTTTGGTGCGTGGCCTTGCGGCGTGTTTATGTGGGGGCGGTCATTGACAAGGATTGGGATGCAGGTTACGACACGGGTGTCATCTCGGGCGCGCTGGTCACGATTGGCAGCGACCTGGGTCCGGAGAGGCTGAACGACACGCAAAAGGTGCGATCGGTGGTTTGCTGCGTGCGCGGAGGCTGATGTGCTACTCCCCTTCGGTGCTTGCGCTTCCCTCTGGTGCTCGTTTTCCTTCCCTTATACGCCTGTGCCCTTCCTTCGTGTGCTCCTCTCTTCAATCCCTTCCCCATCCACGTCCCCCTCCTTGCCTATCCCATCCCTCATCGCCTTGCCAGACCTTCATCTCAAGCGCAACCACCCTCGGCGCCCTCCTCGGCGGCCTCTGCGCCGGCATTCTCTCCGACTGGATAGGTCGCAAGCCCGTCGTCGGCATTGCGGACGTCATCTTCATCGCGGGCGCGGTCGGGCAGGCCGTCAGCCATGATGTCTGGAGCATGGTACGTGCTAGTTGCTGTCTACACGCTCATACATCCTCCCCACCCCCACCGACTACAGCTTCTTGAACCCATTCGCCAACCCTCCCCCTTGAACTCCCCCTCACCAACGCTCACTCCACCCTCAGATCGGCGGCCGCTTCGTCATCGGCGTCGGCGTCGGCCTCGCCTCCTCCATCGCGCCGCTCTACATCCAGGAGCTCTCGCCGACGCGCCAGCGCGGGCGCATGGTCGTGCTCAACGTGGCGATCCTGACGTTGGGTCAGGTCATTGCGTACGGTGAGTGCGCGTTTGTTGGGGTGTTTTTTTGTTTGTTTTGGAGGGGGTTTTGGTTTGCTTCTGGAGGGGGTTTTGGTTTTCCTTTTTTTGACGGGTGTTTTGGGGCTTAGCGGGGTATTGATCCCGTCTTGTTGGGTCTTAGCGGACTGGTGATCCCTTACCGCTGAGAGTCCTGGGGGGAGGGGGGCTGGACAATGGGTTGGGAGTGCTCGCTCGATCATGCGGTCCCTGCTACCCCGCGCTCGCGCTGCTTACGGTCCCTGCTACCCCGCGCTCGCGCTGTCCTGCTGCCCCACACTCGCGCTGCTCGTCCCATCACGTGGGGCCCCATAGTCCATGGTACATCCTATATACTGCTCAGCTGACGCGCTGCAGGCTAAGGGGATGTGCCATAGGCTATGGGGTCGCGCGGTGAGCGGGGATGTTCAATGGGCGCGAGCGGGGATAGACAATGGGCAGCGCAGGTCAGCACGCGGGGATGTGAGGGATAGATGGGGTTTATGGTCAGCTGCTCGCTGAGCAGGAGCGATAGCTCGGACAGCGCTGTGGGCTTGCTTGGCGCTGGGTCCCGGAGGCATTGGGATGTCCGCGGCGGACCAACTGCCTGCGGCATACCCGCGGCTTGCGGGGACGAGAGGCTGCTTGGCATATCGGCCCAGTGAACCGCGTTTGCTGCTCCGTCCCCATTCCGTTTTCTCCTTGGACCACTTTTCATGCGCGACATACTAACCGAACCCAGGCATCGACGCCGGCTTTGCGAACGTCTCCGGCGGCTGGCGATGGATGGTCGGCCTCGGCGCCGTCCCCGCAGGCATCCAGCTCTTCCTCCTGTATTTTCTCCCCGAGAGTCGTGCGTAGGGCAGGTTTCTCCTGTGTGCGGGGGATCTTTTGTTGATGCTCGACCCGGATAGCTCGCATTCTCATCCGGCGGGGTAATCTGGACGCGACATACGATGTCATGGCGAAGATCTACCCGTATGCGAAGCCGCACGAGGTTGACTTGAAGGTATGGACGAGGCCGCTTCGGCAACAAAGGCAGTTGACCAATTGACGTGCTATGCAGGTCAAAGTCCTACAAGCCGCCGTACAGCACAGCCTGGACATCTCGAACTCGACGACATTTCTCCAGCGCGTGCGCTCGATGCTTTTGGTAGCCTCGAATCGGCGTGCTCTCAGTAAGTCCCAAGTCTGTCGCCCCTTTCAGCACGCCTCATCTTGCTACCAGTCATCGCCTGCGGTATGCAAGCCTTCCAGCAGCTTTCCGGCTTCAATACTCTCATGTACGCCTGACATTCTCACCCGCTTTCCTGATATGCCTCCCCAACTCTGCCCAGGTACTTCTCCGCCACCCTCTTCGCCCAGATGGGCTTCGACCAGCCCACCGCCGTCGGCCTCATCGTCTCCGGCACGAACTTCGTCTTCACCCTCGTCGCGCTCAAGTACATCGACATCGTCGGCCGCCGGCGCATCATGCTCATCTCCGCGCCCGGCATGGTCTTCGGCCTCACGCTCGCCTCCGTCGCGTTCCACTACCTCACGAAGGGCACGGGCGGGAACTTTGAGGACGGGGCGACGTACCCGCGCAGCTGGAGCGCGGTCGTGCTGTTCAGCATGATCTTCTACGTCGCGTCGTACGCGACCGGGATCGGGAACGTGCCGTGGCAGCAGGGGGAGTTGTTCGGGCTGGAGGGTGTGTTCTTTCTCTCACACGCCCCTTCACAAACTAACTCGCCTCCCTTCTCCCAGTCCGCGGCATCGGCACCTCCATCGCGACCGCGACGAACTGGGGCGCGAACCTGCTCATCGGCTCGACCTACCTCCTGCTCATGGCGCGCATCACGCCCGCGGGCGCCTTTGGCTTCTACGCCGGCCTCTGCTTCCTCGGGCTCGTCTTCGTCGTGTTCTGCTTCCCGGAGACGGCGGGCCTGTCGCTCGAGGAGGTGCAGATGGTGTTTAGGCGGAGCTTTGGGATCAGGGAGAGCGATCGGTTGCGGGGGATTAAGAGGGAGCTGAAGGCGGGGGGTGGGGGTGGGATGGGGAATGGGCATGAGGGGGAGCAGCAAGGGCAGGAGAGCGAGACGAAGGTGGGCACGCAGCATGCGAGTCAGGGGGAGACGGGGGTGGAGAAGAAGGAGGCGGTGTGAGGTGGTCGAGGTGACCCGAGCCCTCGCTTGTCTGCGTGGTGCCAGCGCCTGTTCGTCTGAAGGGCGCCACCGCCTATTTGCCTGCACGGCGCCACCCACAGAACGAGGAGTCGAGTTTGAGAGTGCACACTGTAAGTCTGCGCGAACTAGAGCGCGCATGCAGAGTGGGGTGTACGGCGGCGATGTATATGCCGGGATGTATCTGATGAGGGCGGAGCGATGGCTTTGAGCGCTATACTGACGACTGTAACGATAATTCTATATCCTATGCCCCCTTCATCGGCGTCCTGACTTGCTCTGCGACCGTCGTGGCCGTCTCACATCCTCGTAGGCCGTCCTCTGCCTTCTTCGTAGGCCCTCCTCTAACTTCTTCGTAGCCGATCCATATTTTCTTCGTGGCTGGCCTATATCCTCTTCGTGGCCGTCCAAAAGGCCGCGTGGTACGTGTAGCCTAGCATCGCGCGCGCGTTGTTGGTGTACGTCGTATCTATCGTGCGCTCGTTCTGTGGACGCGAATTAGCGGCTGTGCGGATGAGGGAAGGCGCCTTTGGGACAGTGGAGGTGGCTTTCTATTGCAAAGCAGGAATTTCTATTGACGTACCGAGATGTCGAAGCCGATCGCTCTTGCGAGGGTTTTGACTTCTTCGAGGTCGAGCTCGACGGAGGGGTCGTTAGTGTTGTTGTTCTCCCAGTGCCACAGAAGAGGTCCTGGGCAGGATTAGTCGGCATCATCGAGCGGGCGTCAACGTCGAGCAGGATGACAGCGACCCACCCAAATTTATCCACACGCCTCCCGGGGCGAGTATGCGATGAATTATGCGCAAATAGTTGACGATATTCTTGGCCTGGCAGAATATCAAGACAAGGCCTTCCAGAACTTATCATGGACTGACCGTGTCAATAAAGAAGCACGTCAAGACCGCATCCCACTGTCCGTGATGCGGCTCAGACGGATCAAGCTCTGTCGCACCGTAGATCTCTTCGAAGTCACCTATCACAAGTCAACTTCAGTCCCGGCCGGGTAACTTTGTGGCGTACCAGCGACATAGGAGAATCCAGAATCTGGTGGCAAGTCGGAAGGGAGGACGTCCGGAATCCGGATAGGACGCAAGGACGCGGCCTTGTCAGGACAATTTGAGAACGAGTGCACATAAGGATAGATGGTATGCTGATGGATCTCGTCGGTCCTGTCCATACCGGTCAGCCACGGCCACGCCAGCCAGCCACCGCTCCCCGGGCCGACGTCCCACATACTTGTTCAGCATGAAGAAGGATGCAAGCAGCATGTAGTGCGAGAACTCGTTGCCTTGGCAGGCGAATCCTATGCCGCGTCAGTGGACGGATGGAGCTACTAGCCCGCGATGCGCAGCGCACCGAGTTTGGCGACGTCGTAAGCGAGCCTACCGAGCCCTGCGCCGGGGACGAGCACCCGGAAATTTCGCCTGCGGGGGTTTAAGGAATATTCCATGGCCTGGTAGCGCGTCTATATGCGTGCGTACCTCTCCCCAGCCGGGATGTCCGAGAAGTGCTCGATCAGCGCGGCCTTCATCGGCTCGTACGCCAGCGCGCGCTCCTCCGCGCCCTGAAGATCATCGTGAGTGCCGAGATGGGTGGATAGAGTGACGGCCGCGGGCGGCGGACCTCTTCGCTCCAGTCCCTGACGAGCTGCTTAAGCGTGCTGCGTAGCTTGTCCATGTCGAACTCTGTCGGCTTGTAGCGCCTTCGCTTGCGCCCCGGCGCGCTAGCGGGTGCGGAGTGCGAGTGCGAGTGCGAGCCGTGGTCATGGGAGTGTGTATGAGAGTGATCGTGCGAGTGGCGGTCTGCCAGAGTCCGTCAAGCCTCGAATTGTGGCCGTTTCGCGTCGGCGTGGGCCGTACCTTCTAGGGAGCTGCCACTCGGCTCCTGTTCACCGTGTTCTTCGGACTCGTCAAACTCAGAATCGAGACCGATGCCAAAAATCTCGGGATTAGCGACGATCTGCTTCAGAAATTCCGCGTTCTCGAGGATTGCAGCATCAGCCTTTTCGAGCTTCTCCTTATATCCCAGGCTTGACAGGAGGTCTTGGTCAGCTTTAGGAAGCGTGAATAAGTCCTTGCGACGTCGATTGTTGGCTGCAAGCTAAGTCCTTGTTTCAGTATAGCTATATTTCTATAGGTCCCGACGAGCTTACGGCATATGGTCCGTAATTCTGGAAGGTCGTGATCACATTCGCGAAGTGTACTTGTTCTGTGGACTTGAGGACCTATTCTTACGCCTGGATCGAATTAGCCATACCCTCGTCTATCTCAGTGTTCGTGTAGGTCATTGCGCTCGACTACGTTGTCGTTTTCACGATTTCTTGGTCCCAAGATGACCGCAAGATGAAGGATCGGAGCGACGCCACAAAAAAGAACAAGGATAGCCTATTCGGTCAAAAGCACGTGTGCATACGGAGTGACCGTCGTGACTGTGACCAGAGGTCCTTGCCTCCCGCTTGCATCATGCTTTGTGGCCTTCATTGGTCGACGAATTTGGACGTGCTAGTATCAATGTGGCTGTAAATGCGACTACTTGTGGCGACATATGACGATCTTGGCGAGCGCAAGTCTAATCATCAAGGCATGCTCGGCGCTCGGGGAAGTTGCTGACAACATCTCTTCTTGTCAAGCATGTATGACCTACGGGCCTCTTTGAACGTCATATCATCGATTTTAAGCGGTTAGGTGCCTCCGCAGTTGGGAACAGGCGCGCATCGAGTCCCTGAAATGCTGTACTCAGCGTCGTCGTACGGACGAGTTGTGTGCAAAAACCTGTAAAGCGCGTCGGTGCCGGTAAACAAGCCCATCCAGCCTCTTACATTCACTCCACAGGAGAAAGAAAGTCGTTGTACTTCATCCACCACCACGACGCCAGGCTCAAAGCAGAGATTTTCACTGGTTCGTCGAGCTCCGCTTTCGGGCATCTCGGAATATTCCATCGCTGTAGAATGTCGAAATGCCATTCAAGAAGTCCACTTCCGGTGGAGGCGGGCCCGCTCTATACGCCGACCGAAATTGGATGGACCCCGCCTCGCTCGGTGAGCACTAAATCAAGGGCTATTGACTGGCTTTCCCGATTGACTTGTGTTATTGGGCGATATAGTTGTCGTCAAGGTACGCACATTTATATCACTCGATGGACGACATTGACTTTCGGTGGGTTCTAGCATACATACTTAGTCGATCGGGCTCCCACATCTCGACGACTTGTCAACCACCGCCTGCATTAATCACTGTGCCGGCCAGTCGAGACATGCGTTGAAGGGCCGTCGCTTCATTGGTGTCACGACACCAATTCAAGAACTCCGAGCAGACTTCCTATTTTCTCGGACAAGCTCTAGCATGCACCCGCCATGCCACCAGTGTGCGTATGTGTCGACCCGGCAGCAGACTAGCCACTACGATCATTCTTTCAGACCGTCTATGCTGCCATGCACATACGGGATGTTCGACCCGATCACACGTGTCCCTCACCGGTTCTTGCATATATATTCCGACCGTGGGCCTGCTCTACTCATTCTACTCTTTCACTTCCCCCCTGACTTCGTCCTCGCTCACATCCACGAAGCATGACGACGCCTACAGAAACGACGAAGCTCTTTTCTCCCTCGTACCAGTCTCTGGCGAAGAGAGATCAACTGAAGTTTCCTCTTGGACTGATCCCACAACGCGTCCGACCCTACTTGGAGCTGATCCGCTTTGAAAAGGTTTTGTTGCGCGACTGTTACTACAAGTGTGTGCTAACGTCGTTTCTTCAGCCCACTGGCACGATTTTGATGTTCTGGCCTTTCGGTGCGCCTGCTGTCTACCAAACGTCGCGGACCATGCTAAGCGAGCATCGGCAGCGTGGGGTCTCACCATGGCCGCTCGTGCAGTTGCCCTCCCCCTGCAGGAATACTTTCCGAGGCTTCTGCAATGCCTCCTTGGCGCATGGCTCATCCGCGGGTCGGCATGCACCGTCAACGATATCTTCGACCGTGATATGGATGCAGGCGTCGGTGCGCAGTCTCTCGCGGATGTATCACCTCCACTCGGCACTCACGAGCCCACAGAGCGCACTCGAGGCAGGCCGCTTCCCAGCGGTCGCATATCCGTCCGCGCAGCGACCATCTACCTGCTCGTGCAGTACGCCCTCGGCCTCGCCTTCTTCTACACGACGCTCAGCGGCCTCGCGTACGTCGCGCGCCCACACATTCAGTCGTCATGGCGCTGACACGCCTGCAGTTTCTATGTGGCGCTCTTCCAGCTTCTCCCGATGTGCGTTTTCTTCATGTCCGGGGCGCGCGGACTGCGGGGCTCACGCTAAGTAGGTTCATGATCTACCCCCTATTGAAGCGCGTGTCGGACTGGCCTCAGGCCTGGCTGGGGTTTGCGATGAACTTTGGGTTCGTCACCGCGTGGATCACGACCACTGGGACCATGGATGCGGCGCTTTTGGCTGCTGCGATGGCAGGCTTCTGGAGGTGCGTTTCCCTGCTGCATCTGCTTGGCGATCAAAGCTGACTCCGCTTTGCATCGCAGTTGGACCATGTTGTATGGTACGTGTACGCAATCGTTTCGCAGGGTCCTCCTTGACCGCCGCTTCAGACACCATTTACGCGTGCCAGGACAAGGCAGACGACGTCAAAGTTGGAGTCCGCTCGACTGCTCTCCTGTTTGGCGCGTGGATACGACCTCTCCTAGTCGCGCTTGGGGTTATGTTTGCTGCCATGCTCGCGCTGGCAGGATACCTAAGCGGTCAGGGAGTTCCGTACTACGCGATCTCGGTCGGCGGCACAGCAGCGCACCTCCTCTGGCAGTACCACACCGTGGACCTCGAAGAGCCCGCTAGCTGCGGAGGTCAGTGAGCATTCACCGCCAGTTGACATGTCACTGAACGACTCTTAGAGAACTTCAAGCGCAATGGGCACCTAGGATGGATCATCTGGGGTGGCCTCTTCGTCGACTACGCCACCACGGTGGTTTCGCCCGCCATAGTTGCGTTCATCTAGGCGCGCACAAACCTCCCGCATGAAATACGATACGCTGTGTTGCACGTCATGGACCTATATCCTTATTACTGGCACAATCTATGAAGGCAAGCCTGATAATTCGCAATAGCTATAGCATCTATACTTAATTCTATCATATTCCTATGCCTAAGTAATATGTACGCGTACGGTAGACTTCTTGGTGTCAGCTATATACATGATCTGTTGAACCTCTTCTTTCAGATTTACTTCTAGCGACTTGTACGGCGCAACGTTTCCGCACTTCAGCATGGCTTCGACGACGACGCCACCTCGCGACCTCGCTCTCTATAGGTTTCATAAGCTTGAAACCAACCTCTCGCTAGCCAGCAAGGCATTGCCTTACCTCGCTATCTACAGTATGCCCTCAAACATGCTCATCGACGTCCTGCCTGACATGCTGTTACTGTCCCTACATGGCACTGCTAGTACCCGTTACGCACGTGACATGTTCGACTTTTTCGGCAACTGCCGTGATTGAATCAGCTGAAGTTCACGGTCATCACCCATCGAGTCGGCGTTCCTCGATGAACGAACAGAAGGGGACCGCCTCGATCGATGCGGGGGCGAGTGAAAGAGAGCCTCGACGCGGCGAGCGAAGCCCACGGAGCGCCTGTGACAGGGCTTGGAGCCCTTCCGCACTACGAGGGCGCGCCCGCACCCTCCCGCCCGCATGTCATTTACTTATGCCGCAGGCCGGCAGGTCGATGTTCCCGTGGATCGTTCGCCGCCGTGCAAGCGTACATTCTAGGGAGGGCACCCTCGACGTCAAGTGACCGCTACGGCCCTATCGTATGTGCACGCAAGGATCTGAACCTCGCTTGTGAAACAGCACCGGTTTCGAGGCTGTACCTTCCGAGCTTTGCTGTGGGTGCGGGCCATAGAGAGCTCGCCGCCGCGCCGAGAGACGGCCGCCATCCGACGCAGATGCCCTCCCCTATAGCGAGCATGGAGCCGAGGAGGGCGGAGATCTGCACGCAGCACATATAAAACCCAGCGCGACGCGTCGTAGCCCCCATTCGCTTCTCTTCGTTGCACCAACCCCCCACACACTCCCTCTCCTTCAATCGACACTCTACACAACCGACCATAATGCAGTTCACGCTCACCGCTGCTACGCTTCTCACCGCCGCTGCGGCGGCCAACGCATTCGCGGTCACGCCGCGCGCGGCGCAGGCGGAGATCGACGACTGGCTCAAGGCGCACAACGATGAGCGCGCGGCGCACGGCGCGGCGGCGCTCACGTGGAACCAGGCGCTCGCTGACAAGGCGGCTGACTGGGCGAACGGCTGCGTCTTCGAGCACTCGAACGCGGGGCAGAACCTGGCCGCGACCTTCAGTAAGTATCAGCCGCATGTCCGCGATGAGACAAAGAAACTGACGGCTATGCTTTCGCGAAGGCTCTGACGCTAACGTTGCGTCCAATGTCGCGGATGCCGTCAAGTCGTGGAACAACGAGCGCAGTGCGTATTGGGTGGTCTCGATGTGCTCGATTGAATGCTTACGCGTCAAGCAGGCGACTACGACCCGAACACCTTCTCGGGCGCTGGCCACTGGACTCAGGTTGTGTGGAAGGGCACCAAGACCGTCGGCTGTGCTGCCCACAAGTGCCCGAAGGGCACTCTCGGTACTAAGCCCACCGACCCTTGGGAGGGCAACTGGTACTACGTCTGCAACTACGACCCGGCGGTGAGTTTGTGGTGCATATCGCTCAGAGAAGATGACTGATTGCGGCTTCCCAGGGCAACATCGTCCCCGCCGACCAGTACTACCCCCAGAACGTCCAGCCCTAAATGTCTGTTGGATGTGTTATGCAAGGATTATAGGGTAAAGGATTCACAGTACCTCTAATACTGCACGGGACGTTGGTGTACAACGTATTTATTTCGTTGCACTTATTTATGCCATGCTTTTGCTTGACCTTGTTGTGACCGGGACGAGAAGGCGTACGACGCGAGGGACTACTCTTGCGTACCAGGTGCCTCCAGATGAGGTCCACATAGCGCTCATTCGAACCGCGACTGAGGGCTGGTGCGATACGTATCCTAGCATCGGTAGACATAACTTACGGCGGGGTATAGCGCCCAGGTGCAAGAATAGCCTGGGTCAGTTATATATGATGCTCCTTCTCGTAGCCTCTCGAGCCATGGTAGACAAGAGGAGGTGTCAATGGAAGTGTAAATTGCGACGGCATGGTCGAGCGACTGGGGGTTAACTATAGAGGCAACCATCCGCGACGGACGGCGAGAAACCGTAGAGCAGAAGGTCAGCTGGGCAGCTGGGCGACGTTGGAGGAATACCTGTACAGCACTCTCCGTCTAGTCTGATTGACGCACATAGATGCTGACAACAGCCACGCAGGATGAACGACATAATCTCTGGCTAGACGCGTCCCAAAGTCGAAGAACGGCATCCCCCTGCGTCTGCGATGCAGTAAAGCAGTGCATAGCACGAAGCCTTGTCGTACGAAGGTGAGGTATGCATTCTGTAGCTTGATGGGGGAGACCACCTGGACGAAGGATGGTGTCCGAGTCGCACCGGGCGCGGGAGAGGTGCGGGAGCTATTTTACCCACGTGACCATGTTCGACTCCTGGTCCTGGCGCAAGCTACGGGTCTTCGCCTTTACCGTGCGGGCGTCTGGCACCTTCTTACTCTTGAATGTTGCTGATGTTCAGCCAAGGGGTCTGCATCCCTCTATCTGGCATCGTTTCACGGATAGCGCAGGGCCTGGCAGACAACGCTGCTTCTCGCGCGTTAGAATACCATGGCCTAAGTCCAAACTCGCACTCGAGTTGTTACCTCTTCGTACGCCCGCATTTCGTCTATAGAGCGCAATCGATGGTCTGCAGATCCCTGGCCATACATCGGGAGCGACGTTCGCCCAGGTAACGGGTAGAACCACTCGGGTCTCACTTGCGCCACCCCAGCCCTGTCAGACAACCAGTCGCCCGCGTCAGCCAACCACCGCCTTTCGCGGAAGGTAGCAATGCACTCCGCACCATGACCGACTAGCGGGGCGCGTTAAACCCAGCGGTGGGGTATAAGGGGGGAGCAGGGCGCAGGAAATCGGCACAGCGTCTCTTCTCTCCTCCCCCACCGTTCCACTCACACTTCACCCCTCGTTCCATTCACACTTCATCACTCAGTCCCAAAGATCACCAAGATGAAGTTCACGGTCATCATTGCCTCTCTCCTCGCCAGCGTCAGCGCAGCCGCCATCGACGCGCGCGACGACCTCACCGCCCGCGCCACCCCCTCCACGGAAATCGCCCAGTGGCTCAAGGCGCACAACGACGAGCGCGCAAAGCATGGCGCAGCGGCGCTCACGTGGAACCAGTCCCTCGCGGACTCGGCGCAGAGCTGGGCGAACGGGTGCAACTTTGCGCACTCGAACTCGGGGCAGAATCTGGCGGCGACGTTTAGTGAGTGTCGCCTTCAAGATAGCTTAACGTGAGATAGCATAACGTGGTGACGATGGGGGATTGGGTAGAGAAAGAGTGTGCTGACTTTACCCCACCCAGCCTCGCAGGCCAACGTGTCGAATAACATCCCGGGCGCGGTACAGCAGTGGAACAATGAGAGACGTGAGTTTCTGCACATCACCTCGCAACGCGTGATAATATGTTCGCCCTTATATCGCAATATTCTGATGACCCCATGCAGCCCAGTACAATGCGACCACCTTCCAGGGTGCCGGCCACTGGACGCAGGTCGTGTGGAAGAGCACGAAGACAGTAGGCTGCGCGGCGCACTCGTGCCCGCCGGGCACGCTTGGCACGAAGTCGACGGACCCGTGGAAGAGTACGTGGCTTGTAGATCTGAGAGAGATTCGGCTAAATCCTTCCAACAGCGCTTTGGTACTATGTGTGCAACTACAGTCCGCCGGTTAGTAGAATCCATTGATGTCGTAGAAAGGTACTCACCCTCATACAGGGCAATGTGTATCCGCAGGCCAAGTACTACCCGGCGAATGTCCAGCCTTGAGAGGGTTTTGATAGGATAAGAGGGCTAATAGTAGACTTTTATGGTAACGTCGGTTATGCAATAGGGCGAATGGATGTTATACCTGCCAGAGAATTGAATTTGTTGAGGAAGAGAAAGGCGTTAAGAGGGCTGGAGAATGTCGATGTGGAGTGAGGCGATCGAAGGGGCTAAGAGACAAACTTGGAAGGAATGTTTGCAGGGTCTCAGCTGCTGAAGTCGTAGACCATAAGCCAAACTTAGGAGCAGCAATAAGGGTGAAGACAGCTAATCGGCGCTCAAAGTCGCGCAGTGTTATTCGCAGTATCTGGGGGAAGGGGTAGAACGCTCAAACTTCGTCATTGAACATCATTTACTATGTACTAGTTCTAACTGTGTTGTGACGGTCAGAAAGACGCAGCGCAATCAGGCAGGCCACGTACCAGCTCCAAGTATCGGCCTTCCTCGTACGCCAGCCGTCCATCGCGAAAGTCTGGTGTACCTTGATTGTATGAGAAGGGTATGAGTTGATAGTCAGGGTTGGAGGATGTCATCGGACAAAGATACAGAGGTGGGGATCCAGGAGCAGAAAGACACCAACGACGACAACGCCAACGCCATCATCGTCGAGAACAAGGATGACCCCTTTCGGGGATAACAATTCCCACGCGTCGTGATACCGAGGAAAACAAGTACAAAGCCTTCCAGCTTGTCTTCCGCGTCATTCGCACGGAGCGTCTGATTGTCAAGAAATTATGCATCAACGAATCCAGAGTCACAGTGGAATATAGTAAGATACCAAGGGTAAGCATAGTGGGTCAGTCACGCAGGCGTACATCCTCTATAGCCGGAGACGCTGCGGTTCTACAGTCGGGACACTGATTTGAGACGGGAGATAGTGATTATAGTACAGTGAGTATCCGATCCTGGGGTATCATGGTCAGTCAATCCTTGAGGTGCACTAGAAAGACGAACGGTAAGCCTCAAAGCCGTAGACCGCGCTGAACAGGAACTCACCATCCTCATCCAGTTACTTGCGAGCAGCAGCGCGCTTCGGGAGCTTGCGAGTCGGGCGCGCGGGGATGGGGGTTGCGGCGCGCTCCTCCGAGTCCTCATCCTCCAACTCCGCGCCCTCAGACTTGGACGCCGCGTCCTCGTCCTCGTTCTTCGACTCCTCCGGCTTCTTCGGCTTCTTCGCGTCGCGCACCGCCTTATCCTCCTCGTACTTCCTGATGATCTCGACCTCGCGGCCCAGCTCCTTGCACACGCACTTCGACGTGCCCTTGTCCGCCATCATCGTGAAGTAGACTTTCTATGGGGCGCGTCAGCACGTTCGCCCTATCGATAATCGCATCGAAACAACGACTTACCGCATCCTCCGCCGACGCGTCCCGCGACTTCTGCCACTCCTCCATCTGCTCCGCGCTCGGCGGGCTCTCCTCCCACTTCCGCAGCCCCGCGCACTTCTCCAGCGAGTGCTTTCCCCACAGCGCCTTGAAGTAAAACTCCCACCGGATGTCGGTGCGGATCTGCGTGCCGCACCCGGCGCACATGGCGTGGTGCGCGCCGAAGGAGGTGAGCGTGGGGTCGGTGCGCATGAGCTCGATGCGCTGGGAGAGCGCGTGGCAGGTCTTCTTGGAGGAGGGGCCGCAGGTGCAGGGGAGGGTCGAGGTGGAGGTGGACGCGTGGCAGTTGCAGTCGTCCCCGTCGTCGATCTCGTACTCGTCGAGGTCGTCGTCCTCGTCGATGTCCTCGATGACGGGCCCGCGCTTGCGCTTGCCGGTCGTCGTGGGGGCTGGGGTCGGCGCCGATGCCTTCTTGCCCCCGGCCTTCTTTCCCTGCGCCTTCTGCCCCTCCACAACCCCTTCCTGCCCCTCACCCGCCTCCGCCGCCTCTTCAGCCTTCTTCGCCGCCTCCTCGATCTTCTTCTGCTTCGCCTCCTCCGCCTTGCGCTTCACCGCCGCCCGCCGCGCGTCGCTGCGCTTGATGAAGCTCACGACGAAGGCCTTGACGCCCTCCGTTGTCCACGGCAGGGTCTTGACGCTGCCGATGTTGGCGACCATCTCATCATAGCTCATCTCGGCGTCGGCGTCGGCGTCGACGGTAGTGGCAGAGGGCGTGGAGGACGTCGAAGGAGTAGTGGAGGTGGATGGCGAGCCCTTCTTCGAGCGGGAGGCGCGCTTCTTGGGCGGGGTGGTGGTCTTCTTCGATGAGGCGCTGGGGTTCTTCGCTGAGGCGCTGGGGTTCTTCGCTGAGGCGCTGGCATTTACGGGAGACGGGCTCTTCTTCGCGCGTGGAGAGGTTTTCGGCGACGTGGACGGCGTGGTGGCAGACGCGCTCGACGTCTTCGCGCGCGGCGAGGTCCTTGCCGACGCGCTCGTCTTCGGGGGCGAGTCCTTCTTCGTCGGCGTGCTTGTCCTCGTCGGCGTGCTCTTCTTCGTCGGTGTGCTCTTGTTCGTTGACGCAACCTTCGCAGACGCGCTCGTCCTCTTCGCAGGCGCGCTCTTTTTTGCCACCGGGCTCCTCCTCGCGCGCTTCCTCGCCGGCTCCTCGTATTCGTCATCCTCGTCGTCGTCCTCGGACTCGATCATGGCGAAGTCCTCGTCCTCGGTGTCCTCGGCGTCGGATTCGGAGAGCATGGCGACGTCGGTGTCATTGTCAACCATGGGGTGGCTGTCGACGTCAACCATGGCGTTATTGTCGACGTCGGCCGTGGCATGACCGTCGTTGTATGGGGCGTATGTGGTGGCAGCAGACGCGGACTCCATCACCCGCGGCATGTTCTGCGCCTCGTCGGGACCAACCGACGCGTCCGCGTCGAGCTCCTCGGCCGCGGCCGCGGTCACCAGCATGTCGAAGATGCTCGGCACCGGCGCGCTCTCCTGGCTCACGTTCTCCTCGTAGAAGCTTCGATCCTTGCGTGCGAAGCGCGAGGGGAGGGAGTCCTGGCGGACGAGGGGGCGCGTCTGTTCATAGGCAGAGGAGTGCGTCTGCTCGTAGACCGCTTCGCCGATCGGGGAGGCCTCGCGGGGCGGGGTAGGATCGCCCTCGGAGAGGGCAGGCGAGGAGAAGGAGGAATGAGTCTGGGAGACATAGCCAGTGACCCGCTCGCGGGACGCGTAAGTCTCGTTGGGAATGCCACTGGAAGATGGGTCAGCCTTACGATTTCGTCGAAGATGTGTAGTTGTACTCACGAGAAAGGCGTGTAAGGGAGCGCTCCGAAGTAGGTGGCCATGGTGGTTGGGTGGTTGGTGTGGGGTTAGGTTATGAGTTATGGCTGGCTTTTGGTGCGAGTGTTGAGAATGTAGGTGAGCAAGTGGCCTTGGCAGTGGCGGTGGCTGATGAGGCAGTCGACGCGCTTCGGTGGGTACAATTCGTGCTGCAAGGAGTACAACGGCTTAGAGGAATACGACGAAGGTGGCTGCAAGGAGTACGACGGACGACGGCGAATGCGAGGAGTTACTCGAGTCAAGACAAGATGGGTGAGCAGTACAGAGAGGCCAGAGCAGTACCCGTCCAGCCTATATACCCCCGCGAGCGGGCTTTGTCGTCGTCGGCGGGGCGCATGTCGGAGGCATATGTCGAAGTTATCCCCGGACGGCAATCATAAACATTCAAGCCGATTCCTTTCAGCAGCGTCACGCCCAGTTTGTCCGTTCAAGGTCCGATAACTTGCATGGATGTTCTCGGCGCAAGCGCAGTCGCTATCCCACGCTAGGCTTTTGTCGTCTTTCGTTGCCCGCTGGTCCCTGTTTGCGAGCGGAGTTGATCTATGAAAGATAAGCTCTTCACCGCCGTTCCAGCCTCCCCCACCATCGCTGGACCCTCGCAGGCCCCGCATTGACCTACGCGGAGGCAATGGCCTCTCGCTCCGTGCCACAGACCAGCTGGCCCGGTTCGTCTCCCGGTTCGCTATTGTTCGTATTTGGAAATCCAACATCGTTGAAACGCCGGCGGCTTCCGCGGGCACAGCCACTGCGCTTCTGTGATTGTGATATCGGGCTATTTTCCGTCTCCGCTGAGGATTTTCCGAACTGCGAAGGCGCTGAGCTGGACTCATTCTGTATGCTCGGATTTTCCCTCAGAATAGAGTCGGTTACTGCTGCGGGGGGATGAAGGTGATATTGGTTCGAGCGTGCGCAAACCTGCTATCGATGCAATTACCTCCGGTGACTTTTGCTCGATGTTGACCTTCGATTCAAGCCAGGTTCCTGGCGACCTTTCATCGGAGCTTGGGCTGATCCGCACTTCCATTGTCTGCCTTAAATCGCCATCAATATCCAAATTTGTTGTCCGGTGGGCTTGGCGCGCCTTACCGGCAGGCAGGACGCGTTGGCAGGTTGGAATCGCAGCGGGGTCAGCGTGGCGGGTAGGGAACGTGACCGCGTTTGACGACCGCGGTTTGGAGGGTGGAACTCGACAATGGGGGACAGAGGTCTGCTGTTGCGGGCATGCGGGCGAGCCAGCTCCGGCTATCCTGTACGCAACAGACAGCGCTGCTCAGGCTATCCAGTACGCAGATTGTAGCGCGTATTCAGCGCAGGTCTACTCGAACCTCCTCGATTCAGAGTCTACTTACGCGTACATGTCGATGCCATCCGAATCAAGGAGAGCGCGATCGGCGAGAGGAGCAAGTATGCGAAGTACAGGAGGGAAGGGCACTGGTGTACAGCGGATCGGCGGAGAACAAGAAGGGTCGAGATACTTGTGAGGACGAGCCACGGAAACGCTCGCTCCAGTTCTTTGCGGGAAGATAGGAAGCGGCTGAGGATGTAGGGCATGATTCGCGGCCGTCTTGAGCGAAGGATGCATACAGGTGGAAATCGTCACGACGGGCTGCTCCGCAGAAGGTGCAACGAGTAATTGTGCATGACACGACCGAGACGTCGCATATCGATGTAGCCGATCGTAAGAGGACCACTGGTGATAGGTCTCCTTGAAGGAGGGGGATCATTCGATGAGGTGTACAGAGGGGATTTTGAGGTTCAGAGAGGCATCTGACGAAGGCAGGGGTGCGTGTGAAGGAGGAAGGGTCGCGGCCGTCGAGTTGCATTCAACATGAACAGTGTTCATCTGGAGTGCGGTATACGTCGTATAGTCAGTCTTGGACTGGACTGTGAGTTGAATGCCCTGAAGATTGTGCAAGCCACGTACCATCGCCCGAGAGAAGCTCGATTGTGCTCCTGTCTCAACCCACGAGTCGTAGAAGCCCTTGCCGAGGAATCATGTAGCATAAAAACGCAGGTAGACCACAGTCTAGGGTGAAGGGGGCTGAACAGAATGTCGAGATGAGCGGAGAGAGCAAGAGCAATGCCGGGCGCGCGGGGCGATCATATCGGCAAACAAGCGCAAACCTTGAGATCTTGAGACTTGGCGTCACATTTCCCTCCGGGTCTCATTTTTCCACGACGTTCAGTGCTCGACGAAATGTCATTTTCAACAACCAAAGCACAAGATATATACAGATAATGTTACATGGTGAGCAGCAGGGATAGCAGGGAAGCATAGAAGGGTCAATGACGCAGCGTACATCGCAAGGAAGACGCGCGTTACGCCCGGAAACGACACCAATACCGCGAATAAATACGACTCAAAACAGGTATAGCTTCGTACTGGGCGACCTCGTCAGCATTGACGTTGCGGAACAGTTCGGGAGAGCCGACTCACGGACAATAGTCAAGCGCACAACGACACCGCAGATTAATGATAGCCAAAGTTCCAAGGCGCCTTCTTCGCCATCTTCTTGGCAAAGTTGCGAAAGTTGTTCCTCGAGTGCTTCAGCCAGTATGCCGCAAGGCGCTCCTCCTCCAGCCCCAGGCGCTCGCAGTGGCAGCGCGCCGTCCTGCGGTCCTTCTCCACCTTCATGTACACCTTGAGCTACTCGTACGTCAGCACATCATCCTACCCATCGAACTCGGAAGCAAACTCACCAGCCCATCCGCGCACTGGTTGCGCGACTTCTGCCACGCCATCAGGTCCTCCTTGCTTGGCGGCTTCTCCTCCCACCGCTTGAACCCCTTGCAGTTGCGGTACTTGTGCTTGTGCCAGAGGCCGCCGTTGTAGAAGTCCCACCGCGCCTCAGTCCCGATGACGCGAAGGCAGCCCGCGCAGAGGACATGGTGCGCGCCGAAACAGATGACCATCTCGTCAAGGCGCAAGAGCTCGATGCGCTCGCCGATGTCGTGGTTCGTGCGCTCGTCTTTGGTGGGCTTGGCGGGTTCGTCGTCGTCATCGTCATCGTCGTCGGTAGCGGGCCGCTTGCGCTTGGTGCCGGCCCTGGCGGCAGGTTGCTGCACCTCCTGCACGTACTCCTCATCGTCGTCGTCCTCTTCCTCCTGCTCGTCAGCCTCCATATGTTCCCCTTCTGCCTCCTCAGCCTCCTCAACGTCGTCCTCCTCGTCCTCCGACTCAGGCTCGACCACAACCCTCGCCCTCTTCGCCCCCTTCCGCGCGCTCGTCTTCTTCCCCGCCGGCGTCTTAGCAACGCTTCTCCTAACCGTCGGCTTCATCCCCGTCCTCTCATACCTCTCCTCCAAAAATCTATCCACGACCTCGTCCGGGTCGAGGTCCACAGCCTTATACTGCTTGCCCGTTGCGCTCTTCAGGATCTTCGCGACATACGCCTTCACCTTCTGCCAGTGGTCCGTCTGCTCGAGCGTGTAGGGGCGCTGGACGGTGCCGGGGAGCGGCTCGATTTCCCAGTGAAGGTCATCCACGATGGTGGTGTCCGATTCCGCGGACTCGGAGGCAGCGGCCGTCGACGCGGAAGCGGCGGTAGACGACGTCGAAGCAGCCGTAGAGGACGAGGACGCCCGTGAAGGCTTCGGACGAGACAGGATCTTCGCAGAGAGCGACTTCATGGCGGCGGCGGCGCGCGTCTTTGCGGATCGGCGGGTGGAGGTGCTCGTCGTTGGGGCGGTGGCATTCGACGTCGAGTTTGAGGCGCTTTCCGTTGGAGCGAGGTTGATCGACGTCGGCGCTGCGGCGGGCTGCACGTTGGTGAAGGCGAAGTTCGGGAGGCGGAATACCAGCTTGGGGTTCGGTGGCGGCGTCGCCTCATGGGGAGAGGGGGCTCGAGAAGAGGTTGCATCGTTGGAAGGGGCGGGGGCGCGAGAATAAGGCTGCGGTGGGGGAATCATATTGTATGGGCGAGCTGACGACTGGGGCCGGGACGCGGGGGCGCGAGGAGGATTGAGCACAGACGCGCGAGAAAACCTGTGAGGGATGGTCAGCTAGGTCATTCTCAACGGCAAGAGGTACTACTTACATATGGTCGTAGATCGATGTCGGAGGAGCCGAGGTCCACGGCAGATCCTGAGGAACCCATGGCGCGGGGAAGACGTAGGTCTCATCAGGGAGGTCGCTGTGGACTAGGTGAGTCTGACGATTTTTTATTGATCAACGATCATGCTCACTCTAATCCTGTCCTGCAGGACGACTCAGCGTAGGGATGCGAGTCCACGCTGTACATGCAGGCGTCCATCTTCTGGCGGTGAGAGACGGGTGGCTTTGTTGGTGTAGGTGGCCGGTTGGATGTTGTGTACGGGGGGAGACCAAGCGTGGACGAGGGCTGACGATCGGTGAGTACGAGCGATGATGAAGAATGAACGAGCTCGACCTACTCGCTTAACGCGGGGAAGGGATAGCGAGGGTACGCTCAGGTTCGCGCTGCGTCAACTGGCTAGCTAACGGTGGCGACGAGGGGCTGAATACAGGTGGCCGCTACGCGCTCTTGGTCGATGACCGACGAGTGGCGTGGTCGATGTCGAGGGACGTACGGCGACGAAAGTAAGTAGTATGCTGTCTACGGTGGCGATGATCGCTAACAGTGAGGCGTATGCGTGCTCAAAGAAGGACGACGACGGCGAGAGGACAAACGCCCGAAATTGGGGTGTGCGGACGAGCAGGACGAGAGGCAAAAAGCCACCCAGTCGGATTTATATTCCCAGGTAATGTCAACTGTGTTGACCATGAGGCGTACATGGCCATACTGTATTTCAATTGCGAACCGAGCCGGTGCTGACGCCGGCTGCGCAGGCTGGTGTGGGGTCCAATCCCCGTATGGCGAGAGATCGCCACCTGATAGCGGGTGGACTCCATATTCAGCATCCCCTTTGGGTTTCCCTACATTCCCTGATCCTTTCTGCAAGGGCCGAGACGCGGTTCGAATGTTACGTCATTCTCTCGTCCCCCGTCGACACCGACCAGATACAGGACGGCGAGCGAAGTGGAATACTTTCAGCCTAATTTACCCTACTGCGCCCAGCGCTCAGTCGTCTCGGTCCGGTGATGCTGCTATAATCACAGTGGACAATTGAGCGACACCAAGTTTTCATTCTCCGCGGCCATGCCGAGGTCGCTCGATTCGCACCGGGACGACCGTCCAATACCCTCGACGTCCGACCGTGACCGAAAACTTCGGTCACGTCCCTTGCGGCGGCTGCCCTCCTGCTCCCCCACATGTGTTGGGCGCCGATCTTCAGCCAGATCTCGCACTCGATGTATCAATCAAACGTGTAATACCCGACGATTCCCATTCTTCGGAACGCGTCAGTGAGTGGCGTGACCGCGAGCGACTCGCAGTCCGAGCTGATGACCACAGTCAGATGACTTTTTCCTCAGAGCCAACCAACGCCAGGGTAGACTGCGCAAGCGAACCTTTTTACGCGTGAGGGAGACTCTGCTGCATGAGAGACTGGCTACGATGGAGAGAATACGGTAAGCATTATAGAAAGCAAGAAAACGTGGGAGGGTCGATAACAGAGCGACAGGAAACGCAATTTACAGTACGCCCCAAACCGAATAAATACACAACCATGCGGATGGGATAGCTTGAAACTGTGGTCAACGTCGTCCTTGGCGCAGAGTCAAGAGATGAACTCACCGAAATACAGGGCAATAGCTATGACCTGATAGCCTTACGCCTGCGCCGCCCGCGCTGCATTGCCGTCGGCGACGCGCTGCTTGTTTGCCTCGTAACGGAGGAGACGGTCCTCCTCAAGGCCGGCGCCGAGCCGCCGGCACTGACACTTGTGAATCCTGCGGTCCTTCGCCAATAGGTATACCTGCTATTCGAGCGTTAGCTAGCGCACGTCTCATCGCACGCAACGAACTTACCGAAATCTCGGCACACTTGTTGCGCGCCGCCTGCCAGGCCTTCATATCCTCCTGGCTTGGTGGCTGGGTAGCCCACCGCGCCAGCCCTGCACACTTCTCTAGTTTGTGCTTGTTCCGGAGGCTGCAGAGATACAGGTCCCTTCTGCCCTCGGCAGCGATCTCCTCATCACATCCGGCGCATATGATATGGTGGGCGCCGTAGGACTTGACCGTTGGATCGTTGCGAGCTTGCTCGATGCGCTCGCTCATGTCGCTTCCCCGACCGCCCCGCGCCCTCTTCGCAGGCCTATCGCTGGCTTCTTCGTCCTCCTCGCTGCGATTGCGCTTCGAACCGGCCTTCGCGCTCGCCTTCGACGAAGCCCTTCCCTTCTTCGGAGCCTTCCCCGTCGCCTTCCCCGCCGCCTCTCTCGACTTCTCTGCAGCAGCGGCCGCCTCTTGCCACCTCTCAATCGCACTCTCGTAGGCCCTCTTGCGACCCTCGGGGTCTTTAAAGCCATCGACGAGCTCCTTCAGCCTGTGAGCACGCTCTTCAAGGTAGTTGGCGACCACCTCGGGGATGTTGAACGCCTGAACATCCCCGTAGCACTTGCCAGTCGCATTCTCGACCATGGGGATCGCGCGATGCCGAAGGCCGATATCTTTTGTCACCTCCGCCATGATCTTGACGATCGCGGTGCTCAGCACGAGCGGCTTCGGATCGGGCAAAATCTCGCGCTGGGGAACGAAGGTCGCGGCCCCGTAGCGGTCGGCGACAGGGTAGTCGAAGTTGGAGCAGGGAGAAGACACACAGTCGAGCGGTGGTGGCGAGCGAGGAGGAGATGGTGGCTCGTGTGGCAGGACAGTCTGCACCACCTCCACTTCAGAGGGCGTCGGGGATACCGATCGCTCCGAGGGTGGCGCGGGGCAGACTGGCTCGGAGAAGAGGTGTTTGTCGGCTTCGTACGACCAGGGCAATTCACGAGGTGGCAAAGGTCTGCGCGAGCATGTATCAGTATGCCGCGGTATGATCGAGAGAAGGATGTCACGCACTCTGCTCTGACAAGGTCGTCTATCGTGATGTGCGCCGGCATGTTGATTGGCGGGAAGCAGAAGCCCCACGGACATTCGAACCTGCGTCAAGGTAAGTACGCCGCCATGTACAATTCATGCTGCACTGACGATTCTCCGTCCTTCGTATAGAAGGTATGGCCGAATCGCGAGGACGTCCATTCGAGAACCATGGCGTTTGTCGAAGCGTATGTTGTGGTGGGTGGGCGTGGTTGAGAGACGAGGTGGTAGTATGCGGATGCGCTGTCTACGAACCAACGGCGGCGAGCGCAAAGGACACGAGTCGGAAGATGGGAGATGCAGAAACGGATGGTTCAGACACAGATACGGGCTTTAAAGTCGGCGAAGGTGCGCATAGGTTGGGCTCGAGGCGTCGTCGATCTAGATTCAAACCCGGGTTTCTTTCAGCGCAAGGGCCCTCACATCGAGCACCACATGCCGTCGCCCGGCTGACTTCAAATTACCACCCCACGACTCGCCTTGTTGGGAGGGTCACTGCTGCGCGCTTCCATTGTCCTTGAATGCTGATCCGGATCGGAAGACCATCCCAGATGTGTTTCGGGGAGTAATGCACATCCGTGACGTATACGCGCGCTTATCGGAGCTTCAACAAATCTTTCATCACCGATAGCATGCTCGACGCCTCGTCCTCCTCATGCTCTCGTCCGCAACCGCTTGCACTTCAATGCCACTGTTGCCACCGCACTGGGAGTGATTCTGCAGCCCTTTGCTCATGTCTTTGGGTGTCCGAGCTCAATTTCATCCTACAGATCTTCAATGTCCCGCACTCTTTCAGGGATGCGATCCGTTCGCACGACTTCCGTTGGTTCCTGACGGTCAGCCCACCAGAACCCTCCTTTGTGATGGACAATTCGATTGTTCGTTGGCCCGCAATCTCTTTATTTGAAGTAACTCAACATCTTCGCAGTCGCACGTGGGCGCTGCACATGGAACACAAACGAGCCGGGTCGCGGCCCGTGTGCTTAGCCGAGCCACTCTCACTTGCGATTCAGGTCGACTGCGCATTGTGTCCGTCGAGAGTCCGAATACTGGGCGCCCGAAATCTTGTCGTACTCATCCTTCCTTTGTGCCCGGTGTCCAACTGATTTCAGGCAATCACTGTCACATTGCCGAGCCATCTTGACGCAAACAAGCAGACTGGGGAGCGTACAATTCGCGTATCATACTTTCTTCTTTCCCTTTCCAATTTCCGTCAATTCGATCTGCCTTCCTAGGTGGCGCGTGTATACTATACCTTTCCTCGAGCTTCCCAAGGCCCTCCTTTAGGGCTGCACATTGATAGGGTAGTACTTGTCGCGCGGTGAGACGTTGCCCTATGAGTATATCGGTGGGCACATTCTCTACGCTTTGCGTGCACGAATCACTCACCGGCCTGTAGTAGTTGCAGACGTAATACCAGAGCGCTGGAATGAAGAGTCAGCTGATAATTTTCTTGATTGCAAGAGAGCGCGAAGGCGACAGCTCACTCTTCCACGGATCCGTCGGCTTACGCCCGAGCGTGCCAGGTGGGCAGGAGTACGCGGCGCACCCGACGCTCGTGGTGCTCTTCCACACGACCTAGATGGCGACGAGATTGAGGGGTAAGTCGTGCGTCAACTCGTCCACGAGGGTTACGCTCACCTGAGTCCAATGCCCAGCGCCCGAGTACGTCGTCGTGTTGTAGTCGGCTGCGACGGTGAGGCATGTCAAAAACATGTTCATCGAGATAACAGCATGCACGACTCACGCTCCTCGGCGTTCCAGCCTCCAACGCCTTGAGAGATGTTCATGGGCTTGTTTGCCTGGGGCGCTGCATAGATCGCGTGTCAGTGCATCTTCCCTCCATCACAGATTCCTCGTTCGTGTCGTGATCTCCCTTTCTTCTCCCCTCTTTCGCATTTATTTCCACCCCCGTCCCATCGCTCTCGAGCTCGAGATGTACTCACAAAACCACGCAGCCAGATTCTGGCCCGAGTTCGAGTGCTCCCAGATGCACTGGCTCGCCCAGTCCGCTGCCTTGTCCGACAGGGTCTGGTTCCACACGAGCGCAACCGCGCCGTGCTGCGCACGCTCGTTGTTGTGGGCCTTGAGCCACTGGTCGATCTCGGACTGGGGCGGGGCCGCGCGATTGGCGAGGGCGTCGGCGGAGCGGGAGTCGATGTCAATCGGCGAGCGAGAGTCGAGGGCGACCGGCGCGCGAGCATCGACATCGACAGGCGCAGGGCTAGCGCTTGCAGCGAGGACGGCGGTGAGGAGGATGACGGTGAGCTTCATTCTGTCGGGGTCGGTGAAGAGCAAGGACTGAAGGAGAAGCAGAAGTGCTTGCTCTTGACTCGCCGAGGCCACGGCCTTTATACCTTAGCGGATGAGAGAAGTTTACGTGCGTTCAGGATGCAGTAAGGCTGATTCGAACCTTGCTCGCTTGCGATGCCCAGCACGACCGCGCAGGGGATCGAGGGTGGGCGAGCGAGGGACGTGTGATAGATGTGTACACTCATGGTCAGGAACGGCATGCGGTGCGCTGACATAAAATGTCGGAATATTCAGGTCAGAGCGTCGACGAGTCTTCCCCTAATGATTGTCACGTTGGCCTATTGCGGCGCTCGCTGACGTCTCCATCTCAGGCCCAGGGGACACGCTTGACGGAATGTACGGACGCCGACGAGAAGAGCATCGGAGCCCATGAGTAACCGATGTTCTAGGTCTGTCAAGTCAGATATCCTGCTTGATCTAGCATACGACTTACCTCAATGCGGTCTCCGAAACTCGAACTGTGACAGCATCACTTGTCACATCGGCCTTTGCCGCTTCCACGTTCGCTTGCGTAGTCCTCGCTCTACGGACGCATGCCGGGGCTTTTCACTCACACTCTCATCCCCCTCCATCTGCCTTCGAAGAAGACCTCAAGCGCTTCGCAAGGGATCATCCGGGTGTGAAAACGTGCGCATAGTAGTCACATGTAAAAGTCAAGCTCGAGCAGAAGGCGTATCGTGGCCGTAGGCGTCCAAGTACTGATTTCTCGCACTATCAGGCCTGCCCTTGACGCCGCCTACATCATCGCCAACGACTTCGTGTTCTACATCGGGACAGATCTTTTTGAGTGGACTCGCCATTTCTCGGATCGCACGCGCATCGAAGTCATCCTTGAGTTTCTGGAGACGAGCCGATGTGGTATCGCCGTACATGACTTGGGAGCTGGAGTGCCGGGCGCAATGATACGCTTAGTATACCGCTTACAATGTACTAAACCTCGAACGTTGAAGGAACTCGGAAAATATTGGAAGTGAGAACTTGGGGATGTATTGCAAGTTGGCTAGATAGCTGATGCGATAGCGAAAAAGTCCAATGTGTGTGATGCGATGCGTATGCGTATGAATGTCCAATGCGATGCGTATGAATATCCAATGAGATGCGTCTGAACGTCCAATGCGATGAAGATGAATGGATAATGCTTGAGATAGAATAATGGATCGTGCGTGCGTGAAGAGGTCGTAAGTAAAGGCATTCAGGTCGTCGATAATCGTCCACCCGCGTCATCAATAATCAGCGTCGGTCTCCGTAGTGAGGTAGACCTTGCGTAGTTGCGAAGCCTGACCCTCTTCCCTGCACGTCGGGCACTTGTTGTCGCGCTTGAACGCTTGGTGAATGCATCTGAATAAGACGTCAGCATAATGGCAGGGCGGGAACAAGGTCAAAACTCACGTCGCACAGTACAAATGCCCACAGCGTGTCAAGCACGCCAACTCCGGCGCCTCCTTGCACATCGGGCAGGCGAACTTCGACACCGTCGCCTCGTCCTCCCCAATCTCGTCATCCACCTCTTCCTCCTCCTCATCGTCCGAGTCAAAGTCCAGGAGATCATCTTCGTCGAAGTCCATCCATGACTTGTCGCCCCCGTCCGCGTCCTCCTCCGGGTACGGCTCCTCGGGGTAGAGATCGAGCCCGACACGGTCCTCCCAGCCCTCCTCGTACTCCTCGTCTTCGTCCAGCTCCGCCTCGTCGTCGCTGTCGTCGTTGTGCGGGGGCGCCTTCTCGTAGTGGCAGCGCAGCCCGGCGGGTGTGCGGAACTCCATCTCGCACAGCGTGCAGTAGTTGTGGATGCGGGAGTATTGGAGGTGCTGCGGGTGGGGGTTAGTAGGGAAAGGGCGGAGGAGTGGATGATAAACGTACCTTCCGGTACACGTTGAGGTTGAGGAAACGACGATCGCAGGGGGCGCAGTAAGGGTGTTTGATTGACTGCTGGATGTGCAGGTTGCGATCCTCGTTGTCGTAGAAGTAGTCGTCGCAGATGGCGCAGTAGCAGGCTCCCGTCATCTTGGTCGATTGTCTGGTGAATGGATTGGTTGGTTGGTTGATCAAGTGTGTTCTGTGTTGCGACGACGATGGTGGTAGCGGAAGAGATGAACTCACCCTTTTCGCACCCCGTCTTATATACCCAGCACTTGCAGCGCCTCCCATGTTTCCGGATCGCGCGCCTCCGAGTGGAATAGTCTCGCGAGCACCACCCATGTCTTGCCTTCGTGGCCGTATCGAGCGTCTCGGTGGCCTTCGATGACGCGGATCTACCGCCTTGGTTACCCGATGCGGAAGCAAAGTCTATCCTCGAATAGGGTTAGTGTTCAGATCCGCGGAAAAGCGCTCGGGTTCCTCGGACGAGGGCCTCGGGCTTCTCGGGGGGCAGAGCTGGTCGTCAGCATTGAGCTGAATGTCTAAGACATGGTTGCGAAGTGACGATGTAGTACGATTCCACGAGGAATAGGGAGTGGGCGAATAGGGGGAAGGGCGAACGAGATTGGTTCGACAAGCTGGTGTTGGACCTACGGCATTGGCAGCACGCGGAACCGCCGTTGACCTCTCAAGACGGGTGATACTTGGCCTACCACTCATGTTAGTCGATAGATGCAGGATCTGCACACCTCGTGATATATGGCGGAATTCCCCTTCCTCCGATGATGCCCTCGACGCCGCTGTCATGGGCGTCCATCCTGACCTGATCTTGATCGGTATGCCCATGCGCGCCCTCTCCGAGCGAGTTTCCCCTAGCGTGTGTACTAAATCGCATGCCCTGAAGTCACGAGAAAGTCAGTAACGCGACCCAAATGATCAGGGAAAAGCATGAAAGACGCCGACGCACGACAAGGCCCTGACCATGCCACAATCGCGTCGATTCCCGCCTCGGGGTGTACCTTGCCCCGACCATATGCATCAGTATGCCCTATGCTCACCGCTCACCCAGGTACGATGCGCAACCGAGAATTCGGTCGAAGACGAGCCACAGCGCTCGCAGTCCCTGCGTATAAAGGCAGGCCCATGCACTCCGTTAGAGTCAGCAACTTACACTTGCTTCTACACTCCCGATCTCCAGCGCGTCGAACATGAAGCTCAACATCGCGATCCTCCTCGCCGCGCTCGCCGCCACCGCTTCCGCGAGTCCAGCTGGCGATATCAGCGAAGTTGCCGTCGACGCGGATGCCAGCGAGCTCCTCGTCGACCCGCGCGCCGAACTCCCCGTCGCACCCCGTGCCTCCTTCTTCATCGACGCCCGCCAAGACACCAACGGCACCTCCCAAGACGAGATCGACCAGTGGCTGACCGCGCACAACGATGAGCGCGCGCAGCACGGCGCGGTCCCGCTCGTGTGGAACCAGGATCTCGCAGACGCGGCGATGAGCTGGGCGAGCGGTTGTGTGTATAAGCACAACCGGGGCGGGCAGAATATCGCTGCGAGGTACAGTGAGTGGCAGGTTTTCCTCGAACTGGGATGGGGGACGATTTTCTAGAATGGGATGCGGGACGGGATAAACGGAGCACGCGCGCTGACCGCACCGCCCACCCAGACACGAGAGCAAACTTCCCGCGGGAAATCGACCGCGCGGTCGCGCAGTGGAACAACGAGCGTGGTCAGTTTTCCGCTGTGCCTTTCGCACGAGCGTTCCGACTTACACCTACACATCGCCTTCCACAGGCGAGTATAACGCCACGACCTTCAAGGGCGCCGGCCACTGGACGCAGGTCGTGTGGAAGCACAGCAGGAACCTCGGGTGCGCGGCCTACTCGTGCCCGCAGGGCACGCTGGGGAAGAAGCCGGGCGATAAGTGGAAGTGTGCGTACTTGTTGCACGCCGTATAGCGTTCTATCTCCAATTGAATCGCATGGAGGGATGACGCTAACGCCTCGCAGCCCTTTGGTACTACGTCTGCAACTACGATCCCAAGGTGAGTAGCCCAGTGCAGGACTTGGCGACGATGGACAGCCCACTCACCAGAGCGCAGGGCAACGTCGTCCCGGCGTCCAAGTACTACCCAAGCAACGTGCAGCCTTGAAGGACGACCCGAGGCGGGCGGAGCGTGTCAAGGCGAACAATATCTGGGAAGGGGTCTGAGTGTTGAAGGCATGCGAAAGGGTGAAAGAAAGTCGAGTATTTGGACATGGTAGCCATTGATCTGCATTAGGAAGGTCTTGTGTTACAAAAGGAAACCCTTGTACTTCTCACGGAAGATGCCGCTGTCAGATTCAATCGGGATCATGGCCAGGCGTCGGACGAACCGACCAAAGGGGACGAAGAAGCAGGACGCGGCCAGTAAAAGGACCCCGGAATATACGCATATAGGCCGTCCAGCGGTGCGGATAAATCGTGGGGCTCCCGGCCGGTAGGCCGGTCCAAAAAACGGTCAAATTGGGGGCCTGAGGGCTCGAAGGCCAGTTCAAAAATGCGGATATATGCAGGGGAGACGGGGAGGCCGTTCCGAAAAAGTGGATATCGGGCGGTCGATTCGAACCTCCGACCTACCCTCAAACCACACGCACGCGATACCGGTACACTAATTGACCACTTTGTTTCGGTGGGCAGTAGCACCCTACACAACCTCTCGTGCCCATTGGCACCTTCTACCATTGGCAGGCTCGATATTCGAAGGACAGCGGTGCGTGGTAGCACCTCGAATGGCTATGGGATGCAATTAACTTTCTCATTCGTACGTCTCAACCTTCTTTTGTTGCAGAGGCTACGCGCAAAGCGCGTAGGGACCCTGTGAGAAAAAATCAGATTTTTCCCGATTTTATTGCCATTTTTGAAGGCCGTCCCGAGAAAACGGATAAATCCTGGGGGTCCCTAATGGCCGTTCCGGAAAACGGATAAATCTGGGGGTCGAGGGCGCAGGAAAAAAGCGGATAAATAGGCGCTAGAGCCGGATTTTCCAGGACGGCCTATGTGCGTATATTCCGGGGTCCTCCAGTAAATTTGCAATTCATTGGTGGCCAATGGATTGCAAATAGATAGGTCATGGCCATAAAGCATGTGATTTGGCAAAGCAGGGGAGCGACAAGCAAACGTACCACAAAGACCCGACCCTACGGGAAGGGTCCTTGAGGCTGAGAACACGCTTGAAGATTGAGAACAGATGACGGCGAAGCACAATCCGAGGATGAGGACGAGGAACAGTGAAGAAACGAGAGAAAAAGGACAGAGATTACTCACAATCGCATTCTCAGCCCAACTTCCGACCGATTCGCCTTCTATATAGCTTCATCGGCCTAAGTCGCGCTCGAGCAGGTCGGCATAGTGGCCAGACTTGGTTGCTCGGTGGACGGTCTTCTCGGCGATGAGTTAACTGGGCTGTTAGGGCCTGCGTCATCTTCAAACTCATTCTCCCTTCTGGCCTTCCACCCTCGCCAATCCTCTTCGAAAGGCACGATCGCTTCGACCTCCCCGGTCTTCCCCGCCCCAGCCGAAAGCCGTGCTTATGCGCTCGAGCGTGATAGACTGGGAAGACGGTCAGGGTTCATGAGATGGAAGTGCTGGACTGAGCGGAAGAAGGGAAGAGCTCGCCTGGGATGACTGAAAGCAGAGGTTAGCTCGCCTGGAAAGGCTGAACGGAAAACTTGAACTGATGGCCCAGTTCGGCACCAAGGTCGTGAGCGTGGCCAGGGTGAGTCTGGAGGGAGGTCAACGCTGGGCATTGAGTAAGGTCAGAGTTGAACGGCGTCGCAAATCAGTGTCGGGCAGTCAACCGTACGAGGTAAACGCGCACAAGGCGACCATCAGTGCGAGGTGAACGCAGTCATCGCCGCAGACAGCGATCTCCGCCGGCAAGACGAGCTTGGTAAGGGGTGGTGAATGAGGATGCAACGCCGATATGGATATAGGGGGAAAGGACGAGAGTGATGTCGGTCCTTGCAATGAGAGTCCTTGCAGCTGCTTGGAATGAAAGTCGTGTTGCTGCTGCCTGAAATGAGACTCATGTTGCAGCTGCTTGGGATGAGAGTTACGTTGCCACTGCTTGGGATGAGGGCAGGTCCGTAGATCGAGTGCATCGTTCGCGTGTTCGATACGGAGATGTAAGTGATACGCTGTATCCCATACTTGCAGTGTATCACATCGACATACGAGATAGAGGTTGTGTTGACAGTCTCCCCGTGAACATGAAGGGGAGCCTGACGCCAAACGACGCCCTACGTCCTCAACCACGCCGTCTTCGCAATCTTCTTCTGCCGCTTCTGCTCCTTGAAGCGCTCCTGAGTGCTCTGTCAGAAACATGAACGAGTGCGATCGAAACATGCGCCTCACCAAGTCCTTCTTCGTCGGCCGCTTGCGCTTCTTCCCCGCCGCCTCCTCCGCCTCCGCGCGCGCGGCGGCCTCCTGCTCCCACTTGTCCATGTCGAAGAAGACGGAGTTCATGCGCCGCATGCGCTCGTACTCGCTTAGGTGGCTCGGGTCCCGGCCGCTCGCGCCCGTGAACGCGCCCGTGCGCGCGTTGAACTTGGCGACGAAGGCGGAGGTTGATGCAGTGTTGGGCGTGGCGGAGGTGAGGGAGGGGTCCAGGTGCGCGAGCGCGGGGTCGATGCCCTGCGCGAGGGCGGTCTGCTGGAGGGCGGTGTAGGCGCCGGTGGGGGGTGGGGAGGCGGTGGTGGTAGTGGTGGTGGCGGTGGTCGAGGCTGAAGGGCCGGCAGCGGGGTTTGAGGTAGAGGCGGAGGCAGATGGATCGAGCGGGTTAGTCCAGGTCGTCTCGCCGGTTTGGGAGTTGTAGAAGTAGTAGGCGTTGTACTGCGGGGCGAAGACGGCCTGCCAGGGCGTGCCCTCTGCTGACGGCTGCTGCTGCGATGTCGAGGGTTCGGGGGAGGCTGGCTCCTCCTCTCCGTCATTCGAGCCTTGCTGCTTCTCGCCGTCCGATTCAGAGGACTCCCTTGCGTCCTCTGCTGCTGCCTCTCGATCCTTGCCCTTGGCTTCGTGTTTTGAGGACGCGGGCTCGGTCTCTTGGGGGGCATCGGCGCCATCTTGGGCCTTCACATCATCAGCAGAGGACGACGGGTCGGGTGTTGGGGAGGACATGGAGAATGCGCAACGATGCAGCGATGGTGGTGAGCAAGCGAGAAGAATGGCCGCGAATGTTGATCGCTGTTTCCGTCATCGGCCACGCGAGCGGACCCACAAAGTCCCACAGGATTTTCCAAGCCCATGCCATGGCCTGCTCAACAGGGCACCTTGCGCAGATATTCGAGCAATAAACGCTGCTGTACACTGCCCCCTGAAACATGGACTTGTGTGTCTTGCGCCGGGAACAATACCTTCCTTTCCTGGGTCTTATTGATGAGACGCGCTCCGGCGCGTGGCGTCTTTCGCCGCAAACCATCATCTCACCATGGATGTCGACATGGCCGATGCGCAACCCACGCAGCACGGGAAGCAATCAGGAGTCCCTGTGGACGACGCCCACCCCTTTGATCTTGAGAGCTACATCTCCAACTACACGGGTGCGTCCCAGCGCTTAACCCCCGATCCCTCTCTGACTTCTCTCCAGGCCGCACAGCGATCTTCCGCCTCATCCACATCATCTCTCACTGTCCGACCCTCGCTCCCGAGGCCTACAAGGCCGCCGTCGAACATGTATACCAGTCGAGAGATCCGCAGCTGTACCAGCAGGTGCTCAGCGCGTACGAGACCGTCGCCGCGTCCGCGGGCACGCCCGACGCGCCGTTCCCGAAGCCGGAGGACATCATGCCGCTCGACCCCAAGTGGATCGACGAGACGAACGCGCGGAACGCAAACGAGCGCGTCAAGCTCGAGGTCGAGCTCAAGTCGTACACGAACAACATGATCAAAGAGAGCATCCGGGTGCGTGGGGGTGCTGCCGTGTGCGCGATGGGTGCTGATGGTGCCGTAGATGGGCCATCGTGATCTGGGGAACTTCTACCGCGCGGTGGGCGATCCGGCGACGGCGCTCAAGCACTTTACCAAGTCCCGCGAGTTCTGCGCCACAGGGCAGCATGTGCTTGAAATGTGTCTGTCTGTACTGGAGGTGCGTGTTTCCTCTTACCTCCCCCTCGACTCTCACATTGTCCTTCCATTACCCCCCTCTTCCGATCACCGTCGCTTTCGTGCACTACCCTTTCCAGCACCGTTGTTGCGCAACTCCTCAATCATGCACAACACCGGGCATCACTCGCACCCTCGCCCGCCCTTCATCATCTCTCTCTTCATCCTCGCCACCTCGTGATCATACCTCACATCCTCATCATCATACCTCACCGCTTCATGATCATATCTCACCCCCTCACGATCCTATCTCTCCTCTTCGCAACGCTCTTACCCACCCCACCCTCTTACTCACCCCACCCCAGCTCCTCATCGAACAGCGCAACTACACCCACCTCCCCACCTACGTCTTCAAGGCCGAGACCGCGCTCGACGCTGCGGTCGCGCAGGAGAAGAGCGCGAGCAACAACCCGATGGCGCCCGCGGGCGGTTCGGGTGAGTGAACACAGTCGGATCGCATCTGCCACCCTTCTCAGGAGCCGTTACTCGGCGAATCATGCTAATCTCTCCTGTGCTTGAACCATGCTAATCTTCCCTGTGCTAATCTCCCCGCACTCCAGGCGCCGGCTCATCCGGCTCCAGCGCACGCAAGCAGTCCGCGGACCGCGACCGCATCCAGTCGAAGCTTGATTTTGCGCAAGGTGAGTCACCGGTATATGCTCCTATGCGTCTCTATGCGCGCCTTTTGGCGAGAGGACGCGCTTCTGGGCGGAAATATGCGCTTTTGGCGAGGAGACACGCTTCTGGGCAATGATATGCGCTTTGGCGAGGAGACACGCTTTTGGCAAAAGGATGCGCTTTTGGCGAATAGGATGCGCTTTTCGTGAAAAGAAGCCAGCAGCCTGGTCGACCTCGCCTCGCTCCTTGCGCTCCAGGGAAGTCATTTGATACATCGCGCTGCTCGTCCACCGAGGAGCGGACGGGATGATCTCTCGGAACGAACGGACTGATCTCTCGGAACGAACGTCTGATCTCTCGGAACGAACGGATCGACCCCTCAGAACGAACGGCCTCATTCCTCGGCATGAATGTACTGATCTCTCCGAACAAACGGATTGATCTCCCGTCAGGTCTCGCGAATCTCGGGCAGGGCTACTACGACAAGGCCGCGTACCACTTCTTGCGCGTGGGGCCGGCGAAGGATTTGGAGGACTGGGCGGGGACGGTGAGTGGCAGGTTTGCTTACCTATCCCATACCTCTATCAACCCAATCCCGACAACCAACCCTGCCACGCCTACCTCCCCCGACCACGACTACCAACCTACTAACCCTCCCCCCAGCTCGTCGCCCCCGCCGACATCGCGATCTACGGCACCCTCTGCGCGCTCTCCTCCTACTCGCGCGCCGCGATCAAGGCGCAGATCCTCGAGAACTCCGTGTTCGGCGCGTATGTGGAGCAGGAGCCGTACGTGCGCGAGCTGATCGAGGCGTATATGGCGAGCAAGTTCAAGATCGTGCTCGAGCTGCTGTCGCGGTACTCGGTGAGTTGAGGCTTGGCCTCGTGGGCGGTGGTTCTTCTGTGTTGTTGTTTCGAGGCGTTCGGTCTTGAAGCCTTGGACGCCTTCGGCTTTGCACATCTTCGCCTTCGTTTGTGGATGGTTTGGGCGCTCGCGATCCATAGGACCGTGGCAATTCATATGACTTTCGCGAGACCATAACGCTGACCCTTCCCTCAGACCCGCCACGCCCTCGACATCCACCTCGCCCCGCACGTCTCCGCGCTCACGACCTCGATCCGCAACTGGGCCGTCAAGCTCTACTTCCAGCCCTTCCAGGTAAGTGCTGGTTGCATCTCTTCCAGGACAACTGCGAAGGGTCGCCCGCCTGTCCGACCGCGGCGGAGAGTCGCTGAAGCAGGCGGAGTGCTGAGAAGGGCTCCCGCCTCACAGCAGAGAAGGGCTTTTATCGTTCGACTGCGGAGACGGGCTCCTGTCTGACTGCTAAGCGGCCTGTCGAGAAGTCCAAGACGAAGTCCAGCTGCGTGTGACGCCCGCAGCCCAGTTTGGCATTCCCATTCCAACTCACTTCCATCTCTTCCGGTCTACCAACCCTGACCGCCCTCCCAGTCCATCAAGCTCGACCGCATGTCCGCGGCATTCGGCTGGAGCGTGGAGGAGGTCGAGCGGCAGGTTGTCAGGTTGATCCAGAACGGGGAGATCCAGGCGCGCGTGGATAGCGAGAATAAAGTGAGTTCAGGTTTTTGTTTCCTTTTTTCGCTTGTAGCTTTGGCGGTGGTGTTTCTTCCAGAAAAGTGGACGGAGGGAGGAGGAAGGAAGGGATCGGAGAAGGAGAAGGAGCGATTAGGGGAAAGAAAGGGGGATGAGGATGGTGCTGACGCTTATGCTTCAGATCCTCCTGGCGAAGAAGACCGACTACCGGGCGGACCTGTTTGAGCGCGCGATGAAGGCCGGCGCAGATATTCAGGAGGCGAATAGGAAGGTTCTGTTGAGGATGCGGTTGTGAGTCCTTTTTTCCCCTGTCGTTCGCATATCATCGACCGGCGCATCTCAACTCATCTATATTCCATCCATTCACCGCATGTCCTGCTGTTCTTCCTTCGTATACTCCCGCCGTTCCTTATTTGTCCTCTGCCTTCGTCCGATTACCGTGCTGATTCGTTCTCGTTGCAGCCAACAAGCGGACCTCGTCATCAAGGCGCCGAAGGGGCATGCGTCGCAACAGCAGCAGCAGTTGGAGATGTCCATGTTCACGCAGGAGGCGTAAGCGGCTGAGGACACAGGAGCGGTGGAGGGAGGTACATCCACGTATGTCCAGCTTGAAGATTTCGGTGCGTACAGCGCTGACTACTGCCTCGACAGATGCATGTTGTGTTTACTGTATTTCTATCGAAACTGAATGCTCGCTCTACTAAAGTACAGGCCGAGAAGCGCTGCATATGCACCTGTACGCTTGGCAAGCCTCGAAGAGTCTGTGACTAAGTGCTACATTTCTTGGTTTCCGGTACGGCGCATTGTAGTCCTGCTTTACCCAAATCACATGCTTTGACGACTGTGGCCAGTGGATTTCAAATACGCTGGCCACATACGTTGCAAACTCGCTGGCCGCAAATGTTTGTTCCCGATTGCCCGATCCTCCGTGTCCATGATCCCGATTTCACCTTGACGGCTATGCTTTACTTCCGTGGCACAGGGCCTTCCATATATGGATCAAAAGGCTACTTTGTACATAACGAGGATAGCGGTATCTTCGCAGGTACAGAGCAAGCCTTCACTTTGAAGTTTGAACGACCAAGTGCCTTCACTCTGAGAACTCAAGTGATTTCCCGCAGAACAAATGGATGGTGAGCCACTTGTCGATCTTGTCCCATGTTTACGTTCGCCACGATGGGGGCTTCACTGGTTTCGACGATGGCTGGCCGAGGGTCGAGCGTTATGATCAGTACGGCGGTAGCGCGCCCAATCCTCAATTGACTGTTCGGTGCGCGATGATTATGGGCTTGCCGTCGGAGTGCGGCAGACTGATACAGAGCTGACACGGCACTTTGAGGTGCTATTCCGGCATGCTCAAGGCCCCTAAGTATGGCCCGCTACAGACTAGCTTTCGGCTTCGGTGCATGTCACGAATGACCTAGTATTTGCGAAGAGGAGACTAGAGCATTGCATTGTACAGATGGTCAATAAATCACGACGATACAGAGCAAGAACAATAGATACATATACGATGAAAAAGAGAGCAACAATCACCCATCCTTAAAGGTCAGCGTCATCTCCGCGTGCTGCCCATGCCCGAGAGCCTGCGCTAGCCGGTCGAACCACAGTTTCCCCGCAAGCATGTCGACTCTCCGCGGAACCACGCCTACCTCCTCAGGCCCGGCCTTCTCGATGCGGTTCAGCATGAACTGCATGACCTCTGCTTCCCACGACCAAGCCTCCCCGGCATTCCGCGCCCAAGTACCGCCAACGTCCCTCGTGCGCCTAGCGATACGCAGCTCCGCAACGTCCGCCACTGTGAGCGGGGTATGCAAGTACTCGTGAACCGCCCCCAGAACGTCCGCGATCCTGAGGTACTGCCCGTCCGGCCTGCGGACGACGAGCGGGCCCCACGCGCGCCATTGCCAGTCCGCGAGGTGGGGGATGTAGATGGTGAGGGTGTGGATTGGAAAGTAGGCGATCGAGATGTCGGTAAATGAAGAGCCATTGGCGATGGAGGGAGGCGCGTCCCAGATGTGCCATTCGAGTTCACCGTCGGTGAGGAGGGGTGGGTAAAAATTGAACTGGCCCAGTGGGCGCGAGGGCGAGTTTGTGGCCTGTGGGGCATTTGGCTGTGGCTGTGTGGGGAGGACGCGGAGGATTTGGGGAGTATCAATGGAGGCTGGGTCTTTACAATCATGGTGGGCAGGCGCCAGCTCCGGTGTTATGGGAATGACGGGTGCTGCACGTTCGTGGCGCGGAGAGTATCCAAGCGCGGGGCTGACTACTGGTTCGCGGCGACGTACTTTTAGTCGACTGATAGAAGGATATAGATAGCGGGCGCACCATAATGGTAGGGAGTAGGGAAGGCGTGCAGAGCCTTGGCGCAAGGCTTCTTGAAAATACTGTGTAGTCCTCGTACGGCGTTGCGGATAGCCATGGCTTGGAAGACGGTGTAAGGTCGGAATTTGGGCCCTCGCGGACGGCTTGCGAGCTATAAAACGTGCTCAGGCCGCGAAGGTCAGCGCGGCTACAATCACACGGCGTCGCCGGTCTTGCGCTACCAGGTCCGCGCGGAACGGACCCAGCGCGATGCACCGCATATCGAGCGGGGACCTCGACGGACATCTTCCGTCTCTACAATCGGACCCTCGGCGGTCATCGCAGTAGACATACGGGGATATCGCAGTAGAGTGGGTGCTTCTTCTGCAAGGCACAGATCTCGACTGTCATCCCGGGGCGTATGAGAGCGTCCCGTGCGAGCTGTGTGTGAAAGGAAGCGTCCTGATCTGCAGGCGATAAGCTACAGAGTTCCCGTGAGCGCGGATAGTGGACCCAGGTGGACCCTCGTAGACCGCGTCGTCGAACACGTTGAGAACACGCACATCTGTCAAACGTCAGAACCACAATCACGTGATTGCCATGCGCGTCCGCACCTTGCAGCTCAGGCGAGGACGGGCCCACCGTCAAGGGAGCAATTACCCTGGAGATGGTGCGGATAATCATGATGACCCTCTGTATGTGAGCTTCTCCGCCGAGGCAGTTCCCCAGAAAATTCGGGGGCAAGCGTTTGAGGCGTCCTGCAGAGACGACTTCCTGACGCCACCGGCAAGAACGTCGGAGTGGAAGCAGTAGTCAGTAGCTTAGGAAGAGCCGTATCATAACGTACGACTCTACTCGAGAGGTCAACAAGCTTTCTCAGAAGCGAACTCGCTGGTTCAGCTCATTGTGACTGGATCTTTTTCCGCGCATGGAAGCGCCGACTGAGCTCGACCTTGGCCCACTCCGCAGTCGTTCAGGTGCATGGACTGTATTCCAGCTCCACATTGTGACGCCGAATTCATTGACTCACCTGAGAAGAAAGCAAGGAAAGGTCGGACGCCGCCCAGCAGGAAGCTATCATTTAGATTCCGCCATCACAATGCGTTCGAAAATATGGGGGACGGACTGACATAGATCTGACGCCGTAGAGACGGAGGCGGTGCGCGCGTGGGACGCTTTCCCGAAAGCGGACGATGCGTCGAAAAATCTGGAGGATGGGAGCAATCAGCGTGGAAAATGCAATGGAGCGGTGGCAAGAGCTGTAGACACCTTGAACGCCCGTGGCAATGGTGGCATTGGTTGTTGGAACAGATAAAGGCATTAGAATGAGTAGATAGACGCTCAAAAGCGGCATAAAGGGGGCGGGGAATGGCGCAGCCATCGATCCTCGAAAAACGTGAAGTGTTCATTCTGTGATGCGGACGCCCGCTGGAACCCGCTCCAAACAACCTCGAGGTCATCCAGTCGATACTTCGCGCGTGCTCGGGGTGCGCGACGGGCGGATATCGCGATGGAAGCCTGAACATTGTACGTACTGAAGGCCAGCCAGAAAGGCACACATGCAAAATGCACCACAGCCCGGGGGCGTATGGCATGCGGCGCGGGATCATATCCTGCTTGACGGCGAGGTCATCCTGGGGTCCTCCTGCCCAAACGGACTCCCCCTTACCTTGAAAATCGGCCGGGGACCCGGCCTGTAATCTTAGATCAGCAACGCCTCGAGCACAACTTACCCCATTCTTGCTTACCCTTTTTGACTTACAACCCCCACGCTGGACGTCCCCTCCCCCTCCTTCCCATCCCCCATCTGCGCAGTTGCGTCCCGTCGTAGTTGCGCATCTCCCTGCCTGTCTCTGAGGTTTGTACACTCCCTATTCATCCTCGAGGCGCTGGCTGACCGTCAACATCGTATAGGCGCCGCGCTCATCAAGGTCGCCACTCACCCATCGTCGTTGAGACCGGCCGTCCCCCTTTCCGCTTTGCCACTACCAATGGAGCACCACTGTTCGCACAGCGGGCGGGCGCCTGCGGGCGCCTTCCCTTCTACCGATCGCTTCTGGCTCGAGCCCGCCGACCCTCGCCACTCGTCGATCAATCCGACATACACCATGTCCTGTGACCAATACCAATCGCGGTACGGCCATGCGCACTACACTCATGACAGACGATCGTCAGTACACCCTCTCCCTCATCATAAACAATGCGCTTACACGCATATAGGTCCGAGTATGATCAGCGCTTCACTCATCCGCAGCTGTTCAGACAGGACAGCATAGCGTCGTCCGAGGATATCGCCATGTCTGAGTGAGTGGCGTCCTACCTTTGATCATATTATCCCCCTTCCCATCACTGCAGTGCACTGACGCACCTACTCGCAGGGCCCTCACGCCCAGCCCACTCCCCCGCACGCCGCGCACATTGCCCGGCGATGTCGTGCTTTCGCGGAGGCAGACCCCCGTCCCGCGTCCTGCGTGCGAGTATCCTGCCTTTGCGCCGTCTCCGGCTTTCACGTCGCCGCCCACTTCCACGTCGTCACCCGCTCTCACGTCGTCTCGCGCGTTCGCGCCGTCCCGCATCTTCGAGGCATCGCCAGCCTTCGCCATACCTCCCGGTCCCGTACCGTCGCTCTCCCGCGCGGTGTTCGACGACTCGGACGACGATGATGTCCCCATGCCGCCTGTTGCGTGGGTCGAGCGTACGGGTAGCCCATGGGTCGAGCGTACAGGTAGCCCATGGGTCGAGCGTACGGATAGCCCGCCGCCTCACGCCTTCGAGTTCGACGTGCGGCTAACGGGCTCCGTTTCGCGTCTGGAGTGTCTTGCGTTCGTGGCGTCGTCCGCGTCCGCATCGACCTCCAATGCGTCGCCCGTCGCGTTCGCATCGTCCTCCTTGTCGGCGTCATCCTCCTTGTCGTCGTCGTCGTCGTCGTCCGCTTTCGCGTTGGACCCTACGTTCACCTCGAGCCATGCATTCGCGCCGCCGCAGGGATTCGCTCCGCCCCCCGCGCTCGCGGCGCGGCGCTTCCCCGGCGTCGTGTCCGAAGACGAGGACGGTGCTTCCCCCAACGCTCACAAGTTTGATCTCGAGGACAAGAAGCTCCAAGCCGTCGTCTTCGCATACCTCAAGCCTGCCTCCAAATCCATCTTCAACATGACCCACCCGCCGATCACCATCCTCCGCCCCGCGCCGGAGTTCATGGACAAGGCGGTCGAGTGCCTCAAGAAGCGGCAGTGGGCCAACCACCTCAGGAAGCACGCGACGGGCGAGCGCTACGGGCCCGTCCTCACGGCCAACCCGCGCCCGGCGGTCGCCCGCATCCATCGCGACCGCGTGCAGAAGTGCATCGTCGAGCTCGCGAAGGTCGAGTACAGGCGCACGGCGAAGCCGTGCGAGCTGAAGGCGGCGAAGGAGCGCGTGAGGGAGGCGAAGCGGCTCGCGAAGACCGCGGTCAAGAGCGCGTTCCCCCAGGCTATCGCCGCGATGAAGGGCGCGCGCGTGCTAGCCAGCCGGTTCGCGAAGCGCCACACCAGGGGGTGGTCGAGGCGGTGGCACGAGGACCGGGCGACGAAGCTGGAGGCAGAAATGAAGGCCGCCATGAAGAAGGCGCCCTCGCCCATGCCCCGCCGCCGCACCTCCAACAAGCTGCCCCAGCGCATCGAGAACCTGCGCGTCGATCCGCTCGTCAGAAAGTTCGGCGCGCACCACGTCAAGTGTGCCTGCTGCCTGGAGAAGATCGCGACCGAGGGGCGCTGGGAGTTCTACTCAGCAACCTTGTTCCACAAACACGTCTGGCTGCATTGCGAGGGACTCAAGAGGTGGGCCACGGAGGCTCCCACCATGGAAGAGTGGACAGAATTGAGAGTGAAGCGCAACAGGTACGCTGAGGCTATGGTGAGTCTGCTCGGATTTGGCGCGGGTGTGTGCTGACGCATGAGCAGCACGATATCTACGTGCCAGTGGCGTGCGAGACCGGCAGCTCGGAGTGTCATTGCTACGATTTCGGGCTGGAGTGGAAGCGTCGTATTGAGACTCGGAAGAACCAGGCGAAGAATCGCAACTGGCCCAGGGAGGCTGGCGAGCACGGGGAGCTGATCCTGGTCGGCAAGCACCAGGATGGCCATTTCATCCGTGATCGCAAGTAGTGAGTCTTCACTTCAACCTCAAAGGTTCGCCGCTGACAACTATGTCCAGATTAGTGTTGTTCTTTTTCTGTCATGCATACATACGTGGTTTCGGTGTCTGGTCGTGGGCGTAAAGCGCGTCTCCTGTGTGATGTACGCTGCATTATCGACCCGATTATGCTTTCTCGCTGTACTATGTGCTTACCGTGTATTCTTATCAGTCCATATCGCTATCGTTTGTGTTGCTCCCCATGTGACGCAGAGCCCGAGTTCATTCATGAAAGTTGTAGTTCGCTCGCCCGGGTTTGCCTTTGTTTTTCTTTGTGATCGTGCTCGGCGACCGCCAGCTGACTTTGAATTAGACTTTAGTCCCATGAGTTCCTTTTTTCCGCCCGTCATCTTCTGGGGCAACTCGCCGTCGAAGCCGGACATCTCTCATCGCATGCTCGCGTACTCTCACTGGTACCAGGAGCCGTTTGCTCGACTTCTTGAGCGTGAGTACTATTGGAACGCGGACTGCGCGACCGGGAAGTACAGTGACCGCGACGGAGGTGCGTGCTCAAGCGCTACACCTGTTCCTCGCCTGATCGTCATTTGCAGTCTCTTCCTCGTACTACGCGTCTGGTCCCCATCGACTTGCTCGACGTACGCGCCCAAATTCCGAACTCGAGCTCCCATACTTCATACACTTCATATCTTCGCAAGCGCTCTGTCATCGACGAACATAGCTCAACTTTTGCCCTCGTCAACTCTAGACTATGGCGCCTGCTGCCTGCAGACCTACTCAGCCAATCTCGTTCATTTCTGCGAGCACCGACTATCGTCCGACTGATAGCGCGACGAAGTACGTCCCGGACCGACTATTCCAAGTGTCCCTCGGCACTTGATGTGGGGAAGACTGTGACCCTGATCTCCCTCACGCCTCCAATTCGATGTCGCTGCAGCGTGTTCCATATTTCCATTTGCCTCTCAGCGCCCGTCGACAGTCTCGCTTATCCCTCGTACGCCGGGGTCGTCGCACCAACGACGACTTCGGTCTTTTTGGGGCGAGCAGCCATACTCTCGCTCTCGATGATCGACCGGAAATAAACGGGCCCATGTGGGATCCTGCGACCTGCGCTCGTCGTCCCAAGTCTTCCCCCACACATCTGCTCGACCGCGCGATGATACGTCTTTGCTATGCGTTGCTCGGAAGCTCAAGACATGAGTCGAGGTTACTACTCTTTGCGTCTATCGTCGTTGAACTCCCAAGGAATCGGAGACCCTCGTATAACAAGATCGCTGCCTCTTGCTCGCTTCCGTGGCCGCGAAGGGTATCGAGGAGAGCGTCCAGGCGGGGCACGACTGCGAGTCGTATCAGCAAGATGGCGCGTGGGAGGTTGGCGGGCTGGTCAGAGAGCTTTGCTGGTGGTGTCGATTTTCACGTATTATTTGAAATGTCAAACTCTACGGACTGACCTGCATATCATTATGTCGACCATCGTCAACAGCATTCATTCCTCTTTGCTATCGTGCTGCCTGGCCGTGCCGTGACCTTGTTGTCCACTTCCTTGTCAATGTTCGTTTCGGAATCGGAGAACAATGCGTTCGCGCACGTGACCTGCTCGGATTCTCCCGCGAACAAAAGCAACGAGCGGACATCCGGCGTCTACTCGCTTCTGACACTCTCCATATTCAGGTTGCCACACCTCAGAGCGCCTCAAACTGCCAGCATGATGTCTGAAGAGCTGCACAAGATGTCTGAATCGCTGAGCAGGAAGTGCCACTTGCTCAATCTGCCGGTCGAGCTTGCCGACGAGATCTGCCACTACGTTGGTGGCGAGGATGCGAGCAAGAAACAAATGGCCGACGTCGCCTTGACCTGTGGCGCCTTGTATGCCGTCGCAAATCGTATTTTGTGGGAAGACCTTCCTGGTCTCGAACCTCTTCTCGAAGCCATGCCCGCGGGAACCTGGGAGGGTGCGTCGCTCGATCCTAATAACCATTCAGGCTTGCTGAATGCTCTAGCAGACTCAGATACACAGGAAGAAAGCGATCTTGGCTCATTGACTGAGTTTTGGCAACCTATCCGGCATCTAGTCACCCACGTCAAGACCATCACCATATACCCCATTCCACTCGCGCAGCAGGAGAAGATTATGCGCTGCAGTCAACTGCGATGGCTCCTTCCATGGAATATACGCCATGTCTGTATTGCTCAAACCGAGGAACGCCCGTTGACGCTTGTCAGCGGCAAGGTCGCCTTCTATCGACGATTCTTGCGCTGCATCATACCCCCTACTGCGCTTGAGAGCCTTCGACTTGATCACGCGTCGCCGCTCATCCCGCTACTGTCCCATTTCTCGGCGGTCAACAGATTGCGCTTCAATGGACCTCGCGATTGGGATTTTGATGCATTCTTACAACGCGCAGGAGCACCGCCACGTGTGGCGCGCACTCTGACACACTACAAAGATCTGAAGCGGGTCGATTTTGACCTGCCATTCTCCCCCCATCCGGAAATCCTCGAAAACCTCGCCACCATGCCCACGCTCTCCTTTGTTTCTATCAGGTTCTACGCACTTCTTGTTTCCGGCAAGCCCAAGTGGATCGGCCGGCGCCCCAAATTCCCGCAGCATTCCTTCCCGGCACTTGAGCACCTCTATCTTGAGGGCGTATCCTTCGCTGACGCCAAGGCTCTTCTCGAAAGCGACGACAGGAGCATGCTCCGGACGATCTCCGTTGCTTCTCCCGAGCGCGAAACATCCGCAACCCTCGCCGCGCTCCTAAAAACCATCAAATGCCTGTGCACTCCAGCGTACCTCCGCGAAGCGCTCTTTACACGGCTTTTGATTTACGATGCCGAAAACGAATGGCCCGTCACCTTCGAACACGTCGAGCATCTCACCTCGTTCTCCCGCCTCGAGTCCGTTGGATTCGGTCGCTTTTGCGGCATGGAAATAACGGAAGAACAATGGATATATATGGCGCAATCGTGGCCCAACCTCCGGACGCTCGAGATGCTCATCCACGACAAGAACTACCAACCTGCCGAAGCACTCTGCTCCATCGCCACGATTACCACTGTCGTACGCCTCTGCCCGTCTCTAGAGCGCCTAAAGCTGCCATTCGACTTCTCCAACATGCCCGTCATTCCCGATGGGGTCGAATTCCCGAAACATACGTTCAAGCTCGTGCTGGCGGGCATGCCCAGCCATATCAAGCAGACATCCGAGGACGTGTTCGACTTCTTGGATCGCGCTCTCTGGGGCGTCATGATTGACCTGGCCTATGACTGCGATATGGACGCTTTCAGGAATGAAGACACACGCTACGCGCACAAGCAGTGGACGTCCCTCAAGTATCTCACAGATGGGACTCATCGATTTTTCCCAGTCATAGCTCAGGGGACCCGTCACGAGGACACCTCAGAGGACGAGGCGGAGTCAGAGTTCGATACGGAGTCAGGGGTCGATACGGAGTCAGAGGTCGATACGGAGTCAGAGGTCGATGCAGAGCCTTTGTGATAGCTCGTGTGCTAAACAAATTAACAATGGCAGTCGTGTTATACACAATGGATGATTGGCGAGAACCGTTGCAGGATGGAATACAATATGTCTACATTGTCCTGATACATCGAATCCTCCAATTAATGAAATTCAGTCAGGATCTTAGTACCGCATCCGGCCCTTGAGGCCGATGTCCAACGCGAGCTGAGTTGGAGCACTCGCAGCAGTGGCACGATCATAGAAGACTAAGGCCTGGGGAAGTCGAAACAGGTATAAGAACTTGTTATGGGTTCTAATTGAGTGGAAATCCTTGGCTGATTGAGCTTCGAGTGGACGCAGGCGCCCTCGAAAGCCCTGCCGTTGACCACGAGCACATCGCTCGTGGGAGTCATGTGATTTCCACGCGGGCAGTCTCACATCTGGTAGCGGTATAACAGGGATGAGCGTCCCATCGGTCGTGGAGCAGCGACTGCGCGTATAGTCATACAGGCATGACATGTGTGCTTCTCCGCCGAGGACGGCCCCAGAAAAACTTGGAGGAAACGCGATGCACCTTCTACCGTCCAGGAATTGCGTATAATCACAGACCTGTCATGTGTGATTTTCTCTGCCGGGTAGGTCCCCAGAAAAACTGCGAAGCAACGCGGAAGACTCCCGCAGAGATCTATTCCCGACGCAGCCGGTGACCACGTAGGAAATGAGGCGGCGGTAAGGCAGGCCGCTTCATCACCCGCACCACTATCCGACGAGTCAACAAACGAGATCAGGAGCGAGCAATCTGGTTCGGCTTGTTGTGACGACTGCTTGAACGTCTCCCGCTCTTGGTACCGATGATTAATTGACAGCCCTCTGCCTTCGGTAACGGCGGTGTGCGAGGCATTACCGTAGTGTCGGTGTCTGCGTCGCCAGGCGTACTGCCGCGCCTCCGCCCAATTTAGGATGATCGGAAGGGGAAATCACAGGAGACGGAACCAGATCTTTATCTTGTGCGCGATCAATTTGCATACGGGGAAAGGCCTGGCCGGAGGGGGCCTTTCGCGAGCCGGGTCAGCCCCGTTTGGGTTTGCAATTGCAAATCTCCGCGTACGCCTCATGGTCAACAGTGACATTACCTGGGTATATAACTTCAACTTGGGGACTTTCCCGCTTCGCCCTTCTTGCTTCTTACTGCCCACCACCCGGGGAGCCCGTCCGCCCGCCGCCTCTAGTTGCGCGCGCACGCATCTTCCTGTCTGCAACCCTCAGTATCGTCGGTGGCTTTCTTACCTTCCCCGGCTTACTTCTCTCGACCTCACCGAAGCCACTCGTCGGTCGCCGACCCATCGCGCGCGACAGACCCCGCCCGCTTTCTGGTCGCCGCCGCCAGTTCTCCCTCGAGCGCAAGGACAAGTAGACAAACCTTGACGTCCACTTCAACGGACAGAGTGAGTAGAAAGAGTTTGTCTCGTCATCGTCGTCCCTCGTGCTCACCGATCACTAGCTTTCGTCCGAGTCGCCGTACCCGATCTGCACCCCACCCCCACAGGCGTACAACAACTACGCCCTGACCGCCACCCCACTACCGCCAACACAGCTCGTTGAAGTCACACTCACCATGTCTGCGCTCGACTACCGCGACGGCCTTCGTCCCTACGCCGAGTCGTCTTGTCGCACGGGATTAGAGTGAGCATGATCGTCCAACAATGTCATATCATCAGACTCACCTGACCCACAGCGACCTCCCCGACGAGACCTACGTCGTCCCCACGCCATACGTCCCTGGGCCTCTACCGCCGCGCCCCGCTCCCCCGGCCTTTGTCTACGAGCAAGCGTGAGTCAGACCCGCTTCTCATCGAAGACGACTTCGCTTACCATACACATCGCAGACCCTCCCGGATGTCTATCCTCGACCCCTCTCGTGCGCCTCCGCCGACTCAGGCTCCGTTCCCCATCTGGACGTCAACGTGAGTCGCTCGGCTTGCCTTCGAGAACGTCTGAAGCTAAACATCGTCATCACAGCTTCAGATTCCCCACGCCTCCTCCAGCGCCGTCCCCGCCGCGGCAGCCCTCCCCTCCGCCCGCTCCTGCCCCTGCTCGCAAGGCCGCCCGCTCCTCTGCTCGCAAGCCTGCCCGCGCCTCTGCGCCCAAGCATGCACGCCCCTCGGCGCGCTCCTCGGCGCGCAAGGTAGCGCCGCCACCGCCATCTAACCCCAAGCTTGTTCTCCACCTCCCGAACTTCGCGTTCGACAGCGCGCAGCTCACCCCCGCTGAGACGTGCCCTCTGCCACCCATGGCACCCGCTCCCGCGTCAAAGAACGCTGCCCCGGCTTCACAAGCCCCTGCACCGGTACCGAAGGAGCCCACCCGGCGGTCGGGCAGAATCCGCGCCGCGGTCAGGAAGCCAATCTCTATAGTAACCCCGCCGCCCGTGAAGATCAGCACGCCTCCCGCGAGGATCACTTCCACTCCAGCAAGATATGCGTCGCCTGCCGCTACGAAGAAGGGCTCTGCGAAAGCCATCGGCCGCTCGACGAAGGCCACGCACTCGAAGAACGCCCCGACGCGCTCGATCGCCCCGCTTCCGGCCCGTGCGCGCAAGACTGCCGCAGCGCCTGCGCGCACGACCGTACCCGCGCGAGAAATCGCCCCGCTACCCGCTCGCGCGCGCTCCACGCGCTCGAACTCGGCCGCGTCTGCCTCGTCCGCTCGGACTACGCGATCCAGCGCGTCGAGCGCGACGCTAGTGCCCTCGCGGGCGAGCTCGAAGAGCAAGGAACGGGCCGTCTCCCCCATTCTCGAAGACGACGAGGATGACGAGGCGGAGGAGACGGACTGCGAGGAGTCGGATGAGGGCGATGAAGAGGAGCCGGAGAGCTGCGTTGAGGGAAAGAAGAAGGGCGGCAGGCAGCTCAAGCAAGCGGAGTACGACGACACCACGCCAGAGGCGAAGAAAATTATCGAGGATACCGCCGAGACGCTGGAGAAAGCGAATGGTTCAGAGTATGGCGTCCACGCCATCGTCGCCGGCGAGATGATGGCCAGGTTCCGCAGAGAGCAGCGCGAAAGGACGAAGCGACAGCGTCTGAACGCAGAACAGGGCACCGCGAAGAAGTCGCCGCCCCTGGACCTGGAGGCGCGCATCGAGCGCCACCGGACGGACGAGATGGTGAAGTCATTCGCCGCGCATACGGTTGTGTGCGCGGCGTGCGACACGCCCGTCGGCACCGACTTCGACCACGAGGCGTACTACGCGGCGTGGAACAAGCACAAGTTTGAGAAGTGCAAGGCGATCCTCGCGTGGGAGGACTATCCGCCGAGCCAGGAGACGATGAAGGAGTGGCAGCGGGCGCGCAACAAGTGCGCGGATGGGATGGTGAGCTTGTGTGTGTGCGGTTCTGGTGGATGTGTGTGCTTACTCTGGTTCACAGCTGAAAGTCTACCCGGACGCGCTGGAGAAGTTCGGGGGCGACTGCGTCTGCAAACAGCTTGGCCTCGAGAAGGAGCGGCGCGAGGCGGTTGCTGCTCAGAGGGCAAAGAGGGCGGAGGCACGGGCGGCAGCCTCTGCTTGATCTGCTGGAGAGTGGCGGAAAGGCATCTAGCCTTGAACGCGAATCCGTCTGCGAGAATGGGGTCTGCCTGCACTCGCTCGAAGTTCTCGATGCTGATTGTCATGCCTAGAACGCAGGTATCTTTGCTCTGTTGTGTATTTATTGGTTCCGCATAGTCTCCTGGGCACGAAGCGCGTCTCCTTCGCGATGTACGCTGCATCGTAGGCCCAAGTATGTCTCTTGCTGTCTATGCTGCCCCCTCGTCATACTGCTCACTGTGTATTTTTATCATTATGTATATACTCTGCGCTTGCGAATGATGAACGTTACCTCGGTATCTGCCAGATTCTGTGCGTTGCCTTCGTCTTGCGCCAGATTTCATGACCGTGCTTCGAAAGCGAAGCCGAGCTGTACTTGAGTTTGCGCTTGTTTTGCCGGCGATCACCGACGCCGTTCTTCGTAACTTACGCTCTTGCGCCCTTCCCTCACGCCGGTTATCTCACCTGACTGGAGTCTGAGCTTGCTGAGTAACTATTGCGTGCATTTTCAGGAGCATATTCCATTCATGAAAGTGCTGGGATCCGCGAAGGCGTGGAGAGTAGCGAGCGCGCTCGATGAGGTACGTTTACGATACCTCTTTCTGACTTTATCTCGACCGTCTCCCAGTACACTACGTCGATATGAGAGCCCTATGCTCTCCTCAGCATGTACACTACGTAGCTCGTGATGCTATCGCGCCCCCCTCCCATGTTGTCGTCCGACCCCTGGGTATACGACGATCGGATCCAGACTTGCAAGTCCACCTTCAATTACGATCCACCTCGTCAGCTTAGGCTATTTGCAACGCTTTGCCGTAACTCAGCCTTCTCCTTCTGTTAGCAAGGCGTTCAAATTCTCGCGGAGGGTCAACACAATACACTCGTAAAGCAACCCCTCTCCGTCCTCGAGCAATTCAGCTGCGCCTCGATGACACCCCTTCGCTCAGGGACCACTCGAGAGCTCGTCGCGGACAATAGCATATCCCTCTGCTCTGAGTATCAGCAAGCCTGTCCGTATGCGGCATCTCGACTCGCGCTCGGGTCCCCCTGCGAAGGCCGACGTATCATCGCCGAGTCTCTATTCCGCCACCTGAGCTGTCCTCTCGCGACGTCTCTTGTCCACGAAACCCAACCAATGGCTGACGCAGCGTTAGTCTATTACCGACGAGAAGACGTGCGCCACTTTGAAAGTCGCGTTAGTGGTGATTTGCGAGCGATCAGAAATAAGAGGGTTGTGGAATATATCCTGTGCGTGTGCGTCGGTCTCACTTCGCTCGTTCCAAATCACCCCCAATGCCTGTTGTAGTGGCGCGCACCGGCTCCGGTAAACCATCCTGTTTGTTCCTCCCCCAAACATGCCTCCCGCTGCAATAACAACTAGTATTGGATGATAGACATCCCCTGTATACATGGTCGCGTACTCGTATGCTTGAAGTGCAGGGGATGTCGAGGCCTAGCATCTACGCCATTCACAACAACTTATTCTTCCACTTGTATCAAGGATTCCCTGCGATGAGAGATGCAGATGACCATGGTGAGTGCGCAAGGCGGGGTTGAATGGCTTCGTCACAGCGTTGTGGCAAAGCATGAGCGACTTCCAGAGGAAGTTCTGCCGAAGATTTGATGGCAGCTATTCACCAAGCACTACTCTTCCATCCCCTCTGATATACGGACAGCTCCGCCTTCTTCATCCTGTCACCGACTTTGCTGTCGAGTGAAGTACTTCCCATACCGTTCTGCGTCCTTGCCATTCAGAGAATGTATCATCACCTTCTCGTCAGCTCAATCGAATCCATGCGGATCCTCGAAGCGTTGCTTCTTCGACCCAGTTCGGCGGTTCAGCCGCAGCTCGGGACCTTGATGCTCCCGTTCCGGTTCCGCTCAATAGCTTCCTTCCGCGGAACAAAGCTTACCTTCCGTAGCACAAGCCTTACCTATTTCGGCACAATAGCTACGCTCGGCGAACAAAATGGGCTTCGATGGTGGATGGGCCCTCTACCTCCGGGAGCTCCCGGAGGAGACGACGTCCACGTGTGTTAGGTATGACTGTATGCGTGATATACTGACGCAGGGACTCGGCATTGGAAGCTGATCGAGGTCCCGGCGTCGATTTAGCACCCTCATATCCGTTGAGCAGCATGCGTCGAGCACGCGCTTGCGTGTCCGTGTATCATCCTCAGGGCGCTGTGTTCCCGAGCACTCTCGGCCCGGAATCGGCTCTGGGGAGACAAACCAAGGGAAACCGCGTAGATAGCAGCGTTCTTGTTCTGAACAAAGCAAGGAAGCCGAGCCAGCCCGGCTCGGCCATCATGTGAAGGAGAACATCTGCGCGCGAGGCACACTCAGAGTGATGACGACATGCAGCGGGTGGCTGTCTGCAGATCGAGTACCGTGCTGCGACGGCGGGTCTTCTCAAGGCCCAATGCGAATGGGAGCGCTAGCATCCCAAGGCAGCTGGGCGTCGGCTGAGCTGGGCTGAAACCCACCTCCGCAGCCGAGCCGTCGGGCCTCCGGCCCACATGCACCTGCTTGAATGTTGAGTTGCTTCAAATAGATGGTCGACGCGAAGGTCAACGCGAAAGAGGTGGAAGAGGTTCACGCGCAGCCTTCATCCAAACGCGACGCGTACTACGAAACACGATCAAGTCCTCCGACGATGTCTCAGGACCCTGGAAACCACGAAGGCTGAAAGTCCGAAGCCGATATCGATGATACGAAAGGACGGGTGGTGGCAAATGGCGTAGACCAGCTGTCGCCGGCGGCGGCAATAGTGGCGTCGAGGTCAGGGAGTGCGTTAGGATCAAGAGGAGGAGCAGGGGTCGGGGGCAGGCGACGTAGTGATTTCGGGGACTGCAGGCGCGGCCTCGCAAGTGAATCACACCACGGCTCGCCATTGTTCAATGGAGTGCTCTTGTATCATTGATTCGCTCCGAGGCCAGCGAGAAAGCAATCGATAAGGTTGACGTACTGGCATCACACAGACGCGTCCTATCCTTCGCAACGCATCCCGCTGCCGCGACCCGGACTGCTTTCCACGCGTACGAGGCGACCAATCATCCGCCCGAAGCCCTCGGACCCTGAATGTCTCGGAGGTTGGCAATGTGGCGTAAACCCGAAAGGCAAGAAAGGGAGGCACGGAATCAAATCGGACGAAAATACAGGCTCCGAGCGACGGCGGGGGATTCCGACGCTGGTGATGAGGGCGGCGTCGAATTGCGAAGCCGCGCCGTCGAGGGTATGGTGACGGTGGCAACGGCGAGACGTCGAGGGTCAGATCCTCGCGGGGTGTTAATTTCCTCGCAGGCTTTAGGACAATGGGCTGCCTGAGGACAACGAAGTGGCAAACAATCGAAATCAGCTCAGGATCCGTAACTGAATTTGGGGACCGCACATACGGATTCGAGAACCGCACATACGAAATAGAGGACCGCACATACGAAATCGAGGACCGCGCAGTGGAAGTGCGCTGCCGCACGTACGGTTCAGTTCTGCAAGCCGCCCACCCCGCGAAGCCGTATTTCGCGGGAGCAAAAATGCTGCGGACCAGAGAGCGAAGGTTAGAAATCCGTGGTCTGCCTCGTCCTCGCGTCGGCTTGTCGCATCCGCCCTCGGGGGTGCCGGAAACCCACCGCCCGGCTGAGGTTCGGACAACCCAGCCACTCAGCTGGGGTTCGGACAACCCTCCGCCCCGCTGCTGCGTGTGGCCGGCCTTCCTGGAAAATTAGGGACTCCAGACGTGACGAGCCGCGAGAGACGTGATTATAAGTCCTGATTAGGAACGCTGCGATCTCAGATCGGGGACGCCTCGAGGTCAACGAGCGCTTACCGGCAGTAAATAAATAGCCAGGAAGTGTGTTGTCCTCCCCCGAACTTTCGGTCCTTCCCCGAGCTTCCTGCCCTCGCCCTCTGCGCTTGCGTCGTACCTTCCACCGTCACTGTACGCCCCATCGCGCCGTCACTGTACTCACCCTCCCCCCGCATCCATTCTGTACACCCCGTTGCACAGTCATCACACGACTAGCTCGCCACCAAGGTCAGTGTCAGCGCTCTGCACTGCCGCTGCAGTCTGGCTCATCTTCAGCCCAGGCAACGCAATATAATGGACGCCACTCACCAACAACACCATAATCCCCTGGAGGGAATAACGATATACGACCGAACCAACCCAGAAATGGCGGACCTTCGACCCGAGCACATAAAGAAGCTCTACCAAATTGCACCATGGGGAAGGGTCGTCATGTTTAGAGATGGATCCAGGTGAGGCGCATTGCTGCCCTTAACGTCCGCCTTCCCCTTCACACCCGGGTCCCCCTTCGTTTCCGCCTGTCCCTTTGGCGGACGCAGTCTTCTACTCCGAAGGTCAACATATACTGACCTACTCCCAGTGCTGAGACATACCAAGGAGAATATCGCATTCCGATGCTCTTTCCCGCCGGAAAGACAGAGGACGATGTTGTGGAGGTTACGTGAGTATCGTCGCTTTCGATGTGCACTAAGAGACTCACAAGTGTCTTCGCAGGTTCAAGGACGGCCCGTCTGTGCCTCCGTCTCTTCCTCCTCCTCCTCCTCCTCCTCCTCCTCCTCCTCCTCCTCCTCCTCCTCCGCCGCCGCCGCCGCCACCGCCTGCTGCGCCTGAGGTCTACGCTCCGCCTCCTCCGCCCTTCTTTCCTCCTCCGTCCTCGCCGCCTTCCCCTCAGCCCGTAGTCCCCACGCCCACTCCCGCTCCCGCCACCCACGACCCCTCCCCTCCCCCCGCCAGACGGTCGACAAGGGTGCGCATGGCTGCTGCTCAGCCCGCCGCGAACGCAGCGCCCGCCCGCAAGACGCGCTCGGCGAAGGCTCCCCCGCACGCGCCTCCCATCCCGACGCCTACGCCAGATGTGCCTGCGCCCGCCGCAGCCGCTCCTGCCGCTGTCCCAGCCGCCCCCGCGCTTGCGTCCACTCCAGCTGCTCCCGCGCCGACCCGTCGCTCCGCTCGTGCTGCCGCGAAGGCGACGCCCGCCCCTCCAAAGGCACCCGCTGCCCAGAAGACCCCAGCGCGCAAAGAGGGCAGAGAGAAGAGCGGTGCTGGAGGCAGCAAAGAAAAGAGCGGTGCTGGAGGCAGCAAAGAGAAGAGTGGTGCTGAAGGCGGCAAGAGGAAGAGCCGAGGCCGAGCGGGCAAGCAAGTGGTGGATGAGGCCGCGGCGGACGCCTGTGACGCCGGCACAGCGGACGACCGTGAGTGCAGCACAGAGAGTGCATGCGAGTCCGACGCAGAGCACGACCGTGAGCCCAGCAAGGCAGGGGGGGCGGAGAGTGTGGAGAACGTAGACCTGGACAAGGTGATGGCAACGTTCTACGCGGAGGAGAAGGAGTATCACAGGATCAAGGAAGCGAATGCGGCGAAGGGCGTGAAGGCGTCGGCGAAGGGCAAGAAGTCGACCAACGAGGCGCCAGAGCCACCCGCCGAGGCCGGCATCAAGCGCAAGCGGGACGCTGCCGCCGCTGCTGCCGCCGCCCACAACGACGATGACGCTCCCACCGCGAAGAAAGCGCGCCTCATGATCGACAACCTCTCCGCCCGCATCGAGCTCTACCGCACGGACCCTACGGTCAAGAAGTTCGCCGCGCACCGCGTCATCTGCGCCGCCTGCGACGCGGTCATCAAGACCGACAGAAACCACGACTTCTACTCATCGCCTTGGGACAAGCATAGGTTCCATTGTAAGAAGATCTTGCAGTGGGCCGAGCCCGAGCACGCACCGAGCCAGGGATTGTTGAAGGAGTGGCAAATGGCGCGCAATGTCTGCGCGGAGGAATTGGTGAGTCAGTGTCAGATGTGTTGGATATGTGTGTACTTACTTTGGCTTGTAGATGGCTGTCTACCCCGACGCGATGAAGAAATACGAGGGCAGCAAGTGCATCTGCGAACAGCTTGGCCAGAAGGTGGACCTCCTCGACTGCGAGAAGAAGGCAAAGAAGACCGCCACTGGCTGATCTGCCGGGGTGGATTGAAGAGGCATCCGTGCGCTACCTCGAGCGCAATGCTAGCCGTGATATGGTAAGTGATCTTTCATCCATCCGATACCCAGCGCTAATCACTCAACCATATAGATGTAGAGACTATCCTCGCTCTGCCGTATATTTATTCGCTGTTCTGGTATCCCGAGTCTTCTCTGGGCACGACGCGCGTCTCCTCCGCGATGTACGCTGCATCGTCGACCTACGGACATATATACTTTGCTAGTTGTATCGTTGCTGTCCATCCTAGAATATATCCCTCATCGCTTCATATATTGACTTGTTGAATTCTGTGGCGCTGACCACACTTGACGGTGACGAAATCATTGCTCATGAGCGTGAGACTCAGCATCATGATTTGCACTTGTTGTTCGTTGTGTGCTCTTGATTTAGGGCGGACGAAGCCGAACGTCTGGCCGGCAGATGCCGGGATACATCACCAGTCAGACCTTTCTTCGCTGGGCTCCTTCATCATCAACGCATCTGAGGTACAAAATCGCAATCTTAGAGTCGCCCTCATCTGCTAAAGGACCTTTTACCTGCCTCCTCGGCGCGGGTTCAACATCTAACATTGATCTCTTGCTCGCCAACTCATTGATTTGACAGAACACACCTTGACTCTACCGCATACAGGTGGCACAGCGAGCGGATGAAATGTATTCAGAATAGCGATAAAGAGTACAAGTACAACGTGCCTATTTCCATGATTGGTCTTCATACAAAAACCTGAGTAGTATCATGAATCCCTCTCCGCGTTGTCCATCGCTATCAGGGCCGCCTAAGGGGGAGCAGTCAGTTACAGCTTGCAAAATCCACGACAGAAAGATTTACCTCCACCGACCGCCTCACATGCTGCAGCTTCTGACTCCTTTCCTCTCTCAAGAACTCCGCAAACCCATCCTTCCATAGCTTCCACCGTGCTGCATCGTACCCATCCACTCCGTCCCACTTCTCCCCTCTGCGTCCCGGCGCGCCAAGTCTCTCCTCCCAGTCCTCCCTCCCCTTCGGTCCTAATATCTCCCTGCACTTATGCATGCGCCGCGCAGCATACGTGGCCCACGGCGCGGCGGCCTCCACCGCGAGCGCGCGCGGCATCTTGTGGTAGTGCTCGCTGGTTGGCTCGTACTCGAACGCGTCGCGCATGACCCAAAGTGCGTGCTCAGTGCCGTCATAGGTATCAGCGGCCCAGGCGCGCGCGAGGAACTTGTGCAGCGAGACGTAGCGTCTGCCTGCGGTGACGAAGGCCTGCGCGCGCTCGTCTGCGCTGTGAGGTGCTTCGGCCGCAGCGAGCAGCTCGCGCTCCTCGGCCGTCCACTCGGCTGTGGGTACGTGCTTCCCGGAGACGAGGACGGTGGGGCCTACGTGGGTGAGTTGAGAAGGGAGGAATATATCGCGACGCGCGCTCACCATTTAGACTTTCCCGAACATTCGGGCCAAATAGGCTGAGATTGTGCCAGCCCGCGTGGGTGTTCCCCCACACGCACCAGTCCTTCGGACTTTCGTGCGCCTTCAGACTAGTCATGACGTCGAGGACGCGCGTGTGGAAGGCATCCGAGTCCGAGTGCTCGACAGCTTGCAAGAGCTGAGACCAGAAGAACCAGAGGAAGGCCTCCAGTCCAGGCGTGTCCCCATGAGATATAGAGTGCCGCTTCGGCGACGAGTCGCGCACTTGCTCCTCGCAGAGCTGGGCGATTCTGTCTGCAGCGCTGTCCGGGGGAACGGTAAAGTCCTTGAGGAGATCGATTGCGTGATGAACTCGAGACTCCGCCATGGTGAAATTAGGAAGTCAGCGAAGCTTTGGTCAGATATGAATCAAAGGTAAATCCCCTCGAGGTGAGAGATAGTGACAAGAAGTAGTGTATTGACTTCGATGGTTGCTCGATGGTCTTGATGGGTCTCGATGATGCAAACGGTCCACGGCCGGCAAGTTCCGGCTATCGAACCCGGTCACGTTACGCGACGCGGTCGACTGCACACTGGTTGCGCACGACGCGTCCAATGTTTGCCGTATACGTCGCCCTTGTAAGTCATCGAATCTATAAACCTTGACATATCGATTCTGGTTTTTATGCTTTTCGAAATTTCAAAGAACATGATCAAGACTTGAAGCCATTGAATGTTGACGCCAAATGGCCGACTAGTGTTACAAAAGGAAGCAACCTGTTGTTACAAGATACCGCAGTATCACATACAAAGGCATGAAGGTCGTCGAGCCACTCAGATAGCATGGCCGTCGCGCCATTCACAGAACGTACACGAACTGAATCGAAGTGGTCAGCAAAGCCCATTCCGAAGTATAGGTCACCCCCACTCACCTCGTCGTTCTGCTTATCCGTCAAGTCCAGGAACGCGTTCTCGCCGAGCGCCGCGCCAGTGGTCGACGCCTCAAGCTTGCTATCGTCCTTGACCTCCTCGACGTGCGCGGTGTACTTCTTCTCCATGGACAGGTCGCGGATGTTCGCGGGCTTGCCGTTCTTCACGCGCTCGCGGGCCTTGAGCTTATTGAGCGCGATCATGTTGAAGATCTGCGCGCTGGAGGGTCCCGTCAGTTTCGTCACCTCGCATTGTTCGCCCTCCACCAGTAGAGGGACCAAACGCGCGGATGGAAATACACGCGGATGGAAACACACGCACATCGTCAACGCCACCAACGCCGCAAAGATGCCCATACACGCCTTGAAGCCCTTATGGTACGACGGCGCGTCGCTCTCCGTGAACAGGTACGGCCCGATGATGTTCCCCGCGCCCACGGCCATGTTGAACATCGCGAGCACGACGCTCTTCTTCGTCGACCCCGCCGTGTTCGCAGCGATCCAGGACACGATCAGGGGGTTGATGCCGAAGAGGAAGGCGAGGAGGTAGTAGGCGAAGAGGCGGACGCCGGTGTTGGACTCTTCGATGACTGGGAGGAATTAGCACCAGCTCGAATGGGGGATCGAAAAGTAAAAAGGAGATATACTCACCGTAGAGCAAAATAAGCCCAAGAAGCACAACAAGACTGAGCCCTACGAGCACGGGGCCCTTGTACCTCCACTGATATGCAGCATACGAGGAGAAGACGATGACGATGATCTGGATCGCGCCAAGGGGCAGGTTGAGTAACGTCGTCCTGTACTTGTCGAATCCGATGCCGCCGAGGATGAGCGGGCCGAACACGTTGACGACGGAGGCGCCGACGCTGGGGGAAGAGGTGAGCATGCATGGCGAACGAATTGCATGGGTGACAAATCAAAGGGCCGACGAGTTTAACGAGGAGACGAATTGGACGAGGAAACGGATCCCACGAGGCGACGAATCCCACAATGCGACAAACCTCACCGAAGACGAACAGAAAACCTCCCACTCACTTCACACAAAGCGTCATACAAAAGAACAGCCACGACTTCGGCTCGAGCAGCGCCTCAAAAACCTGCCCCCACTTGAACTCGTTGTTCGCCGCCGTACCCGTATTGTTCGCGCGCAGGCGCTCGACGGCCTTGTGCCGGTCCTCGGGGGTCAGGAAGCGTGCGTCGCTGACGCTGTTGTCGATCTTCCAGTAGACCACGGGCGCGGTGAGGACGGTGAGCTGGGAGGGTGGTTAGTACGTGGGCGACTTATGTCCAGCAGTGAGAGACAGACTACGCACCAGCCCACAGAAAATGAAGATCATCTGGTATGTGTAAAGCGTGCTGCTGTGGACGTGGCCGAAGCCATAGGCGAAGATCGCGCCCATGATCGTGCCCATGCCGTTTGTACCATACCAAACGCAGACGCGGAGAGGTTGCTCGGCACGACGATACCTGTTGATCATAAGCTGTAAGTCCTGAATGTCTTATAGGCACAGATAAACGGACTGACCAAATGGAGGTCAAGACGGCAAACAAAGGAAGGCATGCCGCTTCGAAAAGACCAAGAAGGAAGCGAGTGGCCGCGAGGGCAGGGTAGGTGTGGCTCGCGCCCATGCCGCAGCAGGCACTGCAGTTGGTGAGACTCAGAAGCGAAAGGGGGATATACAACGTCACTTACGCGCCCCAGCAGAAAACAAGGAGCTATATTCTCGATCAGGATACGACGTCATGCGCGGGGAGAAGGGAAGCATACAGTCATGAACCATCGCGGCTTGCAACGGACGATGAGGTAGCTGGATACGGGCATCCAGCATAGCTGAGCGACGGCACTGAGGGACCCGACGACGGAGTATTGAGCTATAACTGGTATGAGAGGATGTCGGTAAATATGGATCCGTTCGCTCACAGCCAGTGAGGTGCTAAGAAGTCGAAGCATGAGCAAGGGCGGAGGGCGAAAGACCGACAAACTCACCGCATCCGTCTTGAGGCCGAACGTCGCAGAGTAGCCCAAGATACTTTTGTCGAGACTGTAGCAAAGTGAGGAATGTAGACTGAATGGAGAAGCAGGGACGCACATCTGGAGCCAGTAGACCTGATAGAGGGTTCGGTCAGGGAAGGCTGAAGCGGTGCAAGGAGAGCCGTACCCAGGATAGAATCTATGCAGGATGTCAGCAAGTATAGGCGTCTCCCAGGGTTGATGACGCACCGTGAGGACGTGGATATCGGTCCTACGCAAGATGCGCTTGTTATCCTCCTCGGTCACCTCAATGCGCTCGTCGCCGAAGGTCTTCAGCGCTTCATCGACTGCGGCACTTGAAGGGATGTCAGCGAGGCTCTGTCACGACAACAAGGACGCGCACTTCTGAATATTGCCGCGACTCTCGTTCCGTCTGTCGTACTGCTCGATGTGTTCAGATTGCCACTCGACCTTCTTCTCGTCGCTCGAGGCCATAGTGAGGAAGGGCGGTAGGAGTGAGCTGCGGGGTACACTTCGAAGGGAGAGGCGGAAGTGCACACCGCAGCCCGGAGGTGGAGACGCGCGTTATAAACGCGTCGCGCTGGGGCGCGCGCACGGACGCTAATCATCCCGCGGATCGGGCGGGCCAACAGAAGAACCGGAGGCGATTGGAAACAACGAGTCCGGTGGGGGAGGTGAGATCACATCAGGCGCGACGGACGGATGACGGAGGTCGCTTGAGCAGGTACGGATATAGCGCAGCGCCCCCACAAGGTCCCGTGGAGTGCGCCCACCGACCCCACAAATGTTCCCCTCATGCGGGGATGGGGGTGTGGGGAATGATGAAGTGGTTTTACAGCAAGAAGGCGCCCGTCGATCGCGCACAAGATATGCCAGAAAAATCCGTGTCCTCCGAGCTGTAGTCGGTGGCGCCCCAGTTGAGTCCGTTCCGTCTGACCTGCAGGCCTGCGCTTTTTGTTCCGCTTCGGTAAAGGGGGCAAATAGATCATCACGGGTGCACCGACACTAGGACTTGGCTGCATACTTGATGGTCACTTGACAGTCCTGCTCACAGTACGGCGTCCCCTTGGGGATGGAGGCGGGCCGCTGGTCTCCCGAGCCGTTGGATGAGAAAATGAGCCAAGTATATCTAGAGCTCTTGGTTCTTTCAGGAGAACAGTCTCGCTATCATGGTCCTGAGCTATACTCGTCAATAGGCCGTGAGCGAAGGAAGCAAGCAGCGGATTTCGGCTTCACCCGAAGCCCTCCACGTGCTCCGAGCACGCGAGCGACGGCGCCGGGGCGGGCCGCTCATGATCGATCAACTTCAACCTGAACGCTCATCCTTCCTGGAATATCCACCTCCCTTCCGGGTCTCTCTTGGCGGGCAACTATTTTCGTCCGACTTGAGACGCACATCTCGTCTTTTCCACCTCTGCTACAAATACACTCGGAATCTCACGGTCCGATGTCAGACTACGACGACGCAGAAGGGACTTTGGACCTGGATGCTATGTTCCCAGTAAGCACTTTCTCAATCTCATCCCTCATATGTCGAAATTTAAATTGAGTAGGAACCTCCACGTCCAAAAACTCCGCCCGCTACTGTGACAACATACGAGCGCGACTCGTCTCGGGTCGGTACTAGCGGCTGGCGTAAAATCGACATCCGTCTTGTAGGTGACCACCCTCTTTGGGGTCATTACCTGTGAGGGGTTTGCACACAGTATAATTCCATGATCTGATGAAATTGGGGCAGATGGAATGCGGCACGCGCGTTTGCCACATATCTCGACACGCATGAAGAACTCTACAAGGGTCGCAATGTTCTCGAGCTTGGCGCAGGCGGAGGCCTTCCGAGTCTCGTTACAGCGCTTAACGGCGCGAGAAGGGTGAGTGATACCTAAATGACATATGCCTAACCTCATTGGGATCAAGGTCGTCCTTACGGATTACCCAGATGCGCCGCTCGTAGAGAATATGAGCTACAACGCCAAGCAAAATCTGCCTGAGGACGAGCTTTCGAGAGTAGCGGTGAAGGTGAGAATGAAAATCGTGCATCCGATTCGTTGAATTTAGTTCGGCAGGGCTACATATGGGGCACTCCAGTAGCACCGCTGCTAAGCGAGCTACCCGCCGATAGCCAAGCTTTCGACCTGATCATCCTCTCGGATTTGATCTTCAATCACTCGCAAGCAAGTTTCTCTCTTCATCGTCATATTCACCGCCAGCTAATACCTCGCCCAGCATGACGCGCTCCTTAAAACATGCGAGCAATGCCTGGCAAAGACGTCCTCCGAAGCGGCGTCCTCCGTCCTCGTATTTTACTCGCACCACCGTCCGCATCTCTCCCACAGAGACATGAAGTTTTTTGAAAAGGCGCGAGCGCGTGGCTGGCTCTGCGAAGAGGTACTGACGGAGAGATTTCCGGTGCGTACCTTACTGTTCGCGCCGCGAACGGCCGCCTGGTGGCGAGATGCGATATCCGCGGCGTCGTGGTTGATATATAAGTCGGCGAACGATCACTGACTCGTTCTCTCCAGCCAATGTTTCCCGAAGACCCTGGCGCCGAGGAGGTGCGGTCGACCGTCCATGGTTGGCGGCTCACGCGAGAGTAGCAGAACGGGTTGATGCTACCCGGGTTTAGCTGTCATGTGTGTACTTTGCTTTTCCTGTCTTCGCCACTCGAGCGTCGCCCAGAAAATGTAGATTTACCATTGTGTAGCTTGGAGTGCATTGGGGAACAATCCACGGTCATATGCCGCGTGCCCAGTCTGGTTCGGAGATTACCAACATACGGCCTGCTCGCGGAGTCAAACTTCCTTCATCTAGTGACATTCACCCCTCGTCCATCACTCTCATTGTGCAGACAGAGCGTGGATCCCTTTTCATAAGCACCCAAGCCGCACAGGGCATCTGTCAGCGCTTGCAGAGACTAAAGCGCTCCAGGCCGGGGAAATTGTAAGGACTCGGTCACGTCTTCTGCATTGTCGCGCCAAAATTCAGTCGATCGCCCTCCTCAGGCCTCGCAAGGATATCGACAGAGATGATGATTTTATTGTGTGTCGAGGTAGCATTCCGGAGGAGGCGTACGCGTGGAGATGACGGTCGGGAACATGGCCGCGGTCTGACGGTCCGGAAATCACGTGGCCGCACAGCCACAGTCACGCGTCAGTGCCAAACAAGCACCCACGCGCCGCGAAAGTCAACAAACAAGCCCCTGTGGGCGCACTGCCACCTTTTACTTCCGCCATGGGTATATAATCCGGCGGCTCTCTCCCTTTCCAAATCGTGGACTGTTTGGCAAGCTCCCCGTACGAGGCGTCCCTCGGGGCGTTCTTCATCGGAGTCGGGTATGTGGGGGCACGGGTTGGTGGTTATGGCCGGGCGGCTTGGGGGTTGGGGGCAACCTCAGTCCAAGTCGCCATGTCATCCGCCTGGCCCCGCTTCTCACTCCTGGCATGCGCGGTGGCCTGCAAGATCGGGGGCATCGTGAGGAGTAGTGGAGGCGGCGTCTGGACTCGAGCTGGATGTGCGTTGAAGCGTTATAGTCATCATGCCTGAACCCTTGACGCTTTATGCGTTCCTCTTCAAGGTGAGTATCCGCGCGTATCTCTCTGACTATCGCTGACACGCTCGCAGACATGTGCGCTCTTCGCACTGGCCGACGATGGACTCAACGGTTGGCTCGTTCTCCTTCAAAGTATGCGGTTTCGCCCCTCGCTCCCCGCTCCTACTGACCCTATGTGCCAGCTTCGATTTCGACGGCGGGATGGGAGTCCTCTGAATCTCGGACGATCTACTCATTTGTTGCCTTGTTACTTGCTATGTCTGTCGTACGGCTGCTGCTCTGTGTTTGTCATACTGCTATCTGTCGTACTACCATCTCGTTTGTTCAATGTCATGCGCCACAGCCGGCTTTCCCTCATCCTTCCTGTGTCCGCGCCAGCAAACTTTCCTTTTTTCTTCCCCTTCCGTCCGTCGCAATCCTCCAACTCTTTCAACATCTCCGCGTTCTGCTCCCGACGTTCGTCACAGACGATCTCTCCTCATCACAGAGCGACCGAGGAAGAGGGGATGTAGAGCATTGAGTGACCCCTCCCTCCCTCTCATCTCCGCTCCCTCACTACTCCTTCCCTGTACAAGAGGCTGAGCCATGGCCACGACAACGCGAAGCAAGCTAGCGAGACAACTGGAGCGCCATGATACACCGGGATGCTCAGAAATCTTGAGCAGTCGTTCATAAAAATCCAGAATAAATTGAAGGTGAAACCCGTATCTCCAGTGTAGGTGCCTCGTGCGTATGTATGTGTACAGTGCTATAGCTATTAGTACAGATGAACGGTTCGCGAAAAAGCAGTCTTGCAGCCATACATTCATTCAGGGGACGAACGCGACCATCAGCACGTTCACGACGAGCATCTGCAGCTCGCCGTTCGAGACGACGGGCACGCGCTGCCTGCCGATGACCGGCGGGACCGAGTCCCACTCGCTGAGGATCATGATGTCGGACTCGGCGATGGGCAGCGCGCCGCTCTCCTCGATGCGCATGCGGAGGGAGTCGGTGTCGTCTTCGCCGCCGTAGACGCTGAAGGCGCCGCGGAGGGCCGGGGTCCGATTTGGGTTGAACGTCTGGCGGTTGCGGGACTTCATGGCGGGGTCCTCCTCGGCGATCTCGACGCTGCGGTCGATGGGCCAGATGACGGAGCCCGCGGCCCAGTGCAGCTCGGGGGTGAGCTTGTAGAGCTTGAGCGCGTGGTAGAGCAGCGAGTCGCCGCCCTTGAGCTGGATTGCGGTACGGTTAGCAAGCGAGAGTGCGAAACTCTGAAAACACGCACATTTGGCACGAGCGACTCCGCCAGCGCCTGCGCCGGGTTGACGTCGTAGTCGTTCGAGAGGTAGACCGCGATCTGGCGGCCGCGCGCCGCGTTCAGCACTGGCGCGAGCAGGTCGAGGAACTTGTCGCTCGGGTGGATGAGCGGGTCCGGCCCCGACGGGCCAAACGTCTTGAGGTACACGCCGTACGTGAGCGACACGCGGCAGCCCTTCGCCACGGTCTCGACCTGGTACTCGCAGTCGGACAGGAACGCGACCCACTCGAGGTCGCCGCTCTTCCCGCCGCGCCCGTGGTAGCGCTCCTCCGTCCCGTCCGCGCTGCGCACGATGAGCGCACCGCCGCGGAAGCGCACCGGGAGCGTGACCGCGATCGTGGCGACGCGCCCATCGTTGCGCAGGGAGCACGGCTGGAGGCCCATGCGGCCCTGGCTCACGATCACTTCGAGCTTGTCGCGGACGGCGGTAAGGTACTGGCCGGCGGAGAGGGAGGGGAAGAGCGTGGTGCGGAGCGCCTCGAGGATGGGGTGATTAGCGATCTCGAGAGAGGTGGTGAGCGGGAGGTTGGGAGGGTAGAAGAGGGATTCGTAGTCGGTGTAGTCATCGAGATCGGACGTTTGATGGGGTCGACATGCGGCGATGAGGACGTCAAGGGCGGGCGGAGAGTCGTAGTCGACGTCGATCGGGAAGTCGAGGGAGTGGGTGATCCCGCTCTGATGGTGCCGATCAGCAATCGTCGGGTGAAAGAGCATAGGAAACGCACTGCAGACCGGAAAAAGAGCTGCATCTGCACGGGATCGATGGGTATACGGCCAGATACACTGAAAGGCCGCGACTTCGCAGCGAGCAGCGCCGAGATGTCTTCCCGGAAAACGCCATCGTCCTGCCCGAATTGTGGAACGGGCTCCTGCGGCGCCATTGAGCGACGCGAATGTCGCTGGGGGCGCTCGACCTGGAACTCCGATCCACTCGGGGCACGGAAAGGTAGTGTGTTGCCCCCATCGAGCTGGCGGATGTAGGTGGGCGCCGGCGATGGCGCGTAGGCGGACGGACTCATGCGCATACCCATGGATGGCGTCGCGGGCGAGATGATCATGGCGGGAGGCGGGAGGGGCAAGGGGTCAGGACTGCGGACAGCCTTTTGTGCAGTGACGAAAGCGGCCGGACATGAGGAGGCGGCGGCCTACACGCCCCCTCAACGTGTTCGCGTATCTTCATCACAATCCATCACGCCGAGGAAGATAAAGATGGGCGCGGATGGGCTCACTGGTGCCCGGCAATGCGCCTACGACGGGTCACAGGCAGAGGTTGGACGTCTCATGAGAGGGTCTCTTGGGCCTGGACGGAAGGGCGTTGAGCGGGAGAGGATGGCTAGTCGGTGCGCCACCACATTTCGTTGGACGTACGGTCAGATGTTGTAGCTCCGGGGGGATGACCGTGGGGAAGTATGGTGAACTATGGAGCGACCAGGTAGGCGGGAAGCCCGAGGAAGTAGCGTTCCATAGGCGTGCCGTGGCAGTGCGTATGAGATCCGGCCTCCCGGTACGAGGCGATTGCACTGGGGACGAAAGGCAGGCAGGTCATATAGCCTTACCGGCTATCTCCCCACCGCTTCTAGTGAACTGTAGCAAGCGCCAATCTGTGTCGCGGGCGTCGTGCTCTGCGGCGAAAACCTGGGGGCCAGCATCGATTCCAGATCGATTGTAGGGGTCAGATGGGCAATCCACGCCGTGCAGCGACACGTTGGGGTTCACAAGGCGAGGCGCTTGTTCAGATCTACAGGTAAGAGCAGATGGGGGACGTACACCGCGGTATGTATGAGTGGGAAGCCTGGATGCATAGTACAGGCGAGTTGATGTCGCTCTACGCCGGACTAGTCGTTGCGCAGGGCGTTGTATTAGGTGTAACAGTCGAAGTGCGATGCTACCATTCAGTTCGTTGTCACCTAGCTGTTCACAGAAGGTCAGCTAGTGCCCGGCGGGTGAGGGTAGATAACAGACCTGCGGGGTTCGGGCGCGCGCCGCGGAGTAACTCACCTCGAGCGCGTGTGCCTGCTCGACTCTTCCTCCTGACCCTCTCGCAGCGTCGTAGTGTATAGCGCTGCTGCATTCACACCACCAGCGACGCAGTCCTCGGCGCCATGGAAGACGCGGACAACCTGCGGAGAACGGTTCCGACTGTGATCATGGAGCCGTACGTGATCGCGCCGCCGCCGTCTCAGACAGCCGACAGCGAGCTCACTCTTGGTCCCAGCCACCATGTCCTCTGAGGCTTACACCGAAGACTGGCTTCAGACACCCCCGCCGAACCCCATCCACATCTACTCCCGCCTTTACAAGCCCGATGCACCGAAAGCGCTCCTCGTCTTCATCCACGGCTTCCAGGAGCACGTCGGCCGGTACACATGGACGCATACACAACTGAAGGCGCGCGGAATCGCCGTGTTTGCGATTGACCAGCGCGGCTTCGGACGCACCGCGTTTGGGGAGAAGGGCGTACGCCGAGGGACGGGCTATGGGCGGACAGGGATCGACCTCCAGATGCGCGACATCGAGTTCGTGCTCGGCGTCGCGCGCGAGCGCGTTCCGGGCGTGCCCGTATTCCTCTCTGGACACTCCATGGTGCGTGGAGAACGCGGCACGCGAGAAGTGTGCTCATAGACGTGCAGGGGGGTGGCGAAGTGCTGAGCTACGCGTGTCGCGGGTCTGCGGGTTCCAAGACGCTCTCCGGCGTCATCGCGTCCAGTCCACTTGTCGGGTTGACGAGCCCCAAGTCGAAGTTGATACGGTACATTGGTGGCAAGGCTGCGGTGCTCATGCCATGGTTCAGTATACCGGCGAAGGTCGAACCAGAGGTGCGTATACCCCACCACTCGCTTGTGTTCTTGTCTAAGCTCTCCGCCAGACGCTCTCACACGATGCAGAAGCCAACGCCGCGGTGCTTCAAGATCCCCTCATTCATCCGACAGGCACTCTGAAGGGCGTGGGAGAGATGCTTGCAGAGGTATGCCAATGCTAGTTGCACCGAACGGCTCCTTGCTGATCCCACGAAGGGCGATAATCTACTGAGCCACCATCACAAGTCGTGGCCTAAGGACCTGCCGGTACGTACACATCTTCGCTGGCTAGACGGCTTCAGCTGAAAGGCATCCTCAGGTCTTGATTTACCATGGAAGCGACGATCCCGTAGGTATATGCGTGCCAATAGCTTCCCTAAAAGCTGACTTCTGCTGTCAGGTTACCTCGCCCAAGCTATCCCAACGTTTCCTTGACTTGTTACCCGCCGACGTCGACAAGACTTATGTTCCCTTTGATGTATGTGGTAACTCGCTTCCTTCGCCCCAATCCTATACTGATCACACCCATAGGGCGGTTACCACGAACTCCACCACGAAATAAACGGCATGAAGGAGCGCGTCATCGACGAAGTGACCCAATGGATCGAGGCGCACCTCAACACGCCGAAGGCGCAAGCCTCTGCTGTCGCATCTGCGCCTGCTTCACCCGCTGCTCCCGAGCCTGCCGCTACGCCGACGAACGGACCGCAGACGAAAGTCGCCGACGCCTCGACGACCCCGACGGGCCTTACCACCCCCGCGCTCGTTGTGACGCCTGCCTCGCCCATAGGGGGCTCGCCGCTAGCGGGCGATGATGGACCGGCGTCGTTTGGCGCATTGGAGGACGGTGCGGGGGCGACCGCGAAGCTGTGAGCGACGATGCCTGCGCCACGAAACATGTCACCTAGCGAACGCCGCGACGAACTGTCAAGCCCAGGCTCCTGCACATTCCTGTATACCATGCGCATTCGACGATCCGATTCTCCCCCGACTTGGACTACCTTTTCGGCCTCCAGCAGTCTATTTTCCCTATAATAAGTACCCGACCTCATCGCCATTCGTGCAATATACCTTCGAGTTCTCCCCTTCGTTTGCATCTTCAAGACGATACCCTCTGCAGTTCGGCCGTCTTACTGAACGCGTTTGTCCGCCACGCCCGCCATGGCTGACTCAATTGCGCCTTACTCTGTCATGGGTAATACCTCAATGGCAGCCTGTGCGTCAGTGCGTCAGTCAGCTCGCAACTGACCTTCGCTGGTCTATCCGCTGTATGGGCCAGTCTGCGTCATTGACAGGGTCAATCCGAATTATTGCAGAAGTTCTTCGCCCAGGAACAGGGGATTTGCGCCCCCGAGCGGGCGCAGGCAATTCTGCTCTCTTTCATGCTCTTTGGCCCCGCGCTGCCGAGGGTCAATGGTCTCCCTGAATTTAGGCTTGGTCGGACCTTGGATGCTGAAGATGAATTCGCTCCAGGTGCGTCATAATCCCCGTGATCTACTTCGACGAGTGGGGAACACGGTCTAGCGACTGGGTAGCACGCTCTCGCGACTGGAGAACAGGCTTCGCACAATAGACGCCCGCTTCGACAAGGGACGCCGCTGCCCACCGTGGTCCGCGACTCAATGGGCAGCTTTCTCCGAGGAGAATACTCGGACCGAGGGCGACGATCCGAGCGTGTCCTGCGCCTGTTCAGACGCTTGTTGCGTGCGCGGGGATGCCTATTTGCCTCTCGCAACGCACAGAGGCATGCGCAAAAGCAGGTGTGATGTGCGCGAAAGGCAACCGATGGATGCGCCTCTGCGGCAACGGGGTGCGTCTTGAATCTCCGCGCCTTTTCCGCTGAGAGGTCAAGGTATATAAGAGCGTTCGGGGCCGGGAGCTTCACTGAACGATAGTTCTCTAAGCCTCTCAGTCGGTATCAGACATGAAGACCGCAGGATTCGTCGCCGCCGCTGCCTTGGCGCAGAGCGTCTCCGCGCACTGTGTGTATACTTCCTTTCAGCCTGCATTAGTATGAAGCTTACCAGAACACTTGCAGACATCTGGAACACGCTCATCGCGGGCGATGCGGAGAGCCAGGCTGCTGTGCGCCAGCCCATTGTGCGTAAGATCCCTTTGTTCAGAAGCTGGACAGCGACTGACCTGCCTTCACAGAACAACTCTCCGGTCACGGACGTTACCTCGGCCGACATCACTTGCAACGTCTCGCCCGGGGCTGCCTCTGAGACCGTCACCGTCGCCGCGGGCTCGACCGTCGGGTTCAAGCTCGATAACACCATCTACGTGCGTAGCGCCTCCGTTCGAGCACGCCTCTCAGCCGTGCTTTCTTCCATCTTCGCCTATCATACTGACTCGCTACCACAGCACCAAGGCCCCGCCGCCATCTACCTCGGCCAAGCCCCCGGCGACGTCGCCTCCTGGGACGGCTCCGGCGATGCGTGGTTCAAGATCGCGGAGTGGGGCGCCGAATTCGAGCCCTCGTTCACGTTCACGGACTTCAACGCCGCGCAGCTGACGACGACGATCCCTGCGAGCGTGCCCAGTGGGCAGGTGAGCTACATCTCGGCGACAGGAAGGTGATAGCGACGAGGTTGACACCTTACCTACCTCCAGTACCTCGCCCGCATTGAGCAGATTGGCCTCCACGTCGCGGGCGCGCCGCAATGGTACATTTCGTGCGCGCAGATTGAGATCACGGGTGGTGGCTCGGGCTCGCCGTCGAAGGTGTCGATTCCGGGATACGTCTCTCCTGATGGTGATTGTCTACGTTCGACGCTGTGCGTACTTTTCAGTAGGTGCTAATGCCGTTTACAGACCCGGGCCTCACTGTCAACATCTACAACCCTGTCCCGACGGCGTACACTGTCCCGGGGCCGGCTGTGTACTCCGGATGATCAGCTGGAGCAGTGAACTTTAGCTCGCTTCTTCTGAAGTCGTGTGTATGTACCTCTATTCCGAGTCAGGGTAATGCCGTCTGCGTTTCGTCCGCTGCATTTGCATATCTCGTGATATCTTACCCAACTTGTCTTGATGACACAGAAACGGCGCCCAGGTCAGCTACTATGTTCTTTATCCTTGTCAATGCGGAAAGGAAACCATATTGTTGGAAAGGTAACAAGGCTGTATGTTGAATTGGCTATTGATGGCAGCTCGCAGAATGACGGCAGATAACGATTTCCATATCACTCGTATAGTCCATGACAACCAGCGACTGGCCGCCCCTTCCTCGTCTTTGTGTTCGCAATATGCAATCCCGAGGCTTTCGTGGGTGCAATAGGATTCGAGGAGTCTGGATGCGAAGTCGATGCAGCGGTAGGATCATGAGTGGCATGGTCGTCGTGCAGTCGTCTACATGACAAGCCCGAGCACGACAGGTACGCACGGATGATGGACGATGGTCGCATGGGCTGTCTCGCGCCTGCTCCACCTACGTATTCATTCACGGACATGGATCCGCACTACTAGAATGCAAAACACAAGCAAGGTGCACAAAGATGACTAGCCGCGTCCGATTCCTAGGGACGGATTTCAAGATACATTGTACAATTACTCATCATCAACGATCTCCTCAGCAATAGAATCCAGCTCGGAGGGCGTGGCTTCCTTCCGCTGCGCTTTAGCCGCGCCTTTGGTATCCTTCCTCGGCGGTGGCTGTTTGTGCCACTTGCCGTCCGCGGGGCCCATTTTGCGGGCGATCTGCAAAGGCGTAGGCAGGTCCTTCGTGCGGCGGTCCAGAAGGTATTCCGCAACCGAGTCGTCGACCTCGCTGACACTCTCGAAGAGCTTCTGGATGCGAGGAGCGTGCACGATAACGAGATACGCAATGAACGTTGCCATGTTGAGCGCGTCCAAGGGCTTGCGAAGGTCAACCTGCACGGCCTCCTGATCCGCAATGAAGATGGCCTTCGTAACAAGTTAGATGTCTTCGTGATGTCTAGTCAAGGAAGCCTTACCGGAGTATATTCCTCCAGCGGTGGTTTCTTGTCGAGCTTAGTTTCTACGTGGATAATTTCGTTGTATGCGCAAGAAAGGACTCCACGAGCGCCACTGGTGACGAGACCGAAGACAGGGAATCGGCAATTAAACAGGCGGATGAAGATGCAGATGGCAACGAGATACAGACGCTCCTGATCTGTCGCCGCCGCGGCAGTCCACAGCTTCAGCAAGCGCTTGAACTCGCAAGCGAGAAGAGGAATGTAGAGGTTTTTGGTCCGAAGCATCGCTGACAACGATTTCTTCTGAGCCCCTGGATGTGAGTGCACCGAAGGAGTACCGCTCTGCCTGCTATCTGAACCGTCAAGGGGAGGTTCAGGGATCGAGCCCGATGCAGTCGGATCTAGGAGGTTTGGGGACGGAGCGACCGTGTCTGCCGAAGTCGCGTAGGGATTCCGGTCCGGGTGCATCGCCCTTTGATACGCCGCGCGGTCTGAGTCTGACACTGGGGCACGCTTAGCATCCCAAGCGAAAGCATGGGCAGCGTATTTTTGCGCGCCCGAGTCATCAGTCAGGTCGCGCTCTTCGTCAGGTTTGTCCTTCTCGGAAAGCAGACTAGGGGACCAGATAGACACCTTCGAAGCCGCCTCCTTCGTCGAGAAAGCGTCTTCGATGATCAAGTAGAGGATGCTGTCTGCCCAACCCGCGCGCGGCTCGGTACTCGGATTGGTGCTGTCGTTGAGGCCATTTTGCCAGTACTTGAATCTTTCGTCGGCAGCTGCGTCGCGTGGATTGTATGGATGCACGAGGTCGTACATCCGGCTGATATTATTGTATGTCGGCCTGTCCCCTTCGAGGTTGCTCGGAGGGACATACTCAGAGTAGCGTAAGTGTGCTTCTCTCCTAAGAGGTGTTCAGCGACTGGCAAAATCGGGTAAAAAAGGAAAGACGCACTCGTACCCGACCTCAGAGCTGCGGCAATTAGCGACCACGAGGTTGAATAGCTGGTCCCAAAAATGCCGGTATGTTGCTTCATTGCGCACCTGGCGGGCATGCTGATCCTCGCCCTTGACGACGACATTCTTGGTTTCATCCAGCATACGTGTCAGCCAGACAATCTGCAGGATCCCACATATGGACCGCTCAATGACAGGCTGCACACCGGCGACCATGTATCCGAGAAAAGTGTGAGACAGCATCTGCTGGGCATTAAGCAACTCTGCCAGAAGGCGATGCTGCTCAGTGCATATGCTCTTATAAAGCGTCTGTGCATGTAAAAACACTGGTGAGTAACACCTTTACCGTAGAAAACATACAACACACCTGCCCTGTCTTCTCGTAGAACCACAGCAATGCAGTCGCCTGTTTGTATGCGAGCGGAACTTCACCCAAGGGATGACCATCTCGTGCGGAACAGAAGACGACACCGCGGGACACGAAGTAGCGCTGCGTGTGAGGAATGTTGCTGTCGGTCTTGTTCTTCACGTAGCTGCATAGATGTCAGAACACAACTTCGTGTGAAGCGGCGAAGGGAATTACCTAGAGGAGCTGAAACAACTGCGCGGGAAACTATCAGTACTTTTTCGGTGAGTAGGAAATAAGACTCACGTTTTCCCGCCTCCGCTCACCTTGCTTGCAGTGGTAGAGGGGGACTTGGGCGACTTCTTCGATCTGTCCCGTCCCAGCTCGTCGCTCGAAGATGTAAGACCCTCGATTCTGGCGAGGTTCAACAATCGCCACGCTGCACAGAACTTGACACTTACGAGGTGCCAGTCTGGGCTGAAGTCTCCTTCGTTGAACGCGCGTGCACTGACACCTGCGTTTGCGACCCGTGGCGAGAGCTAGAACGAGGCTGAGGCGCCTCTGCGGATCCCTCGGAACGCGAGTCATGTACACTCCTCCTTTGGCGCGAACTGGATCGCAGCCGAGGGTGTTCAGCCGGCTGCGGGGAGGTGTCGCGCGACTTTGATTTTGCCTGCCTGATGCCCAACATCAATGAAGGGAGCGTATGTCAAGAGCGATGAGACTCACGAGCGACGCGACATAACGCCTTTTCCGATGTCGTTATACTTGCTACAGTTCAAGATTATTGGGTGGAATGCGGAGGGGTGCCAAAAAAAAACTTACCATCCGATGGTCTCATTATATACACCAGCGGCCCACATGGAGATGCAATCACCGCGAGAGTAATCGACACTTCGCAGCATTGTCTCGACCTCGAGATCAGCTCGCCAACGCCACCGATGAGCTTCTGCGGGCTGATCTCCGCCTTGTTCCCATGGACGTGATGCTCGATACAGGAATAGCGCTAATCCGAGTCCCTCAAGCGGATGTCTGAAGTCCACTTCCGACATGCGGTCTCCGATGTCATTGGGGACGAAGTGCGCTATTGGCTAACAGGTGTGATTATCTAGACGTTGGCCGGAAAGACGAGGTGCAACTCACAAGATCATTGCCTTCCTGCACCGCTTCCTCGAGCCAGGCAACACGAACATGGACTATCGGGCTCGTCTTCTCGTAGGAGATGCCAACGAGTGGGCCCTTGACGCCCAGAGCATGTCGGTGGAACAGGGCGCTAGTCAGAAGGGAAGGCAGCTCATGTGCTTGCGCCACGCAGGCCAGGGAAGGGCACTGAGGTTTCAGATTCCCCGTGTACAGAAGTTGTTGCGGGGTTCCGATGACTTCGCGCTTGTGAAAGCGGCCATCGTTGCTTGCATTGTCCTCAGAGTCAGCCTCATCGATATCGTCGGCATCATCGGTCCCGTCGACGTCGTCAGTGCAGTCTTCCTCGTCATCTTTCTGCTGATCGCCGGTTAGCTTTTTGCGCGGCTGTGGAGACGGGGCACCTACTTCGGAATCTTCCTCTTCGCCGCTGACATCCTCGTCATCGTCTGTCGAGGATGAGGACGAGCCAGAGCCAGATGATTGGCTTGTAGCCGAAACCTGCGCAGACTCGTCTGCGATAGGACGAACTATGATCTCCGCCCTTCTGTACAAGCAAGGCACGGGGCGCTCCGGTACGGTTTGCGGAGGTCTCGCGACCGCGTATAGGGCCGAAGTGCTGAAGAATCATTATCGATGAACCGTAAATGGCGAACAATGACTCCTTACCATTGCTCATGATCAGGGAAGACGTGGCGCAGGATTATGAACAGCATGTTGAGAACCTCCGGCGAGACAATTCTAGGGTGCTCCGCGTCGCCGCTGCATCTGTCCAACAATGCGGCCTGATGAAGCGCAGAAGACAGAATGCTATCGATAAGACTTCGTTCGTCCTTGCTAAAGGTCTCATCCGGCGCGAAGCATTCATTGCCGCCGCGGATGCGCTCTTCGTGGATATCGCGTATGCTCGGGCAAACCGATGATGGCATCTACTCGGAGCATCTGAGCCTCAAGCCTACTGGCACTATGAAGACGTTTACCTGATTCCGCAGAGACGCGGGGAGAAGGGGCTGCAGCATACTGAGGAATCGCGCAACAGAGGGCGGAGGCGCTGAACACTCCCCGTCAATCTGCATGCCTGACGAGCACTTTGTGATCATGTGGCGCTTGAGCTGAAAATCGGGCCTCAGTCTACGACTAGGCCCCGCACGAATGGCGTTGCCGATGAGCTGGTGGTAATGGTCGGGAGCAAGAGGTATATGACACGTGCCGTCAGAGCGCGTCTTCTGATGCTGGTCATGTGATTTATGTTGAAGTTCGGCAAGAACCGTTCGAAACAATCCTGGGACGCAGACGGTCTATAGAACGCGATGCACACTCATTTGGAGGCACGTAAGCTGCAGAGTTCCGCTTACCAGGAGATGGACTCCCGAATTTCGGCGCAGCGCTTCATGGCGTGGTTTACGCCCAACAATGTACGATGTTGCATTCAGATGTATAGCAGCTTGATTCCAGGAGCATAATATTATGACTCGTCGTAGCCCATCCCCCAATATATCTCCTGCTGCTCAGTCGTGCATTCAGAAGCACGTAAGGAAAGCGCCGTGTCGACCTGCATCCCAAAAGATCGAGGCGAACCTCGTTGAGTCTACCTATAGCAAGTCCCGATACTGATTGCAGTGCCGGCAGACGATGGGGCACCTGAGCAATAAACGAGATATCGTATTCGCGCTTTTGTCTAGAACAGAACACAATGGTAAAGCCCGCCCTCTACCTACGCCGCCGCCTGCGCAACATTCTGCTCCTCGCTGAACCCATACCGATCGCCCTTGACGAACGCCTTCGTGCACTGCGCCATCGTAACGGACCTGTGGACGACAGTCAGCATCCCGCGCACATATGAAGAATTGTGGACGGGTCGCGCAACAGACGCAAGAAGAGGAAAAGATACACACGCCCTCGAGATCGGGTCCGTCTGGTAGAAGTTTTCGATTGGCTTCTTCAACGGCGCAAACACCGCCTTCGCACCCGCCGTCTTCGCGATCAGCTGCTTCACGCCCACGAGCGCCGTGTCGACCGACGTCCGCTCCGTCACGTCGTAGCGTACCAGCGTCGGCGAAATCTCCCACATGCGGTCGCGCAGCGCGAGGATGTCGTCGTACGGGAGTGTCGTGCCGAGCACCTCGGACGCGGCACTGTAGAGCTCATCAGCGACACGAAGCGTACCGTCAAGCAACAACGCGGACTCACCGGATGACCTTCCAGTCCTCCCTGGCAGCACCCGGGGGCGGGACGGCTGCACGCCCGAGCTGCGCCCGACCCTCGGTGTTCACCCACGTCGTCGCCTTCTCAGTGTACGCGGCACCCGGGACGATCACGTCCGCGAGCTGCGCGCCGAGGTCACCGTGGTGGCCCTGGTAGACGACGAAGGCGTCGGACGGGATGGACTTGGGGTCAACCTCATCGGCGTTCAGTAGCCAGATGAACTTTGGCTTGGTCTGCGCGGCCTTCTTCGAGGGGACGAAGCCGATGTCGTAGGCAGCAGCGCGAGACGCAGCCTGAAGCATCACATCAGTATATGTATGAGAGATCGCACAGAAAGGGGCTCACCCGCTGGAGCACACTCAATCCATTCCACTCCGGCGTAAGCAGCGTGCCCTTGTTCGCCTCGACATACTTCGCCAGCAACCCATGAATAGGCGCTGAATCCGCATGATCCGCGACCGCGCTGCCCACGATGATCAACGGCTTCTTCGCCGCCTTGAACTTCTTCGCGAACTCGCCCTTGCCCGCGACGAGGTCCTCCAGCGCCTTCGCGTCCGCGCCGAGGTAGTCGTACCCATACGTGAGCTCAACGCGCTCGCCGATGAGGCCAACCTCAAGCGGGGTGTGTAACCAGCTCTTGCGGATGCGCGAGTTGAGCACGGCCGCCTCATGCCTCGGGTTGGTGCCAACGAGCAAGATGACGTCGGCCTCCTCGACGCCCGGGATAGTCGAGTTGAAGAGGTAGTTCGAGCGAATGTCAACACCATGCACGGGTGCCGCGGCACCGCCGGCCTGGTCGACAGCCAGGTTCTCGGAACCGAGGCGGTTGATGAGATCCTTGAGCGCGACGAGCGACTCGGTGTCCGCGAGCGCACCCGCGACAGCCTGGATCTCGTCGCCTTTCGCGCCCGAGGCAGCCAGTCCGTTGGCAATGCTGTTGAGCGTCTCCTCCCAAGTAGCTGCGACGAAGCGGTCGCCCTCCTTAACGAGGGGCGAGGTAAGCCGCTGGAACTTGAGTCCGTCGCACGCGTAGCGGGTCTTGTCGCTGATCCACTCCTCGTTGACATCGTCGTTCGTCTTTGGGAGAATTCGCATAACCTGTACGCCGCGCGAGTCCACACGGATGTTGGAACCAACAGCGTCCATAACGTCAATAGACTCTGTGTTCTTGAGCTCCCATGGACGCGCGTGGTATGCGTACGGCTTGCTCGTAAGCGCACCGACGGGGCAGAGGTCGACGATGTTGCCGGACAACTCCGAGTTCATCGTCTTCTCGACGTACATGCCGATCTGCATGTCGTTCCCGCGACCGGTGGTGCCGAGCTCTTCAACGCCAGCGACCTGATTAGCGAAGCGGACGCAGCGTGTGCACTGGATGCAGCGGTTCATCGACGTCTTAACGAGGGGGCCCATGTCCTTGTTCTCAACGGCGCGCTTGCCGGTGATCTCGTGGAAGCGTGTGCGGTCGGAGCCGTAGCGCATTGACTGGTCCTGGAGGTCACACTCGCCACCCTGGTCACAAATCGGGCAGTCGAGGGGGTGGTTTGCCAGCAAGAACTCCATTACGCCTTCGCGGGCAGCGTGAACGAGGGGAGTATTGGTCTTGACGTTTGCCCCCGGCATGGCGGGCATGGCACTGTTGCAGGTGAGAAGGGCGTTGGAAGATCGGAGCTGGATACATACCAGGATGCTACCGGCTTGGGTGACCTCTCCACTTCAACTAGACACATACGGCAATTTCCTGCTATTGAAAGTCTTGAGACTGTGAGTATGATGCAGACTCGCGAGTCTGTAGACCTTACCGATCATGGTAGCAAAACCTGGAGCACGTCTCAGTAACGGCAGACGGCAAATGACATAGCAGCGTACCGTGGTATGGTAGCTCCCGCAGCTTCGCATGCTTGAATGAGTGCAGAGCCTGAAGTACCGTCAGAGAGGTATCGCCCGTGGTTGGCCTGGAAGACGTACCCTGGGGAACAGTGACCTGCTTTCCGTCAACGGTGAGGGTGATGTCAGCCTGTCTTGCTGCTGTAGAGGACAGTGCGCGTCTCTCTGAAGATATTCGCATTAGTCTTCATACCCCGCTGGCGTACATTCCAGACGTACTGGGCGCTGCCGCGCGCGACGCCCCGCTGTTCGCGGTCTTTCCGAGTAGACCCGTCGAAGGTCTCGAGACAACCCGGAGCATAGTCATCGGGGAAAAAGGGAGCGGATGACGAGAGCAGGATATAGAGGAACCTGGGCGAGTCGCCGCCCTCACTATTCAGCGTCTGCAGAGCTCGTCGTCGTCGGCGATGAGCAGGAATAATCCTGCAAACGCCGTTGGCTGAGGGATCCGGCTTTGATCCGAAATGCCGGTGCTTTTGTTCCGGTTCTGCCGAACGTCACGCGCCACCAAAGCAATGATCAACAAAGACCCACACGCGACGAGTGCGCGACAACGGCTTTCGTGTAGCGAAGTGCGAGTGAGCTTCAGCTTACCGGCGACTTTGGCAGACTTGTCTCAGAGCTTTCAGAGCATACGGGGACAGCCACATCTGCACAAGATCAAGGCAAGGGTAAGATCACGACAATCTACAACAACATGTTGAACACTTCGATTTGCAACGTATTTCACTTCTTCCACTTCATACATACAAACACGACAGGGGACATCTTCCCCTCAGCCGACTCGCTTCAGGAGACGCGCGCTCTTCCGAGTCGTTTCTCCTCTGGGCTTTTCAGCGGGCTCCGTGACCTTGTCAACCCTGCCTGAGGTCGCCGGTGCCCTTCGCTTCTTCACGGGCGGCACGTCTTCCTTGTCTGCGTCTGTGTCCGCGACAACATCTTCGCGCTTCCTCTTTGAGGTTTTGAATAGCTTCGGGGTAGTGGGCTGCGCTGAGTTCTTCCCCTTCTTCCTAGAGCCCTTGGCGGCGTTGCTCGTCACGGGAAGATCCCTAAGGGTTGCTCGAGGCTTGCGCACGACGGCGGACGTCTTGCTTTTCACCATGTCCGGAGTCCAGGCTTTCTCCTCCATCTGCGAGAGCTCATTGAGAGCTGCCGTCAATGCTGCCTCGAATTTCTCGTAAATCATCTTGCGGTCGTCGCTGGTCTCCTGCGGCTCAGCGGGCTGGTAAAGGCTCCCAGTGTCGGCTTCAGCTTCAGGTTCCTCGAGGACAGGGCATAGCGCGGCATGCAAAGCCTCCAGACAGGGGTGCAAGGGTCCGAAGTAGGACGACATCCCGCCTAGCACCCGAGCACGGAAGGCGTCGATGTCGACCAGTTCGGTGCGGCTGCTCAGAGCGGCGTCCAGAGACCTGCGCCAGTCACCTAGCGGGGTGTCGGTGGTGACGTTGCAAGTGTAGCGATGGGGGTGTCCGGCACCGCTGGCGGAGAGGCAGACGGAGCAAAGTACATAGAAGAGAGATTCCAGTGTGTCGCTATAGGTTTGCGAGCGCGGCTGTTTGCGGACCAAAGCGATGAGCACATCGATGGACGCGCAGGCGTGGTGAGGCTGTCGCTAGTCAGATTGGATAAGAAGGTATATGTAGCAAATCAGACGCACAATGAAGTCCGTCGCGGGAGGCCTGGTGAGTTCTCTTACATGGGCGAAGTCCACACAGACGCCCGAAGAGACGGTGCGGCCTTTGACCTGCAGCATAGGGCGTCAGATGATATGCTAGTTGATGGATTCTGAGGGAAGTCTGACCTCCTTAAAGTGCACGTCATCAAGGCCGAAGATCAACGGCGTGATGTTCAAGAGCTGGACTTGCTCGTCCTCGTACATTGCATGAAAAGCTGCGTGTGGATTAGCTCGTACCAATGTATTCTTGGAACCGCACGCACTGCGCAAAATGTCCAGCATGGCCGACACCAGCTCGAGCAGCGAGTGAAAGTGATCGAGGGGTCTTGCGTGCTGCACCTGACGCCTGTGCAGCAGAGTCGGCGGGCTTACAGAGATATGGCCCGAGCGTATGATGTCTGTACTGTCGTCCCCGTCGTTCACTTGCACGGTCTCGGACTCCTTGTCGCGCGAAGGCGTCGCATCCTCAGCCGCGGCATCCTCGATGTCCTTCTTCGCGACCCACGTATCACGAATATAGAGCACCTTGGCGCCGTCCTCTCTCAGCCCTTGTACGCGACGCACGATGATACCATAGCAAGCGCGTTCCTCGGGCGTACCGAGGAGTTCCAACACTCGACGTTTGTGCCCGGCAGCGACAATATATTCGTCGTCATTCTTGTCCTTGCTGATCGACTGGTCGAAGCCGAGGGCAGCCCGGGCGCAACCATGAAAATGCAAAAGCACGCAGAAGAGCCGAAAGAGGCTCCTCTCGCTGACCTTGCTCACGTACGACCGAGTGAAGTCGCCAACCGTGGCGACGACGGCGCCGGCGTGATCTGCGACGACGAGGGCGCATTTGCCCTTGCAGATGAGCAGCACTGGGTACCGCGAGCGCTCGGGGTGGTGGAAGAGGGCTTCGGTGGCAAGGATCGCACACCGCCTGATCGAGTCCTCGTCGATCTCGTCCTTCGCGCGGTGGAGGATGACCATCTGGGCGAGCACAGTGCCGTTCGCGACACAGAGCTCGAGCGAGCCGTTGGCACCGTGCGGCGCGCGCCACGTCCGCACTTCTTTGTCTGAGAGACTGTAGCGCCTGCGGGCGGCCGCGACGACGGCGGTGCCGAGGGCGTTGAAGAATGTTACATAGTCCCTCGTCAGCTGCGCCGCTTTGTCGAGCGTCGTCTGCGTGGATGGGACATTGGCGAATTTCGATCTTCTCGCATCCCAGACGCTGCTCTTCTTAAAGGCGTTGACGACCTTGGCGAGCACGTCGGGCTCGATGCGCGTAGCCACGAAGAGCGTGTTGGCGTCCAAGCCTTCGGGCTGCTGAACGCGCACGTCGGACACGAGCGGGGTGGATGGCTTTGGGAGGGCGACCATTGTTGAATGAGTTCGGGCGGGTGGCTGGTGAACGCAAGGGAGAAGATGAAAGTGAGAGTGATGAAAGAAACAGGTCCAAACACAACCTGTCACCGTCACGAACCGTTGCGTACGAGGCGTAAAATTCAACTTGGCCTTGCAGACGGCCCACGAGGCTGTCACGATACCATCACGTGAGCGAAAGTCGCGTCCCCGCGAACGCCACCTGTGGTCCTGCTCGAGTCGCACGGTCATTCCCCCTCGATCCTTGCCCATCGCCAGATATCCTTCCTCAATATTCTCCAGCCTGCAAAGCCACCGCAAATTAGCGACATAGCGCCCGAGACCAACAAACGCCACTCACCGATCCTCCCCCGCACAATGGCACTCGCATTGGACAAAGATCTAGAGGAGACAATGCTATGGAACATCCGCGGCCTCACGTCGCACGTCTTCCACGACCGCATCTGCAAGACATGGCCTGAGGCATGGCCCGCGACCCTCGCGAAGGCCCTCCTCGCCGCGCACTTCGACGAGGACGCGGGCTACTGGCGCATCTGGCCGTCCGATCCCCACATGCCCCTTGCTCACAAGACAATGGCCTTCCTCAACGGCTTCGCAGCAATCATCCGCGATCACTGGTCCGCGCAGGGCATCGACACCACCAACCTCCCCACCCGCCAGTGGTTCGCCGATACCTCCTTCGAGGGCCGCCTCAGCGAGGCCCCCGCGCCCGACCTCATCCTCCAGGACGCCATGGGCCCATACAAGTGGGAAGACGCCCTCGCGATCGGCTGCACCACCGAGAACGCCGACCTCCCCGGCGCCTGGCACCCAGTGCAGACCCTCGCCGAGAACGCGGGGCCCCTCATGAGCCGGCAGCGCAGCCGCCTGTACGGGCTCGGGATCGCGGTGTACCGCCGCGAAGATAGCCAGGGCGCGGTGCTGCGCCTGGTGGGGTGGGACCGCATGGGCCTCGTTGTCGCGAAGAAGTTCCCCATCCACGATCCGGCATGCGCTGAGGCCCTCGTCCGCGTCGTCGCCGGGACGATGTTTGCGCCTCGGCCGCGCCTCGGGTGGGACGCCTCTGTGAAGCTGCGCTACGGGCAGGAGTTCATCCGTGTCAAAGATATCGATTTTGCAGCGGCTGCGCGCGTCGATGAGGAGGCGGGTGTGACGGGCAAGGGCGCGTCCATCTACGTCGACAGCGAGGAGCACGAGGACGGCGTTGAGCTCGAGGTGTTCGAGTGGACATCGCCCCCTCCACGCGCGCAGCTGAATCAGAGGGCGACATTGTGCTGCTCGGTGCGCGGCCCGGATGGGCGCATGTATGCCTTGCGCCGGACTTGGGACGACCCGCGCGCCCCGCACGGCCATAAGAATGAGCGCAGAATGGTCGGGACGCTAGGGCACATCGAGGGCGTAGTAGATATCGTTACAAGTGGCGTGGTAGAGAGCAACGGCAAGCCACAGAGCACCGACAAGCTGCGCGGTTGCATGAAGGCGAAGGACCAAGACTATAAGAAGTGCGTGCCCTTCCGATGCTGAGAGTGATTCGTGCTGACCACGGCGTCCACAGGTTCATGGGCATGAGCATGCGTCGGCACCAGCAAGTGTTGATGTATCCGTTCTGCGAAGATTTGTCAGAATTCGAGAGCCCGCTCGAGGTGGTGCATATATTCAGCGACGTTCTAAAAGGTGCAACATACCCATTGAAGAACAAACTGATTACTGACTGGCTTGATAGCCATGGGCAGGATGCTCAAGCAGAGGGCCATGCACTGCGATATCTCAGACAATAATGTCAGGCTCTGGCGTCCGACGACAGGCCGCGTCCGCGGGATGCTGATCGATCTGGAGAAGGGGTGTTTCCTAGATGATCACGGCCAAAACACGAAGGAAATCATGACAGTGCGTTGTGCCCTTGTTCGTGTCCTCACAGCGGCGCTGACCCACGGCACAGGGCACCCTCACCTTCATGTCCATCGGCGTCCTCGAACATGCGCCCCGAAAAGCCAAGGACGACCTCGAGTCGCTCGTCTATCTCTTCATCCTCATCTGTACTCAGTACGCAGGCCCGCGCGGCGCCTTCCGCAGGGACAAGGGGTGGTCACAGTGTGACATCGCGGTTTGGGATGTGCTGGACGACGTCCACCTCGCCCACAAGATCGCCTTGCGCAGGAATGAGCATGGGGAGATAGACCGCGTTTTGGACGACTTCACGGAGTACTTTGCGTGCTTCAAGCCCGTGGCGCGCAAGATGTTACTGAGGTTGGGGGAGGTGGGGAATGCGGGCTTGACGCATGAGATGTTATCCGAAATCCTAAATGAAGCGCGTCAGGAGTTGGAGAGGGTTGAAGAGGAAGATGCCCCGACGGACGCACCTGAGGTTCGACAGGGTTCAGAGGCGATCGTGGAGAAGGAGACGGCGCCGATCACGGAGGAGTATGGAGACGAGGACGCGAAGGAGAACCAGGACCCTCCCAAGACCGACAAAGAGGCTGATGTCGCCCCTCAGCGCAAGCGGTCCAGGAGTGCGACGTACGAGTGGTTATATGGGGAAGAGGAGCACACACCGAAGCGCGTTCGCGTCTTTTATCCCAAGGACCAGAACACCGCCTGATGATGTTGTTCTCATTGTACTTCTTGGCCTGTATTTTGCTTTGTATCATTATTGTGTAGCTGCAATCGACTCCAGCGTCAACTAACGGCCGCGGGTGAGGCAGTAGTGACGAAGGACAAGAAGGCGAGAAGGAAGCTCGTGTCAATGATGTGTTGTGACATTGCGCGGCGCGTGATACGTACGCACGCTCAAAAGTGCAGAAGTATTCACAGGTGTAAAGGCTTGCGATACAGCGCCGGTTTGATGATACATACACGGCTGTTGTGCCTTGGATGTCTAGGTGTACCTGCTTGTACAGAAAGCAGCTGTTCGTGGTCCGACTCAATTCAGGATTTCAGATCATTTCCGTCGCATGGACTTGGACCGATTTCGAGGGTGTCCCGGTGCACCTTCCTTCCCTTACAAGTAGATACATATCTTCCTACCCCCTCACCACACCCACCGTCACATCCGGTCCCGGGCCTTCCGCATCCTTCCCCCTCCCGCCTCCCAGCGCCCCCACCGTCCTCTCCCACGCCCACCTCGTCAACTGCAACGCCTCCTCATCCGGCAGATCCTCCCTCACATGCAGGTCCATTGTCACGACCAGCCCCTCGCCCGGCGCGCCGCCCAGCGCCGGCGCGGGCGTGAGCTGCCAGAAGCGTGGCGCGGGCAGGTGCAGGACCTGCGGGTGCCGCTCGAGCTCGCGCATAACGCGGAGGAAGGCCTCCATGCGCCCGCCGGGGAGCCCGCGAGGGGGCGCGGTCTGGAGGAGGACAGCGCCGAGGGCCGTGCAGGCGGTATAGGCGACGCGCATGGTGACGCCGGCGATGAAGGTGGCGAGAAAGAGGTCGCAGGTCATGTGTTGGGCGCTGAAAGAGGTGAGAGTGAATTGAGGTCAACATGAGTAAAATGGAACACGAACGTACCCGGGAACGACCATAGCAACTGTGAGCAGGAGGGCCGTGAACAATATTGGGCTAACGATGTAGGGGTTGCGGAGCACCTGGCCCAGCGGCGTCGCGGGCTGAGAGGCAGTGTATTGTATCGATGCTGCTCCCGTCGACCTGGCAGACAAGGACCGTATAAGAGACGCAGGGGAGGGTATAACGTTGCCCGTAACTGACGAGGGCATTAGTCCTGAAGTCATAGCAGCATTGGGCGACATACTGTCGAGCAACTTCGTATGGTTGTTGAAGAGGGAGGCTGTCGTCAACAGCGAGGCAAGCGCCAGGATCGGCAAAAACAGGGGGAACTCAATCCTGCAAAACGTCAAGACCTTCCGGCGTCGTCAATAGGGTATCGCTCACTGTATCACATCCTCCTCGTCAATCGCATGATGGTGATGGTGCCCCGACTCCTCCGAGCCGCCCGCGCTCAGCAGCAGATGCTCGACAGTTTCCTTGCAAACATACACTGCAGCGAACATCAAGTACACCGCCTGCGCAAACATCGCCACCGTCTCCACGCGCGCGTCCCCGTAGAAGCGCTGCTTGCTTGGGCCTTTGCCGCGCAGGCGCGGTGCGAGGACGTTTTCGATGGCGACGCCAAACGCATCGAAGACGATCCAGTAGCCGAGGCCAGTGCACGCGAGCGAGCCAACCTGCTGCCCGGCGACCCACAGCCAGGCACCGAGGACGAACTGCGCTGCGGCGATGGCCGCGGCGCCAACGAGCGAGCTCCCGAGATCCTCGACGAGCAGCGCTTGCGGTGCTGGCTGTACCGACGCCGCTGTGGTGGTAGTTACGGCGGCGGAGGACGAGGTGGACCACGGCGATAGGGGAGGCGCTAAATCGTCTGTGGGCTTGCTGCCGACGATCCCGGGCTCGAGGAAAGAGAAGAAGTTGTGCGACATCGAGTGCTTGTGGTGATGCCCACGGCGCGAGGACGTGCCTCCAGATGCTGACTTGGACATCGCCGGCGGCTGCGGCGCGCCAGGTGGGCGGCCGCCGAAAGTGAAGTTGGCACCCAGAGGGGTGGTGGGCGCGCGCGTGGACCTTGCATTGCTCGGGAGGCTGTACGGGGCGTCGGCAGAGGGGATGGTGCTGACGGGGGCTTGCTCGGGTGGGCTGTTCCCATCCTCGGCGATCGTCGAGTCGTGTGGGAGCGTGCCCGGCCGAGGGAAGAAGATGGAAAGGTTGCGGGAGTGCATGCGACCGTGGCGGCGAGGAGCGGAGGCGGATGAGTTGGAGGAGAGAGGGCTTGTTGGCTCGGGGTTTGAGGCAGAGCCTGTCATCGGCGGCGGGCGCGGAAAGGAGGTGGAGAGGGGCGAAGGCGAGGGAGGGGAGTACGAGTAGCTCGAGATAGAGCGGCCGCGTGCATGCGAGTGCGCAGAGCCTCCATGCGAGGGGGAGGGGGCGCCTCCGTTTGGCAGGCCATTGGGTATTCCAAACGTGGCGCGGGGAGGAGATCCCAGACCATTCATTCGGGGGAGGGCGGCTGATGTTGAGGCATGGCGCTGATGTCGCAGTTGCGGAGGGGTTGACACAACTCGCGGACGAGGGGGCGATACGGGACCTCCTCCGCTGAGGTCGATGATTGGGTTATCGTTGTCCTCCTTGCTGCTTTTCCTCTGGTGGAGGGTGGGTCTTTGGTCGACCATAGCCATATCGCTGAGGGGTATGCTGTCGTGTAATCTGGGCGAAGTGAGAAGCATATTGTAAAGAGAGCATGGAGACGCACGAGTGTAGCTGAAAGGACCGCGATGCCTTGCACTAGTAGAGGTCGGACGCGCAGAACTCGTACCTCCAGGACCACAGCAACTCTACGAAGCGGGGATGTTCCGAGTTTCTGTCGCGTCTGCCTCGCGTTAAGACTCCCAAGACTTTCGAATGAGCTGAAAGCGTTATTGTATGATCCCGTGGACCTCAATGCCTGAGCGTATGTCGTGGTCTGGTCTGAGAGGCACGACCTCCTCACCTGCGTGACATCGCGGTCACTAAACGTGACGAACCTAAGGAGACCCTTGGCATCTCACCTTAATGTTCGATCTCAATGCGACGAATTGAAGGCGCGAAATGCGTCAACATTTGATACCATTGCGCAGGGCTAGGGTGACTGGGCGAGGTAGGTTCGATGTCAAATGTGACCGTTAGGCCTTGTCTTTGCGCTGGAATTTCGCCAGCTTATACCCTACCTACCCATCATCATCAACGTACCAACCGCCCCAGCGAGCACTAGCAGGGCCTCATCCGCTATACGCGAAGGGGTTGAATTTGTAGCGCAAGAATTTCACAATCCAGACGCACTCGCATCGCAGTACTCTTTCCGTGACCGTCGCACTATCAAAGGAATCTCGGCCGCGACGACCCTCTCAAACCGTCAGCTATGAGGCCTTCAGGGCACACAATGTAAACTTTGCAAGACCCAAGGCACAATTGTGCTGACCATGCAATTGAGGCCTTGGGCAGATTATGGGTCCATCCTCGGCAAACCCCGAACATGACCGCAGTGCCTCCAGACGTGCCTGCAAGCATTACTGTGCCTCACTGTATAGAAGCAACCAAGCGTAAACCGTGATAAGCGCAGGACAGGCAAGCAGGGGTCGAAAGACCGTGAGCGAGGGCAAAGTATAGATTTTTGGAGGATTTTGATTGATGTATAGCGCTTGAACTGCCTTATATGGCAGGTGCGGAAGTCGAGCGTGACCCGTGACTTCTGCAACGCAACTGGTCCTCGGAGACCGTGACGGGTGCCTCCATACACATACTTCCCACTTTCTTCCACAATCACTCTTCATTCAAGGGTCCTGTCCCCAGGTAGCGGGTTGCTTCTGGCACAATAGGCAGCTCCGGCAGACAATTACACCGTCAGAGCCGGGATCGACCACCGGACCTCCTGCTCGGTATACCAGAGCTTATAATCGTCCGAGCACAGCAGAGACTGGCAGGGTACCATCGTTCTCTCCTCCTGCAGCCATGTACGCCACTCCCAGCGCCACTCCGACCCCACCAAACTACGCCCAGGCCCCCGCGCGAACGCCCTCGCGCCGCCCCGCGTCCATCGGCGAACTCGCAGAGCGCGCACTCGACAACCTCTGGGACGATCGCAAGGACCTCAAGTTCTACCTCCGCCAGGCGGAGCAGTACAGGAAGGATGGGAAGGCGTTTGCGGCCCACGGCGACCACGAGAACGCGTTCGTCTCGTTCGCGCGCGCCGCGACCCTTGTGCTCGACAAGCTCCCGATGCACCGGGACTATAGGACGATGCTGAGCGATAAACACAGGCATAACTTGGGACTGGTGCGTGCATCGTTAGGCCTCTGCGCGGGGGGCTCCTGTGTTCGGTCTACTGATCGGTCATTGTAGAACGGACAGGACATCCTCGACTGCCTCGGCCAGCTCAAGCCGATCCTCGTCGAGCGCCACGAACGATGGATGCAAGCGCACCCGGAGGAAGCAGAAGACTCAGACCGTACACCCGATGCGCGCTCCCAGGGCCTACCACCTCCCGGCCAGCGCGCGCCACGTGAAGTCGTAGATCGGCAGCAGCAGCAAGCCCTGGAAGACGAGCGAGCGGCCTGGCAGCGCCAGCGAGAGGAGTTCGAGCAGGAGCGCGCCCAGAGCTCGGCGTCGCAGTACGCAACTGCCCGGAGCGTATCATCCGCCTCGACACAAGCTGCCCTCTCCGCAGCCCGCCAAGCAGCTGGCAGTCGTGCGCCGTCAACTGCGCCGACACCCGCCACCGTTCACCGAGGCGGCGATCTCGCCTTTGCCACATCCCCGCCGCCACAACCGCAGCCCGCCGCGTCTCGCCACGAGCAACATCAGGAGGCGCTGCGGCGACAGGCGGAAGAGATCCAGCGACGGAAGGAGGAGCAGAAGCGCCAGGAGCGCGCGCGGCTGGTGGAAGCAGAGACGGCAGCGCGTGTCGCGCGCGAGCAGCAGCAAGCCGCTGCCATGATCAGCCCTCAGCCGACCGAGCCGCAAGCCTACCAGCACCCGAGCTCTTCCACCACTCCCACCCCCGGTGTCTTCGTTCCCCCGCCCCCATCGCAGTACCCGCGGACGCAGCCCACCACGCCGCAACCCGCGCATTCCCAGTACGCTACCCCCCAGCAGTCCCAGCACTCGACCCCTCAGCCGTCGGCGCCATCATATCCTACTTTCCCCACCCCGCACCATCAACCATCGGGCTCTCACCACTCGGGGCCGCACTACCCGACGCTGCCGGGGACCAGGGGGCCATCACCGCAGCCATCGCGCCCATCGTCCCCTCCGAACCAGTACACTGGACGTCAGGAGCCGCCGCCGCCCATGACCATGCCTTTGGAGAACCCGGCGTACGACGACGACACGACGGACTCCGAGTCGGTGCACCATGGTCACACGCGACGACCAAGCAAGCTCCAGAAGCATCGGCCTGGGGAGAAGAGGTGAGCCTGGACCACGTCGTGGTCGACCTTGAACGATTTTGACAATCAAAGTAGCCCGCCCTCCGTCGGCCAGGGCGCCGCGCATATCCAGTACCCGCAGCTCATGTCGCAGCACCAACGCGGCCAGGGGTACGCGCCCTCCATCATGTCCACCGACGAGCAGGCCGGTGCCGCCCCGCCTGCGCCGACCAACAACAACCTCCTCTTCGACGGCAAGCAGTTCGAGCGCGCCCCGCGACCGCTCTACTCCAGCGACCTCCTCCCCAAGCCCTCCGCGCCCGTCGCCTCTTCCTCTTCCACCTCCGCCTACCCCTACCCCGCCCAGCCGCGCGCGCCCAAGAAGGAGAAGGAGCCCCCCAAGCCCGGGCAGCTCAAGCGCGTGACGGTGCCGCGCGAGACGCTCCCGAGATTCCTCGCGATCGCGAAGATCAACACGTCGCTGAACCGGGAGACGTGCGGGTTGTTGCTGGGCAAGGACCGGGGGCACAAGTATGTGGTGACGACGCTGCTGATCCCGAAGCAGCACGCGACGAGCGATACGTGTACCATGGACGATGAGGAGCTCGTGTTGGAGTTTACGGAGGAGAGGAGTTTGATCACGCTGGGTTGGGTGAGTGGCGGTTCTCTATGGGCAGTCCTTTTGCGGCACTGCGTGTATTGTGGCAGCCATCAATGTGGTCTTGCTGACCCCATCCCCAGATCCACACTCACCCATCGCAATCCTGCTTCATGTCATCGGTAGATCTGCACACGCATTCCGCCTTCCAGTGCATGCTGCCGGAGTCGTTCGCCATCGTGTGCGCCCCAAAGTACAACCCGACGTGAGTCTCGCCTTCACTCACCTCGCCCTTTTTTCTCTGCATGGACCTATCGCAGTCCCATGCATCGAGCCTGTGCTAATATTCTGCTCCCAGATTTGGTATCTTCCGCTTGACAGACCCTCCAGGGTTAAAGATCATCTTGGATTGCCAGGCGAAGGAGGCGTTCCACCCGCATCCGGACAAGCCGATATATACCGTAAGTCTTCATTCTCATCAACCCTCCGGTCGACCGTTGGAGCAATGTCTATCGACCCCCGCTCCCCCATAATCGATGCTGGATTGCCGCATGTGCTGACGAAGTCTTGTGCAGGACGCGGACAGGGAGCACGTCTACCTCAAGGAGGCTCACCTGGAGATCGTGGACCTCCGCTAATCTTGGTCCTCGAAGAACCGCGAGCGGCACCTGTGCATAACTCTTGAGAAGAGGTTTTGTTACGAGAACGAAGAGAGGAGAGGAGGGATATGACTGACTAATCGAGGGGGCTACTAATCAGATCCAGAGGAAAGCTAATGGGAAGAGGATGAAGACTTATCGAAGAAGGTGGGGAAGAGGAGGAAGCAATGGGACGCATCATCATCGTGAGTAGAGGACATTGGCTTTCACCTTCATCTATGTATTATGATCTTTACGCCGCATCCATGCACTGTATATTATGCACGCATCCACCATGAATATGTATAGCATGCCGTTTCCTTGTTTTCTACTTACGCTTACGCTTTGTGGTGGTGAGCGGGATGTGGTGAGGTGAAGTGCGATAGACGCCTGTTCACGTAGGTGAGGTGGATGAGGATCACCTTTTCGATGATTTGGAGGTGGGACGTAGATGGGGCGGAACCGTACGCTGCCTTGTACGGTTATGTACAGTGGGGAAACTTCAGAAAACGGGTGGCACGGATTTGTGGCAACCTGCAAGACGATCGTCCGGTTAATGTGGCAGTGGTAGGGCGCCGACGCGTATAGCCGCGGATGCATTGACGGACATGCAGCATCGAGGCCCGAGGAACATTATTTAGAGTTGGCTATGAGGAACGTTCGGGGAGAGGCCGGGGAAAGAGGCCATCTTGAGCCCAGGCCCGAGCCAGGGGCGTGAGGAAAGCTCCCGCCGGCAAATGCCGTGTGCTTTTCTCGCGGAGCCATTTTGCGTCCCGCGCGTCCTCCTCCTCGGCGGCCCTATAGCACGCTATTTGCTGGCATGCCTCTTGCATGGCGACGACCCAATGGCAACCCGCGGACGATTACTGAATGTTCTACTACTGAATACTGATCCTGGGGAGGCTTCCATGCTTTAGCTCTAAAAGTGACAGCTTTGCGATATCCGCTCTCCTTCACCCGATCATGCTGGGGAAAGCTGGCTGTGGTGGCGCTGAGGGTGGATGCCCGCTCCGAGTCCGATATTCCCTTAATTCGTGCTCTGCCCTGCACGGTCATGCATTCTCTGGCTGACTTTGGGACCTGACCTGGCCGCGTACGCTCTCCGAGTCCCCCGACGGGACGCACGACGCCCTGAGCCTCGCGCAGGCGCCCAGGAACAGCAGGGGAACACTCTAGCAATTTACGGTCCTCATGTCGGCGTCCTCTTCCGCGCAAAATAACCTCCGAGCATCCGTCCCGATTAGCACGACAGGCGGCTTCAATATAGGGGCTGCGCGCTCGATCCGTGCGGGTCAATGGAGCGGAGCGCGGAGGTGTCACTTTATTCGACACTTTTCCTCTCCCCACCACCACCATCCACGGCCAGCATGCGACGCGTCGAGAGGCGGTGGCCGTACACGAGGAATACCGCCTATGTCGCGCTCTTCTGTGCCGCGCTGCTCGTCCTCCAGGTCGGCTTTCGCGGCGGCGACTCGTATGTGGGCTTTCCGCTTGACGAGGTCTTGGTGGACGCGCACGCGCCGCTGAAGGTGCACCCCATCTCCAAGTACACCGATCTCGCCCACCGCCGCTTCGACGCGAAGGTCAAACGCCAGAGCAAGACTCTCAAGCAGGCCGTCGACGAGTACAAGCGCCGCTATAACATGAACCCTCCACGCGGCTTCGAAAAGTGGTGGGAGTACGCGCAGGATGCCAACTTTGTCATGGTCGACGAGTTCGACGGCCTGATGGAGGATCTTGCTCCGTTCTGGAATATGTCAGGAGTCGAAGTTGCGCGCCGCGCGAAGCAGGTGCGGCCCAAATGCTCATCGCGTGCGCATATATTCATCAACATGCCAGGCTGCCGATCTCCCCTCCATGGACTACATCTCCGTTCGAGACGGCGAGGCCATAGATAATACATACGTGGATGGCCCCGAACGTGGCGCGCGCGGCCGACAGTTCCTCGTCATGATCTCTAAGTTTGCACATGAGGTGCGCCGCAGCCTCTCTGCAATTCATCATATCTAAATGCCTCTCAGCTCCCTGATCTCGACTTCGCCATAAATGCATTGGCAGAGGGACGCGTCGTCGTGCCCTGGGAGCACATCCATTATCCCAACTCGACAGACGAAGACTCCAGCGACGGCATCGATATCATGAATGCTGATGGCGAGTTTATGATGGACTGGCAAGGCGATGGCAACGTATGGGAAATATGGCGCCGCAGCTGCCCGCCAAGCTCGCCTGCACGACGCATACTCGCCAACAGGATCAACCCCTTCGCCTCGCCTATCGACTACCTGCAGCCCGAGCTCGAGGGCCGCGGGCGCGACTTCTACTTCACCATGAGCGTCCCTTCCCGCCTCGATTTCTGCCAGCACCCGCAAGCGCACTACACGCAAGGCCACTTCTTCTCCGACTGGCGCACAATCCCTGCCCTCTTTCCCATCTTTAGCCCTGCCCGTGCCCGCGGCTTCGCCGACATCCGCATCCCCAGCCACTACTATTACCGCTCGTCGCAGCAGTATACGTACGGCTGGAATTTCGAGACGAAGGAGGTGGATGACGTTGACCCGATGGAGGTTCCTTGGGAGGCCAAGACGGATATGATCTTTTGGCGCGGCTCGACGACGGGTGGAGGCAGCACGCCTCCTGGCCATGTCGCGTCGTATCAGCGTCATCGCTTCGTGCGCATGACGAGCGATGGGTCTGACACCCTGCGCGCTGTTACTTTCGAGGAGCCCGCGGGGTCGACGAACTGGGTGACCGCCGAGGTCAAGGCGGGCCTCCTGAACGAGGAGATCACGGATGTCGCGTTCACGGCCGCCACCCACAAGGAGTTTCCCGGCGGTCTCGAGGCGCTGTTTGCGGAGCACCGGTTTGGGGACGCGGTCCCGCTAGGCGCGCATTGGGCGCACAAGTACCTGGCGGATCTGGATGGAATGGGCTACTCGGGGCGCTTCATGGCGTTCTTGGAGAGCGACTCGGTGCCGGTTAAGTCGAGCGTGTACAAGGAGTTTTACTCGGATTGGATAGAGTAAGTGGTCTCTTCTATCGTCTGGGTCTACGATGCTGACGAGCTATGCAGACCCTGGGTGCACTTCATCCCGCTCAGCACGAGCTACCGCGAGCTCTACAATATCCACGCGTACTACAGCGGGCCTTCGGAGGCGACCATGGAGGCCTACAAAGCCGGCCTCGCCGAGGAGGAGGACGAGGGCGAGGACGGCGCGGAGCATGGGGACGGCGAGAGTGAGAGCGGCGAGGCGCAGATGGTGTACGACGACGCGTCGCGGGTGGCTCGGTGGCCACCGGTGGGGGCGCGGAATGTGGAGGGGGACCGGAAGTTGAGGAAGATCGCGAAGGCAGGGCGGGAGTGGAAGAAGTCGATGGGGCGGTTGGTGGATATGGAGGGTGAGCGTTGGTTTCGTTCTGTGATGGCTGCTCAAGGGCATTTCCGGCGCGGAGTGCGGATGAGCGTGGACGCTGACGTACCTTGCAGTCTACGTCTACCGGTTATGCCTGGAATACGCGCGGCTCTGCGCGGAGGATCGGGAGGCGATGGACTATACAGGTTAGACGGAACATATGATGGGGTATATGCGCAGGAGACACGAGTGCCGTTCATGGATGAGACGCATACGGCTTCATGATGGGTGAATCGGTGATATGTTGCGGCAGACGAGACGACCGCAGATTTTCTTGTATAGCGAGCTGACGGGGGCTTTAGATGTTGTGTGTACATATATGTTTCTGTAACTGTATGAGCTTCCACTACTAGAATACGCACTGAAGGGATAATTTGCCAAGCGGTTCTGCGGGTTTATCGCGCTCGGATCTGTTGACGCGGGGGGGGGAGAAGCAGCAGGCAAACAACAATTGCCTGATAAGGAAACATTTGTTTGGTTTTCGGTTGGTTTCCGGCAAGTCCCGAGAGCGCCCACAACTCGGGCTTGTTCTGAGCTGCGTTGCACGGGCTTTGGATTTGGTGCTTACTGGTCTGAGGCGCCGAGCGTTGAGAATACTCTGATTGGTGTCAAGCCCTTCGCTATAATCCCTTTGGATTCCATGCGATGGTATAAGCATCGCCCAAGAAGACAATTGACAAGTCAGTAAATATATAGGATATACATCGTTATCAGTAATGGTCAGAGTCGTCAAGGATTGAGTATGAAGAGAGAGCTTTAGTAATACACACAAGCTCAGAGATCAAATGACACCCCCGACCCAGCTTTTCCTGCCGTAGGTAGATTCAGCGTCTTAAATACCGCGGGTTGACCAGCGGGAGTGATCGCTAGTTGCAGCTGAGTCTGCTTCTGCGTGGGATCGGAGGCAAAGACCTTCCCTGCACCAGCGTCGTAGATCACCGTCGACGCGATGTTCGTCCTAATGTTCGAGCCATCAGGGAAGCTGACCGCGCCGCCCTTCTCGTCCCAGAACACGACATAGGCGACCTTGGCCGCGCTATCGTACACAGCGGATATGTGCGCGTCGTTCTGCACGGTCTGGAGCGCGGAGGCGGCCGCCTTGCTCGCGAATGCGCCCTGGTCGGCGGTGCCAGGAAATATGGTGTACTCGAGCGGCTGCGAGGTGTTCGTGCGGACGAGGTAGGCGGAGAAGAGGTCGACGGTGGTGGTGCCCTGACCAGACGTGCCGATCTTGTTCCACGCGCCCGACTTGTTTCCCGTGGCGACAGTCAGCTTTGCGGAGGTATTGTTGGGGAAGGTGTACCCGACGCCGGCGTGCCAAAGGGACTGCGGCCCCTGCTTCGTCGTACCGCCGGACACCTGCCCGTCGATGTAGACGTCGCCGCTGTGGCGCTTCTGGTCGAGCACGCTGCGCACCTCAACGGGCGAGGTGTTGTTGATGTTGCCGATGAGCACGCGCTGCGTATCGTCCGCGGTGAAGAACCACGCTTTCTGAAAGGAGAACTTGCCGGTGATGGGGTTGGTGTAGCGCATGACGGCAATGCCGACGTCGCCGGTGGAGACACCACCGACGAAGGAGTGCTTGCCTGTAGCTGTCGTGGACTTGCATTCGAGTGTGGTGCCCTTGTAGTCGACACTGATGCCGGGAATCATGTCCCAGTCCCAGGCGGCGGCAATGTCTTCATACTCATTGCCTTGGACGTATGTATAGAGAGTACCATCGGCGAGATGGAAGCCGAAAGGCTGTGGGAGGTGCATAGTGAGCAACAATCCAACGAAGGGGATCCCGAAAACATGCTTACATTCGCTGAGTTCGTGCATTCTGAGTTCGTTGTGCGCTCCGAGTACATCTTGAGCGTAGAGACATAGTTTCTGCCTCGGTGTACCTATCATATGTTATTCGTAAGTCACACAAAGGAAGAGTGTGTCCTCACCATATAATCATTTGCATAAAACAAGCGATTCCCTTCCAGTTTACCCGCGTTGGCCCCGTCCGAGCCGCCCTTGAGGCTATTAGCCACGTCGGTGATCACAGCGTTTCCCGAAAGACGTCCGAGTGTCTCGACTGCGGTCAGATTGATACCAATATCATGGGTAGGCCTGCATGGAGTCAGCGATTTTCTAGTGAGACCAGCTTTCAAAAGCTACGCACTGATAGTCGGCAGTGGGGAAAGCAATAAAACGAGGAAGAGCAGACTAGCCACGACATGGAGATTAGTAGAGCTCACTATAATAGGTAGTAAATCACGTACGAAGTCCCAGTGCATGATGGAGGTCTTCTGATTGTCGAAGATCATCCATCGATCTGAGTCCAAAAGAGCCGCAAAGACACCAAGTTGATCCTGATTAGCGGCAAACTGCGTCTGAGCAGCATTGATCTCGAGCTCCATGACGTCCTTTGCGCTGAAGATACGGCGTAAGCATGTCGCAAGCAACCACAGGTGCAGTATACCACTCACAAGACGTTGCCGTAGTTGCCGTTGTACAAGAGCCCGCCATGCTGCTGGAAGCTGCCGTCCGCCTTGACGCCGTCGTTCTTAACCTTCTCGCTGTATACGAGCTGCGCGTGTACGCGGGAGTAGGCATCGGTGAGCCGCGTCGTGTTCTTCATCAGCATGGCATCGTCGGCACCAATTTTGGCCAGGTCGAGTACGTTGGCGCCAGTGAGGTAGCCCTCGTTCGCGTTGAAGGTTGCGTAGGCGCGCGAAGTGATGTGGGTGCAGGAGTTGCGCTCGGAGTTGGATAGGGAATCGCCGAGCACGAGGCAGGTCTGCGAGACGAGCAGAGGTAGACCGAGGACGTTGCTGTACCAGTTGGTATTCCAGCTATGATAAGCAGGTTAGCCGATTGCTCAGGTATAGCCAAGGCTGGCACTCACAATCCAGGTGTACCGCAGGGGCACGCATTCTTACCATGGAAGTCACCATTCACACACGCGTCGTTCTTGTAGTCGTGTGAAAACCAGTACCCCATGGCCGAGGATATAGCGCTGCGAAGATCTTTGTTTTGAACCCATTTGCTATCTTGGTTAGGTGCGCCGCCGTGCCAGGCGGCAGTCATCGCCACTATATGTACAATCAAGCCTGGCCAGTTTGTGATCAATGAGCGAGAGCGCACCAATCCTGTTCCAGTGGTTCAGCGCGGGCCAGTTCGCGCGTTGGGCATTACATCCAGTAGCGTAGTTGATCTGACTGTCGGGCCATTTGCCCTGTCCTCTATCGAGACTGGAAAGCCTGATACGAACTCGTCGTAAGCCAGAGTGGGGAACGGTGGAGGTGGCACGTACCAGCTGCCGACACTGCCTGTACTCTGCGAGTCCACGATGGCGGCGATACGCCGTTCCGTCATCGTGGAGATATCATCTGCTGCAGCGCGGGAGGTGTATGGCAGACTAGTCTGCTTTGATAGGCCGACGAGCAGAAGTAGGGGAAGCAGGTATCGTAAGATGCCGAAGCCGACCTGTACAGTCGGTAACAACATGGTAAAGGAGTGTAGGACGAGTGGGAGCGTGATCAAAAATGGGACGGACACGAAGGGAGACGGCGAGGAAAATCTTATTTATGCCAACTGTGGGCGCTTGAGCGCTCAATGGGCGCCACTAGCGCCGACCTCTGACACGTTGAGCAATGAACCTCTCCTTCGCTAACTCGAGTAAACGCGTATCACTTCCCACGCAAAGGGAAAATAGGCGCGCAAGCTAGAAGCAAGATAGAGGAAAAGTATTGCGAAGGTCTTGGCAGTCAGAAACGCACTGAGTTAGTCCTGAGCGCGAGCAATGCTGCAGTCTACTGCTGAGGAGGGGGTCATTGGTCAAGGAAGTAGACTGCTGCTACCCCGCGTAGGCGTACCTGATTTACTCTCTTCGTGTGCGCCGCATGAGACCACGGGGACGGCATAGCTCGCGAAGTCGCGCTCCAGAACGCCCAGCGATGCCATCGCCGCTCGCAAAGCAGATTGCACCCTGGTCATGACTTCCCGCGTATCTTCGGCTTATCCTGAAGGAGACGCGGTGAATCCTCTGCATCTATACTCGTCCGGCGTTCGGGAGTCTCGAGACTTGCCGGTCAAAGGTCTGGTGCACAATTCATGATCATGAGTCGTAAGTGTGACACCTACGAGCGTGACGGGAACGGGCATCACCTTTCAAAGCAGACCAAGATAAACGCCCACTGGTGAATTCGGGCATGCAGATATATATGGTCAGTATTCATCCTCGCATAAGCAAGACATGGTAGATGGTACTGTACAGATCGGTGCCGTCCATTTGAGTCCGTTTTCCAGTCATCAACCTCAACCCTCATCCAGATAATCAAGCATCGCGCAGACCAACGCGCACGAACAACGTCGAGAACAGGTACTGCGACATCTGCTCGTCGTGTAGAGGCAGGTGACGGAAACCTGAATCTGGATGAGCACGTGTCAGAGGATAGCACTGCGGAGGACTCGCCCTGCTCCAAGCACCCCAGAGGAATGCAGTACATGGCCAGTGGCCTGTCATCATCATCGTCCTTCCCCTTCTGCCGCACCGCAAACTCGACGAAGATAAGCTCCTTCATGTCGCCGACGCAGTCGAACGGTAGGCACAGCTCCTCCTGCCACGTCGGATTGAAGCCGTTGTTCTTGATCACCTTCGTCCGCAGCGAAACGGTGCGCGCGGTAGCCCGATCCGTCTGCGTTGCTTCAGTGGCCGGCGAGTACGTCGTCTGCGCCTCGTCCTTCGCGGGAAGGAACGGCGCGTGCGACCAGTCGGGGATGTGCAGCGCAACTTCGACGAAGGGGTCCGCCGCCGAAGACTCGATAATCTCGTGGCCATCCTCGTCGCGCGGTCGTGGTAGCTGCTGAGCGGAGATGACCTGTCCGAGTGGTCAGTATGCAGCATAACGAAGACGGTCATTGTTCAACCCACGGTAACATCTAAGTAATGCTTCGTGCGCTTAGCCAGAAGCTCTTCGCCACCAGGGCGTAGCGCCGGCGGCTTGAGCACAAATCCAGCACCACCATTTCGACGGAACATCGCCTGGTTGATGATATATCCAAGATCTAGAGGCTTATGAGCACGCCTCGCCTCAACCGCCAATCCTACTCACCGAACGTCTGCCAATTAATCGCCACCACCTGCGCCCCCGCCGCCCAGTACAGATGCGGCTCATAATTGCTCGAATCCAACCGCGTCCCCTTTGGATATATCCTCACCACATGCGTCTGCGTATACTTCACCAACCGCGCCATATCCGCGTCCATCAGCTTCTTCGCCTTCCGCTCCGACAGCGAGAAGATGTACTCCGGCGAGTAGTCCTCGATGTGTTCGAGCCCGTGGCAGCGCACGCCGACTGTGTACACGAGGAGCGACGCGAGGTGCATCGACATCTTCGGCTTGGGTTTGGGCTTCTCTTCTTTGCCGCGGACTTTGCGCCATTTGGCTTTGAGCTGGTGGATCTCGCCGCGGACGCCGGGCTCGGAGTCAGATGAGGACGAGGAGCTGGAGGAAGTGAGTGCCTTTGCTTCGTCGATCGCGCGCTGGGCCTGCACGGCTTCCAATTGCGCGGCGATGTACAGGTTCTTGGCCTTTGGGCTCGGTCAGCAAAGCGAATCAGCGGCGTCAATGGCTGCCATACCTTGAGAAGAATCTTGCCCTTCAGGTCCTCCGGACTAGGTAGTGTAGTGATCTTCGGTCTGTTGTCCGGCGGCGCCTTGATGATCTTGTCGCCGAACGTCTTGTTCATGATGTCGACGATCATGTCCTGCTGCTGCACGCTGCAATGCACCTCCGCCGAGATGACGACGGGATATGGCGATGTCACGAAGGCATACTTGTTGATAGCTTCGCAGATATCCTTGACAGGGACCTTGGAGGTCAGCGTCTTGCCGTGGTATACCGTGGGGCCGTCGTCATCATCGTAGATGTCGACTGCATTCGGCGTAAGCGAGGCGCTGGACGGTGAATGAATGACTCACGTTCGACCGTACGGCAGCCGTGAAGCAAGGCGCGGATATAGCCCTCAATCGTACTGACGCCGACCAGCTGGTGTCCGACGAGGTAGGTGTTGTGTGAGGAGGACATGTAGTACTCAGAGATCGGCCGCGTCATGTCTTGGTGGATTGGTAGACCGTGCTCAGAGAAGGGAGTGTTCTGCTCGCTGAAGAGGAAAGCTCTGAAGTCATCCAAGGTCATGACACCGTCCGTTGAGTATTCCTTGAAGACCCTCTGCAGGTCTTCGGAGGAGAGAGCAGACTAGCGACCCATCAGTACACATCTACACGTGGAAATGTAGCTTACCTTCTGCGTCTCCTTCATGAACTTCTCGAAGGTAGCGAAGTCGAACTTGTCCCCGGCGCTCGCCTTCACGCGTTCGTAGACGATCTCGATGTCAGGACGGCGCTTGAGCAGCTTAGTGAAGCGCTGGAACGACTCGAAGTCCAGCTTCCCGCTGCCCTTCGTGTCCGCAAGCTGGGCACAAAGTCATTGTCCGATCGGCGCGGAGGGCGTACACACGCACCTTGAACCATGTCTGTAGTTCCTGCTCAGATGCATTGACGTTCAAGCGCACACATAGACGACGGATCTCCTCAAAGTCAAGGGTCTTGTCGCCGCTCGAGTCGGCACCCTTCCAGAACTGCTTCTCCCAAAGCGTGTCGCGCATCTGCGTGTTCCCGACGCCACCCATGAGGCCGACGCGGATGGAGTGGAGCTTGCGCAGCGTGCTGTCCCACAGCTTGAACACGTCGCGCGTGTCCGCGAGCAGGTGCAGCGTCTTGTACTTCCCGTCAATGATGTAGATGACCGTGAGCCACCGCTCCTCGCAGCCCTCCTCCATCTTGAACTGCACGCGGTAGTAGCGCGCGTCCACGCCCGAGCGTATCTCCTTGATCGCCTCGATGGGGACTTGGAGGACGCCGTAAGCGGCGACGTAGAGGAGAGGATGCCGCCACGCACTGATACCGCTCTTCGAGGACTCATACACGATCTGGCCCTGGTCCGCGTCGAGCTTGACCTGCATCTTCTTCTTTTTCTTCTCGGAGATCTTCGTCATGGGCGTGCCCTTCTGTAGGAGGTCGGGCACGGATAGGTCGGCGAGATTGAGGTGCCCGCGACCGCTGGACTCGGCGCCGAGCTTGGTCGCTGCGGCGCTGGACATGGTGTGCAGAGGTTCAGTATATTCAAGCTGGGTGTAGGTGATGGTGGTAGAGGACAAGAGGAGGCGCTGCGCTTTCCCCAGCCCCCGTCCTCGTGTAGGTATCCATCGATGACCGGAGGTCGAGCAATGACAGCCCCGTTGTTTGCTTGTTGCCTTCTCGACATTACATGACGACATGGACAAACAGGCGCCCATACGTTGCAGTTCGCATTCATCTCAGCAGAAGATGAACAGGGTTTTGCATACAGATATAGCATGCAAAAAAGTGCGGACACCATGGGGCTAGCCAACTTTCCACACCTCCAAACCACCCTCGCCTCCAATCGCCGCAACTCCCTTCTTCCAGTCGATACTCAAGATCTTCTTCTGCCCATCCCACACTTTGAAGCTCGACATCGCCGCCTTCGTACTCCGCAAATCCCACAGCCGCGCAACACCGTCGTACGCGCCGGTCATCGCTTGATGTCCTTCTGCGCCAGCGACTACACACGAAGGGGTCGCGGGGTGCGGGAGCGTAGACACTGTCGCTGCGACCGCGCCCGTGTCCCTCGTGTCGTATACAGCGACCGTGCGATCGGTCGAGGCGGCGAGGACAGTGGTGCCGTCAGTTGACAAGGTCAGGTCGAGGAAGGGCTTCTCGGCAGCATTCTGTGAGTTCGGTCAACTTCTGAACGTACGCGAAGACTAGGAGAAAGACGTACAATGGTATGCGCGCAAACACCATTCTCCACATCCCACACCCTCACCGTCGAGTCGAACCCGCAGCTATACGCACGATTCGTGTAATCAGGCCCGAACACAACTCGCGAGACGCGCGCCGTGTGCGACTTCAACACCGACAACGGCGCCTTGCGCTTCGCCTTCCTCTCCTCCCCGTCTCCGCCCACCTTCCGGCGCTTTTTCCTATCAGGACCCGCCGCGACCTCCGGCACCTCATCCGAGGGCGGTATGCTCGTGTCCCAAAGACCGATGAGGCCATCCCACGACGAGGTGAGCAGATGCGAGCCAGCGGTGTTGGACGCGATGGACGAAAGGGGTTGTGTGTGGAGGTGGAGGGTGGCAAGAGGGGTTGTCGTCTTGTTCGCGAAGGACACGCGGGATAACTGCGCAGTCAGATCGTGCGACGAGCTCGCGATGAGGTGGCTGGAATCGTCCTCGGCGTCCGCGGGCGAAGGAACCACGCAAACGGAGGTGATGGGCGCGCCGTGAAGGGGATGCTGGGTGACAAGGTTCTGCGAGTAGTCGAAAGCGCGGACGTGACCATCATACGAAGCGGTCAAGAAGTGTCTGTAGACCGATCAGAAGCAGTGAAGGGGAGGGATACGTCCGACGCACCCAGGAATCGCGCAGGACACCGATGAGACCCAGTCCTCATGCGGCATATCCGACATCTTCTGCGGCGGAAGTACCGACTCAATGTACTCCAACTCTAACGTTTCTTCCTACGGACGCAGCTCAGCATTCCCTTCTCCCGCATTCAGCAGCAACAACTCACCTCCCCCACTCCATGTTCCGCGCACCACTCGCCGATCGTCGTACGCAGCACCTCCCCCCTCACAATGAAGTCAAAGGGAACGGGCTTCGCTAGCGAAAGCGCCTTGTTCACAAGTTGCGAGAGCTGATACCGCCGCCATGACGCGGGGAGCATGAACTTTTGGGAGGGGAGCGGATACGGTGTCTGTGTCGTGAAGACGACCGGGTGCGACACCACACTTGACGATGCGGTAGCCATATTGTCGAATGTCCCGCGCCGAGCGCTAAGTCGAGGGGAAGGGGGAAATAGGTACGCGAGCGTCAAGCACAATGCTGATCCCAAAATTTTGATCGGGAGAGGTGTGATGATGTCACGTGTATGTGACGAGCGCGCCACACGATGCAATTAGCGCCCAAAAAGGTACAATAGACGCGTTTCTTCCGTTGTTCTCTCATGTATGCCTCTGCAAGTCTACTCTGGATGGTATCGAGCCAGAAAAGTATGAAGGAACTTTGCAGAGGGGCTACACCGCGACCTACGACACTCAGAACCTATCGACTCAACGTGGATCTTTCCCGAAACAGCCCTCAGTACGCCGCAACTTCCTCTTCCCCGCTGAAGGCTTGATTGGATAGGCCGAAGGCCCTCGTACATACGGCCTTGACACACAGACGAAGACGTATCCAAACAAGGTCCGAGTCATCCGAATGTGGGCGCCCCTCGTGCACCCTCGAGTAAAAGGAATTCACACCTCGTCGTTCCCATGCTTCCTTCTGACTCCTTCGCTCGGCTTCGTACCACCATCGCTGTCTCGCTCTACTGCAGCACTGCTCGCTCGACTGGATCAGCATGAACCGATCGACGACGCCATCGCGGCCAGCGATGCGCTGGAAGGACAGGGCGCGGCCCAAATTACACGAGAAATACGTAGCGAAGTACGAGCAACTGAGGGCCGAATCGAAGAGAGCACACGATGAGCTTCACTGTCATCCCTCGGAGCGAGCCTCGAGGAGATCGCAGATACTGCGGGACTTTGAAGAGCAGAAGCAGCGTCTGAAGGACCAGGAGGATGCCGAATGGGCGAAGATGGTCGAGGATCGCGTGAAGTGGCGCGTCATGGAGATCGACACGAGAAGGCAAGCGGCGGAGATCGAAAGTAGACAGCGCGCGGGGGAGATACAGGCCCCGATGGCGAAGCGGATGCTAGCAATGGCGGACGTGATGGGCAATGATGATCCGGTCGTGCAAGATTACCTCGCATCGCTGGAGCGCCGATGGCTGGACAAGCTACCGAAGCAGACTGAGTTGGGTACAAGTGCCGAGATGAAGGTTGATGGAATCGGCTTACCTGAATTGGCCGCCCTTCGTAACGCCCTGAGGAAGAAAGACCGCGACTCCAAAGGTGCGTGAACATACAATGGAGTCATGTTGCACGCTGAATATCGAGCAGAGGAAGAGGATCCGTTGGGAGACGCCATCAGGCGATACCAATTTGATTGCGAGTACGAGTCCTCCTTGCCCAAGGTATCAGAGCAGGCCTGGCCTCTTGATAATTGCCCCCCGTACTTGCTTTATACATCAAATGCGATCCAGCGCCCGACCCCCCATGGCACGAATTTCGCTGGCACAAATATGCCTGCTGAGGCGACAGGACGATCGCCCAGTCACGCCCATGGAGAGGACCTCTTGACTGAATTCTTGTCTGCACCCATAGACCCGCCACTACGCCGCACGATGGAAGCGAGGGCGCAGGCGAAGCCCCACGCACGGCACGGCGGCGACCCAGCGCACCGATCGAGAGCGCAGTCTACGCCATCGATCCCCGCGACGGGGCAGCACGAGACGTCCACGCACGCTCAAGGCAGTCACCGGAATCGCGCCGACCAGCCGACATCCGTCCCTTCTCGCCAGCCAGACAGAAGTCCAGCCAAGGTACTCTCACCGGCTGTCGAGAGGGAACGAGGCGCAAAGGGGCAGCAGGGCAGATACACGATCCGGAATCCCGACCCGTCGCAGGACGACAATGCCTCGCGTTCTCGCGCGCGAAGTCAGACGCAGACCAGGCCACACCGACAGCCGGCCGACACTCTTTTCCGTGCGTCGACCGAGAGGGATGCCGCTCCTCCGCCACCCCCGAAGGACCGTCACAATCCCTCGCGTCCCCTCGGCGACCAGACGCGAGATTCCTCTCGTCGTGCACGAGGCTCGACGGCGCCCCAGGTACCTCTGGCAGATACAGAGGCTTCCGTTGATCGTCTTCGTGGGTCCCGCGCCCGACGAACGGTGCCCATCACATCGGCAGGAGCTCGTGCGAGGAGCCCACCCCCTCGTTACAGCGACGTTGCATCTGGCACGTCGCCACACCACGAGCCCCGCGTGGTCGACGGCGTGTCTCGCTCTTCGATGCCTTCGAGTTCGGGTGCACGCACCGTGAGGGAGAATGAGGCAGAGAGAGACAGGTTGGAAAGGGTGCTGGAGGATCTGGCGGATGAAGAATACCACCTCCCGAACACCAAGCGCAGGATCCCGACAGAGCTCGACGACGAATTCGATGTGAAGGGTCAAGTGTGGAGGTTGAAGGGCAAGTCGCTGCTCGTCATACCGTATCGTGCTGGTGCTGACCGAACTTCCCATAGTTTACGAGGCCAGGCGTGCTCGGGATGATGTGGTAGACTGCGAAAGGGGATATCGACCAAAGGAGGATATGCTTGCGGCAAGGGCGGCGTTGAAGAAGGCGACGGACGAAGAAGACCAGCTGCGGCACGACTTCGTAGAGATATTGGACCGATGGGAAGAGGCGCGGAGAAGGGTAACGAGCAGGCTGTTGCAGCGATCGAGAAGATGATGCGGTGTAGACTGTATGTCGCCATTGGACGCGCTTTGATAAGCAATATGCCTGTATTGACGCAATAAACGAACAAATCATAGTACCGCCCCAGATGGGCGCCATTCTTCCTCCGCTTCGCGTACATTATGTCTGAATGAGTCAGCAAGACCGCAAGAACGGGGGCCACGTTGCGTAACCTACCTATCCTGTTGGTGCTCCCGCAATGACTGCGCGGAAAACCATCTCAACGAGCGTTTCTCACAAAACCCGCACCGGTACTCTGCCTTCCCCGTCGTAGGATTGATTCGCTCTTGCCGGAGTTCGGTGGGATGACTGAGGGGTGTCAGCGACGTTGTTGCGCTTTTACGAACCTATTTCTTGTTGCTCACCTATTGGCTATGTGGTAGTCCAAACGACATCTCGACACCCATTCGCCGCAATGGGCACATTTTGTGTCCTTGGAATCCCGTCCAACCAGACCCGCATCACTGAGGATGGATGGCGTGATGCGGCCGAACTCGCGCGAGCATGCAAGCAGGATGCGTTGTATCTCGCTATTACCGAAGGCTTCTGCGAAGGGTATGCTACGATTGGACGCAAATTTGCGGAGTCTGTCTTCCATCAGCCAGCAGACAGTGATAGGAGATGAGGAGATGTACAAGGCCTTGTTTCTTTTCAACGTCTGCTTGTACGCGTGGTCCATCTTCCCACGCCATAAGTCGATGTAGTCGTCCATCTGTATTGCGTGGTAAAGTAGATGCGGCACCTAGGGAAAAGGGAGATGTACCAGCATAAGAGCTCGGGCTCTATGACGGCGGGAATGGTATTCCTTAAATTGAAGTAAGAACCTCGCACCGTCTGCATAATGCGTATGCCTTACTGCAAAGAGAGCTACTTGGCCACGTTTGCGCTCTTCTGCCGTTGATGGAGCAATGACCCGTCGCCGGTATTCCCTTCTCGCCTTCTTCAAATCACTACGCAATACGGCGAGCTTCTTCGGAGCCTTCGACCATGCCTTTGTCATGACCAGATTTGTAAGAGAGGGTACGATATATCGATCCATCGGGAAGGTCGGGCTGGGGAGATTGCCTTTCTTGGGTATCAGATACACGACCTTGGTACTGGAAATCAAATCAAGGTTAGTGTGTCTTCCAAAAAGAGCACGTATAGCGCACCGGAACATTTCCACGCGGCAGCGTCGCTGTTCGCCAGTCAAACAATGACATGAACAGTTGAGTAAAGGACAGACCGAGCATATGTAGATCATGTGGGTGATCCATGTTGGAGGGCCTTCCGCTCGCCCTTTACATATCTGTAGACAAATGAGAGACTTTCCGAGCATCCCATCGACTCTGCTTACAAAGCATTTTCCTGGCAAGAACAACAGCTCCGTGTATGTTGCGCTGCCAAACGTTCCTCGACTTGGCCATGGATTGGTTATGCCAAAGCGTTCGCCCAAGGCCCGATATTTATCAGGATCGTGAGTAAATCGCATAAGTCTGCGAGGATCGGGAGGTCGATAGGGAAGCAGAAGAGGCGCGCGAGCGAGAAGAACACCATCGTGACGCTGGACGATGTCGCGAAACAATTGGCAAGTGTTGCGGACGGCGAAAAGCGTGAGCGGAAGGCAGTGGGAGAAGACCTCATGCCAAAGTTCGACGGAGAGGATATCACGATACGCAGGCGGCGCTCTGAGTGGGTCCGCCACGAATGTGTGCCGTGGACGTTTGAACTTTGGGCGAGACGACATTATCGAAGGCCAGGAGGGTGGAAGTCAAGCAAGGACGTATCCGTGTGGTGGTTTAAGGCAAGATTTTGGGAGAGGACAGAGCAGCGGGCGCATCAAAGAGTCAACAGGGGTCCGAACTCCGTGCTTCCATTCAAGACCGGAAAAGAGAACAAAAGGAAACCGGTCCGAGAATCGGCCCGCTGCTGCACGTGCTCAGTGGGCGATCCTTAAAAGGACTGCGTACTTCCGTCAGGCTCCAAAAACTCCCTTTCCCTCCCTTCGCGAGGAGGGCTCGCCAGTCGCCAACATGCCCATGTGGGCTCCGGGGTGTACAGAGCGCAAGCTCCGTGCAGGCTACCGGGGTCACGCTCCTATGGGATGACGGCTGGGTGACCAACTCGCGGCGCAGTGAGACGTCGTTGCGTCGGGGGAGAGGCGGTGGAAATCGAGCACGCGCGAAAGCGCAGAGCTGCCACGGTGGGGCTATAGGGACCGGTACTGCATCTGACTTCGTGTCGCAGCGATGCCCCCTGGCACTCGCCTACGTGGACACGGGCGCTCCGTCTTGGGTTCTTTGGCCTCGAGCCAATGCTTCTGGCGGACACAGCCGGGTTTCATACACCGCTGGGTCGTGTTTGCTTCGTCGGAGGGCCGACTCCCTCTGGGGGGCGAATGCGGAATTTTTGGAACCTTCTTCCAGGGCTTCTACCTTGGCCCCCGACATTGGTTGATTACTGTATACAGCATACGTAGTATGGACATAGGTTGTTGTAACACACTCGAGTAGAATATATGTTGACAGTGACACGTTACTTGCTCACAAAGAAGAAAGAGTCGCAAATGGTAATGTAAACGCAGAGCAAGCGTATTCGCGAACGGCGGGGTGCTTTCGATGTCCGTTTCGCCTCGAACTTCGACTCGGAGTCGAACGACGTTATTGTTGTCTCTGTCGCTGAGAAAAAAGATAGTTACCATGCGACCATCCACGCTTCTCAGCGCTAGATTCAGCGAGGAATAAACCAGGGTAACAATAAGGGGTACGGCATGGATAGCGGCCGTGATCGAACTGAGGTCCTTATTGTTACCATTGTTCCACGGATGGTAATTTCCACCTGATCCGTCTTCAGAGCACGCGGTTGATCGGACTTTGCCGTGTCGGCGGAATCAAATTTGAATCCGCCGGTCTTGTTCAGGCCTTACTGGGCAATTGTGGTCTCTTCTTTTTTTTTTTTTTTTTTTTTTTGAACTCTGCATTTCTATACCGCAACAAGCCAACTACGAGCTAAGACGCGGTGCTCCGCCAGTAAGTACCTCCTCCATCCGGAGGCCCGGCAGGGCCCTTCGCATACCCGTGGTAATATAACTACGAATCCCGAGACTGCTGCTCGTACCGTTGTCCAACTCGATACAGTGGTTGAGTGTGATGGTGAAATATAATGTAAGGGCGCTGAGCGCGAGTGTCGTGTGTGAGGTCGACAGATAACAAGCAAGAAAGAAGGGCAACGGGGCGGGAATGGGGAAACTGGTACCTAAGCACGGGGTTGGGCTGCCGGGTCTCACTCATCCATCCTCTCCGTCCTCGTCGTCCTCTTGCACGTCTGGTTCTTGCTCCCATGTCGGGAGTGATGGAGGTGCGCGTGGTGCACCGCTTCTGGTGAATGCGCCGGTCTTCGCCACGAATTCCGTGAGGGCCTCGATCCCTTTCTTGGTCCCTAGTAAGACGGGAAGGGAAAAACCGGGGGATGCCTCCCGGAGCAGGTGGCGATGCGTCCCGTATATCGGGCACTCCGCCAGGATATGTTTGCGTGTCTGTAAGAGCTCCCCACATGGGCAGTTACTGTCGACATCATGAAGGAAGTCATTGTAGAACTCGCCCGTGTATCCGTGCCCGGTTCGAGTCTGAACGACCCGACCAAACACCTCGCGTGGCGTGTCTCGGAAGCGTTTCGTAGGATTGAGGGACGGCGGGATTCGGTTGGCCGCCGCAAAGTGGCCGCCGTGGCGCTTCTTCTCCCATTCGCTCTTCCACTCGCGTGCAGCCCGCCCTTTCGCACGGCGTAGCGCATTCGCCCGAGACCCTGGGAGTGTACTCCCGAGCTCGACAGCCGCTTTAGCTAGCTCGTCGGCTTCGTCGTTTCCCTGGACGTCCTGGTGGCCGGGGACCCATGCGATCGTGAGTGTCCTCCGAGGGTCGCCGTCTAGAAAGTTGCAGGCCTGGCGGTGGAACTCGACGCAGTGCATCTGGCCGCTCTTGGGCAGGGGGTCGAAGATGGCACTGATCGCAGAGGTGTTGTCAGCGAACAGATGGATGTGCTTGATGTCGGCATGGGCGTCGGCGACTCGTATCGCGTCCTGTAAGCCCCACCGTAAGCCAACTATCTCTGCGTCGTACACCTCTGCATGGGAGCCGAGGCCTATCTTCCGCGTGAACACGCGCGTCCCGCCGTTGGCTCCACCGCGAAAGCCCACCGCGCCCGCACCGACACGACGAACTCTATGCAGTGGTCTCATCGACCCGTCCGTGTATACGAGCAGCGCCTCCGGTGATCTTAGAAGCTTTCGGGCTTCGGCTTTGTGAGCCTTCGCCGCCGTCTTCTTGTCTCGGTCGTCCTCCGGCGCTTTGGCTGCAATGGCGAGGCGCCCTCCGAATTCAGGTGGTGTACGTCGCCACGGAGGGGTTATGTATGGTTGGACGCGCTCCTCGCGTACGCTCGTCCACTTCGCCAGGTCGTGTAGTTTCGTCGTCTTCGCCAGAACCTTCTTATTGCGTGAGTCTGGGTGTTTCGGCAAGGGAGGGGGAGCAACGTAGCCGTTTGGGTCGCGCCACCCTGCGGGTAGGCGTTGGATGAGAGGGTGGCGCTGGTCGAGCTTGTTCAGTCGGATTCCAGCCCGTCTCGTCTCGTAGTCGAGCGCGATCCGAATAGGCGGGATTGATGCTTCTATCTCAAGAGCCTGAATAGGCGTGGTCCTGAACGCCGCGCAAATGAGCCGCAGCGCCCGTCGTTGGACCTTCTCGAGAGCCTTGACGTGGCATTGTTTCCCTGTCCACCATACTGCAGCTCCGTAAAACATGATGGGCATGACACATGCCTTGTATAGTTGTCTCATGTGCATCTGGTGCAGTCCACGCACAGTGTTGGCGAGCATGTTTAGCCCTTGAACAGTGTTCTCGGCGCGGGCCGCCAACGTTTGGACGTGTCTGTTGAAGAGCAGTTTGCGGTCAAAGAAGATACCGAGCCATCGCACCGTTGAGCTCGGGGCCACAGTGTTGTAGGTGCCGTCCCCATTCGAGAGGCGGACTGACGGAGACTGCTCGTCCGACTTTCGTCGGGTATAGTGCATGAGCTCTCTCTTGTCCCGGTCCACGTCCAGCCCCGCTCGGCGTAGCCAGTCCCGAGTTATGTCGTATGCTCGCACGAGGATGCGCGTGTTGACGAGCAATGACGGGGACGAGACGTATAGCTTCCCGTCGTCCACGTACATGAACGCCCCGAGGGGCGCAGCCTCGGCCTCTCCATGGTCAAACCTATGCAGGGTCTCGAGCAGGTCGGCGGCGTAATAGGCGGCTAGTATTGGTGAGAGTGGGGAGCCTTGGGGGATGCCATTGAGCACCGGTTCCATAGCGCTCCGTTTGCCATCGAGGCAGACAGCGGCCTCGCGGTCTTCAAGAAAGCTGGCGATGAATCGGACGATCTCGAGGGGCACGCGTCGGGCCTTGAGCTCGCTCAGAAGCCGGTCGTGGTTGACGAAGTCGAAGTACCCCTTGATGTCGAAGGTCAAGGCGGACGTGACCCATCCGTGGTTCCATGCCGAGTGGACATCATTGACAAACGCCAGTACGGCGTCCGTCGCCGATGCGTTCGACACTCCCCCGAACTGGGTTGCGGGGACCAGGCCGTGTTTCCCGGCGAGGAAGGATAATCGTCTTGCCACTATCCGCTCGAGCACCTTCCCCATGCACTCGAGAAGGGTGATGAGGCGGTACGACCGGGGTTTCGAGTAGTCGTCCTTGCGGGGTTTTCTGAGCGCGACCGCCACCGCTTTCCGCCACTGCTTGGGGTGGTAGCCACCTCTCAAACATCGTCTGTAAAGGGTGATTAAGTACTGGTCGATGACATCCCATGACCAACGCAGGATTTTGTACGAGACTTGCGAGCTCCCTGGGGCAGAATTCCCGCTCTGGGAGAACAATGCTTCATGGATCTCCGTCTCGGTAACCTCGACATATGGGATCTCGTCCTCGAGTCGGGTCTCGAGGTCGGGGTTGAAGGCTTCGTCTAGGGGTGGCGGTGGCTGGTATAGCTCCTCACGGAGGGCGTTGCACTTGTCCTGATGCGAGACCGCCGGCTCGCGTCCGCCTGACCGAACAATGGCGGGGGATGGGTACTGGCGAACTCCTTGGGACCACTTGCGGAAGCCCCATATATCCTCCGTCTGAGCTTGTTCGACCTGTTCATTAGCCCACTGTCCCTTAGATGCGCGCGCAAGTTTGTGAAGGAAGTTTTCGGACTTCTTCACTAGTCGCGCGAGGGCTCGGTCCCCCCGCCTGTGCGCAGCGCGATGAGCTCTCTGCCGCGCTTGTTGGTCGTGTAGGCGATCTGCTGCCGCGTCCAGAGCTAGCCCCCACCATGGCTTCGCCGATGGGGATGGGTTTCGCACCTTCGCGACCTTCCGCAGGGTCGCCTGAATAGCGCTGGTGAGCGCGGTTGCGGCGTCTTCCAGTTCGTCCGTCGGCACCTCGTTGTCGAGGTCCATTATCTTGTCAATGGCTACCCTGTGTCGACCGACCTCCTCCCGAAGCGCGTCGCGGAAGTCGTCCGGCTTGACCTCCTTCACGTTAAATTGCTCTCCTGTGAGGTTGTCGATGGGCGTCGCTCCGTAGTCCAGGGTGAAGGTTATGCCGATGTGGTCGGAGCTGTACTGGTATCGCGGGGCCAGAGCCCACTCCTTTGCTGCATCTAGCTGTTGCGCCGGGCCGTTCACGAACGTGAGGTCGAGCACGGACGGCGCAGCACTAGTGCGACGCGGGAAGTGGGTCGGGGCGCCCTTCTTGTTCAGAAGCGCGAACCCCTTGTCCGTCATCCAGTCCACCAGCTCGTCCGCCCCCGGGGACGTCCGTGAGGGCTCGGTTGACCAGAGGGGGTGGTCGAGGTTGAAGTCGCCTAGCACGATGACCGGGTGGTCCGTTGGTAAGGTGATACTCTGCAGTAGGTGGGATGCCTGTTGCGTGGCCGGTAGTCGTCGGTCATTGTACAAGTGCACCAGAGTGGTAATGTCGTCCCCTTGCGTGACATCCAAGACCATGATGTCACGGTGTGAGGCGATGTCGGAGCGCAGGGTTACCTGAATGTCAGCTCTGGGGTGGTAGTATGCTAACACATGCGGCGGAGGGTCCCTCGGGCCAATGGTTGCCAGCGGTAGGATGTTCGTCCAGGTCCCGCAGCTCACTGGTCCGCGTATCTCTTCGCCGTCACGGGCCCCAATGCGCCCCCACTGCGGTTCCTGTACAAGAATTAGCTCGAGGTCGTGGGTATGTTTATTCAAAAGAGTGTGGATTAGGTCCCCCTTCTTAAAGCAGTTCAATTGAAGGACGCGGATGGGTTTCGTCTCTTCTGCTCTCCGGTGGTCGTCCCTATTCATAGAGCGCGGCCGGGGATGGGGGTAGCGTCATTGTTGGGGGTGGTGGTCTCAGCCTGTAGGGCATCGAACCGATTGCGGTGGGGGGGAGGGTCCTTCGTGGTGTTGCCCGCCGATGACGCGCCTTCCCCTTTCCCGCTCGTCTGGTCGTTCGCTGCCTTCTTCGCTTTCCCCTTCTTCCGCTTCGTGACCTCCGTGAAGCCGTCAGAGCGTGTCGCAGCCTTGTGTGGCGCGCGTCGTTCGCGTTCGTGCGCTCGTGCGTTGCCATACAGCTCCAGACGTTTCGGACAGCGCCTGTCGTCCGATGGATGGTCTTGGCCACACGCACGGCACTTCACGTTGTGCGTGCACTCGCCGGCCATTTCGTCCCCTTGACAGGTCGGGCATGCCGCCGCGTGAGACGTGGTGGGGTGGTCCGCGCTACACAGGCGGCACTTGGTGCTCGTCTTGCACGTCCGGGTGGTATGACCGAAGCCCCAACAGTTCGTACACTGAACCACTGGCGGCTTATCTGCGAAGCGCTCCACGCGGCATGCCCGCCCGTACACCCACAGCGCCTTCATCTCTAAAAGGGTCTCGTACTCCTCCTTGCTTGTGACTGCAAAGACAATCGTGGACCGCAGGGTGCCGATGTCCTGTTGTCGACGTAGCCATCGCGGGTCCTCGGCAAGCGACCCCAGCGTCTTGAAGATGGGGTTCGAGAACTCGAGCTCCGCCTTGAGCTCCCCGGAGGTGTGTAGACTTGGGTTGGCATCAAAGAGTCCCGTGCGAACGTCATGTATCATCAGTCGAAGCCACTTCGCTGTGAGGCGGGGGATGACTTCCATCCCCTGGCCTACGAGCGCGGCGAACTTCGGGACGTGCTGGATGAGGTCGCTCGCGCGCTGGTCCTGGCGTGTCACGACGATGCAGTTTCCTTGCGGGTTCCACTTCGTGCCGGCAACCTGGACCTTCTCCGGGTCGACGACGTCGCGCAGGATGCCGTTGATGCTATCGCGCAGCGTCAGCTCGTCCATTCGTTTTTCTTTGGGTAGGCCACCCGGACGGATCTCGAGGGCGAGGCGGCTGGGGTGGTTCGCCTCCATCGTGTTGTTGGAGGGGGCTTTGGGTGCCGCAGCCGCTTTGTGCGCCTTCGACTGGGTCGAGGGTGACGTCGACGCGTTGGCGGTGGGTTGTGAGGGTGTGGGGGGCAGTGGTTTGTTCTTGATATCGTCTAGGGCTCGCTCGAGTCGCTCGAGCCGAGCCTCGTTCTTTCGCGCTTGCGCGTGTGCCTCCTGCTTGGTCTCCCGCGCTAACCTGATGACCGTCTCGAAGCCGTTGTTGATCACCTGGGTTTGAGCGCCCAGCGTCCTGTAGACCGACAGCCACGGCGAGCAGACGTTCGCGACTTGTGCGACGGCGGTATAGAGGCTGTCTGGGACCTCGGGGAGCGGCCTTCCCTGCTCGCTGGCGCTCGCCTGCGCGCCTGCCACCATGTTGAGGGCCTGAAGGACTTCGTCCGACGTCAGCGCCTGGGCGAGCGATTGATAGCTCTCCGCAACCGCATCTGCGCTGTACTCGTACTCGTCGTCGTCGTATAGTGAGTCATTGGGGATTTGGGTTTGCATGGTCTCTACCGAGGGTGCTGGTGCCCGCTCCCTGGCCGCGCTCCAGTAGCTCGACCCGAGGCCTGGGAATAGCTCTGGGCGGTCCGTGTTTGATCTCTGCACTGGTGTGGTAGGCCTCTGTACCGAAGTAGCAGGCCTTCGTACGGGAGTGGTTGGCTGAAGGACGCTCGTGTCCTCTCTCTGTCCCTGTGGCTCGTTGGACGAGCGCTTGCGGGTCAGCTTCTTGGGTGACGCGTTCAGCATGTCTGCCGTGCGGGAATACACGTTCCTAATGGACGTTCTGAACTTCGACGACTTCCGGGATGGTGTCGACGGGGTACTCCTGGCGTCCTCCTCCATTGGGAGCTCTTTCGAGCTGCCTCTGGGGCTTGTCCGTTGACGCGGGGTCTCCATTTTGTGCCTACTCGACGCTGTCTCGCCTCCGGGAACCGTGGGAATCCGAAGGTGATGGCAGTTGAAGATCAAGAAGGGCTTGTGGTCTCTTCTGTTCCGTGCATTTCCATCAAAGATGCGCGCAGGAGAACAATTAGCATCCTTCTTTGGGCGTAGCATCGCTCCCCCTTAAGAAGTGAGTGTTAGTCCGCCTAAGTTCACCGCACATGTCTTCCTTCAATCCTCCCGCGAAGCGTTCTCGTTCCACGTCAGTTGGCTTGACGTCTGTCGAGATCCAGCGTCTCTTCCTCGACCGTTTTCCCGACGAGCTCCTGGAACAAATCCTTCTCGAGTGCTCTGCAGGCGATTTGCAGGGACTACGCGTCACTTCTCGCAAGCTGCGCACATTCATCGACTCTAAGCGTCTTTTGGATCAGGCAATCAAGCGCGCTGGTTTACCTTCATGCTCCGAAGTCGTTGAACGCCTTGGAGACTGGCCCAACATGCTAAAGATGATGCTATACCTACCGCGCAGCCTCCTACATGATTCCGTCAACCAGAGCGACAGCGAGTCGTATAAGCTCATGGTAGCCGGAGGGCTCTGCACAGTACGTTATCGACTCTGCCTTTTGCAGTTTAGAGCGCTCATCATCGCTGCATAGGTATGCGGCAAGTACGCTGGAGGTCCACCCTATTCGAGTAACCTTCGGGTGCGACTCTGTGGAGAGGTCAGTTCGGGCGCGTCTCATTATCATTGGCTCGTGACTGACCTTCGCCATCAGTCCAATTGCATGTCACGCATCAGCTCGTGAGTAATCTTTACCTGTCCATCGCTGCCGTCGCTCATAACGGTGCCTTGCAGGAATGAGTACACCCACTTCGAACATTTTGACGATACACACAACTATCAGCAATCGTTCATTGTTGCGTATGCTCAAGTCCCGTACATGAACAGCCTCGGGAACATCAATTACTCGGCTGTTTATCCCGGCGATCCGCAGTGCGAATCGAATGGCTGTAGGTACTTGCGAGCAGAGTATGAGCAGCGCAACATGGCCATTGCGCTTGCGGTTCTTTGTCCAGAACCCGAGCTCCCTCCTTGGCAGGTCTGTACTTCTCACCCGGCATGCGCAGCCTCTTTTAACTTTCAACAGTGTCCACAAGAGCTCGCACTAAGACGGCACGAGGCACTGGAACCGGTGAGCAGTTCTTCGCATCAACGTCGCATTTAGCAACCCGACATATCACCGTAGATTCATTACGCTTTCTGTGCGTGGAGGCATAGAGCTACGGTGGAGGGCCGTGACATATACAACAAGAACCTTGACGTGTAGGTTTAGGCTCGCACGACCGATAGAAAACCCGCGCTGACAAGAATTCACAGCCTGAAGGATTATGCTAGGGATCACAAGCGCTCTATGGACGATGTGCTCATGGATCCTTTGATCCAACGCGTCCTCTTTGCGCACGCGCGAGACCAGGCCTACGCCTATCCGTCGACATTTACGCATCTGAGGGACGGCAAAGGACCGCCAAACCAGAAGACATCTGGCAATGTTGTTCAGACATCCGTCGGGGGTGGCGATGGCATTGGCGAGGAACGTACTGGCGACCCTGAGCGCGCCGAGGGGCCGTCGGCGGCGAAGCCTGCCACCATCGATCATTCCCCTTCGCTCGCCCGGTCACAGCCGATTGCGGCTCGTCGCTCAACCTCTTCGCGCTCACGGCCTATCCAGAAGAAGTCGAAGAAAAGGCATGACCCGTGAGTACCACCCGACGCTTCTGTACATACCGGGCTCATCACATATTCTTCAGCGCAGCGCGCAAGAGACTGACTCAGGCACTGAGGCTAGACTGCATGGAATAAGTGAGTCTCGCAGGTGCACGTCACCCTTCGCGACAGGAGCGCGTACTAGTAGCGATCACGTAGATTCGTCGCAATACCCGCAGAGTAGCACAATTTACTCTCGTATGTTCAGAAATATGATAGTCATGCATATCTGATGTGGAACCGCCACGAAGACGTCGAGGTCGATTCGGTGCTAAGGTCCAACAATTGGGCATCGAGATCAATCGAACGAAGGTGATCAAGCGAGAGAACCTGCATGACCGGAGATGAGCCGGAAAAGGGAACAAAAGGAGCCGGGCCGCATCTCGGTCCGTCCTACCACGAGTTCCCCGTGCTTATATAGCCCGCCGCTCCATCAGTGTTCTCAAAATCCCTTTTCCTTCCTTCGCGAGGGGGGCTCGTCAAGCGCCGACATGCCCATCTGGGCACAGGGGTGTACAGAGCGCAAGCTCTGTGCAGACTACCTGTGCCACGCTCCTATGGGATGACGCTTGAGAGACCAGCTTGCGGCGTGGCGACTTGTCGCTGCGTCGGGGGAGAGGCGGTGGAAATCAAGCTCGCGCGCAAGCGCTGAGCCGTCCACGGTGGGGCTATAGGGACCGGTACTGTGTTTGACTTCGTGTCGCAGCGATGCCCCCTGGCACTCGCCTACGTGGATGCGGGCGGTCCCATTTGGTTCTTTGGCCCCCGAGTCAATGCTTCTGGTGGATACAGCCGGGTTTCATACACCGCTGGGTCGTGTTTGCTTCGCCGGAGGGCCGATCCTCTTCGAGAAGTAGATGCGGAATTTTTGGAATCTTCCTCATTGCAGCATGAGCTGTACGACGATTACTGTAGCAGAAAGTATTCGCGGACTTGCTTGTATTCCCCCAAAGCCTGGTTAGAATAACATAGCCTACATTAGAATCGTAGCCAGTTTAGGACGCAGACGACACGCTACGGTCTGCGCTACGGCCGTTCACGATCGAGCGTTGTTGTTCCCATTGTTCCCAAAAAGGCAATTCGCCCTCGATCCGTGTCGAAAGCGCGCGCGCATGGTCCTTCCCAGGGGCTACGTCTGGCTCACCCATGCACCTTCCGCATCGTCGACCGTAGCTCTCCGGAGTCGCTCGTGTCGTAACTCCGGCAGCTTCTTCGCCGTCGCCGCAGCGATAGATGCTAACGACGCATGCTGCTCGCTCAGAACCACATCCCGCACCTACGCAGACCTGCTACGCGCCTTCACAGCTGAAAGCCGAGCAGATTACACGCCGGATGAGGCTTTCCTCCGTTCGTTGTATGAAAGTGGCGTCAGAGGAATGCTCCTTTTCGTGCAAAGCGAGACGATTTTCGAGCTCCGCGCATGAGCACGACGAGATATGTTCGGGAAGGTCAACTGGATCGAGCTCACGAGCCGTGAGGGGGCATGCGCGAGATGGAGAGCATCTATAAGTACGTCGAGGCTTGTCAATATGTTGGCCCGACGCATGAGCCCGCACGTCCGACGGTGAAGATACGCGGTCGTCGAGGGTCAAGCAGGCAATACAATGGCAAAGTTCTATTGAGGTCGCCATCGAAATCTAGGCAGAGATGAAGAAGAGGCAGTCGACTCGTCCGGCCGCGAATGGTCCTCTCGCATTGGGTGCGTGGCATGCATATTTCCCCCGCGTATTTTCCCCAGCTTTGGAAGCGCCGTCAGCCGATTCGCCCTCAGGGCGTCCTTGCGCGCACGATTCAGCCCAGACAATCGTGGAGAATTCAGGAATGTGCCCCCAGTGAGGTGTGTGGTGATATCGACGTCGCTGAATCATCCACAGAGCGTTCGCCGACTTCGCCATAGGCTCCATCGTCCTGCACTTCGGTCGAGGAAGTAACGCAGGCGTAGTATAAGGTCCGTCCTCATCTTGAGGAGGCTAGGGGGCCCCGATGACCAGAAAGGGCTTGCAGGAAAGAATCACGGCGGAGAAGTACGAACGAGGTGGCAGGACCAATGGGATATCTTGTCGTCGGACTGAGGCGCGCTAGAAAGTCGTCGACGAGTCATATAGAGCAGAATTATGCTAGTCGTATACCCCTCTCGTATATCAGGCACGAACGGGACTGAACCAAGAACCGGAATTCGAGCAGAGTGACGGTCGAGGACAAGAGGGATATTCCCTTACGTAACACAGTCCGAATCCGTCAACGCTCATCGCGTGGCGTCCGCGCCTCGCCTCGCATCACCTTGTCTTCCGCCATGACATCCAGAAACTACCCTGGGCCCTCCAGCCCTCCCAGCGGCCCTTACCAGGGCGCGCCCCCCAAGTGCGTCTGCTCACTTATCGTCCATCGTCGCACACTGACTCGCCATCCACTTCTTCCTCCAATTCCAACAATCTCATCTCCCATGCTTTACCGTAACGCCATCCGCCAGATACATCAACGACTTTAGCAAGGCGCTCGCGAACGAGGTCCGCATCCTCCTCGCCGAGGTTGGCAAGCTGCGCGATGAGCGCCGCGCGCTGCAGTAGTGCGTCCCCTCCCCTCGCCTGCTTCCGCGGAAGTGAGATCGACGGAATCTATTTCAATGCAGCGAGATCGCGGAGCTCATGAGCGTCAAGTCGAAGTTCGGCGGCTCGAACGACTTCTCGCCGGATTGGCGGCCGTCGGTGCGTGGTGTCTACGTTCGCTGCTATCCTTAAGACTCACGGTCAATGCAGTCAGCCGAGCCGTTGCCCCCACCTCCCGCTCCGCCCGCTGTCGAAGATGCGCCGCCGCCAGGTCCTGCTCGACCAGCATGGCGCACGGTGCACAAGCGCAAGGAGAAGGTCAAGCAGATCACCGCAGCCCCGTCGAGTCCCGCTCCCGCCCCGCCGTTGGAAGCCCCGAAGCCGGGCATCCCTGCATGGTCACAGTGGCGTCGTGCGTATCTTCATGCTATCTTCTTTGAAGTTCGATCAGCTCATGCTCTATCCAGCCAACCCTTTGTATAACCCCGAACCTGCCCAGTCTCCCTTCCCCGTGTCCCCTCCTGGTCGTGCTGGGTTGTTCGGTGCGTAACGTATGCCGCTTTCATAGGCGCATTGCTGATTTCCGGCCAGGACCTCCATCGCCCCCACCGAAGTAAACAACTGATTCCTTCTTCCGCTTCTGTGCTCGATCTTCCCTCGACACATTCTTGGCTTCCGCTTGTTCGACTTCTGCACCTTGTCCTTCCTTCTTGCCGATCTCTATCGCCTCAATGTATCGTGTACTTATTCTTGTTTTCTCGTCCATCTGGCTACATCCAAGTGTATCGCTCCATTATCTCCTATACATCTGATGCCTCCTGCACTGTTCAATGAGTTGTCGAAAGGCGATACTTATGCTCGTCTGTCGGCTCGCGGCGCCGAGATGGCCACTATTTCGTACACTCGCGCAAGACTCGGTAGCTAAGTGGTTATAGCGTGGGATTGCAGATCCTAAGGTCCCGTGTTCAAATCACGGTCGGGTCTTTCATTTTTGCTCGCCATCCCTTCCGAGCCTTCGTTATTCGTACCCCTCACTCGGTAATTCTTAGCGGTAGGAAAGGCAGCTCGTATACCCTTTTGTCGTACAGAAGGCAAGGAGCGAGGGATATGACCTCAGCACAACGTCTTTGCGTGAACTTCAAGTGTCAGTCGCCGCGGTTTTCCTCAAACTTGAATTCACCTCAGCTTGTAAGCCGCGAGCGCAAGGTGCGGCACAGGATCGCTCAGTGTGGCAGCCTTCCCATCGGCCCAATGGTCTAGTAGTATGATACGTGCTTTGGGAGTTCACAGAACAATCATTGCACGGGGTCCCGGGTTCAATTCCCGGTTGGGCCCTTTTTGCTGCCCTCGCGTATTCCCTGCTCCTCCTCGACCAATTCAGCGATCTTCATTCGCTCGGAGAGCACTTGACGCGGCCGGTTCCCCGCACGGAGGCGAGATCTGGCGGGTGTGGGTCCACCATTCCCTAGGCTCGTGAACCAGCTCGGCTGCGACCATATGGTACACCTCGTGCCTCGGTATGGCCGCAGGCCGGCTGGGCTCATCCGGGATCATTTTGGCGGGCCCGCCAAAAGATGCGTCTGACTTAGTGAAATCAGACGCTGGTTAGCTGCGTCTTGCCGACAAGATGCTTCCTCGTACATACTGAATGCACGTCCTGCCTTCTATTCCACAATACACTATGAGATACATCTACTCTCGAACAGAATTCCTGGCTTTAGTATATGTGTGCGCAAGTGAGAGAAGTACAAACGAGAATTTGACGCGTCGCCGCGCATGCCAACGTCCTACCGGCGATTGAGCAGGTAAGCTTCACGCGCAATCGCGCAACCACACACGACCCGAGCAAGTCGAGCAATTGTTGACCTCCCATCCGCACTGATATGCACGATCCCAGGTGCGAGGACGCGACCTACCCAGCAGATGACATTGCGGTCGAGATTGGCGCAAGGAGCTGCCAGCCTCATCTGACCTGGGTCCAGTGCGATGTTCAGCGGTGGCGTGAACTCTTGGTAGATCCCATATGGCGACTGCGCTGGTGGTAGGGTGAGGCTCGACGAGACCTGCGCGGGGCGCCTGGGAGGGATGATTGTAGAAGCTGTTGATGTTGCGATAGAATTGCGATAGTCCTGGGCTCGAGGAGTGTGAAGCAGAACCGATGGGTCCGCGGGCTGCCAGCGCTCGCGAGCATGACCGTGTGTAGAACGTTCGCTGAAGGTGGTATATGACGCCGCGGAGTACGGCCTGCCTTGCGCAGGTGTAAGGGAATGGCTCGGTTCAATGGATTGTGTCCCGATAGGTCGCACTGGAGGGTGTCGCTGGCGTGAAGCTATGGGTGACGCGGGCGATCCGGACGGAGGGTGCAGAGAGTGGTCATGACGCGAAGGGCAGGGATAGGAGGGTTGTTCAGGCGCTCCGTGCGCGTACGACGGGCTGTATTGTTGTGAGTTCATCGGAGGTGGCTCGTGATGGCGACGTTGCTGGAGAGAAGACGGGGAAGGGGCAATACGGGGGGAGGCATTCACTTCAGGATGCCGAGGCCGAGCGTATGACTGCAGAGGGGGATTCGTAGCTGTCAGGGGCCACTGCGGTGTCGGAGGCTGTGGATGAAGGCTGGTAGAGGTCGAAGTCGCTGTAGCTCCGCGCTCTCGAGCGTCGATGTGCTGTCCCGCCTAAGCCAATCATTAGTTGGCTGTCGAGGAATGATGCGCGTGTACGCACCAGCGCGCTTAGCGAGGGCGACGCCCGACCAGTTAAGGCGTGCAAGTGCTGTATATCTGACCGAACTCTCTTGCCGCGTTGCGAGGAAGGACGGCGCTGCTCGTCTACCAAGCCCGCATCGGTAGCTGATCGCTTGCCACGCGATGTAGGCACTGGAGCCAAAGGGACCTTGTGAGCCACAGAGTTGAGTGGATTGAAAGATGAGGAGGGGCGAGGGACATCGGCGGAGATCGTCGCGGGAGGGCTGGGTGGAGTGTCGAACGCAAGAGGGAAGGTAGATCGAGGGAAGCGATCGAGCATCTCTTGGCCGTACTGATCGTAATAAAGCCAGTCGAGCTTGAGGAGCCTCTCGATGACTGTCCTCTTGAGGGGCTGCTGGATGCGCGCGATCTTGTCTATCAGAGTGGTAGGGAGAACCATCTCGGGCGTCATTCCGGACCAGCTGAAGTCGCGATCGAAGACTTCCTCTCGCCAATCGTCCATCACTGCGTACAGGCTTGCATCCCGCGTCTTCGCCATCGTAAGTCTAGGCGCCGCAGCCGCGCGCGAATTCTTGCCAGGCCGAGTACGATCGAGGAGAGATGGCGCGCATATATCGCAGCACTCGACGCCGGGAGAGACTGCCATCCGATGAGCGACGTTTCCGCGCAGCAAATATTGAGAGCTTACCTGTCTTGACGCTGTCAAACATCCCTACGATAACCTCTCGGCGACAAGTCCTGCTCTGCACAACATGGTACAGTCCCTCGGCGTCGTCGTCGTGCCTCGGGATGCATTGCTCGACATCGCCGGGTGGGAAGTCATCCTTCTTCCCCGAGCGCGCACCCCGCTGGCGTCCACGCAGATTCGCGTACTCCTTGCCCTTGACAACCTTCCTGCGCGGCTTCTTTCGACGTCGACGCTTCCCGCCCTTCCCGCCCTTCTCTGTCTTCTCCGTCGTTGCCACTTCCGCGTCTAAGCCGGCGAGAAGATCTACATTATATGCGGAAGGCTCTACGAGAAGTACAGCCAGTCCGCGTATATCAGGATCTCGAGCTGCTCGCCCCGCACGTTGTACGAAGTTAGAGAGCTTTCCGGGCAGCTTCCACTGGACCACGACTTCGATATCGGGTATATTGCATCCCTACGCATTGTTGGTGAGTATCAGACTCGAATATGAAGCGATCTTGGATACTCACCATGCCTGCAGCATCGGTGCAGACAAGCACTCGTACGTTGCCCTGCTTAAACAGCTGCATCGCCTCGTCTCGGTAGTCGGGAGAGAGTATAGCATTATAAGGTCGGATGACGCCGCGAAGGTGCTCCGGGAGGAGGGTACACAGATGGTCAATAATCTCCCCGCCTGCGTTGATGTCGTCGACATAGATCCACGTCTTCGGGATGTTTTCGGGGCGGGTCGTCGAGGGTGGGATGACGAAATCGAGGTCGCTGTAGGTATTCATGGGGTTGTGTATAGGGCGCACGACAATGGAGACGTTGCCCCTGTCGTTTCCGGCGTTGAGGAAGAACTTGGGGTGAGTGCGGCCCTGCATCTGCAGTACTTCAATGACATCGCGCTTGACTCGCCGTGTCAATGAAGCGGACAGGGCAATGACGGGGGTACTCCGTGGGAGGAACGCTCGCGCAGTTCCTATCTGGCCGTATTTCTTGCGGAAATCGGCCCCCCAGTGAGAGATGCAATGAGCTTCGTCTACGACGATCGAAAGGATATTTGCAGCGAACTTGCGATGGCGCAGGACACGGTCAATAAATGGGCGCGAGAGCAGCATCTCGGGAGACAGCAACACGATACGATATTTGCCGTTGATGATTTCCTGCATTGTATTAGCCAGAAAACGAGCTTTGAGGCCGACCACACACCTGCAGAGTCTGCCAGGACGTCTCGTGCGCGCTGTTGACCGCTATGGCGTCCATTTTGTACTCGTCCCGGAAGGTGTTCACCTAAAGACCCTTGGGGTCAGTACGAGCGACGTCGCCGATGCAAACACAATGCTCACCATCTCGTTTTGCAGTCCAATGAGGGGAGAGATCATTAAGGTCGTTTTATTCGCATTTTGCGGTAGAGTATAGGGGCCTGCAGCGACGGCGGTCTTGCCCATGCCTGTAGCAGCTTGGCAGACCGTGTCACGGCCTTCTAACTGCGCCTGGACCAAGTCGAGCTGGAAATCTCGAGGTTCCTTGCCGTCGAGCAGGCCGCGCAGGAGGTCGCGCAGCTGAGCTACAGCCTCTGGGCTCATCTCCTCGCAAATATTCGTATGGCTGGGGTTTTTGGAAGCGGCGTGGCGGCCGGGCTGCGTTCGAAGGCTTTTCAGCAATGTACGTCGACGTGGTGCTGTCTTCATGGTGGGCGAACGTGAGGGGCTATGCCGATCTGGAAATTTGGAGTTACTTAGAAATGCTTCCGCCGCCGTTTCGTCCACTGCACTCACCTACCTGACTGCCTGGCGGATACCCTGCAGCCTATGAAACGCCTCAGTGACCTCGCTCACAGTTGATTGTGGTCCTCAAATCAAAGAGATGGCGCTCAGTTCAGTTTTGGGCTCGCCATTGACCGAGTTGCCATCGAGCGAGGCACCCAATGCCCGGGAAATCGACTCCTCACCACTGAGGTCTTCTCCTCCGGGCTTGAATGATGTCTTCGTACAGAATGACACCGAGGAGGACGATATATTTGCTGCTATGCTATACGGGAGTGACACTTCGTCAAGTACCCCTTCATCTCGTAAGTCATCGCGCACATTCTATACGAGATTGTCACTCACTTGGACCGAAGCCACACCTGCTGGACCTAGGCCTGAATCGCATCGCCTCACGCCTCTGGTCCTACAGAACAACGAAGGAGAAGCGCACTCCCCCCCTCACACCCCTGCTCATCTCGTCGGTCAAACACTCCTTTATGCGGATGGAAGCGACCCAGGCGTACTTGCCGGCTCCTCTATTCCGCGCGGACCTCAAGATCGTCAGCGTAGAGGACACAAAAAAAGACACCATACGTTCGCGCGGAAGAAGGAAGTCAGAGAGGAGAGTACACGGCGTGCACACGAGGCAGAGGCGCGTGCGAAGGAAGCTGCGTTCGAAGCTGCGCTCGACATTGTTGAAGAGAGTGGCGCCTCGTTTGGTGAACTGCTGCTGTACGTGCTCGACCCCAAAGGGAACACGACGCGTGGATGGCGGTGGCACAACCTGTTCAAGCATCGGTCGACGGTCCATCAAGCGCTTGAATGGATGGCGCTTACCAAAAAGAACTCACCTACGGCGCGCTCGACGGCGGTAGACGGCATGCTGAATGTCATCCAACGTTTGCTTGGAGACGAAGCGAGGGCAATCACGAAGAGCGGCTCTCTGCGGCCACCCTCAAAGGTTGATCAGGACTTTGTACTTGGCTACAAGTTTGCAGACTTACCAAAACGGATTCAAGAGCGCTGCCCACTCATCCTTAGGATCCTTACGAGCATCACAACAACGGCTCGTCAAGTAAAGGATTGCACACCTGCGAAGCTTGCGCACAAGCGATTCGTAAGTTGCATGCAGAAGGTACTGCACCACTGACTGACACACCCTCAGGTCACTGCAGCATACGCAACTCTCTTGCTGGGCGAGCACAGCCGTGCGAACTCGTACTTCCGGCACGTCTTCGGCCTCTATCTCTTCGCCTCGGGCGCAACTCGTCAGCTCATCACGGTTCTCAATCATCTGGGTGTTAGCGTCAGCTATGTCACTCTGGCAGGTCGCGGTGGCAAGTCTCTCGCATGGGATGATATAGCATCACCAGAGGGAGAGACCGATCAACCTGGTACCGGGACAGCATCTGCCACCACCGATGGCTCACCTACTATGGACTCCGACGATGAAGAACCTGCCGAGCCCGGTCAAGTTCATGCGCGTGGCGACCAGGAGGCAGATCCGACGAACTCGGCGCCTGCGGTAGTGGCTGTGAAGCGCAAGACATGCCACGCCAGGTTGGGAACCTTGGAGAAGCTTTCGTTGTCGATGCGCGAGCTCACGAGGGAGCTTGTAGCTGCCCATGCCTTCTTGGTAGCCTACGACAACATTAACATGAGCTGGAAGGTTGCTGAGCAGATCATCGGACGTACAGGTATGTTTTCCTCATTGATTAAAACAGCACCCCACTCAAGGCAAGTTCAGATTCTGTAGAAAGCGGGACGTGCGCGACCGTCGTGCCACTACATGGTGGTGAGAAGCCATCAGACATGAGGACGGAAGACCTGGATCGCGCGTTCGACAAGGCCTTGCCGCTCTCCATCGATGACATACGACTCACCGAAGAGGAGGTGCGGCAGCTTGACAACTTCCTGGTGCATACCGTCTTGCGCCTTGCTGTACGCTACGGTGGTCCTGGTATGGAGAAATTCCGTCAGCGCGTTCTAGACACACAGCCGCTCTCATCTCACATCATTCCCATCCATACTTCCGAGGTCCATCCCTTGCCGACCTATCCCATCGACGAGTCTTCGAAGAAGGGGAACGCAGACTTCATCAATGCAGCAATGACCGAGCTCAAGTACAATGAACGCGCAGATGTCGCGTGCTTGGTGGCAGGCGATCAATTATCCATGGCTCGTCTTCGAGAAGTCGCCGCTGCCCGTGCCGGTCATGAAGGGGGACCTAATGCCCTACGCTGGCCGGTCTTTGTTCCTGGGTTCTTCCATTACCAGATGGCGGCGGTAAATGCACTTATATATGCGCACCTGGGATCGGTCAACCACGACGTCTCGAACCCCGCCTCGCTTCAAGCTCACAACACACTGCTGCGACGCAAGCCAATTGTGGCGACCTCCCTTCCTCCCTATCACGTTCTCAAAGGCCTGGCATTCGACTCGCTTGGTGCTCGCATCCTCGACTGCCTCCTGCGCGTATCGGGGAAGGCCTCGCTCGACGCGCTCTGTGATGGCCTTACCTGGCAGGACTTGAAGGAGCTCGCTCGCCAGGTCATTCGGCAGTTCACAGACACACGTGCTGTTGACAAGCTCCGTCGCGCACGATTGAAGTATGGGAAAGACCACGGCGACATGGTCTATGAGAACGCGATCCTCTTCATTCGAGATGCGCTTCTCCTGCGAGAATTCAACGATGCAATCAAGGCTGGAGACTCGGGGCGCATCATCCTCGTTCTTAAGAAGTGGGCCTTCAGTTTCCGCGCTCAAGGGCGCTCACGGTACGCCACAGAGGTGTTGTACCTCATCCACAACCTAACACACGTCTGGCCACCGGCGATTCGGTACGCATGAAATCTCCTCCCTCCGTTTTCCGAGTCTTACAGGTACACATAGTAATGCAGTACTCGATAATTGGCTCGTCAACCCCAGTGGCAAGCCGAACGCGAATCACCCAGTGGATCTATTACAGGAACATAATAACTTGCTGATCAAGGTATCGTAGTTCTTGTCTTCGACCCTCGCCAGATCTAGCTAAACCATCACGCAGGCTTTCTATCAAGCGCACGGCAGTAACGCGTCTTGGGAATGGACTGGCGCCGTTAGCCCGTGCGTAACGATTTTGCGCCAACTCAACAACGATGTCAATCGGACACTGGGCGCTCGTCAAGGGAAAAAGCACGCGATCCCCGACTTGACGGAGGACATCAACGAGCTGATGAGAAGTCTTGCCCACCATCAAGTTCATGAGGTGCAGCTCGGACGAATGCTAGACGAGGACGATGCGATGGGTGCTGTACCAGATGCTGTGGCAATCGGGCATACCCAGCTCACGCACGGCGCCACATCCCCTCTGAAGAAGTACAACGAAGCTTTCTTGGCTCTTCAAAAGCGTCGACGTGTCCCGCCCCTGGTGCCGCGCCAGCAATCGGCGCTTTCGCCGCCTCAGGCAGCCTTCGGTCAGCCCAATGCTGGCACTCCTGGTCAGTCGTCTCTTCACGCTTCTCAACTAGGAAGGTGACAGATCCTTTCTTTGCAGGCCGTGCCGGAATTTTGGGAAGCATGCAGCTCGATGGGACCACACCAACGGTCTTGATTCCGCTTAGGGAGGCCTTAGATGATCCAGAGCCGGAAGCGGAGGCGGAGGATGCGGAGGGAAAGGAGGACAGCGAGGCAGAAGAGCAAGATGGCGTCGAGGGGGAGGAGGAGATGGAGGCTGAGTTCACCTTAGAGGAGTTGGGGGACTTGCTCGAGGAGGGTGACGATCTGGAAGCGGAAGTAGGACAGGCGGACGACTCGGACCCCGAAGACTATGACACTGAGGGGTCTTATGGAGCTCGGGATTCAGCCAGTGAGAGTGATGTAGATGGCGACATATAGTATCTTCCGTATCTCAGCCATGTTCATTGTCGAGCGCGCGACGTGAGGCTGAAGAGGCCGAATGGGCAGCACGGAAAATGCCGACGCTTCTCTTCCTCGACCACCATCACGACTCTTCGAGCCGGACTGGTCAATACTCCCATCCCAAGCACTCTAGCCATCTCGTCTCCCCAAATGACGCCCAGGCTACGCAAACGCCTGTGAAGGCGATGGAGACGGGGTTATCTGCCTGTCGCCGCTATCAAGCAAGTCGACATCATCTGTCTTCCCTGATATCAGGCGCCCTGCCGTTCTTGAGCCCCTTCACTACGTCGGGAGCTGGCTCAGCCTGACTACATTCAATGCTACCCATGATCGAGCAGGCGCCCCCGGGAGACACCCTCCCCATCACACGATCTCTTCCTCGCGCCGAAGCGCGCAACCCCTCCGCCCCCACGGCTCGTCGGACATCACCATCGAAGCCTCAAATCTAGGTCACATTCATTGAGCTTTGGGAGCAAGGGATACTACTCAAGGTGTGTTGCGCTACCCAACCCTCAAAATTTCAATCATTGAGGGTCTGGCAGGTTGCCGTGCGTATACGACAGCGCCCTGTACGGACAGCCAATCCTTTCTAGCACATATCTGTCTACATCCAGCTCTTCATCCTGCACGCATCTGCAGGTGTTCGAGGTACGCCTCACCCTTCCCCTCTAACATAATCCCCCCCGCTGACTTTCCCCCTCTCAGTGCACACACACGTCCACTCGCGTCGCCTCGACGCACCGCTCAAAGTACACACGAGGCCGCTCTCATGTCCCGCTCGTCTCAATGGTCTCCCTGGGCCAGGTGGACAACGCCCACCGTGGCGACCGTCACCGCTATCTCCCAAGCCCTCTCCGACACCCGCAACACGTTTGTCATCGATCGGGCAGGTGCTGGTCTGATCCTCCGACAGCGGCTTCAGCGCGGACGTTAATCAGAGCACCATCAAGGACTGCCGCCCTCGCCAATCATGAAGCAGACAAGTTCGAATTGCCGCGCCGATCCTTCTTCGCGCAGGATTCCTTGCCTCGGTTGCAATTGCTGCCGCTCCCTTTGCGCTCGCGCGTGAGGAGCACGTTCTCCTCCTTCGTCGGTAAGCGGCACCTCAGACGGCGCGGATCCCGTCGTCTCCGTGACACACGAGTACTCGCCCACTACCCTGTGCACGCGAGCAACTACTAAAGCACCCTTCGCAGATCGCTATTACGCACACATCACGAACCTTTCGCCCACACCGTTGCTGCTGCTGAGGTCAGAGGACGGAGATGTGAGCAGCTGTCCTTCACGACGAGTGACGCGCTGTCCGCGAGTGACGCGCACAGCGGCGACGTGTGCACGCCGACCATGATCGAGTTGCCGCGGGAATCCACGGACATCTCCAGTGCCTTCGTCGCTCTGTCGCGCAAGTCCGCGCTCGCGCATCGGACGCCCTTTCTGCCGCCCGTGCAGCATCACGCTGTTCCCTTTTCTCACGAATGGGCCTCCGTCGTCATCATTCGCGACCCCGCCAAGCGCGCGCATGCCGCTGCAATGAGCAGCAGCCCCAGCATGACTGCGAGGCCGAGGAAGCCCTTCAACACGAAGACGAGCGCCAGCGTCGCCCCTAGGCAGAACGCGAAGTCGAGCGGCGCCGCGAGCAAGAGCAAGACACTGCGCGCAAGGCCTTCCTCGAGCTCGAGATCGAGCATGCAACATCCGAGCGGCAGCAGCGCAAACATCGGGCACGGGAAGCAGGAGAGCACAGCGCGCGAGATCTCGGGTCGCAAGCGGCTCGGCCGGCTAAGGCGGCAGGAGGAGCACCGACGGCTCAAGCAGTAGCGCGCGGACGAGCCGCGGGTGGCGAAGAGGCGGGAGGAGTAGACGAGGAAGAGGTGGAGGTGAAGGCCTGCTCGCTCGCTGATGCTCTCGTACACTCCTCCATTCTGGCTGACTACCTCTTAACGTTAATACAGGACAATCATCCAGTCTCCCTCATCCCCACAAACAACTCCTAGTAAGACCCTGCTCAGATCTTTGGGTCCATTGATTCAAAAAGTCGTGTATGTTGCCATTTTCTGCTTTTTCTGCCTCAATATTTTCATTTACTGGATTCCCTACATCTACTGGAGTGAAATACCACGATTTTCCGGCCACAGTCTGAAGTCACAACGGATGAGGAAGATTCACGTCGACGGAGCGTGGCGGGCCAGCGTTGAATCTCACTAAGTCAAACGCATCTTTTGGCGGGCCCGCCAAAACCCTCCCGGAGTAGCCCAGTCCGCTCGCAAGCTCGCGGATCACATTGGCAATTCCTCGCGAACCGCCATGTGATCCGTGAGCTGCGAGCTGGACTGGCCACGCGAGTCTAGGCCGGAATAGGCCAGTACGAGAGTCTGTATCGACGGAGCCGGAGGAAGCAAGGAGGAAGTGGTGCACGAGGGAGAACCTCTAACGCAACCGCAGTGCGAATCGACCGGGTTCGACGTTGGTGCCGCATATTATCGCGAATGAAGGCGTCGAACGCTCGAGTGGGTGGCCGCAGAGAATGATTAGAGGCACTGTAAGATCTGGGGTCCGAGCGGGACAATGTCGCGTTGCCGTACTCGAGAGTTCTGCGCAGACCAGACAAGAGGCTGGAAGACGATGGACTCGTCTCGACGTAAAGGCCCGAGGACTTATAGAGGCCATCGATTAATTCCCTAAGCGGGCAGACCATGACGTTGAGGCATGGGCGCGTGGAAGGAGAGATGAAGCGCACCCCACGGGGAACTAGATGGTGGACCGGGTGGTGGTGGTCAAGAGAAGACAGAAAAATCCGCACCGTGACGACGGGCGCGTTCGAGAGTAAATGGTGCTCCGAATATTGTTTTCATGTGTGCGAGTTCACCGTGTGCTGCTGCGGTGTAGGATCGGGAGAAGTACTCCAAGCCTCGTTGGGGGGTCATGGATGGAGGAACATGGACGCAAGGATGGGCACGCTAAGCCCATTATCGACACGTCAAACCAGCCGCGATGGGCTGAGATTAACCTACGCATCACGATCGAAGCCGGGCAGTAATCTTGAAAGGCGCGTATTTGCTGTGTATTGGCGTCGCAGGGGGGTCAGCAGCAGCCCAGAGCAGAAAGAGGGTCGTTCTGTGCGCCACGGAGAGAACATGGCGCTGGGAGGGGATCATGAACGCAGTGTTCGGCGTACGAAGGCAATCTCTTATCCATCATCATCATTGGCGAGCGCCGGCGGTAGAGGGAGCGGCAGGCAGCAGGCCTCATGGGTGGCGGACACGGTGCTTGCATTGCACGGTGTCAGGCGTCAGGTTTCTGCATGGACCTACCACTAGACCGATATTGAGCCTACCTCATCAGGGCCGCCGCGCTGTACGGCACGAAATCCGAGATCACCATCGGTGGTATGGTGAGGGCCATGGACGCAGCGTTGATAGCACGGTGAATTGGGCAGATGACTGCTACATGAGTCCCGGCTGTACCCCGGCAGGCCGAGGCGACACCGCCAGGCGCAGTCGCTGACTCGGTATATTATTCCCCGCCACCACAGAATTAATTCTCTGTCCTCGGGCAGAGGGTTGCGCGCGCCACACAAGTCGACCAAGGACAGCCGACTCGTGGCGGGCTCCGAAGCCGGTGGAAAGTGATAAGGAACACGAAACACGTGCGCAAACACAGCCGCTTCTTTCCCCATCCGGAAATGTGAGAAATTTGCGGCCGGTTTGGTTCCGCGCGTTCGCGCCGAAAAATTATAAAAGCGTCTTGCCTCCTGCCACCATCGTCTATTCCTCCCGTGCCTGTGACAGCCTCTTGAGCTCGCTGTCTGCAACGATGACGGAATACGACTTCTCGCAGGAGGGCTACGAGCGCCATATGCGCAAGATGCACCGCGTCTACAACTGGACTTGCGACAACGCCCGCATCCCACAGAAAAATCCCTTCGCGCCCCCAACTCCCGCCACCGGGTTGATGGACCTCCCCTACGACGCTGCCGGCAAGACGAAGAGTAGGCAGAGGAGCGCATCCATGCACGACACGCGCGCGCGCACTGTCATCCCCCCCAAGCGCTCCTCGACAACGCCCACCAATCCCTACGGCAGCAAGCACTCCAACTCGTCCTATACACTTGTGCAGCCCGTAGTCACCCCGCCCGTTGCGGCCGGCTACCCTGCCCCTCCTCCGCCCCAGATCATCTACTACAACCCTGGGCAACCGCAGGCGCAACCTCGGCGACACCACCGCGCCAACTCGTACGCGGCCCCTCCCCCACCTCAAGTCTACGGCTATCAGGCCCCCGTGACAACCCACGTCTACCCTTACCCCACGACGGCCCCACGGAAGAGTACGAGCAGCGCCCAGCGCCCTCCGATTGTGGTGCGTAAGCTTGCCCGTCGATGCAGTGCAGACCCTGACCGTCGTCAATGACAGGTTCCGCCGGCTGTGCCACAATACACGATGCCGACGTCCCCGAAACAGCAGCCGCTGATCAAGCGCCTCTTCGGCTTCGGTCGGAAGAACAGCGTGCGGAGCTCGAGCAGGGAGCCGTCGCGCGACGAGCGCCGCGGAAGCAAGGAGTACGCGCGCGCCTCTTACGATGACACAAAGAGCCGGGACTCGTCGCGGAGCAAGGAGCACTACTACGACGAGAAGCACCACAGGGAGCGGGAGAGCCGCCATCGCTCCTCATCTCAGCACCCGCGCCCGTCGACCCATCACCATCACCGGTCATCTCGTCACCGCGAGCGCCGGCTCAGCTACTAGACACCTCGCCGCCCGCGATATACCACCCGACCACCCCGGAACAATCACCCGCACATCACCCCTGCTACACGCCGCAACTCGTGCCACGTCGCCGCCTCCCCACGAGTTCCCATCACCGGCGGCATTCATTTCTCTCTCGCCTAGTCCGTCCCATCTCCCGCCCTCATCTTCCCTTTCCTATTGTCATTATAATGCTTATTTACATCCTGCATTTTGCGGATCTCCCTCCGCGCCCGTTGTACTCTACTCTAATACCCTTCGCCTTTCACCCATCCTCGCATCTGCACGCTGGATATCCCCCATTTTCCCCTTCTGTACTTTTAGCAACTCGCACTTCCCCCTACCTAGACGTTCTCAGGCTCGATTCGACTGCTTGCTTTGCTGTTGACCAGGGTCTGATTGCTTTCGTGCAACCTTTCTCGTCTCGCCTATCTTCCTCTCGTCCCGCCTATCTTCTCTCGTCTAGCCCATCTCCTTTCCTCGCCTTCCGACTCGTCTCGCCCTTCCGATTTTCCCACCCACGCTCTAATTATCCCCCACGTATTTATTCTTACTTAGTAAGCATCGCTTTCTCGTCTATACCTTAACGAACTCTTACACGAATTTACGCTACGTGACACCTACATACCTACTACCCTCCCCCCAAAAAATGTCGCAGGCCTACTCGCGAGTATCCGCCGCCTCGTACTTGCGAGGCCGCAGACTCCGAGTCATACCCGTGTCGTCCCCACCTTGTTGGGGCGCAGGCCTGCGACTGCTACTACTACTACTTCTACGACCAGGGGAACCCTACTTCTACGAGCAGACGCTGTACTTACGATCGGATAGACCTTAATGATCATGACGCTTCACGAATACGGGGGTGGGCTTCACGAAGATGGGCTTGACCTACCCGAACTTGGTCTTGGGCTTCACGAATTTGGTCTTGACCTTCCCGAACTTGGTCCTGGCCTTCCTGAAGGTGGGCTTACTCCGAGTCCTACGCCCCCTCGCCTTCGCCCCAGTTCCAGGACATTCAGCCACTTCGCGAGGGTGCGTTCGATAGCCTTCGTTGTGTGCTGACGTCTCCGCCGCCAACAGACTGTACACTCGACACACGACATACGACGGGCGTGCGACGAGTCGTCGGCGTGCTCTATGAGGTGCGTCGTGCTCCGTGCGAGGCCGCTAGCAGCTAGCTGATCTTCGCAATAGCGCTTAGCGGCGAGAGGGCGGGGATATTTTGCATGGGGACCTGTTCGCGCCGTATGGAGGCCTGTTCGCGCCGTATGGAGGCCTGTTCTCGATGTATGGGGGGGTTGCTGCCAATGCATTCAAGGGCCTGTTCCCGCTGCATTCAAGGGCCTGCTCCCGCTGCATCTGCCGGAGCGCACGCTAAGCCTGTCGCTGCCGCTATATGGAAGACATGCCAAGTCTGCTACTGACCACTCCTGTATAGAGATGCAGCTATATCGGTCAGCTGGCGTGCGCATGCGCGAAGGGCCATTCAGAGACTTCATGAGGGCCACCCACGCATGCTGCGGTGTCGCCCTCTCATGCGTGCTGCGGCGTCGCCCTTTCATGCCTGCTGCGCTGACGCCCTCAGCGCGGTTTTCACTCGCTGGTGGCGGTTCCATTCGCTGGCTTCATCCCGCGAGCCATCCCCGACCGACCGGAGTGGACAGAGGAGCGATGGGCGCCAACGAGCAGTGCCTTTGTCGATGGGAGTTCATCTTTAGCGGTGGTGAGAGTTCATTTTTGACGGGGAGAGTTCATCTTTGACGGTGGTGAGAGTTCATCTTTGACGGGAAGAGTTCATTCTAGCATCCCGCGCCGACCGAATACAGGATCCGCTCCTTTGTTGGCGCGCAGTCATCGGGGTACCGGGAATTGGTCGCTGACTAGCGCGGCGACAATGAATGGGCGTCCAGAGTGAATGACCCATTGGCACCCACAGTGATTGTCCTAGGTGATTGTCCTAGGCTTTAAAGCTTCTACAAAAAGATTCCTTGGGTTCGGCGGACATGAAGGCGACAACATAGGCCATTGAGGGCCTGAGTCGGTACCGAGCAGATGCCGTAGGTAAGACTGAGGTGTGAGTGATAGGGCTATGTAGGCTCATAAGCTGGGTATTAGTGACTGCTGGGGTATGAGGGTGCTAATACATGGTGGAGCCGAGCATCATACGATGGCGTCGCGCAATACTAGGTCCTGGTATCAAACCCCAGTGCCTTTGTTCATCTCGGGCGCATAATGGCACCGGATCGCCCGGGCTTTGGAATGAAGGCACTTTCCCGCATGCGCTGTGGGGCTAGGGGTCGAAGCTACCACCCAGGCTTCCTAGTAAAGTGCTGGTAGTACTGTGAGATACGCCTGAGGAGGCAACCATACTGACCGCATGGGGGGACTATAGTACCAGCTAACACTGTAACAGCGATAAGGCTTGACCTCGAAGGAAAACTTACCGAAGTAAGCATTTTGGGACTTTGTACCAGTGCAAGGGCTAATTCGGGTCCGAGGATTAGATGTATTCCCTCCCCTATACTTAAGCCGCGAGAGCGACTTTCTGAACTGCTCCTTTCGATCGCGTCGAGAAGTAAAGTCGAACATTGCACGTGCACGCACGTGGAGACCGGATCAATGACGCATGATCGGGCAAGTCTCTTCCAGCGACCGGCAAACGCTCCGAGAGGTGCTCCAGGGCGAAACAGCGATGATGAGGGGGACGATGCCGCCTTGTCTGCGACGGCCATGGTCTCTCCAGCTCAGTCCATCGCGGAAACGCGCACAGTCAAGGGCGAAGAGGAGCAATGGACCGTCAAGGATACCCACCAGGAGAACATCTCCTTCTCCAATGTCCGGCCCGTCAACGTGAAGGTTCGCGGGCTGACGGTCGAAGTGGACGCGCCGAAGTCGATTATGCAGAAGCTTTCATTCAAGAAGAAGACCCCGAAGGACCCAGAACAAGGTTACTCGGATAGGAAGCGCATCCTCGACACGATCTCGGCGGACTTCCCCCAGGGGAGCTTGTCTGCGATATTGGGAAGCTCAGGGTCTGGCAAGGTGCGTTGTCCGCGCAATCTCCGCATATCTATCCTGACATATCGCAGACAACTTTACTGAACATCTTATCACGTCGAATGCGCAGCTCCAACTTGACTGTTGCGGGCTTGGTCGAATTCAACGGGTCGCCCAAACTATCGTCGATCTCCAATGCCTATGTCACGCAGATGGACCTACTTCTTCCTACCTTGACTGTACGAGAGACATTGCTATACGCGGCTGCTCTGCGATTACCTGCATCAACGAACGCGGAGAAGCGCAAGCAATTAGTCGAGGAGATAATCCTTGAACTGGGGTTGAAGGTGGGTGGCGCGTCCCGATCACTACGCATACATGGGCTCAAAGTCATACAGGAATGTGCCAACACCTACGTAGGTGATGGGGAATCTCACAAGGGCTGCTCCGGAGGCGAGCGTCGGCGCGTTAGCATTGGTGTCCAAATGCTCAGCAATCCGAGCGTGCTGTTCTGCGACGAACCGACCACAGGCCTCGACGCGACGTCCGCATACCAACTGGTGAAGACTCTCAAGTCCCTTTCGCAGAAGGGCCGCACCATCATTTGCACCATACATCAGCCGCGGCACGATATCTTTTTCCTCTTCGACCGAATCACGCTACTCAGTCAGGGCCATTCTCTATACTCGGGACCCACCGATGGCGCGCTGCCGTGGTTTGAGGGTCTCCTCCCAGGCAGCTTCCACAAACGGGTCAACCCAGCAGACTACCTGATTCAGGTCGCCGCCGTAGATTCTCGCACTCCCGAGGCTGAGTCCGAGACGCAGGGCCGCTTGAACATGCTCATCCAGGCGTGGAAGAAGGAGTCGCCCATACGCTTTGATGACTCTACCAGCAAGGAGGGGAGGGGTATACCTAATCCCCTTAGCGGCGACGACCGCGGCAAGATCGAGGCTGCCCCGCTCGCGCGCCAGATTGCCGTGCTCACCTCACGTACGTTGAAGACGACAATCCGGGACCCGATGGGTCTCGCTGCGGCATGGCTGGAAGCCATTCTCATGGCGCTCGTCTGCGGCCTCGTCTTCCTCCAGCTCGGGAAAGACCAGGCTGGCATTCGCTCTCGCGAAGCCGCGCTGTACATTTCGGCAGGCCTGCAAGGCTACCTCGTACTCCTCTACGAGACGTGGCGGCTGGCAGGCGTGGACATCGCCCTCTTCGACCGCGAACGGGGCGAAGGCGTCATTGGTGTCGTCGCGTGGATGTTGTCGAGACGGCTTGCGCGAGGGCTGCTAGAGGACGTCGCCGTGCCGTTTTTGTTCTCCGTCATCTTCTACTTCATGTGCGGATTCGACGCGGACGGGATGCAGTTCCTCAAGTTCTTTGCCGTCATCTTGTTAAACCAGCTCATTTCTGTCACCTTCGCTGTCGTGTGTGTCGGTGTCTCGCGCGATTTCTCGATCGCGACGCTGGTTGGGAATCTTTCGTGAGTCTACTTTTGACTGCGTGGTGCTCGCCCTGCTCATTTGTTCAGGTTCACCGTCCAGAGCTTCTCTTGCGGCTTCTTCATTCAGGCAAACTCTATTCCGGTGTATGTGCGATGGCTCAAGTGGATTGCATACATCGTGAGCTCGCAGTACCGATATCCACCTATCGTCGTTTCTGACACCATGTAGTACTATGCATTCGCCGCCCTCGCCGTCAACGAGTTCACCGACGAGTACTACGACTGCCCTACAGGCAATGCAGCGACCGACCCGAACTGTCTGCAGTATCGTGGCAACTTTATCCTGCAGAACCTGTCGTTCCATCGGAATTGGTACGCGGTCCCCGTGGTGTAAGTAACCCCGGCTGTGCTCAAAACACTGTGCTGACATTTGCTTCAGAGTCATGTTGGCTTTCGTCGTGGGCTTTGGCATCCTTGGCGGACTTCTGCTCAAGTTCTGGACGGTCGACATCCGTGTTGGTGGCGTACAGCAGCCCAAGGAGGCCTCTCGGAAAGACAAGTTGACGCACACGCGCTCTGAGCGGGACCGAACCCCGCCCATCGACGTCGACCTGCTCGACTTCTCCCTCGCCATCGAGAAGCCGCTCGCTCGCGGTGAGGAGGCCAAGCACAAGACCATCCTCCACGGCGTAACCACACGCTTCGAGGCCGGCGCGGTCAACGTGATCATGGGACCGAGCGGCTCGGGCAAGTCATCCCTGCTCAACACCATGGCTCTACGCGTTCACTCGAGCCCGCTCGTCCGCTATCGCGCGGGCGGGCGAATGCTTCTGAACGGCGTCGACCCAGGCGATTCGATCGTGCGCAGCTTGTGCTCGTATGTGACGCAGGACGACAACTCGTTGCTGCCGTACCTCACTGTGCGGGAGATGCTGCATTTTGCCGCCGGGCTAAGGCTACCAAAGGAGATGAGCAAGGAGCAAAAACGCCAGAAGGCGGAGGAGGTAAAGATAGAGAGTTATCCTTGGAAGCGGCGTCGCTGACACACGAGGACTGTAGGTCATATTGAAGCTCGGACTACGGGATTGTGCGGATACGCTGATTGGGAGCGAGTTCATCAAGGGGATTAGTGGCGGGGAGAAGCGGCGCGTTAGCATCGCCGTCCAAATTTTGACTGAACCCCGGATACTAATGTATGTTGCTTCTGGTTCTTCGCTGTGTGCTAAGTGCTAACTCGTGCTATCAGCGCCGACGAGCCTACCAGTGGACTGGACGCCTTCACGGCATCGTCCATCCTCGACGTCCTCAACACGCTCGCGCAGGAAGGCCGCACCGTCATCATCACTATCCACCAAAGCCGCTCCGAGCTCTTCAACCAGTTCGGCAACCTGCTCCTGCTCGCCAAGGGCGGGCACGTCGCCTACTCCGGCCCCGCCGCCGACATGATCGCCTACTTCACGAATCTCGGGCACCCCTACCCGCCCATGAGCAACCCCAGCGACTGGGCGCTCGACCTCATCTCCATCGACCTGCGCAGCGCGAAGGAGGAAGAGCTCAGCCGCGCGAAGGTGCAGAAGATCCTCGACGCGTACGATCCGAAGGCGCACTTCGACTTTGCGAAGCACCGCCAGGTCGCGCTGCCGGAGGAGCTGGGGCGCATGCGGAAGCGGATGGCGCCGTTTTATGTCGCGCTGCCGATTTTGTTGAGGAGGGGGGTGCTGAATTTTAGGAGACAGCCGAATCTAGGGGCGGCGAGGATTGGGCAGGTGATTGGACTGGGAGGGGCGCTTGCGTTGTTCTTTGCGCCGTTGGGGAGGGATTACTACGATGCGAGCATGAACATTGTTGGTGGCATCCGTGAGTTGCTTTGTGTTCGATTGGTGTCGGCGTCTTGCTGATGTCGATTTCAGAGGAGATCCTGCCCATATACTTCGTTGGCATGCTGCAGAACGTGGCAATGTACCCGAACGAACGAGACGTCTTCTATAAGGTGAGTTATGTCCGGCGCCGCCGATCCTCTGATTGCCGCTGACATCTTGCAGGAAAACGACGACCGGGCCTACTCCCTCGAGGCGTTCTTCGTCTCCTATACCATGCTCGAGGTGCCGTTCGAGATTGTTTCCGCCCTCCTGTTCTCCCTCCTCGGCTGCATCGCCATCAATCTCAAGCGCACCGTGCCCATGTACTTCATCGTTGCGCTCAACGCCTTCTGCATCGTCAGCTGCGGCGAGTCCATCGGCATCATCTTCAACACGCTCTTCCAAAGTACCGGTTTCGCGCTCAACGTCACGAGCACCATTCTATCGATCGGGACGTTCATGAGTGGTACAACTCTTTCCTTCCTTTCCTCCTTCCTTTCTCCCTTTCCCTCCCTCCTCCTCCCTCCCTTGTGCACCTTCTCATCCTATCCTCTCATACCCACTAACCACTCCCCCAGGCCTCCTCAGCGTTGACATGCCCGGCTTCCTCAAGGGCATCAACTACATCTCGCCCCTCAAATACGCCACCGAGAACCTCATGCCGTACACCCTACGCGGCATGACCTTCACCTGCGAGGACTTCCAGCGGCTGCCCGACGGCCGGTGCCCGCTGGAGACCGGCGAGCAGGTGCTGCAGCTGTTCAACATGGATATCGATCCCGCGCCGAGGCTGGGCGCGGTGGTGGCGACGACGGTGGTGTATCGGCTTGTGGCGTATCTGGTGTTGAGATTGGTGAGGACGGACGTTGGGGGGTTGTGGAGGCGGAGGAGGGAGTGAGGGGTGAGATGGGGGTAGGGTGGGCGGAAAAGGGAAGGGGGAAGTCATTTTGTTATCTTGTTTCTTGCATCTTGGACGGAAGGATTGTATCAATACAAGCGCGTAATCTTATACCTACTTTACCCCATCTTGCTATCGCGCCCGTAGATGTGTACAGGGTTCTGATGCACGACACTGGCCGTGTATTGCGACCGGTGCGAAAGTTTTCAGAAAGGATGTTACTTGTGTTCACCAATGCGCATTCGGTGTACAACATGCAAGAGTTACAAATACATAGGCGTGTGTTACAGTTCAGTCCGTGGTGCATCTACAGCCTCATGCGTGCTTGTTGGCTTCTTTGCGAGCCGCCTCTGCAGCCTCCGCAGCCTTGGCAGCAGCAGCCTTCTTGGCCTCCTCTGCCTTCGCTTGCGCGTCATCGGCCTTGCTGCTACCCCAGCTGAGCCAGCTGAACCAGCCCTTCTTCGCCTGCGCCTCCTTCTCCTCTGCCTCGCGCTTCGTCGCGTCCGTGCCCACATGCACAAAACTCTTCGCATCCTGCCACTGCTCCTTCGCCGCCGTCTTGTACTTATCGAGCTCCGCGCCCGCGGCGGCCTTCCCCCCCTCCCACTGGTTCTGCGCCTCCTTCTTGTACACGTCGAGCTCCGCGGCGGCCTGGTCGCGCGCGGAGGCGGCGCGCGCGGCGGCGGCGTCCTGCAATTCGGAGGCTTTAGCGCGCAGTCGCTGCTGGTCGGCCTCTGCTCTCGCCTTTGCGCGCTTCAGCTCGTCCTCGGGCTCCTGCGAGAAGTAGTAGTACCCGCCGCCGGCCGCGGCGAGGGCGAGGGCGGTGTAGAGGACGGCGTTGGAGGATTTCGGGGGCTGCTCGAGTGGGGGGACGTCCGCGTAAGTGCGACGAGACACGGTGGTTCTCGGCTAGGGGTGGCGACATCAGTGTCGCGTATGAGGGGAGAAGCGAATAGGGCGTACCAGAGTCGCTGCTGCGCGCATCTGTGCGCCCCTGCGGACGGCGTTGGAGACGGTGCGGGTGGCCATGGACATGGTGGTGAGAGTGAAGATGGGTGGTGATGAAGAGAGAAGCTGCGAGGAAGGTTCGGATGGATCTGACGAGCTGGCGCGTGCGCGACGTTTTATATACTGCAGGGAGCCGCGCGGATGACGCGTGTGATGTCATCCGCGCGTCCCACTGAACTCATTCACGAGGTCATCTACGGCAATCATCGCCAGTCGGCAGGGGGAGTACGAGAGAGTGAAGAAAAATGGGCCGCATCGGCTCGAGGAAGGACGAGGAAGGAGGAAAACATGAACTTGTGGGCGCTCATTTGTTGTGCCTTTTTCGTGTGATGGCACGTGGCAAGTTCAACATGAAGTCAGGTGACTTATTTCGCACGATACGGCGCGTGTTTCGTTCGGCGCTTGTTCAGTTCCTTCACCTGCCTAGCGCCCTGATGAGCTGCTTCATGATGTCCAGTTCAATCCTATGTCACTCCCTCGATCGCACTGCTCGGGGAACGCGGATGCGGCATGGCGGTGGATCGGCATCATCACCGTCAAGTTAGTGCCCTTTGGGGTGTGTACGGCGCTGCCATAACAAGCGCTCTCCGCGTTTCTCAATGCCCAAGACCGTAGCGCGCTCTGTTGGCCGCCTTGTTATGTGGCAGGGCGCACATCTGACCGTTTCAACCTCCGCTCCGTGCTTGAAGTAGCCTCTTCGCCAGCCACATACGGAGACCAGCACGCAGGTAGGCGATGCCCATCCCTTCCGGAGAATGCGGAGGTGCATTTAGCTATGGACAAGAGAAGTATAAGAGCAGGTAGAACGCCATTTTGTACCATCACTTCTCTCTTCAACTCCTCCCAACTCAACTTAGTAGCTTTGCAACAATGGGCGCCCCCGAGACCATGGTCGCATACCTCTACAAACCCGGCTTCGACGACCTCATCCGCGTTGACGACTACCCCGTCCAGAAGCCCGGCAAGGGAGAGGTCCTCTGCAAGGTCCTTGTCTGTGGTGGTACGTCTGCATCCCATCTCGCAGCTCCTGTGCATCCCATCTCGCCGCTTCTGTACATCTCATCTCGCCTCTCCTGTACACCGTGCTAACACTCGACTCTACTACCAAGTATGCCACTCTGACGTCGCCATCCTCAACGGATACACCGCAGACAGCCGGACCTACGTGCTGGGGCATGAAGTGTGTGCGACGCCGATTGTGTACGTCCCATTTCTTCTTTGTCCTCTACATAAACCCTGTTTATCTCTGACCGTCTCGGATCCTGCCTGTCGCTTCTGCATGCTAATACTCACCTCTACCACCAGCCTCGGCGAAAACGTCGACCCCAGCATCAAGATCGGTCACCGCTACGCCATCCAGCTCATCAACGGCTGCACGCACGCGCTGAAGCCCCACCAGGCCGCCGCGCTTCAGGGCGTCGGTCTGGGAGGCCCGGGCGGGTACGCGGACTACATTACTGTGCCGGATAACTTGTTGGTGCCGGTGGTGAGTTCTCTAGCCGCGTGGTGTTGGGATAGGATGCGGTTGGGATAAATCATACGACGCTGCTGGGAAACGGAAAAACACAGACAAAAGGAAGGGCTCTAAATGCTAACGACACTCCACAGCCAGACAACGTGCCCGACAAGGTCGCCGCCATCGCGGCGGACGCGGGGACGACGGCGTACAACGCTGTCGTGAACACGGGCCAGGTCAAGGCGGGCGACAGGGTGCTCATCATTGGCGTCGGCGGTCTGGGTCATTTGGCCGTGCAGTATGCGATTCTGCAGGGCGCGGAAGGTGCGGTGGATTTCTTGATTGTGTTTCTTGGACACCTGGGCGCCATCGCTGAGGATGCGCGTCTTTTCCTACGATGCACACACACACACCTCTATTTCATTGGAGTTCAGCGCATTCGCTCACAGCCGCACACATTCGCTCACACCCCTACACAGTCTACGTCTGCGACCTCAAGCCCGAAGCCCGGCGCCTCGGCCTCGAGCTCGGGGCCGTGAAGGCATTCTCGCTCGTCGAGCTGAGCGCGGCGGTCAGCGCGCCCGATCCGTTTACGGTGCATGCGGTGATCGACTTTGCGGTGTCAGCGCAGAGTGAGTATTTGGTCCTTTGAGTGTTTGGTCCTTTTTGCATCTTTACCCCTCCTTGCTTGGAATCAGTGCTGCTGCCCGAACTTTTGGTGCTGCTGCCCAACCTTTCTCCCCGCCGTGCTTCGTCATGAACGTCCGTGCGCTGACGCTGACTCCACCCAGCCTTCACTCTGGGCCTGAGCGCCCTCGTCGGCGAAGGAGACCACTACCCGACGGATCCGCGATATGTTTTGGTGAGTTCCGTGTTGAATCATACTGAACAACCTAGCTCTTGGCACCTTGCTAACCAAACGATTGCTAACCAAACGACAGGTCGGCGTCTCCGGCGACAACCTCGTCTTCACGTCGGGCGAGGCGCTGTTCAGTGCGATTCAGAGTGGGTTGAATACATCGCTCGATGGCAAAGAGAGCGACCGACTGACCATCCATACAGTCCGCGCCAATCTCTACGGCCCCCGTAGTGCGACCGAGGCTGCGCTGGAGCTGTTTGCCAACGTGAGTATCTCTGGCGCTCGTTTTGCTATATCTGGCTCTCGCTTTGCTCATCAGCTCATGAACGCGCACACAGGGCTCCGTGAAGGCGCGCGTCACCGCCGAGCCTATCGAGAACGTGAACAAGATCATTGACGAGCTGCGCGCGTACGAAGTCAGCGGGAGGAAGGTGTTGCAGATCAATGAGTTGGAGTATTGAACTGAACTCGGAGGGTGCGCTGGAGGGTTGACATGTAAGATTGTGGAATGCGCGGGTTGACGGCGATGGTGTATTACTGTAGTACGTATCTAAACTTATGGATATATGTATATGAGTGAACGAGAACACAAACCGAGCTTGTCAGGACTGGCCAACGGGCTTACAGACCTGAACTCGAAACATGTGCCGGACGCGGTTCACAAATTTCACGTGACCGTGACACTCGTAATTTGCTTCCGCGTCGCGCGTCATGTCGACTCAGATGCTCCTTGTCAGCGGCGCAACCTTCCCCTCTTCCCCAGCACGGTCCGCATCATAGTTCAGAGAACCTGTGGTATCTGAGCTCTTGCAATGGCTCGCGAATCCACGACGAAGACACCACGGAAGGCGGCAGTGAAGTCAACGAAACCACAGCCCTTGAAGGCCAAGGCGGGCGCGAAGCGCAAGTCGCGCAAGGAGAAGCCAGACGTGGAGGATGAGGAAGAGGAGGATATATACAGTGACTATGAAGAGTCGGGCGCGAAGGAGAATGGCAAAGCTAAGAAGAGGGGCAAGACTGTGAAGGAATACGACAGCGACGCGCTGGACGACGACTCGGACGCGGACGCAGAGCCCCCGAAGAAGCGCAAGCGAGGGCAGGACATGAAGCCACTCGCAAAGGTGAACACCAAGGCAACGAAGAGAGGGAAGGCGGTGAAGGAGTACGACAGCGACGCGCTCGACGACGCGTCGAACGTCGAACCGGAACCGGCGCCCAAGAAGCGAAAGAAAACCGCGATCTCGCAGGGAAAGACCACGAGCTCGCCGCGCAAGAAGAGTCGGCGCGCGAAGAAGGATTCGGATGAGGAGTTCGACGATGCGGAGGATGAGCAAGAGGTGATCGGGGAGATTGTGCAGGCGCCGAAGACGGGGAGAGGTGCGTGTTGTGTATATGCGATAAAGGGGAGGCCGCTGAGAGCTCGTCCGCGCAGTTCCTCCAGGTCAGATCTCGCAGAACACGCTTGAATTCCTTGGTCATATGAAGGACCCGAAGTGTAATAATCGCGAGTGGTGCGTGACCCTTCCCTCCGAATGCGTAGCTTCTGACACCCCAATCGCAGGTTCAAGATGCATGGCAAGTCCTCCTTCCACTTCGATATCCCCACCACTCACATCTTCTTCAGAACCCGTCTATAGGGTGGCAGAGAAGGAGTGGAAGGACTTTGTCGAAGCATTTACGGATGCAATAATCGAGGTCGATCCTGAAGTGCCACCACTACCGCCAAAGGATGTGATTCACCGAATATACCGAGATGTACGCTCGTCTTGATACTTCATGCTCAGCCCGGTCGTTCTGAACGCACTCCAGATACGCTTCAGTAACGACAAGACGCCGTATAAGCAAGGATTCTCCGCCAGCTTTTCAAGAAGCGGTAGGAAAGGCACCTTTGCTGGATGTACGTCTTTACCTCCACCTCCGGAGGGTTCTGCGACTGACCTCACCATTCCCTCGCAGATCATATGTAAGCCGTACTGTTGCGTCACTCGCTATGAATCCAGCTGACGCGCAAACGCGCATCGACAGAGCGAGTAAGCCGGGTTTCCCCCATTGTTCTCTCACGCCATTCCTCTCACTGCGTGCTTCATCTCCCACTAACCTCTCGCATCATTTGTCCCGCCGTTCTCTCGCGTCATCTCTCCCACTGTTCTCTCCCATCAACCCGCCCATTGTCCTCTCGTTCCCCCCCCCCTCCATAATCTTCTCATACCCACCTTACTTACACCGCCCCCAGTCAAACCAGGCAACCAAAGCATCATCGCCGCAGGGGCATGGTGTCCGGGGAAAAATGAACTGTCGACGATCAGGTGCGTTCTCGCTGCGCTTTTCCCAAGGCTCTCGATCTCTGATGAGGCTTGTGCTCCCCAATATTCCGTCCTTGTTTCCCGACATCTTCGGTCAACATGATGTTGCCGTTCGCCCGATATCCCGGCTCGCCGACCTCCCCACTCACTCGATACCCTCGGTCGACCCGATATCCTGGCCCACCCGGTACCCTCGTCCCTTTGATCACCTTATTCGCTTGATTTCCTCCTTCCATTTCCACCCGCCCTCAGAGCCAACATCAAGCGCAACCCCCGCCGCCTGCGAGAGATCATCTCCACGCCCGATTTCGTCGAGCACTTTGGCGAACCAAAGCCCCAGCCGGAGGGCGAGAGGTCGAATATATTCGGGATGGAGGATGAGCTGAAGGTGGCGCCGAAGGGGGTGGATAAGAATCATAAGTGAGTGTGGGAGGGGTTCGTCGTGTTGTGGGCGGGTGAAGGATGGATGTTGTGGGTGGGCGATGGACGTCGTGTGTTGGCGACGGATGTCGTGTGTTGGCGAGCGGTGTTGGTGTACAGCGTGTGTTGGCGATGGAGGTCGTGTGCGGGCTATGGATGTCGTGTGAGGGCGATGAACGGCGTGTGTGGGCGATGAATGTCGTGTGTTGGCGAGCGGTGTTGGTGTATAGTGTGTTCACTGTCGAACTCCGGGCGGGCGCTGTCAACTAGAGCGCGTTGGGGATTATGGCGCGGCCACGGCGTGTTGTCCTTGTTGGCGCGGCGGTGATTACGGCTGAGCGCTCGCTGACATCTACTTTCAGGGATATTGATCTTTTGAAGTGCCGTTCGTTCGCCGTCGTGGAAAGGTCAGTAACATTTTTGCTGTCCTTGGCTTGTTGTGGTCGCCCCTGGGCTTTTGGGATCGTCGCCGCTTGGCTTGGGGTGGACGCTGACGGAATACAGATTTCTTGATTCCGAAGTGTTGGCGCCGGACTTCAAGGAGAGGCTTGCAAAGGTCGCCGCTGTCATGTGTCCTTTTGTTCATTGGTGCGCGGTTGATTCCTTTCCCATACTTGAGAACCGAGGAAGCTGACGGCCATCAGTTTGAACGATATGATGTCGGTCATGGAGTCTGAGAGTGAGGGCGAAGAGGATGGGGAGGAGTAGAAGGGATTCATGGGTTACCGGTTCCCATGTGGATGGTTCTGGTCAACCAATAGCAATTCTCTAGGTGAGTATTTGACGAGAATTATCCGGCTGCCTTCCGTCCTGACCGTACTTAGCCCCGATAGCCTTTGCTCCCGCGAAGCGCGCCATTGTGGGCGTCTTCAGCTGTCCCTTTGCCACGCCCTTGATATGATATGTCAACTACTCTATTGGGATACACATTTGCTTGGTTCGACGTCCGAAGAAACTGAAGGAACCCGATAAACCCTGCGCCGCATGAAGCACAGGGGCAGCTCACAGTCGTTGCCACCTCCTGAAAGTATTACAGATAGTTCACTCGGCTGCGCCAGAGCGCCTACGCGGGCCCGAGGGACCTGCGCTCGACTGCGAAAGCATGCGGTACTTTCCCAAGCCACCGTGCGAACGCCCGCCCGCTCACCCTTTCCGGTAGGTGGTGGGAATGCGTACGGCATCCGCCAACCGAGGACAGGGACCGCTGCAGACCCCCCGCGGGCCGCCATCTGCATCAGCCGCCAGCGTCGTTTTTGCCGTAGGCAAGTGCGTTCCTCGACGGGCGGCTAACCGCGAGCCGTGGACGAGGTGCACGGGCGTTTGCCATCTCGGACCTCCGCTCGGCGGCTATCGCTCGCGGCCATCGCCTATCGTGTTTTGCCCGATGTAGTTCGAGACCTGTTAGGCGCCCTTGAAGCTGCCTTAACAGTCGACTATACAGCAGCCTATAGATGGAAGCAGCACTGACCTGAGTCTTCGCCGACGCTGTGGCGACATCCTGCTATGTGTAGAGGCTCTAGGGTGTCGAGGGGGCACTTGTGAGAACAGAGGTGCGAAATCACGGTAACTGCGCCTGACTCACCTCCCGGCCCAGGAGTCAGTCCGGGGCGAGCACTGATATACGGACCCTGGCTGATGCCCGGCTCCGGACGCCGTCCCAGTATATTGCTCTTCTTCCTGTCACTCGTGCTCCCCAGGCGTTCGCTGACTCTCATTCGCGGATCCCGGGCTGTGGATGACCCATATCGAGCGCGGCGCTTTCCCAGGTGAGCGCGAGAAGAGAGGGCGCGCTTAAATATTGTGACATCAGCCGCGGGGGCGCCTGCTTGATTCGCACCTCCATGTCCGACCATGGCGCGGAGAACGACCTCCAGGCATTGCTCGACTTTGGGCGGCGCGTGTGCGTGCCGACGCAGGTTGTAGAGGACATCAGCGATCTACCGTATCTTGCGACGATTGCACGGGTGGCACAATGGTCGTTTGACAGCATCCCGGTAAGCGCGCGCCACACTCTTCGACGAGGGTACGCTGACTGGCGAGTCGACAGCTTGTGCGCGCGACGCACGACGCTCGTGTCCAGATAGCGGAGGCCCTCTTGATTGTTCTGGGAAATCTTTTGGATATAATTCGAACGGCGGAAGTTGCGCTCACGCCGTCGGAATTACAGTTGCTCACACGGGTGGTTAGGTGAGCGCCGATCCTACTCGAAGACTTGTTCTCGCTGATACTTGGCAGCGCGGTAGAGTCTGTATACGCAAAGTTACGGGAGTTCTTGCCGGGAGCACAGGCGCTTGACGATGACAGAATCCTCGAGTGGTCGGATTGCAAGTACCTCGTCGCCGACATCATTTCGGAGGTAAAAGATCAAGTCTAAGCCCTGAACCCATCTCATGGCCCTGGAAGACAGAAGCCGAAGAGACTCTGGACGATAGGCGGCTAGGGAGCCTCGAAGAGTGCCAAAAGCGCATTCAACAGACAGCTGAGGACTTGGTGAACATTGTCAAGAACCGCAGACCAGAATCGAGTCGCCAGATCACTATAGTTGACGTGCGTCTCACCGATCATTCTCACACGTCCGAAGTGACACTAACCTACAGAAAGTCACGGACGAGGCCCTGCTCGCTAAACGATGGTGCGTCGGCTAACCGGCGCTTAGCTTGATCTGACGCCACTCAACAGCGAGTACCTCTTGCCCAGCGTCCCCGCTCACACGCTAGACCGATTACGACCCCGAGAGCACATTGCCAGAAGCATTGCACGGAGCACCGGCCCTGTATACCACTGCGTGCTTGGTTCAGCAGGTGTGGGCAAGACGACCTTCGTGAGGACGTTGCTTCGTGACCCGCAGGTCGTCGAAAGGTATGCCTACCGCCGCTTCTACGTTGCATGCGACGATGCGCGCAGCGTCGACGACGTAGTCACAATGATCTGCGCGCAGCTAGGTTGCATGCGGCGCGGCCGTTGGCGACGCCTGCTGCCGCGGCCTGCGCTCCTCGTGCTCGACGGCCTCGACGGACTAACGACGAGCCCGCGGCACACTCTCTCCCTCGAGAGTTTCCTCTCACGCTGCTGCCGAACGCAGGGCTTGAGCTTGATCGTGAGTCGCTTGCTCTCGGTAGCGAGGGACATTCGTGCTCACGCATGCGCAGGTGACGCTGCGCGGGCCTCGGAGACCGCGCAATATACCGTGGACGACGCCGCTCCTGCCGCCGCTAGGGAACCTCAGCCTGCGCGAGGCTGAGCAGTTATGCAGATGGAAGGCGCCTTTGCTTACCCCTGACCAGGTGCAAGAGTTATTCGGCCTCTGCGATGGACATGTAATGGGGCTGACGCTCCTCGCGACGTCGGCGTCCTATGAGGGCTTCAGTCGCTGCATGGACCGATGGCGCGCACGCGCCCGACGCGAGCATATCGATGCTGCACCCGCACTGGACGTCATCATCGCATTCGCCATCAGGAGCCTGCACTATACGAACCCCATGCCCGACCCGCGCTTGCGGAGGCGGAAGGCCGACTACCCACTGATCCTCCTTGAACTAGCGAGTCTTCTCCCCACGGGCCTTTCGCATCGCGTCGCAGAGGAGTTGCCAGTGTACGAGACAGCGAAGCCAAGGACATGGTCTGGGTACGCGCCGGACGCATGCTACGACGCCAGTTTGAATGGGAACACAGACTACTTGCCCGACATGGTGTACCTGCGCGCTCGAGAGGCAAAGCTTGTGCATATGGGCTTCGCGCGAAGAGAGGGTGATCACCTCGTTGTGCCACCGACAGTGCGCGCGCATATCATGGCGGCGAGGCCCGAAGTCGAGGTCGAGCCGATCGCACTGTCGACATTCGATCTGCCGTCGCTGGTGCGATATGCGGATTGGCTGCCCATGGGCGACACGCTGTTGCGGATTGGCGAGCTGCTCTTGGGCGCACGGCACCTGGCGCTGCACGCAATGGAGGAGGCGGAGGTGGTTGAAGAAGCCGTCGGGTGCGCCATCGACACTGCGTACATCGGCGCCGCGACGGGTTGGCGAGTGTCAGACTTCATCACGAACGACACCGTTAGACGCGCCGTCGAAGACGAGGGGAATCCGAGGTTGCACGTCCGCTACTTGTTATGTCTATCGAGGGTCGTTCGGGGCGAAGGCGACGCCGTACTGCGAGCGATGGAGATTGCGAGGGAAGAGGAGATGCCAAGCTGTGAAGGTGCGTCCACATTCCTGACATCATCTGTGGGCGCCGGGCTGGACCTGACAACCGCTACCCAGCTTTGTGCCACATACGTCTCGCTGAGCGTATCTGCGATGCTGCGGCAGCATCAATTGGCAGCAGCTCGCGTACACCCCAGCCGCCGCCCCTTTCTCGTCCGCCTACGCCCCAAAATGCCCGTCCGCCTTCGCGCACTGTCCCTCCTCGCCCGACACCCGGTGAACACGCCGACTACCTCTCTCGTGCCGCCAGTCACGCCCTTGACGCTATTCCGCTAGCCCACGAGGGCTACGACTCCAACGCCGAATTCCACGCCTTTCAAATCCTTGCTACCATCCGCATCCACCAGCGACGGCCCCACCTCGCCCTCTCCTCCCTCCTCGCTGCCCTCCATGTCGCCCCCTTCTCACAGAACGTCGTTTTGGAGGCGCGGGCGCTCGCGCGCGTCGCCTGGGTCAAATTCCTCATCGGAGACGGGAAAGCGGCCTTGAAAATCAGCAGAGGGGTCGTTAAGCGGCTCATGGCGCTCGGCGCAGACCCGGTGGAGGAGAGGTGTCAGCTGGCGGAAATACTGCTAGGATGCGGTCATTTTGACGAGGCTAAGCGAGTCGCGAGCAGGGTGTTGGGCAGGCGCAACGGGAGTCGCAGGGCGCGGGTGGCGAGAGCGCATGCAAGGGTGGTCTTGGTGAAGGTGGCGTCGGCGTGCACGGGTATCCCGGATGCGGAGGGGGCTGCGAAGGAGCTGGCGAAGGCGTACGCGGTATGTGTACGCGAAGGAAACGAGCGCGGGGCGCTGGCGTGCAAAGTGGTTGGTGCTCAGCTGGTTGTGCGCACTGCTCGGTCGGCGGAGGAGACGGAGCATGGGCGGCAGCTCCTGCTGCAATGCCTGGAGCACCGTGCGATGTGGGCAGAGGTGCATGCATTGCTAGGGGAAATGGTGCTCTCAGGGATTCCTACGCTTCGGGGTACGGCTCGGATGCCAGCCACCGCCGATGCCCAGCCGTCTCTCGCCACCGCGCACACCCACTGCATCCTCTCCCTCGCAGCCGGCTTTCTGGAATGCAACATGCGCTGGGTATGCGCGGCGCTGAGGAGGCTGGCGAGCGTGTGGTGCCGTGACGACCCTGCCGAGTATACGCTGGACATTGGACATTCCGAGCGTCTCGACACCGCATCGTCCCTCCTCCTCGCATCCCTCTCTGGCTTCGAGTGGACAGGCATGGCGCACGAACGCGCGGAGGCCATGCTAGAGATGGGGGATGTGCTTTGGGCTCAGTCGTCAAGGGACGACGCCCGGCATTGGTGGCAGCGCGCATGGGACGCGTTCAGCGCTTGCGGGTTACACCATGGGGCAGCGAGGTGTCGGGAGAGGTTGCGGAGGGTTGGATTGGAACGTTGAGAAGGAGGGCTGGACTGGGAATCGGGAATGAAGGTAAAAACCAGAGATGACGGCCAAAGGGAAATCTGGACGCTCAGAAAGGCTTGACCTCGCCGCGACTAACGACCTCACGACGCATACCCCTGCTTTCTACTTATTCGCGTTGTCACTTGTACATTGCTCTGTAAATTATCTAGCTATCGTTTAGCGGTTGTGTGTTATATAGAAATGTTGCGTACCTGTTATATAGATGTGCGGGTTCTGGGGACACTACGAGACTCGAGTGCAACTTGTTCGGTGAAGATCAGTCTGGTTTGTCAGACGGAGTGGCACGACTCCTGACCTTGAGGTTGAACTTGAAGATGTCCCGGACGGGCGCACTCGACATCGCTGAAAGGCTTGAAGGAGCTAAGTTACCATAATGATAGAATGCGCTGTGACGTATGCAACATGTGACCGCGCGTGACCAGATTGACGCCCCCGATTGACAGATCGACCACCTCTTGCTCACTATCGACCAAGCCCACGACGAACGTCGTTTTGTTCCTCCTCATCACTAGAGTACGCCATTCTTTTCTTGATCTGCTCCGGAAACCATACTTCCCGGCCGTGAACTCACAAGACTATTTCTTTTGTTTACTGTAGTGTCTATCGTTGGTACAGATTTCGACACTGTCGACGGGTCCAACCCGGCCCTGCCGGACGACAAGTCCATCGTAAGGCAGTGTCGAGAGGCAATCGTTGCCAGCCTTCGTGCAGATCACCGCGCCCACATCCGTGGCGTCAAGGTTGCCAATCCAGTCGGCCCTCCCGTCTGGGTCAAGTTCGGCGACGTCTCATTATCCGAGGCGCGGACCCAGCACTATGTCGCTCAGGTGGTGAGCCGCAACAGAGGCGACGCTCCAGTCCGTGTCCCTGCGGTCTATCGCTTTTTCCAAGATGGAGGCAGGGGCTATATCGTAATGGACTTTGTCGACGGCAGTGTCTGCACCAGATCAGACGCTCAGGCTATTGCCACCGCCGTCTCTTTCCTCATCACGATCCCTGCACCGGCGGACCAGCGCAGCCCTGGCCCCATCGGTGGAGGTCCGATCTGCCACGACTTCTTTATTGACCGCAAGTCGCCCGTAACGTACCCTACGGTCGAGCTCCTCACTGCTCACATCAATGGTGTGCGTTGTTCGCTTCTTATCCCACCACCCTCTCCTCCTATACCGTTGACCATAGTCGTCTTTCTGGCTGATTGCTATGTCTAAACCAGATTCTACGGCACCAGTCGAAGAAAGCACGTGTCAACCTCGTTCCCGAGGTCCAGGAACACGGCCTGCGCCTCTGCCTCTCGGATACCAACCGCGAGAACTTCATGGTAAGCGGCGAAGACAAGAAGATCGTCGCGATAGATTTCGGCGCGTCATGCTTTCTGCCAATTTCGTTCTTCGAGATGGCACTGTGCCGGCTTCATCAGGCACATCTGCCAGTCCGTCATCTGCCTCAGGTCGACACAATCGACACAAGCGGCAGCACTGGGTCAGGCGGCCGCGTCACTGGTCAAATACCAGAGCAACATGATTGGTGAGTATATCTCTGTCGTGTCTCTCGCTCTCGCTCTCTCGCTCTCGCTCTCTCACTCTCTTGCTCTCGCTCTCTGCACCTTGTCAGGAGGTTGACTATCTGAAAGGTCTTCCGGCGGAGCTCAAGACGTTTGAGGCGTAGATGCGGCCACACAACGCCACCTCTCTCGTGGTTTTCTGTTCGTCATCTCGTTGTCTTCTGTTTGTCGACTCTTTGTCTCCTGTTCGCGCCTTTCTTAATTTCTCTCTCATCTTTCTTAATCTCTCTCTCATCTTTTCTACCGTCCGTCGATATGTCTAATTGTCCGCATCTCATGTCATGTGTTATATGATGGTCTTGCGTTATATGATGGTCTTGCCCTCTTTGGAGCTCGGGTATTGCGACGTGATACTATATCTGAATCGACCAAACCACACGCCTCGACATCGCGTCCTCCCTCCTCCATGCATCTCTTTCCGGCTCCCAGTGCACTGGCATGGCACACGAGGACTGGCATGGCACACGAGCGCGCGGAGGCCAGGCTGGGGATGAGCGTTGTACTTTACGCCCGACCTGCAAGAGATGACGCCCGCGATTGGTGGCGACGCGCTTGGGATGCGTTCAGCGCTTGCGCTTTCAGCAAGGGGACGCTTAGGTGTCGGGAAAGGCTGCGGAGGGTTGGGTGAGGGCGGAGACTGGATTTCAAGGCAAAACCTTTGAGAATTGGAGGGCAATCACGAGACGTGGATCTCGCCATGACCAACGTCCTCACGACACATAAGTACCCCTGCTTTCTATTTGTTCGTGTTGTCGCTTGCAGATTGTTCTGTAGTGTCTAGCTATCGTTGAAAGGTTGTCTACTTTATATAGCGCTGTTTACATACCTGTTATATATGTAGATGCGAGGCATTCTGGGGATACCCACTGCTGCGAAATTCGATCGCGATCGGTGCTGGGAGGACGAGTGGAGGTCTTGAAGCCAATAGCTCCGACAGCAAGGCGTCGTATCGTGCCTAAAGACTATACCTATGTGTATCGAAAGTAGCCGAGTTGGAAGACCGCGCATATCAGTCGCCCTTGAGGCTTTGGGCACAACTGCTAGCGAGTTACAGTACTTGATTCAAATTTTGCGAATCACAGACACTCGGAGAGAGCAATCCATGACTCGTGCACCTCTGCGGAGACCGTGGCACACACGAGGAAGGGCCGGGACGGCGGATGATGCAGGAAGTATTGCATTCAGAGTCTAGATAGATGGGATGAAGGCCAGGATCATGACGCTGCTTGAGCTTCCGCTTCTGCCTTCGCCTTGATCGCCTGCGCCCGCTTGTTGATTTCTCTCTGCGCATCTATGAAGGGGCGCTCCTGGAGTGATCGGCCAGGTTTAGCAGGCTACCCCACACGCGCGACGCAGCACTCACCGCGCGCGCCTCACCAGCGAGGCCGACGAGGTATGCTGCCCCGAGCATGGCGACGCCGAGAACGGCCGTGTTGGCTTTCCAGGCCGCGGGCCGTCCCCACCAGCCGCCTGCATGCACTGTCAGTGATAGTTCGGGCAGGGATTCGCGCGCGACGCACCCGTCGGGGACCAAACGTATTTCGGGTATGGGTACTGTCCGCCGCCGCCCTGGTCAATCATGAGCTCCTTGTCGTCCCCGCCATCGTCGCCAACACGCGCACCATGATTTCAGTCGTCGACGTCGGGTGCAAGAGGGAGTTCGGGCTGACTAAGCGCGCACGCGAGCACTTTCCGGTCCGCATGGCCCGGGAGCCGGGGCGGGGCGCATGTGTTTCCGGGCTGCTGGCTGGCGAATGCGGTGAACTCTATCCTACCCTTGGCGTCTGCTCCCATGCTGGACTCGGTGAAGAAATATGTGTACGACAGGCGCGGGGGGCTGGCGAAGGCTGCGGCAATTGTGGGGGGCACGTATCTCGTGCGCGGATACGTCGGCGAGCGCCTCGAGGAGGTGAAGACGCGCCTCGAGCAGCAGCGCGCCGCGGAGGAGAGGTGCGTGTGGGGTATTTCTCGCTGAATATCGCGCCTTACATCTGTATCGTCCTACTGCAGCCTCCGACGCCGCTTCCGCCAGAACCAGGAAGACGTCTCGTACACCGTTATGGCGCTCCTCCCCACACTCGCGGACCAAATCCTCACGGGGATGGACGTCGAAGCGCTCACGCGCGAATTGCAGAGATCACGACGGCGCAGGGATCCGAGCGCGGTGTCTAACCCTTACACCGCGTCGACCGCGAGCAGCAGCGCGGAGATGGTGCAGGAGGTCGACGCAAGAAGCGAGGCGGGGGAGTCGTCCGTGTACTCCGCGCAAAGCTCGTCCTGGGTGGGCGAGGGCTCCTCCTTCGGTGCGCGCTCTCCCTCAGCGGATCGGCGGTCGCGGATGGTGCGTTTGCCTCCTCCTTTCTCAACGCGTCGGGATGCACGTTTATTTGCGGGTCCCCTCCAGTCCGAGAGCTTCCTGAGCACGACCTCCGCCGCATCCTCAGTGCCTGAACCTGCTTCCTCCTCTTCCACATCACCCACCTCCACTGCCTCCCAATCCAAGACCGAACTGTGGCATTCCCTCAAGTTGCTCACCCTCACGCGCACCCTGACCACCCTCTACGCGATCACGCTCCTCTCTCTCCTCACCTCGCTCCAGCTCACCCTCCTCGCGCGCGCGAAATACGTCGCCTCCGTCCGGCGCGCCGCACGCGAGGAGGAAGTGCGCGACCGCCTCGAGCGCGAATTATCGTTGTCAAGCTTGTTACTGCGCGGAGCAACAGGCGGAGGTGGTGGAGGTTTCGACGATCTGATGGGCGAACTGCTGGGCGACACGGAGGTGGGCGGGGAGGATGCGATCAGCGAGGAGGCGGAAAGCATGTTTCTGACGATGGCTTGGTGGATTTTGCACGTCGGGTGGAAGGATGTAGGTGAGAGGGTAAGGAGGGGTGTGGAGGAGGTCTTTGATGGGTGAGTGGGCTCATTAGACGCTACTACAATGGGAGCTCTGTACTGATGATGGGACTTTTAGGGTTTCCCTGAAGACTAAGCTTTCCGTGGCAGACGTGCACCGTCTGGTCTGCGACGTGCGGAGAAGAGTCGAGTACGAAGTGACCTTCGAAGGGACGGAGAGGCGGGTAGAGTGAGTAGCTTGCTTTCTCGAGCTTGGAATCCCGAACATGCTATCATTCTTTCACTCTTGCCACCTCTGCGTTACCTTCCCCATCACTCGCGAACCTTTATTGCACCACTTGCTATTGCTATTCCTCATCCTGCCACTTGCTGACCCACCCCTCAGCTTCCTTTCCACCCTCCTCCCCTCCACACCAGAAACCACGCAGCACGTGCTCACGCAGGGCGGCTTTGGGCTCACGGAAGAATCGTTTGAGCTGCCTTCCGAGGACGACGAGGGCTACGATGTGGAGGCAGAAATGTATAGGAAGAGGCAACAGGAACCGTATGTTCCAAGGGACGATTCATACGTTCCGAGGGGCGATTCCTACGACGCATCTCTATCCTCAAGACCATCATCGCCGCCGAACTATCCGCCACAGCCTTACCCTCCGGTCGAGGGTTCGCCACCACGGCCCTCGCCTCCACAACAATCACCGAATCCTCAACAACCTGCTGCATCAGCCGTTCACCCTCAGCATGCAGCCCTGCACTCGCATCCCTCACCGCCTCCGCCGTCCTCCCAACCTGCATCTCAATCACAACAGCAAGCCTCGGGTCACCCTCAACGACCCTCAATTCCTCCTCAACAGACCAAGACCCATCCTCAACAGACCACAATCCATCCTCAACACCCCCCAACCCACGCACCCCACCCCCACCTCGCCGACCCCGCCTTCAGCGCGCTTCTCGAGGAGACGCGGCGGACGGTGCTGTCGCCCGACTTCGCGTATGTGCTCGAGGCGTGTCTCGATCGGGGGACGGAGATGTTGGTGTCCGGGCTTGAGGATAGTGTGTTTGGGGGGCGGAATACGGGGGAGGAAGGGGGGAGGGGGCGTGCGGAAGGAGCTTACGCAGGGGGTGAAAGCGCGGCAAAGGCTGAATCCATCCCTTGTCCTGAAGACGACGCCGAGCCCCGCCTCCGCCTCGCTGCGCTACTTCCTGGCCTGGCGCGCTGGAGTGCGCTCGCGTTGACCGGGCTGCCGAACCAGTTGGTAGACGGTGTGCTAGGGGGTAGGGAAGTAAGAGCATTGGGAGCGGTGGTGTTCGCGAGGTTCGAGGACGAAGTTGGGGATCAGTAAAGTGAAGAGAGGGAGTCTGCTACGATATCCGGCTCTCCTTTGCGTATCCCTCGCCTCTTGTATTGACCAGTATTCACGACTGTACATACATACCCACAGGACGCGCTACAGTAATTGAATGCATCGCTACGAACGCCTGGGAATATCATTTCGCATGCGGGCGGGCGCGTTGCGCGTTATTTTGCATTGTTTGTAGGAGCTTCCTTCTCGCCGTTGTGCTCCCCGTTGTGCTCGTCGCATCCGTCGCATCCGAGACCTTTGGTCGACGTCGATCACGATGACGAGGACAAGAAAATGATACACCACACTTTACACGATGCAAAGTACAGCAAGAAACTACATTAGGCGGCGTTCTGCGCGACGTTGCCCAAGACACGAGCGCGCTTCGGTGAGTGCTCCTTCCCGTAAAGCTCCTCGTATGAGCTCATCCTAGGCCGTTTGGGGCGTGCAGGGGTCCCCGCGGGCTTCCTTACGGGACAAGCAACGTTCTCCTTGCCCTCTGCCGCCGACGTATCCTCCTTCCCGATCGCCGCCTTGACTTGATTGTCCTTCTCCTGCTGCTCGGCTAACTTCCGCTCCTTCTCCTCCTCCTCCTCCTCCTTCCGGATGAGCTCCTGCCGAGCCTCGTCCAGGACTCCAAACAAGTCGCTGTGCTTCAGCCCCTTCGCCCCGACCTTCGCCATTTTGTGCAAAAGCTCCCACACCAACGGCTCCAGGTCCGCGAAGAACTCCGTCATATCGTTTACGACGCGGTCGATGACCCCGTCCTCCGCCGCCCGCAAATCTTTTTTGTGCTGGATGTGCTCCTTGGAGATGTCCGCCCAGCACGCGATGGCAGCGTGCGAGTCCGGGTGCCGCCAGCCGCGGGGGCCGTCGCACGCCGTGCAGATGTAGATCAGGAGGTACACGATGGACTCGAGGTCGTCCGCGGGGGTGCGCAGCTTGCTCTCGAGGACGTTGAGGGACATGAAGACGACGGTGCCCTGTGGATGGGTTAGCTGCGCGTTCTACAGGTGGACGTTCAATGCGGCGACGCACCATCAGGAGTTCGTCGACAAAGCCGTCCTCGTCGAGGACACAGCTCTTCTCTAAGTCGATCAACATCCCGCGAACGCGGCCAGTTGGCGGGCGCCAGAGCCTGACGTTGTTGGCCGAGATGTCACAGTGCATCACGCGCCCCGCCTTCATGCGCTGGAGGGCTGTTGAAGTTCATCAGCCTTCCACTCGACAACATCGGCAGAGCAGACGAACCTAGGACGGCATCGCACAGAACGTGCAGGAGCTCCAACGGACTCTTGACGCTGGTCACATCGTCCGCGAAGGGAAACATCAGCACCCGGTGGTGCGTGCGGGTACCGAGCGGGAGCCTGTGTGCCGTTATCAGCATCGCCAACACGCATCCCCACTCAACTACGCACTTGTCGAAGTCCTTGTGCGTGTGCTCGATCCCCAGGCGCGGTATCATCGTCGAATGCGTCGTCCCGTCCACCTCCACTACCTCGCTCGCGACCACATCCACCACCCCCTCCACATGCCCCAGCCGCGCAACGATCTCGCACTCGTGCTTGTATCCGAACCTGCTATCCTCCTCGTCCCAGGACTCGCGGAGCGCGTATGTGATGCCGTCGGGCCCGCGCACCGGCCAGCACGCCGTGGCGACCTGGTGCAGCTCCGGAGCTGGCATGCCCGACGACCGTGGCAGGATCTCGAACTCCACTCCGTCTGGGTGCCCTTCCTTGTCGACGTACACCTCGACACCGACTTCGCCCGCCTCCCGCCGCGCGCGCGCGACGGCCTCCCAGTCGACGCCCCTAATGCGCACGTACTCCTTCCCATCCCGCCAGTACCGCGACGTATCCCACCCCTGCCGCCGGCGCGTGCCGAACGCGAGGCCCGTGAGCAGGCGGACGAGTGTTTCGGCGGACGAGGCGTCGTGGATGGGGATGCGGGCGGCGGTCTGGATCCCCGCGCGGTCGAAGGTGACGAGCTGGAGGGTTTCTGAATATCTGGGCGCGCCTGGTGTGCGGCTCGCGATGAGCCCCAGGCCGTACCCGCGTGCGGGCTGCAGGCCCATGAGCAGCCCCGCAGCGTCCGCGATGCCCTGGAGGGGAGAATAGGCCTCTTCGTCGCCCGCCTGCTCCGTTGTCCATCCGATCGCCGCCGCGGTGGCCCAATCGCCCTCCTTTCCCTCCTCCCAGAGGGCGAGATCGGGCGAGGCGTTGGCGTCCGCGGGCAGGATCTCCTCGAAGGCGGCGTCCTTGGACAGGATCTCATCTACCGCGGCGTCCTTATGCAGGTTCTCATCTACCGCGGCGCATGCGCGCCAGACGCGCTTGGGGAGTTTGGAGGTATCGATGCCGAAGGTGACCCAGATGACGCGCAGCTCGTCCGCGAAGGCATTGAGGAAGGCGGCGATCTGTTGGTTGAAAGGGGTGGGGGTGGGCTGTTTGGGGGAGGGGACGGAGGCGGCCTGCGTGGAGGAGGCGGCGACCTGGTTGTCGGAGGGCGTGTCGGGGTTGGGGGGTACGTCGGGGGCAGAGGGCACGTCGGAGTCGGATGGCACTTCGGGGTCGAAGGGCACGTCGGGCTCGGTTGGCCAGAAACGCCAGCGGCCCTCGACCTCGTCGAAGTGCGTCTCTACGAAGCTCTCGACGATCTCCGGGGTCACCAAAGGCTCCTGCTCGCTGTCATCGCGGAAGACCCAGTCGAGGGCGCCGGGGACGTTGCTGAGCATCGAGGCTTTGACTTTCTCTTGGACCTTGAGCCACATCGGTGATGCTTTTGTCGTCGTCAATGGTTTTGTGTCGTGTGCAGTGGCGAGTGGCGTGTGTCGATCAGTGGCGTGCGGTGTTTGTCGCTGGTGGTGAGTGGCTTTGTGTATGTGTGTCGTGCAATGGCTGATCTGTGGCGGCTTTGCAGCCGAAGTGTATGTGCTAGGATGTGGTTGACGATGGACGGGATCAAGGCAGAGTGACCGGTGGTCGCACGTGGTTATCGGTCCTCGCTCGCAAATTGGGCTGCGCGACGGAGCGTGGCGCTCACGTGATCGCATCGCACTGGACGCGTCACTGTTGAATGCGACCAATTGAGGTCAAAGAATTTGGGGAGCATGCAGCAGCTTGCGCGGAGGCTGCACAAGCGTGAAATTCACGAAAAAAGATGAAGAACACGACACAAATAATTCAGCCATAATTTACAGCTAAGCATCCTCGTCCCGAATATCCCGCAAGACCCGTGCGCGCTTCGGTTTGTGCTCTTCCACCTCTCCGGGCAGATTTTCATCGCTGGACTCAACCCTGGATCGCTTGCGTCGCCGTCCGTGCACGCCTTCGAGGAGTTTGATGATGGGGACCTCGTTCTCCTTGTTGTCCTCCAGCTCCTTCTCCTCGACCGTGTCCACCGGGCTGCACAAGGTCGTCTCGCTCGTCACGCTCTCCTTGGGCGTCTCCGGGTCGGCCCCGGCATCCACTGGCGTCTCAAGCACCTGCCGCGCCCCGTCCAGAATGCCAAAAAGCATCTGACACGTCAGCCCCTTCGTACCGACCTCGCCCATCTTCAGCAACAATCTTCGCACCAGCGGCTTGAAGCTCGCGAAGTACGGTGTAAAATCTTTGAGGACGCCGTCAATCGCGCCCTCCTCGTTCCGGCGCAGCGCCATCTTGTGCTCGACGTGCTCGGCGCTGGTCTTGTCCCAGCAGCTGATGGCGAAGTCCCTCCAGGACTTATCCCTGCGCGCGACGCCGCCAGGGCCCTCGTATATCGTGCAGATGTAGATGAGGACGTAGACGAGTGACTCGAGGTCGTCCTTCACGCCGCGGACTGCTTTCTGCAAGACGCCGACGGAGAAGAAGATGACGGTACCCTGCGAGAGCGATGCTATCAGCATCGATCTTGAGAGTTGGCAAACTCATGGACGCACCGTCAAGATCTGGTCGGAGTTCTCCCCCTTCGCGTTCAGTGTGCACGCCTTCTCCAAGTCGATCAGCATGCCGCGGACGCGGCCGGAGGGCGGTCTCCATATCCTGACGTTGTTACAGGAGATATCACAGTGCAGTATCCTCCTTTTCTCCAACCGCCCTATGGCTGTGGCACGCTTGTCAGCAAGCGTTGCTGGACATCGACACGGAGGGCACACCTGCAACGCCATCGCAGAGAACATGCAGTAACTCCCCTCTATTCCTGAATAGGGACAAGTCCTCGCAGAATGGAAAGAGAAGCGCGCGGTGGTGCGTCCGCCAGGTGGACTTGACGAACCTGGTGACACGATCGTCAGCTACAACACGGTCACCTCCAGAGGACAGCCGAACGCACTTGTCGAAATCCGTGTCATCTTCCTGAAGGCAGCTTCGCAATCCATCCGTCGTTTGCAATCTACCGTTCTGTCTCACGACGCCGCTAGCGACGATATCCGCGACGCCCTCGACGTGACCAAGGAGCTTAGCAGTCCTGAGCTCGTTCTGGTAGCCGTGAGGGTCGCAGGACTCGTCCCAGGCCCCTCTCAAGGCATAGTCTCGCTCATCGGGCCCGCGCACTCGATAGCATGTCGTCGCTTTCTGGTGTAGCTTGGGAGGTGGATCGCGCGTTGTACGTTCGAGGATCTCGAATTCGGTGCCAGCATCGTCCTCCTCGCCGTCGATGTATTCCGCAGCGTCTTTGACGCCCGCTTCCGCCTCGACGCGCGGCGCCAGGGTCCAGTCGACGTGCTTCATGCGCACGAACAACTTGTCGTCGCGAAGGTAGATGGTCGCGTCCCACCCCAGCCGATGGTGCGGCGCGAACATCATGCCCGCGACGATGCGGACGATGTACGGGGCGAAGCGGGGGTCGTGGAGGGGGAAGCTCTCCGAGAGCACGAGCCCTGCGCGATCGAAGGCTATCAGGCGCAACATCTCTCCACGCCTGGCATCGCTGTGCATGTCAAGTGCCAGCTTGTACAGGCGCGTTGGCTGCAGCGACATGAGCGGGCCCGCGGCGTCAGCGATGCCCTGCAGTGGGTGATAGACGTTGGGATCGTCGAGGCCCTCTACGGCCGAGCCGATGGCCAGCGCGTGGCCCCAGAAGAATGGTCTTGCGGTATCCCAGAGGACGAGGGTCGGCGGGGCGCGAGACTCGCCGATCAAGCCTTCGAAGTCGGTGTTACCGTGCCAGAAGCGGACGGGGAGGTTGGTCATGTCGACGCCGTGCCTTCTCCAGGACGCCCTGATGCCTTTGGCGAGGCGATTGAGGAAGCTGGCGGTCTTTTCGGCGAATGGCATGTCGCCGCGCGGCCAGAGGCGCCAGCGTTTGGCGCTTGCGTCGTGGTGCGTCTTCACCAGATCGTCGGCCAGATCCATTAGCGACATCTTGCAGACGTCACTCGGGAAGACGTGCTGTACAAGGTCCTGGACGTTGCACAGGAGTGTGCTTTGGAGCTTTTTGTCGATTGCAATGCGATTTGGCATTGTCCTGGGAGTGGCGTTTATGTTGGGTGAGTGGATGTGGTCTGTATGGGGCTGGCCGCCGCTAATGTCCTGTGCAGTGTAGGCTGAAGACGGTGTCTGAAGTGCAGTTGATGATAGGAAGTGGTCAAGGCAGAATTGCCACGATGGTCGTCGCTTTGTCTCGGTGGGGGTTCGGGCCATCCGCTGCGGCCTTGTCCACGTGATCGTGATCGTGACTGCCTCGTGGTGTTGGCCCATTTAGACAGAAAGAGCGGGCTGCGCCAACTTGCAGATGAATCGACGTCCCGTCTCTTCTCAAGGTCAGTTACACTCACTCGCATCTTTCCCCTGACAGAGCATCGCTCTCGACACGGTCTTATATCCGCTTGCGCAGTCGCTGCCTAAAGTTGCATGGGATAACCGCAGGAACCGCCGCCGCACACTTACAGACGTCACGCCAGAGCTCAAGAACCCTCACCAAAATTACCGCCGCGCTTAAGAGGAATGAGTCGTGCGCAAAGAATACTTGCCAACCTGCTAATCGCAAGTCAAACATGGCAACACCGACAAAGACCTGTGCACACTATTTCCACGCTATCGGAAACATTCTCGTCGCAGCCGACGAAGGGCACCGCTGAATCGCAGACGAAGACTTGGTTCTCGCGTGGCAATGCGAATGAGCCGCTCGAGCTACGCACTCTCGATGAATAACTTGCCAAGCGTTACCATCCTCAGCCTCAACCATTCAGCCCAATATACATTCCCATTGTTCATCCCTGAATACATACTTTACACCAATGTACAGCAGCCCAACTGTACAGTTCGTGTCGATAGTATCTACGACTGCGCAGGGTTGTTCTCAGCGAAGTACTCGTGGCTGTCGGCGTTCTGGACAGCCTGGTCGGGGTTGCTTTGCGCGAGCGACTTGGCCCCGCTCTGGCCGTACACGATGTCGTCCGTGCCACCGTTCTATGAGGGTCATGAGTTGATTGAATGCGCCCAGGTAAGACGACGACATACCGCGGTGAAGTGAGAGGACTCGTGAATGAGCGTGCCGCCCTGCGAGTCCGTGCCGGTCGTGCTGACCTGCCAGAAGACCGGGCAGAGGTAGATCACACCGTAGTCGTCCGGGTACACATACGCGTACACGCCCGACTCCGTGCACGTGCAGTCGTACGTGAAGCTGTTGTAGTCGCCCTCGTCCAGGTGCTGGAAGTGCGAGAGCACGGTGCTGTGGCGGCTCGAGGAGTACGTGCCGAACCAGGTCGTGTAGCGCGTGGTCGAGCTCGTGTGCGAGGAGAGGTAGCTGTACGCGTTCGCGGCGTAGGTCGTCGCGGCGGAGATGGCGCTGGCGACCTGCGACTGGCGCGAGGACGAGCAGCCGTTGTAGCTGGCGCGCTTGGTGAGGGTGGCGCGGGGAGCGGCGAGCTTGCCAGCGAGCTTCGCGGTGTGCGCCTCGGTCTCGGCCTCGATCGGGACAATAGAGCCGTCGTCGGCGAGGTGGAAGAGCGACTTGGAAGCGTCGAAGGTGTACGCGTCCTCGCCCGACAGGGTGAAGTTGTACGCAGCAGCCACTGAGAAGGCGGTCAATACAGTGATACTCAATAATGTCAAGAGCACATGACTTACAATCGTGGACCTTCTCAACTGACTCGCCCGGGGCAAGGACGGTGAAGGAGTCGATGTTCTTCGCGACGACAGCGTCGAGCGAGTACTTGGCCTTGATGCCCGTGAACTGCGGGACCGCGCCAGCCGAGTTGCTGATGGCGAAGGTGTCCGCCGGCAGCGTGCTCAGCGCCGAGTTGGGGTCGTTAAAGAGCTTGAGCGTCTCGTCGCCCGTGTTCGTGATCGTGGTCGTGACCTTCAGGTTCTCGACGTCGGTGACGTCCGTCGGGCCTGCAGCGGGTCAGCGTCGGGTCGTACCATGCGAAGCATGACGAAGACGCACCAGCGACCTTGAGCGACACGGACTGGGTCGCAGAAACAGCAGTCGCCGCGAGGACGATGGATGCGAGCGCGGCCTTGGTAGAAGCGGAGAACATCCTTGCAAGTGCGACCGATGAGAGGGCTCAAGAGCTGGGGCAGCACGGCGGGGGCCATGGCTTTTATATGCGGATGCTGCTGTGCCCGACCATGCTTCGAGCTCGAGGCCCATTCAGCTGGCGTCGTGCCGATACAGAGAATGCGCCATGTCGTGATATGGCTACTTCTCTGCATGATAAGTCTTATCTGCAGGATTCTATGCTAGAGAGCACATGAGCGCACCAGCCAGACATACCGCACGCTTGAGAAGAAAGCGGGGTAGATTCGGGAGCAGGTAAGGGGCGACGAAGGCATAGTGGCGAAGGGAAGAATTGATCGAGGAAATGTGCAGCTAGATCGCCGAGTCAGTACTATAGGTCACCTGGAATGGAGGGATGGCAGACCATCAGGCAAAAAGTAGACTCTTGTGGAAAGCACTGAGCCGTAAGCTAATATTTTCCGGCTAACCGACGAGGGGGAGAGACGAGGGAAGTATGCGTGTCGTCGCCCATCCGCGCGCATGCTCGATGCGGGCAGGGGAACCAAAGGATTCATCGCAATAGCAGTGATCGCATGGCCTGCACAGTATAGCGAACTTCTCGTACCTGACTTCATGGCAAGCAGAATGAAGTGGAACGAAGCTAGCCACGAGAGCTCCGAACACCTGAGAATCATGGAGACAGAAACGCATGCTAACTCGCCGATGGTAGACAGCTTCGAACAAGATAGGTCTCGACCAATATATGAGCACATCATCCTGGACCTACGAGACAATTGACTTTTCCATTTCAAATGACCCAAGAAATATGCAAACCACACCCACTTCACACCCCGCCCGGCCTCAGACTCATCGTCCGCCTCCTCACATGCCTCACGCCCGCCGCCAGCTTCCGTGCCCCATACGCGAAGAACTGCAGCGTCATGATCATGCCGACGAAGAAGCAGAACACCGCGGAGCCGACGGGCCACTCGCTGAACGCGACGGAGGCCATGTATATCATGACGCACACGGACGCGACCATCATGCAGAGGAGCGGGACGTGCGCGGAGAGCGCGAAGCAGACGTAGGAGTCGCTGCCGATGTCTTTGGCGCGGGACTGAGGTGGGTGTGAGCAGGCGAATTGGGCAAAGAGGATAAGAGAGACGTACAGCGAAGACAGCCGGCGTACACCAGTTGAAGCGCGCGAGGAGGAGCGCGCTGCAGGCGATGCCGCACCCGCTGGCGATGAAGCTGAATGCGATGGTCATGCGGCTGAACTCGTTTGCGGTGACGGCGAAGATGGTGTCCGGCCCGATAGCAAAGATTGCCGCATCAACGCCTGCTATGGCAGCCAGCTATATGACGCGCATCAGTCTCAGTGGACATGAAGAGGACGAAGGAATTCGAGATGGTGGAGCAGGTGGGGGAGCAGAAGGCGGACGCGGGCTGTGAAGACTCACGATTGTAATCATCATAAACCACTCGTGGCGCAAGCGCTGGTGCACCTGGTCGAAGTCGCATAAAGTGGGGTCCCTGAGGTCGCGGTATACCGTACAGGCAATCAAGACACGCTCCGGTAATGAGGGTTGCGCTTGTTCTGGCACCTCGATCTTTTCTGTGTACTGAGGTAGTATAGCCACAGCGGAAGCCGCCATCCACTCGACCGCGGCCGAAAGCAGGCCGGGTGGCAAGAGGACGACTGCACCAGGCTGCTCATCGTCACCGTCTTCGCAGTTGTCGTTTACGACGGTGCTGTTGCTGTCGTCCGATCCGGTTGCAGCAGGCTCGACGGTGAAGTCGGGCCATTCATCGTCATCTGAAGCAGTAGATGACGCTGGTTCGTCGTCTGAGTCGACGCAGTAGCCCTTCGCCTTCTTGCGATGGCGGAGAGTTGATGGCCCAGGACTGGCTTCGAAGTCAGAGGACTTCCCCTCGGGCTCGCTTGCTATTGGAGATGAGCTTGTTACGGGGGATACCAAAGGTGATGCAGCGTCCGCTGGAAGGGCCTAAGTTCAGGGTGTGCTCAGTAGCAGCTGGGTGAATGACACCCACAGTTGTATCCTGAAGATCGCCCGTCAGACAGGGTGCCTTCATCGGTGGATAGGGAGGTGTCGAGGCGAGGGAGGGATACAGATGATGGTGGGTGTAGTCGTAGGAGCAGGTACGGCCCGTTGTTGGCCTTCGTCTTCACGGCACTCTTTTTGCGTAGGGCCTGACACTGGAGGCGAACCTCGACTCCTGCAAGCTGCGTGAGCGGGACCGCGTCGTGACGATTGATGCGGCGACGCACTTTTGTCCCTCTCCTGCTGCACGAACAAGTCCTCAAGGGAGTGTCGCGCAGTGCCGACCAGGTTCCTCTTCTTGCTCTTCTTCTTGCTCTCCGAGCGGTGCCAGACCTGGATCTCGACCTTCGACTTCATGGTGGCGCCAGCGCTGCCCTTCTGTCAGCTTAGTCCATGGCGACGCGCTCGCAACTCACATCCGCAGCAACTCCTTGAGGTTTGGGTTCTGCCCATCGCAGCCCAGTACCGTCTCGCGGTGTCCCCCGCTCAGCTGGTCGACGTCGAGCGTCACGATCGGCTTCCACTTCTTCTCTGGGCGGAGGCCCTTGAATCCCTCCCCCCTCACCACCGTGAAGCCCCATACGCTGAGAGGGTCAGTCAGTTCTGCTTTCCTCGTCGCGAAGCATCTTCACGTACTCGTCGTCCATCGTAGCTCAGTAAGTCGCGGTTACAGAAGGTTCAGAGGCAGTACGTTGCTCGCAAAGCTCGCGTCAAGCGCACACCCTTCTCCCCCCAATTATCGCAAGATATAAGGAGCGCTCAGGCCAGGGCCGGGCGCAGGCGCTGCTGCACAGGATGTAAAACGGGAAGCAATCATGACGAAGTTGACATTGTTACAGCGCGGGCTATGCGACACGAGGCCGCCCCCATCAGATGCATCTGCGGCTGGACCCACAAAGTGCTATACTAGTAGGAACTCGAACTTCAAGAATACATTGGTGTTCATGCTTTGTACAACAGCAGCTCTTCAAATCAAACATTGCCTGAGAAGATATCGTCCTTGGACCCGAGATAGAACACAGGAATCTCGTCCAGCTGCGCGCTTACGTTCACCTTCTCGCCCCCGGCGCCGTAAGCCTCGTCCGTCCACCTACAAGTCATTAGGTCATACCTATACAGCATGGGACAAGGAAGCTCACCAATGCGTCCACTCCCAACCCTCATCCACATAAGCCTCCGGCAACTTCGGAAGATACACCTCCCAGCTCGTCACGTTTGTCGCCCACACCGGCGCAACAAGCAGCCGCGGGCCCAGCATGTACTCGTGGACGATCGACGGATCGTTGGTGCGCGTGCCCTCGACTACTGCTGGGTCCGAGAGCGAGAAGTCGTAGTAAAGCGCGCGCATGATCGTCTTGCCCGAGGCCTGGAGGTCGACGAAGAGCTTCTTGACGTAGGGGACGAGCTGGTAGCGCAGAGAGATGTACTGTGGGATGTGAGAAGGGGGTTCAATGGGAAGCGAGGGCCCATACCTTCTTCAAAACAACGAAGTTGTCATCTCCGAAGGACCAGGGCTGGCGCTGAGTGTCAGAAACACGTACATAACCAAGAGTGAACACCGTACCTCGTTCGGACATGGGTTAGCATACGACTGATTGGTAGGCCTCGTGAGGTTGCAATCGCGATCGCTGGAAGGGGAAGTGAGCGCGCGGATTATACGCAAGTCGCGCAACATACCCATGTGCCCGCATCTGTCCAACATATAATCAGCATACCTCCCTCTCTCCCGCCACCGTGTATGTACTCACATACGGCAAAAACGTCCCAAACCCAAACCACCGCACAAACAACTCCCTATCCTCCTCCTGATCGACATTCAACCCCGCAAACCCGCCAATATCGAGCGTCCACGACGAGATGCCCGATGCCGCGACGCTCGCGCCCGCCGTCACCTGCTGCGACAGCGTCGCCCACTCCGAGCGCGTGTCGCCCGACCAGAGGTACGTGCAGAAGCGCTGCCCGCCGACCCACGTGCTGCGCGTGAGGGACATGTAGGGGCACGCGGGGTCGTCGCGCGCGGTGTTGGTGAGGTTGCGGTGGCCCTCGTCGACGGCTTGTTCGTGGAACCAGGGGTACATCTTGCCGGCGCCTTCCTGCGTGCCGATGTAGTATTGGGTGAAGGCGCGGCTGTAGGGGATGTTTTGGATGGTTTGACCGTCTGAAGGGATGGTCATGAGGGAGACGGTCAGGGTGAAGGGAGATGCGTACTGTTCTCGAAAGCCTCTCCGAGGGTTCCACCTGGGGCAGCTTTTTAGTCGAGAAGTCATCGTAAAGGTGGGTCACATACCGTCTGCCTGATCGATCCAGAAGTTGTATATACCCTTAGAGAAGTAACTATCATTCAGCCGCTTCCCTGCGTCTTCTGTCAGTCCCTGTACATGACTGGTGCAAGAAACAACTCACACAAAAACTCGCGCGCTGCCGGATTCGTCGAGTCGACTATGGACACACAGTTAGGTCTCTCTCGCCCTCCACCAGAGTAAAACGCAGGCACTCACTCAACCTCGTATACGCCCCCGCAAATGAGTCCGTCACGCCCGTGCCATCACGCGTCGTCGCCAACAGACCCTGCTCCTGCAGCGCTGCGTAGTTCTCGGAGTTATCTTCGACGCTGGGCCAGAGCGAGGCCATCATCTCGGCGCCAGTGAGCTCCTTGACTTTCGCGGCCATGCCCTCGGGGTCGGGCCAATACTCTGGGTTGAAAGACCTGGGAGGGTGAATAAGGCATGAGGTGGGGAAGCGATGGAATGGGATATATAGAGCCACCAACGCACCAGTCACCCTGGTACTTCCAAGCAAAGAAGTCTGGAAATGACATGAGCATAAAGGCGTGGAGATTCACCAAACGCATACGCACCTACGACCAGCAGCGAGACGTTGATCTGTTCATCATGGAAGCGCTGCGCGACGTCGAGGACTTGTTGCTGCTCAAAGTACCGCAGTTTGGAGTGCTGGTAGCCGAGAAGGAAGTCGGGCGGCGTAGGCTGACGCCCGGTGACGGAGGTGAACTGTTTCTGCAGGGTATCATAGTCGCCGGGTTGTGCGGTCGTGCTATCAAGCTGTGTGAGTATCGCCGCTATAAAGAAGGGAAAGGGCGGACATATAGTAATCCACGACGGTCGTTTCCGTGGCATGGAAACGAGTCCTCAATGGGCTGAACTCTGGTGGCTGATCAGACTCCATCGAAGACGAGAAAGTGGGACACGTACCTATCCTCCCTTGACTAGGCATATTGAAGAACTGCAGGTACCCCTTGCTCGACATATACACCGGAAGTGCCACATTGCTATTGAAGTTGAACAAGTCCACCACCTGCCCCTTCTTATTGACCGAGTGGTCCTTGCAACACGCCTGCTGCCCCGTGCCATAGAACTGCTCGTCCTTCTCCGCCGAGAACGCGAGATCGACGGCAAAGCTATCGGAGAGGAAGTTGCGCGTGTAGTATCGCGCCGGGATCGCCTTCTCGTCGGTAAACTCGCCGGTGAGAAGCGTGGTGCTACCGTTAGGCTCGAGGCGGAAGAAGGAGAGAACGCCGAGGTCTACGGTGGCGAGAATGTTGCCGTTCTGGATAGTCGCGTTGCCGTGGTAGGGGAGGAGGGTGTCGTAGGTGAGTCCCGCATTGCCTCCGGGGCCTTCGAGGGGCGGGTCGATAAGGCCGCTCCATTCGTTCCCGGTGGGATCGCGCATGAGGCTGGTCCGGACGCGGAAGCCATTCTCGCCAAAGGGCTAGCAAGATAGCGATTGCGTCATGAGTGGTAGTTAGAAGAAGAAGATAGGAAGGATAAGCACTTGAATGAAGACGCGTTCGAAGCCGTTCTGAAGTTTGATGCCCGTGGAGTTGGTCTCGGAACCTTGCGCGAGGGCAAGGTTCGCGCAAGCAAGCGCCGCACATAGGGCGGCAAGTGATCTTAGTAGCATGCTGGATGCGGGGGCGATACCGCTGGGGATCGCCCTCATCGCGCTCGCTCTTTAAGGCGCGGCAATGATGCAGTAAACCCGGGTGAGGTAATGCTCACCTGCTGTTCGATTATTGAACATTTTCCACGCATGATCATGATGGGGTCGTTCTCGAAGTGTACCCAAGGGCCAGACTGCATTGTACCATGGGTTTCTTTGCCCGACCCAAATAGATAGGTTGGGATACGACTTGACTACTCGAAGACGAACTGGGTTTCTTGTCTAGTAGTGCAGGGTTCGCCCGCAATACCGCTCGTAGACATGGCCCGAGACCGCGGCAGAGTGGAGAGTGCGGCCCGCGGCGGGTCCAGGGAGGGCGTATGACCAAAGAAGCAGCGGAGGAGATCATGTTGTTGACGGAGAAGCCTTATGGCGGAGAAACTGTACGTCTGCAAGGGACGCTGAGCATAAGGAAATTCAGGTCGCTTATTGAGAAGCTCCAGTCAGCTGAAAGGGCTCGAATAACTCTCGATGAGAGGACATGATGGTCGAGTTCAACCCGGTGTACGGTGCCGACAGACGTGAGAACACCATCCACTTTCACGTGGCTCCCGGGCCGCCGATGAACTTGAACTCAACTCCAACGCTCACGAACGTCGATTCCGAGCTGCATTCATGTCGCCATGGAAGCCTCTGGATCTGCTCATGATCCTGTAATGAACGAATCCGAAGATGGCGGTGATGACGTCTCCCAATTGACCGCCCTTGAACAATATGGCGCGTACGACTTTGCGAAAGACGATGTATACCTGGTACGTTACATGCGCTATGGAGTACGCACGGAAACGGCTACACTGTGCCCTCTTGAATTGGCTCAATGCGTAAAACTGATCATTGTATGTAGCAAGGGCTGGCGAGCATCATTGCGGGAGGCGCCCTTCGCGATGCACCCGACTACGTTCGCGAGGAGATTCTACGTCGAACGCGCGTATTCTACTTCAACAAGTGAGTGAAAGGAAAAGGGTATACTCTCACTTCGGCTTCTCCTAACATTGTCACGTCTGCCAGAGTCACAGAACAAGACATCTCCATCGACGATGCTCGTGCCTACGAACTCGAGCACGGGATAAATGCACCTGCAGGCGTTGGACCTCGCGCAAGCTTGGCATCAGATGCCTCATCATCTGGACCCGATGCAGCAAGCAGTACAAACGAGCCTTCCGTTGCTACATCGTCCACACCAGCTTCAACCTCGAGCGCCACAAATGGCGCCAGCGCGACAACCGCCGACCCACCTCGCACCCTAACCTTCGTCGAGCTGCAGGCACTCATCGAAGCTGGGCGAGTCGACGAGATCCCCAATAATCGCGAGATACCCGATAAGCTGAACGTACGTCTCTCTTCTTTCCTGCTCCACCCTGCGTATCTTGGTTTGCATCTTCGCCTCGCATCAAGTTTCCTATGCCGCTCATCATCGCCACTTGCTGTACTTGTCTCTGACATACTTTGTCCAGGACGCACCACCAAGCCAGTCGATCGCTGCGCCGCGAAAGAAGCCTTGGGAGGTGGTAGAGGCAGTTTAAGTTGAAATTTGAAGCATTGTGTACATTAGACAACCCGTTGACAGGGCTAGCATGTCGCATTCAATGTTGACAGTTGACTGCAATTTTGACTTCGTATGAGCTCCAGGTCATAGCTCACTGTCCCAGGACACCCTTGACGCCAACACGCAAGGGTTCAGTGGTCTAATGGTTATGATTTTCGTCTCACACACGAAAGGTTCCCGGTTCGATCCCGGGCTGAACCACTATCTGGTGACGAATATTGTTTTGCATGGATTTCTTTTCTGTTACTTATTGCATGGAGCTACAACGCACGTTAGCGACGCTATGCCTGGGCAAGAAGCAGAAGCGGCCCTGATGAATTTGGCTGTCTTGATACAGGAGAAGGGGCGGTACGCCAAAAAAGTACATTGGATACAAGGATCAAAGGCTAGTACACAGAGTATGTATGTAATAGTAAAGATGTTTTTCACGCCGGTGATTGTTGTTTTGATTTCATTCTGCCCAGCCCAAGTATGCATAGCAGCTACGACTGGGAAATATGTAGAAACCAGCAGAAGAAAACCATCACGCGGCAGCGGCCTGCTTATGCGCAAATTTACCTCCTCCACGCGTAAATATGTCCTGCAAAGGCGGTCAAACAAAGGAATCTCAACATTGCCAGCCATTCACTACTCACCTTGACCATGCCCCTCATGATCATGCCCATTGCCTCCCGGCTCTCCCATACCGGGCCAATTACGACGACTCCGGCAGCGAGGAACGTCCAGGCAATCCCGATGCCGACCCATGCGGCGAGCCCGCGCACGCCGAAAATCGTCTGCGCGAAGAACAGTGGTAGGGGGATGGCGAGGACGAGGATGACGAGCTGGGCGCGGTCATCGTCAGTATCTTATGTGATACATAGTCAAGCAAGAAGACACGCACCAACGCCAATGACGCCCACGCCGCAAAGCGGAAGGCGCGCTTGAGGCCCTCGGGGTTCAGGTCGTCGTCCGCGGTGGAGTCATTGTCGGAAGGCTCCGTTGTCTTCACCGTTGCTTGTGCGCCTTTTTCGTCGGAGGGGGACGTCTTTTCGTCGCTGAGTGCCCTCTCAGGCTGGGGTCTCTCGGCTGTGTCGTATTCTGTCGGTCGGTTGATCGCGCGCGTTATCTCGAAGTCGAAGTCGTCGGGGGACTGCGTGGTGGATTAGCATAAAAGGTGGGAAACAATGAGCTGAGGTTGCATACAATGAGGCTCCAGGCTACAGAGACGATGGCTCCGACACCGATGGAGGCAAGGTTGCCCGCAAGCATCTCATAGTCGCCGCCGCTCGTCTGTTGATAACACGTTAGGTCAATCCTTGTCCATGATGGAAAAGGTTCATAGCTACGCACCGTCACATTGATAACACCGTCCCACAAGCGCGCTGTCGTCCCCAGCCAGGTGCCAAGTCCAGCGACCAGACCAATTAGAGCGCCCACGATGCACCCAGTTTTGTTGGCCTTCTTCCAGGTGACGCCAATTGCGATCGGGCAGACGGCACCGCCAAGGAGGACACCCATGAAGGTCTGTAATTATGTATAAGCGGTTCGTTTGAGACGCTGAGAATATACCGAGTACGCACGTATAACCAACCCATAGAAACACCAATATAGTAGAAGATGAGGCCAAAGAACCCGCAGGCAATAGCGTACGCGCCGACCTTGAGAAAGAAAAGTCAGCCAAGCGGCCGTTTGTGAAGCCTGGGCGACTTACCACAAAGTGACCCACGCGCAGGAGTTGCTCATCCGTCGCCTTTGGGTTGATGTACCTCTGTCCACAGTCAGACATGAGTTATGTACCGGCGCAGATCATCTGTCACACCTTGTAGATGTCGTACGTCCCGATGCTCGACACTGCGATGAGCTCTGCGCTCGTCGCGCTCGTCACGGCCAAGAAGAGCAGGATCAACATTGCCGCGGCACCCCCAGGCCCGCGCAGAGCGGCTGATGCGGCTGCAGCCGGCAGGCCCGCAGAGACGTCGGCGGCGGAGAGGGGCTTCATGTCTACACGGTCGGTCAGCGCATGGAATATTGAGGAGGTGAGATGCCACTCACCAGGATCGCGCCATGTCGCGTCCTCACTGCCGCCAAGCGCCCTCGCGGCGAGGCCGAGGGTCGTCGCAAGCGTGAAGGGGATGGAGAACCAAGCGATGCCGCCGAGGAGGTATGCACGAACCGCGCTCGCCGGCCGACTGGCGATCGCACGCTGCCAGTATGCCTGATCTTGGAAGACGGTGGCGAAGTTGCCGATGATGTTGATCACCCCGAAGATGAGGCCGTTCTTCGAGCGCATGGTGAGGTAGGATCTAGGGAGTGGTGGAGGGTCAAGAGTAGCTGGGGATCGCAGTGAAAAACGCACCCTTCAGCATTTCCAGCGACAGGCGGTGCGATAGACAGCAGCTCGTGCATTCGCGCAGGGCTCCCGATTTTGGGGCTCGTCACGTATACGGTAAAGACGAAGAACTAGATGGTACTGATTAGCCAGAGTTTCGCTCAACACAGATATGCATGCTCACCAGAATGATGATGAAAAGCGCCGTCGTGTGAGTGCTACGGCATCCATTCAGCAACACTTCGATTTACTCGATCTCGTCCACTCACTAGTCACAGAGCAGCGTCGAACGCATACCACCGACCACCACATACACGGCGACACCCACAGGGATGAGGAAGCACGCCGCGAGCGTGTTCATCCCCGTCAAGTCCGTCACCGTCGCCGACCCGCCGAGAATCAGCATCGCGCTGACGATGATGTTGGTAGCCAGCCCGAAGAAGAGGAACACCAGGTGAGCGACGGTCCCCCAGCGCGCGCCGATGATCTCGAGCCAGGTATGTGCGTAGGGGGCGTTGAGCTTGAGTTTGGCGGCGAGCTTGAGAGGATGTCAGTCGACCGTGCGTATGGTATGCATATGTCTGCTCACCATGGCAAAGAGGAGAATTTGGATCGTTGCGCCAGCTATACACTTGTTAGACGACCGCTTCTTTTCGATTATCAGTTGCAGTTGGACGCACCGGCATACCACCACGGCCCGCTGATGCCTGCTCGAGATAAGCGCCTGTCATAATCGCGAGGTACTGAGCTACGCACCATACTTGAACGCCACTGCGCTACTCTGCAATAGCGTCGCCGCCCACGTCCACGCCGACACGATGCCTGACGCGATGAGCGCCGGCTTCACGCTCCGGGACGCGCTGCTAAACTCCTCTGCGCTCTTCGGCGACCAAGGTGTGTACCGCGCTTGCATCGCGGTGAGCGCGAGCATGAACGCGCTAAAGAATAGGCCGATTCCTGACAGGGTTGAGAGCGTGTTCCCTGCTCACCAGTCCGTGTACGCACCGACGACTATGACGGAGCGAGTCAGCATTGTAGGGATGTGTCGCTACCATAAGACCACTCACCGACGCCATAGCCCGCGCCTTGAGGCAGGACCGTCTCAGCGGAGGACATGATAGATCGGCACCGCTGCTTCTCGGGCCAGGGAAGGGGGGAAAGGTCAGCATCAACCTCGAACGGGCCTGCTCCCTCTCCTCCCCATCTTATCTACCTCTCCGCGGTCGATGCCTCCGTTGCTCGGCGCCGCCGGCGTGCGCACTAACGCCCCGCTCGCACGCTAAGAGGCGCCGGCAAAGATAGACATACGAACTGTCTGGCTGCTCGCGAGGCTGATAACTTGGCTTGCTTATCGCGGAGAACTGCTCAGTGGGGTGGCCGCCACGAATGATTTCCCCATTGATTGGCCGGCGCCTATATCTTCCTCGACGATAAGTTCGTCGGAGCCCCGAGGGAGCCGTCCTTGGCAGAGCGCCCTCCCGTCTTGTGTACCTTTGGTCTGTGCCACTAGAATAGATGCTTGACGAAGCTGTCATTCTCAGGGACGTTGATGTGTGAGGTATGAGTGTACGGGTGTGCGTCTTCCAATGCTCAGATCTTCGCAATGGGCTTCGATGCTAGATCAATATGGAAGAAGATGTACGAACTCCGTGATACTACGAAGGCAAAGTTCTGCCTTCCGAGGGCGTCAGAATCTTCGCTCAACCGCTGTCGTGGATGTTGGGCCTCCGGTCGTGGCGAGATACAGCTTAGAGTGGATCTGATGAGCTACATGGCGGCGCCCTAGCACTCAGTGTTCGTTCGAAGCGCCGGCTTGAGGGTGACAACAGCGGAAGCATACGACCGAATCGAATTCGGTGGCAATCGTCTTCAATCGGCAGGCAAATCTGAATTCATCGGGCGTTGCCAGCGATTCGGGATGTGCAAGCTTTCCCGGCAGTGTATGCTCTGTGCATGATAGAGCTCCTCACTCCCTTCGCTCGTCTTTTAACTGGGCTAGAGATATTAGTGCCTTTCAATTAGAAGGAGACTCACCGCGCTTGCGATTTTCATCTTTGTGAGTTGAACATGGCGGACCTTTGAAGCGTTGCAAGGATGCGAAGCTAGGGATGCAGCTCAGATGAGCACGTAGTGTCATTATATGTGCGCGGACGCGGCGTTACAGCAGTAGAGATGGTCAGAGAGATGCAATAAAGGCCAGCCGTCAAGGGTTGGAGGGCGGACGAGCCGGAGGGACCGCGCCTTTGTCGCCGCGTCCCTTGAAGCCTTTCTCGCGCTGGTCGCTGCCTTCGGGGCCTTTGGGTTGTCTGATGTGTTTTGCTCCTTCCTCCTTCTTCGCGGACAATGACGAGCTGCTTGCTTCAGCGCTGCTGCTGCCGGAGCCAAAAATGCGTTCCCTCGCAGCCTGATATTTTGCCTCGCGCTCCTGCAGGCTTTGTGTGTTGACGGGTGGAGAGGGGGAGGGGGAGGGAGCCGCGTTTGTCGGACGCTTGAGGATCTTGAGTTGTGGCTGAAAGGCGCCAGGAGGTGGGGGGACCACTGGGTGGGACGAGGATGCGGAGGGGATGATAGTAGGCATGGGCGCCGTGGTCTGCGAGTTCCTGAAAGGGATGGGTCGTGGTCAACGTCGTCTCCATGTGGCATAGCGACCCTGCACGACGCACGCGGCATTCCACAGCTTCTGATTCCCCTCCACGGTCGCTTCCGCGGGCTCCTCGTCGTCCTCGTCCTCCCAGTCATCTCTCACTGCCGCTTTCTTTGCGGGGGGTCGCCGCGCCGATGTCTGGACGCCTGGTCTCTTTCAGGGTACTTTCGCGACTAGCGTACTCCACGCACCGAGGGCGCCTGGTCCCAAGGGTCTGCGCCGCTGCCGGCGCTGAACGGCTTGATGGACGTCATGGGCGGTTTCGGACGTCGAGCGCGGCGAGGAGGACAATGGAGATGAGGGTAAGAAGCAATGATCCTAATCTGGCGTGCTCGGATCTTACACCGTTTTCACGATGCCGCTAGCGACTCTTCTCTTCCACAACAGCGATCATGGCAGCACCCAAGGACTTCTTCGAATACGTTGATGCTAGCGCGGGCCAGTTTATCCAGCGGTTGGGGGAAGCGGTGGCGATCCCGAGGTATGTGCACCGATCGTCCAGCAGGCGGAGTGCGATGCTGACGTCCCTCACAGTATCAGCGGCGACGCTGCCCGCCGTCAGGATGTTATCAAGATGTCCAACTGGCTGAATGCGCAGCTTCAGTCCCTCGGCGTCGACACCAAGCAGGTCGAGCTCGGCACGCAAGAGCTGCAGGGCCAGACGCTCCCCCTTCCCCCCGCCGTCCTCGGCTCCATCGGCAAGGACCCCAAGAAGAAGACTGTGCTCATTTACGGCCACTTCGACGTCCAGCCCGCCGAGCTCTCGGATGGCTGGGACACGGAGCCATTCACGCTCGTTGTCGACGAGAAGTCCGGCAAGCTGATCGGCCGCGGCGCGACGGACGACAAGGGCCCGATCCTCGGCTGGCTCAACGTGCTGCAGTACCACCACCAGCATGGGAAGGAGCTGCCCGTCAACCTCAAATTCTGCTTCGAGGGCATGGAGGAGAGCGGCAGCGAGGGGCTCGACGATCTCGTTATCCGCGAGAGTAAGCCTGGAGGGTACTTTGAGGGCGTCGACTGCGTCTGCATTGTATGTATCCCCCCTCCCTCTCTCATCCTACCTTGCTCATCTCCTCCAGTCTGACAATTACTGGCTGAACACGCGCACACCCGCGCTCACGTACGGCCTGCGCGGTATCGCCTACTACTCCATTCACGTCTCTGGCCCCGCCCGTGACCTCCACTCTGGCACCTTTGGCCGCACTGTACATGAGCCCATGACCGATCTCATCGCCCTCATGAGCAAGCTCATCGACAGGGAAGGCAACATTCTCATCCCGGGCGTCGATGACATGGTGTCCGCAGCTGACGCGGAGGAGAGGTGGGCAGACTCTTCCCAATCTTCGTCACACGCTGATCACCAGACTGTACCTCCCAGGAAAATATACGAAACGCTCGACTACTCTATCGAGGACATCGAGGAGGCTGCCGGCGCTAAGATCGCCCTGTCCGACGACAAGGTTCAGGTCTTGATGGGCCGCATGCGCCTCCCCAGTCTCTCCCTCCACGGGATTGAAGGTGCCTTCAGCACCCCCGGTGCCAAGACCGTCATCCCCGCAAAGGTTGCCGGCAAATTCAGCCTCCGCCTCGTCCCGCCACAAACGCCGGAGAACGTCACGCCACTGGTGAAGCAGTACATCGAGGACGAGTTCAAGAAGTTGCGCACAAAGAACAAGCTTGAGGTCGAGTACTTGCATGGCGGGCGCCCGTGGGTGGAGGACGTGAAGCATTGGAACTACGAGGCGGCGATCCGCGCGACGGAGACGGTCTACAAGCGCAAGCCTGATCTCACGCGCGAGGGCGGGTCCATCCCGGTGACTTTGACTTTCGCCGAATCCCTGGGCGTGAACGTCCTTCTCCTGCCGATGGGCCGTGGGGATGATGGCGCACAGTAAGTGGAAGTTGTCAGGACGTTACCGATACGCCGCTAATTGTTTGCAGTTCCACCAATGAGAAGATCGACCGCTCAAACTTCATAGAAGGCGTACGTTATTCCGCAATCTATCATTCTCTCTTGCTCACCGAACGCAGACCAAATTGCTGGGCTCGTATCTCTACGAGCTGGCCGCGTCGCAGTAAATGAATGGGCGGATGTATCAATAGTTGACTATCGATTGACAGGCTTGGGACTAAGTGTAGCTACCCCGGCTTCTTCGCGTGCCATTCGCGCCATGAGTTGTCCCCTGTGAGCATACATACATAACGCTGGCGTTTGGATCGGCAGAGTTTGAATGGCTCATTTGCAAAATGATCCCCGGGGCGCGTCGCGCAATGAGCCACACGTGATCGTCGTGTTCGAGCGCGCGCCCATTTATCTCGCGGGTCGAACCCAACCATCATCACCTCCATCCCCTCACACGACTTCTTTCTCCTCCTTATACACTCTACGAACGCGACGCAATGGAGAACTTGTGAGATTGATGATACCCAAAGGCTGCTTTGTGCTAACAATCAACATGAAAGACGCCGGCGCCTCATGGGTGGTGATGAATCTTTGAATCCAACGGGACCGCGGGGTTCGCGCGATGAGCCCATCGTAAGCCATGCACCCCTTTCTCTCTGCCCTTCTTACTTATATCGTGCTTGTCTTGCAGTCCCTAGGATCTACCGTGACGAGTTCGTCCTCGGATGCGTCCTCTGACGAGGATCGGCCACAAGTCGGCAAGTCGCGCAAGAACATGGTCGTGATTTCATCAGACGAGGAGGACGACAGCGGCAGCGACAGTGAGGTCGAGGTGGCATCTACCAGGTAAGTGGCGCGTACGTCCCCGCCGATAACCTCTTACACGCGCTGCAGCAAGCCCTTAGCACCACGACGTCCTGACGGGAACAATCAAGAGTCCCGCGACCCATCCCCCATTATCAAGCCAGGCTTCCTCAATCAGAAGCCCATGGTGGTCGCCAATCAAGCCGTTCACGACCCTTTGAACCGTCCCGTCGCGCGCCCTTTCAACACTCAACCGACCGCGATCAAGCCTCCCTCCAACCCCGTCAACCGATATGGACCCATTCCACCAGGCGGGCGCTACGGCCCTGCCGCTGTACAATACATACCGCCATCAGAGCTGCCCGACGTGGAGCTGGCGCCTGGCGAGCGAGAGAACATCACCGGCGCGGAGGCGGAGAAGGCGCTGAAGGAGCTCATGGGTGGGAGCATTAACGACGAGGAGGCGGCGGAGATAACTGAGGAGGATACGATTGTGCCAGGCTTCCGGGACACCATCAGGCTGATGCCGCACCAAGTGCTAGGACGACGATGGATGAAGGAGCGCGAGGACACGTCATTGAAGCGATATGGCGGTATATTGGCTGATGATATGGGGTGGGTTTTTCACGCATTGAAGTGGTGCGGTGCTGATCCTTGAGTCGCAGTCTTGGCAAGACTATCCAGACGTTGACGCGAGTAGTGGAGGGCCGGCCTAAGAAGCAGGACAGGGATGAGGGTTGGTCAGGGAGCACCTTGTTCGTGCTTTTCTTCTTGATGTGGCGCTTCGCGTTCTGACATATATATGTTAGGATCGTATGCCCGCTCGCCCTCGTCGAGCAATGGGAGTCCGAGGCAAAGAAGATGGCACCAGGCATCAAGGTCGTCAAACACCATGGCTCAAATCGCACGTCCGGTACACAGAACTATCATACCTCTAATCCGTGACCAGCTAACCTCGACATGCAGATCCCCAGTCATTCCGGAACGTACACATAGTTGTCACCACGTACGACGTCGTCAAGTCCGAGGCGCCAACTGGCGCGACAGCCAAAGACGAGGGAGCGGCGAAGAGCAAGAAGAAGGCCGCGGCGAGCTCGGACGACGACTCGGATGATATCGTTGCGCGCCCGGTGGTGTCGAAGGGGAAGAAGAAGGCCATGCCGAAGAACGCGTTGTTTGGTATACGGTGGTGGCGGGTCGTTCTGGGTGAGTGGCATTGGATAGGGGAAGGTGTGACGGATACGTGGAGTCTAACATCGACCCCGCAGACGAGGCCCACAACATCAAGAACCACAAGACGAAGGGTGCACGCGCATGCTGCGCCCTGCAGGCCAAGTTCCGCTGGTGCTTGACTGGCACGCCGATGTGTGTGTTCCTATACTTTGTTGTTACTCCTGAATTAATCCTCGTACTCCCACCAGGCAGAACAACGTGACCGAGCTGTACTCCCTCTTCGACTTTTTGCGCATCAAGCCGCTGAACGATCTCGAGCACTTCAACCGCACTATCGCGAGGCCACTCAAGGACGGCAAGGGTGGCACGCGCGCGATGAAGCGCTTGCAAGTCGTCCTCAAAGCTACCATGCTGCGCCGGACGAAAGACCAGGTGATCAACGGGAAGAAGTTGATTGAGCTGCCGCCGAGAACAGTAAGTGTGGCACTACATTTGGCTAGCAGTGCGGTTTGGGTACTGATCATCGTCTCCCTAGTTGAACATCATATCCTGTCCGTTCAGCACGCAGGAGCAGGCGTTCTATGAGGGTCTGGAGAAAAAGATGGGCGATACGGTGCAGAAGCTTATGGAGGGCAACAATGGCGGGGGGAACGCGTACATCAGTGTTCTTTTGCTGCTCTTGCGGTTGCGGCAAGGTACGTTGCTTTGAGGATGAGGGTGCACATCATTTAACACTTTTACTAGCGTGCGATCATCCGGTGCTGGTTGAGGAAGACTACAAGGAGGACGTCGACGCTATTGAGAGCAAGGAGGCGAAGAACAAAGACGACGCAACAGACCCTGATGATCTCGCGGCGGCTTTCGGACAGCTCGGCGTGACGAGGAAGTGCAAGCTTTGCCAGGCTGAGTGGGTCCTTACCCTCAATTATCCCTGATATGCCATTGACGCAAATACCATCGCAGGCTTCCTCGTCGCAAGGCGGAAGACAAAGACGAGGACGACGAGCAAGACGAAGACTTGGACCGCTTCTGCAGGGACTGCGCCATGCTGAAGGCAATGCGTGTCGACGGGATGTCCTCCTCGGCGAAGTTACGAAAGATCATGGAGATCCTCGACGAGATCGAGGACCGCGGCGAGGGCGAGAAGACGATCGTGTTCTCGCAGTTCACCTCCATGCTTGACCTCATCGAGCCGTTTTTGAAGAAGCGTGGCGTCCGCTTCGTCCGATGTGAGTTCTTCTTGGCAAGACCTATGTCATCTCGACATCTCGGAATGCTCACAACCGCACGCAGACGACGGCAAGATGCGCGCGGACATGCGCGAGCACTCGCTCAAGCAGATCCGGGAGAACGAGAGCATCAAGGTCATCCTCATCTCCTTCAAGGCGGGCAGCACGGGGCTCAACCTCACCGCCTGCAACAACGTCATCCTCGTCGACATGTGGTGGAACCCGGCGCTCGAGGACCAGGCGTTCGACCGCGCGCACCGCTTCGGTCAGCAGCGCCCGGTGAACATCTACAAGCTCAAGATCGACGATACGGTCGAGGATAGGATACTGGCGGTACGTTGCCTCTGGAAGTTGAGCGTATAGGGGCTTCAGCTGATGAGTTTTGATAGCTGCAAGAGAAGAAGCGCGAGCTGACGAAGGCGGCGCTGAGCGGGGAGAAGGTCAAGAACCTGCGCCTCGACATGAACGAGCTGCTTGCGCTGTTTAGGCATAGCGCGGATTATGATGACGACGAGGACGATGAGGACTAGACGACTGCTACGATTTCCTTTTCATGATCTTTGGATTACTCATAATTAGACCATGAGGGCCTTTGACAGGTCGTCCCCGGCGTTGTACTTTATGACTTGGCCTACGGTATACTACTCATTGCGGGATGGATCCTTCATCCCCTCATCAGTGTTACACTTAGTGTGCACCTCGAAGATGATCTCTTGTTTACACTGGTGAACGTGCGACGCCGTCATTGACACGTTCTTCTTAGCCCTTGGTCCACTTCATACTACATCCGACCTTTGCGAGCGATTTTGTGCTAGTCCTTGCCAACTTGACCGTCCGAGCCTGGCTGAGGGCCTGAGGCTGGGGCTACCTCAACTGGAGGTCTGAAACGGAGAAAGATACTTGTCCCGGCATCAGGGCTCGAACCTCCGACCTTCTTTAGGCCCGGAACCTCCGAAACGCAAGTGTGGACACCGTTCTCGTGGTGGTGGGCAACCGCGGTGTCCGAGGATCGGTCGGGTGCCCCGACCATGAACTTCCCCTTTGGGTACAAGGACACTCGCATGTAGACCCTCGCTATGGAAGTCACACAGAGGTCGAGGAACAGCAGATATTTACTTTGACATTGAAGATATCGTTTGCGCTCCTGGGCGCTTTCAAGAGAAAATAAGTAAGTATAGTACAACGGTGTTCAGTCGAACACCCGCGAGGAACAAGTATCAAGCTCATCTGAGGCAAGTCACAGCGGAAAGAAGGAAATATCGACAAAAGTAACACCAAAGAAGAAGTATAAAGAAAACAAGGAACCAGCGAGAAAGTAAGTACAAGCGACTAGCGGTGCGTCCTCAAGGCTTTCCGGATTTCCTGCTTGCCAAGCACCTGAAAGAGTTCACGGCGGGCGGCCATATCACGGATTACGCATATCGACCACTGCTGTTGAGGTCGTTCATCGTTCCTAACCAGCACTGTCGTTGCGACAGAAGGAAGCTTTCTATGATTGCCCGTAGGCAATGTCGAGCTGCAACGCATATCGAGCGGAGCACATATTCTTCGTCGTTTCCAAACAAAAACGCGGACTGCAGGTCCATCACATGGCCACGTTTACCCCATCGCGTTCCCCCACATCGCCGGAGAGCCGTAGCGCGGGTCCATTGCGAGGTGCGGTTGAAGATGGGGATCGAGGGCATGCGCCGGTGCTACTCCTAGGCTCGCTTGAGGCTGTCCGACGTAGCCCAGATGTTCATCACCGAAGCCGAGCATCTCTCTTCCATATCCCACAGACACCCCGTCATATCTCACAGGCCCTCCCCCGTACCCCAGGCCGCCGCCATGACCCAGTCCAGATAGGAGGTGCGCGTCATGAGACGGCGGCAGCGACGCCTGCACAAGTCCGCCCATCGGCTGAGGAGCGAACGGTGCTGATGGCATAGCACCGAGGCCCTGCGACCCCTGGCTGCTCCATAGCGTCTGCTGCGACAGCGGCTGCGAAAGTGCCGGTTGCTGGCCATACATCGAAGACGGCAGCGCCGCGGGCGGGAGCGGGTTGGCACTGAGGGAGCTGTTGAAGGCACCCATCAACGGCGTGCAGAAGGTATGAGACTGTTCGCCCCAGACCTGCGGCCCGAAGCGTTGGTCTACAGGCACTCCGCCGAGCGCTGACGACCCGAGAGGGCCGGGCAATTGTCCCGGTGGACTTGTCGACGACGCAGTCAAGGGGCTCGGAGAGACGCCCAGCATACTCGGCACTCGCGGCGGCGACGCCAACGACGGCATCGCCGACTGTCGGCCATCCATGCGTCGCGGCGCCATCATACTCTTGACCAAGTCCTGGGCCGTCGTGCCCACGACGGGAGACTGAGTCATACCTCGTATTGACGAGCGACGAGAGGTAGCGTCTTTTGTGGCCGACGATCCTTGCGGCGGGGAGCCAAGAGGCAGACCGCTAGCCTGCGACGGTGGGGAGCCGACGGTACGAGCTTGCGCATTCAGAGATGACGGCCCCAATCCGCGGAGGGGAGAGGTTCCCAGAGACGATGACGCATTCTTCGCGCCGGCGTCTGCTGGCGGGCTTGGGAAGAGCGAGAAGCCTTTGTCCGCTGACGAATCCTTCGTTGGTGAGATGGGCCTGAGGGGCGTGATCGGACTCCCGATGGGCGCCATGGTCGCCTTCGCGGGCATAGATGGCACAATGGGGTCCTCAGCCATGAACGGCATATTCGAGATGGACTTGCTCCGCGTGCGACTGGGTGAGCTGGGGGCCCTGAACGCACAGTTAGTTGGGTCTTCGTTCCACGTCTCGTCTATACGTACCTGGGGTCCCAGACAATCTGTTCTTCGTCATCCACGTCCATCTCTTCTTCCGTCGTGTTGAGGTGATCGAACGCTTTCCGGACGACTTCGTCGTCGTTGACGCTGACGCCCTCGGGCAGGTCTTCCTCGATCTCTTGCACGGAGGAGCGCGGAACGTTGGTGGTGAGGGCCCCGTTCTCCGACGAGCTCCCTCCGCTGACTTCATCCGCGGCCTGCGATTCGACACCTTTGAGAGCAAATTGATTGCCGTACAAGGCGATCGGCGCATCCTGGAATGAAGATGAGTTCGTGGAGATCACGAAGAGACAACTACACACACCTCCCGCTTCGCCAGCGCCCGTGCATCTGCCAACAGGTCCGATATGCGCATCAACTGCAGCACATTCGGATGCTCCTGCGCCGCCTGATCCTCGAACGCACCGACCCCCTGTCCATCCATCTGCTTCTTCAACGGCAGGAACCCGCGCATGTCCACATCCTCCTCCAATGCGACCGTCAACTTCGGTAGCTCCTTCTCCGGGAACGCCCGCGCCAACGCGCGCGAGAAGTCCGCGTACTTCTGCCAGAACTTCACGAGCATCGTGCTCCCCTTCTTGTTGTCCTTGTCCCGCTCGCGCGCGCCGCGGCCCATCTTGCGCGCGTCCGCGACGCATTGCGGGTTCCAGTTCTTCATCACGTACGCGTAGTTCGCCTGCAGCCACTTGCTCGCAATGCGCAAGGCGGACAGCGTCCGACGGAACTCGCCTGTGATGCGCTGGGCGAGGTCGGTAGGGGAGGGAGCGCTGGCGGTGGCGTCCTTGAGCTCATCGATGCCGACTTCAAGGAGCGTGCGATGCATGAGCAAGAGGTGAGCGAAGATGCGGTACTCGGTCATCTCAGAGGACGAGGTCTTGTCGCGGAGCATGCGGTGCTTCCAGAGGGCGGCTTGGGCGAGAATCATGACGTCTTCGATCACATCGGGCGGAAGATGGCGCTGAGAAATAAGGAAGTGGAAGTCAGTGCAGGCGGAAGAGGTTAGTTTCCTGAGAAGGGAGTCGAGGGGCCTGCGGCATGGATTAGGTGATAATATTGAGGAGTTGCAGGCGAGACGTACTTCTCTGATCCATTGCGCGAAAGAGTATGACGCCAAAGAGCATGAATAACCACGATCTTTTCCTTAAAGCCTTCAATTCGCGCACGTATATTGACGTCGCCTTCCTCTTGCTTCTTCTCGTTCTTCTCGTGCTCTTGCTGCCTGCGTCGCTTGTACTGATCCAAAGCCTTATTGAACACGGTCGCCAGATTATCCGCCGCCGGCTCGTACGGTTGGCGCACGCAAAGCGCCCGATAGTAGTGCACGACGGACGAGAAGACGTCATTCTGGTACGAGGCGATAATCGCCATCTGGTGAGAGGGGTTGCCATCGTCGGGGACCAGACGTCGCGCGTGCTCGTAGCACGACTGGGCCCGGTCATAGTTTCGCGGCCGCCGTTCCAGGTTGGGTTCCTTGTTCCGCCCCCGCCGTCCGCCACGCTCGCGCTTAAGCGGCGCTAACAGCTCGTGCTCTTCGTGGCCTGCCCGCGGGCGCCCCCCGCTCTCGTTGTACTGCTCCCGATAGCGTGCAATGTCTCCCATGCATATCAATGCCTTGCTGAGGATCGAGAGCCGACTGTGGCGTTGCTCGTCCGTCATCGGCTCGGTGTACGGTGGGGGATCGGGGAAGTGATGCTGGTTCCGCGCTGTCGGTGGCGGAGCGTCCTCCTTGCCTTCGAGTTCATCTTGCGTAGCCAGCTTGAGTTCGAGGAATGCGTGATTGGCCTCCCGAAGGGCGAATGCCCGGCGGAAGCGAGCGGCGAACTGCGCCCAAAACTTGTCTTCGTCAGCCAAGAATTGGCGGAATCGTTGCGTGAGCTTGCGGTGTTCGACTGGACCATGTCCGCGCTGGTTGTTTGGGCCCGGGCGAGCGCCATGCTGGATGGCGCGATCGATAGCCGCGATGCGCTGCTTGTAGACGGTGATGAAGGAGTAGGAAGTCTGCATCCAGAGGTGGGTTTCGGCATCTTTGGCCTCATTGGCATAGGGGTGCAGGAGGAGCAGGCTGAGGTATCGCCGCCGCAGACTATGACGTTCGGTCAGTGGCGAGCCGACAATGCAAGGACGTGGCACGCACTCTTGCCGCTGGAACTCGACCTCCCTGTCCCACGGGTCGCGCGTTTTGAGGAACTCCTTGAGGCCGGCATGGAGGCCTTTCGCCTCGCTAGTGAATCATCAGAGGGGGGGCCGTGTACTGGGGAGGTGTCCGGTACCGCGCAATAGTTGCTGGTTCAGCCATCGTGTTGGGGTACCAAGTTCAAAGATTCAGAGTAGCGACGGGGAAGCATCAGGAGTCCATGTCTGCCCTGGTCAACGTCGAGTGTGAGCAAGACGGCGAGAAGACGGAGGTATGCGAGTGGGTGGTAGAGGCGAAGATCAATAATGACCAATCTGGCGAGAACTGGTGGTGGGCACCCGGAGCTCCGAGCCATTGACATCAATGTATTCTTGTTTACTCGCATTTTCCCACCGAAATATGGCGTCGCCAATGTGACCCGGGCAAGGCCAGTTCAAACCTTCGGACGCAGCGGGATGTGGTGACACCGACAAGTACAAGATGACCTATGACTGGATTCCCACTGGCATAGATAGTCCATTCAGACGAGCAAATGGCCATGTCCCTTTCGGGAAAGAGCGAGTCAAGCCACTATCAAAATCATCAGTCCTTTACAGAATCAGTTGGTCAATATGTATGTGAAGTTTTGAGTGGGCCACGCAGCTGCATCGACCTGGATAGTCGCCGCAACGGGGCGGTCGGACCATCCCAAAAAGGAAGTCATTGTTCGTCATGCACGTTTTACGTGCGCAAGTATAGTAACAAACCCAGCCTTATAGATCGCAGGTTCCAGATATGCTTGCAGTATAATCAATCTTCGTAATACGGTACGAGTCAAGCGTGGTTCGGGCTCATATAGGGCTGCAGCTCTCGAGGGATTGTCGTGGGAAAACCTTCGTTCACGTGAGGACAGCACGTTTTGACGAATTCTGTCGCTTGCAAGCCCATCAAGGCAGCTTTCTGTAATTCATGGTGGCTCGTAGTAAGCATGCCGGAGACAGATCAGTACTCAATTGATGTTTCTGAGAATATCGCCTGCGTACGAGTAGGACGAACGAGGGCAGACTTTTGTCCGTGACCGTCACACCTTTGATCTCTTCTGTTCTCTTCGCTTGACCTCTGCGAATACAATACGGATATGATGTCCCGACAGTACTCCTCGTGGCTATCCTAGGTCCTTCAACTCAATACTCATGGTACACTGGCTGTGCGATGCGGACTCGAGCAGTTGAACACTGTTCTGAACAGGCCGTGGACCATTAGCACGTGTCAAAACGGAAGCTGCCGCCACGCGCCCACTTCTCGTCGTGATAAACCACGATGAGCTCGCCACTTCACCCTGATCTCTGCAAGCAACGGGTGCCTTACTATGCAGCGGATCTTCATCAGATCAGCTCATCGAGTTATCGTTTCGTTTGACCCAAGGTTTGACCCTTCGGCATGGCTGATTGACCGTGTGCACCGCTGCACAGCGTATCAAATGGCTTTGAATACATACCGACGGCGGCGATGGGCAAGTCCCTTCGCTTTCTACCTCATCCTCAGCGTCAAAGATGTCTGCTTCTGCTGGAGACGATCTTGCTGGTCCTGCTCTCGCGTTTCCTCCGGACTTTGAGAGCGACGGTCGGCAGCCATCAACTGGGACCCTCTCCAGTTCGCTTCCCCCAAAAGCGCTGACGACTACGGCCGCGGAGGAGCTGGAGGCTCTAGCAGTCGCAGCCCTGCGCATCTTACACTACAGATGCACGAGCTTGGAGAATGTTGATCTCAGTGCGTTCTACTTCCAGCATCTTACTTCGGAAGCTCATTCGCTTCAGCTGTGATCGATGCGCAAGGAGTTCGGAGGGCACGTTTGAACACGACGGAAGACACGACTGTACAAGGCGCTCTCGCAGACGCCCGTAGCTCCCTCGCGACCGCGACGCGCTGCGATCTAGAGGGCCAAGAGGTCAAGCTTGCACTATCCGCGTCCATCCCGCTCGGTCCCCAGTGCGTAGCTCTCTTTGCTGCAATTTCAGCACATGTTGACGTATGCAGACAAGCTATCGATATGTATTGGCTTGTCAGTCAAGATAGCTTCGAGATCACCTACAACACAATAGTCTTTCATCCGGAGACCATACATGTTCTAGCTCAGTGCTACCGTGAAGCCTTCGAAGCTGTCCTGCGCCCCTCCGACGTCCTGGTCTCGCATATACCTTTTGAAGTAGCGCCCGTGCTGCTTAACCGTGCCAACGTAGCTACCACCCCGCCCATCACGCCGTCGTATGAAGGCCGCGTACTTCGAGATGCCTTTCGTGACGCAGTCACCAAGTACCCCAATGAACTCGCTTTGGACGACGGCACGACATCCTTCACTTATAGCGAAGTTGATCTCCTTACGAACGCTGTGGCACAGAAGATATCTGAAGCCCTCGCTAGTTCGACCTTGCACGCCGGGTACATAGCGACTTGCATCCCACCCTCACCTCTTGCAATTCTTGTGATCCTGTCCATTATCAAGTATGGCTCGGCGTATGTTCCCCTGGACATCCGGCTTCCCGAATCACGCCTACAATGGCTCGTCGAAGATTCCGGCTCTTCCCTTCTCATCACCGTTTCTGATTCTCCCGCATTCACCCCGGGCGTCCCAAGACTCGACCTCACTGACTTCCTCTCCAATGCGAAATCCATCCTTACCTCGCCCAACCCAACTATGCCCGCTATCCGCCCCACCGCCAACGACGTCGCGTACATCATGTACACCTCCGGAAGCACTGGCCTCCCCAAGGGCGTCCGCATCCGTGCGCCGGCCGTCCTCTCCTTCGCATACGATGGCGAGCCTCAACGCGTCGGACCCCGCACGCGCGTCGCGCAGGTGAACAACCTCGCCTGGGACGGGACCGTCTTTGACGTCTGGTGCACCCTCCTGCGCGGTGCGACCCTCGTCAGCTTCTCGCGTTACGACGTGCTGGACCCGGCGTTCCTGGCGCGCCTGTTCCACGAGCGTAACATCACTGCGACGTTCTTGCCGACAAGCCAGCTCAGGCAGATATTGGCGCATGCACCGGCGCTGTTCGAAGGGCTGGAGTCGATCAGTTTTGGTGGGGAACTGCTGGGGTGGGAGCATGTGAGGCAGCTGAGAAAGCTGAATGAGGGGATGCGGATGTACCACGTTTATGGGCCGACGGAGTGTTGTTGCTATGTCGTTGGGGTAAGCGTATTTCATTTGACACAGCTTCATCGTATACTAAAGTCTCTCAAGTACGAGATCCCTCCATTGGAGGAGATACCAGCCCGTGGTGTCGTTCCTATCGGACGTGCTCTCCCCCCTGCGCAGGTATTAGTCCTCGATCCAAACCAGCGACTCGTACCACCCGGCGTACAAGGCGAGCTATACATCGGCGGGCGACAGGTCGGGGAGGGATACCTCAACCGACCTGCTGAGACGGCCGCCGCCTTCGTTGACCTCGATGTCTCGGGGGCCGGCGAGGGCCCTTCAAGATTCTATCGCACGGCGAGTACAGTGACACATTGTCTTGTGCAAGCCGACTGACTTGCCTTTAGGGAGACCTGGTCAAGTGGCTTCCGACAGGCGTAATCCAGTTCGAGAGACGGTTGAACGCTGGTCAAGTCAAAATTCGCGGTCAGCGTCTCGAACTCGCTGAGGTTGAAGCGGCCATTGTGCGGACCGGCCTTGTCGCCGATGCTGCCGTGGCTTGCGTCAAGGAGGGAGATCCATACTTGGTCGCCTTTGTTGTGCGGGATCAGGCCTCGAACAAAACGACCGTGTCAGAAAAGGATGTCTTCGTCGCTCTCAAGGCCTCCGTTCCCGCACACATGATCCCACGCTTCATTTACTTCCTTGACACTCTCCCGCTCAATAACAGCGGCAAGCTCGACCGTCGAAAAATAGAGGCACTCGCACTCGAAGCCCACGCTCGCGGCTACGAGCACCATCATGCTGTCGAGGTCGACTACGATGCACCGCGCACTGAGTTAGAGCGACGGATCTGCGAAGCCTTCCAGGATATCCTCTGTCTCAGGGCCGTCGGTGCGACGAGCGATTTCTTCGACATTGGCGGCCATTCGCTGCTGGCGCAAAGGCTCAAGTGGCGGCTTACCGAGCAAGAGCAGGTGGAGCTGGGTCTACCGGACATCTTCGCTGGGCCGACGCCAAGGCAGTTGGCTGCGAGGATCGAATCGCTGCTCAAAGACGTTAGCAGCTCTCAGGCGGTGTCTATTGCGGACACGGTGCGCGCGTTGCCCGAACGGCGACGGGACCTTCTCTCGCTGGGTCAGCTTCGCATATTCAACCTTGACCGATTGGACGGGCCGGAAAAGTCTGTCTGCAATAGCGCGCACTGGTTGGTCCTTGAAGGCGATTTGGACGTCGAGGTTATGGCGCGCGTCGTTGAGGACATCGGACACCGTCACGAAGCTCTGCGCCACATCTTCGTGCCAACGGACGACGAGCCGCGGCTGAAGATCGTCGACACGGTGCCCTCGATGGAGGTTATTGATGTCGAACCCGGTCTACAAGGCGACGCACTAGATGACTTACTCCGATACCACGCCACCCGGCATTTTGAGATAACCACCGAGACCTCATACCGACCTATCCTCTTCCGCTTGACCCCGCGCAAGCATATTTTGCTACTCTCCATGCATCACATCGATACCGACGGCTTCTCGCGCGACGTCCATTACAAGGAGGTCAGAGAGCTGTACTCTGCGTATGTGGACCGCCGCGAGCCCAACCTCCCGGGATTGCCCATACAGTACAGCGACTGGGCCCAATTCCAGCGCACCCCCGAATACGAGCGTTTCATCGCACCACAGATGGAGTACTGGGTCAACAAGCTCGACGGCTTCGTACCTCTGGAGATACCCCTCGACTTCCCCCGGCCCTCCGTCGTCGACCACGTCGGCGGCCTCGAGGTCGTCGACTGCCAAGCCGATCTCGTGCATGCGCTTGATGCCCTCTGTCACGCTGAACGCGCGACCATGTTCATGGTCCTCGTCGCTGCCCTCCGCTGCGCGGCCTTTGCACGCGACGGCGCTGCCGACGCCGCCTTCCCAACCACCGCCGCTTGCCGGAACCGCGCAGAGGTCGCCGACCTCGCGGGCTACTTCGTTAACCTCCTCGTATACCGCATACCCATGCGTGCTGGGGTGAAGTTCCGCGACGTACTGCGAATGGTTAGGGACGACTCCCTTGAGGGCATGGCGCAGCAGGATGCGCCGTACCCGCGCGTCATGGCCGAGCTCGCCGCGCGAGGGACGCCTGTGGGGACGCGGCCCTTGAGGACGATCATAGGTTACCATGTTCTGGATGCTGGGTACTTCGAGGCCGGTGGCATTCAGGCGTCGCCGATTGAGGTGAACATGCATGCGATGCGGTGGGACATCGAGATCTTCTTTAACCGGCGGGAAGGTGCGCATAGGATGTGGGGCGAGGTCAACTACAGGAAGGACCTTTATCGGAAGGAGACGATGAGAGCGTTCGCCAAAAGTATACAGGAGATCCTAGCGCGGGCGGCGCGGGATCCTGACTTCGAGGTGGTGGCAGGCGGGCAACCAATGGGAGGTGTATAACAGGTCGTGTATCTTCGAATTAGAGTGAGGGCGTAAGCAGAAGTATGCGAGGTGGGCGTCGTAGATATAGATTGTCTGTCTGGCCTCTTTCCCTGAGGATAGGATCGGCGCGTACGGTAGCTCTTCCAATGATATGAAGTGTACTGCTGGAGCCTCTGTTGCTAAGGATCGAATAATGCTACTGCGGTGGCCATGATTCGGGAAGAGGTTTGTGGCACCAAGATCATTCTTCCTCACTGAGGTTTGGAAAGAATCCAGGCTATCAGTAGGTGTGCTGGGCCTTGGGTGAGTGCATCGTCTAGTTCATATCAAGCATCAAGCGACGGGTCAATTGTATGAATTTCTAGCCATGCTTACTATGAGTGATACATGTGAAGAGGGTTCGGATGTCAAAGCTACATAATGTGAGTATTAATTCTACTGGGTAGAAGCGTCCATACAAGTAGCGTAGATCTGCAGGATAACCAATAACCATACATCGAGAGCACACTTGCGAAGTCCGTGGGCGCATACTAGGTACCCGCGCGTGCGCATTCTAGTTACCCGTAGGGCGTACAACATCGTACTCGACGAAGGTGATCTGCATGTTCTGCGCCTGCGCAAGCGCGGAGTCGCTGAACTTGTGGACGTCCACGACCTCGATGGTAAGGGGAGGGTAGGCGGGATTGTGGGCTTTACGATTCAGGTCGTCACGCGTGCGCAACGCCTTCATCAACTTCGCTGGGGTGACCGGCTTGTTCAGGCAGAGATAGCGTAGGTTGGGTAGCCTGGACGAGCCTTCGCTCTGCAAAGCTTTGAGTACGTGCGTCTGCAGATTGCTGCCCGACTTGAGCTCCAGAGACACCAGGCGCGCCGCTGCCTCAGAGCAAAGGTACTCTTGCAGTGCCTTTTTGTCGCGGAAGTTGAGCTCGAGGCAAAGGTGAGTAAGTGTGCTTCTCGCGCGCCAGAGAACCTGGTAAATCGTGGCGTCGTGCTCTCTTTCTGCTGTCCCAAGCAGAGACAGGTGGACTCTGACAAGCCTCGACGCGATCAGGTCCTTGAGAAAGACGTCGACCTGGGTGCGCGTCTTGCCGTCGATCTTGCCAGTCCCGCCCTTCAGGATGAGCGAAACGAGGTCAAGTGCGTCTATAACGATGGACGTGAAGGACTCGTCAGGTCTCAGATTATCGACGTGCAGACCGAAGGGGCCTGCGGCCCTCCGGATCTGGCCTAGCAGAAAGTTGGTCATCATGCTACCGCTTGCCAGTGCGTGCCGAAAGTTGCTATAGGGCGCGGGGTAAATAGGATCGAGCTCATTTCCCGAAGTCGCAGGGTACGCTGGGTTCGTTATAAGGACGAAAGGGCAGCAAGGTGGTTGTCAAAAACGCAGTGATCACCGTTGGTGGAATGATGCTCAGATCGCCCCATTCTCGCAATTTCTTGAGGCTCGGCGGGGGGCCCGGATTGCGGCCTATATGCCTGATTTTGCAAGTCAGTAAGATGACTCGCATGTGGCAAACATTCGTACTGACGCTGCTGATGCCGTATATGAGATGACAACCTTCTTCTTCCTCTGATTCCGTTCTGGAGCCATTGCAATGGGTGATGACGAGTGTGAGATAGATAGCTTTGCCACTGGGATGTAGTCAGGTTGTTTGGTGGTACTTCCAGTCGAGGCGAGTGCCGTTTTATATCTGGACGGAGACTGGTCTATGTCGAGGCGCTTCTTCCTTGCCGAATGACGAGGAGTAGCGCCCAATATCACAAAACATGTGGCGCTAGACGCTACATCGTCCAGAGGAACCCCAATAGTACTTGAGTAAAGCTATTCAAGTTCACAAAGTGAGCATTCACGAGGCGCTGCGAAGCCGACCTTCATGGTCCTACCACTGATGGCAGAGCTTCCTGCGAGATGCGTGCACATGATAAGGTCACAAAGGGTACAGGCTCAGTGATGTCGCCGCTAACGACATGATGTACACTGTATGCCACGAGCTGTGCTACGCCAGGACCTTCGGCGGAGCTGTGCTGAAGGCGCTGCACATATCAACGAGAGAAGCAGTGGTTGGATCAAGCAGAGTTTCTGAGAAGCTCGAGGTCAGAAGACCGGGGTCACAATAGCGTTGCCACGGCGCGGCGACCATGAGGAGCAGGTCCAACCGGAGGAGTCACGGTTCGTCACAATGGACCGGAACACTGCGGCCGGCTGATCCGGCCCAGGCGCTGCTGCTTATAAGCGCCACAGCCCTTGCCAGAAACCATCTTCGTCGGATACAAGTCCAACTGGCTATCACGGGACGTTGCACCGGATGTGCTCTTATCAAGCGGACATCTGCAGCTCTCCTCTTTTTGGGAGTTGCGGTTGTCGTGCTGTAGATTGAGAACCACTGCGCGGTGTACACTATGTGGTAGTCGGGTCGCCACTGCCGTCGTTGCCTGGATCGTCGGCTCGATGATTCTGTCAGCGATGGCGAGACCTGACAACGTTTGGGCCCACCAAGGCGTACGAATGGCTTGGTAACTCTCCCAGTCGTAGGCTGCGGTGGGTGGACTTGTATCCATCGCGAGCGCTCGCGTGACGCCGTCGATGCTGCTCAACTGCGCCATCGCTTTTGCGGTGGCAATGGGAGTCAGCGGAGGTGCCGCACGTGTGTTTGCAGCTACGTTTCTACGTCGTCAATGATGTCTCTCGCCTTTTGGCGCGCGGCAGAGGCGACTCAGTATTCGTGGCATCGGCGAAGGATTGTCGTCGTCGGACACCAGGCCAACTGGCTACCATGGGCATGCGCCGGATAGGCTCTCCCGTAGGCAGGCGTCGGTATATTCCTTTTGGAATAGGTCGTGCGCCCTGCTGATCAGGGTGAGGAAGACAGCTGTGCGGCGTACACTATATGGTAGTCGGGTCGCCACTGCCGTCGTTGCCTGAACCATCGTGTAGATGGTTCGGCCGGCGTCGGAGAGGCCTGACATCGTTCGGGCCCATCACGACTACGAATGGCTTGGTCACTCTCCCGGACGTATGTCGTGGTGGGTGGTCTGGTGTCCACCACGAGCGCTTGCGTGGCGCTGTTGATGCCATTCCTTTGTTCTATCGCCTCGGCGATACAGCGGGGGATGGTGGAGGTGCAGCGGAAGCGCTCCCAGCCACATTCGTGTGCTGCCAGTGATGCTACCCGCCTCTTGGCGCGCGGTGGAGGCAGTACACGATTTGTGGCGTCGGCGAAGGGCGAGTTGGCCCTCGAAGGAACGTCCTACTTAGTAGCGGAGTCTCCTCGCGGAGGCCTGCGAACGGAATACTTCTGCGAGGGCCTCTCGCGCTTCTCCGATATCGACGGCCAATATTTGGGACCCCTTCCTCCTTTGGAGATTTGTTTTTTACTACTGACATATCCTCTAGGTCGCCGTCGTCGGACACCAGGTCAGCTGGCTGCCATGGGCATGCGTCGGATGAGCTCTCCCGTAGGCAGGCGGCGGTCCTCTTCTACTCGGAGAGGCTGTGCGCCTGGTTGATCAACATGAGGAAGCCAGCTGCGCGGTGTACACTATATGGTGGTTGGGTCGCTGCTGCCGCCGTTGCCTGGACCATCGGGTAGATGGCTTGGCCAACGTCGGTAAGACCTGACATCGTTCGGGCCCATCATGACTACGAACGGCTTGGTAACTCTCCCGGACGTACTCGCGGTGGGTGGTCTTGTGTCCACCACGAGCGCTTGCGCGGCGCTGTTGATACCACTCCTTTGCTTCATCACTTGTGTGATGGATCTGGGAGTGGTCGAGGTATCGCGGAAGCTCTCTCAGCTACAATTATGCATGATAACACAAAAAATCACAATACCATCACTGTTGTGAACCGATTGGCGGAACAGGTCCACGCACGACAACTCGACCATAAATACTAATATTCAGAACCACATCCTACGATAGTCTACAGAACACAATGAGCCAGACATGATGGAATACAGAACATTATCCTTCCCAAGGCGACAGCAACAGTTCGTTGGCGGGGCATTGCAATTCCCTTCGACGCAATCGACGATCTTCATCTTCAACTTCACGTCTGACATCTATGTCACCTCTTCATTAGCGTCGTGGCGTCGTCCTCTAGACGGACGGACGTCCAATGGTGGTGACCTAAATGAGAGATCCGTCAGCATAGAGTTCATCAATCACCCGCTCCTCTTGCTCAACATCGCGCAGACCGAGATAGCGCCTGCCCTTTCGTCACATCGTCTGCGTCCGACAGATAAACCTCGGACGAGCCGCATTCTCAAACTCTGCCCAACCTTCCCACGTCCGCTCACAGAAGGAAAACACCGCACAAGCGGGACACAGCTCACAGCCAAAACAAAAAGGCTTTCAACAACTCACCCTGAATCCAATCTCCCTCAACCGCTGCGCGTCGAGCAACAGCCGCCCGTCGAACACGAACGCCGGCTTCTTCATGCTCGCATACACGGCCTCCCAGTCGATCTCCTTGAACTCCTTCCACTCGGTCGCGATCACGATCGCCTCCGCGTCCTTGCATGCCTCCATGGCAGAGTGGCAGATCGTGACCTGCTTCTGGACTGATATGAGGGTTAGCAGATGTTTGTGACGCATACAGCCAGAGGTTACACGGTAGACAGGGGTCCAGGGCGAGCAAAAGGAGTATGTGACGGATCGGGGAAAGGAGGTCGATAACAAGGAGCGCATATAGGCACCCAAAGGCAGCAGAAACGACACCAGCGTGTAGTTTTCTCCCCTCCATCGCCGCACGGAAGAAAACCCGAACACTCACTATTCTCCCTCCCCAAATCCGGCCGCGCCTCGTCCAGGTCCAACCAGATCTGCTCCTCCGTCACCTTCGGGTCGTACACGTTCACCCGCGCGCGCTCCGATAGGAAGTCGCGAATCAGCGTGATCGCGGCGGACTCGCGGGTGTCGCCCGTGTCGGCCTTGAACGCGAAACCGAGGACGGCGATGCGCTAGGGGGAGGGTTAGTAGGTGGATGGCGAGCAGGGAAGGGTCAAGGCAGCGGGTCCACGGATGATGAGATGTGAGGGGGTGTTCGTGGAAAGAGGTCTGCGTTGCAAGGAAGAGATGCAGGCAGATATCCAGAGTATCAGCCGCATATATGCGGTAATTTCAGCACATATACCCCGGAAAATTGCGCATACAGCTGCCCAACAACCCATGGAACCAACTCACCTTCCCCGTAATCGTGTTGAACATTGTGTCCACGATCCGCTTGCCGAACCGTCTCTTCTGGTACTCGTTCAAGTCGACGACCTGACGCCAGTAGGCCGCGACCTCCGGCAAGTGCAGCGACTCCGACAGGTACACCAAGTTCAGGATATCCTTCTGGAAGCACGAGCCACCAAAGCCTACGGACGCCTTGAGGAACTTGGGGCCAACACGCGAGTCGTAGCCAACAGCGTTCGCAACCTCGTCGATGTTGGCGCCTGTGGCTTCGCAGATGGCGGAGAGGGCGTTGACAGAGGAGATGCGCTGAGCGAGCATGGCATTGGCAGCGAGCTTGGAAAGTTCGGAGGACCATAGGCCGACGCTGAGGATGCGCTCGCGGCTGGGAGCGATTTGAGCACCGGGCGAAGCGAGGAAGTACGTGGACTCACGGAACCCAGTTAGCATACACGTCGACGAGCGACTGGCACGCATCCTTCCCCTCCTGCGTTTGCAGGGAGCCGATGAGGACACGGTCGGGCGCGAGGAGGTCCGCGATGGCAGTCCCCTCAGCCAAGAATTCGGGGTTGGAGAGGATGTCGAAGCGGCAGCCGGGTTTGGAGTTCGCTTCGAGGATGGTGCGCATAGACTCCGCGGTACGGCACGGCACCGTCGACTTCTCGACCACGATCTTGGACGTCTCCGCGATGTCCGCAATCTTGCGCGTCGCGAGCTCAACGTAGCTGATCGCGTGGGTTAGCACGGAGGGGGGAAATACGCTTTGGAGCACGCACTTTAGATCCGCCGCATAGCCCGCGCCGACGCCGGACTTCTTCGTCGGGGTGTTGACGCTGACGAAGATAAGGTCGGCCTCCTTGATGCTCGTGTCGACGTCCGTAGAGAAGAAGAGGTTGCGGCCGCGGCAGCCCTTGACGACGTCGACTAGGCCGGGCTCGTAGATCGGCAGGTCGAAGTTGTCGCTGTTCCACGCGTCGATGCGCGGCTGGCTCAAGTCGACGATCGTGACCTGGATGTGGGGACACTTGAGCGCGATGACCGCGCACGTAGGCCCGCCTTGGCGCGATAGTCAGCGCGGGGAAAGGGGGGCAACGCGTCGCACTCACCGACATATCCTGCGCCAACTGAGATGGGGGAACACGTCGTGAGCGATGATGAGCAGGGCGTGGGATGGCGTGCTCACTGCAGCAGATCTTCTTGACTTCGACGGGCATGTCTGGGGGACGGCGGTGGTGGTGGTGGGAGGAAAGAGGGGAGATGGGTCAGGGCCTGGGGCGCCGCAAGCTAAATTGACAGTTGGACGCGTCGGGTCGAGGTCCATCCATCCGCGCCCACGTGCTCCGGATGGGGCCTAGTAAAAAAGCCGGAAGGCGCCGTGAGGCACCGTCCCCCAGCCGTATTCTGACTGTACGGGCCGTGTGAGCCGGAAGGCGCCGTACTATTCCTCCCAAATCGTCGTCTTTGCATCTTCTGTCTCCTGAGTGCGGTCTTCAAGGTGTGTTTGCTGCCGGATGCCCTGATAGAGCACTATTTACCTCTCTTATGTTCCAAAGATGAGCTCAAATAAGGCAGTATAAAGCAATACAACCTAACATAGTTGGTGGCAAGCCACGTGTTGCTCGCTGAGACCAAGCGAGCAACACTGAACACTCATGTGGAAGTTGAGATGCCGCACCCATATATCACGCTTTGAAATCCAAATCTCATGAGAGAAAGAGGGAGAGAAGAATCGGTGCTTTTTTGTTCTCTCCCTAAACGCAGGGGTTGAAAGGGGTGCGCCTGCAATTACGCAAGCGGTTGATGCATTAAATGTTGACATCGAGCCATCGACGCCGCGAACGAGGCTGCTTGCAGCGACCCTCCATGTGCTATATGGCGATACCATACCTCGTCTTGGGTATGGGATTGTGGTCATCGTGATCTACAGCGCTTTACTGCATGTCTGGGATGGGTGGGTGGTTATGGGCGCGCGTCACGCCAAGCACGCTGACGCGTGACCGCGTCGCGCGCGCCTGCTGGCGCCCACGTTATGACGTCACTTTTCGCGATAACTCTTTGTCCTTGTTTGGTCGGGGAACCAGCCCTATGCATCGTGGGTTAGTCAGTGTTGCTCGCTCCGCCTTTCCCTCCCTCGCAAGCTCGGGGGGTCCCTTAGGCGTCGCTCGCAAAAATGTGTATCGTGAATTTCAAGTGCAAAAGGTAGTCAGGTCAGTATGTGTCCTACGAAACTTGTTCCGAGAGCCCTGGATGCGATCTTTCGTCACTTATAATGGTTGAAACAACGGTTGGATAATGTGTTAGGCGCCCGGCTTTTTCTCACGTCCCCTCCGGATGTTCGACTTCAGACGCGCCGATGCGCCCTGGACCGACACCGCATGAGCGGGCACAACGCACACGCCGGCGACGAGAGGCCATCCTACATAATGAGGACACCAACTAGAACGGCCTTGTCCGACGCGCGGACGTACGAGCGTCGCACGCACATCTAGCACTGAATGAAGGCAACATGCCAGCATGCGAACCAACGGCAGCTATCGTCCCTCATTCAAGATCACAACCACCCTCGCCTCCTGTGCAACTCCGCATATCCTTGCAAAATCTATTATACAGATGTGTAAACTACCATTAAGTTCGGCCGAGCGTCCAATACACTAAACCCAGTACAACATGAAGTTGAAGGAGGAAGGAGAAAAAGTATACGACCTTGCGATATGTATATGCCACCCTGGCGGTGGAACGGGATGTCAACCGTGTATAACCATCGTGCAGCAGTGCCCGCCCTCCGCGACGCACCTCTAAAACCCCTCAGCCAATCCTCCTCCGCCGCGTCAGCTCCAAGCCCCCGAACGTCGCACCCGAGATATCCTCGCTCGACCGCTTTCTAGCGCCCTTCCCGAGCAATGAAGCCGCAGTCGCTGGTGCAGCCCCACTCCACGCCCCCGCGCCTAGCAGCTCCCCACTACCACCATCCGAGCCCAAAATCCCCTCCCAGCGTCCGCTCCCGCGCGCCGCATGAGCATCGCCTGATGGCCTGCTCAGCGAGTTCCGGTTGCTGGCGCACTTGCGCGACGCGGCGAGGGGCGTAGGCTCCAGATGATCGTGCGCGTGCGGCTGGATCGCGACATCCGCCTGAGTCGGTGGCGCGTGTCGCTGCGAGTGGGTCTGATAGGCATTATCCGTGCTTATCATGGGCGCCGGGATATCGAGCTGTGCGAGCCCGCTGAACTCGTCGAGGTCGTCGAGGAGGGGGCTGGAGGTGGGCGAGAGGAGGGTGCTAGCGGGAAAGGGCGAGGAGAGCGGGTGAGAGGGGAATGAATGGGGTATATCCTGGTCGACGTCCATGGCGTCGACGTTTGCTGGCGGGGAAGCGGGAGTGTGGAGCAGAGTTGGCGTCGAGACATTTTCTGCGGGACGATATGCGGTGCTCTACGTAGGGCGTTGTTTATCAGTCGTAGGGATATTGTGGAGAGGCAGGAGAACGCACGAAGCTGCTTGCAGAACGGGAGCTGGAATTCAAGAGATTATCACGGGAGAGTGCAAAGGTCTATCGCGAGGTTTCGTGAGACGTCGGTCTTCTGCGATATACATCTAGAGGACGCACCTGCGGAATCCGAGCGCGCGAGCGCCGCAAAACGCGTGGGCGGGGTGCTGGTGCGAGATCCGCTGGTGCCGGGCCAGAGATTCCAAAGGGCATATGGAAGAAGGGAAGCGGGCGAAGACCCATCGTCGCGCCAGATGCCTCCATCAATACTTCTTTCAGGAAAAGATGTCGAGGATGGCAGACGGGGTGAAAGACTCTGTCAAGGTCCGCCGTGCAAAACAGGCGCCGTCCGTCACGAGTTGAGTCCGTAATGAGTCGGCGGGGCTGCTACCCATGAGGGGGCCGCGTCAGCATACTATGTATATAGGAGGCGTGGCTGCCGCACTCACTGGTCGCGAGCACCGGTAATCTCGACCCTGGGCGCTCAGATGACGATTTATCGTCGGGATGCGGTGCGGTCGTCGGGATACGATGCGGTGCGCGGTGAAAGAGACAAGGCTGATCCCCTCGTGCTGCGATCCGACGCAATACTATTCCCTCGCGTCTAAAGGCGAGGGGGGCTTCTGATGCTCGCGTCTAGCGGGCGATTTTGGCGGGGGGCTTTTGAGTTATGCTCGAGCAGGACCTCGAGAGGAATGAGATGGATGTATGATATGTGGAAGCAGGGAAAGAATGAGATGATTCTAGACGGTAAGGACTGATAGGGATATTGAGGGCGAAGGAGGAGAAGGAGGTCACGAAGATACTTCGCGGCCAAGGAGCTGCGGTCGCTGTCGTCAGCGTGAGACAGGGAAGCGGGGCGCCCGGGCCGAGGTGATAAGGGCAAGGCTTGGAAACTGAAGGCTTTCAAGCACGGTGGGGCATCGTAGACGGTGTAATGCTTCGGGTGCGATGAAGATGCGATCATCCTGCGGGGGCCTATAAACGAGAGGAGGACAGGCGAAGTCTCCGTAAAGGGACGTACGTCTTAAAATGGTAATTATACGATCTCGTACATAAACAAACAATGGTAAACATCGTGGGGACAAGTGGCAAGAGCATCTCAAGGATTAGATGGATTTGCTGTCCATGGCGAATGTCTTCATTTACAGCAGTACACACGCAATCCCCGCGAGGAGGAAGGCTGCGAACGTCTGCTTGATGAGAGCACATCCGGTGCATTGTCCCCTGATAGCTAGCTGGACTGCCGACGATAGATTTGGTCGGACTGTAAAAAGCTGATAAAATCTTCCGAGAGGGGGAAGGGGTTCCAAAGAATAGCCATCGATATCGGCGAGCCGCCAGGAAGCCTCCGAGGAGAAATCCGTTCGCAGGTCCCATGAAGGGGCGAGCTACATGGGTAATCCACGGAGAGCTGAGTCGCCCTTCGTCTACGCCACATATCATGGACCACCTCTGCCGCGCGCCGAGAGGCGGCTGGCATCACTGGCAGCACATACTGATCGTCAGTTCTCTGCCACACACTCGCACTCGCATACTATGGGGCATCGTCGCATCGGCGATATTGCTGCGTTCTGCAGGCTGCGAGTACTAGTCTGTATCCGCCCGTCCAGTAATGAAGCGATTCTTTGAAGCAAAAAATACCGTATCGACTCCGATGGTTCAGCCCGGGATCGAACCGGGAACCTTTCGTGTGTGAGACGAAAATCATAACCATTAGACCACTGAACCGATGACGAGCATTGGCTGTATGTTATTATCAAAGGCCTGTGCACGCTAGAGGAACGGACTGGCTGTGTCAGCGAAGAATTTGTATGCATGATTTCGCTGGCGTTCTAGGGCGACAAGGCGCTGGCTGATATAATAGATTGTCTTCTCTCATCGAGTACTGCCGTCTCAATAAGCACCGACATCTCATCAGGCCAAGCATGGGCATCGTCCAATCGTGATTGATTCATGCAGGCATAGCGTGCGGGAGGTTTACGATACAGTGTCCGTCTAAAGGATAATAGGCATACTGATACATGTCGTCTAGTTGTCTGTCAAGACTAGCGGAAGGTGAGGCATTGGCGTGGGTTGGAGGCAGGATAGTACGTACAGAAAGGTTGTGAAAAACATGGAGAGCTCACGAAGTCCACTGCGGAAGCGACGCAGGGGATGGCGTTCAAGGATGCGCTCGCCTACGCCTGGCGAATTTGGCGGACCGGACGCGGGTCTCGACGGGCTCGGGCGGTGCTATGGGTTCCGCGGCTGGCTCGACCTCGACTGAGGCTGGCGCTGACGCTGAGTCCTGCGGCATGCCCGTCTCACCGCGTACCGGCGTCGGGGCGAGGGAGACACCGGGAGGTGGGCTCGCGGCCTGTGTCGGTAGTACATCGCCGTGGGCATATACAGGAACCTTCGCGTGTGGCGGGACGGGGATCAGGCCATGTACGCCCGCAAGGAGGGCGTACAGCGTGAGGAGGTATAGCCACAAGTGAAATTGCATCTCTGGATGGGACCGTCAGCGGCCAAAACGGTAGACCACTGCGAACGATGGACGCACTTGCGGAAAGGAGCACTCGCGACGTGCGAGGACGAGATGAAGGAGGAAGCACCAACTACGCTGAGGACCTCCGCGCTACAAGTACGCGAGAGAACAAAGGCCGCCTTGCCTCAAGCCGCACTCGTGTTCATGAAGCGCCTCGCGTCAGAGGCGGCAGTCACAAAGTCGAAGCCCCCGCGCCCACGCCGGCCTATATATGCGATGCACACATGGAATGCAGTAAGTCAGCGAGAACCGTGACGGCACTGCCGTTCCCAAGAATACGTGGACATCTACCCACGCGCGGGCTACATTGCGTCAGGCCCGCGCGCGCGAAGACAGGCGGGGGTGCGAAATGTGCTGGCAGCCGGCCGTATGTCGGCGCCCTGGGCGGAAGGAGATCTATTGGTGGACTGAATGCGGTCTATTGGTGTTATTGTGATCTAATAGCCGGTAGTGGAAAGGATAAGCCTCGAGGGTTAGGGTTGAGTGCGGACGGATGGACTCGGATGGAAACGCGTAGGCTCGGTTAAGGAGGCGTAGATTGCAATCTAGGTGGTCAGAGGCGCTTGGCTGAGGCGAAAGGGGGCGCGTTTGCGAGATTGGAGACCGTAGAAGATGCCGGGAGTTGGGTAAGCGACGCCGCTTGGGAAAGAGTGATGGCCGCAGACCGCCCAGAAGGGCTGCCCAGGGCGGTAGAGCATTTACCTATACATAGCTAGTGAATGCCGGGAGACTCGAGAGCGACCTTCGCAGTGGCAAACACGTTATCGTGTTAAGGCCTGTGATTGCAGGCTTGAAGACCATCGTTATTCGTCTTCACTGGGACACGAATGAGGGCGCTCGTTCGCGCCGCAGCACCTTCAAAGGGCCGATAGGGATAGGGATGGCGAGGATTGACAGCTCATGATGGTTGAGCTGAAGGTCCGGCAAACGCCGATCCTCGCGGTCAAAGTTGAAATCGGGCTGCCCTTGGTTTGTTCGACCTCCATATACATTCGTATACTGTGCAACTATCGCATGTGATCAAACAAGGTACTGGGATGGATGAGCGCAGTATGTACTCCGAAAGAGGAGAGGGTTCCAAAGATTAACCGTCGTTGTCGAAGGACTGAGGAGTCTTACGAAGGAGAAGCTCCTTTCGCTGAACATACGCAAGGACGTTTAGCTACTTGGATCAGCCCCGAGAGCAACCTCGCGTCGTTCGACACCACAGCCCGCGTGTCGCCTCCGCCTCTCGTGCGAGGACGAAAGGCATCATCGGCGGTACGCAGTTGTGACCGCGAGATCCCTCGCAGCGCCTCCGCTACTCCCAACCCCTCGCCGAAGTGAGAGTAGCCTCGACAGCACCACGCGAGCGCTCGCGATGAACGCAGGTCCACCCACCGCGGGGTACGTCCGGGAGAATTACCAAGCCATTCGTACCCGCGATAGGCCCAAACGATGCTAGGTCTCGTCGCCGTCGGCCGCGTCATCTACACGATGACCCGGGCAACGACGACGGCGGCGACCTGGCTACCACATAGTATACGCCGCACAGCTGTCTTCCGCATGTTGTTCAGCAGGGCGCGCGACCTGCCCGAGGAGCACATGGTCGTCGCCTGCCTACGGGAGAGCCCATCTGGCGCAACGACCCATGGCAGCTGGTTGGGCTTGCATCCGACGACGGCGTCCTAAGAAATATGTCAGTAGTAAAATCCTCCGAAGGAGGAAGAGGTTCCAAATATTGGCCGTCGATATCGGCGAAGGGCCAGGAAGCCTCTGCAGAACGATCCATTCGCTGATCCTATGGAGGAGCAAGCTACTAGGGCGGTCCACGGAGAGCTAACTCACCCTTCGCCGACGCCACATACCGTGTGCCGCCTCCGCCACGCGCCAAGAGGCGGGTAGCATCACTGGCAGCGCACAGCTGCAGCTTAGAGCGCTTCCGCGGCACCTCAACCACCCTCAGTTCTGCCGCCGAAGCGATAGAGCAAAGGAATGGTATCACCGGCGCCACGAAAGCGCTCTTGGTGGACACAAGACCACCCACCACGAGATACGTCCGGGAGAGTTACCTAGCCATTCGTAGTCGTGATGGGCCCGAACGATGTCAGGTCTCGCTGCCGCTGGATGGACCATCTATCCGATGGTTCAGCCAACGACAGCAGTGGCGACCCGACTACCATATAGTGTACGCCGCGCATGTCTTCCTCACTTTGATCAGCAGGGCGCACGACCTATTCCAAGAGGAATATATCGACGCCTGCCTACGGGAGAGCCCATCCAACGCAGACCCATGGTAGCCAGTTGGCCCGGTGTCCGACGACGACGATGATCCTTCGCCGATACCACGAATACTGCGTCGCCTCTGCCACGCGTCCGAAGGCGAGAGACATCCCTGACGACGTAGAAACGTAGCTACAAACACACGTGTGGCACCTCCGCTAACTCCCATTGCCACCGCAAAAGCGATGGGGCAGATGAGCAGCATCGACGGCGCCACGTGAGTGCCTGCTTGGATACTCAAGTCCACCCACCGCGGCGTACGACTGGGAGAGTTACCAAGCCATCCGTACCCCTTGGTGGGCCCAAACATTGTCAGGTCAAGCCGACGTTGGCTGAGCCGTCTAGCCGACGACCCAAGCAACGACGGCAGTGGCGACCCGACTACCACATAGTGTACACTGCGCCCTGGTTCTCAATCTACAGCATGACACGTACAACCCCCGAACAGAGGAGAGCTGCAAACGTCCGCTTGATGAGAGCACATCCGGTGCAACGTCCCGTGGTAGCCAGTTGGACTTGTATCCGGCGAAGATGGTTTCTGGCAAGAAGCGGGGCGCTTTTAACCAGCGGCGCCTAATCCGGATCAACGGGCGGCGGATGCTTCCGGTTCATTGTGACGAACCGTGACTCCTCCGGTTGGACCTGCTCCCCATGGTCGCCGCGCCGTAGCAACGCAATTGTTACCCGGGTTTTTGGACCTTCAGCTTCTCAGAACCTCTGCTTGGTCCTTGCACTGATTCTCTCGTTGATATGCGCAGCGCCTTCCGCAGCGCCCAAGCACAGCTCCGCCGAAGGTCCTGGCAGACCACAGCTCGTGGCATACAGCGTCCATTGTGGCATCAGAGGCGCCATCACGAAATCCGTACCTTTTTTGCACGCGTCCCTCAGGAAGCTCTGCCATCAATGGTAGGGCCATAAAGGTCAGCTTCGCAACGCCTCGTGGATGCTCATTTTGTGAACTTGAACAGCTTTTTCGGCGACCCTCTGGACGATGTAGCGTCTCTCGCCACATGATTTGTGATAGTTGGCGCTACTCCTCGTCACTCGGCAAGGAAGAAGCGCCTAGACATAGACCAGCCTCCCGCTGGATATAAAACGGCACTCGCTTCGACCGGGAGTACCACCAAGCAATCTGACTACAGCCCAGTGGCAAAGCTACCTATCTCTCACTCATCATCACCCATCTCAATGGCTCCAGACCGGAAGCAGAGGACGAAGAAGGCTGTCATCTCCTATACGGCGTCAGCAGGGTCAGTACGAAGCTCTGCCACACTCAAGCTGTTTACTTACTCACGACATCAGACATATCGGTCGCAACCCCGGCCGTCCAAAGAAGCTCGCGCGGAAGCAGGAATTAGGCATTCTCAGCATCCTTCCCCCAACGAGAACATGTACGTACTGCTTGACAACTATGTGTATTTTCAGACTCATCTCTCCGCCAGTGTGTCCTGCCACTCCCTCTGCAGGGCTTGCCCCCCATTATTCGCACGCCTACTGGCATTTACATTGCCAGGTGGGCAGCGCGGCGAAGATGGCTCAGCTCATAGAGGCGGAAGCTTCCGCGCACACTCCGCCGACCCCATTCGGTGTTGAGATCAACCAACTTCTGTCCGATAACGCTGTCGTTCCCTTCCGCATTAACGCTCCCGACCTCGTCTTCCTGAGTATAAACAAGGGCGGCACTACCAACATCACTCCAGAAGCTCGCGCGCAGGTCAACGCCTTCAGCAAGGGTCTGATCGCGTCGAGGCTCGTCAAGTTCGTATATCACGCCGCCGGGGATGCGAAGAAAGAAACGGAGCCCAATGTTTACACGCTGTGTAGGCGGGCAGCAAACACACTCACGCATCTCTCCCTCCATCTCACCTTTCTTGACAAGAAGGGGCTAGAGAACTACCTCTGCTCGACAGCGGCGGCTAGCCTGGTGTCACTGGAGCTGAAATCGAATACGAGCTTGCAGACCCCACTGGTCAACACCTTCAAGCTCGCCAGGCTACCCAACCTGCGCTCTCTCTCTCTGGATATACCCCCTTCCAAGATCAACGTCAAGACTCTCGTTGCGGCCTTGCGCATGCGCTACGCCGCCAACCACCAAGACCCCCTCCAGATCGAGCTCAAGAACGAGATCAGCGACGCATTGCGCGCTGAAGCGGCGACGATCGGGATCACCTTCGTCGAATATTGTGCGATGCGCTTTTGAGTGACTTTCTGTCTTGCCAGTGGCTTCGCGATTCTCTTCTCTCCTCTCTTAGTCTGTGTATGGTTATCGATTCGTGCTATGCACTTATCCTACATGTATCTAGTCTCGAACCCAGCCGTTCGCCCCGCCACGGTCTTCCCTGCTTGGACCCACATCTCCACGCGGGAAACATGGCGTCCACGAGGGCGGTATATCGGCGGTATTGGAAAGTTGAAGCCCGTGAGCGGAGCGAACGTCTGGCGCATTCGGTCGCCTCTTCCTAGGGTGACCTCATAGTTGAAATAAAAATCGAATTTCAATGCGCGGGCAGCGCATCAACAAGCTCGACGCGTCCTGAACGCGTCCATTGTCCCTCTCTCAACGCGCATCGCGCACTCTACCGTCCTTACTATTGTATTTATCGACGCGCTGATCACCGATGACGACGCCTGGGAATGCCTCTGCGAAGTCAACAGAGTCGCATGCGGAGTCGGCTGACCGGCACGAAGCGAACAAGGCGCGCTCTGCCGCCAACCTTGACGAGGCGCGCAGGCGGGCGACCCGCAAGACAAGCTATGATTCTGACGCGACGCGAGCCCGCCTCAGGGAGCTCTTCATCGAGACTTGGCACTACGAGCCGCATGGCTGGCAGATCGACATCACAGAGGCCATCCTCCTCGGTCTCGACAGCGTTCTCATCGCTGGTACCGGCTCAGGCAAGACAATGCCATTCATGTTGGCCCTCAAGTACGATACCAACGCGACAGTGCTCGTGATATCCCCCTTGAAGATCCTGCAGGATGACCAGGTACGTCCCGCGATCGCTAATATGCAGGCCCGCGTTAATATATGCTAGGCAAGTCGCTTCCGCGACGCTGGGATCGCGGCTGCCGCGGTGAACGGGGACACGTACAGCAAGGTCAAGCAGGTGTGTGTCGAAGCTCTCAAGTATTTGCGCTTCCCTCACAGTCTATCAGAATCTCGAAGCGCTCAAATATCGTGCCCTCCTCACATCACCGGAGATGTGCCTCGAGAACGACGCGTTTCGCAAGTTCCTCACGTCCTCCGACTTCCAAAGGTCCATCCGCGCGGTCATCATCGACGAGGCGCATTGTATCGGCCAGTGGGGCGGCGATTTCAGGAAGCATTACGGGAGCCTCAACAAATTACGCGCTCTCTTCCCTGCCACCGTCCCCTTCCTTGCCGCAACGGCCACCCTACCCCCGAAGGCGCTGAACGAAGTCTGCGACAAGCTACACATCGATCTTGATGAGTCGTACTTTATCAACCTCGGTAACGACCGTCCCAACATCACGCAGCATGTGCGCTTCATCGACAGCGCGCACGATTACAGTGCTCTCAAAGAGTTGCTCTCGGTCAACGCGAAGAAGCCGGATGACATCGTCAAGACCATCGTGTTCGTAAACTCGCGCAACGGCACTCAAGAGGTATGCCGCGAGGTCCGCAAGCTCCTCCCGCGGCACCTTCGCAAGCACGTCGACTTCCTCCACGCAGTGCGCAAGGACAGGACGAAGCGCAGGATCATGCGGCGTTTCCGGAACGGTCGTATCCGTATCCTCATAGCCACGGAGGCTGCAGGCATGGTGAGCGCACTTGTCCTGCTCTTTGGCGTCAACTGATGTGTCCTATAGGGTGCTGATATCCCCGACATCATTCAAGTCATACAACTCGGTGCCCCACGCTCGCTGTCCATCTACCTGCAGCGTGCGGGTCGCGCTGTGCGGAATGCTGTCCTGCAAGGCCGCGCGTATCTCCTGATGGAGAAGTCTGCGTTCAGGCTACAGAAGAAGAAGAAGCCCAAGAAAAAGGCTGCCGACGACTGGTCCGACGACGACGCTGACGATGTACTCGCTAACGACGATCTCAATGCCGACTGCGACGTGCAACTGGAAGATGGCGATGCGGAGGCTTTACCCGCCGTTGACCAGTCCGACGACTCGGGGAGGGGTGATGGCGTGGGGGAGGAGGGCAATGCTGCTAGTGGGGATGTAGTGGTGCCCTGCGATGATGCCAGTCGTGCAGCGGAGGTCACAGCGGGCACGAACGGCGGGAAGGATGGCACGTCCACAGGCGTCAAGAAGCCGAGCCGTACCCCCGACAGTCAAATGACGTGGGGTAAGGTTATTGACCTCTCGCTACGCAAGTACGTGACGGAGTCGACGTGTAGACGTGTCACGTCAGACACGTACTTTGACAACCCTCCCGGACGACGTGGTAAGTTGTTCGCTGCACTATTCGATATGACTTGCTCATTTGCACCCTAGCACCGACCGGAAGCTGCTGCGACGTCTGCGAGGGCACGGCTCCGCCCATCCCGGGCTCTGAATCAGCTACCGTGCCAACACCAATCACTCCCGAGACGGCGCTGACATCAGCTCATCCCACGGAAACGTCGCTATCGTCCACCCCTACGACCGAGATGCTCGACCGGCCGTCAACTCCTGTTCAATCCCGACAAACGACACCTGCCTCGACACCTCAGAAAGATGGCAAGCGACCACTCGTCAGGCGTAAATATGGCCCCGCTCGCAAGGGCGACCTTTTGAAGCGCGTTCGAGCAGCTCTAGAGCGCTGGCGTGGGGTCACGCGTGCACGAGACTTCCCCTACAGCACGCTGCCAGCCAAAGCGTTGCTGTCGGACCAGTCGCTGACGAAGCTCGCCTCGAACAACAAGATTGTCGAGCCCGCTGATCTCGCCACCCTCGAGCCCCCTTGGGTGTATCACAACAAGTACGGAGTTGAAGTCCTGGCGCTAATCCAGAAGGTCGTGTTCGAGTTCGAGTCGGAAAGGAACTCAAACAAGAAACCTCGTCGTACAGGCAGACCGAAGAAAACGGCGGCTCAGCAACTTGCCGCTTGCTCACCCGAGGCCATGGTCGCTGCCGAAGCTAAGCAGGTTCGAGCAGCAGAGCGCGACCACGCGCGTCTCGCAAAGGCCGAACGGGAGGAGACCAAGAGGCTTGCGAAGGAGGCCAGGGAGCGCGCGATGGCCGAGAAGGACGCTCGGAAAGCCCTCTACGCAGCCAACTACGCCAAGCGCCATGCTGTGCCTGCACCGCCTTCTCGACCAACCCCTCCCATCCCGACGGCGAGCGCTGCATGGTCACCATCGTTCCGAACTTTCTATCCCTCTTCTCCAACCACGCGATACCCACTTACACCTGCTGGGGCCTTACATCCAGCGCTGGCTGCAGGTCACATATCCTCGCAAGGCTCGTCATTGTTATCTTCTTTTCCACCACGTCTTTCGAACTCGGCACCAACTGCGGAGGCTTCCGCTTCTCCTGCGGTACGCGAGACTCATTACTCAATGTCTCCTTATTCTTTCATCCCTAACACGATACACAATGCTCCTTCTAATACCCAACTGCATCTCTCGACTGCACGTAGCTCGAGACCTAGAGATTATGATAAGACTGATGATCCTTTTGTACGGTAGAGCTTGTTTATATATTTCTGAGATAATTACACATCCTCAGTGGCCTCCTCATCGGAACTCCCTTCGTCACTAAGCACCTCGTAGTCCTCGTCGGTGCGTCGCGTGTACAGTCGGCCACTAACCCATCGCTCGAGTACACCCAGAAGCTTGTCGAGACCAAGTGATAAGAAGTCCTTCGCCGTATCCTTCTTGCCTGGTTTCAGCGTGCGCCCACACTCATGGGTATGCAAGTCAGCCTGCTCGTATACCGCCTGAAGCGTGCGCACGTCCTGGTCTTTCTTCGGAACTGTGTGCTTCAATCCACGCGTGTTCGTCCTAAACTCCCGTTCCATATGTTTACTCAGTTCTCGTATGACCGGTATAGCAGGATGCATCTTTTTGAGGAATGCCCAGTCAATGCTTGGCCCTTCGGAGCGATACGTAACCTGTTCAGTTGGTTGAGAATTATGTGGCAAACATAGGAGCAAGATAAACATGCCTTGATATCCTTGATATTGTGCTCCTGGGCCTGATCTACAGGACAGAAGCCTTGGGCTGTTCCAGACATGTTGACGAGCCAGCAATGCTCGCGTACAAAGCGACTATGCAAGGCGGATGTTAGCAGGTGGTCAGGGATCGGTGCGTAAACGAGTGACACACCAGATTGGCTCAGGCCACTCGCGATAGAGCCCCTGCATCAATTCGAGGACTTCGATACAATACTTGTTATTGTTTCCACCAATAAAGCGGAAGAGGAGGAAGGGCAACATGTCTTCCATGGTCCCTACGTCACCACGCTTGATAGCCTCGTTGAGGACCATGTAATGCACAACATCACGGTTCCACATATAGACCTGACGCAAGCGCTCGTCCCGCTCGTCTTCGTCCATCTCGTCCATCGCGTTGAGCGCAGCACCTGATGCCCGTTCATCGTGTATGCGTGTAGCCAACTTCAACAGCTCGTCACCCTTGCGATTGCGAAGCTCCGCGAGATCGTCTACCCCCGCCACACCCTTCCAATCGACCCGAAAATGCGCCTCTGCAGTGTGGCAAATCGCTTCGTCAAGATCATGGTAGAAAACACCCTTCGTCTGAACCTTGTGTAGACCCTTGAGGTTCAAGAGATCGAAGACGCGCGCGAGGCCGTATCCGTGCGAAGTGCCGACATACTGCTTGTGGAGAGAGTTTGCGAAGGCCATCTGCAAATGAAGCCAGCCGAAGACGACAATGAGCCAATCGAGACGGTCGAACGAATTAAACTCCTCGGCATGGAACTTGAAGAGTCCACGAAGGCGATCAACGGTGAGTTGGTCGCCAATCCAGAAGATAATGCGCCGCAGCCCGACCTCCTCCTGCTTCTCCAGGCCTGAGAGGTCGAGCTGGGACAGCCATTCCTCGATCAGGCGATCGTTGTCTTCATAGCTCGCCTCGGGGATGTTCACCGTACCGAGCATGCGCTGTACAGTGCGGTGCTCGTCCCCGAATGGCAGGCCGAAGCGGGGAGGCGGGCGCTCGAGACAAGCATTATTCTTGTCCGAATATGTGGCAAAGTCGAATTCGGGAGCCTCGACAATGACACGCAGGATCTCGTGTATCGCTTGCATGCGCAAGTGCGGCGCAACTTCGTTCTCGCGCTCTGCGATCCAAAGCAAGTCAAGCGGCTTGTTCAGCCCCTCTGCGCGCGTGCGCTTCAGCTCGGCGTTCACTTCGGACGCGAGGGGCGTAGCGCTACGCTTGAAGTAGACAGTGGCAGCGGTTCCACTCCCAAAAGTCGTGTTCTTGTCGAGCCTCTGCGAAAATACGCGGAAAGGGAGCTGGACGTTGTCGTGCGAGATGAGCCAGGCACTGTTTGCCTGCATGAGAGCGACGACCTCGTTCATTGCGCGTTGCGAAATCTTGTCGACCGCGTTTCCGGTCCATTTGTGACTCATGACGAGGCCGACGGAGTGTAGGGTGTCGAAAGCTTTTGCTGTCAGGCCTTTGAACTTGACATAAATACTCATTGCCTTCTGATACCGCCCGCAGTTCTTGTTGCGCGTGTAGCAGAGCATCGATACAATGGTAAATATGGTCTTCGGATGTCCAGTGAGCAAAGGGTATGGTAAATTCTTGCCAGAACGAACCTTGTCCGGGTTCTTTCGCGTATTATGCTGTTCCTGGCGCTTGCTGTAGCCCAAGGAGCGTAGGAGATTCCAGACGCCTGGCGCGAGGGACTGAACACGAGGGATGATGTCGTGGAAGCGAATGCTGGTAAGCTCTTCAGCAGTCAGGTCCTGCTTGTCGTTGGATTGCAGAACATGAGCAGACACGGCTTTGATCTCGTCCAGCAGCTCGTCCTGAACAATTGCCCGGGCTGCCTCCTTCACAGCCGCCGACCCGCCCTCCGGGCGTCGCCCTTTTGCGGTGCTCGGCGGCTTCGCCCATCTCTGCAACATCGAAGGCAATAAATCGCTCTGCATGAGAGATCGGCACGCCCCCGAAATGATAGGATCGCGCCGGCAAGCCTGATCGCCCCAGGTGACTGCATCGAGTAGCTCCGGTAAGCTTAGTCCTGCGGCCTGTATCCCCTGCAGTGCGCGGCGCACCCGAGCGACGAATGGATTCATTGGGAGTGCAGCATCGAAAGATAAGTCGATGTCCATTGTATCGTGATCATTGTTTGAAGAGGGACACTGAGCAGCCGAAGGGTCGAGATCAGAATCTGACCCGGATGATTCGGGTACATCGTCGTCATAACGGGACTCGGATTCAGAGTCACTGCGGCTGGGCGAGGACATTGTTCTCAAGATGGTAGGTGGGAACAAGTGTGGGCGCAGGCACGTGTGCAGATCAACGCGTGCTCCGGCGCTCAACAGTAATATTATTTGACCTATGAAGTCACCCTAGGAAAGGCGCCCCGAATGCACCAGACCTTGTGTCGCCCGCGGGCTCCGACTTTTGTCTGTGCCTGAACCGAAGGAACGTGGGCCGGGCCGCAGGCCCCCGCGACACATGGGATGGGAACGAGACTAACATGTATCGTACCTAATCTCCCGGACTGTAGCCCCGTATGCCGAACTCCGTCTACATGTATCACCCACATACCCAGCGCTTATGACGATCTCTGGTTTGCATCACTCCAAATTCTCGAAGTTACGAACCTATCCTGTAGCACTCGTTCTCGAACACATTCAGATTTCTATGCTCAAAAATACATTTAGATCTCGCGAAGATACACTAGAGCAGGGACAGATGTATTGACATAAGACTGCCGTTACGCGCGATCGCGGTAAGGTCACCAACGCTCAACCCTGACTCTCATACGCATTGCTCTTATGCTTTGGCATGAAGGACCACGCGTCCGGCGCAGGCCCGAGGAACATCTCGGAGATCTTGACCCAATCGCGACTATCTGGACTCGCAAGGAGGGTTTCTGCGGATTGAACAAAAAGTTAGCATCGGGTATCCCTCTCGTCCTCGACCTCACACCGCCGGCCTTCATCCCGCCATGGGGCATTCTCGCTACAAAGCGCAGACAGACCCTCGCCAACCTCGAAAGAACGCGAGAGGAAAAGAGGTACGCACCCAGATCATCCCTCCCCTTGAACGCGGGCGCGCGCTCGTTGAGCTTGCCCGGCAGCCGCTCGAGCAGCCCGATGGGGATATACCGATACTGGAAGGACAGCGCCTCGCAGAGATACCTCCGCGTGGTGTTCACGCCGGGCGTATCCGCGCCAAAGTGGCTACAGACGCGTCAGATGGCAAACCTTCCACGTCGTACCACCAAACTCACTTCAGGCCATATTCGACGAACTATAGACGGGCGGAGTGATGGATGAGTTCGATTGACTCTGGCCGAGGGAAGGAAAAAGACGGCAACGCACCTTCCGCACATGCTCCAGCCGCTCCCTCGAGCTGATATCCCACTCTCGGCGCTCCTTGATCTCGGTGAAGATCCACGGCTTGATGAGCGCGCCGCGCCCAATCATGACGCCGTCGACGCCGGTGGTCTCGACGTCGGTCCAATAGTCTTGCGAGGAGTAGCAGTCGCCGCCGCCGAAGATGGGCACCTTGGGTACTGCGGAACAGGGTTAGGTCGTTGTCGCTTCGGATGTGTCGAAGGACACCGAGACGGTAGAAAAAGGACAGGAATTAGTCAAAGCGCACTCACGGTTCTTCTCCGCCTCGTACGCGCGTACGGCCTGCACGCACTCCCTGACGTAGTCCCAGTCGGCGAGCTTCGTGTAGCGCTGTTGTCGCGTGCGGCCATGAAGCTGGAGTTCGGGGGTCAATTCCGCGCTCCTTCTTTTCCCCTTCTCGTCCTGTCCTCCAACCCTCTTTCTCCCTCTCCCTCTCCACTTCCCCCTTCTCTCTCCCTTTCACCACCCTCTCCTTATCAGGATGCGTTGCAGACAAGCCCCCACTCACCGTCATCATCCCCGCGCCCCACTCCGCCACGCGCGGCATCAACCGGTGCGCGTTGTTCTTCCCGTCCTTCACGCCCGTGCGCAGCTTCACGCTCACCGGTGTGTCGCCCAGCGCCTTGTTCATGCCGACGATGATGCGCCCGAGCTTGCCGGGGGAGTCGAGGACTAGGGGGGAGGGGTCAGTTCGTTTCAGCGACAAGAATGATAGATGTAGCGCCGGCCCCCAAAGTCCAAGCACGGACAATGTCGAGCGAGGGAATTGCCCACTCACGCGCGCTCCCGCTCCCCGTCTTGTACACCAAGTCGATCGGGCAGCCGCAGTTGATGTCCACAAAGTCGACATGCGGGCCGATTTCGTTCTTGAGCAGCTCGGCGGCGCGGACCATCGTGTTCGGCTTGTTGCCGGCCATCTGGGGGGAGGGGTGAGGTGGGAGGAGGAGGGTGGCAGGGGGGAGCGGAAATGGGGGAAGGGGGAAGGGGAAGGGGGAGGAGGGGAGGAGGGCGTTAGCAAAGAGTCGTGCGGCGGTGTAGCGAGTTTGCGCGCATGGAATGAAAGAGTATATTGGAAGGAAGATGGGGAGGGTATAATCGAAGTATCGAAAGAACGATAGCATAATGGCGATAGGTGATGTGATGACGACGGGCGATATGACGGCCATAAGCGATACAATGCACCCACCTGCACGCCAAACATCTTCTCCGACGGATGTCTCCTCACGAGGGACCACTCCTCCTTCGAGCCGGAGAGGAAGGATGTCGCGAGGCCCACTGAGCGAGCGACGATACGTCAGCGGGGCGTTCCCTCAGGGGGGCGTTCCCTCCTCTGCTAGACAAAACCACGACGCACTTTCACCACAAGTGATATCCACCCCGTAGTCGACGCATATCCTTCGGAAGGGCTTTCGGCGGGTTAGCTTCTGATCTCCTTTGCGTACCCTTCTTTTAAGTGAACTGACCAAATTTCCCACCGTGGTCAACGGCGCGAGGTCTACCCAATATTGGTGTCAGTATCAATTGTCGCGATATGACAAATGAGCAGAGACGCACAAGTCTTCCCCTCCCAATGTAACCGCTTCTTCTCCTCCGCGCGGAAGGGCACGTCGACGGCCATGGGCTCGTCAAGTTGTGAGGGATCGGCACCAGTGCGCTGGGTAATGAGGGCGTCGGCAGAGGGGGCGACTGGAGCGTTAGGGGTGGGTACGGCTGGTACTTCAAGAGTGGGTACGGCTGGTGTCTCTGTTGAAGTCGTCGGGCCGTCCGAAGCCGATGCTGCAGTTGTAGAGGCGTCTGTCTCATCCGCCTTCCCCGCCCATCCCGGCTCCTCCTGCTCGGGCTCCGCGATGACGACCTTCTTGCTCTCGAGATCCTTGAGGTAGGCGTCCGTGATGGGGTATTCGTACTGGAAAGTTGGTCAATATGCGCGTGGAAGAGGCGGGACGCGCATGCATGACGGAGCACGCGCATATATGAAGTACGCGCATATATGCAACCATATGTACGCCGGTGCCACAGCGCACGCATATATGCAGATTTATGCGTACATACGCACTAGCACGCGCATATACGCAGTGCTCGGCTCACCACCGCTCGACCCGCCGCTTAACGCATCACCGCTCGACCCACTACCGCTTGCCACCACAATCCCACCCCACCATAGCAAAAGACCCACGCACTCACCCTCTTCTTGAACAGCTTCGTCCGCACCTCCGGGTGCAGGTAGTTCAGCTCCGTCTCCGAGATCACCGTCCGTGCGCGCTTCTCCTCGTCGGTGACGAGCTCGAGCAGCCCTGCTTCGTTTTTGTAGAGGGAGCCGTCGTCGTTTTTGCGGACGTGCGCGCCGAGGAGGCGGCATTTGAGGCCGGATCTACGGGTGGGATGCGGGAGAGGGAGAGTGGGGAGATAGGGTACGGGTGGGAAGGGAAGAGAGGTTACAAAAAGAATAGGTGGAGGTGTCGCAGAAAGGGAGGGTAAGAAGGTCAACATGGTGGATATACCGAGCATGGAGGATCACACGTACTTGCACACCCCCATCGTGTCGAATATCGGACACCGTGTATGTGGATCGAGAGAGGGGTTCTCTGGGTCGGCAACGACGAGGGGCGGGGGCACGTAGAATGGCGCTTCGGTGCTAATTTCGCTGGTCTGGGGGATGCGAAGGTCGTGCGGTTTGGCGGCGAGGTAGGCGGCGATGTCGTGTGTGAATTTGCATCTGGGGGTAGGAGGTATTGCGGGAAGGGTTGGCAGGAGCAGATTGAAGGATGCGGGGTATGCGACGAAGACGCAACGACAGGAAGAAGCACAATCAGCAACCTCCTCACACACACACACCTATCCCTCTCCACTCACCTCTCCCCAAACTCGCACGTCTCCCCATTCGCCGTCTTCCAGCACACCTCCACCTCGTCGTGCATCTTCGCGAACCGCCGGCCCTTGTTCGCGCCGCGCTTGCTCTTGTCCTTGCCCTTCTTCTTGCCGCCTCTGTCTCCTCTGTCCCCTCTGTCTCGGTCATCGCGCTCCGCGGTGTCGGGCGCGTGGCCCGCGCCCCCTTCGGCCGCGTCGTCATCGGGCACGGCGATGGGTTTGGCGGAGATGAGGTACCTGGGGTGCGGTTAGACGGTAAAGGATGGTGAAGGGAAGGAAGTCAGTGCAAGATGATGATGGGAGGAAGAAGGATGCGCACTCTGCCTTCACTGGGGCGGTTCCCGGGGGAAGGGACGCGCTCATCGTGGAACTATGGAGGCGGGGAAGTATAGTGGATGCAGCCGATCGCGCTGATGAAGTTTTGTGGCGTTCATGATAGGCCGGGCCGCTGGCCCGACGACATCGTCAAGCGCTCGAGGGTAAGACGCGTGCAGAAATCACACCCTTCACTGGTACCCGAGTGCTCTAAGTGCATTCAACGCGTTCCGCAGACAGTAGATAGACAAGGGTCCAGGACGGATATATTCAAGCCACGCATCTGGGTCTATTACTTCCCCTCCTGCCCATACAGCAAGCTCTTCCCCCACGCGACCGCTCTCTGGTCCAGATCCCGCGCACCGAGGAACAGCTTGGACAGCTGCTGGTTCCACCGCGTGCGCACGAGGTCGCCAAAGTCGCTGTCGCTGACGCGCGAGGCGGCGGAGGGCGGCGCGGGAACGAGCGTCGGGTGATCGACGAGGCGGACGCTGAGGGAGTGAAGGCTGGGAGGCGGAGTGGATGAGAATGGGGGACGGGGGAGAGTCAAAGGTGCATTACGCACTCGCGCCTGTGTTCGCTCGTTCTGGAGGACCGTGTCAGTTGGAGTGGAAGGGGATGACAGTCCAAGGACGCACCGCGAGTTGATTAGATTCGAGAAGCCATAGTAGAACTACTGTACGAATGAGCCTGAGGACCACACGAGGACGGTTGCTATTCCACTCACGCCTCCAGCGACCACAGCACCAGAGAGCGAGCCCACGAGGAAGGACATGGTCCTAATGTGATTCCGGGCAGAAGCCGGGTGATGGTTCCGAACGAAGTGCGTGTTTACATATGTTGCCCTTGGCGCCGAAATGATGAACGCTGTGCTGTATGTTCATTACTACTGTTCGATGTATGTACTGTAGATATGCAAAAGGAATTTGACTGAGCGAGAGGCTCCTGCATATCTGCGTGACCCTCTGCGCTCAGGTACCTTTACTCGCAGGTAAGAAAAACAAGGTGGATATCAATGTATGGGCCCAACCGGGAATTGAACCCGGGACCCCGTGCAACTGACTCGCAGACGCAAGCTGGCTGACGCCCGAAGCACGTATCATACTACTAGACCATTGGGCCATATCTAACAGATTGCGCAAATGTGCCCCAGACCCTTGGCGCACTTAGAGGCACCTCGACTCGAACCCCACTTTCAACAACAACTCTTCCGGCAGAGCACAACCAGGTAAAGAGCAGTACTTGGCTCAGGTCGGCATGATTCACAGCACGGACTGTAGAGTATTGTGCCCTGCAAAAGCCTTCTCCGCTCAGTCATCCCATAAAATCATCTCAATTCGTCTCTATACACCGTATAGTAGCGTTACAAGGTCGTAGAATAGTACACGTCAAGTGAAGGCGAAGGTGAAAGTAAAGATAAAAGTAAAGTGCACGTAGGAGTGCGTACACCGATACAGGTATACACATCGTAGGTTCACTACATGGAGGGGCGAAGGCGAAAGGAGGTACATAGTACATAAAGTCATAGTCAACCCAGGTGAGTAAGTCTATAGCCGAAGGAGCTACAGGCAAAGAGGCATGGAGAAGGTGAAGAGGCACGCAGAAGATAAAGAGGCATCGAGCCCAAAGAGGCTGTCTGTCGGGAGGCCTGCCCGTATGTACATACATAAATAGTACACTCGTTTTTCGTACAGGTGGTGTGGAGAGGGAGCGCACGTACAGATGAGTAGGGTGTGGTAGAGTGTGGCGGATAGGATGGGATAGGAGGATAGATGGAATGGCAGACAGGGAGAGCAAGGCAAACGCACACCGTTTGAGACACCACCTACGTCAAGCTCCCGTACACCACCACCGCGGCCCTGCGCTGCATCGACATTAGGCTGACCGCGAAGACGGCGCCGAGGAGGAAGCCCGCGGCGACGTAGGACACGGACTCGATGACGATGGGCGGGCGCGGTGGGCGGTTGGGGGAGTGGGAGTGGGAGTCGCGCGGGTGGGGCGAGGTAGGCGACGGCGTGGGCAGACGCTCCTCCCCGGCCGAGTGACCCTCCTTGAAGGAAAGCCTTTGCGGGCTGTCCTGCTCGTCTTGCTCGTCCTGACTCTCGCCGTTGGTCTCCCAGCCGATCATGAGCGGCTCGTTGGGCACGGCGATGGTCTTGTGGTCGTCTAAGGGGACGCATCTGTCGTCGTCGCCAGGAACGAGCTCGTCGACGAGCGTCCAAGCCTCCTCGAGCGACAGCCGCGACGCCGAGGGCGAGGTCACGATCACGACGGGGAGCTTGCGCTCGCCAGTCGGCGGTGTCAACACCAGGCTGGATCCCGGATCCGTACTCGACATGGAGGGCTCCTTGTCCGACTTCTCGACCTGCGCATCCGACTTCTCGACCGGCTCGGCATGGGTACTTTCCTCTCCAGCCTCCTCGTCACCCGAGCCAAACAGCCTTACCAGCGCCTGCGCCGCGGTCGTGATCGCGGCCGCGAGCTCGGGCACGACCTCGATGACGCGGATGGGGTCGTAGATCGCGCGGTGGACGGCGTGCACGGCGATGGACGCGGGAACGAAGAGGATGGGGAGGACGGCGCGGATCGACGGGCGGATGAGGTGCGCGACGTTGCCAGCCACGGTCGGTGTGAGGCGCCGGGCTTGATCTTCGGTAAGAGGGCCGTGGGGCCTGGGGGTGTCTGCTCTTTTCTCTTCCTCGTCTTCCTTCTTTTCGTCCTTCTCCTCATCTTCCTCGTGTACAGCCTCTGCGATATCCTTCGCAGGCGACCGCGGCTTTGCGTCCTCGGGCACGTCCTTGTGCTCGACCATCTGGATGTCCAGTGCGTCGAGCCCAGGACCTTCCTCCGTCACCGCCGATAACGGCGCATCCATCCTTCTCGCCGCAATCTCCCTCTCCTCCGTGTCCACACTGACCGACCCCAGCCGCTCAATCGGCCTCGGGCTGTCCTCCGTCAACAACACCGAGCTCCTCCTCGGCCTCTCCACCCACGGCCTCTGGTCCTCCAACACCGGCTCCTCCGACTCCATCAGCTGCTCGATGCCCGCCACCTCCGGCACGACGTCGTCCTCCATCACCGCGTGCGACGGCGCCTTGTCGAACATCTCCATCAGGTTCACGGGGCGCGAGCCCATGCTGATGATCGACGACGAGCGCGAGCGCGTGTGCCGCGAGAGCGAGCCCTTGCGCTCGGGCCACGACCCCTGGCGCTCGTGCAGAGAACCCTGACGCTCGTACAGCGACGCCGAGCGCGATGGGGCCCGCGAGCTCGCGCGGCTGTCGAGCGAGCTCTCAGGCGTGAGCGGCCGCGGGAAGGACACGGGCCCGCGCAGCGGCGGGAGCTCGGGCGCCTCGCGCAGGGGGGAAAGATCAGGCGCCATGGACGCGAAGGAGGGCGCGGGCGACTTGGTGCGGCTGAGGAGCATGTCCGGCGTGAGGGAGAGGCTCATGGCCTTGTGCATGTCCGTGAGGGACATGGAGCGCACGTGCCCCACGCCTTTGCCGTGCGGGGCGGACATGAAGGGGGAGGAGGACGTCGAGGCCTCGCCAGGGTCCGTGGGCATGCGGGTGACGCGGTTTCGGGGGCGCGGGAGGGTGGAGGGGGGCGTGGGGAGCATGCTGGGGGTGCCGCGCTGCTGGGGCGGTGTCGTGGGCTCGGTGGGCTCGTTGTGCTTCATTGGCGGCGGCGTGGTCATCGCCGCGCGCGGCATGATGGAGAGCTCGGACATGATTGACGCGTCCGAGCCAGAGCGAGCGCGAACAGGACCGACATACGGCGAGATGGGCGGCGTGAGCGGCCAGTCGGGCGGGCTCGCGAAGTAGCTAGACTGGTGACCGAAGTAGCCAGGCGAGCCCGGTGTTGCGTACTCGGGCAACGAGTCGCTCATCAGCGACGGCGTGCCAGGGACGCGATCCTGCTCGTAAGCGCGAACCTTCTCCTCCAAGCTGTCGATGATCTCCTGCATGCGTGCCGAGTCCGCCTGCGCCTTCTCTTCCTCTGCCTTCTTGCGCTCAGCGTCCTGCTGCTGGTAGTGCGCCAGCTGCTCCTCGAGGTCCGCGATCACACCCCGAAGGCGCTCCTCCTCTTCCAACTTCTCGCCCTCATGGTCCTCCTCGATGGGCGAGAGCCCGTTCTTCTCAACTTGCTCTTCGAGGGCATGGATGGTCGTCTCAAGTTTCTCCACCTCCCTCGTGACACGCGAGTTGTGCGCCTCGCGGAGCTCCTCGGCCAACAAGCGGACGAGAGCGCGGATCAGCAACCACACTTCCTCCTTGTCTCGCGCCCACCAGCGCCCAGGCCAGTACGCGACGGCGAACGCAAGCTCGGAAGCGGTAGAGACGGCGAGCGGGAAGTCCTCGGCTACGACGGCATGGAACCACGGGCGGAGGAAGGTCACCGCAAGTCGTACCGCGCCAGCAGTCGTATCGCGCACGCGACTCTCGGGAGAGAGCTTGAGGAAACGCTCGCTCATGAGCTGACAGAAGGCATGGTACGACGACCGCTTCTCTCTGTAGTCCCAGGCGAGGTCGGCGGGGCTGGCAGTGTCCAGCTCGCTGAGGAGGAAGTAGGTGGGGAGCTTCTCGACGATGGCGAGGAGGGGGATGGACGCGTAGACTGCGCTGCCTGGGATGGAGCCATGGACAAAGACGAGCTGCGACTCAAGGGCATAACGTCTCCATTTCCAGTACTCTTTGTCCTTCCTAATACGGGGATCAATATATGCGGGAAGTAAAACACAATAAGAAACGTACTTCGCAGGAGCATCCTTCTGCATCAACTCCAGGGCAGTTGCAGCCTTATGGGCGACTTGATGCGCATCGATGACGGCAATCTGAATGTCCTTCTTCATGCTCGCATGATATCTGCGGAGGGCGTCCCAGACGGACCACGAGAAGCTGAAGTTGGCGCTGATGAGAGGTGATTCGGTTCGTGTCGTCCAAGTGAGATGACGAGCGACATCTGTGTAGCCCATCGCCTCGGACAAGGGCCCAAGACCATAAGAGTCCCAGTCCCGCAGCTCGTCCGGTGTCTCCCTGTATCGCTCATCGAATCGCGTCCCGATGAAGAAAGGCTCCGAGTCGTCGAAGAAGGGGGAGCGGTCCTTGGGGGTGTAGACGCGGAACAGGAAGTGGTTGTCCTCCACGAGACTCCGGAAATCGGTGTGAGATCCAAAGCCGTACTGGGGAAGAAGTGAGGATGTGGGTTCCTTTCCCCCATCTCGTGGGGAAGTATCAGGTAACGAAGTCATGATGATTGCTGGGAGGGGATCAGCCTGACGGATCTGACGCCCTTAAGACCTGCGCACCTCGTTGGGACCAGCCGACGTGCAGCGCAAAAGCCAAGTTGCTTGCACGAGAAGGATCGGAACGCGCTGCCTACACGTGAAGGCCTCATTGCAGGGACCTTGAGGCTCGCCTCGAGGCGATATGTTCCGGCGTCCTCCAAGGCGCTCTGGAGCGAATGATACTTTCTGAAGTGGTCATGATTGCGATATAACATTGTCTCAAGCTAGTAGAGGCTCGGTCAGAGGACATCTGGGATCTGTTCGACTCGAGGGACTCGTCCGTTCCAACTGGTTCCAGCCATCTATCTGAGTAAATGAACGGAGGCAAGCGGGATCTAACGGAAATTGCCGAGATGAAGTCACGGTTGCGTCACGGGCATACTTGCATCCCTGTCCACGTACGCCACTTTCCAAAGGGGAGAAGGAGAGGATGAGCCAGCATTGTACACGCAGACTCCGAGGTTATCGTGCGTATGTAAAGTGACGAGCGCACTAGCACACGACGGGCACAGGTGCCGCTGAGCCTGATGTACATTCTCGAGGTTCTGACGCTAACCCCCATCCGAAACACGCCCCCCATCCGAAACGGCCCCCTCCCCGCGCCCTACCGCCCACAAAAAAATCGGGAAAAATGGTGATAATTACGACGCCGTCTAGTTATGTACGCATATAGAGTATGGTAGCAATAGGTACAAATTTGAGGATTCAGGACTTTGATCACCGCTGGAGTGAGCCCCGAGACGCCCTTTACGCTAGGTCAAGGAGGTCTCTGCCCATTACCGGGTCTCCAAACCGTTGTACTGCTACTCGACGGCGCTTCAAGGGCCTCTCCTGGGTGTCTGGTGTGGAGGATAGAGCACGAGCTTCATTGGGATCCTCGTTCTCCTTGTCCGGAGGGGCCGTCGCCTCGACAATGAGTTCAGGTGGTTTTCCGTTGAATGCGTCCATCAGTTCGTCATCGTCTGCGATCTCGTCGCCCTCGCTAGACGCCTCCGAGTCTGATGAGGTGTTGGATATGCTCGGGGACGGCGCAAAGTCCCGGCGAGCTGCCCCACCCGGTCCGCCGCCCCCACCACGCCCACCGCGCCCACCGCGTCCACCGCGTCCACGACGACCACCACGCGTGCCACGACCACGGCCACGGCCTCTTCCACGACCCGCCGCCTTCTCGGCATCCCGACGATCTCTCTCCGCGCGCTTCTCTTCAACTTCGCGGATGCTGTAAATGCGCGATTCCCCTTCAACGCGCCGACGATCTGGCTTCTTATTGCGTCCCTCATCGTGCTGCTGCAGCTCGCGTATGCGGTCGTACTGAAGGGCCGTGCGTGTACGAGCATGCTCGAGCTCCGTCCCAAGTTCTTGAGCGGTGTGAATAGCCTTTGTCGGTGTTGAGCCTGGATCCTGAACGAGCTCCGAGAGATGATGAAGCGCTCTGCTTGGTCGTAGAGGGTCGTATGATGACGAAGGGGAGGGTGGTGGAGGTGTGGATGGTGTTGACTCGCGGGGAGTAGCTCGTAGCGACTCGTAATAGCGACGCATGACTGGTAGTGCTTCCCGATTGAGGGGGTAGATGCCCGTGCGTTCGAAGCCGTCAACAATGCGGGCACGCGTGAACGCGCGCTTCCTGGCCTTGGGCAGAATTCTGATGATGTCAATCGCTGAGATCGATGGACATCGGTGAGAACTGGACGCACCGAGTGAAGTCCTGCTTTGTGATCGCAACTCCCGCCTTCACTTCCTCCCCCACTGCTTGCTTGTAGGCATCCTTGTACGCTGAGAAGACAGCAACATCTAACGGAGCTGTAATGGCGGAGGTCTTGGGGGGGAGACCTACGCAGATGATCTTGTGATCAAGCGCGTATTCGAGGAACTCGACAGAGATGTGTGACTCGTGGTTGTCGAAGATGAGACGCCGCCACTCGTCGGGATGCGCGAGTCTGCCCATAAGCTAACCAATAAAGGGTTCTTCTAATAAATTTACTCACTTCTTTCTTGTAGCTGGCTCAAAGCACTGTTGCAGCCACAGGCACGCGAGATTGTTGTCGATCCACCCACTCTCGGATGATCCCACCCAAGCGTTCTCCATCGGGCTCCCTTTCACCCAGCCGTGCGTAACGTACTTCCCCTTCATGATGAAGCATGGTTCCAAAGGTTCACCATCCGTGCAGGCACACTCTATCGACGTCAACATCTCTCGACTCTGTCCTACAGGCATACAGTGAGTAATGCTCTGCATTCGCAGCATGGACAGCACTGACCCGACTTCTGAGAGCGATTCCCAGACCCCGATATGGTCTTTCCAGTCGCATCTCGCCTCCGAAATATAATTACGTGCTCTCGACACGACACCCCGAGCAGAAATCCCGTCTCGTCCATGGTCCAGCTGTTACTCGGCTTGATATTGTATGTCCTGTCCGTTTCTTCTATCTGATTGAAGGTAAGCATACTATGGTGCAGCATCTGAAGCACAATCTCACATTGTCGTAGAGCTTCTTCAGCCTGAGCGGGTCATTTTCGGCCGCGTGACGGCTGACTTCTTTGCGCTGTGCGAGTATCGTCTTGAGCTCGGGAGCCTGCTTCTTGACCTTCTCCAGCCATCGCTGCCCAAGCGGACGGCTGTCGCCTTGCGCCTCTAGAACTGTCTCCAGCTTCCGCTGCAAGACACGCACACTGATGTGCAAGTCAAATCGGTCAAGCTCGCGCAAGTACTGGACTACTTGCGGGAGCTCTGGGCCCGCGAGTGGGGATCTCGCCAGTCGAGTGGGTAGGAGCGAGTGCGGAGTGGTCGCCCGTTGGCGACAGTCGGGCGCGGAAGTGCTCGGGTAGCGTGTAGTGCGCGTGTAACGACGCGCGCGCGTGAGATCGATTTAGAGAGCGCCCGCGTCGGAGTGATACTCAACGACGAGGCGGGAGACGGCCCTTCCGGTGCCTGCTGCTCAGTGCCTCTCTCCGAGGAGGCTAATTCGAGCTGCAGGCGATGGTAAGAGTGAAGATGGTGATTATTCCCAATCCGGTAGGCCGCCTTGCAGCCTGCGAAGTATCTAATCTAATCTACAATGTACGTGCAAGACGAGCGAAAGAAATACCGTATGTACGAGCGTGACTCGAGAGTACTGGTGAGTGGTCTCCGGGCAGGATCCCCACACTACTTCGTCTAGCACTGCAGGACTGAACCGTCGCTGCTGTATGCCAGCCTCCTGCCGGCTCCTTCTCCCGTGTCGACGATGCCATGCCGTGCTGTGGCTGACCGCCCAAGCCGATCCAGCGTGCCTATAAGAGCACCCTTCCTCCGCCACTTTGTTGGCTGCATTCTGGACATTTCTGTCGTGAGTTTCCACCTCAAGCTTCCGCTTTTGACCTCTAGAGCCATATGGGCGACCTCCCCGGGGGTGCTCAGCCATTGCAGGCATGTTTTGCGGGAGTTTTGCGCGTTCGACGACGCCCTCGGGATGTTGTTCGGAGTTTGCCGGTATGATGTCAGTGGTTTGTGTCAGCGTTTCGGATGGTGGGTATTGGCGTGCAACCCCGCCATTGCATTCACCCCCCTCCCCTCTCAGCAACTCGCGGGCGATTCGCACAAAAAATATTTATGACATACTATAGGATGTACTCTACCGATGTACCAACTTTTTGTAATTTCCCCGCGCGATGTCGAGCTCAGAGGCAGGATTTACGAATTTCGTTTCGGATGGGGGTTAGCGTCAGTTTTTCTTCGGCCAATGGCCTTGTGAAGCCCACAATGGACTCGCTGTTCATGGAATCCAATATACTCATGCTATACAGTACAGCCAGACCATACATAAAAATGCAAAAGCGTGCGTCGTACGCAAGATATATCATACTTTCAGCTGGACAATCTCATCCACCTTCTCCACGATGAACTCGCCCAACTCGCGAGAGTAGAGCGTGCAATTCGTCTCGTCGTGCTGCAGGTCCGATATTGTCCACACCTCGCCCTTGTGGGAGCCAGACATCGGCGTGACGATCTGCTGATTAGCGGTAGGGCGGAGGGGAATGATGTATTTGGCCAGGATGTTGCGGTTGCCGACGCCGTCCGCTTCGTGGTCGAAGACGACGCGCAGGGTTTGCTCGTGGTCGCGCCCCATGCGCATGATGCCGTCGAGCGTACCCGTCTGGCCTTCGTAGCGGCCACCCAGGTAGTTGTCCGGGAGCGTGCCTTGAATCTGAACGCGAAGACTCCTCGCGTGCTGCGCGAGAGCAGGGTCGAACATCCAGTTTTCTCCGGGCGCTGCGTAAAAGGTGAGTGAGATGCAACCCGAAATGTGAGAGCAAACTTACAGCCATCATCGTCTTCGTCGTTATCCATATAGTTGCCACTGGGTGCAGGCGTTGGTGCTGACGCGGCTGGTGTTTCCGCAGAGAGCATGCCACTTGGGTACGGTGTAGGCGCAGCCGCAGGTGTTGGTGCCGTAGCAGCAGGCGTCGCAGCAGAGTAACCCGGTGTCGGGGCGGTTTGATTCTGGGGCTAAAGTCAGGACCAAGAAGGGATAGCACAGAGAAGAAATGGACTTACCCAGCCAGGCGACTGGCCACCATTGTTGAGCGACCATGCGTCATTGCTGCCGCTGCTGCCCCATGCCTGCGCAGGCGTCGAACCACCCCAGTTTCCTCCACCACTACTGCCCCACCCACTGCTGCCGCCTCCGCTGGCACTGCCTCCGCCCTGCGCATACGGATTGGGCGTGCGCGAGCTCGCCTGCCACGCCGGAGTCCGACCACCATCGTTCGCATACGGATTCGGCGTCTTCGAGTTCGTACTCCACGCCGGCGTCTTGCTGCCACTCCCGCTCTGATACGGATTCGGCGTCCGCGAATTCGTGCTCCACGCCGGCGTCCGTCCGCCATTGTTCATGTACGGGTTTGGCGTGCGGCTCGCGCTACCCCACATCGGCGTCCCGGGAGTCTGAGAAGCGTACGGGTTGACAGACGGCGACGACATATTGCTCGGGGGCCCCATGTTGGTGCGCCGTGGGCGGTTGCGGTCGCCGAGCGCCTGCATCTGGTTGCCATCCTTGACGGCAAGCTTCGACTTGTCGATGGAGATGATCTTGTTGCCCGTCAGTTCTACGCGCGCAAGGTTGCCATTTGTGTCCTTGATTCGACCGTAGTAGCCTTTCTGGGGACCCTTGATGATGCAGACGTGAAGACCAATGTCGCGGTCGCGCGGGCCGCGCCCTATCTGACCGATGGCCATCGACGCGCTCAGAGCGGGGTTCATCTTCGACAAGTCGGTAGACGCCTTGATCTCGTTACGCGGCGTGACGGGCGCAAGGGATCGCGTCTTCGTGACGAAGATACCACCGTTTTCTGGGATCTCGCGGTTGTGCAGGAAGGCGTAGAACGACTGGTGAATGTGCAAAACGCGACCTTTGCGACCCTAGATTGAGACATGAGCGACAGCAGGCTGAAATTAGAACCGAACTCACCTCGCCATCGACCTCTTTGACCATGTCCTGTATGCGAAGCTCGTGGCCGGTGTTGTCCGCCGCGATGGCATGCCGGGAGTCGCGTCGCATAGCGATCTGATGTGGCTGGACCATACGCTTTTGACCATTCTGGTCGAGGACCCAGAAGGAATCGCGCTCTGTCCGGAAGATAACGCCGACGGTAGACTGACTGGAAGTTCGTCAGTTGCAGTCAAATGAAGATTATGAGAATACATACTCAAGCTGGACAAGGTCGTGCAACTCGTAATCACCAACGATGTTCGTAGACGTGCCGACCTCCGCCGCTTCTCGCAAGTCTTTGGAGAATACAGACACCTACGACGGGTCAGACCTCAGACTCAAGTGCACTGGGAAAGACACGTACCTCTTTCATCGTCATATCGGAAACGAAGGTCACAACGTTATCGGACACGGACACGACCAAACCCGTCTCGTCGGCGTTCTGACCAGCCATGACCTTGACGTGGTCACCAGGCTTGAAGCGCTTGCGTACACTCCGCGCAGTGACCTCGATCTTCTGCCCCTCGACGTCCGAACCCACACCCGCGGAAATGGTGATGATATCCCCACGGATTTCCTCGACCATACCCTGCAGCCCCGCTTGCGCGCCCTCGAACACCTCGACCTGGTCTCCGGGCTGTAGCACGAGCGTTGCCGCCTTGCGTGATGCCTCGGCAATCGCGGTGAGGTTGACTTCGCCGTCCTCGCCTGCGCTCATGCCGCGCGTAAACTGCGTGATCTCGTCGAGGGACGGGTTCGCATCTTCGGTGCTGATCCAGGAGAGCTTGAAGTCCTTCTCCAGGAAGCCGTTCTTGTAGGTGTCGCCAGCGAAGATGTAATGCCGACCAGTCGTAGACGGGCGGGTGATGACGGCCCTACCACCATACGCAGACTGAACGGCCTCGACGTTGAAAAGCGCCTGAGGGGGACGAGAGACACCCGGACCTGCAGTCTTCTTGCGCTTCTTCGTACTGCCGTCCACAGGCGCCTCATCTGGCGGACGCATGTCGATACGGGGGATGAGTCGCAAACCGGCTTCCTCTCCGTTCTCCGTGACGTCGATGACCTGCGCCAGGTCGCCCGCATACTTCAGCGGCTTCTTTAGCCGTACCCACATACCGGGCGTGATGTTCAGGTCCTTCTGCTTGAGCTGCAGAAGGCTGGTCATCTCGTCAATGGGTACGAGCGTGATGCCACGGGTGGGGAAGATCCCAATGAGACCATTGATGGCATGCGAGACGGCGCGCGAGCTCCTCGCTTCAATGTAGACGTAGCCCTGTAGGGACTCGCGGTAGAATGCGGAGTAGATTTGGAGTGGTTTGGGTTGGAATTCAAGGTCGATCGCCTTACGCATGAGACTGAAGACGATATCGCGCTCCTTGCCAGGCTACGGGTTCAAGAGGGTCAGAGAGATATTGCATGAGTGATTGCCACAGCGTACCTTCACGCGCACGAGCCACAGATTCGGGTCATCGACATCGGGCATGAGGAAGTGCTGGGGAACCTCGTTCATGTCGCCGGTATACTTGTGGTAGGCACGATTGCCATAGCGCTTGCTGAGGTTCTTCGCAATCTGCTCGGGGTCCAAGTCCACTTGTTCGAGCTCGCGTCTTGTGTTGAGTCGGGCATGGTGCGTCGCTCCCCCTTCATCGTCAAAGGTCTCGTTCCGTTCGATGAAACCGTCTGTAAACATTACATCTGAGTTGTGGAAGCAGCGCAGAAGCTCAGCAACGCACCGAGCCCGAAGCCCTCCTCTTCTTCTTCCTCTTCCTCGTCATCGCTGACCTCGGCTTCAATATCGAGGAAATTGTGCGCGCCGCCGCGCTTCTTGTGACTATGCTTCGCGCGCTTCCGCCTGCGGCCAGACTGAGCCTCTTCCTCCTCCTCTTCCTCTTCATCTTCCTCATCTTCCTCCTCCTCCGGGTCGCGCTCTTCTTCCTCTTCTTCTTCCTCCTCTTCGTCGTATTGCGCGCGCTGCTTGCTTTTGTCCGCCGGCTCCGCCCCATGGCCCATGTCGTAGTCTCCCCCGTAGTGTCCGGAGGGGTTAGCGGGAAACTCGTTCTCGTCGAGGTCGGACATGGTGGTAGGAGACAAGAAGCGATGGGCCAGCTAGGCTGTACTGGTCGCGCCCTGACGGGTGTTCGTGAATAAGAGGCGTTGTGTGACGCTCGTCACGACTGTCATGATTTGCACGTGCTTCATTGTTCTCGGCTTCTGCCACTGCTCGTGCCACAAAGTTACAGACAGGCATTCTCGTCATGCCGTTCGATTGCGCCTGGTTTGACACTACGAAGATCGCTTTCCCAGCATTCAATGGCTATATATATATATAGGTGAATGTTCACCTACAATCCTTTGGTCAGCCCTTCCGGGCGTGGGCTGCTAGGCCTCATGTGGCTGCATAACACTGGGACTCGCACCGTCCTTCGAAGAATATTGGTCGTGGGGGACATCCGTTGGAAAAGATATCTGGCGTGCAGGTGGGTGCAGTTCTTCTCACTAGATGAAGTCCTGAATGCATGGTAAATCCCGCGCAAGCTCTCGCATTGACGCAGTCCGAGTCTTCAAATCGAGCGCGTCAGCATTGGTACTTACAAGGCGCTGGGCGACGAGCTGGTAATTGTGACGCTGCGCACAGGCGTGAAGGATAGGAAGAACAACGCGCACTCGCTGATGCCGCTCCTAATGAGGTGATGCGTGTGGATGGTGACGGTGAGTGTGAGTTATTACGGGAGGGAGAGGTGGAGGATGAAAGGATAAATTGATGGGAGGAAAGGGGAGAAGACGAACGGGAAAGAGGAGGAGGGGAAGAAGTAGGGCACCGATGGTCGATCCCGCAGCTACACTCGCGCGCGGCGACAGCCCTGCGTGAAGCTCACCGCTTGGAGGTATGTCATGAGGTGCTTTCAGGCGACACGCGCATACAGGGTGAACAAATTGGTAGGTGTCTTCCACACAATGTATTTCTGAGCCAGTACTACAGGACAGAGTCATGATTTCAAGTCAGATATCGTCATAGACGTTATAGGTACAGTCGGGAAACATATGAAAGGCGTTCGACGTACGAGGCTACAGTCCGGGAAATTAAGCACGGTGGTACGTAGGATACAAAACACGACATGAGAAACATACAGAGACCGAGAGAGAAAGGGATCCATAAATCAAGCCAGAAGCTCACTCAAAAGCGCATCGCGCAATATTCAACGAAGGTCACCGCAATTGCCGTCGCCTCAGCGCGCAAAGCATCGCTGATCTCGTTCTTGAGCTCGATCTGGAGGGCGTTGCTGTGGCCGGCGTTGTAGCGCATGCGCAAGGCCGCAACGAGAGTCGTCACATTGGTCTTCGAGGGGGGCAGATCCAAGGAAAGCGAGCGCAGGTTGGGCAATTTGCCTGCCTTGAAAGCGTTGACCAGCGGGGTCTGCAAGCTCGTGTTCGACTTCAGCTCCAGCGACACCAGGCCAGCCGCCGCCTGAGAGCAGAGGTAGGCTAGTAGCGCCTTCTTGTCGCAGAAGGAGAGCTCGAGGGAAAGATGCGTGAGTGTGTTTGCCGCCCGCCGACACAGCGTGTAGACATCGGCCTCCTCGTCCCTCGTCCCATTCCCGGCGGCATGATAAAGGAACTTGACGAGCCTCGACGCAATCAGATATTTGATGGCGTTGCTGACCTGCGCGCGAGCCTCCGGAGTGATGTTGGTAGTGCCGCCCTTGTTCAAACTAAGGAAGACAAGGTCTGGCGCGTTGATGCGGGAGAAAGCGACAGCGGCGTTATCGGACTGAAGTTGGTTGATCTCAACACCGAATGGGGCCGACGGAGTGTGCGCGGAAGCTTCCGCCTTTATGAGTTGAGCCATCTTGGCTGCGCTTCCCACCTGGCAATGAACATGCCAATAGGGATGCGGATAATGGGGGTCAAGCTCGGTGGAGGGAGTAGCAGGACACACTGGCGGAGAGATAAGTTTGCTGAGATACACATAGTTATGAAGTACGTACATGTTTTCGTCGGGGGAAGGATGCTGAGAATACCTAGTTCCTGCTGCCGCGCGAGCTTCTTTGGACGGCCGGGGTTGCGACCAATATGTCTGATATCGTGAGCAAGTAAACGACTTGAGTGTGGCAGAGCTTCGTACTGACCCTGCTGACGCCGTATATGAAACGACAACCTTCTTCGTCCTCTGCTTTCGGTCCGCAGCCATTGAGATGGGTGATGATGAGTGTGAAATAGGTAACTTTGCCACTGGGATGTAGTCAGATTGCTTGGTGGTACTTTCAGTCGAGGCGAGTGCCGTTTTATATCCAGCGGGAGGCTGGTCTATGTCTAGGCGCTTCTTCCTTGCCGAGTGACGAGGAGTAGCGCCAACTATCACAAATCATGTGGCGAGAGACGCTACATCGTCCAGAGGGTCGCCGAAAAAGCTGTTCAAGTTCACAAAATGAGCATCCACGAGGCGTTGCGAAGCCGACCTTTATGGCCCTACCATTGATGGCAGAGCTTCCTGAGGGACGCGTGCATGCGGGAAGGTCAAAAAAGGTACGGATTTCGTGATGGCGCCTCTGATGCCACAATGGACGCTGTATGCCACCAGCTGTGGTATGCCAGGACCTTCGACGAAGCTGTGCTTGGGCGCTCCGAAAGGCGCTGCCCTTATCGACGAGAGAAGCAGTGAATGGACCGAGCGGAGGTTCCGAGAAGCTCGAGGTCAAAAGACCGGGGTAAGAATTGCGTTGCCACGGCACGGAGACCATGAGGAGCAGGTCCAACCAGAGGAGTCACGGTTTGTCACAATAGACCGGCAGCGTTCGCGGCCGGCTGATCCGGCACAGGCGCCGCTGGTTAAAAGGCCCCCGCTTCTTGCCAAAAACCATCTTCGTCGGATACAAGTCCAACTGGCTACCACGGGACGCGGCACCGGATGTACTCTTTCTGAGTAGGCGCCCGCAGCTTCGTTGTCTCAACAAGTTGTGAGTGCTCTGCTGTAGGTTGAGAAGCAGCTGCGCGGTGTATACTAGGTGGTAGTCGGGTCGCCACCATCGTCGTTGCCCGAGTCGTCGGATAGACTACTCGGTCAACGTCGGCGAGACCTGGCAACGTTTGGGCTCACCAAGGCATACGAATGGCTTGATAACTCTCCCAGTCGTATGCTGCGGTGGGTGGACTTGGTCCACCGCAGGCGCTCGCGCAGTGCGTTGATGCTGCTCATCTGCCCCATCGCTTCGGCGGTGGCAATGGGAGCTAGCGGAGGTGCCGCGCTTGCGCTTGCAGCTACAATGATACGTCGCCAATGATGTTTCTCGTCTTTTGACGGGCGGCAGAGGCGAAAGTGTTTTGTGGCATCGGCGAAGGATCGTCGTCTTTGGACACCGGGCCAACTGGCTACCATGGGCTTGCGTCGGATGAGCTCTCCCGTAGGCAGGCGTTGGTCTCCTTCTACTCGAAGAGGTCGTGCGCTCTGCTAATCAACATGAGGAAGCCAGCTGCGCGGCGTACACTATATGGTAGTTGGGTCGCTGCTGTCGTCGTTGGCTAGACCATCGGGTAGGTGGTTCGGCCAACGTCGGCGAGACCTGACATCGTTGGGCCCACCACAACTACGAATGGCTAGGTAACTCTCCCGGACGTACGTCGTGGTGGGTGGTCTTGTGTCCACCAAGAGCACTTGCGTGGCGCTGTTGATGCCACTCCTTTGTTCTATCGCTTCTGTGATAGGTTTGGGAGTGGTGGAGGTGTCGTGGGAGTGCTCTCAGCTACAGTCGTGCGCTACCAGTGATGCTACCCGCCTTTTGGCGCGCGGCTGAGGTGGTTCATGATCTGTGGCGTCGGCGAAGGGTCAATTGGTCCTCAGAGGAACATCCTGAAAGTCGGTTCTCTTCACGGAGGCCTGCGAAGGGAAAGCTTCTCCAAGGACTCTTGGCGCTTCGCCGATCTCGACGGCCAATGTTTGGAACTCCTTCCTCCGTCGGAGAATTGCTTTACTACTGACATATTCTCTAGCTCGCCGTCGTCGGATACAGGTCCAACCAGCTACCATGGGACTGGCGTCGGATGTGCTCTCCCGTAGGCAAGCGACGACCGTGGTGGTGCGTCCTGCTGAACAATATGCGGAAGACAGCTGTGCGGCGTATACTGGATGGTAGCGGGGCCGCCGCTGTCGTCGTCGCCCGGGTCGTCGTGTAGATGACTCGGCCAACGGCGACGAGACCTGGCATCGTTTGGGCCCATCGCGGGTACGGATGGCTTGGTTATCCTCCCGGACGTACGCGCGGTGGGTGGGCCTGTGTCCAGCGCCCGCGTGGTGGTGACGAGGCTACTCCCCTGACGCGTCGCTGCGGCTGGGGTGAGGAGTAGCGGAGGCGCCGCGAGGGCTCTCGCAGCCACACCTGCGTACTGCTGATGACGCCTCTCGTCCTCGCACGAGAGGCGGAGGCGATATACGGGCTGTGGCGTCGAACGACGCGAGGTTGTTCTCGTGGAACATCCGAGTAGCTGGTCGTCCTCGCGGATGATAAGTGAAAGGAGTTCTTCGTGAAGCACTTCATCGTCCGACAACGACGGTCATTTTTTGGGCTCCCCTCCTTATTTGGAGGATTTACGACATAAAATCAGACCGGTACTGTACCCTCTTGTATACAATGGTTGTGAATTGCACGTATGCCTTTTCGAGCGCTATCATAGAGAACTTCCGTGTACATACTGTTGACCGATCGAAGTTCAACTAGCCGTCGCGCGAGGACCGCCAACCCAGAGCGATGTATTGCGCGATCATTCTGAACACTCGCACTCCCTAACGGTCCTCTGACTCTGAAGCTATCGCTACTGACGCGCAAGCGAGGGATCTCATTCATGTCCGCAAACAAGATGATTGATGTAGTCTGCATTGAACTTCACGGCTGAAGCGCTACTATGCCATAACCGCCTCAGGAAAGATGGAGGCTCCAGGCGACGTTATAGTGCGCCTGGCATTCAGAGGCGTTCGCCTCATCGGAAGTGACGCAATACGCAGGTTCAGCGAGACGGCGCAATCCAAAGGCTAAGCAGGAAAGCAAGATCTGTGTGTAGTTCCACTACATGTCCAATGACTGGTAATCATACTCCAAAGCGGGCGCTCGCGGCTCAAGCCGCGCCAATGCCACTCGCATCTGCCCAGATATCCTTTACTGCCCCCCAATATAGCTCCGGATTCGCTCTCGCAAGCGCTACATGCGGCGCCCTCTCCAGCAGCACCTCCCGCACTTTGATCCCCGCCTCCTTTAGCTTCCCCACATGCTCCTGCACCTCCTCCCACCCCACCAGCTCGTCCGTCTTCGAATGCACATATAGCCGCGCGCTCTCGCTACTCATCCAAGGCAGCACGTCCGGGCGCAATAAGTCAGCCTTCAGCTTCTCCCCAACCGGTAGGACCCCGAAGACGGGGAAGAGGAAGTAGTGGTTGAAGGACCAGAAAGTGGCGACGACGGCGGAGACGGCGAAGCGGATGACGGGGTTGGGTATGAGGCCGGCGAAGGCGCGGATGGCGGTGCGGAGGGTGCCGGTGGCGGGCGCAGAGTCGACGATGAGGGCTGAGGCGGCGGCGGAGGTGGGGGAGCGGTTCCGAGAGCGGAGGAGGGTGCCGAGAGTGCAGAGCTGGCTACTGCCGCCTAGCATGGAGGGTGAGTTAGATATTCGTTGCGTACGAGGGTGTAGGTGCATACCGTTGGAGAAGGAATGCGCGAGAATGCGAGGCGGAGTGGCGTCGGCATTGGCGAAGGACTCGATGACCTCCGCTGCTGGTATCAACATTTGTTCCTGCGTTGGGGTGAGTATACGTTCTGATGCATGCGAGCGAAGACCCACATTCCAGCTGTTCGGTTTGAAGAAGAACGCGGGCTCGGACTGGATGAGCAGTATGGTGGCGTTCGGATACCACTCATGATAGACGTGACTATACTTGTGCAGATGAGAGAGCTTCGCGCCCACTATACAGGGAAGCGGTTGTTAGCTTTGATGGGTGAAGAGCAGAGAGTGTATGAGCGAAGGTGGAAGATAATGGGGGAAGGAGGGAAGGGCATGGTGCGGCGCCGGTCGACTTACTCCAGCCACATAGTATAATGAGGCTATCGTGACATTCAGCAGGGTATAGGTGTGCGCTAGAGGGTGATCGCACTCTGGGTCGCTGGTCTCCTTGACTATCTTCTGCGCGGGGGAACTACCATGCGAGAGCCATATGTCCTTCGCGATCTTGGTGAACAGAGGAGCTTCCGCCATGGCAAGAAAGGTATTGACCGAGAGCGCTCGCGGAGAGGTTGAGTGGGGATGCAGTCAAGCAGACGTAGCCAGACACGAATGTGGTTAGAGATAAAGGGTGTCGGTTATGAGGCAGGACGCGAGGATCCCCCATGGCCGATGCCCGAGCCTTCCTTCCCCAAGAACCCACTCGTAGCATAGCGGGGTCCCACATACAGGCGCAGTCCTTGCGAGGCAGTGCTATGTAGAAATGACTGGCAATATGAGAATGGGCGAAGTTGGTGGCGAGCCGGACGCGTTACGCGCCGATCCTCCACTGTGACCCCGATACCGGGTGACGCTCATCCGTTTTTCGGTCAGGTATCACTGGGTATCGGATCAGCGGTTGCTAAATGGGTGAAAGGTGATCTGGAGAATGTCAACCGGTACGTTCCCGACGAAGGCACACCCTGGTTAGCGGTTGACTTTCCCCCTCTTTGTCCTCGTACTCACAAGCGCGCTCCGTCAGTGCATTGGACTTGCATAGTAGTGTAAATCAATTAGTTTGTGTCTGGTATGTAAAGGGAATGATTCAGGTCGCTACTGCGATCCAAGATAGCGTACAGATCCGGGTTTGGCCACCGGCGCGGGACACGTCCAACCAAGCACTGTACAGTGTGAATGTCCACAACTTCGTACCTCCCCATGTCCTTGTAGTACAGTTGGCCCAGACTATTTGTATTGCATGGCGTGCATGAGTGGATGCGAGCGAGTATCACGGTTTCCGGTTCAGTGAGGTGGAGTTGAGGTGAAGCCAAAACCTCAACGACGTAGATGTTCATGAGTTGCCCGAAGAACGACTTGGGCACGAGGATTTCGGGCGCGCGACGCCGGTGCTTGTTGCGATCTACAAGTAGGTCATACTGTAGGAGGAGAGTAAGTAGGGTCATTGCTGGCAGGATGGTATCTCGCACCTTGACCCACGTCGCATCACGTCGGTCACTGGCTAGCGGGACAAGCTCTGACGCGCGCATGTCATCACCACCATTGAGAACGCGGACACGGCCATATTGACGAATCGAGTCGATGTTGATGCGCTGCCGCACGTCGGCCGCATCTGCATTGTACCGTGTCTGAAGGTGTACGCAGATCTTGTCCAGCTGGGAGCTGTCGATGGGAGCACGTCGCATGGGCGGTAAAAGCGTGCACGTCGGGTCTGGTACCAATCGGTTAGGCGAGAAAAGTACTTGAAAGAGCCACTCACAAGATGGATGCCTTGTCACGAGTTGGTTATTGTTCTGTACAGCTCGACTCTAGCAGTCACTCGGTCACGTCACGTGTTCACGCTTTATATACCGAGTAGTCACACTATACACTCTTTAGTCCGTTTCACGAGCTAAATAAGCGCAGAGAGCGCAAGACCTCAGTCTTCCTGCGTATAGGATAGCGACTTAATTCATACCTAAATAAGCGCAGAGAGCGCAAGACTAAAGTACAGTCAGTATAAGTAAGAGTAAAGTAAGTAAAAGACATACCCTCAGTCTTCCTGCGTATAGGATAGCGACTGAGGGAAAAGAAGGAAAGAATACACGCGTATGTACGGGGCCACCGGGGCAAAGCGTGGGGAAAAGTCATGTGATAATGTGACACCAACTCTGGGAATGTGACACAGTGATTCCTGGAGTTGGGAGCGGTCATGTGACTCCGGGTGAAGGCAGACTCGCCCTACCGACCACTTTTGACACTCCCACTCGAGTCTGGCCGTAAACCCATACCTTGGCAGAACTTGAGATGCTTCTCATGAGGTAGTGCCTTGGTGAAGATGTCCGCGACCATCTCGTCCGTGGGGTACCAGAGGACGACGCACTCGCCGGTGGCAACCAGCCCATCTCGGATGTAGTGGTACTTCCGCTGGATGTGCTTGGTCCGGGCACGGAACTGAGCATCCTGGCTGAGGATAATGGCCGCACGGTTGTCGCACCTGAGCTCGGTGGCACCGGCCTGCGGACGTCCCAACTCCTCGAAGAACGAGCGGAGCCACGCCAAGTGCTGGCCAGCGTTAGCAAGACCAATGTACTCCGACTCGGTAGACGAGAGAGAGACCATAGACTGCCGCTTGCTGGACCAACCAATGGCGCCCCGACTTGAGATGAACACGAAGCCGGAGGTAGACTTGGACGTGTCGTTGCATCCGCCCCAGTCAGCGTCGGTGTAGCCATGGAAGTCGAGATCCATGCCAGCGTCAGCGCCATCGTAGACAAGGCACCAGTCACGCGTCTTCTTGAGGTACCGGAGGACACGCTTGGCCAGTTCCCAATGGCAAGCCTTGGGGGCGGCGCTATAGCGGCCAAGAACCCCCACCACGTAGGCGGTATCCGGTCGGGTACCCATCATCCCGTACATGAGCGAGCCCACAACGCTCTGGTAGGAGACAACGGGACCTCCGGGGACCAAGGCCATATGAGTGCGCACCTCGTTGTCGTTCGGGTCATCGGCGGAGATGCGAGTGCTTGTGGACATGGGGGTGCTGACGCCTGTGCAGTCCGACATGCCATAGCGCTCAAGCACGGTGTCGATGTACTTCCTCTGGGAGAGGGAGATCGTGCGCTTGCCCGGGTGCCGGATGATCTCGATGCCCAGGAGGTACTTGGCGGGACCCAAGTCGCGCATCTTGAAGGAGGCGGTGAGCTTCTTCTTGATGCTGTCCATGAAAGGACGCGAGGTAGCGGCGAGGAGGAGGTCGTCGACGTAGACGACGAGGAAGCAGACCTGCTTGCCGTCCCGGAAGACGTATAGGCAAGTCTCCGAGTTGAGGCGCACAAACCCGAGCTTGTCGAGCTTGTTGTGGAGCGTCTGGTTCCACGCGCGACCGGCCTGCTTGAGGCCGTAGACCGACTTCTTGAGTCGCCAGCAGTAGCCCTCCCGGATGTCTACACCGGTCGGGGGAAGCATGTAGAGCGTCTGTAGCAGCTCACCATTGAGGTAGGCGGTGTTCACGTCCATCTGGTCAGTGTAGAGGCCGAGGCGGACGGCGAGGGCAAGGATGATGCGGATGGACTCCAGGCTTGCGACGGGCGCAAAGGTGTCCTGGTAGTCAACTCCTTCCTGCTGAGTGAAGCCGCGCGCCACGATGCGCACCTTGTACCGCTCGATGTTCCCTTGAGCATCCTCCTTCAAGGAGAAGACATGCTTGGAGGTGATCGGCTTGACGCCCTCCGGGATGGGTACCTCCTCGTAGACGTCGTTCAGCTTGAAGCTGTTCAACTCCTCCGACTGCGCGTCCAACCACTTGTCGCGCTCCGGGCTCGCCATGGCTTGCTTCCAAGTGGTGGGAATCTTCCGCGCACCACTGCTCGACCGACCACCAGACGCTGCGCCCGCGAAGAGTTCGTCATTGAGAAAAGCAAAGTTCACTGACTCGCCCTCTTCATTGGGTTGACCCGGGGGATCCCCACCCCCCTGGGTAGGCGCTGGTGCGGGTTCTGGTTCGGGAGCTGGTGCGGGAGGAGGAGGAGGAGCTTCCGCCTGAGGTGGCTGCTCTCGACGTCGGCGATTTTCCTCGAGTTGCTGCTCGCGCGCGCGGATGTTCGCTTCGCGCTGCTTCCGCTGCTGGGCGGACACCTTCCGGTGGTTCTCCTGCCGCTCCCGAGCGTTAATGTAGCCCTGGTCCTTGTGCTGGTTCGCCGTTCGCTCTTCTGGCTTGCGAAGGCCGGGGCGGCGTGATGGACCAGCGGCGGGGGCAGGAGCCGGCGGTGGCGTGGCCGGTGGCAGAGACCGGCGCGGTATGCGCGTCTTAGGTGGACGTGGAGCCGGCGGTGGCCCGTCCGAGTCAGGGGAGGACGGACGATTATCTCCCACTGGCTCTGGCGTGGGTGGACGAGGTGCTCCCACTGACCCGGCTGCCGGTGGCTGGGCTGGCGCATCGTCGTCGTCATCGTCCTCGCTGTCACTGCCTGCATCTGGTGCAGGAGCGTCCTTGGGCGGCAGACGGAAGTACTTGCCAAAGTCCTCCCACTGCTCGGCAGACACATCGTCTTCGCCCGCGCGCATCTCGTCAGGAGAGGGGGAGGCGTCGTCGAACTTGACGTGCCGAGAGATGATGACCTTCCGAGAGGCGATCTCGAGGAGCTTGTACGCCTTTGTGCCCTCAGACCAAGCGTAGCCTATGAGGATGCACCGGCGGGCGCGGTCGGCGAACTTGCCCTTCCGCTTCTTCTTTGGGATGAGCGGGTAGGCGGGGCAACCGAAGGGGTGCAGGGCGTGGACGTCAATAGGGCGCTTGACCTTGCGCATGCGATTGATAGGCAGTTCTCCCTTCTGGCGGCTAGCGGGCGACAGGTTGATCATGTCGGTGGCGTACTCCAGCGCATACATCCAGTACTTCCGGGGAAGCTTGGCCGCGCAGAGGTTAGCGATTGCCCGGGTGACCAGCGTCTGGTTCATGCGCTCCGCTATGCCGTTCTGCTCAGGTGTGTAGGGCGCCGTCGTCTCATGGATGATACCGCGTCGGCGGAACTCGGCCTCCATCTTGTTCGAGCAGAACTCGCCGCCGCCGTCTGTGCGGGTGAACTCGACCCAGCCGGGGAGCCACTCCCACTGCTCGATAGAGTCGCGATGCTGATGCTCCATGTCGATGCGCCACTGACGGAGCTTCTTGTAGACCTCCGACTTCTTCTTTGTGAAGAGCGTGTAGACGCCCGAGGAGTAGTGGCAGACAATGACGATCCAGTAGAGATAGCCGCCAATCGCAGCGGGGTCGACGGGGCCACCAACGTCGCAGGAGACGAACTGGAGCGGGCGCGAGGCGGGCGTGGTGCTCCGCTTGAAGGGGAGCTTCTTCATCTTGCCCATGACGCAGGGCTCACAGAAGGACGGGATGCCGGTGAGCGTGTCGACCTCCCCGAGCTGACCATGACGGACCATGTTGCGCAGGCTCTCGAAGTTCGTATGGCCCATGATCTGGTGCAGCCGGTTGATGTCAATGGCGGTGAAGGCGCGTTCGTCCATGCCGATGGGCTGGCAGTCGACGTGATAGAGACCGTGTTTGCGCGTCGCGGCGCAGGCGATATTGCCGGAGGAGTCGCGGATAGTGCAGGCGTTGTCCTTAAAGGACACGCGCAGACCACGCTTGGTGATCTGGGGCACCGAGATGAGCGTCAACGCAAGGTCGGGGACGTGTAGTGTCTTCCGAATGGTCAGCGCGCGCACACCATCCGGTGTCTTAGAGGCGAAACAGGCAGTGCCAATGCCTACTGCCTTGATGACGGACTCATTCCCAAGGTAGATGTTGCGCGGCGGGTCAAGGACACGGTAAGTGCTGTCGTCGAAGAGGCGCTCGTCGGGGGTCATGGTCTTTGACGCACCCGAGTCGACAATGTGCGACCCTTGGTGTCGCTGCGGTCGCTTAGGATCAGACTGGACATAGGCGGAAATCTTCTTGTAGGCGCGGCGCGAGACGGTTACATGCGTGTCGTCTACATCCGAGTCCGAGTCTGAGTCCGAATCCGAGTCCGAGTCCTTCACCTTGTTCGCCTTCGCCTTCTCCGCCGCCCGCTCCTTCCGCTTCTTCAGCGCCTTCTCCTTCTGCCCGATGATCGTCTTGCACTCCTCGGTGGAGTGCCCCTCGCCGTGGATGACGCAGGACGCCTTCGCCTTGGCCTTCTTCTTGCCCTTGTCCTTGGGCTTGCGCGGTGGGGGCGCGCGAGAAGAGGAGGCGGCGTATGCCTGCTCATCATCCGAGTCCTCCTTGCTGATCACCTGCGCCATCAGCTTCGCCTCAACGTAGGAGAGGGTGAGGGGCGCGGCCTTGGAGCTGCCCGCCGAGATACCGGACGAGACGATCTTCCACTTCTCTGAGCTGGGAAGGGAGGCGAGGAGGATGAGGGGGACGAGGTTGGCGTTGAGGGGGTAGCCAAGAGTGGCGAGCTGGGTGACCGATTGCCGGACGCGGTGGATGTGCGCACTCATCGCCTCGCGGGAGACGTCTCCATCGTCGGCGTCGGCGAGCTTCGCGCGGAAGATCTTGATCAGTTCGGTGACCGCCATCTCGCTGGTGTTGGTCTGCTCGAACTTCTCGACGAGTTTCTCCCAGAGTTCGCTCGCGTGCTGGTACTCGTGGAGCTCGAGGGCAATGTCATTTGAGAGGTGCTCCCGGATGGTGGAGAGGGCGCGGGCGTTCCGCCAGGACCAGGTCTCCCTCCGCGCAACTTGGTGAGTGGTGGAGGAGGAGCCCGATCCTGTGGATGTGGTGGTGGTCGCCGGAGCGCCGGGTGACGTGGACGGGGGTGAGGACGTTGTCGGTGTCGGTGGAGTCACCGCGATCTCAGGGGGAGGGGATTTCTCCGATCCAGTCACCACAGAGGTGAGATCGTCCCTGTTGAGGGCGTCGGTGACACGGAGGCGCCAGAGCGGCCAGTCCGCCGCATCGGTGAGCGTTGGGACCTTGCTGTCCTTGGGAGCCATGGCGCAGAGTGGGATAGAGTGAGTCGCAGATCGAAGTCTTGCTCGATTTAGGCCACGGGGCTCATAACCTTTCACGAGCTAAATAAGCGCAGAGAGCGCAAGACCTCAGTCTTCCTGCGTATAGGATAGCGACTTAATTCATACCTAAATAAGCGCAGAGAGCGCAAGACTAAAGTACAGTCAGTATAAGTAAGAGTAAAGTAAGTAAAAGACATACCCTCAGTCTTCCTGCGTATAGGATAGCGACTGAGGGAAAAGAAGGAAAGAATACACGCGTATGTACGGGGCCACCGGGGCAAAGCGTGGGGAAAAGTCATGTGATAATGTGACACCAACTCTGGGAATGTGACACAGTGATTCCTGGAGTTGGGAGCGGTCATGTGACTCCGGGTGAAGGCAGACTCGCCCTACCGACCACTTTTGACAGTCCGTGCGTTGTCGCCTTCGGTCCGTGTCTGTGTTCGGCGTTGCCGCTGGGCGCGCCAGCCCCTCCAGCTTGCCGCTGAGGGGGGCCTCTGAGGCCCTGCCCGGGGCTTTGTACCGGGTCTGTCGCTTGTCTCTCCTCCTTGCTGCTGCCATCCGACCGCTGGGTCGTATTCGATCATCTACCGCCGACGCTCCTGCTATCCGCAACCTCCCTACCCGTCGGTCACTCCTTGCATCCACTTCTGATAGGTTATGAGCCCCGGATGCGCACTCTCTGTGCTCTGGCAGCCCTGCCTCGTTTTTCCACCTCCTCCAGCCAATCACGTCCTTTGTCCTGTCACGCATCACACCACAGTCACCCCACATGTGATCAGCCACCTGCCATGTGATCAGCCACTCACCATGTGACTTGCAACTGCCAAGGTCACCCCCTCTGTCATCTGACTCTCATGTGACGTTCATGTTCATCTATCACATGACCCACCTGCCGCTGCTCACCTTCGCCGCTCATCGCCGCATGCAGTCGCCCGGCACCGCCTTCTTGCCTGCACTCCGGCGCTCCAGGACTAACCCTCCGCTCTGCGCCTTGCGACTTGATTGTCGCGGCTCGTCGCTGCTGTATGCGCGCCCTCGTCGACATGCCACCACCTTGCATATCCGGTGTTGAGTATCATCTCCACCTTGCGTCTGGTGCTCCAGGACTAGCCCTCCGCTCTGCGCCTCCTTAGCGAGCTACGTTGCTGATGCACGATGCCGCTTTGTGCGTAGTGGTCGCTGTCGTCCCCTTTGCCGCCGCCGCCGCTTGCCAACATGCGGCCCTCCTGCGCGGTAGCTCCCCTCGTCGGTTGAGCAACCGCTAGTGGATTGTCAAGTTGGGTGGGAGCCCACTTGCATCTCACTTGCGCGGTCACCTGGCGGCGCGCCTGCTTTGCCCCTCGGGGATATTTCCTTTTGTGTAAATCGCCCGTGATTTACCAAAAAGGCAAGTGTCCGTTTCCGGAAGGAGTTTCCCATACTCCACCGGGTGACTTGGCATGGCGCGCCCCCTGGCTGCTGCCCCTACGTCGGGTTCGGTGGGAGCTGCGTGGCATCTCTGCCAGATCGTTGGAAGGATTTGTTTGTTAACGTCTTTCTTTGGGCTGTGAGGACATCTTTTTTGTTTTCTCCTTTTTTGCTTGCAGGACCTTTATACCGTTCTTCCTTCGGGTGGGAGCTTTTGTTTCTTTTGCCCCTTTTCCAGCACGGTTACTTACTTATGTATTGTTCCTGCTTGCCGTCCTCGCTGGGTGGGAGTGTCACGAGTTGGTTATTGTTCTGTACAGCTCGACTCTAGCAGTCACTCGGTCACGTCACGTGTTCACGCTTTATATACCGAGTAGTCACACTATACACTCTTTAGTCCGTGCATTGTCGCCTTCGGTCCGTGTCTGTGTTCGGCGTTGCCGCTGGGCGCGCCAGCCCCTCCAGCTTGCCGCTGAGGGGGGCCTCTGAGGCCCTGCCCGGGGCTTTGTACCGGGTCTGTCGCTTGTCTCTCCTCCTTGCTGCTGCCATCCGACCGCTGGGTCGTATTCGATCATCTACCGCCGACGCTCCTGCTATCCGCAACCTCCCTACCCGTCGGTCACTCCTTGCATCCACTTCTGATATGCCTGAACTCTCCCTCAACGCGCGCTTTCGGTGGCGCCGTCAATGACAGCTCCTGCGCGATCTTTGGGCCGTAAAGCAGCTTAAGTTGATTGATTTGCGCCATCGCGGTAAGGTGGACATCGATGTTCGCCCAAGGGAACCTACGGCTGTGTATCGCGCGCTGCACGCGCCCACAAAAGCGCTCCATTGTAAACGCCCAGTACGTCCACACCGGCCCCATCTGTTCAATGCTGTCAGCGATGTGGAGAAGGGCATGTATGGTGACCGGGCATGTGGCGATGCGGAGGGGATCGTGCTGGTAGTAGAGCCTAAGTAACAGCGATGAGTTGTTGACAAGACAGGAAGGAGCGAAAGAGAAGGAACACGCACTTCTCAAATGTAACAACCCAATCCCGAAAGCCTTGGCGTACTAGGTCGAGCTCCTGACGTGATATCTTGAACTTCATGCACGAGTTGACCAGGCGGACGAACGAGATGAAATGAGAGTAATATACGGGGCGTTTAAAGCGTGACGAAAGGAGGGCGGGGCCGATATGGAGGATCCAGAAGGACCAAGTGTCGGCAGTGGAGCTAGTGTTGTCCTGAGCAATATCGGGTGGACGGGCGCCGAAAACACCTGGTATGGTGTCCCCAGAAGCGCCAGTGGCTGCACCGATGGCATCCCAGGCCGTGCGCTCGAACTGATAGTCGCCGGTTCCCTCGGGGATATCCTTGTAATCACCCGTCCAGAGCTTGATTAGGTTCTTGATAACATTCTCGAAGATGAGGTGCATGAAGTTGTAGGGAAAGGAGGTGGGAAACTGGATGGAGGGGAGTTGATATAGGATTGAAACCCCCTTCACACCGGTGCTCTTGGACAGTCGGTCTGCAGCCGCCTGCGAGGGAGCCAGCTGTACAGCGCGGCCTTGCTGAAGGATCTGCGCATGTGAGCGTGAAGGGAGATGGGCTGGATCATAGGACTTTGTCGCAGTAGGATCCGCTCTTGTGGAGGGATGGCGCGTGCGGTCTAGAGGCACGTAGTGCGTGGTGACGCGGTCACGACCAGGTATACGCAGGCCCTTGATGCTGCACATGCGACAAGGATGCAGGCCGTTGTGCCCCTTCATGTTCATGACCATGGAGACTGCGGGGATGTTGCCGAACGCCAGGATCAAGTATGACCGGAGCATAAACTTCTGCTTTGTCGCAGAGTCGTAGGCTGGAACGCCACCCGCCAGACGTATCAACTCCTCCACCAAGGGCCAGAGGTACGAGTCAAAGTCTTTGGGCTTGTTTGGATCGGGGATGACACCCACACACAGCACGTGCTCTAGCAAGCACCGTAGCTCGGGTGGCAGATTATAGTTGAAGACGAGGAGCGGCCAGCAAGTCTTCTTGCGGCGCTTGAAAGGAGCGAAGCCATCCGTCGAGAGTCCGAGCGCTATATCGTGCTCATCGTCAAAATACTTGTGGGTGAATGTCTGGCCTCCGACAGAGACGTGCTGACTACGCAGAGTACGGTAGTGAGAACCGTCCATGACATCCTGGACGTAGTCGGGTTCGCATGTGAAGTTGTGGCGATAGCGCAGCTTGTCGATCATGCCGAGGTTGCCATAGAAGGTACGGAGTCGGGGTATGAGGGGGATGTATGTGAATCGCCGGCGAGGGTTTCCGTTTGCGTCTAGCCGATCGGCATTGCAGAAGGGGCATTTCTGCTTGTCGGCGTGTGGTCCGGTATAGCAGCAGCAGGAGTTGACACAGCAGTCGTAGGGTATGGGCTGGAACTTGGCGAGGAAAGCAGCCCGGCGACGTGTGACCTTGTACGAGGCGACATTCGACTCGGGGAAGGCAAACCGCAGCTTCTCGAAGGTGGCCTCCGTCATTTCTGTCGTGTTTTTGAGAGCGAAATGGCGCAGAAGTGCAATGTCATGGTCAGACAGCTCCTCTCCTGAGATGCGATCAGCAAAAGCCGCGGATGCAGAAGTGATCCACGCACGAAAGTCCATAAGTTCCCTCATCAGGACTTCATCAAAGTCGTACTCATCATCAGGATCATAGCGTGCCTCATCCCAGTTCCAGCCGTCCTCTACAGGGTTTGACTCGTCCTGGGGGATCTCATCATCCTGGCCTTCTATCCACTCGTCCTCCCCGAAGCCAAAGACTGTTGTGGGCTCATCGTCCTCCACCACCTCAATGATAGGGTATCGCTGCCGTACGGGCTCGGTTGTAGGCAGATCGGTTGTCGTCAGCTGGTCCGTGGCTTCTTTGTGATCCACGGACAGTCCCGCCTCGACATCTTGTACCATCGAAGATCGGGTGGAAGATGGACCAGTGGGCGATGGAGCGGTAGGATGCGAAGCGTGGTGGTTAAGGTCATCCGGAGTTGATGATGATGAAAGACTGCTGGGGGGCACAGGTAGATGAGTGGTAGGTTGACCAGAGGATCCGCTCCCGCCACCAAAAAGCTGCCGGGCGAAGCGCGAGATCTTGACCTTCATCGGGGGGTTGGCGCTAAGGTAATTTCGCTCGACGCGGTTGGTGACATATTTATTGCATCCACAGCTGCAGATATGCTTCGCCTCACGTCGCTTGGGACCCATGAATGGAGTGAGCTTTGGATGGGAGAGCCTCTGTGGAAGATAGGTGTTGAGAAGATGAAGGACGATTGCAAATGCTTTTCGTGTCAGTCCAAGGCAAAGTCACGTGAGAGCAGGTCGAACTTGGTTTATCAGGAAGGAAACAACATGGATTGTTATGTTTATGGTACATGAGCTCACACAAGGTGGAAGGTTCTTGCTTTCCCCACCCTCCCCTCCTCTGCCTGTCCTCATCACCCTTCCTTCTTTCCTAGGCTCGCCTATCTCCCACAAATGATTTTGCTTCCCCGACGGCGCTATTGGGTGCGTGAGCAGGGCCAACATATGGACTATATGGAACCAGACATGGGCTGGGTGGTGCAGAGCCAACTCGTCAAGAGCAAGACGAGGCGGCGCGAGCGAGTCGCCGGGCTCACCGGACCGTCGGTGCCGGAATAGTCAGCAATTGCTCTCAAAAGTCGGGCGTGCGGAATCGCTCTCGAAGAGTCGGGCATGTAACGCTCCCTCAAAGGAGGGCAAAGGGCCCGCTCTCTTGAAGGAGGGTGCGCCATGCGAGCAAGGCGGGCGTGCAAGGGGGCGCGCGGGTACCCTCTCTCGAAAACCGGGCGTGCGTGAGCGCTCTCTCGCAGGTGGGGCGAGGCGCCTCCGCTCCCACTCGAAAGTCGGGCATGCGAGGGAAGGGAGCAATCTCGAGGGAAGACGAGGCACCAGACGAGAGTGAGGGAGTGCGGGCGCGGGCGCGGGACCCCGGTCAAAAGGAGGAAAGGGAGAGCAAGCGAAGGCGGGTGCGGGCGTATACACACTCCATCTCAGCTCGGGCATATAATGCTCCCTAGCTCCCTCACTCGCTCCCTCAGGCTGGGTGCTGTCAAGAGAGGGTCGGGCATATATGCGCTCCGTCTCGACTCGGGCGTGCGAGTATGCTCTCTCCAATGGTCGGGCGTATCCGCACTCCAGCGCAAATCGGGCGTATAGCGCTCCGTCTCTGGTCGCACGTATCCACTCTCGATCGAAGATCGGGCGTATAAGGGTGGAACTCGAGCTCGAGTAGGTCTTCTTCCTCCTCGTTGTCCTCCTCGTCGACCCAGTCACCCTCGTCTTCTTCCTCCTGGAGTGGGGGTGGAGCAGTGGCAGGAGGAGGCGCGGACGGCGTCATCTGCCCATTTGTATTTGTCCAGCTTCACCCCTCGTCCTGGACCGGGAAGCGGTCCTGCTCGCCCGCGGTTGATTCCCCGGCGATTTCCTCGCCCGAAGAGGACGAGGGCTCGGGGCTCGTCTCGCGCGGCTGGGTGCTAGCTACCCGCGGCGGCGGCTTGCGCGGCACCTTTGGGACCGGCTGTTCGTCCTCGCGCCGGCGCCGGCGCACACCCACGCCCTGAGGCGGCGGCGGTATGGGCTCGTGGCTCGGGCTGCTCTGCACGCTCTGTGGCGGGAGCCGGCCGCCCAGCAGCCGCGTCGTGTGCAGGAGCGCCCACCGCGAGAAGCCGGCGCCCTGGAACGGCGTGCTGCTCATCGTCTCCGTCGTCGAGAACGCGTCCTGGTCGTTCTGCGCATACACCTGCCACTGGCGTGCGAGCTGCTCCTGTATCGCCGCGGGGTGGTTGGGGTCGGGCGGCGAGACGTACGGCGCGCGGCGCACGTGCGTGAAGGGGTACGGGTAGGGCGAGCCCGCGGGGACGATGGTACGGAACGGCATCGGGTCCTTTTCGTACGCGGCGCGCGCGTTGGCGTTGATGAGCGGCGAGGGGGAGGGCGCGGCGGTCTGGCTGTGCGGCGTGGGCGGGATGGGCGCGTCGGGGCGGGGCGAGGGGAGGATGGCCTGGAGGTAGGCTGCGGTGGGACCGTCAACAAGGAAGGAGCCGTCCTCGGTCGAGGGGGTGTAGAAGCGCGCAGCGGTGGTGCGCGGGTTTCCCTCGATCCAAAAATCCCCGTGTACATACGCATTCCCTCTTCCACGATCTCCTTCCCCCTATCCCTTTCCCCCTTCACTTTCTCCCCTCCCCTCATCAGCGGACGGTCCTCACGATGACGGCAACAGTCATTGAGGTAGCTCTTGCCCTTCCCTTCGTCCTCGCTGCGGGCGTCCTGACGAGGTGATGTCCAGGGCAGAGGCCGGTTTGTCTGTGACAAAAGTGAGCATACGTCGTCAGTAAAATGACAGTTAAACTGACCCAGAATGAGCACTGCTGGGTCCTTGACCCTCGCGCGTGCAATAGCAAGTCTCTGCTTCTGACCACTACCCGCAAGCCTTGGCCCCGTTAACCGCTGCGAAATCGCTTGCACGAAGACGAGGACGGGCAAGGAGGACAGGGTAACGAAGGTGAGGACCGCCGAGCACGAGAACGTCAGCCCCAGACAGGTGACAAGCGTCGTGAGGTGCTGTACGAGCAAGCCGAAGCCGAGGGACGATGCGGCACGCACGTCGTCCGTCTCCCGCGCGGATGTCGCCATTATGCCGCCCGCACCCTCACCCCGGGCGACCGTGGTGTCGAACCAGGCTATGGGCTTATGCGCGAAGGCGGCGTAGACGCGACGGCGGAAGCCGAGGACGTTGCGCTCGCCGGTCCATATCCAGAGGCAGGACGTGAGGCTGCTGAGCGCGATCGAGCCGAGCGCGATCGAGCCGACTGCGAGGCCGAGGAGCTCGAGGGCGTTGATGCCGACGGTGTGCATGAGGGCGTCCTTGGCGGATTGCGGGGGGTTGGGGGTGAGGGGGAACTGGACGAACACGTTGAAGGACTGGCCGATCACATAGGTCTTGAAAGGCGCGACGCCACCCGCGATGATCGAGGAGAGGAGGGCGGGGAGGAGGAGGCAGAGCACGTCTCTCCTGCATCGTGAACGTCGTCTTCGTCGTCGAGGTCGTGAAAGAACGGGCGTATCCGCTCTCGATCGAAGGTCGGGGCGCATGAGACCCAGATACCGAAGGCGAGCTTTTGAGCATGCACCCTCCGATTTTTCCTGGTCCTCCCATCTCCTTGCCATGTGTTGTTACGGTCAATCAAAGAGGAGCTCCGTTAGGTTGGCCTGCTGCGCCCCTGCGACACCTTGTCGAGGCTTAGGTCTTGCAGCGCCGTGACATTGGGGGTATCCTCGTGTTGAAGCGCGCTGGCTTAAACAACGTAGCGGCGGTGGATGATGAAGGGTCGGGCAGGCCTCAGCACAACGAGGGCTTACAGCGAGTTTTCGCGAGGCAGGGGAGTGTGTGTTGCGGTCAAGGAGCTGGTGCGGCAGGACACGTTCGCCCTTGACGCGCTCGGGAATGGAGAGGGAGGGGTTGGGAAGAGTGGACTCGAGCTGTGACTGGCATTGGTTACGCTTCAGTCATGGGATCTGCTGGGCAAATTAGAGCTTTGAACATACTTGGAAGAAGGTATGGGGACTCACCTGCCGTGATGGAAGGTCATTCCGCGTCTTGCAGCGATATGAGATCGAGCGGTACGTGGTGAGTGCGAAATCCATGATGAGAGGTACCACCCAGTTACTTGGGAGCGCTGCTGGAATGACCCCACCAACGAGGTAGACACTGCCACAGGTGCGCCTGCAGCGCAGCTCTTGCAGCTCAACTGGGTGGTGATGGGAGGGAGTAAGTCGTCATGTCACGGTGTCACGCGAAGTGACAGCACGCGTCCGGCACTCGTCTCGCATCTATCTTGACAATAGCATGCCTTCTCACTTCGAACAGAGGATAACGGAAGTCATAGGCAGCTATATTTGTTGAAGGGGATACTTCCAGTGATGATCACTAGCCATTTCTACCTAGTTGGAAGCAGAACTCCGGTGACTTGCGCCCTCAACGCGGATTCCCAGGCTTCATCGTCTTCTCTCCATACACGGTGCGCCAGCTGTACGAGAGTGGGGAAAGATGTGGTGTAAGAAGTGCCTTGGGTCTGTGAAAAGACGATTAGCAATGTACAGGCGGTACTTGAGCCCACCCACGCAAAGCCATATCAAGGGCTCCCATCGTTCGTCCGCACCACTAACGGTCATCTAGCAAGGTTGGTAAGATGAAAGATATATCAAAAGACATTGAAGATACACGTACTGCACCGCCCTTTGACATGAGTCCGTAGATCATGACCGCAACGGTCAGCGCCGAATCGACGAACTCGTAGCAAGAGGTAGGCCAGCTAGCCCACTTCGGGGCGTGCCAATCGAGTCCACAGTGGTAAGTCTCGAAGATGAAGCGTGAGGGGAAGAGATGATTGCGTGTATCGTGCTCGCCGGGGGTGATCGTGCAGTAGAGGGTGAAGAATACAGATTTACTGCCCCCAGACTGAGTATTCTTGAGCTGAGTGCATATCAGGGATAGCAGAGACCCAAATTACTGTCAACGCACCAGTATTTGTTCACGCTCGAAGCAGCACAGCACCTCGCCTGGCTGTACATCCTTCCGACGCCATAGGGCATGGCTCAATGGAGAGATCGGTGTTTGGTCCATTCCGCGGCCGCCTAACCAACGGTCGGCAGCTCCAACATGTATCGTGCGCGGGTCAGGGTCATCCGAAAGGGTGGCATCGTGGTGTTGAACAGTAACGCTGTGTCGGATGGCAGGAATGCGCCGAGGAAAGAAATGCATATCGGGATGGACGTCACATTTGGGCAGTCCTGCGGCTTCTAAGAGGGGATCGGAGCACTCGCAGTACTTCGACATGCGCGTAGGTGACAAGGACAGATATGGAGGGAGCTTAAGGTTAGTCGCAGCCCCATGCACGACGAACGTGGCCACAAATTCAGGTCTCCCGATCGAAATTCGCAATTTCTCTCCGTGGACTTCCGACGCACCTCTCCATCGCCTCTCGTATTCTTGCTCTGCATGGGAAACACACCCGACCCCGAACCACGCAGAAGCAAGCGGAACCTGGCCACGGCTGAGGACCCTCAGTCAGAGGATCCGCAGGCGAAAAAGCGTCAGAAACGGAAGAAGGGCAGTCAGAAGAAAGACAAGCAAAAGACGGCAGGCGCACCTACAACGGGTCTAACGTCTCCGTCTGGCCAGATATCTCCTCCTGAACAAGGCTCTCCACCAACTGGGCAAGCACGCGCACCTAACAACGCCGGACAGCGTCGAGCCCAGGTACAGCCTTGGCTACCTAGAAAGTATACAATAGACATACATCTTTTCATACATTTATTAGACCCTCCCAAATACTTTCCTCCAGACATTTGACCTTTCTGTTCCTTAGAAGTTTTGGTTGACCTTATGTGCTCTTTCTAGAATATGTTATGTACTATATAGCTATGTCTATAGGGCTTCTGTATAGGTTGTATATAGTAATCTAATGTCTTTATGAGTACAGTAATGCATATCCTACTAGCTTGAAAGTATATCTATATAGACTAGTATACTGACTAGCACTGCTCAATAGATGTACGTTGAGCCCACTGATGTACTATATGTGTGCTATGATCAAGACCACATTGATATGTGTCTCTTAGAAGCACTACCTCTCATAAAGGTGTACATATAGCACACGACTCACTATATGTGATGTGCTTGGGCATCACCCATTTGGGAATTCCAAACAAAGACCCAGGAGCAACCGATAGGACTTGTCGGAGGGAGGGAAGTTGATCCAGCTCTCTCATCGGGCATGAGAAGGTATACAAGCCCCCACTCCTCACTGGGCAAGTGTGGCAGGCAGGATCACTATTGTACACCCGCTGCAGGACAAGAGATATCTGCGGAGGGCAGACGGCTGGGAACGAGACGATGAACAGGATCAAAGGTAAAAGCTGTCTAATAAATACATCCAAACAAGCTATATATGCCTTTGGCTATTGGTTCAGTCTTTGGCTGTGCCCCCAATATCCAGCTATAACACATTATGAGTCTAAGTCTGTAGAAGGTTCTACCACAATATACTGATCACTAGTCCTGACAAGTCATAATATGCTCTGACCACTAATTTCACATCCGTGTTAACACATGTATGTTATCCTGTCTCACTGCATGTTGTCTTATTGTAAAACAATGTAATGTGGTACAATAAAATAAGATAGAACCACTTGGGAAACATGACAAGACAGGGCCAGGTAGTACAGTGCAAGACTTCTCATCATATCGAACATCACAAGTCACTAGAACATTCTGTAATATTTGTCTGTGATTATCTTGCGGTGTTTTGAGAAGGAACTGTTATATCGTAGGTGATCTAATCCTATTGTATTCTTTCTCGGTAGCTATATACTGTCACATCTCAACCTTGCCCTATTTTATCCCGTCTTTTCTGGGTCTACTCTATGCTTGTCCTTTTTGTCTTGTCTTGTCTCGCCTTGGATTATCACATCTCATCTTATGTATCTATGTCTCTAGAAGTTTCTGTCAGGATCACTACCAGAACATTCTATCTCAATAACTTCCAGAGTATTCCACTACTTACTACTTTTGAGACGATTATCATAGTATATTGCTCTCACAGCAATAGTGACTTGGAGATACAAAACTGATAAGTACAAAGTGGCAAAGCATCTCCCAGAATTCAGACTTGGGTACTCTCAATAGACAAGCCAGGAAGGTAGAGCCACTAGATTATATATTATATGAGTGCTTACTGTAATAGGAAAGAGCTAGACCAGTTACTAGACAGCATAGGAACAGAGCTTTTAAGGCAAAGAAGGCGATGTTTCTACTTGTCAACACTGCAGAACATTCCATATCTCATTGTAGTAGAACATTCTAAATCACATTTCAACAGAAATGTCTGAATCTCATTGTGATAGAACATTCTGAGGCTCGTGATGTCAGAACATTCTGCTACGATGAGGCGTAGAACGTTCTGAAAGTCGTCGGTGCAGAACATTCTGCTACGATGAGGCGCAGAACATTCTGAAAGTCGTCGGTGCAGAACATTCTGACACTCGTCGTAGCAGAATGTTCTGAGACTCGTCGTAGCAGAATGTTCTGCAGCGTTTAGCAACAGAACATTCTGCTGAGATGAGGCTTAGAACGTTCTGAAAGTCGTCGGTGCAGAACTTTTGATGGGGCAGCAGGGCGAAAGTTCCACTATACCACCCGGAAGGCGGTGAGAAGGGCCCACCACACTCCCACCCCCTACCTGCCATGCGTTGACTGGCGGAGGGTGTAGCGTTGCCGGCCTATTGGGGCCCATTGGTATCGTACACTTACCTATAGCATATACAGCGCCACCTAGCACAAACAAACAAGAGCCAAACAACATCTATAGTCCATGGGTGCATAGTAGGGGTAGGGGAGGGTGGTGCGTCAGGTATACATAGGGTGTGATATACAAAATAACAAGAAAAAAGTCCAAGAAAAACAAGAAGGCGGGGCGGCGCGGCAAAGTCCATCGGAGGGGAGTGTCGGTCTACGCGGTGCTGCGACGGGGAGGGGCGATGGCTGTGCGGTGCAATTCGTACCAGAGCAGGCGCACGTAGAAGGCGACGACCTCCTCCTCGAACCAGTAGAACTGCCCGTACGTCATTCTCTCGGCGCGCGCGAGGTGGTCCAAGGATGCCGGCAGGCGCGGGATCCAGTGCATCATCACCCGTGCAAAGGCCTGAACGTAGCGCGAACGTTCCAGCCAGTCTGCCGCCGCAAGCCCACGACCCTCGCCGAGATCCTTCAAGTTGAAGATGTCGACCCCATCCCAGGTGCGCCTGTCGAACATATGGCGAAGGCGGTGCAGCTCCTCAGCCGGCGTCAAGGCGTAAGGGCGCACGCGCCGCTCAAGGTCGACGACATCTTGCCGGAATCCGAGCTCCTGGACGTAGAGCAACTCGTCCTTCATGACGTTGGGCGGCGGCAACATCCCAGGCTGGACAACGACCCCGCGGATGGTGTATGGCTGCAGCTGGCTCTTGACGAATGCGTCCCAGTCGAAGCCCTCGCCGAGCAGGTCGCGGATGATGCCCATTGTACCGGCGACGGCACCTTGACCCCGCATCGTCACACGCGCGAAGAGGAGTTGCTTCCAATCGGAAGCCTTGAGCGCCGTGCGGCGGCGAAGAGACTCCGAAGATGGCTGCCATTCCTTCTCCTCCGGGTTGGGAACCTGCTCCGGTGCGATCACCATGGGCATGTCCAACTCTCGGACGTCGCTCTGAGCGCCCTCGACAAGGTACGGAGCTAGGGCCGTCCAAGCCTGGACATAGAACGCGCAGCGTTCGTCCGTGTCGGGCCCGGTGATGATGGAGGGGAGGGGGAAGCTGCGGTGGTCGTCGGTCTTGCTGGACTCGAAGGGCCAATACGGTCGCACGTCCTTGATCTGGTTGTACCAGCTGCTAGGCATAGACGGCAGGTCAAGGGATGGATGGCCTGGGGAAGCTTCATGTTAGTAACAGGACGAGGTTAGAATGCAAATGCCCTCAAACGTACGTGCACGAGGGGGAGGGGTGGCCTTTCGGACGCGGCGCTTCGACTTCGGCAACGCAGATGTGGAGCGTCCCCAGCGCGACTGACCGGGGATCGTCGGCGTAATCAGCTCTGCAGGAGGCCCAGGTGGCGCACTCGACGTATCCGCGGCCTCTGTTGTTGTCGTTGGCGACCCCGGGGACGACGACGCATCTGCTGAACTTGGGATTGCTGAACTCGGCGCCGAGCTTGACGAAGTCGCGGCAGCAGAGCTCGCTGCAGTTGTAGGAGCCGAACTTGATGCGATCGTGGTCGAACTCGACGCAGCCGTCGTGGCCGAACTCGACGCAGCCGTCGTGGCCGAACTCGATGTCGAAGGTCCCGTTGATGCGGTCGTCGAAGGTTGCGCGAGAGGGGGAATCTCGTCGTCGGTGAAGCCGACAGGACGAAAGACGGGAGAATCAATCAACTCGTAATCCTCAAAGTTGCTACCGGCATAGAGGAAGTCGGGCAACTGCTCCGATGGGGCCTCGACCTGCTCGGGCACGTTGGCGGTGTCGAAGTCGAAGGGGGGGAGGTCATGCTGCTGCTCCCCATGCGTCCGTGGAGGACCTCCATTGCCGACCTCCGCGATGAACCCTGGAAGGTTTGCGAGTGGCCGCGCACGGGATGCCCCTCGCTCGAAGTCCACGAAGGCGAGCGGATCCTTGTCGTCGGAGGGATCATCGATGGGCCGGCTGACGGCGACGCGAAGGGTAGCATAACGATGGAGGTGCTTCACACGTCGGGGGTCCTTCGGCGAGCCCTCGAAGATGAATGGCAGGTTGTCGGGGTGGCGGTTGATGCACGCCATTTGCGCGGGCGTGTACATGGACTGCATCTCCTCGGCGTACGGCACGGCGATCCTATTCCTCGTGCGAAGGAGTTGGTGGAATTCGATGTCGTAGTCGCGAACGTACCATACGGGCACGCCGGCCGCGTAGAGTAGCTGAACATGGTGGAGATCCTCCGTCACCGCTCCGATGAACCAGTGCGGGGTCTTGACTTCCGGCGCGTCGACGAGCCCGGAGAGCACCGGCTGAACAAGATGAACAAAGTTCATCATGCCAAAGAGCTCGCGCCACAAGCGCTGGCACTCTCTAGCCATCAGCACAGCGCGGCGACGGCTCACAGGCAAAGCTCCCAGACGTCCCATCAGATGGCTGAGCGTCATCTCCAGACCGCGCGCCCAGGGGAAAGGGTCCATCTTCTTCCGCTTGCAGTCCGCCAGATAATCCGTCGCTAGCTTGCGGAGGGGGTTCACCAGCTTCTTCAACTCCTTGAAGACGGCACGCGAGAGCACCACCTTCTCCGCGTGCGGCTTGTAGTTGTCCAAGACCGACTCGAACCACATGTCGACACCGAGCCACATTAAGTGCCACGGATGGCCGGGGGCGGGAGGGCAGCGCGGAATGCAAGCGATGTGCGGGGCGTCAGAGGGCATATAATAGGTCGGCACGAGCGTCCAGTCCTCGGCACCAAACTGCCCATCGGAGCGCATACGGAGGCGGTAGTTGGTCATGTCGGGAGGGGGGACGTAGGGTATGTAAGAGGTGTTGGGGCTGAGGACGAGGCATTCTTCATGTTCGGTCCACCCCACTACGCGATTCCGGAGTGCGGGGTCGTCCGCTAAAGTTGGCGTCAGCACATACTGTAATAAAATAGCGAAGGAAGCACACGCACGTTTCTCCGCCAACTTGAAGCCATCCAATGGCAAGTTCCACCTCCCTAGGACACGTACGGGGTCGGGGAAGTCGTACCCGTACCCTTCATCGTTAAAATGTACGTGGCGGCGTTGAGGGCGATGGAGGGTAAGCCGCTCGAGCACAAGCCTCTCCACCACCGGTATGTTCGGTTGGCGGTAGAGGCGATAGTCAACGACCTACAAGAAGATGTGAGTAAAAGGCATCCGTGGAGAAGAAAACTGAGACGTACTCGCTGCTCCGGCGGGAGCTCGTAGTAGAATGGGGCACGCAGCGGCGGCAAATTGACGAGGACGTAGCGCTTGTCGAGGCGCGCGCGCTTTCCCGAAGCCTCCAGGGCTTCCTTCTCCTCGAGGAGTCGCTTCCGGGCGGCCTTGCTGCTGGGGACGGCGACGTACGTGTCCGCGTCGGGAACAAGATCCATGGGATCCCATGCGTGCTCGGGAGTGAGAGGCCGCGCGACGATGCCGCTAGGTTGAACGACGAGAGGAGGCGCCCATTCACTGTTCCGCGACACAGTCGATGTTTGCTGGCCGGCCGCGGGAGGGCGCGGTCTTGAGCCCGAAGAGGAGGGTGGTGCCATGCTCGAGCGCGCGCAGAGCGGAGGTCGGGGTTGGTGCTAGGTTCGCGTACGATCAGGCCGGTGAACGTGCCCTGTCAGTCCCACAAGAGATGAGGACTGACACTCTGTCCCACAAAAGATGAGGACAGAGCTCGTGTAGCGACGAGGAAGAACTGCCTGTTGAAATTTGTCAGTAGAGCGCTTCTTGATGACAACCCAGCTTACGAAGTCCCTTTCCCAAGCAGTGGCGAGAACCAGCTGCGTGTTCGCGTCAAGGGAGAGGAGGGCGACGCGTGCGAAGGGATAGGGAGGGCAGCGGTGGGCGGCGGTAACAGCAAGCGCGTTCGTTGACGAGCAGTTCCGCGTGCGTGGCGTTTGTTGATTTCTGTTGTGTCGTGTTGCTCTCTGATTGTTCCACGTGTCCCGCAGAACATTCTGCACTGTCGTTTGTCGTCGCCGCTCGCCGCCGCCTCCCCCTCCGGTCTCCTCGCTCCCTCCGCCTCCGCTTCTTCCCTCGCTCCCTCCGCTGCCGTCTCCAATACGACACACACGCAAATCCCGGACGAATACGCGACCGACCTCGAAAATGGCCATTTCAAGACCGATACCTTCGCCGCAAACCTCCTCGATCAAGACCGCCGCACCGCCCCGCACCTCGATGTCCCCGTCCTCATCTTTTGTGGGACGGGGATGTGGGTCCTCATCTTATGTGGGACCCACCCTCAAGCTTCCGAGACCTCGTCAAGTCGCCTTAGCCTCAGTCTGGACGTTCATACCGCGCAAGGAGGGTATTCTTCCCAAGTCGCAGTCGGAGTCTAGCTGACCCTTGAACCTACAAGATTCTACTTTTGCTTCCACCCCCCGTCCTCTTGGCCGTCTGCGTTGTTCGAAGATGTAGACGTGAGCCTCACTTGCGGTGCGTCTCTGCAATTCCCCGTTGCACATGTCGCTCACAAGAAGTATGTAGGCAATCCTCATTCGTTTACAGAACTCCTATGGACCCTACCTCGAGGTCAAAGTACCATGGCAATCCCTCCCTCCCTCCCAATGCCTTGATCGCGTCATGCGAGTGAGTTCACTCCCCTACTGATCCAATCTGCTTCCGCTGACTTACCCCGATCGGTACCCCGCGTAGCCACAATGCAGGCACCCAGCGCCAAAATGGACGGAACCAGATATAATCGATCTTATCGTAAGGTGAGTTCCTCCCCCCGTCTCCTTCGTCTTCGATGCTCAATGGGTCCTCGTCCACGTATCAGTGCAGCGAAGCGCTCCCAGATCGCGGCACGCCTGCTCGCATCCGACGATGGCGCGTCAACAAGCCAGCTGCCGGAATCCCGACCTTCCACGCCCACCAGAGGAGCCGTGATGGACGATGATCTTCTTAGTACCTCAATGCCCCCCACCTCTGACTATGAGCCATCGACACCCCTCCGTCCCCGCACATACACACCCACGACACCTATCAGAGGTGCTCTACGCCTGCAGTCGGGTACTGGAATGACACCGCAATCTCTCAATGCTAAACGAGTACGAGATCGGCGGAATGCGAGCCCGGTCGTCGCATTTCGCGATGCTGGTCGGGCTGTGGAAGGGTCGCGCGGGCGCCGTGCTCTGCCTCAGCAGATTGGCTTCGCGCTTGGTATACCGGAGGCCGACCTCGAACCAGATAACAACGACCAAGACGCGGACGAGATTGTAGAGGGCGATGGGCCTCCAATTGAAAGCGAAGGCGAAGAGATGGACATCGCAGATGCGGCTAAGGAGGCTAGACGGGAGGCGTATCGCGCGAAGCGCGAAGCTACAACAGTTCAATGGACCGCCCACGTCCTCCCCCAGTTGCGTGCGCCGTACATGCGCTTGATGCAGGAGACCAACGATCTACGCGATCCGCCCAAACGACTGGAGCCCTCGCGCGGGCATTGTAGTTGCGGCGGCCAAGAGCGGCGCGTACTCAACGTTGTCGTACTTCGCTTCAGCGGTGAGTCGCTTGCGCCGCAGCATGAGGCGTAAACTCATCGTCCCTAGACGTCTCGCGAATAACTGTGGACTCATGCAAGTGCCGGTCGGCAGCTCGTCAGCTCGTCGAGGTCGGACTGTTCCCGTGTGCACCACAGCGACCCTCCCTCGCAGTGGACATGAATGTCCTCGACTTCGCGCGACTGCTGTTCCTCAACATATCACCCAATGTGACGGCCTGGTGCAAGGCAACAGAGGCGTTCCTCCTCGCACGCTCGCACAAGTTAAATTATTCTGTAGGTGCTCTCGCTCGCTATGTAACTCGGCGCACTCATGCTACGTACAGGACAACCTTCGCAAACGGTTTGGCGCCGCCTTGCTGTGGTATACATATCTGTACGACAGCGTACAAAGCCATGTCAACGCTGTCGTGGCCGCCGCCCGCAACGCAACGCTAGCGCCACATAGCGGGGAGGTGAATGTCAGCGACGAGAGCAGCGATGACAGCACCTCCCCGCCATCGTCTTCGACGCCGGCGGCAAGACTTCCCCGGCGCGTCGCGGCCAATCCAGAGACCCCCATCGTCATCGGCCGCAGGCGCAAACGCCAGTCGGACGTCGACCCTGATGGCGCCAACAATAGCGCCTCCGACTTCGCCGCCGGCCCCTCGCGGTGTCGAGAGCCCCCACTCACCAGGCCAACGGAGTTTCTCCGCTCTCGATGTCCCGCGTGTTTCGGTGGCAATCGGCGGCTGAGCAAGCGAGATCCAAACACCCCCGATGCGCTTGTCTCAATCGACGCGTGTTTCTCTCAGAAGCACAACAAGCAAACGCGTGATCCGGTTTTCGATCATCCAGGCGGTATCATGTTATCGGAGGAGACCCTGCGGGCGACTCGCGACCGCGTAGACAGCCTTCGCAGCGCGAGCTCTAGGGCAACGAAGCGTCGGCCATTCGACCCGCAGTCTGCAGGCATCAGCGTCCCTACGGAAGCCTTGCAGAACTGCGAAGATAGCTTCAAGGCCGCACAAACCGCCATCGCAAAAGCGAATACCGGTGCTCACGACGTCACAGCGGCGATGGCGCTTCTCTGCCGCCACGACGTTCCCCTCTTCTGGGCGAATATGACCACGCCTGGGGAGCAGCAGTTCTATTCTGTTGCTCTCATGGACGCCCTCATGGCAGAACTCCCTTGCGACTGGGTCGTCGGCCTCCTATACGATATCGCGTGTCAAATACATCTCAGCGCTGTCAAGCATGGCCTATTCGGCGCCTATCTGGACCGCCTTCGCTTTGCAGTCGCCGTCTTCCACGCTTTCGGCCACGACTGGCCATGCCAGCTCATCTACCATCCTCGAAAATGCGTTGGCTTTGGGCTCACGGATGGAGAGGGGTGCGAGCGGTTCTGGTACTCCATCAGCAAGTTGATCCCGTATCTCCGGGTGGCGGGCGTAAGTACATCCTCCCCTGCTCGCAAATGGGGCATCGCTAATTGCATTTCCAGTTCCACCTGCGCAAGTACACCTTAAACGCGCAATTTGCCTTTGCCACAAAAGATGCCATCAAGGGCCTGGGCGCCTGGCTTCGTTGTAAGGATGTACGGCTGGCGGAAAAGCGCAACGAGGCGCGCACTTTACTCAACGAGGCTGGCGATGTGGCAGACGACGAGTCTTTCATCCGCGGCCAGTGGCGCGCTCAAGTCGCTGAGCAAACGAAGCCGACTCCGAGTAAGCTGCCTGGCTTGCGATTGTTACCACGGGCTTATCTTTCTGCAGAGCAAAACAAGAACCTAGGTCGCCAAGAAATGACGCGGGCATTGGAAATGCACGAGGACGTCGAGCGAGCCGCCGCCGAAGTGGAGGAGCTCAAGGCAACACAGGTGACGGGTGACCTGGAACACACGGCCGCCCTCCGGGCTGCGGAAGCGGCGTACGCCGCTGCTAAGGCTCGCTACGATCGCAAGCGCCTCCAGTTGGGCGTATCGGCACGCGCCGAGCTCAGCAAACTCGTCAACGACAAAATCCTCCACCGACGGGCCAATGCTCTGGTTTTGCTCCGACGCGCCCAGGTCGGCATCATGAAGCGCAAAATGGAAGTCGAGCGCGTGGTGCGTTCACACCGAAACAAGAATGGAGGTACGTCTCGCGCGGTTGAGCCTCAAAGCTCAGCTCACAAATTTACAGAGAACCGACTGCGGAAGCACGTCAAGACTGCAGCCGAGCGTCGCGAGGGCACCGTCAAGGCCATCGTTTCGAAGTACAACAAGGCGTGCAGTGAGCTTCTGAAGCTCATCAAACGGCAGCGGACTCGGAAAGGCGCGTGCGCTGTTCGCCCCCTTACGCCGTTGCCTAAGACCGGCCTCTGGGATCTCGACATCGATAATCCCTGCTGGGACGACCTCCGGTTTGATTCCGCTGATGTTGGGGCGCCCCCTTGGATGGCGGACGACAACGTGCGAAAGGCGATTCGCGGCGTCCTGTTACGTGACAGGTGCGCTGAGGAGGAGGCGCGCCTCGCGCACGAGCGGGAAAACGTCCTGCAGTGGTTTGAGGAGGAGTGGATGTCATTGCGAGCAGCGATGGCGGTCGCTATTGGAGTGCCAGGTACGCGTCGAAGAGTATGTTACACGCCTATATGACTCATAAGACCCCTTTCCAGATGCCCCAGCTCTTATTCATCAACTTGAAGGCCGCCGGCGGGCTTTCCTGCGCTTGGCCGTCCAATGGGAGAGATCCATATCCGGGATACGCGGCCCATCGGAGGCGGAGCTTATCGCTGCTCACGAAGACTTTGCGCTCGCCTCATGCGACGCTTCGTGGACATCCTATGGACAAGCGGACGCGCTACAGACCGTGCGCGAAGACGGGGAGGAGGAGGATGGGCCTGGCATCGGTGGCGATGTGGACGACGATGTAGATGAGGACGAGGAACTTGTAGATGCCATCGAGGACATTGTCGAAGCGCTGTATGACGTCGATAGCCGTGAGGACTTCATGGCGCAGGGCGCGGAGGGGGAAGGCGGGGCCGCAACGGATGGTAGTGAAGGCGAAAGTGAATTTGGGGACGGCACGGGTGACGAGCATGAGGGTATCGGGGTGCTTGAGCTAGAGGGGGGAGCAGACTCGAGCAACGAGGAGGAACCGGTAGATAGCTTCGAGTCGCCTCGATTTTTCTGAAGTTCGACCATGTACATACCTACCGCGGCCTTGCTCTATCGCCACGGACACCGCGGTATGATCGCCTGATGTTACGTGGCGAATAATACTAAATTTTCGCAGGTTTCTCCTTGTCCCCCATGTCGGACCTTCTACGTCGCCTGGGCGGTAAGTGTCGCGCTGGTCTCCTGCCGATGACGTGCCCTTCGACCCCGCCAGTCAACGCATGGCAGGTAGGACCATCGGGGGTGCACAATATCGGGCGGGAGGCCGAACCGCCATCTCCGAGCCATACCCTCACTGAGAACAACTTACAGCGCGTACGACTCGCAGTGGGGCCGCCTTCAGCAACGTCATCGCGCTTCCGGACGACGTTGACATTGCGCAGCTTTTCCTGGACGCAGAGAAGGGCCGTACAGAACAAGCCGGCACTCATTCGGAGAACGCATCCGTGTTGACGTCCCTGCCGTCAAGCCGGGCGCCCTCTCCGCTCTCCGATCTGACTGAAGAAGACCAGCGCGACGCGACCGACGAGCTTCTGTACGCCGGCGAGTATGAGGATCCCGCCCCTCAACCCAGCCCCTCAGCCGACCACCCCGGCACCGGCAAGAACAGCAAGGCGCGCAAGAGTCAGGCAAATAGGAAGCGCAAACGGCAGGAAATGGGCAACGCTAGCCAGGCGTCGAAGCACTTCCGCGCGGATAAGGTCCTCAACGCCTTCTGCGAACAGGCCGCCTACAACTTCGACGACGCGCCGGTCACCAGCACGGCGTTCACCTGCCTTCGCAACGCGTGGGAGATGGGCATACCGGAGCTCGAAGGGCTTGTGGGATACAAGTACCTGGCCTGGAACGGGTTGTACGTGCCCTCCACCTACACGTCGTAGCGTAAGCTAACGGTATGGCAGGGATAGCGGCGCAGTGACCGTCAACCCCGAGCAAGTCGTGATGGCCGTGCTTGTCGGCGGTGGAAGGGGGATCGACCATCTCCAGCTCGCGGACGCGCTTGAAGCGATGCGCCGCCGCTTGACGTTCGCACAAGAGGAGCGCGTCCACCGCCGAGGCAACTTTTGCGTCAAAGCAATCGGCTTCTCCCACGGCGGCGGGCAAAAGGTGTGCACGGACAGTAATCCCTTCGAATCCCACCCCTCACTGCTTGTCAGGAGCCCGGCCCGTTGAAGCACTCGGACAAGACCCAGCGCGAGCTGGCCCGCTTCCTCAAGCTGAAGCCCATGCGACGGATCGCGCACTTGAATTCTGGTAAGCCCCACTTGCTCATTATAGGCCGTCCTTTGACGCTCTCCCCAGGCGCCTTTCAAAACTGGGAGCCGAAGATTCACAAGCACTACGCCGACACACAGACGAAGCTTCTAGGTTGGAAGCCCCGCCTTCGCCGCTTCCTGAACTTCCCGAAGAGCGTATGGTCCTGCTTAACCATCAACTTCGGCCCGCAAACGCAGACCTTCGCCCACAGGGACTTCGGCAACCTTTCCTACGGGTTTTGCTCAATCACAGCCCTAGGGCGCTTTGACCCAGATCACGGCGGCCACATCATCCTGCGCGAGTTGAAGCTGGTGATTAGGTTCCCACCCGGCGCGAGCATCATCATACCATCCGCGCTCCTCACCCACCACAACACCCGCATAGCGGAGCACGAGACGCGGTACTCCGTCACCCAGTACACGGCAGGCGCTATCTTTCGATTTGTAGAGCACGACTGCAAGCTGGACACCGAGTACTACGCCGGCCTCGACGCTGCTGGGCTACAGGCCGCACGGAGCGCGAACCTATCGCGGTGGAGGAGGGGCGTCGCGATGCTATCGCGGCTGCCCAAACTCATGCGAGATGCTGCGGCAGTGAAGGGAGAGAAGTCGTCGAACGCGGCCAGTTAGTTTACCAATATGTATAGTCTACGCCTCGAAATATTCACGACGGACAGATCCCCCGGCTTATGTGGCAACTGCCATGTGTCAGAAGTTCAACTTTGGTATGTCACACGATCGCGTTCGCTTCGGCGAACTCCGTGTTCGTTTTCATTTAACAAATGATATTCAGGCAACCCTCCTCCTCACGCAACGACGATGACCACGCAGCAAGTCATCCAGCTGAGCGTCGTCAACATCCCTCCCCTACCTCCTGGGTGCGAAACATTCCGATACAGTCGCTCGCCGGTTCAGCAGGCGCTGTGGAAGGTGCGCGGGTCCTATACATACAGCCTGCAAATGGGTGTATGGGTTCTCGCTCTGTCGCGGGGCTTCGGGCGTAACGCAGGCTGTACGTCCTCCTCGCCCTTTACAATCGTCTTGCTAACGCTGAATAGGGACGGACAAGAAACTGGTCCGAGAGCTTTGTGGGGCAATCACCCCGTTGGTGCGCCATTGCCGCCCGCAGTTCGGGAAGCACGGCGAGCACCGCCTCCTCGAGCCCTTGTACCTCAAGAGGCTGCATGCCGAGCTCCGTGAAGAGGTCAAGGCCGAGGCCAACAACGTTCTCAAGATGCAGCGCTGGATGCAGCTCGAAGGCGAGTTCGAAGGCCCCGTTCACTGGTACAAGGACTACGAGATCAACGTTCGCTTCGTTGTGGGGGAAGACCTGGGGAAGGTGCGCTGCAGGTAGCTCGCGAAGTTGACTTGTATTGACTGCATATACAGGCGCGCGAGGTCACACGGCGCACGACGACGGTCCTGAACATGTTCATCCCCGCGAATCGCACGGCGTGGGTGGCGAGCCAGGACCTCGACCCAGGTGTGAGCGACCTCTACCTTCGCCTCGCAAATGGCGCGCTTATCAACATCTCGTGGTGGGACACCGTTCCGGCCCCCCTCCCTGGGTCGGGCGACGATATTGTTCTCGAAGTTCACGCCAGGACCTGGCCTGGACGCCCCAACCACATTATACCCCCGACCCCCACGGCTCAATGCGTGGAGTGCGAGTTCTACGCCATTGTACGCCCTTCCGCGCGCCCTTCGACGTTCGCTAACACCTAGCAGCACAGCGCTATCCCAGCCACATTCTGGCTTCCCGTCCTACCGGGGGGCTGGATCATCCCCGCGCACTACAAGGAGCTTCTTGGACAGCAGGGCTTCCACAAAGGCGTCGCGACGGTCGTAGTGTTCGGCGAGCCAAAGCGCACAATGGCGCTGAAAGTCACGACGTTGGCGCAGCCTGTTGCAGTGAGCTCGGCCCCTGCACGCCCGCCACTACTCGTTTGGCGCGCCCTTTGCGCCCACTGCTTTGCAGCAAGTCCACCGGAATCGTACCACTCGCTTAGCCATTTCTGCTAGATACCATAGTTACCCTTCCCTTGGAAATCATCGGCCTTCGGGAGCTATAAGTTCACATGCCACCCATATCAGTACTTCCTAATGTGGTTATCACAGGAAGTTCTAGACATTTGAGCAATCACGCGGCCGCCTACATTTCAAAGTTCAACATGCGAGGACCTCAGATCCATAGATCTATCGGCAAGTATTTTGTTTTGTTTTCACCGGCTTGGTCCTGAAAACTTTCCATCAGACATTTCCGGGTCAGTCGCGTGTTAGGAATTCGGCCGAGCCAGGATTTTTGGCCATTCTTTCTTCCCCTCCCCCAAGACGCGCACCGAAGTCGATTGTACGAACAAGCATGTCGCCGCCCCCGCCCTCGCCACCTCCGCCCTCGAAGCCGACTAATCGCAAGGCGAAGGCGCCCGCCAAGCCACCAGCCGCCCCGACGCGCCAGCTTCCAGCGTGCATAACGAGGAACCCAAGATATGCGAACACTCCCGACGCTCCGGGCGCTGCTACCGCCTCGTCGACCCCCAGCAGTGCCTCGGGCGCAGGACAAGAGGACGACATGGATGTTGATGTGCCGCGGGTGCGCCTTGCGCAATTTACATCTCCTCTAGATAATGCTAACTAACCCCTCTTTAGCCGCAGTCCCCATCGTACGCCGAAGTCGTTCGCGGCCAATCCCCTGGTGTTCCAGCGACCGGCAGGTCCTCATCTGTTGTTGGACCTCGTCCTGGAACCCCGCCGCCCCCGTCATCTATTGCGCGGGGGTCGGCGGCGGCAAGCCGCCCTGCGCGCCAGGTGCTCGACTTTGTGGCCGTCCCCTCGCTGCCGTCCGCTACGCGCAAAGGAACGTCTCAGCGGCGCTCGCAGCGTGGCGCTCACAGTGCCCCTGCCGAGTCCTCGTCCGGCTCCGAAACGGGCTCGAACTTCGAACCCCCTCCCTCGTTGGCGTCCGACGAGGAGGAGGAGGAGGAGAGCGCTGCGACGCCCAAGCCCAAGCCCTCAGCCAAGAGGGCGAGGGAGCCTCCCTCTCCTTCTACTGCCACGCTTCCACCCAAGAAGCGACGCGGCGCTTCATCGCGCGAGCCCGTACAAGTACCCGGGGCTCAAGGCAACAAGGGCGATAAACGCGCGAGGTCTCCCGAGGCTGCGCGAGCTATGCCTGCCCAAAAACGCTCAAAGGACAACGCCGGGCGCGCCCAACCCTCAGCTGTGATTAAGGGAGGGGGGAGGTTGGAGCGGGGGAAGGAGGGGAAGGAGGGGAAGGAGGGGAAGGGGGGGAAGGAGGGGAAGGCCGGGAAGGTGGCGAAGGCGGCGAAGGCGGCGAAGGACGGGGAGGGGATGGGCGGGGGCGACAAAGGCAGGAGCGGGAGGGAGAAGCGCGGGCCAGCAAAAGGAGAGGCCAAGGTCGCGTCGCAGAGCAATGGGGGCGGCTACATGCCTCCTATGTCCCCCCCACGTCGCCCGCTGCAGCTCATCGACTTCGACGAGGACGACTTCCGCATGCCGACCCCTCCCCCAAAAGTCGGCAACGGCAAGACACCTGCCCTCAACTCCCTCAACGAGCGCGACACGCCGCCGCCTTCGCCGACGAGGAAGGCGAAGAAGTCGAAGAGCAGCGCAGCGCCGCCGCCGCTCAAGAAGGACGGCAAGCTCGGCCGCCCCAGCGCCAGCAATCCCGCCGAGCACCACGCTGGAAACAAGGGGGACGGCAAGAAGCGTGCACCTCCCCCCCCTCCGCCGCCTAAGAAGGGCGGCGGGGCCGACGACGGCGACGCTGACGACGACGAGGACGCCGGCGACAACGACCCCCGCCCATCGAAGAAGGCCAAGGGAAAGCAGAAAGCTCAGCCCGAGGACCAGGTGGAAGACGCCCGCCCTCGCGCATCGCAGAAAGCCAAGGGCAAGCAAAAAGCGCAGCCTGAGGACGAGGACGCCGCCGTCGCCGAGGACGCCTCCCTGCATCAGCTTCCGGGGGTCTTCAACACCGGTGACTTCCTCGACGACGACGCAGAGTTGCCCGACTTCTCCCAGCTGTTCAGCTTCGACGGAGACCCAAACGATGAAGACGAGCTGGATCTGGACGAGCCGGGCCCTTCGACAAGGCGCATTCGCAACCCCACCCGCTCTGCGACGCCAAGCACGGCCGGCACCTCCACGATGCATGGCAATGCTAACCCGTCCGCGACGCAGGGGACCACCGGCAGGGTCAATGCAGGTCCAATTCCGGGCGCCACGGCTCAACGCTTACAAGACGCGGTGCGCGCCCTCTCGGAGATGTTCATGGAGGAGTCCATCAAGTGCAAGAAACCCATCGAGGCGCTGTGGAACGCCGCAGGCTGGAGGTCTCTGGAGTGTATGCGCACGAGGCAGTGGACACGGCAACAAGTGTTTTCTCGCCACTGGGCTGCGTTAAACCCTCCGATCAATGGAGGTAAGTCTTCCGCTACCTTTCATATGCTGGCGTTGTATCTGACAACCTCACAGAGTCCAAGGACGAGCGCAGGGCGCGGATGAACAAGGCTTACAGGAAGAAGCTCGCCCGCCTCGGCGCCAATCCTACTGATGAACAACTCGCCGAGCACTTCAAAGCCGACTTCGACTTCTGTGCCGCGATGCAGGAGGAGATAATTCAGAACGCAACAGCTCGACAGCGACAGCGGCTGGTCAACCAGACCGCCGAACAGCTCTCTCGCGTCGCGCTGGGCGCGCACATGAACTCCGGCCTCGCTCTCGTCGGCTACGTCGTCGATCTTCGCGGAGGCGCCAAGGGCTCCGTGAGCTCGACCATGTTCGGTGGCGGCGCTGCGTTTGTCGAGATGCTGCGCCGTTACCGCGGGAACTTCACTGCTGGGATGAACGACGTGACAACCTTGCTCAGGTACGTGTCAAGTTTCCTTGATTCTGGCTGCTTCTAACAGGACGCTGCCTTAGATCGTGCGACCTCAGGCTTCGCGGGCTGACGGACGACACCGAGATTTCCACTGCACCGGCGGCCGAGGAAGAGTCTGCGGAGGCGCGTGCGTGGAGGAGGGCCATAGAGGCCGACATGGCCGCGCATCCCCGCGGTTTCTTCACGTACCGCAACATGATGAGCAGGCCCGGCAAGAATCGCAGCGACGAGTTCGTCCGCATCCTCTATGAAGCCATACGGTGGGATCTAGGTAAGCTCATGCTGCAGCACGTCATCTCCAATACTGAGCCGCTCTTCGTAGGTGCTAACTACCGCCTGGCCAACCATCATCTTTCGTCCAAGTCCGTCGAGATGCCAAACCAGATCCCCCGCTCTCAGCTCCTCGACATCGCATACCGCCTGGGCCTCGTCCTCGCCAACTGGATCGAGGAGCTCGCGAACAATATGCCAATCAAGGACGTACCTCGCAAGCCGTCCGGCCGCTCCTGGGCTGGCAAGGTCGGCGAAATGCTGGAGAGGCGCAAGAAGGCCGAGCGCGAAAGCAACGAGCTGGGCCTCGAGGGCGTGGACGCCCTTCAGTATCTCCTCGACCACGGCGCCGTCGTCCTGATGCCCCTCCCTCGCAACGCAGTCATGGGCCCTTTGAGGGAGCTCAGCATGACTCCCCTCGTCCAATCGAACCCCATTACCCAGCATCAGCCGCCGCGCGTGTACGGATACCTGCGGTGGAAGGACTCGGAGCTATATCAGCATGACTTGGCGACTGGATCCGACTCACGCATCAAGTGGCAGTCCTTCTGGGAGGACGAGCGAGACGACGGGCTTGTGCACGACAAAGATGAAGGCGAGGAGGAGCTGGAGCATGGCGAGTACGCGGAGGAGAATGGTCAGGATGGCGAAGGGTCGGAGGAGAATGGAGAGGAGGACGCGGAGGAGGACGCGGAGGAGGACGCGGAGGAGGACGCGGAGGAGGACGCGGATGCGGATGCGGATGCGGATGCGGACGCGGACGCGGACACGGAGGACAAGGGGGCCGAGGAGACCGAGGGTGAGGAGGATGAGGAGGACGAGGACGCTCGCGCCAAGCGCGCGCGCGCGGAGGCGCTCTATCGCGCGCGGCGCAAGGAGTTGCAGGACAAGAACAACAAGTCGAAGCGTCGCTAGTCGTGCACGGTATTTTCCCTCCGCGATCCTTCCCCGTACTTTCTTTGTTGTCTATGCATCTTGCTCGTTGGCCCTCCCTTCTCCATTGTATATATACTTACCTGGATGTTATTGTGCTCAATCAATTGGACTCGTGCTGCTGCTCATTGATGTTGATGGAGGTGTATATTGTGTGCTGACTTTGATTGGTAAGTGAAAGTTCTGCTCATCTGTACATGTCATAGAACACATGAGTCTGCAACATACTAACTCGAAGTTTATATTTACTGGAGCTTCTTAGTATTAGAAGAATTTACTGACTTCCAGGAAGTGCCTACATCCTAACATTCTGAAAGAAAACTCGAACAGGAATGGTCCAGTAGGGTACAGGAATGTTCTGTTTGTGGATCTGAGGGACAGACAGTTCTACTATAAACTTACAAGTCTGAGAATAAGCGAGGGAGGACTGAATATTTGCATGAAAAAATGTATCCTTACCAGAAAAGGCTGGTAGCCTCAGGAGCCAGGTACGACAAGCATTGCCTGCTCGGCAATAGACTGACAGATCGTAGCAGCCTGCGAACCCGTCAAGCGCTGCTAGACCACCACTCTCGTCAGGAAATCGGGGCAGCAATCAAGAGCTCACTGAAGGCACACCGAGAGGCAATCAGAGCGCCGGTGAACAAGCCAATCTTGACATGTCGGATGAGAGAGACGCACAGATTCAGGCTCTGCGGGGTGAGTTATGTTCAACGGCACTTACTGAATGGATCTAGAGGCTGACATCGACTCGATGCTTCAAGCGCAGGTTGCCGCGCTAGAGGCTGCTGCCAGTGCAGCCCGTGACAAGGAAAATCGCCCCACCACGAATAATCGTCCCATCGAGTTGAAGAAGCCCGATGGTGAAGCTGGCGGAGGCAAGAAAGGGTTCAATCTTCAGCGTGCCATGGGTTTGGAGGACGAGGATGAGATCTACAAGCGGATCCAGGTGCGTGATGCATGATGATCGCCCACGCCGCCCCGATTGTTGACTTGCTGGCTTCTAGGCTGATGTGCGCTTCAACATCTGGAAGTACGGGCTTGATCCATGGAAGAAGTATATGCGTCAGAGCCCTGAGAAAATCAGCCACGTACTCCAAGCGGTATGTCCCCTCCCGTATCTCACAAGTTCCAAGTATTCAAGTGCCTTGCAGGGGCGCCAGCAGCACAAGTACCTCTGTACTGAGAGGTTCCCCGACGATTGGGCACAAACGGAGATGATTAAGACCATCACACGCAACCGACGCAAATACCTTCGGCGCAAGGCCCGTGCAGCGGGTAAGGATGTCGTGGACTCATCTGACTCTGAGGAGGAGGAGGAGGCGGCGGCGGCGGAGGATAATCTACCTGATCTCGATGCGCCTCAGGATGGACAGTAATTCAGGTGCGCGATCATCCATGCCCTCGCGCTTGGCGTAGGACTGATACTTGTTGTTTATCTCCCAGCTGCCGAGGCTACCGACATTCAAGTTGACGAGCTCAGTCGCATGGGTCCCCTTCCTCCGTATTTGCTACAACCCGCCATGTGTAGTAGCGTAGAAGATCCTATGAAGCGTTGTATATGCTCTCCTCTGCTTATCGGCTCACACTGCACCACCTAGCGGGTACCATCTATTGCCTGAGTTACCATGCGAAATTACGCCAGGGGCCGGGTGAGCTTCACGAAGGGCGTCTCACCCGGTATACAGGTAATAAAATCAACCGCGGGACGGGTAACATCAACCAATATAGCATTTCCCCCATAAAACGGATGACATGCAACCGGTCGGAACGTCGAGAGCAGACCGGTTGACTTACAGTTGAAAGTAAGCCAGTCTTGTGCAGGCTTTCACCCGTCCGGATATTCAGCCGATTCACTGGTCACAACCCCAAACAGCGGGTGTTTGTCAACCGCAAGCTGGTTGTTATTACACTGAATAACTAGAGACTCGGCGGGTGACTTTCACCCGGTCCTGGCTTCTCAGTGCTCGATCTGCGCGCGCGCCTTGTTTGTCCTCGTGGACGCGACACTCATCCATCCATTCACTCCGGAGCGACCTCAATCAAGCCAGGACCGACTAACTTCCTGGAGACACGCAAAGAGCGGGACATGTTCAGCTCTCATCGGCAGTTTAGCCCCCAGCAGCGCCGGGTGGGCATGATCGTCGCGACTGTACCCCTCATGTGCGGGACGGGTTGTAAGTGCGTTCACTCCCTTCGTCGTGGCACAATCTCACAAAGTGCAGTCGTGCTGTACAAGCGCCTCGTTCTGGGTCAACCACAACGCTTGGTGGAACCGGGGAAACCAGGTCCCCGCCCCGAGGACGCGTTCCATCTTCCTCCGCGATCGAACAAGCCGTAACGGGAGAGGTGGGCGATATATGCGTTCCGCACGAAGCTCATGCATTGCCAACTTGCACTAGAGGTCTTCCATAGCAGTACCGCAGCGGGGACATGGGGATGTGGTCTATATGCGATTACTTGGTCTCCGGGGCTGCTACAGGTTGGACACGGGTGCCCGGTATTCTGGTCGGGTTGAAGGAGCGGTCGCAGTCCGCGTAGGCCATACCGGCACCAAAGCCGGTAGAGAGGGTTATGGGCCACGTCTTGCCTGTGAGTGCGATGAGTTGAGGATGAGGATGAGGAGGATGGCACACGCACGGCGGAAAAGGATGACGGACGCGACGACACCTGCGCTGAAGCCGACACCACTGCACCTCTGTCAGAATCATGACCACGCTGCATTGTATACCACGTACGCCTTCACCAGGAAGTCAGCCACTACAGGAGCTACAGTTCAGTTATTGTGAAGACGGAAGAACACGGGGGAACACACGGCAGCGGTCATACTGCGACTATGGTCAACATCTTGGACGTACAGCATCGTGTACCACATACCTTTTGCCCAATAATGTCCTCGCTGGAAAGGGGCTTTGCCGTAGACATGGTCAAGTACAGTTGTAGGCGGGAAGTGACCCTCGAATTCACAAGTGCATGACCCCGGTCCGGTGGTGCAAAGAGGGACAAACACGCCCGAGGACGCGTGCGACGACCGCTTCGGCGCGGTCCTCATCCCGTACTTCCATCCAACATTGCACTCCAGTGGGACTTGCACTTTCTGCGGCTGATACCTTGTCAGTGACTCTGCCTGAGTCTAGCAAGTTCAGTGGGACTGCTCGCGCAGCAGATTGATAGGCAACTCATCGGCACAACACACGCGTTCAGGACATCATCTTACCCTGTTGTCGCCACCATGGCGAACCAGTCGCCCATGATCTCAATTCCCAAGAAGACGACGGAGGAAGTGGACTGGACGTCGCCCATCCGGACCCTGATTGCTCAGTCGTACGGCGAGAATCCCGACAATTACGCTACCGAGTGTGCGTCCCTTCAGCGATGTAGGCAGGACGCAGTACGCGGGGCAGGTAGCGATATAACTGGTGCGCTTACACCTCGCGATGGGTGCCCCGATTGACCCCACCTCCAGCGCGCGACCTGCTGTACAAGTATTTCGGCCAGCTCGAGCTACTCGAGCTGCGCTTCTCCGAGATCCGCGTCAACTTCCCCTGGCACGACGCGTTCACGCACAAGCTGACGACCCAGACATCCATCGCGTATGAAAAGGCCTCCATCCTCTTCCAGATCGCGGCCACGCACTCCGCCATCGCCTCCTCCCAAAGCCGCGCGGATCCCGAGGGTGTCAAGCGCGCGTACCATTACTTCCGCACCTGCGCGGGCATGCTCACGTACATCAACGAGAACTTTCTGCACGCACCCTCGACAGACCTCTCCCGCGAGGTCGTCAAGTTCCTCGTCAACCTCATCCTCGCGCAGGCCACGGAAGTGTTCTTCGAGAAGTCCGCCGACGAAAAGAAGGCGCCCGCTCTCGTCGCCAAGATCGCCGCGCAGACAGCCTCGATGTACACAGCGCTCGCTGAGGAAGTGAAGGAGTTCATGGGCAAGGGTATCTTCGACCGGAACTGGGTCACGCTCATTCAGATCAAGGCCAAATATTTCTCCTCGCTCGCCCAGCTTTACCGCGCGCAAGTGGATGCTGCAGCAGATAAACACGGAGAAGCTCTCGTTCGTCTCAACGTAGCCGAGAATCTCGCCAAGGAGGCTTCCCGATCCGCCGCTTCCTTCGCCTCCGTCTTCGCGCCCAACCTCTCCCCTACCCTCCCCGCCGACGCGGGCCCGGCGATCCAAGAGCGCACCAAAGCTCACCTCGCACTCGCTACCGACAAGCGCGCCGAAGCCCAGCGCGAGAACGACCTCATCTACAACGCGATCCTGCCCGCGCCCGAGGCCCTCCCCGCGCTCGACAAGCTCTCCATCGCCACACCCATCCCTATCCAGGAGGTGTACGGCACGCCCGACGTGCAGAAGACGATCGGGCAGGACTTCTTCATTCGGCTGATCCCGCTCAGCGTGCACGAGAGCGCGAGCGTGTACTCCGAGGAGAAGGCCAAGCTCGTGCGCGGCGAGGTCGAGAAGGCCGAACAGGCCGAGGGCGAGGCGCGCAGCGCGCTTGACGGCATGGGCGTCAAGGACGGGCTGACGCGCTTCCGCGCCATGGCGAAGGGCGAAGTCGGCGCGGAGGAGATCCCGCTCGACGTGCGCCGCTGGCGGGAGGACATCACCGTCATCGAGGAGCGCGAGGGCGTGGAGGCGGTGCTGGCGAACCTGGCGCGGCTGAAGGAGAACGTGCAGAGGGAGCTCGATACAGCGTCGCGGGACCTCGAGATCGAGTCGAAGGACTGCGAGATGCTGCGCGTGAAGTACGACCACAAGTGGACGCAGGAGCCATCGGCGGGGCCGTCAAAGGCGCTGCGGCAGGATCTGAAGTCGCACCTGGGCGCGCTGGAGGCGGCGGCGGCGAGCGATGCGCAGGTGTTGGCAATCTGGCGTGCGGTGCAGAATGACATCCGGCTGCTTATGAGCCCGCAGCTGGAGGATGTGTTTCGCGAGAGTACGGAGCGGGAGGGTGGTGATAGCTTGCTCGACCTGGACGTTAGTGGCGATGCGGACGAGGCTCAGGAGCGCAACAAGATCCGTGAGATGGTAGCCGGGATCGACGAGCGGCTTGGCCGATTGAACAAGATATCCCGGGAGCGGAACGAGGTCCTGAAGGATTTGAAGGAGAAGGTACGTTCGCATTCGCGACTTGACTCTCATAGTCTCTGACCAGCTATATAGGTGCAAACTGACGACGTATCCCATTTACTCCTTCTCAACCGCCGCAACACCGGCGTAGAGCCCACGCTGTTCGCCGCCGAGTTGGAGAAGTTCAGACCCTACCAGCAGCGGCTCGCAGCCACGGCACAGTTCCAGCAAGTCGTGCTTCAGGAGGTCGGTTTCCTGTGGAAGGGCCTGCGCGAATCCGCTGGCCGCGGCCCGGGTGCGAGGAAGTGGGAAGAGCGGGAGCGGAAGAAGAAGGATACAATCAAGCGCTTCCAGAGAGCGAGGGACGGGTACATGGAGATTCGGGATGGTCTGACGTGCGTTGTTCATCTCGTTGATGTGATCGTCATTGACCTTTCCCCTACAGTAAAGGCCTCCAGTTCTACACTGACCTAACCGAGCTCGCGGTCAAGCTGCGCAACAACGTGAAGGCGTTCGTGGCAGAGCGCACGCGGGAACGCGAGTCTCTAGTCGGCGCTATCGAGACCGAGAGGAGATTGTCAGTCACCGCGGGCTCACCGCCCCCCCTCGCAGCGAAGCCGCCTGTACCTCCGCCACCACCATCGTCGGGACTGGAATCGTCGTTGGCGTCGATGAGCCTACGTAATGCGCCTTCACCGCCTCAATCGGCACCTTCAGCGCAGTGGCGGAATACGCCACCGCCTCCACCGCCGCCATCGCAGCAGCACCAGTACTCTTACAGTGGTCAGTACTCAGGCTCCGCACCCCCTGCTTCATATGCACCCAGTCCACCGCCGCCTCCACCTTCCCAATTTCGGCCTCCGCCAGGACAGTCGCAGCAGCAGGGATATCCGCCTCACCAGCGCCAAGGCTCGACGTCTACGTGGCTGCCACCGCCTCCCGCGCCATCAGCGCCCCCGGCCGATCCATATGCTGGGCTGGGCATGTTTGGCGAGCCACAGCAACAATATAGCTCGCCGCCGCCTTCGCAACAATACTCGACACCACCCTCGCAGCAACAGCAGTACTCTTCGCCGCCGCCGCCACCTCCGTCGCAGCCGTCGTATCCGTCGTATGGTCAGCGACAGCAGCCGTATCAATATCAGCAGCAACAACAGCAGCCTCCTGCACCACCAGGCTTTCCTCCGCCGCCTCCACCGGCGTCCTCGTACCAGCAGTATTCGAGTCCACCGCCGCCACCGCCTGGTCAGCAGGGGTATCCTGCGCAAGGGTATGGTGGGTATTCGTACGGGAGATGATCTTGCAGTGCTTGTCAGCGCTTGGTGGATGGAAGGATCGGAATGGATTGAAGACATGGAATACTCTACATATACGAGGTTAGTGGAAGCAGCTTCTCCTTGCGGCTCTGTAGGTCGGATTGCCGTGAGGACAATATCTTATCTAGAAGTTGGAGCTCATTGCAAGCCCATTGATGAAAGAGGAAGCTTGGGCGGCGTATGTGACGCTTTGTGAGATCACATGAAGATCGATCAAATCACATCCGCGTTCCCCACGGATCACAGACGTTGTTGGTTCGTGCTGTCCTCCTGTCTTTGCAGGCCACCTCTTGCCTTCACCTGTTTTGACGGCTGCGTCTCACGAAGTTGCGCTTCACACCGTCCTCGAACAAGTCAGTGATCAGGGACTAGAATAGAGCCTCAGTTCGCGCAACACGCCACGCCATCATGGTCACCCCGCCTCCTCCAAAGATCGCCTTTGAGGGCGTCACTGCGGATGCAGAAGCTTTAGGCTCAACTCCCGATGAGTGGATAGCCATTGGGCCGACACGCCCTTTGACAGCGCAAGGTGCGTCCTCGGCACGTCGCACTCCCTCCTTCTCTCATCACCATGACAGTCGAAAGCGCGGCCAGCGGCTCCTCCGTTGCGGTCGACGCGCCACCCACCTTCGAGAACGCGCAGTTCGACATCATCCTGCGCCGCCAACGACAGCGGCCGAAAGAGGGTGGCATCAAGGTCAACACGGTGCCGTCGCGCTTTCTGAACCTGTCGGACAACTTTGAGTTCGCCGGGTGGGGCTCGTATGCGACAATCAAGCTGGATGGGAAAGAGCATAATGAGGGCGAGAGGAAGGTGCAGGACATCCAAGGGCAGAAGGTGCTGGGGCAGTTCTTGTCTAGCGCGTTGGCAGGGAATGCAGTACTGGGTGCGTCTGTCGGTCGTTGTCAACGCGCCCCTAATTGACGCGTATGGGCCAGGTTCCGTCTTTTACGCGTTTCCGAGCGTGACTGCTGTAGCAGGAGCTCTGTGAGTATACTCTTAACTCGCGATGACGCGCACTGAATGCGTCCAGGTCGCCCATATCCCTATTCGTCGCATCCATCACCCTCTTCCTATGGAGACCCATCATGGAAGAGCTCGCCGACGCGCTACCCATTGGTGGAGCGCCCTACTCCTACATGCAAGTCTCGCCGTCTCCCTGTCTGCCCTGCCTAACCCATCCGCAGCCTCAACGTCTCAACAAAGGCCGCAGCCCTTGCAGGAGCGGCGCTCCTTCTCCTCGACTACGCTGCGACCTCCATCGTCTCCGCTGCCACCGCTGTCACGTATATCCAGGGCGAAGTGACGCTCCCGTTCCCTGCATTCGTCGCCACGCTCATCATTCTGGGCATCTTTACCGCCGTCAGCCTATGCGGTGTGAGGGAGAGCGCGCGGGTGGCCTTTATTGTACTTTTGTATCATGTGAGTCGCCTCACACCTTCCGGAACGCGGTGCTGAATGTTATGTCTCAGGTCCTCACCATGATCGTGCTCATAATCGTCGCCTGCGAGCATTGGGGCCATATCGGAACAACGCAGTTGCGGGATAACTGGCAGACTATTCCTAGTGAGCCCAGTAGTATCGTCCGCCAGATCTTCTATGGGTTCTGCTTGGGGATGCTGGGCCTGACGGGTTTTGAATGTTAGAGGACTTCGTACGCTCTACCTTGACCTAATCGCTAACCCTACTTACCAGGCACTCCCGCCTACGTCGGCCGCATCAAACCTGGACGATTCCCCAAGGTCCTGCGCAACCTTCACCTTCCCGCCATCGGGCTCGGCACGATCATGATGCTCTTGGTCATTGCTATCGTACCCATGGACATCACGCTCGGCTCTGCGAACATTCTCAGCGCGCTCGCGCAGTTATCTGCCGGGCGCTGGTTACGCATCTGGGTCGTTGTCGACTCGGTGGTGGTGCTTTCTGGTGGCGTGTTGACAGGTATGGGATTCCCCTCGCGTCTTCTGCCTCGCTTCTTGTATCTTCTACTCATTTGCGCATGAATCAACGCAATACTGACACGCCTTTCAGGCATCCTCAGCGCCTGCGAGCTCCTCGAGCAGCTCTCACGTGACCGCGTGCTGCCGAGAGCGTTCAATCACCCTCTGCCGTTGACGGGCGCGCATTACCTCTCGGTGGGCGCCTTCGTTGTGCTGAGCATCGTACTGTACGCGAGTACGGGGGCGAGCCTGACGATTATATCGAAGATGTGCGTTGCTGAAGCAGATTGATCAGTCTTTCACCCAGAGTACTAACTTGAACCTGGGAATTGTTAGGTTCTCCCTCGTCTGGCTAACAGTCATGACGCTGTTTCCGGTTGCACTAATCATGCTCCGTTTCAACCGTGGGCATCTGCAGCGGACGTCGAAGACCTCGTTCACCGTCATCGTGGCCTGCATGGCGGTCGCTGCTGCTGTCTTCGCCGGTAACATCGCGATTGACCCGACCACCGCTGGGTGAGTATGCGCCTTTTTCTTCGCTTCTCTTTCCCCTCCTCCAAAACCGCGACGCCATATTCTCCTTCGTCACAGTTACGAAATCAGCAATCGCTAACCCTCTACCCTCCCCAGCTACTTCGCCGCCTACTTCATCGTTGTCACCACCTGCTTCACGATAACGCAGAAGAAGACGCACCTGGTGCGCTACGTGTACTGGCTGTACGACAACTACCCGTGCCTGCACCGCTGGGCGCCGACGCAGGGCTGGGGGCGCGCGCTGATTGGGACGATGAAGCGGATGAAGAGGCAGCCGGTGTGCATTTTGGCGAAGACGGATGAGGTGAGTACGGTGATTAGGATATGGGTGCGATCATACTGACTGCGTATGCAGATCAACTACCTCTTCCAGATGATCCTCTATGTGCGTCGGAATGAGGAGACATCCTGTCTGAAGATAGTGCACTTTGTCGACGAGGAGGATGTGGTGCCGTCAGAGCTGGAGGCAAATGCGAAGAGTAGGTCCCCTTCCTTGTGTTCTAACGGGCTATATGCTAAACTTGCCCTACAGTCCTCGATGAGGCGTTCCCGGAAATCACAGTGGACCTTGTACGTGCATTTGCCCCCGTATTCGATTGCTTTGACTGACGGGCATCATTTCAGCTCATCGTCCGCGGGACCTTCGACCCAGCGAGCGTCGCCGCCCTCGCGCAACGTCTCGATATTCCCACTTCTCTCATGTTCATGAGCTGCCCCGGTAGCAAGTTCCCCTTCACCGTCTCTGACCTGGGCACGCGGATCATTTGCCGTTAATATCTTGATTTTTCGGGAGCTTTTTGATGTTGCGGATTATCTTTCTGCTACTAGAGTTACGCCGTTGTCGTGCGGATCATCATTACATTGTATTTCTAGCCACCGTCCATCGCCTATCTTCGTTCTCGCTTTCTTAGCACGTTTTCACGCTTTCATGACTCTTACGACTTACATGCATTCCTTTCTCGCACGATCTCGACGATATGTTAGACATACCCTGTACAACCAATAAACTCTAGTGAGCGAGGTCCACTCTGGCTGAGCTGTGTGGCTGACGTTCTGCTTCAGATGTTTTGACCCTGTACTGACAGATCCCGACCAGAAGCGCTGCAGTACAAGAAACGCCATTGGTACATCTTTCATTTCACAGACTGACTTGGTTCTACAGCGTCTCGCACCCTCCGGTCCCGGATATCGTCTGCCCCGTCACCCATCGCGCGTCCTCGCTCGCCAACCAGGCCACAATTAAGGCAATATCCTCCGGTACACCCAACCGATTCTGCAACGGCGTCCGCTTCTTCTGCAGCTCGATCAAGTCCTTCGGCAGCGTGTCCATCATGTCGCTCTGCACCGGGCCCGGCGCGACCGCGTTAACGGTATGTCCCGCGTGGCCAAGCTCGACCGCCAAGGCGCGCGTGAAGGCCTCCACGGCGCCCTTGCTCGCGCAGTACACGGTGTACCCGCTCAGCCCGCGGCGCGCGCCGACGGAGGAGATGTTGACGATGCGCCCCGGGGCGCGCAGGTACGGGATGACCGCCTGCGCCATGAGCATCGCGCCGCGGACGTTCACGTCAAGGACGCGGGCGTACTCGGCGACCGTGACTTCGACGAGCTGGCGGTAGAGCTCGACGCCGGCGTTGTTGACGAGGATGTCGATGGCGGTGGTAGAGAAGGCGGCGAGGGTGGCGTTGACGATGAGCGCGGGGGATTCTGGGAGGCCGATGTCGGCGCGGATAGAGGCGGCGGCGGACCCGTTGTCAAGCGCTGCTATGCGCGCAGAGAGATCGTTGGCGCGTGCTTCGCTGGACGCGGAGTTGTAGGTGATCATGACCTTTTGTGGCATAGGTAAGCAACTTTGTCCACCACCTTTCACACGACGCAGGGAAAGGGAACGCACCTTTGCGCCTCTTTTCGCTAACTCGAAGGCGATCTCTTCGCCGATGCCTCTGGAGGCGCCAGTGACGATGGCGACTTTACCGGCAAGGGTCAGATTCGACATGATGATGAATATTTAGGGGCCTGGAGATGAGCACAACGGATGCGTTTCCCAAAGTCAACAAGAAAGGCGAGTATGTTCAACCTTGTTGCCCGTCACTTTATACCCAGCAGGTCTCGGACGTGCTATACGGATACTTTCCGGTCCCCCTCAAAGCCAAGAAGCCCGCCGGAATTTTCAAGGCCTCCGAGCGGATGGCATCCGTGAACAATTGGAGAAACCACAACGAAGTGCGCGAAAAAGAAATGGCTTGAGCAAGCGAGGGGGTTATAGTGGAAACAACGCGGAGATATTACAAGTCAATGTCTCTATACCGTCTCTTGCGAGGTCATGCCCTTAGATCATCTCAGCGCCCCCAGTCGCCGATATCGTCTGTCCCGTCACCCATCGAGAGCCCTCCTCCGCGAGCCAGGCGACAACTTGGGCGATGTCGTCTGCCGTCCCGATGCGATTTTGCATCGGCGTGCGCTGCTTTTGCGCCTCGATGACCTCCTCTGACAGCGTGTCCAGCATATCGCTCTCCGTCGGCCCCGGCGCCACCGCATTCACAGAGTGCCCCGCCGCCCCGATCTCGACTGCCAGCGCGCGTGTGAAGCCCTCGAGCGCGGCCTTGCTCGCGCAGTACACGGTGTACCCCGCCCAGCCTCTGCGCGCCCCGAGGGAGGACACGTTGATGATGCGGCCCGGAGCGCGGAGGTGCGGAAGGACGGCGCGCGTCATGAGCAGCGCGCCGCGGACGTTGACGTCGAAGACGGCGGCGAAGTCCTCGGGGGTGACGTCTGTGAGGGGTCGGTGCTGCTCGACGCCGGCGTTGTTCACGAGGATGTCGATCGTAGAGGTAGAGAAGGCGGCGAGAGTCGCGTCGAGGATGATGGCGGGGGACTCGGGCAAGCGAAGGTCGGCGCGGACGGAGGCGGCGGCGGACCCGTTGTTGAGGGATGCGATGCGCGCGACGAGGGTGTCGGCGCGAGCCTGGCTAGAGGTAGAGGTGAAGGTGATCATAACCTTTTGTGGCACATGTTCAGCCTCCCGATGTCAAGGTGAGAAATTGGTCCGACCTTAGCGCCTCGCTTTGCGAGCTCGTAGGCGATGCCCTCGCCCAAACCTCTGGAAGCGCCAGTGACAATGGCTACTTTGCCTGAGAGGGTGAGGTTGGCCATTGGTATGTTGAGTCGTTTGACTGGGGATGCTTTGAGATGGGGATGCCTCTCGTCTGAGATATATGTATGTAGTGTTCGCTGAAGACTGTCGAGCGACCTTCGTGCGCACTTTTAACACCCGCGGTTGGTACTAGCCGGAGGAGAGCATGACTGATTGCTCCATAAAGATGGGAGAAGCCTGACTGTTCTCCTACTCAGCGGCTAGAAAGTCTTGGAAAGTGCTTGGTTAAGACCGTAGACTGAAGAAAGGGGCTAAGTCGCCGATTGTGTCGGGAAATGACAATTCTCTCCCAGTGTTCGCCGTGCCGCCGAAGATGTACACAAGAGCCAATCTACGAGTTTAGAACCTTCTAGAATGTTAAGCACAACTTCTGGGACGCTAGGACCAGCAACAGCAGCATCGCCACGGCGCGTAGTCTCGAACCCAGCCGTTCGCCCCGCCACGGTCTTCCCTGCTTGGACCCACATCTCCACGCGGGAAACATGGCGTCCACGAGGGCGGTATATCGGCGGTATTGGAAAGTTGAAGCCCGTGAGCGGAGCGAACGTCTGGCGCATTCGGTCGCCTCTTCCTAGGGTGACCTCATAGTTGAAATAAAAATCGAATTTCAATGCGCGGGCAGCGCATCAACAAGCTCGACGCGTCCTGAACGCGTCCATTGTCCCTCTCTCAACGCGCATCGCGCACTCTACCGTCCTTACTATTGTATTTATCGACGCGCTGATCACCGATGACGACGCCTGGGAATGCCTCTGCGAAGTCAACAGAGTCGCATGCGGAGTCGGCTGACCGGCACGAAGCGAACAAGGCGCGCTCTGCCGCCAACCTTGACGAGGCGCGCAGGCGGGCGACCCGCAAGACAAGCTATGATTCTGACGCGACGCGAGCCCGCCTCAGGGAGCTCTTCATCGAGACTTGGCACTACGAGCCGCATGGCTGGCAGATCGACATCACAGAGGCCATCCTCCTCGGTCTCGACAGCGTTCTCATCGCTGGTACCGGCTCAGGCAAGACAATGCCATTCATGTTGGCCCTCAAGTACGATACCAACGCGACAGTGCTCGTGATATCCCCCTTGAAGATCCTGCAGGATGACCAGGTACGTCCCGCGATCGCTAATATGCAGGCCCGCGTTAATATATGCTAGGCAAGTCGCTTCCGCGACGCTGGGATCGCGGCTGCCGCGGTGAACGGGGACACGTACAGCAAGGTCAAGCAGGTGTGTGTCGAAGCTCTCAAGTATTTGCGCTTCCCTCACAGTCTATCAGAATCTCGAAGCGCTCAAATATCGTGCCCTCCTCACATCACCGGAGATGTGCCTCGAGAACGACGCGTTTCGCAAGTTCCTCACGTCCTCCGACTTCCAAAGGTCCATCCGCGCGGTCATCATCGACGAGGCGCATTGTATCGGCCAGTGGGGCGGCGATTTCAGGAAGCATTACGGGAGCCTCAACAAATTACGCGCTCTCTTCCCTGCCACCGTCCCCTTCCTTGCCGCAACGGCCACCCTACCCCCGAAGGCGCTGAACGAAGTCTGCGACAAGCTACACATCGATCTTGATGAGTCGTACTTTATCAACCTCGGTAACGACCGTCCCAACATCACGCAGCATGTGCGCTTCATCGACAGCGCGCACGATTACAGTGCTCTCAAAGAGTTGCTCTCGGTCAACGCGAAGAAGCCGGATGACATCGTCAAGACCATCGTGTTCGTAAACTCGCGCAACGGCACTCAAGAGGTATGCCGCGAGGTCCGCAAGCTCCTCCCGCGGCACCTTCGCAAGCACGTCGACTTCCTCCACGCAGTGCGCAAGGACAGGACGAAGCGCAGGATCATGCGGCGTTTCCGGAACGGTCGTATCCGTATCCTCATAGCCACGGAGGCTGCAGGCATGGTGAGCGCACTTGTCCTGCTCTTTGGCGTCAACTGATGTGTCCTATAGGGTGCTGATATCCCCGACATCATTCAAGTCATACAACTCGGTGCCCCACGCTCGCTGTCCATCTACCTGCAGCGTGCGGGTCGCGCTGTGCGGAATGCTGTCCTGCAAGGCCGCGCGTATCTCCTGATGGAGAAGTCTGCGTTCAGGCTACAGAAGAAGAAGAAGCCCAAGAAAAAGGCTGCCGACGACTGGTCCGACGACGACGCTGACGATGTACTCGCTAACGACGATCTCAATGCCGACTGCGACGTGCAACTGGAAGATGGCGATGCGGAGGCTTTACCCGCCGTTGACCAGTCCGACGACTCGGGGAGGGGTGATGGCGTGGGGGAGGAGGGCAATGCTGCTAGTGGGGATGTAGTGGTGCCCTGCGATGATGCCAGTCGTGCAGCGGAGGTCACAGCGGGCACGAACGGCGGGAAGGATGGCACGTCCACAGGCGTCAAGAAGCCGAGCCGTACCCCCGACAGTCAAATGACGTGGGGTAAGGTTATTGACCTCTCGCTACGCAAGTACGTGACGGAGTCGACGTGTAGACGTGTCACGTCAGACACGTACTTTGACAACCCTCCCGGACGACGTGGTAAGTTGTTCGCTGCACTATTCGATATGACTTGCTCATTTGCACCCTAGCACCGACCGGAAGCTGCTGCGACGTCTGCGAGGGCACGGCTCCGCCCATCCCGGGCTCTGAATCAGCTACCGTGCCAACACCAATCACTCCCGAGACGGCGCTGACATCAGCTCATCCCACGGAAACGTCGCTATCGTCCACCCCTACGACCGAGATGCTCGACCGGCCGTCAACTCCTGTTCAATCCCGACAAACGACACCTGCCTCGACACCTCAGAAAGATGGCAAGCGACCACTCGTCAGGCGTAAATATGGCCCCGCTCGCAAGGGCGACCTTTTGAAGCGCGTTCGAGCAGCTCTAGAGCGCTGGCGTGGGGTCACGCGTGCACGAGACTTCCCCTACAGCACGCTGCCAGCCAAAGCGTTGCTGTCGGACCAGTCGCTGACGAAGCTCGCCTCGAACAACAAGATTGTCGAGCCCGCTGATCTCGCCACCCTCGAGCCCCCTTGGGTGTATCACAACAAGTACGGAGTTGAAGTCCTGGCGCTAATCCAGAAGGTCGTGTTCGAGTTCGAGTCGGAAAGGAACTCAAACAAGAAACCTCGTCGTACAGGCAGACCGAAGAAAACGGCGGCTCAGCAACTTGCCGCTTGCTCACCCGAGGCCATGGTCGCTGCCGAAGCTAAGCAGGTTCGAGCAGCAGAGCGCGACCACGCGCGTCTCGCAAAGGCCGAACGGGAGGAGACCAAGAGGCTTGCGAAGGAGGCCAGGGAGCGCGCGATGGCCGAGAAGGACGCTCGGAAAGCCCTCTACGCAGCCAACTACGCCAAGCGCCATGCTGTGCCTGCACCGCCTTCTCGACCAACCCCTCCCATCCCGACGGCGAGCGCTGCATGGTCACCATCGTTCCGAACTTTCTATCCCTCTTCTCCAACCACGCGATACCCACTTACACCTGCTGGGGCCTTACATCCAGCGCTGGCTGCAGGTCACATATCCTCGCAAGGCTCGTCATTGTTATCTTCTTTTCCACCACGTCTTTCGAACTCGGCACCAACTGCGGAGGCTTCCGCTTCTCCTGCGGTACGCGAGACTCATTACTCAATGTCTCCTTATTCTTTCATCCCTAACACGATACACAATGCTCCTTCTAATACCCAACTGCATCTCTCGACTGCACGTAGCTCGAGACCTAGAGATTATGATAAGACTGATGATCCTTTTGTACGGTAGAGCTTGTTTATATATTTCTGAGATAATTACACATCCTCAGTGGCCTCCTCATCGGAACTCCCTTCGTCACTAAGCACCTCGTAGTCCTCGTCGGTGCGTCGCGTGTACAGTCGGCCACTAACCCATCGCTCGAGTACACCCAGAAGCTTGTCGAGACCAAGTGATAAGAAGTCCTTCGCCGTATCCTTCTTGCCTGGTTTCAGCGTGCGCCCACACTCATGGGTATGCAAGTCAGCCTGCTCGTATACCGCCTGAAGCGTGCGCACGTCCTGGTCTTTCTTCGGAACTGTGTGCTTCAATCCACGCGTGTTCGTCCTAAACTCCCGTTCCATATGTTTACTCAGTTCTCGTATGACCGGTATAGCAGGATGCATCTTTTTGAGGAATGCCCAGTCAATGCTTGGCCCTTCGGAGCGATACGTAACCTGTTCAGTTGGTTGAGAATTATGTGGCAAACATAGGAGCAAGATAAACATGCCTTGATATCCTTGATATTGTGCTCCTGGGCCTGATCTACAGGACAGAAGCCTTGGGCTGTTCCAGACATGTTGACGAGCCAGCAATGCTCGCGTACAAAGCGACTATGCAAGGCGGATGTTAGCAGGTGGTCAGGGATCGGTGCGTAAACGAGTGACACACCAGATTGGCTCAGGCCACTCGCGATAGAGCCCCTGCATCAATTCGAGGACTTCGATACAATACTTGTTATTGTTTCCACCAATAAAGCGGAAGAGGAGGAAGGGCAACATGTCTTCCATGGTCCCTACGTCACCACGCTTGATAGCCTCGTTGAGGACCATGTAATGCACAACATCACGGTTCCACATATAGACCTGACGCAAGCGCTCGTCCCGCTCGTCTTCGTCCATCTCGTCCATCGCGTTGAGCGCAGCACCTGATGCCCGTTCATCGTGTATGCGTGTAGCCAACTTCAACAGCTCGTCACCCTTGCGATTGCGAAGCTCCGCGAGATCGTCTACCCCCGCCACACCCTTCCAATCGACCCGAAAATGCGCCTCTGCAGTGTGGCAAATCGCTTCGTCAAGATCATGGTAGAAAACACCCTTCGTCTGAACCTTGTGTAGACCCTTGAGGTTCAAGAGATCGAAGACGCGCGCGAGGCCGTATCCGTGCGAAGTGCCGACATACTGCTTGTGGAGAGAGTTTGCGAAGGCCATCTGCAAATGAAGCCAGCCGAAGACGACAATGAGCCAATCGAGACGGTCGAACGAATTAAACTCCTCGGCATGGAACTTGAAGAGTCCACGAAGGCGATCAACGGTGAGTTGGTCGCCAATCCAGAAGATAATGCGCCGCAGCCCGACCTCCTCCTGCTTCTCCAGGCCTGAGAGGTCGAGCTGGGACAGCCATTCCTCGATCAGGCGATCGTTGTCTTCATAGCTCGCCTCGGGGATGTTCACCGTACCGAGCATGCGCTGTACAGTGCGGTGCTCGTCCCCGAATGGCAGGCCGAAGCGGGGAGGCGGGCGCTCGAGACAAGCATTATTCTTGTCCGAATATGTGGCAAAGTCGAATTCGGGAGCCTCGACAATGACACGCAGGATCTCGTGTATCGCTTGCATGCGCAAGTGCGGCGCAACTTCGTTCTCGCGCTCTGCGATCCAAAGCAAGTCAAGCGGCTTGTTCAGCCCCTCTGCGCGCGTGCGCTTCAGCTCGGCGTTCACTTCGGACGCGAGGGGCGTAGCGCTACGCTTGAAGTAGACAGTGGCAGCGGTTCCACTCCCAAAAGTCGTGTTCTTGTCGAGCCTCTGCGAAAATACGCGGAAAGGGAGCTGGACGTTGTCGTGCGAGATGAGCCAGGCACTGTTTGCCTGCATGAGAGCGACGACCTCGTTCATTGCGCGTTGCGAAATCTTGTCGACCGCGTTTCCGGTCCATTTGTGACTCATGACGAGGCCGACGGAGTGTAGGGTGTCGAAAGCTTTTGCTGTCAGGCCTTTGAACTTGACATAAATACTCATTGCCTTCTGATACCGCCCGCAGTTCTTGTTGCGCGTGTAGCAGAGCATCGATACAATGGTAAATATGGTCTTCGGATGTCCAGTGAGCAAAGGGTATGGTAAATTCTTGCCAGAACGAACCTTGTCCGGGTTCTTTCGCGTATTATGCTGTTCCTGGCGCTTGCTGTAGCCCAAGGAGCGTAGGAGATTCCAGACGCCTGGCGCGAGGGACTGAACACGAGGGATGATGTCGTGGAAGCGAATGCTGGTAAGCTCTTCAGCAGTCAGGTCCTGCTTGTCGTTGGATTGCAGAACATGAGCAGACACGGCTTTGATCTCGTCCAGCAGCTCGTCCTGAACAATTGCCCGGGCTGCCTCCTTCACAGCCGCCGACCCGCCCTCCGGGCGTCGCCCTTTTGCGGTGCTCGGCGGCTTCGCCCATCTCTGCAACATCGAAGGCAATAAATCGCTCTGCATGAGAGATCGGCACGCCCCCGAAATGATAGGATCGCGCCGGCAAGCCTGATCGCCCCAGGTGACTGCATCGAGTAGCTCCGGTAAGCTTAGTCCTGCGGCCTGTATCCCCTGCAGTGCGCGGCGCACCCGAGCGACGAATGGATTCATTGGGAGTGCAGCATCGAAAGATAAGTCGATGTCCATTGTATCGTGATCATTGTTTGAAGAGGGACACTGAGCAGCCGAAGGGTCGAGATCAGAATCTGACCCGGATGATTCGGGTACATCGTCGTCATAACGGGACTCGGATTCAGAGTCACTGCGGCTGGGCGAGGACATTGTTCTCAAGATGGTAGGTGGGAACAAGTGTGGGCGCAGGCACGTGTGCAGATCAACGCGTGCTCCGGCGCTCAACAGTAATATTATTTGACCTATGAAGTCACCCTAGGAAAGGCGCCCCGAATGCACCAGACCTTGTGTCGCCCGCGGGCTCCGACTTTTGTCTGTGCCTGAACCGAAGGAACGTGGGCCGGGCCGCAGGCCCCCGCGACACATGGGATGGGAACGAGACTACACGGCGCGACGACCATGAGGAGCAGGTTCAAGCAGAGGAGTCACGGTTTGTCACCATGGACCGGAAGCTTTATCGCGGTCCGCTGATCCGTACGGGCCCATATAAGCGCTGCGCTTCTTGCCACAAACCATCTTCGCTGGATACAAGTCCAACTGGCTACCACGGGACGTGGCACCGGATGCGCTCTCTCGGGGTAGGCATTTGTGGCTTCCCCTCCTGGGGCGGGACTATGAATGCTCTACTGCAGATTAAGAGCCAGACGCGCGGTGTACACTGGGTGGTAGTTGGGTCGCCCTCACCGCCGTCACCTGAATTGTCGGCTAGATGATTCGGTCAGCGGCGGCGAGACCTGACAGTGTTTGGGCCCACCAAGGCGTACGAATGGCTTGGTAATTCTCCCAGTCGTATTCCGCGGTGGGTAGACTTGTATCCACTTTAGGCGCTTGCGCGGTGTCATTGACGCCGCGCTTCTGCCACATCGCTTTGGCGGTGGCAACAGCAGCAGTTGAGGCCGCGCGCTCGTGCTTACAGCTACAGTCATGTATAGCCAGTGATGTCGGCTGCCTCGTGGCGAGCGGCGGAGGCATCGCATGATGTGTGGCATCAGCGAAGGATCGTCGTCATCGGACACCAACCCAACTGGCTACCATTGGGACTTTGCGTCGGATGGGCTCTCCCGTAGGCAGGCGTCGGTATATTCCTTTAGGAATAGCTCGTGCGCCTCGCTGATCAGGGTGAGGAAGACAGCTGCGCGACGTACACTGTATGGTAGTTGGGTCGCTGCTGCCGTCGTTGGCTGAACCATCGGGTAGATGGCTCGGCCTACAACGGCGAGACCCGACATTGCTCGGGCCCATCGCGACTACGAATGGCTAGGTAATTGTCCCGGACGTACGTCGTGGTGGGTGGGTTTTAATTGTGTCCCCCACGAGCACTTTCGTGGAGTCGGTGATATCACTTATCTGTTCTATCGCTTCGGCGGCTGAGCAGATAGTATAGTGATGGAGGTACCACGGAAGCGCTCGCAGCCACAATTGTGTACCGCCCTTGATACTACCCGCCTTTCGGCGCGCGGTGGAGGCGATGCATGATGTGTGGCGTCGGCGAAGGGCACGTTAGCTCTCGGACAATGTCTGAGTAGTGGGCTCGTATCCCGGGACCTGCGAAAGGATATGTCCTGCAATGACTTTCTTGCCTTTCGTCGATATTGACGGCCAATCTTTGGAACCTTTCCTCCTCCGGAGGATGCTTCAGAAAATCATACATGTACATAAGACAGATCTACTTACCATATACATGATCACAGTAGCACAGTGTGCTCTAAATTACGAGTCCCTCGAGATATTCATCGAGAAGGGCCTCCATAGCTCCGTTCGATAAGTCGATATCGGACGCATGTGTCTTTTGTTCCGAAAGGGGAAACTGAGATGACGGTCCGTGCGATCCGTTCATAAAGCGACTTGACCTCTCCCTGACCTTCCTTGACCCTGACTCCCTTGTGAGGTTCTGCAGTTATCGCGACAGCACGATATGTCTACACTCACCATCAAATATGATCTGAAGCCACCAGCAACTGTCAATGCAGGCGGACTGCAGGCCACCACAACCACTGCAGCGGAAATAACAGCTGATCCCAAAGATCAAAGTCAATACTATGCAGAGCTGCGTAGGGCGGTACTGCAGGCGAAAGATACACTGGGGGAGGAGCTTACGCAGTGGAGAGATGCTGTAGGGAAGGCGGAGCTGAACAAGGAGACGAAGAAGTCGCTGAAGGAAGATGACGAGGACGAGGACGAGGATAGCGAAGGTGAGAGCCAGGCATTGACTGAGCGGGATCAGCAGACTGACAGTAATGAACAAGTATGATGTACGGGAGAAGGCGATAGAAGTGAGAGCAACGTACGCAGAAATGGACACACCACGACTAGCCAGTCCTCTAGATCGTCAATATCGCGAAGCGCTCTCGGGAACCATTAATCGTGCATGTTGCTTGTGTATTCATGCAGCCTGACTTCCTGCTGCAAGTCCTCTTCGTGCCCAAGATTCACAGGGATATGGTTGTAGGTCGACTTTCCTCGTCCTGGGAAGATGATCGCAACGCGAGGCTCCATTTATCGGCGGATCACTCGGGGATCCGGTAATGCAACAAGCGCCAAGCGTTTCGGCACTTGCTCCCTTGCTTGCTCCCCTCCCCCATACCTATCACCAAGCGCGCAAATGCCATCCCCCTTACATATTCCAGAAATCTGCCTTGCAATATGCCAGGAGTGCCGCCAGCGCGATCTCTGTAGGCTGGCCTTGGTCTCGAAATACTGGAATGCCATCGCGAACGTACTCCTATGGGAGAGCATACCAGGCGTTGTGTGCTTGCTGCGCCTGATGCCGCAAGATGTCTGGGAGATACTCGACCAGAAGCCACCGGGGGTGTACTTCCTGCAATATCGGCGTGTCTTCGTGCGTACCCATCGCGCTGCCAAAGGCGCTAACTGATCGGCCCCCTTAGAAATTCCGTCGTCCGTTAACTCCAGCAGACTGGAATCCGGTCCTCGAACGCGCAAGCTATGTACGCGTCCTGGACCAGACAGCCCTCGGCCGGCGAAGGGTGTCGTACTTCCACGACGTGATCGACGCTATCGCGGCATGCCCCCCTGGCCAGAGGCTCTGCCCCGAGCTGCGCAAGCTGGACATGCGCCTGAGCGCGTTCTTCTCCCGGACCAGCCAGATCTCCGACCTCATCCTCACCCCCACACTCACCTCCCTCACCATCACGCTCGATGCGGACTCCACGGTCCCCCAGGACTGCTCCATGTTCGCGGCGTCGTGCCCAAACTTGCGCACGCTAGTCATCCGAGAGCACGGCAACACACAATACACAGAGGCTGTCATGGCCGCGTTCCACCTCCACCCACATCTCGAGCATGTCTCGCTGCACACGTATAGCCCCGCTACTGCGATCGGCGTCGTCGCGCACCTCCCCTCGCTCACGAAGCTCGGGCTGCAATCCCTCTCCCGGCCGCCCTCCCAGCTTAACATCGCGCACCCCACCGGCCTGTTCACCACCCTCACCCGCCTCTTTCTCGAGGCCTGTGCCTCCGCCACCGTCTGCGCGATGATGCGCGCATGGCGCTGGCGGCCGATCGAGTCGCTCGAGCTCGAGGCCGTGCCGTACACGACCCCAGACGACCTCCGGCACATCATGCAGCACATCCACGACCACTGCGAGCCCAGCGCGCTGCAGAAGCTCGTCATCACCACGCACAACCCATTCGAGATCGCCGGGGCGCGCCCGGTGCTGCTGCGCGATTTCGACCCGCTGCCTGTGCTGCCGAGCCTCGCACATTTCGACGTCTCGGTCCCGTTTGTCGACATGCTCACGGATAGTGATTGGGCGCAAATCGTGCCGCGAATGCCTGCCTTAGAGGTGTTCATCCTTCGTCCGGACGAGGACGGCACTGGTTTTCACGACGAGGAAGCGCGGACGTCAACGTTGGAATCATTGCTATACTTTGCTCGGGGATGCCGACGACTTCGAGAGCTCAGCTTACCCCTCGGAAGGGTCCTAGTCCCCCTGACCTTCAGCGCGGATCGGGAAACGCCTCAAACTGCGCTCACCTCCCTCGACATACAATGGGCGACGGCAGCGAACGATATCGACGCTATAGTAGCCTTTCTAGGCTCCGTATTCCCATCGTTACGCAGATTGGAGACATCTTGTTGCTGGACGCGACACGATGCGCTCGACGAGGATTATGGCGAGCCGTGGTCCAGCTTGAAGAAGGCCTTCAGCGACGATTGGCGGCGGAGAAATCCCAAAGACCGCACTTTGTAACGACATATCGGGAATGTAGAGGACTCGATAATGGACATATAGTATGACAGTCAAGCCGATAGAAAGACAGTCCAGCAACTGTAATCTACGATAGTGATATCCGCCTGTGGGCAAGTCCATAATAATGTAGTCCAGGATACTTTGCACATATATATCAGCCCAGACAACATTGCCATCAGCTCTGGACTCACTTTCAGCATGCATTGAGCTCTAGCAAGTTGGACCAGCTTGAACCAAGGGGCTCAACAAGGACTCACGATGTGGGAGGATGGCTTTGAAGGCTACGAAGTCGAACATGTCACATGATTGTGACTGTGACGATCGCGTCGCGCTTGCTTCGCGCCTCCCCTTACGTCTCTCCCTCATCACGGTCATGTCTCTGTTCGGGCAGCCCAGCACGAGCACTCAGCCTGCGGGAGGCGGTCTGTTTGGATCTACGAACACCAACACCCAACCCTCTGGCGGTCTGTTTGGCTCCACGAACACGAACACGCAACCCTCTGGTGGCGGCCTCTTCGGCGCATCGAACAATAACACGACCCAGCCCGCGTCAGGGGGACTTTTTGGGAACACGCAGAACCAGACGCAGAATAATACAGGAGGCGGTGGTCTCTTTGGCGCGTCGAACACGAACACCACGAGCAGTAATCCATTATTTGGCGGCAAGCCTGCGGGCAGCATTTTCGGGAACAATAGCACGACCACAGGATCGACGGGTGGGGGAGGGCTGTTCGGATCAACGAACAACAACAACCAGCAGCAGCAGAATCAGGGCAGCTCACTCTTCGGCGGCACGAACACGAGCAATGCCGGTACTGGCAGTGGTGGGGGGCTGTTTGGGAACACGACGAATACGAACTCGCAACCGGCGCAAGGGGGAGGATTGTTTGGAAACACGAACACGAACAACAACCAGCAGCAAGGGTCCGGCGGTGGACTCTTTGGGAGCACAACGGCGAACACGAACACGGGCGGCGGTCTGTTTGGTAGCAAGCCAGGAGGGCTCTTTGGTTCGACAACGAATCAACAAGCGGGATCGAGTACGGGTACGGGATCTCTTTTCGGAGGGGGCCAGACACAGGTGCGCTTCTCTTCGCGCGTTTATACTTGACCTGTATTGACGTCCTGCAGCAGCCCAGCGGCGGTCTGTTCGGCCAGTCGACGAACACCAACCCACTGTTCGGCGGTCAATCCACCAATACCAACTCCCTCTTCGGTGCCACACAACAACAAAACCAGCCCGCACCTGCGCAGAGCCTCCTCATGTCGCGCGCCACTCAGGCGCAGACGCCTCCCGCAAACGACCCTCAATCGCAGTTCCTTCGCCTCCAGGCTCGTATGGAGGAAATCTACAATGCATGGAACCCGCAGAGCCCACAGTGCCGCTTCCAACATTACTTCTACAACCTCGTCATGCCTGAGCAGGTCGCCATGTATGGCCGGCCAGCGAACGCGACCAACGAGGCCGCTTGGCAAGAAGCCGTAAGAAGAAATCCTGACCCACCTCGGTATGTTTGCCTGATATCTCTTTGAATAAACATGCTAATGTATGCCCTAGTCTCGTCCCTGTCCCCGCGAATGGCTTCGGCGACCTCCGCGCCCGCGTCGAGGGGCAAACAAAACACGCCGCCGAGCACCAGGAGAAGATTAAAGACCTCCAATCCCGCATCGCCAAACTCCGACACGCCCACGAGCTCGAAAACCACACGAAGCTGCAGCGCGCCGCCGCGACGCAGATGCAGGTCACGCACCGGCTGCTCAAGTTCGTCGCGCGGCTGTACCTCCTGATACCGTCAGTGCGGCAGAGCACGCTGCTGCCGGAGGAGGAGCAACTGAGGGCGGCGCTGGAGGAGATTGAGGAGGATTTGGCGCATGGGCAGGGCGGAGGGCGGATGCGGGCGAAGCTGAATGAGCTGTGGGCGTTGGTGGGCGTGTTGAGCGCGGCGAAGGAGCGGCAGGTGTCGGGCGCGGGCGAGTGGGCGGTGGTGGATGAGGAGGGGTTGGCAAGGATTGGACAGGTATGTGGCTTGTGCAAACGTGTTTAGCGCAGTTGCTGACGGAACGATAGATCCTCGCGGACCAGCAGTCCGGGCTGGCTCATTTGACGAAGGTCCTAAAGAAGTCGCAGCGGGATATCGCTGTAATCTTAGGCCAACGACCGACGGACCTCGACGACGTGGATGGCGACGAGCTGTGGGGTTCTGCAGCTGGTGCCTTGCGTGCTAGCACCTTACGATAGACAGAGGAACGATTGTACGTCGATGAGGCTGACTCCTTTGTACACCTTTCTGCGCTGCGAGCAGATTGTAATAATTGATACCACGGAGCAGTAACGATCTTTTCCGTCATTCCATTCCCTTCACTGTCGCCTGAACGAAACTCAAGCAAGCCCACGATTACTGACAAGTATACGAGTAACGAAAATATCCTCAGAACTGTAGGCCGGGGTACACGTCGCCACCTGGAGGAATATACGCCTGGTTTATGTCAGTTCGTGATCTTGGCCCCCCCTTTCGAGCGCTGCTCACCTCGTTCGCTGCATCTCCCTGGTACGGGTTGAAGTGAATGCCTGGATCCTCGGCCTGCCAGACTTTGGTCAGCCATGTTCTCCTGATGACGAGAAAACTGAAAGTGCTTACCGAGTACGCTCCAGGGAAGCTCAGGCCAGAGGGTGCCAGAGATCCGCCACCAGTGACGGTGAGCTGAACGCAGACTGGGTAGAATTGGGCACCGCCGACGTTGCTGGCGCCGTGGAGGGCTGGAAGGTACGTCAGTTCCCCTTCATCTTGCACGGGGTCGTCAATACATACCTAGATTCTCATGGCGAAGGAGCTGGTAGATGAAGTCAATTGACCATCTTCGAGGCACTCGGATGCAGACTCACGTAGGCGCCCGGCTGGATGTTCTTCGGAATGTGCACGTCGTACGTGAAGTTCGCGGACGTTGCGAGCACATCGCTAGCCCATACGCCGTTCTCGAAGGCGTCTTGCTGGATCTGCAATCACGATTCCGCGGTGAGCATCCTTACGCCCTCTCAATTCACAAAACGCTACCTTAAACCACGGGCTCCCAGTATCGCCTTTGAAAGGAGAGCAGTCATCGGTCGCGCACTTGGCCATGTAGTTCAAGATGGGGCCATAGTGACCTGTCTGTCGAACGCCGCGTCGTCAGGCATGGTCCTGGCATATGGCAGAGAAGCCTACCGGCCAAGTGTTCCACATCATGGAAACCGTCCCGCCCGCCTCGACCTCGGCCTGGATGGGGCCAGGAGGCAACTGCGAGTTGCCGATGCTGCAAGTGATGTCCCCGGAGGTTGGATCCGCGATGAAGCCCTGCATTGGGAGGCCTCGTTAGACGATAGACGACAATCAGCGAGACCAGATAGACGTACACTGTCAGGCTTGGTCGCGCGCACGACGCGCAAGGGTTGGGGGGTCGTGTAAGGATCCGATTGAACATCCCATCCAGGGATGAGCTCGCCGTTGATCTTGATGAATGGCACGTAGCCGTGCGCGGTGGCATAGCCGGCGAGCGACAAGAGGGCAGCGTGGGCCAGGACACGCATGGTGGACAAACAGCAGAAACAACGAGTCGCGCATGGCAGAGCGAAGGGACCTGGTTTTATACGGCCAGCCGCATCGAAAAGGTACGTTCCTCAAATCGCAGGTGCATCGTCTCTTGCGGTGACGATGTCGCGAAGGAGGAGAAGGTCTATACGTACCTGAGCAAAGTCTGTTCACGTCAATCGCTCAGAGGTTCCCTAGGTCACCTGGGTGAAGATGATGAAAGCATTGGGCGGGAAAGACCTCCGTGAGCCTGCCTATCGAGCGTACGGAGCATGCGGCATGGCTAATGTTCGGACGGAGTGTGACATGGAGCGGAAGAGGTCGACGTCTTTCCTCCGGTGAAAGAGAGATACATGTATGGGGCATCACTTCGTTGCGCTGAACTTCGCGAAGATTTGCCGTGCGTTGTATTAGAAAGAAGAAAAGGATAAAATTTGAGGCACCTAGGCTATCTCTCGCGCGACTTAGCCCAACTGAGGTGGGAATGTTGGTTTCTCGAAGTCTTGAATCGCAAAAGGCATCTAGACAGCTTCTAACTTGGAACAAGCAGGGGGTAGTTCAAAGGAATGGGCGTGAGCTCCGACGTTGGGGTATAGCGGGCGAGTGAAAATACCAAGTGAGACATGTTTTCCATATGTAAGCATAAGGGAGGCAGCACCTCATGAAGGACGTGCGGAAAGGGTCATGAATGTCACGCGGGAAGTTGAACTTGACGCCTCACATCACGTGCAGTCTCTCCCTCGTGATCAGCTATACAGCACCACGCCGGCGTTTCCCGGCGAGCGCCACTTGCGCCTACCGCTGTGATCAACGACCGTATATCGTCAAGCCCGCCGCCGCCCGCCCTCAAGATGGTCAAGGGTGAGTGAATGTGCAACATGGAGGTCGAGGAAGGTGCTGACAGTGTACATTCGCAGTTTACAAGCCCGGAAAGGTGAGAATTCTGGCCAGTACGCGGGGAGATGCTGTCGATCGAACGCGCGGGGGCGGTCAGAGGAATTGCGCCAGCCCTGGGAAGAGGGAAATGCCACAGAGTGTCTGCTATCCCATTTCCAGAAAGCTGCGCGCAGGAAGACTACGAACCCAACCGGCAATGTGAAGGAAGAGCAGGAGCTGATTATCCTTGAAGGTCGCGATTGTCCTGCGCGGACGCCAGGCCGGCAAGAAGGTCATTGTCATCAAGCAGGTGGATGAGGGCACCAAGGACAGGCCGTACCCCCACGCGATCGTTGCCGGCATCGAGCGCTACCCGTTGAAGGTGCGTCCGTCAGCTCGTCTCCCTCAACTCCCTTACTTACCCCTCCTTCAGATCACAAGACGGATGGGCCAGAAGAAGCTCGCGCGCCGGAGCAAGGTCAAGCCCTTCATCAAGGTCGTCAACTACTCCCACCTCTTCCCGACCCGTTACGCTTTCGAGCTCGAGGGCTTGAAGGGTGCCGTCGCGTCGGACACCTTCAAGGAGCCGACACAGCGGGAGGACGCGAAGAAGAACATCAAAAAGTTGCTCGAGGACCGCTACCAGACGGGCAAGAACAAGTGGTTCTTCCAGCCCCTCCGGGTGAGTAACCTGAACGTTTTGAATTGGTTCGGTTGACTGATCGTGTTCTCATAGTTCTGATCGGTGTACATCTGTCGGTCTCTTCTTCATATATATCGACATGCCCTCCCCATCGTACAAAACCACTGTATGACCTATGATACTCATATGCCGCGCATGCACGCCTTTCAGGGCAGTCTGGATCTTTCAAGGCGATTTCTATTCCTGGGTATGTCTGATTTGGTGCTTCTGGTCATTTGTCCCTCGGCGCGACTGGGTTGGCCGCAGCACGGTCTTATCTGCGAGACCGCTAGCCCAAGACGACCTCCTTCAACTGCCGCGTGCCCCTCGTCGTACGCGTTGACGAGCGTCGTCATGCGCTTTGAGGACATGCTGTAATGAGATCTTCACTATTGTAGAGGTCCACACTCCAGATTCCTGCTGCAGTGTTCCTGCTCGCTCGAACATCCTGATATTTCTGCTCCTTGACTTTGAGGGTTCAGCCTCTGCGCATTTGCCACTGGCATGGGTGAGATATGCCACGTAGACACCGTTTGTTCCGTGTGCTCTCCGTTGTCTGTAGTCTGGGTGCTATCATCAGCTAAACATTGGAATCGATATGAATGCAGGCCCGAGTTGAACATGAAACTCTGCCAAACAAAGGGTTCGGCACGGCGGTACCGCGGCTTGTTTCTTACCACAAACGACCGGAGCTTCTCATCTTCCTTCGCCACGAACTACATACCCAAAGTCGCCACCCCGCGAGCCCAGAATGCGGTTCCGTACCCTTGAAATTCGGTGGCACGACAGCAAGCCCATCTCGAGCTGCGACTTTCAGCCACGGCGCGCACGCTCAACGCAAGACAAGGGTCAGAACGCGCAGAGCTATCGACTAGCGACGGCGGGGGAGGATAATCACGTCCGGGTCAGCATTGAGAGCGCGTCGACGCGCTACTGGGATCGCTAACAGTGACCAAAGATATGGATGGTCCATCCGCACCTCCAACCGGCGCAGCCAGCGGGAGCGGGCGGGGGGTCGACGAGCGCCCCGCGCCCGCCTCATGTGGAGTACCTAGCTACACTGAGCAGGCACTCCGCGGCGGTAAACGTAGTCAGGTTCTCGCCCAACGGTGCGTAATCGAGCTTTGACGCGTCTATTCGCATATTGACGCGTAACGCAGGCGAACTCATCGCTTCGGCTGGCGACGGTGCGTAGAGACGTGCAGGCGCGTCGAATACGCGTGTTGAATGTCTCGCAGATGGCATGATCATTATATGGGCACCCTCGCTCAGCCCCCAGGCAGCGACGTATGGCAGCGATCTCAGTCTCGAGGACTTGCAGCACGAGAAGGAGTTCTGGAAGCCACGGACGACCTTCAGGTGCGTGAACTGCCTGATCCTGTCGAACACGCCTAACGCGACCTAGGTGCACACAGATGCAGGTGTATGACCTGGCGTGGAGTCCCACGGGCGAATACCTCATTTCAGGGAGCACAGACAATGTGGCCCGCGTCTACTCCACCTCAGACGGTATGGCTTCGCCTAGCTCTACCTTCCATAGCTAACGCGGAACAGGCAAATGCGTACACGAGATTGCCGAACACAATCACTATGTCCAGGGTGTCGCCTGGGACCCGCTCAACGAGTACATCGCTACTCAGAGCAGCGACCGCTCCATGCACATCTACAGCATTACGACTCCGCCGCAGGGCGGCTTCGAAGCTCACGCTATCGGCAAGAACACCCGCATGCCTCATCGCCACACGCGCACGCCCAGCGCCCACGGCAGCTCGCGTCCACCCATGTTCCGCAGTCAATCCACGACCAGCGACATAGAATCTATCACGAGCGAACAGCCAAACAAGGACAACGAGCCGGTCAAGGACCCCACACCTCTCACTCCGGCGACCTCGGTAACGAGCACACCATCCATGTTCCCGCCGCCCTCCTACGAACGCCCCTCTTCGCGTCGTTCGTCCTTCAGCTCGGCTGCGCCGGGTTCGCCAAGCACCCTGAGCCGGTACGGACGATCCCCGTCCCCTATGCCCGCTCTTCCCGCGATTCGTGCCGCCTCGCCCGCATGGACGAACGTAAAGCTGTACGGCGACGAGAGCTATACGAACTTCTTCCGGCGCCTCTCGTTCAGCCCGGACGGCGGTCTACTCCTCACGCCCGCCGGCCAGTTCGAGGATCCAAGCGTGAATGCGACGCCTGCTCTAGCCTTGTCCGAGGACGGCACGCCCGCACGTGGGCGCAAATCGAGGCCGACGATTACGACCTCGACAGAGCACCCGGGAGGGTCGTCCTCGACGAGCTCGGTGTACATCTACTCGCGCGCGAATTTTGCGCGGCCGCCGATTGCTCAGCTGCCTGGGCATAAGAAGGCGAGCATCGCGGTGCGGTTCGTACCACAGGTCTTCGAGTTGAGGCGCGGTGTGACGGGCGCGGAGGTGGAGACTCACAAGGGGGTGCTGGAAGGTGGGCAGCAGAATAGCATGGACGTGGACATCGTGGGTCCCACAGTGTCCTCTTCCGCGGCAGCAGCGGCGACCCTATCCCCGTCACGACCGTCGACATCTAATTTGGTGGTGTCGCCCATGCCCACGTCAGCTGCGCCGTCGATAAGCATGCCATCACCCGCGCTATCGGCCGTTGACATGCGTCCACCAACACCCTTGACCTCGAACCCGCCTTCCCGTATACCAACGCCGACTCCCCCACCGACTACCGGGAGTGTCTTCGCCCTGCCCTACCGCATGATCTATGCCGTCGTCACGATGGACACGGTCGCAATCCACGATACCCAGCAGGCAGGGCCGATCGCCATGCTCACGAAGCTGCACTACGATGAGTTTACGGACGCGGCATGGCAAGAACATTTCTCCTTCAGCTCGTCAAGCTTTGACTAACCTGATTCATAGGACCTCCGATGGTCACTGCCTAATGCTATCCTCCCGCGATGGATACTGCACTATCATCGTCTTCGACGATGTCCCTCCAACGCACCACTCGCCACGCCTGGCGTCTAGGCTGGCCACCTTCGCCATGCCGAGTGTCGGCCTAGCGCCGTCGCTGACGCCCAGCTCATCCGCCACCAGCCCCGCGCCTTCGACGAGGAAGCGCGCGGGCCCGCCCACGCCCGCGCAAAGTGTGGACGGGGATGCGCAAGCGACGATGGTGTCACCCGAGCGGCCAGCGCCATCGGGTGACGGCAAGGGTGAGACGAAGGAGCCGCCCAAGAAAAAGCGGCGCATCCAGCTCACGCACGTCGGCGAGCTGGGGTCGTAGGCCTCCAAGGCTACGTGAGCCAGCTGCTTGCGCACACAGGCTACCTATGTACACGCTGCGCCTGGTCCGCTAGCAATGGGCCCGGGTGCACATGCTTGCGCCTCTCCGGCGCACTCTTGGGGTTGCCGTGCCCATCCATGGGAGTGCCGCGCGCATCCCTCCATACCTTATTCGGCTCTAATATGTTTGATGACTTGGTTCCTGCTCTGTGTTTTGCGCCGTCCACTATAGGAGCGTCATGTAATTGTATAACTCCTGCTGACGATCCATCTATATATTCGTCTCCTGTCGTGGATTCAACCCATTTCCTTGGATGTCTCATTGACAGTAAGGATCGCCAGCATCTTTTTGGTCAGTGCACAGCAGGCGTTCACGCCGGCATTGGTGGCATTTGAATGCCATCGCTCAGGTGAGAACTCAGCCTATCAGATAGGAAATGCTAACACTGGTGGGTGCCTTGATAGGGTGGATGTAGGTACGGCAGACTACAAGTTTCATCGCGTACGATGCAGGGCTGTCGAAGCTAACCTTCGGCAGTGAAGGAGAGATGTCCGATCCACGACTCTCAGCGACCCTCCGTACAGTCGAACGTGAACCTCAGCAGTACGCAGGCCTTCTGTCGCGACATGTGGGAATCTTCCATCGTTGCAGTGACCAATTTTACTGCTGATACAGATAAGCCTGGGAGCGCTGATCCCCTTTGGACGGAACAGTATCGTGTGTCGTCGAGCTAATACCGCTGTAGCGCCGGACGGGAACTGCATGTGTTCCGACGAATCCCATATAACCTCAAGCACACTGAGGTTTGTCTTCGGCGGTCATGGCGGACGAGAAGCGTATGTATGTCCACGCTTTCTGCGCGCTCAAGCTGATGTGACCCTCTCTCCTGCAGAGGCGTATAGCGAGGGCATCGATAGCGCTGAATGCTCTGTGCCGAAATTTGGGCATGAATATTGGCCCAATAGTGCCGCGGTCAAGGATGGCGTAGGTATGCATATGGCCATAAACCGCCGTCTACTGGGCTGCGTGACTGATCACTCTTGTAGCCCTCAAGCGCGGCTTGAACGCGCGCCACACGGCGCTGATAGCCATTGCATCTGGCATAGGTGCGCATCGCAACTAGCACATTGTCGTGGCTGACCAAGCCGCCGGCGCGCAGGGACGGGTCTCTTCGTAAGCCCATCGTCCTCCTTGCGCGTGTAGACTAAAGGAAGTCGGCATCAGTTAGGCTCTGGAATCGCGCTCTTCAACGCCGGTCCACTAGGTCTTCTGCTAGGCTATATCATTATGGGATTCGTAACTGTAAGCAGCTTGGATTTCTCAGCGACCTATCGGCCAGGCCTTGACCTTCATTGACCACCAAGGCCGAGATAGCGTACATCAGCGCCGAGACCATTGGATTCCTTCCCGTCAGCGGTGGCTTCATACGCTTCATACCTAGGTTCACTGACCGTGCTCTGGGAATAACCGTATGCAATTCGACTTCTTGCCGTTGCGCTCCTAACATTGACTTTTCGTAGACGGCGTGGACCTTCTGGTACCTGCTCGCCATCAACGGTCCTGCTGAGATCGCTGCCGCGAGCTCACTGGTCTCATTTTGGCGCACGGACATTCCTATTGCGGTTTGGATTACCATCTTCATATTGCCTATCGTTGCATTGAACTTCCTGCCCGTGCGCCTTTATGGCGAGATTGAGTTCAGCTTCGGCCTGCTCAAGAGCCTGCTTGTCGTCATCCTGGTAATCACCTCTCTTGTCGTCGACGTGGGTGGCGGACCAAGTCATGAGGTATGTCTGCTGACAAGCACTATCCGTCATGTGCCTGCTGAGAGTACACAGTTCATCGGCGGACGAAATTGGCGCCCACACCCCATTAAGGACTACCTTGTTGATGGCCCTACTGGCCGCTTTCTGGCCGTCTGGAGTGTACTGAGTGCGTCTCGTTCTCCTTTTCCGCTGAAAAATTGCTCAAGGCACGGTTCAGTCAATGCGGCTTTCGCGATGGGCAACATCCAGATCGCCACAATATCCGCGTCGGAGGTGCAGAATCCGCGGCAGAATGTTCCCAAGGCCATGCGCCGAGTATTGTGAGTCATCAATGCTAGTCGTCACTGTCAGACAAATTAACGTCGTCAGCTACCGGATTTTCTTCTTCGTAAGCCTTCAAGTTTGTCTTCCGTCTTCGTAGCTTTGCTGAGAGCGCCAAACCAGTATGTGATATCGGTCCTCTTCGTCAGCCTCATCCAGAGCAGCTACGACGAAAGACTGAGTACCAACTCCGGCGCCGCCGCTTCGCCATTCGTAATCGCTTTCGAGACGGCAGGAATCAAGGTTCTTCCAAACATGCCTGTAGATGGATTCGTCTCGCTCACGATTCGTCCAGGTCCTTCCTTCCTTCATCAACGCCATAGTAATCACCAGCGCATGGTCGTCGGGCAACGGCATGCTTTTCCTAGCATCACGTACCCTCGTCGGTCTCGCTGTTGAGGGAGCTGCACCGAGGATTTTCCTGAAGACAAATCGTTATGGGTCAGTAGCAATGCTTCGACTCAGACAAGTTACTCATCGTCATACAGCTCCCCTTATATCGCAGTCGCCACGTCTGCGCTGCTCATGCCGCTCGCCTACTTGAACTGTGGGAACCAGACCCCACAAACGGTGTTCTCCTGGTTTATCAGTTTGGTGTACGTTCCGCCCGCGATCAACATGAAGCCCACGCACTGATCGTCTTGACCAGCTCAACTGCGGGTCTAAATATCTGGTACGCGCGCTTTCCTATACAAGTACGGGCTACCACAATCTCACACGGCTTCAGGATCGTTATCTGCTTCTCATATGTGCGATTTTACTACGGCATGAAACGGCAGCGCATCAGCCGCAACGAGCTACCTTACAAGAGCTGGGGACAGCCATTTTGCGCTAGTAAGTGGTGTTGCATCACGCGTCGAGCCATTACTGACCACACTTCGTCTCCCGCAGTTGCAGCAGGCTTTATGTGCTGCCTTATCGTCTTCTTCTCAGGATTCTCGGTATTCTTCCCTGGCCAGTGGTCGGTGTCGAACTTCTTGTCAAACTATGTACGTCGCGGCATGCACGACGGTCACAGCAAGTACTGATGCTACGTCCATTCCAGATCAACTGTTTCTTGTTCGTGGCACTATATATCGCACTCAAGGCTACCATCAGCAGCCCGTGGGTCGGCTACGACGACATGGACTTCTCGGAATTCGAGGCAATCCGCGAAGAGGCAAAATTCCGGGAGGCGCAGGCATCACTGGAACGTCGCGTACCGTTGTGGAGACGGATATTCGAGAAGGTTGCAGATCAATAATACAGGCTTTCTGCCAAATTCTCTTTCACCGCGCTTCCCGAAACATACAAGCCCAGGACGGTTCCTCCTCTCTTGAAACTTGTGGACCGATGCCCGAAGGTAATCCCACAGCGACGGGAGTTTTCGCTTTGCTTGCGTCTGTTAATCTTGTAATTGCGCGAGTACTCGCGGGCGTCGGGGATCTTCCGTCGAGCCCATCGCCCAGCGCGACTGCTTATTAAACATCAGTCATGCTCGATTCAAGTTCAGGTGGGTGCAACCCGTTGCTGACCCATGTAGGCCCACATTCGACGCGAAGGCTTCGAGTATAAGAGCAGGGTATGTTGCCTATGGATCCCCCTAAACTGCACATCTGATTTGTTCGCCAACAGCCTCAATTTTACCCCTATTTCGCAGTCCAGTATGTCGGGCAACCTTGCGCTCGCAGGAAAGGTCGCAATCATCACCGGCTCCTCAAGGGGGATAGGAGAAGGCATTGCCTACGAGTTGGCAAGGCAAGGCGCTAAGGTGAGCCCGCGTTCGTCGTGAGATCGAAGGATCTGACCTTTTTGCCACAAATAGGTCATGATCACTTACACGTCCGTATCGAGCCAGGACCGCGCCGACGCTCTCGTTGCACGCATCGCGTCCCTCGACAACGGGTCCGACGCAGCCTCCGTGCGCGCAGACCTTCGATTCCCGGATTCGCCAGCCATCATCGTTGATGCCACCCTCAAAGCCTTCTCGACCGACGCGATCGACGTCTTAGTCAACAACGCCGGCGTCGAGCAGAACCGCCTCCTCACGGACGTCTCAGCGGAAGATTTCAACCGTGTCTTTGACGTCAACGTCCGCGGCGCGATGCTCATGACACGGGCGGTTATTCCCCACCTCCGCGCCCCTGGCCGGATCGTGAACATCTCATCGCTCGGTGCGCGTCGAGGCTTCTCGGGCTACACTGTCTACTGCGCGAGCAAGGCGGCGCTGGAGGGCTTCACGCGCGCCCTTGCGGTCGAGCTTGGTACCGCTGGTCACTCCGTGAACGCGGTTGCGCCTGGTCCGACGGAGAGCGATATGTTGTTCACACTGTCGGAGGAGATCTTGGAGACGCAAAAGAAGCGTACGCCGATGCAGAACCGCATAGGCACCAAGGACGATATCGCTCAGGTCGTCGCCTGGCTCGCGTCGGAGAGTTCAAGATGGGTGACAGGGCAAACAATTTCGGCGACTGGGGGTATCGAGACGCTGTAGCAGTATAATGACCGAATTTCGATAGGTTAGATACCACGCGCGCACTAGATGGATCCATGTTTCCTACGTGCTTACATATAAGACTAAAGATACTTTTTTTGGAACTCGATGGAGAAGAGGCTTAGGGAGATGAGATGGAGGTACCGGGGATTGAACAAGAGCACCTACGTGTATTTCACGGACTGCTTTCCGGCCCATTTCAAACATCCATGGCCCGGGATACTTTCTCCCGCGTGCACGGACGCAACACTTGCCAGAGGTAGGTCTTTCCTTCACAGCTCGCGCCAGGGCATGCGGACAGCTAACATCTACACGACAGGCCACACGCATACCGTCATGTTCCAGTTCGAAGATCGCTTTCGCCAGTCCGGCAACCAAGAGCTCAACAGCCTGCAAGACGCGCTGAACGAGTTGATAAAGGAGAATCACACAACCGTCCCCAGAGCTCTCCATCGCCAAATCAAGTCTATCCTCACCAGAGGCTCTGCATTTTGTCTCCTGGAGGGGGCACCTCCTTTCGGCCGGCCATTGTCCGAGGTGCACGAGCACAACGATATGCTTCGCGCCATTCTACATTCCTTCGCGATCCTAGGACACCTCTACAATGTCTTGGGCTCTACCTCAGGGCAGTCAACGTTACTCGACAAGCCGCCTGTCGCCTTGGATAAATTGTTCCGCTGGATCGACTTCATGCACCCAATGCATGGCTATGCCGTCGGGACTTACCCATCCGACAGCGACCGTCACGAGGCCGTACCTGTCTGCGCCATCCTTGGCGGAATCATCTCTAGTAGTGATAACGGCAAAGAGTACATCGACCGCTTTGTGCAGCAGCAACCGCGCGCCATAGCGTTGATCCTAGACCTCTGGCTGTTCTATCCCAAGTACCTAAGGGGCCAGGAAAGAAACATCGGCTCTTCACAATATGTCTCGGACGGCATTCTTGGTCTTCTCCGCCTCCTCTACTCAACCGAAGGTCTGCACGACATTTTCACTGCCGAACTTACACGTCTCGTCGATGGTCGGCTGGGCCGCGTGTCCCGTTGCATCGCCGCGCACACCAACTTCCTGGTGCAAGCCCAAGCGAAGGGCGCGCTGATTGCGGGCTCTACGTGGGAGACTCACTTCTGTGCCGCGCACGGTATGCTCGCGTATCTCACCGCCTCCATGGACATACACGTGAGGCGTAGCGCATTCACGAGCAGCATTTCCGGCGCGCGTTTATGTCTCGCGAACAGAGACGACCCGCTTTCTCTAGAGGCAGCGCGCCATGCAGTCAAGTTGCTGTCCGAGAACATGACAGGTTTGCGCAGCTTGCGCCAGACCGTTCGCGCCTTGCAGGGAGATATCCTTGATCTGATGATCGAGCTCCCTTCCGCGCTTCGAGGAGACGAGTCCATCGTCAAACTGGCGCGTCATCTACAGGACAGCCTCTGGTGCCCCTCTGTTCTCCGCGCGTTCCGCAAGAGCTATGATGCTCTGGTTCTCCGTGGTGCACTCGATGAGACCGCCCTCGCCGATCCCATGACACGAGACCTCGCGAGCAGGTTCAAGCTGTACTGGAAGACATACGCTGTCTTTCGACAAGATCGAGGTTGGAAGCGTGCGGTGCCGTGTTATGGGCGTGCAGAGGTTAGCTTTCCAGACCGTGGTCAGTTCTTACATGATTTCAAATTATGCACAGGACGATCATGGCGAAGAAGTCAAGCCATGCCCCTGCGGGAAGGTATTCTACTGCTCAGTAGAATGCCAGAGGATTCATTGGGAAGCTGAGCACCGGGATGATTGCTGTTACCGAGACGCAGGGGCGTTTGGACTACACGGTGTGTACTGTCATATTTGATCTTCCGCGTCTTTCGTTTTCTTCGAGACGGGTTTTACCGAAGTTCTGCTCCAAACAGCACGTCCGATGCATTGACAGACACATACTTAGCTCGCCCGTCTGGCAACGATACACACAAGCTAACGGATGCACTATCTACTAGGTGCCGTCAAGCTTGAAAGCCTCTTTTTCCTCGGTCGATGCGCGCAGGAAGCTCTAAAACGACATGCCGATTGGGTCGGTTCGACATACGCGGCCCACACACGCATCAACCCTACGGTAGTGCCGTGCTTGTGGGTCAGTTTCGCCGACAATCTCGACGAGACCACAGAGCCCTCCGGATCAGAAGACTCGGCAACCTCTGTGGACGCTTATGGTTGCGTCCTGAGCACCGCCACGGAGAACAATCGCCCTATCGATACCGTGCTCCCGGAGGGCTGGCGTATAATAGCTGTGCAGGTCCGCATGCGCGTCGGGATGAATGTCCTCAGCCAGGCATTGCCTTTTCTTTTCACGGTAGAGGGAGAAATCGTCGAAGGAATGAATCAACCACTGTGCTAAGCCAAAATCTTACATTTATCATTATATTCAGCCCCAGATCTCATGCAATAGTAGACTGACTGGAAGCCTGGCAACGTATGCGGTCTAAATGAGCGAATAGGAAAGGTGGGAGACGAATGTACACGAAGGACTCGCCGCAACGCAGCGCGCGAGTTGATGCTGATGGAGGAGGGAGCGAAGAGGGACGCAGTTACGTGTTACGTCTCGCTCGTCCATCATCCGGAAAGCGCGCCTCCTTCCTCCGTGCCTCCTCCAGGCGGCTTCCAAAACCAACTTGGAATCTAATCGTCTTCTTCGCTAATACGCAAGCTCCGCAGATACTCGAATTGCTGCTCATCTTCTGCTCGTCCGCACGCAAGAGGGTAATCTTCCTGAGAGATTCTTGAGAGATTGGAGGCCTTGGACCTGAAGTCCTGTCTGGACTCTGAGTGGCAACGCGTGTCTATCGTGCACCGCCGCTACGCGCGAATCAACTCTCAGTGGCGTCTCATGAAAGCGCTATCTCTCTATCGTTAGCCTGACAGACGGCTCTAGAGAACGCTCCCCGTCCACGACGCAACTGGATGTCATCACTTCTCAGCATAGGGCGATAACATCTGTGCTGGCACGAGTGCCAGCATATGCTTCGTAACTCGTGTGGTAAGTAGTGCAGCCACCCTGTCCTACCCTCACCGAATGTCGTGCTAGCTTTCGAAACGGGTACTGCGAGAGCGTCGCACTGCGGAGGTCGTCGCGCGTTGCACATCTATCGAGGGTGCACGCCCATTAGGTCATTCCTTTGTACTTCATCATACGCGACCTCGAAGGCCTTTCGTACGCCATCACCGGAGACACGTTGGCCGAGGGTCAGGAGAAGCGCCAGGAAGAACCAGGCGCTTCTGACGGTCAATCCCGGATCGCCGTCATTTCCTGCCATCGGCGCGCTCCCAGAGCGCCTTCGCCAAGCCTCTTTCAGCCCTCTCCAGTTGTCGGGCAGCTTCTGATAACGGTGCTCATTGTACAACTTGTGAAGATGGAGCGCCTTGACACGGTGGCAGGTAAAGTTCAGCGATACCCACCATGTACGGATTCCCTGCGACTCTCGGGTAGGACGGGCATGCGATGATTTAAGCTACTAGTCATCTCTGTTCATAGAGGTTGGCAGCTACGGCGTTCCCTACGTTATTTGCGTCTCGCTGACAGGATTACAATAGTATCAACGTACGCTGCCGTCTTGTCTGTCCATCGCTAGCCTTTGCACGCTGGCCAACTCCAGGCCAACTCTTGACTTCAATCTCAACTGCGGGCCTTGATACACAATGAGGCGAGACGAAAGGTCTATTCACAAGTAAATTACGAAGAAGGGTTATATGACAGCGGCGTAGGAATGAAGGGCTCGAATCGCCAGGTATACAGTAGTCAGCAACGATGAATTGTTCGATACAGAATGATCGCGAGTAGGTAAAGACTGCGTCACGACTATATAAATGAACTTTGCCCCGTGAGTGAGTCGAGGTCGCGTCGCGCGACCGTGTCGTAGCTGATAAGTAGCAATCGAGTAGGCGTCCGAAGAAGGATAGGGAGAAGGGAAGAAGGGAAGAGAGGAAGCAGAGGGATAATTGGTGCGGCGCTTGGGGAAGCGGGCGAGCGGCGCTCAGAGGCCGATGTTAACTGCGGGCAGGATTAGTGGGTTACGAACGTCGTATAAGCTCGACAACGTACTCGGGGAGCAGCCGATGTTGATGCCGTGACCGCTGTACGAGTTGTCCTTGCAGCAGACGGTTTGCGCGGAGCTGGGGAAACTGAATAAGGCGACGACAACGAACGACGCCTTCAGTACTCACCACTGGTTGCCGCCACCACCGAGCACATCTATCGGCGTGCAGTGAAGGCCAATGTCGGTGACCTCACCGAGGACGATTCCCAAGAGCTTCAAGATGATGCCCAGGAGGCTGCCGGAGTTCGACTTTTGTACGCTTTGGCAGCACTGGACGGGTCCGGAGCTGCAGCTTTGGCCATTCCCGCCGCCGCCCGAAGGCTTGTGCTTGCTTGCCGCTATTCGTGAACGTCAGACGGATGCGTGGAGATAAAGGAAGGATGACTCACAGTCGACAGGGGTTGCTCTGCCAAGGTTGCGAGGCCTCATCGGCGTGAGCCCACGGCGCATGCGGTCTGCATTGGTCTCCGCCGTCGGGACGGCCGACACGGCGATAAGCAGGGCAAACAAGAAGGCAAAGAAAGTAACAAGCTTCATAGTATCGTCCCGCACGAAGAGACAGTGAAAGGTACTCGAAAAGCGAGCGTGAGGTGAACGAACGAAGGTGAGCGGGGAACGATACGACTCAATCCCCGCCGACCCGAGCGCTGGCTTTATATCCCAGGACAATTTTGGCCAGCAGATGCGCTTCCCCGATATGTGCGCACGCCGTGCGCTGTCATTTTGCTTGTCAGGACCCCGGGGGCGACCGTAGTGCGGCCGAAGGCGGCTGTCGCGCTCGTGGGGTATAGAGTCTGCCTTTGCGCGCGTAATCGCCGGCGCAGCGCTCACGGCACCGGGCAACAACCGCCTTCCGCGCGCCACGAGGGGGTGGAGGCAGGGCTCTGGAGGGCGCTGTAGTCGAGGGTGAACGGCGAGGAAGTGCAAGAGCAGCGGGTGTTCTCGACTTGGGAGCTTCCGTATGTTGAAGATGGTGTGAACCCAGAAGTCCCCGAAGCGGTAAACGGCACGAGCCCACCGCCGGGGGACTCAATCGTCGATACTCGTGGTCGCGGCCTTCGCTAGCGTCTCGGCTTACGGCCAAGGACGTGATCATTGATCGACGCGCTCTATAGAGAATCAATGGAGAAGGCCCCGCGCGGCTGCGCAAAGAGTATTGGACGGACACGAGATATAATGCAAAAATGCAGGGACGACCAGGGGGAGGCGTAGAGGGAGGCGTTGTCCGATGTTCGCGAGCCGAATTGCGTACAGTTTTTGAGGCACAGCCAGGGGAGTACGTCCCGGACGGGCATGAGCGCGGAAAGCGAAAACACATACCTGAGATTCCAGTAGTACCGGGGTCGCTTGACGTCTGGGTCTCCTGCTTGGTTAATCTCGCACATTAGATGTCGTTGGCTCGTATAAGAAAGTCGATAAATCAGCGCGCTACAATGCATGAACGGTGACAGCGATTGGCAAGCCCAGGTAAGTTGTCAAGAATGACTGCTGTCGTCCAAGGTAGTCACGTCGTTAGTCGCTAAAGGCTATCTGTTATCAATGCTTGAAGACTCGCTACGCCGAAGTCTGTCGCTACCGCTACGAAAGCCAGGCCGTGCAATTAGATAGCCCATTGTCGTCTTGTCCTACTCATCCGCTAGTTCAGTCAAGCTAGCTGGCAGTTGCATCGACATATATGTTGGTGAGTTTCCGAATCCTTGAAGCTCAGAAACGAATAGAGGTGCCAGCGTTGTGATTTTCGACTTTCGACATGGCAGTTTGGGACAAGAGACGGCGAGGGCGGCCCGAAAGTACAATGGCATCACCGATCGGGCGATGACTAAGCGCCATTGTTCTCGTCGCCTCTTGTTCTGAACGGTCATCATCATGGTTCGTCCTTCTCCCCAAGTTTATTCAGAATATATCTCATATTGTCTTCCCAGGAAACCCAAGGCCCCACTCCCGCTCTCCACTTCTGCACAGAATGCAACAACTTGCTATACCCGAAGGCGGACCGGGCGTACAACCGACTGTACTACTACTGCCGCATGTGCAGCCGCGACCAACCAGCGGGCGAGGGCGACGCGATCGTGTACAGGAATGATTTGTTGACCATCACAAAGTGTGTGTGCAGCGCTTGACGCGTGCGGTCCGATACTAACGCGCGTTCGCCAGAGAGCAGATGGGCGAAGTGAGCAATCTTGAGACGGACCCGACACTGGTGCGTGGCCTGCAGATCTACCCACACTCGATGCTGACGCGATTTCCCTCCAGGCACACGCAGAACAGCAGTGCCCGGCCTGTCACTACCATGAGTGCGTTGCCTCGTTCCCCACCCATCCCTGTCCGGCTAATGATACCCTCAGCGCCGTCATATTCCAAGACCAGTCCAAACGACACCAAACCCGCATGATCCTCTTCTACGTCTGCACCAGCTGCGGCCACTGCTTCCTCGACCCCATCCTCGTAAAGAAGAAGAAGCGCCGTCAACGCAAGGAGAATTTCGAGGAAGAAGAAGAGAACAAGAAGCGCCAGCGTCAGGAATACGAGAGGCAAGGATTGATACCCCCTCCGTCACTGGCGCCGTTCGGTAGACCTCTGGTCGAGGAGATCGACTGCGCGTCGGAGAGCGAAGGGTTCTTGGATTGCTTCAAGAAAGGTGCCTCGTTGGAGTTGAAGCTATGAGTCTTGCCAGCCTTTCTTGTACTTATATGCATCTTTTTGAATGCTTTGATGATATCGCGTGGGTACATTGGGTAAAGACGGTGGGTTGTAGCGCTATCATTATCGTGTATCACTTCGCTGACGGTTCGTAGATCAGTGTAGCTTCTTCGGCCTAGCTACTGTGCACCTACCCATGCTCAGATATGCGGCGCAGACAGCAAAATGTCGAGCGCTGAGATCGAGGAGAGCTGCCACCATCGCTGCACGGGCTCGTCCGCTGCGCGTTGTCGTGTTAGATCCTGTACTTCGTATAGGGCGACAATGACATACCTCCCTTGCGTGCAATGATTCTACTCATCCTCCCTCCTGCGTGCTCCGGGATTTCCACCTCGGGCATCATCAACACGCTCGACCCGGTCGCTTTGGCGTGCTCCGCAACGTTGAGGGCCTTCGCTTGCTCCGCGACATTGACCACTCGCCCTGCGTGCGTCTCGTCCGCGAGCATTCGTCCCGCTGCTGGAAGGCGAACCTCGCCGGTGCGGCCTACTCTCACAACCGGCAACGTTGGAGGCGTTTTGACCCAAAACCCTTCCAAAGGGTTTGAACGGCAGGGAGCCATGAGTTTGCGTTGACCAACCAATTGCCGAGAGTGAGTTAATCTAGCCGACATGACTGCCTCGCGCAGCGTCACGGCAAGTGCCGCTCGATCGGGTCACAAAAGGTCACAGTTCGCATCAACGCTCAGTCCGTGGACCAGCAGACATTATGTTGAAGACATAACTTTCCATGTATCTCAATATGCTCGAGGTATATCTCTACACACCCGAAGAGTACAAACTCCCCACCGAGAAGAGCAAGGTAGCCTATACCAAGTGTAACATCATAGTGTGAGAAGCAGGTGACAATGGGAACTGGGAATGAAATCGTTCGCGTGCGGGGCCCCCTGATTCCCGCATCGACTCTGCTGTATATCCTCTATAAGTCTGATCTAAGGCTTGAAGTACTGTGCATAGAAACATGAGGTGCTCTCAAGACACACTGCCTGCATCAACAGCCGCAGAAGCAGACAGTTTACGGTCGGCGGGAAGGACCAGGTTCAATTTCGGATTTCGTGTTGCGTGATCGCGATGCGTAAGGTCGGCGGTTCGAATCAGGGCCAGTAGCAGGTATGTCTTCCTGGCCTCTTTTCGTCGTTTGAGGGCTGCCTTCTAGCGTAGAGCTAGTATATGTACCAGTCTCCATATCCTCCCGCGTAGGGAGGGTCCCAAAAGCCACGAATCCGGGGTCGGCGAAAATGTCGTCATTTGCCGAGGTCCGGCAGACGCCGGCACTCGAGCTTGGCAGTTGTTTCTCACGGTTGAATTTCTGTTCCTTTGCCTCGCTCAAGGCCAGGTAGGTGCCCGCACGCCCTCTCTTATAGTGTATGTCTCTCATATACTCTCCCTATTGATTACTCTGAGACCATATAGCAGCTCATTTGCTCGCTTTCCTACTTTCTTCTGTCCTTTTCAATTGAATTTCAACCTGTCATGGGCAATGTCGCTACCTATTCATCCTTCAAAAAGCCTCAAATAGAGCAAGCTTATCTGTTACTTGAGAGGACCAAGCAGCATACTGGCAGATTATGAAGCATCAAGGTGCTTGGTGCCCTCATCTCCCACTCCCAACTTAAGGTCGCTTCAAAGTGTTCCTTTTGATTATATTTCCTAAGATCAGCCATAGACCATCTTATAAAAGCTTTTCTCTATATATACTACATCTTACACACTTTTACAGGGCGCGAACCAGGATGAATGGACCGCGAATAGTCAAGTTCAACCGTGAGAAACAACTGCCAAGCTCGAGTGCCGGCGTCTGCCGGACCTCGGCAAATGACGACATTTTCGCCGACCCCGGATTCGTGGCTTTTGGGACCCTCCCTACGCGGGAGGATATGGAGACTGGTACATATACTAGCTCTACGCTAGAAGGCAGCCCTCAAACGACGAAAAGAGGCCAGGAAGACATACCTGCTACTGGCCCTGATTCGAACCGCCGACCTTACGCATCGCGATCACGCAACACGAAATCCGAAATTGAACCTGGTCCTTCCCGCCGACCGTAGACAGTTAGGTTTGTCAGCAAATATTCCCCTGTGCGGCGGCGGGCTGAACACGATATATGGTGCGGGTACCCCCACGCCTCAAGTTGTCGGTCGCATGTCGTCTTGCTTTCATCACGAGGATTGCCACCTCACATCGAGTAGATAAGCCCCTTGCCGGTTTTCGGCACGACATGCGTCAACCACGACGACTCCCACAGCAACCCTTTGGAGGAGTTCTGGGTCAAAACCCCTCCAATGTTGCCGGTTGTGTCTTTCGAGTATTACTGTGGCAAAGAGCGAGGATTTGATCATGGCGGGGATGGTGGGCAGCATATGTGTAATGGGTAAGGCGGTTGCGCACGATGGCGAGCATTAGGACGAAGGTCGCTGGGGTAGACGTGAAGATGCGTTTGATCTCGCAAGCTGAGACTGAGCGAGTGTATGCGGGATAGTTGCGATAGTGACTGTGAATGAGAAAGGACAGAACAAGTTGCTTCGGCCAGCTGAAGCACTTGAGATCGGCGCTGGAGGCTATCCGACGAGCGGAGGCTCTCCAAGGAAACTCAGGGGCTGCAGCATATTCTATCCCTGCTGAGCAAAAAAATACATGCCTTGTTCGGTATCAGATACTCTTCGTCTTCGTTGTCCCCGCTCTCATCCTCCTCACGAAAGGAAGGACGAAGAGCACCATGCCAGTCCTGAGAAAGTTCAACAGTGACAGCGTGGGAATGGGGTGCGCGTGACTAATCACGTGCTGGTTCGACTTCAGGCACACCCCTCCATATCGCCTCAAATCGCGCTCGAGCTCGGCACGTCCAGCTCACGAATACATGCGCTATTTCTGCCAGATAGCTGCGCAGACATTCGACATGTCACGCCTGAATGACCAATCGTCCTTTCGGCCACACACGACGAGACGAATCGACACACGGTCGCCATCGAGCTCACGCCACCTTCATGCGCCACAATACCGATTATTGCTTTCCCTTGCACGTATCGATAGCACCAGCAGCACGTATCAACATGCCCGTGTCCATTCCAGTTCGTAACGGGGAAGATGTCCGACGTGGTGTATGTCCGACGTACGTGTTGTATGTACGGCTCAGCACCTGCGCCGAGCCTTCAGTCGCGTGCTACTGGCTACAGCGCGCCCACGGGACGACTAGGGGATGCGTGATACAGAGGCGGTCTAGGATTGTGCAAACGAAGGACGGTCAGTTGGCGAGCCGGCGGGCGGCCAGAGGGCGCGAGGATCAGAGGGTCAGCCACGCCGGGCGAGCAAACGCCAATCGACGCGCGCGGTATAAGTGGAGAGGGTATATGGCTGGAGGGAGCGCCGATGAGCTTCTCTGAACAGATTTAGGTCGAGCAGTATACACACCAGGAGGGAGCGAGGAAGTATCCGGATAGGCGCATTCAGCAGGCTCCTGCGCACGGCAGGGACCCTCAAGCTTGCGTGTTGACGTTGGCGTGCACGCTCGCGTCCGCCTGCACGTGTGCATTGGCGGCGTTCGCGTTCACCTGCGCGGTGGCGTCGACGTGGACGCCGGCACCAGCGTGGGCGGAGGCCGACGCGGCGGCAGCAGCAGCAGCAGCCGAGCGCTGAGCAGCGGCGCGCTGGGCAGCAAGCTCAGCATTGTGACGCTGCGCTGCGACGGCAGCGTCGTGCTGCTGCTGCGGGGTCAAAGTCTGGGTCGCAGGGTGCCCAGCTGAGAGCGCGACGCGTCAGTGAACGAATTTTTCAACGTTCTCCAAAAACTCACAAGGCTGAGCGACCTGCGTGGTTTGCGTCCCGAAGTGGCGGGGCTTCAACGGGCCAAGACCGCGGCGGAAGCGCTCCGCGTTGGTCTCAGCGAACGCAGTGCCGGCAAGAGCGAAGATCGCAAGGACGAAGGTGAACTTCATGGCGTCTAAACAAGAAGCGGAGGGTGTAGGTGTACGATTAAGGTAACGATTGGACGCGGCGAGGGGGCGCGGCGGCGGGGCGAGCGGTGCTCTACGGTGGTGGCGGGGACGGTCGAGTTGCAAAAAGCGATACCGACTTAGAGGCGCGATGTTTTTATACGAGGGGGCGACTGCGGACCGTCGTGATAGGCGCGGGCGCTGGCGGGGCGCGCATGTGTTGTGGAGCGCCGGTTGATGAGAAGGACATCGGTTGATGGGGGGGCGCGTAGGCTCGTGAACCAGCTCGGCTGCGACCATATGGTACACCTCGTGCCTCGGTATGGCCGCAGGCCGGCTGGGCTCATCCGGGATCATTTTGGCGGGCCCGCCAAAAGATGCGTCTGACTTAGTGAAATCAGACGCTGGTTAGCTGCGTCTTGCCGACAAGATGCTTCCTCGTACATACTGAATGCACGTCCTGCCTTCTATTCCACAATACACTATGAGATACATCTACTCTCGAACAGAATTCCTGGCTTTAGTATATGTGTGCGCAAGTGAGAGAAGTACAAACGAGAATTTGACGCGTCGCCGCGCATGCCAACGTCCTACCGGCGATTGAGCAGGTAAGCTTCACGCGCAATCGCGCAACCACACACGACCCGAGCAAGTCGAGCAATTGTTGACCTCCCATCCGCACTGATATGCACGATCCCAGGTGCGAGGACGCGACCTACCCAGCAGATGACATTGCGGTCGAGATTGGCGCAAGGAGCTGCCAGCCTCATCTGACCTGGGTCCAGTGCGATGTTCAGCGGTGGCGTGAACTCTTGGTAGATCCCATATGGCGACTGCGCTGGTGGTAGGGTGAGGCTCGACGAGACCTGCGCGGGGCGCCTGGGAGGGATGATTGTAGAAGCTGTTGATGTTGCGATAGAATTGCGATAGTCCTGGGCTCGAGGAGTGTGAAGCAGAACCGATGGGTCCGCGGGCTGCCAGCGCTCGCGAGCATGACCGTGTGTAGAACGTTCGCTGAAGGTGGTATATGACGCCGCGGAGTACGGCCTGCCTTGCGCAGGTGTAAGGGAATGGCTCGGTTCAATGGATTGTGTCCCGATAGGTCGCACTGGAGGGTGTCGCTGGCGTGAAGCTATGGGTGACGCGGGCGATCCGGACGGAGGGTGCAGAGAGTGGTCATGACGCGAAGGGCAGGGATAGGAGGGTTGTTCAGGCGCTCCGTGCGCGTACGACGGGCTGTATTGTTGTGAGTTCATCGGAGGTGGCTCGTGATGGCGACGTTGCTGGAGAGAAGACGGGGAAGGGG